ACCCCAACCCCAACCCCAACCCCAACCCCAACCCCAACCCCAACCCCAACCCCAACCCCAACCCCAACCCCAACCCCAACCCCAACCCCAACCCCAACCCCAACCCCAACCCCAACCCCAACCCCAACCCCAACCCCAACCCCAACCCCAACCCCAACCCCAACCCCAACCCCAACCCCAACCCCAACCCCAACCCCAACCCCGAGTTTCATTAAGCAAAATAAATGTTTATTACATTTAAATTATAATTTTTTTATTAATGTCAAATATTGGCTTATGAAAGTTTATAGCTTTCTCACTTTAATTTTGAAATTAAAAATTTTCAGAATACCATTACAATCATATTCTTATTAAAGAAAACAAAAGATGGTAAAGAGTTATTGCAAAAAACTTTCAATAAACTAAAAACAAATATTTATGCAAATTATTTTTACACATTTAAGCCAAAATATATTTTATTTTTTGTATTTCCAATATCAAATTGATATATTTAGAATTTTATTTCATAAATATTATTGAATATATGTTGGTATTATGAAAATTTAATAAATTTTTTAATTAAAATTAATAATAAAATTTATATTTTAGAATATAAAAAAAGAAGAATTAATTTATTGCAAGATTAAGAGTCAAATTTTTTATTTCAAAAATGATTCAAGTCATTTAAAAGCTATCAATATTTAAAATAAATTTATACCAAAAATATAATGACATAATCAATAAATTATATTAACCATTTTTTATTGAATTTTAAATATTATTGTGAGAAAAAAAAAATTTTTACCAATTTAGATAATATTATTAGATATCTTATTTAATGAAGGTATTCCCTTTAAAATATTTATTTCTGATTATTTTAATAGAGATACATAATTTTTCCTACCAAATACTATTTTAATCGATTTAATTAATTTAAATACAATTAACTTTTAAAAAAACTCTTTTATATTAAATAGTAAAACTATTTTTTTTATAAGTAAAATACAGCTTATTTTAATTGATTAATTTTGTTATAATTGTTTAAAAATTGATTATTTATTTATTTAACTAGCAAAAATCTACTAGACTCTTACTTTTAAGATTCTAATTTTCGAATTCATTTAAATAATAAGATATGTTTTAAAATTTAATTAATAAAATAAAAAATTTGATGATGTAGAAAATTATATTTTTGTTAGCAATAATTTTAAATCTATTTGAGGATATAAATGGATTACCGTATAATTTTACACACAGAGCTAATTTAACTGTTTATGTTGACGGGCAAAATAGAGGAGATTTAGCTATTGGATTATATGGGCATGAAGCACCAAAAGCAGTTATGAATTTTTTATCATAATGTGAATCTAGAAAGGAGCATAAAAACTTAGAGAATATTTTTAAATTGAATTTAACTGATATTGAGAATAAATTTTCATTTACAAACAAACCAATATATAAAATTTATGATACTCATATGTAGTTTGGAGATTATTTCTCAGAAAGGAATAACTGGAGAGGAAATATTACAATATTTGGAGGGTCTTATTATAGCGAAATAAATGATTATGAAACTGAAATTGGTGCTCTTGCTTAAGAGAGACTTGAAGAAAATGGGCACGTTGGTAGTGAATATACAATATTTTTAAAGAAAGCTTCTTTTGATGGAAGGCAATCACTATGGCATGTCTTTGGAGTTGTTTATTAGAATTTAGATCTTCTAAAATATTTATTTTACACTGCAAGTGAAAACGATGGAACTCCTTAAAGAAATATTAAGATTATGAATTGCAAAATAACTTAATACAAATGAAATTTTCAATTAATAATTTTGACTAAAAATAGTTAAAATATTTGTTTAAAAAAGAAATGATCTTATCATCAAACTAAATATGGAAAGCAAATTAAAAAGTTAAACCTAAAAGTTACTTTCGTAATTATGAGGAGTAGAATGATTTAAATTTTTAATAATGTACTGTAAGTTATTTATAGATTTTTTTATTAACTAAGTCAATAAAATAACAAATACTATCTACTTTATGTAGCATAATTAATTTATGTTTAAATTTTTTGCAAATAACCTCTATGTTATGTTTGAAGAGCATTTTATATTTTTAATACATCATTTATAATTAAAAAATTATAAATAGCATCACTTATAGTTAAAATTGAACAACTATCTCTTTTTTAATTTTGGAATGATAAAATTCTTTTATTCTTCAAAGCAAAATATGAAGAAGAATAAAGCAAAGGTTCCAAATATATCAATATAGTAGAGGGTTGCAATTTGCTTAAATATAAATTAAACAGGATACATATATCTTACAAGTTATGATAACATTTGTGAAAATGTAATGATTTTTTTTATGTTTAAGTTATTTACTCAGGTTTTTGTTAGATTAAGTCATTCCATTTAAATTATTAAACTAAATGACAGACTTTGGATAAATCATAGGCAAGTTTTGGAAATAGTTTTGTAGATTTCAGTTTAAGAAAGTTAGAAGAATATCTAATAGAAATTTTTATTCTTTTGGGTATACTGAAAATAATGTTTTGAATTAATTTCATCATTTATAAAAAAATTATATCCAAACAATAATTTAGTTGACTAACATAGATAGATTTAATTCAAGCGTAATTAAATTTCAATTAATTATTATCAATATTATCATCAAAATTTGTAAAAATTTACAAAGTTTATCTGCGAAGAAAATACTGTAGAAAAGCATTTGATAATGTATTTTGTTTCCTGATATCACAAATTAATAACTCAGTATTTTAAAATTATAAAATAGGGGAGGAAAAATTATTAGCGAAGAGCTATAGTAGTAAATTATTAATGGTAATTCGTTTTATCTCTACAGATCAATATTAAACAGCAAATATTTTTAATATCTATCATAGGTGGTTTTTTAGAATGCAAAGACTTTCATGAAGGAACCTGCCTCTAAGAAGCATTACTTAGATTTGTAACTGTCATCAAGAATTCATATAAATATTATATTCCTATTCATTTGATTCCTTTGCTCATATTTAAACGCAAGAAATTAATCAAGGAGTAATTCATTCTTCATTTGCTTATCATTAAATCATCTGTTTAACATCTAGCATTCTTTTTAAAGAGAAAAAAACACTTTTAAAATAGAAAATTTAAATTATTTTAAAAATAAAAAAATTGGTACAACCAATAAATTAATTTATTAATTTGTTTTCTATTAATATATTAGACCTATTGCCACTATTAGACATGCTTTGTATAACTATATAAAATCTTTATGTTTTATGGGAAGTTATGTAGCTGTGTTAAAATACTTCTTATGCAAGACTAAAAACTGGAGAAGACGTATTGATGGTAAACAATTTTTTTTTTATAATTTATACAAAAATTAAACATGCTTTTATATAAACAAAGGATGGAACCCTGCTATTTCAGCATTTATAGCTGGTTTCTCAGTAACATTGGAACCTGAAAACAGAAGATCTGAAATTGCCCTTTTCATTATGCCTCGTTTCTTCGAAACTCTTTGGAACTGGTTAAAGAGAAGAAGATTAGTTGCCCCTATCCCTGGTGGTGAACTTTTAGTATTTGCCTTTGCTATGGGAATTATTAATTATTTCTATCAAATGGAGGTAGTTATTTTTTTAGCATTTTTTTGTTATTATTTTTAAAATTTTTATTTACTTAAGTCATTTTTAAAATTACAAATAGGAAAACGCTATTAAGCCTACTTATTTAGCCTTATTCAAAAGATTCTGGGGAGTTAATTGATAAAACATATTTATATAAAATATTAGAACAATATTTATTAATAATTTTAGGAATTGTATAAATACTTATAAAATCTTCATTTGTAAACTTAATTAATACTTTCTCTTTAATGTTTTAATCTATTTTAAATTTATTTTTATTTTATAAAATCAATCAAATATCTAAAAAGCTTACAAAAAATTAATTTTTAACGAAAATCAAATCACTCTATTCTTCAAAAAAAACTAAAAATATACTTTTAAAGAAAATAAACAACTAATGATCTAAGTTAAACATATTTATATAAATATATATATTTGTTATGATACTTCAGCTCAAATTATCAAATACTCTGGAAAAAAAATTATTAAAAATCTAATTAAAAACTAATTAATTTACAAATAAAAATTAAATTTGGATTATATTAAATATAAAATAATCAATTTGATAAAACCAAATTAATAGCATGGTATATTTTTTTAAAACTTTAATTGAATTTAATAAAACCTTATAATTAAACTAAATATTAATTTAATTTCTATTGTTAAACTATTTTATTTATGTTAGCTATTTATGTATAATTTAACTAAACTTACTGAATTTGTAGTATTAATTTTATAACTTCTAAAATATTACATTTTTAGTTAATATAAAAGACATAAATTTCTTGCACTCATCCCTCCTTTACTGGTCATTTATAAACTAGAAAGATAAATGAAAGGTAATATATATAATTCCTCAGTAAAATACTCTTCATTTAAAAATGAGGAATTAGGATAAAAAGATATATTTATTACCTTTATTTACACAATTCAATATAATAATATTAAAATGTTTTTATTTTTAAATTAACAAAATTAAAAAGAAATGAAATTTTATAAAATTTTATTTATCATTTAAAAATTAAAATTTTTATTGATATGCATGAAATTAATACCTTTAAAACAAAAAATAGTAATAACTTAAAGCTATCTCCAACATTCATTAGTATATTTTTTTGAATTTCAAATTATTTTTTATTATTAATTTAATTTATTTATTATTAGCTTTTTGATATTTTTCTTCTTTTTTCTTTATTTATTTTCTTTCTGATCTTAATTTTTTCTATTCTGCTCTTCTTTATTTTACTTTTATGATTTTATAGGAATTTTAATTCTATTAATATGTTTAAATATTTTATTTTTAAAATTAATTTTTATTAAGCTCAACGATTTATCATCAATTTTTTAGATTTTTAAATTATATTAATTGTATTAGGAAGAAAAGGAATTAATTTAGTTTTTTTAATTTTATTGATAATGGCAATTCACCGATATATTTTTTATATCATTTTTAAGTGAAAATGGCTTGTCATAATTGAATTTTATAAATGTTTGAGTTTTATTTTTTTTAAAAAACTGTCCTGGATGAAGTGTGTGCATTTTTATTAAAAGTGAATATAAAAACTTTGATTTCTCCAACATTATAAAATTCAATTACGCAGCAGTTCTTTCTTTTTTATTTTTTGTTTTTTGTATTTTTAATAACTTTTAATTTTTTATACAAATTTATTAAATATGTTTTTTGTTTTATATCAACCTAATAATAAAAATTCATAAAGAAATTAACTTTATTGTATATCATATTATCATATTTTATGATAAATCTAACAAATAAAAGCAAGAATATTAAAAATTATTTTCTTTATTATATATAGTATATCAATAAAAATAATGTGAATTATCTATCTTTTTGAATTAAGAATATAAAATTAAATATTAATAAAAGAATTTTTTAGATAAGAAAATTAATTTTCAAAGATCCAAAGTAATTCAAAAAAAGAGGAAAAAATTATTTGAAATTTAAATAATTAATTAAAAAGAAAAATAAAAATAAAAAACAAAATAATTCAAAAAATTGAGATCAGACAAAGCTCTGTTAGGGAGGTGGTTCAAGTTTAGTTTTTGAGGTTAAAATCATAATGGATATCAAAGTTTTTCAACCAGCTAGCTGCAATTTTAATGTGATAAGATAGTATTTTGCATTAAAAAAGCAGCTAAAGAAGATAACCATTATGTAATTGAGATATTTTGATTAGAAAATGGCCAATTTTATTACAGGTGTTTTTGTTGGCAATTTCAAACATTTCTAGTTTTAAAATATTCTCATCGGAAATTCGATTGACCCACCGCATTTAAATAATGTCAAGCCTTAAAATTTAGCACATCTGATTCTCAAACAAATTTTCTTTCTAATAATTTATAAAAAGTATTTTTTAAAACAACAGCTGAAAAATATGGAGACTTTGAGACTTAAAAAAGAAAGAAAGAAAAAAAATATAAAATAAATAATAAAAAATAAAAATAACAACAATAAATAAATAAAGCAGTTTAAGAAAACTCAAACAAAAGCAAGATTAAATCTTTAACACATAAAAGATTAAAACTTAACTAAGCAAAGAGAAAACTTAAACTGAAATAAGAAAAAAACTAAATAAACAAATACCTAAAATAAGCAAGAAAAAAACTTAAAATCAAGCAAAAATAAAACTTAATCACATATAAGAATAAACCTAAAGCACATCAAAGAAAAAAACTTAAGCAAAAAATAAAATAAATCCTAATTAAAAATAAAATTATAATTATAAACAATATTATAAAAATAATTTCTTATAAAAAATTTGAAAAGCATACATTTATTTTTATTAAATTTTTTTTCATGAAAAATAATTTTTAGATAAGTTTATATTATATATTTTGTTTGTAAATATAAATTCTAAAAATTTTAGTTAAATTATATTTAGGTTATTTAGATATATTTTTTTAACAATTTAATAATAAAAATTTTAGAAAAATAATATTTTTTAGTATTTGCATAACACACTTTAATTTACTTTAAAAATGTGAATTTATATTTAATGAAATTTTTCGAATAATGAGTGACTGGTTGACTATAAAACAATTATTTGCAAACTAAAAGAGAGGAAAAAGTTAAGATTTCATTAAAGTATGATGAAAAAAAATAAAAAACAAACAAAGAAACAAAAAAAAAATAAATAAATAAAATTCTTAGCTTGAGATTCGATTAAAAGATTAAAAGAATAGTATATGAAGAAAAAGCATCTAGAAAAGTTTTTACTTATATTATTAATTTTAAATAATATGAGAGGAAAGAAATAAATTGCGATGAATTTTTGTATTTTGGAATCAAATAATCTTGAAGAGGAGGATGAAGAGAAGAGGGAAACAGAAAATATTTAAAGAGGTAATTATAAGTGGAAATGAATCGAGTGTTTTATAAAATTTGTATTGAGAAGTTTATTATATTAAAATAAGAAAGAAAAGAAAAGAGTCTTAATAAAATAATAGAAGAAAATAAAGAGAAGGTATTGAAAAATATACAAAAACATTGCAAAAAACTAATAGGAAACATTTAATTTACATTAGCAAGGCTTTAAGGCTAGTTTCATATATTTTAAGTCCTTTTTAGGGAAAGGAGAATAGTAGTTATTCAGAAAATTATTCTGACTCAAACATAAACACATAGTTATTGTGAAAACTCTAGGAGATTGTTTACGAATCTTTTTGAAAAATTTAAATTAACAAAGTAAAGAACGTAGATCTCCTTGCAAATTTAAAGATAAAGGATTTAATGAGCAACAAACAAGATAAAGGATTGAAAAAACCCAACCAGTAAATAGGAAATACTTAGAGTAACGGAACTGGTCCCTCTAGTAACTAAGGCAGATCAGAGTACAATAGCTAGCCTTATTCCAGTTATAAAGGTAGAGGAAATAACCCAACTAGTTATCTAAAGAAGGAAGAAGGAAGAAATAATGAAGAAGGATAGGGAATTCTAAGGAATATTGGAGGACCTCGCTCAGGAGGAGCTTTCAAAGATGACTTGAGCAATACCACAAGAAAGAAGGGACTTGGAAAGAACAAATTCATTTAAATTTACAACGATTATAGCCTCAGTCGTAGAAATGGATTTGAATTAAATTAGGATTGGCTTAAAGGCTTGCACACTCAATTCCCTTAGATATTTGTCCGTGAGCATTTGGCACCTATTTTTACTGATAAGTCTTACTGTGATAGCTTTAATGTTGCAGAGGCATTCGAAAAGGTTGTTAAAAAGCCAACTGATGCCTTGTAAACCTTTGCTTAACCTGCTGTAGAGCAACCTACTGTCTAAAATGAATAAAAGAATTAAAGCGATTCAGAAGAAGAACCTAATTGGGAAGTAGACGAATAACAGTTTAATTTCGAATTTAAATCATTTGATAAGGAAAAGTATGCACAAGAAATGAAAGATAAAAACAACAAAAGAAACAAAGATTAAGACAGCAACAATTCAAAGTAATTCCAAAGACAGTAATAACAATAGAAATAAAAATAACCTGAATAGGTTACAAATGGATTAGATTTATTTTTGTAATAATAACAACAATAACAATAATAGCAATAATAGAGCACAGAAAATTAAGGAGATGCTTTAAGTTTATTTATAGCTTCAATTTAAAGCAATAATAATAGCAATAATAATGACATGTTATCTGGTCTATTAAGTGGCTCTAATTAGCAAAATGACTAAGCATAAAAACAAGAAGCTGACTATGATTTAGAATACGAAGATATAGATATGAAACTAGAGAGATTAGCCAAAGAAAATGAGAAGAAGAAAGAGTTCGAAAGACAGCTCATCAAATTCGAAGAAGAGCAAAAAAACCAATAAGAAGAATTGTAAAATGGTGATGATGAAGATGAAGATGACGATGATAAAAATTTGGAGGCCTTTGGCGAAACCTCTGTATAACCTAAAGACAATACTACTTAAGCCCGTTAAATAAATAATAAAACTGTTATTGCTAATGCTTTTGAAGATGCAGATGATGATGAAGATGACCTCGAAGATGATGAAGATGAGGATAATGATGAAACTTTTAATACAAAGTAAGACGAGCCTTACTATCCTGATAACAGCAAGCAAATTCAACAAAAATAGGTAGAACAAAGCTAATAAGAAATAAGCAGCATCGGACCCAAGGCTACCTTCCTTCAAACCTTAAGAGATAATAACTAAAAAGCAGAAGAATTTAATAACAATTAGAAGTATGATATGGATTCAAATCATAATTAGAATGGTAACCAAAAACCCATTACATCAATTGGAGGGTTTGGAGGCTTTGATAATCAATTCTTAAATATGGATTATGAAGATGAAAACTTTACTAATATATTTGGTAAAATGCCAAAGTAAGATGTAAATAGTTACTTATACAAGAATTCAGATGATGAACAAGAATAAAATGAGCAAGAGGAAGAAGATGATGACAATTTCTAAGATAAAAATAAAGAAGAATCCGACGAAGAAAAGAGCCAACTTGAAAAGTTAATAGTTAATTAAGCAGATCCTGAAGACATAAAATAAAAGGTTTATGAAGCACTCTTTTAAGGAACTACAGACTAAGAACGCAGAGAATAAGAAGAAAAAAGAAAAGAAAAAGAGAGAAAAGAAATTGAAAAGATAGCTGAATTAATGTCTTACCAAGAAGAAGAAAAAGGAAATTACTTCTAAGCTTGTGCTTATCTATTACAAGTAAACCCCTAAGAACCTATTTGGGTTTATAAGGACATGAAAGGTGAAAAATAAGGTCCTTATAACTCGATATAGATGGACAGTTGGAAAGAACATTTTGCAGCTACAGAAGTAGCTCACAGTAGAAGTTTGTACTGGATTAAATACAAAGATTTAACACTCTACACTAAAATATATGTAAATCATGTAAAAGATTTGATTTAACAAGAACAAAGCAAAAATGAGTGGTAGTAAATGTATTTGTTGTAATAGCAACAATAACAATAACAAAACTAGCTTTTACAAGGGTAATAAGTAAACTAATAAGTTAGAATAGACCCAAAAGTATAGTAGCAACTCTTGGCTCTTTAAATGTAGTACGCATAACAAGGATAAGGAGGACAGAATGTTGCTAATACTTAGTAATAATAGCAATAATTGATGCAAAACATGTAAAATTTGCTTAAGAATCCTTAGATTGCTTCTTTTTACAGAAGCTAATAAATGATGCAACATCAACAACAATAGCAACAGTAATAATAATAACAATTCTAACAGTAGCAGTAATAATAGATAATTTAATAATAATAGCAGCAATAGCAATAGCAGAGTTTTAATTAAATAAATTTACTAATGCAATAACTACAATACTAGCAATAATAGTAAGGCAAATAAGGAAATTTAAATAATTAGTAATACCAGTAGTATAATCCTAATGACTCACATGCTAATAAATATATTTTATAATAGTTATAAAGATAGCAATAACAACAATAATTATAGCAATAGTAATTCTTACAAATTGAATAACTATCTTAATACCACTTAGGCAAAAAGCAAAACAAATAATAACTTAGTTAAGGTAATATGAATAACAATAATAGAAATTCTAATTAGTATGCTCAAGACGGTGTTTAAGGAATGGTTAACAATAATTAGTAAAATCATAGAAAAAATAATTCAACAAACGTGGGTCAGAATTATAAGGCTGGAGGTGCTCACGTTTACTAAAATTAAAATAATGGCTACAACGGTATGGCATAAAATAACAATAACTACAGAAATGACTACCAAAGAAATTAAAACTAAGGAGGATACAACAACCCAGATTATAATAATAATAGAACAAACCAAGCTAACAATCCTCAAAATAATAATAACTAAATGTACAACCATAGAAACTAATAAGGAAAGCACAACCCTAGCAACAGCATGAGTAACAACAGTAACGATAACTACATTAAAAATAACTAAAATAACAGAGGAGGCAAACCTTATTTAAATGACTAAGATTTCCCTAGTCTCTCTTGAAAATGATCCAAACCAGAATTTTCACTAAAAATAAATACAATAATTAAAATTTACTTGATAAAATTAAGCGAAAATATATTTATTGATTTGAATTATTACTTTAAACAAACTAACAAAAATCTTCTTCAATCCTTCTTCCATTCATTCATTAATTCATTCATTCATATATAAATCAAAAAAATACATTTTACGCTCAAAAATTTTATTGTATTTCAGTCAGTAAATTAATAAATTAATTAATTCACTCATTTATCCATTCTTTCAGAAAAAAAAAAGAAAAAAGAAAAAGAAAAGAAAAAAAACTATCATTAACTATATATCTATCTACCTATCTATATTTGAATCTATTACAATCTAAAGAAACGTTTCTATTACAAACTGATTTAATAATCATCAATTTGTTTATTTTTTTATATTTTTATTTAAAACTATCTATCTATCTATCTACCTACAAATCTACAAACCTACTCACAAATTTGAAACAAAAATTATTATTTTAATTAATTTTTTATTATTTTTCCCAAAGAAGCAAAATATTAATTTCAAATAAGCAATTTAATTTTCAATTATGAAGTAATTTTTTCTGATAAATTTATTTTAGATTTATTTTTATTTTTAAAAATTATTTAAAAATTGATTTGTTTTTGGAATAACAACTTTAAAATTTCTAAGATTGATTAAAGTATAAAAATAAATAAGGTTGGTTACAAATGATAAATTAATTAAATCATGAATAAATATTAACTTATATTACTTCTTTTACATTTGATAAATACTACTTGTGAAAAAATCTTATGAATAATTAATATTTAGCCATTTACTAATAAAAAAAACAATTATTTAATCAAAAAATTTTGTTAGTGATAGAAACTATAAATTGTTTGATTTTGTTTGGATTAAACAATTAATTTATAATAAAAAAATTAGTATTAAAAAAAGTATTTGATGTCTCGTAACACAGCAATTGTTTTAGTTTTAGCACTTGTGCTTGTTGCATAAGTTGAAGCTATTAAATTATGGCCTCTCCCTAAATAAATAATAAATGGTACTGATACATTACCTTTTTCAGTATGCGATTTCAACGCAGCTCTTACTTAAAATAATTTAACATCTGCTATGCGTACCAAGATATAATTCTATGCTCAAAAAATTTTCTAGACCAAAGACTCAGTCTAATGTAATCTTCGCGCTTCAGATTTCAGTTTTACTATTAAAGTAAATAACACTGATATTAAATTCGGAGAGTTTGGAACAGATGATGAAAGCTATAATTTAGAAGCCTCAGTCAATAAAACTATTTCTATTAGTGCTAACACCTATTTTGGATTCTTACGCGCTCTTGAAACCTTGTCTTAATTATTGAGATAAAACTCTGATGAAGTATCTTTATCTCATCTCCCTATTTAAATTTAAGATGCCCCTTCATATGGATACAGAGGTGTTATGATTGATTCTGCCAGAAATTACTTAAAAAAATCTTCTATTTTGAGAACTATAGATGCCATGATGTACAATAAAATGAACGTGCTCCACTGGCATATTACTGACGATGAGTCTTTCCCTATCGAACTTGAATCAATTCCCGAAATGTCAAACTTTGGATCATATGGCGCTAGATACAGATATTCTAAGTCTGATGTTCAAGAAATTATTGATTATGCTGCCTAAAGTGGTGTAAGAGTTATTCCTGAAGTAATTATTTTTTAATTTACATTCCAAATCAAGAAATAGAATTAAATTGCTTGGATTCTAAATCTAATTTGAATAAGTATGAATATAAAAAACTAATTTTTAATTGAAATCCTAAATAGGTTGACTCTCCTGGTCATGTCAGATCATGGGGTAGATCAGAAAAATACTCTAACATTACTATTGCTTGCCCAGGTGGTGAACATTATAATAACTAACTTGACCCAACCTTGGACTTGACTTATGAAGCTAATGATCTCATTTTCAAGGATATCTAAGAACTCTTCCAAGATTAGTAAGCTAAATCATATTTATTTTATTTATATATTTATTAATGAATAAATTTACAAGTATCGTAAAAAAATCATCTAAAAAAAATCAATTTTAGTCCTTTTTTAATATTTGGGAGAGTAAATTTTAATTAATTAATTCGCATTAGGCTTATCTATTTCATGAAAACTAATTGCTAGATAATACTTGTTAAATTTACACTTTTAATGCTCGAGATCAGATCATTAAAATTTTACAAAATATTAAGTTGTAAACTAAAAATGGATTCTATTAAAAATAAATATAATTAATTTATGTCTTTTATCTGCTTGATTATTGATCTTTTTTAATTTTCATATTTAGATATATTCATATGGGTGGAGATGAAGTTTTTGGATCATGTTGGGATTAAAGACCTTCAATTAAATAGTTCATGTCTTAGAATAATATTTCAGATTATAATCAACTTTAAGTCTACTACAGAAATAGATAAAAATAATCAATCTAGGCTAATAGAACTAAAATTTACTGGGCTAACGAAGTTTAACATATCCCTCCCGCTCCTGAAGATATCATTTAATTCTGGGGTTAATCCTACACTTACAATGTTATTCAAAATTTACCTAACAAAGTTATTTTGAGTCCTGAAGATTTCTTATACATAAACTCTGGCATTAACTTTATTTGGGGTAACTTCTTCGGAAATTTCACTACTTGGTTAAACATTTACCAAGTCAACATTTCTCCTGTTGAAATTGATCGTTCAAGAATTCTCGGTGCTGAAACCACTTTATGGGGTGAAGTTAACACTGATTCTACCTTAGATGTTTACCTTTGGGTTAGATCTAGTGCCCTTGCTGAAAGACTTTGGACTGGTAATCACAGTACCCCAAGTGATAGCAGTATCGACATGAGTGACTTAGCAAGAAGATTAAGTTTTATGGAAGACTTGATGATAGAAAGAGGTATCAATGCTGCCCCTGTAACCAACAAGTTCTGCAAGGAAAATATTGGAATATGCTTTGATTGGAGAAAAGCAAATGTTTATCAATCCACAACTTCAACACAAACAAATACTCAATGAAACTCTTTAAAAAATATCTTTATATGAAAAGTTGCTTATGGCACAAAACTTATTGAAAATATATTAAAAATATGGTAAAAAATTTATTACTATTATATAATCTAGTAAAATAAATAAATAGCTTAAATATTAACAAAATGTTAACTATCAAATATTTTTTATTTTAAATTCTTAATGAAAAATGTTATTTATTTTACGAAGCTTAATTTAAAATGTTAATATAATCAAATAAGACTTTTTTTAGAATGTTCATGGTTTGAATAAATTATTTAAATCTTTAAATGAAAACACAATTGGTGCAACATATTTAAGGTTTATCAGCAGGCAAATTTTCATTTGTTTGTTTATTCTATTTTTTGTAAAAATAAATCAATGTATAGATACAATACTTATTTATTTATTATTAAATTAAATTTAAAAAATAATAATCAAAGCTTTTTCTAAGCAAACTTGCAATATATCTATCAAGTTAAATAAATAAAGCAACATAACTAAAAATAAAATGAATTTTTGGTAATTTATATTAGTACAATTAAGGAAAGGATTCTTGTTTGGATTACAATTTGAATACTTTTAATACGTAAGATAAATTGGGTGGCTAGCCAGTAGATTGATTGGTTGGGATGTTAAATTTAGATTATTGGGACTCACATCATTAACTTTTGTCCTTTGAGGCTATATAGTATAAAGCTAGGAAAAGCTTAAGGAAGACTTATATTTGATTCTGAAACTTAAAAAATAATTTTTTTCATAAATAATTGTAAACTTTGTGTAATCTTTGTTATATGTTTGTACGAATAAAATATTTTGAATTACTTTAGTTTTATTTGCAGTTTATAAAAAATTTATTTTGAATAGCTAAAAAAAATTAATTCAATTCTATATATCATATGGAATATTCCTAAAATTTATGAAATAGCTTTTAAAATATGAAGTAAGAAATAAAATTATTTTGCTCAAAAGAGTAAAATATAATTACAATAATATATTTATTTGAATGGATATTAATTATGAAGTAAAATATATTTTTATTAGAATAATTAATTGAATAAATAATTGCAAAAAGGTAAAATGTAGTTCAATATTGATTGATTGATGCATTTACTTATTTAGTTTATTGGATAGTAACAAAATAAATTTATATAAATATTTTGATAAGTTAGTATTAATTTTTCAAACAAAATATATTTTTTTATTATAAATTAATTAAGTATTTTCTTTTTGTTCTCATACTTTTTTTGTTTTTTTGTTTCATAATTTTGTAGATTGCAAATAATTTGCAAAATGCTAAAATATGAATCCAATTTGTTATGAATATTGCTTCTATATATTTTCATTACTAAGTATAGCCTAAAGAAGAGGAATTAATTGAGGATGCTATTAGGCAAGCAAATTGCTTTATGGAAGCTAAATAAATAAATTTGAAAATATGTAGCATAGATCCACAAATAGCTATTCTTGTCCATTTTAAAATATTGAAATCAAAATATTTATTAGTGCAGGCAATTAAGCAACGTAAAGAGGAAATAGAACAACTAGATTAGAAATAAATACAAAAGTTTCTCTTTATATCTCAATTATATTTGTTTAGATACATTTATTGAGTGCAAGGAAAAGCACATTCTTTTAATTAGGATTATATTAAACACATTTACTAATTACAATATCAAGATTTACTTAATTATTTACTTGTATAACACTTTCAGTAACCAAGGTTGTAATGAATTCAGTTCTTTCTTATGGTAACATTGCCAAAGCATTAGAAAGTAAAGTTAGGCAAGCAATTGTATTTCCATTGTGGGTAGATATCAATAATACTGTTAATAAACGGATTATAACATTTTCATCAAAATAAAGCATATGAAATTAGCTATCACCATCTTAAGATAGAGTTATGAGATACCAAAGAAGCTCTTAAACAACCCTTGGATGAGACTTAAATCTATTCAAAAGAAAAGCAATATTTTTTGAAATATTTTCATTTTGATAGTAAAACTTCTATGTTTTATAAAAGATATTCAAAAGCCACATTGTTTCGGCAACTAATTGGCTGTTTGGGAGATATAATATAGTGTTCTGAATATTAGTCAGGAGCTAGTTTTATTAATACATTAAAATTCTTTAGCAAAACTCGTAAGACTCCAAAGAAATATTTCCAATGATTAATATAACTTTTGTAAGAAGGATACTAGCTTGCTATTGATCTACCATACGAACACAGTGATTAACAAAATTTAAGAGGACTTCTGCATTATTTTCGTAAATTAATAGTATCTCATTACGCATCTCTTCAGTAGAAGAATAATTTGAAAGAGTCCATATGCATTCATACACTACATCCATACTGAATTTCTCTTTATTTTAAACAATATAAATCATCCCTTAGAAAACTTAAATCATCTTTTCAATGTCGTTATTAAAGAGTTCTGCTTCTTTTATTTTTTTCTTTTATATTTCATTTTATTAATTTTGCTAAATGTTCTAAATTTCATCTCCATACTCCATAATATTAATATTTGATGAGCACATTTGATTATTGCTGTAGTCGCTATTATTCATTCCATTATTTATGCTCGCCAAATTTTTACGAAGCAAATTTAATTCTTATTTAAGCAATCTTGACTCTTTATAAGATAATTTAATCTCCCCTTTGTAGACAATCTGTATCAACTATATAATATCTTAAGGAGAGCATGTTGTTTTATTTTGGTTAAATATCATCCCGCCTTCACCCTCTTCAAATTTACCAGAATTATGATTTGAGTTATTGTTTATAATTACATCACTTATCATTCCATTTTAAGTCATTACAAAGTTAAAATCATTAGCGAGTGATTAGCTTGGGTCTTCTGGATTGCTTGCGGAGTACCCACTATTTGCAACATTAGATATATCATCCAATGAAATTAATTGTTATTCAGCAATTTACTAATTATTTTATGAAAATACCATTTATGAATTAACTTATTGTTATGATTATTCCATTCCTTGATAAGTAGAATGATCTTCCTCGTAGGCCTTTTTCCTCAAGTTTTATATTAGTGCTTTGCGCTTTGATTTTTATTGCTCTTACATACGTTTTTTTTTAAGCTCAGAGACACACATTGCTTCTTCTGATTACATATACTCCTCTTGTCCTTTACCTTTACTTGAAATAATATAGCTCTCTGTCATAGTAGTGAGAAAAAGGTTCTAGTTATTATTTTAATTTGCATTTAAATTCCATTAAATGTTATTGTTTGTAAAGATATTCATTCTAATTGATTGGTCTTCAGCTAATTATTAGTGTAAAATTAATTGCACTCTATTGAATATTTTTAATATTTTGAATTAATATAAAAAAGCAAATTACCTCTTCAAAGATATAAATATTAAAAAAGCAAAATTTTAACCAATTCGCGGTTAATAGGTTTTTAGAATACCTACAAAAAATACTAGCTATTTATCTATTTAATGAAAGCATTCGTTCACCTTATCAAATATTATATTATTTCTTTCGTATCCTGTTTTTTTATTTCATCTGTCAAAGTGCATAATTAAACTTTCAAAAATCAAGCGAAAGTTAAATATAAAAATAGAATAAATATTACTCGATCAGGAAAACTTTGGTAGCCTAGATATTAGCTGATAAGCATGTCATTATTAAAGTATTTTCAAAATGAAATTATTTGAAATTTTTAATCTTTACGAACAATAAATAAATAAATCCTTAAAAAAGAAAATTTAAATTTCAGAAGAAGAAAAAAATAATACTGGAAAAAATAAAATAAAAAAAATAGTTTATTCAAATAAAATGGTGCAACAAACAGAAAAAGCAAAAAGTCTTTGTGAATACAATACAATACAATCACAATAAATATAATTTTTAGATATTTATAATCCTTATAGGATAGACTTTAACTAAATTAGGATGAAGAAGATGAATGAATGAAAGAATGAGAGTGGTCTGCTTTTAGAATTTTATTTTACATTAAATTTAGCAAAAGCAGAAGAAATATTTGAAATATTTGTACAATAAATATTGATAATAGTTACTCACTCAATAAAAAATTTATTGAATAGATTCTCTAAAAATGTTAATAATAAATGAAGATAAACAGATCCGTTTTTCTACACTTATTTAATATTTTTAGGTCAGCAAATTTAAATTAACATTATCAATATCTTTAGCATTTAATAAATGCCACTTAAAGTTAAACTTTAATACTTAATTTTTTACTTTTTTGGAATATGGTTTCACACTTTAAATTCTTCATTTAATAATATGTGGGACACACAGTCCTTTATATATTTATTAATATAATTTAATATTTTTTAGAGGGAAAGGCATTCCTCAACTCCTAGATTGATTGATTAATAGACAGATAAATGATTAGAAGATCGGAATTATTAGAGGAGATTAATTGAAATTATTATGTATTTTATTATATTCCTTTTATTTAATTTTTAATGACAAATCAAGCCATTTATAAAAGTTAGTGATGTTGATTAAAGTACTTATTTACTAGATCATTTGTTGCCATTAAATTATTTATTTATTTATTATAATTTTGCTTATTGTTGTTCTATTATATATATGTAGAGATGATATAATTATTTCTAAAAGAGAGTAAAAAAAAAAGAAGCAAAGTTTTATTGATTATCATTCAGTTTTTTAGACGTATATATCTTAAGGTTTGCTATCTTCTTCATCAGAAGATTCTTCAGCACCCTCTTCTTCTTCTTCATCATCGTCATCATCTTAATTAGCTTCATTTTCTGATTCTGAGTCATAAAGACACTCATATCTGTGCTATTGACAATAAGAATAAATCTTTTCAGCGAGCTTTTCATCAAAGTCTTCAACAATAATATCTTTAATTTCTTCTTTTACTATCACAGGGAAAATTAAAACATCGTTGTTCTTTTCGTATTCCTTCAATAATTTTTCCAATTCATCAAAAGTATATGCTTTATTCTTCATACTTTCTTCATCATCTGTAAAATCAAACTTTGAAACAAAAATGCTAATTCTTTTGAAGTCAGTTTTTTCTTCATCAATCTAAGTATAATGTGTCTTCTTTGATGAAACTTAGCTTTTAGAAGATTTAGAAATTTTGCTTGAAATAGTATCTAAAATTTAATCACTTCCTTTTTTGCTACTGTAGATCATAATGAGTACGTAATCATACTTTTTGTAAAATTCTTGAAGCAACTTAATCATGTTTTGCTACTGAATAAGTTTGAAAAAGTCTTTTGCCTTACTTTAATCTAATTGTGGAATAACGTTGCCATTTGAGTTGAAGAGAACAATTTAATTATTGTTTTCTTCATCAATATGCCACCATTCGTTTTGTAAGTTGTAATTGTAGAATTACACAAGTTCTTTTTCTACTTAATTATCTTCGTTATCTTAATTTGCATCTTTTTCTTCATCTTCATCATCTTCCTAATCTTAATGAATATAGAAACCAGTTTTTAAGTCATTCTCGTAAAATTCCTAAAATTCCTTCTCATACTCTTCCTTCTGACTATCGTTAATCTCTTTGAATCTGTTTAAAGGATTTTCTAATCCTAATTACACATCAATTGCATAATTGAGATTAGTCTTTGACAAAAATTTTTTTGACATCAGCTTAACTAATTATTTTTATTTTCCTTTGTTGATTTATTTAGATTTTATTTTTGATTAAATTTTTATAATAATAATTTTTCCTCTTCCTCTAAGATTTTTCTATCACTAATAAAATGTGTTTTTAATGATGAGAAGAGATGTATTTTCACCAAAATAAAATTAGTGTACATTTATTTTTATTTCCTGATGTGGGTAAGCCAGCTAAACACTATTTTTATTGATTCCACATTAAAAATAAATACAAAGAGTTTAATTTAATAAAAGTGACTTTAAAAATTATTCTAAATTGAGTTTTTGGAACAAGTTTTACACATACTTAATATATAAAAAAGAAAAGTATTTTATTTCTGTATCAATTTTATAATGATTTGTCTATGAATAAATAAAATTAATGCACATTTAATTTATTCTTTTTTATCAATTAAATAAAAATATTTCAATTTGATTACAAGCTACATATCTTTTTAGATAAATACTTTTAATTTTTATCTATTTCCTTTTGTATCTAGACACAGTGTTAGCAAGATCCACCTAAAAACAAAGGAATGTTTTCTATTTTAATCTTAAAAAATTACAATCATTAATGAAGACTTATTACTAATTTTACCTTTCCATTTACAGATTTTAAAAATTAATTACTTAAAATCTCAACTTTGAGTCTTGTTTTTTCATTCAAAATATATTTGACACCTTTCCAAAGAAAAGAAAACAAAGAGCTTGTATTAACAATGTACATTCTTTATATTTATTTTTTTAAAATATATCTTATTTTTTTACTGGTTTAATATATTAATTTACTTATATAGTATTTCTGGATAGTTATTTTTTGTGATATTCGATGTCATATTCAAAAAACTTTTAAGATCATTCAAGCTTAAATTGTGATCTTTCATATCAAGTATTATGATATATTAGTAAATTGGCTTTTAAAACATTTTACTACAAGCAGGAAATACTTCATTTACTAGATACTCAAAATTTTAAATAAAGTATTTTTTCAACCTTTCTTCATTCGTTATTTTCATCAACTCTTTTAATTTTAACTTTCCTAAATTTTCAATCCAAATTGGTCTTCCTTCATTATCATACCCATGGAATCCGTGAGGGTAAACATTCTAAACTTAATCGTACTCCTAAAACTAAAATTCCTAATAAATAAATTTAATTAGTAAAATAAAATACTTTATTTTTAATTACGTTAATATTTTCAACTTAATTATCTATTCTCCATTATAAAAAATCTATAAACATCTAGCAACCATCCTTTATCGATCCATCTCTTGCATTCAAAAATTTTAAAATAGTAAAATTATCAAATTTTTTGAATATTTTCTGTTATAAAGTGTTTGTTTCTATTTTTTAAGCAATAATACTTTTTAATTCCATAACTTTTTTCTTTTAGGTTTCATTTCTATTTTTTAGATAAAAAAACTTTAAAATTATTTTTTTTGATTAATGTTTTTTCAAATTTATTTTTATCACTCCAAAATAAAAATAAAATCAACTTTTAAAAAAAATATATTAAATTTTCAACAAATTATTTAAAAGTAACCCAGCTTTTAGATAAATATTTATTATTTTTTAAATCACAATAAAACATTATCATAGCATAGCTATTAATTAAATCCTAAATCTATTAAATTATTGGTAAATTATGATTAATTATTATTTGTCATAGTTTAATAAAATTCAACTTAATTTAATTTCCATAAACTTTATGTGTAAAAAAAAGATAAGATAATTTACATATTGTAAAACTCTAAAGAATTGTCTTGAAATTCTAATTTATTATTATTGGTTGTACTAAATTTTTGTAAAACACTAAATTTTGATTCAGTAGATTTGTTGCTTGTACCATACACTTCTTATTCAAATCCTTATAGCTCTGAAGCAAGGTCTTCTGATTTTTTGGCTTCAGTTTATTTTTTATGGTAATTAGAAACATGTACAATACCTGTTTATTACTCTTTCTCATCGTTTTCTGCCTATTATTTTAAGGGTGTTGAATATTTTGTATAAATTTTTTATAATAGTTAGCAGAACCTCACAATTATTTAGATTATCAAACTCAGCCTTATGTTGTTCTTTATGTATAACTCTGCTGCCATATCTTAATTGAGAAAATTAGTTCATAGAAAAATTATTCTTACTTTCTTAATCAATTTTTAGCATTTTAATATTTGCAAATGCTGGATCTTCTATCTAATTTAATGATATCTAAGGTGATAAATCAGGAGAGTTTATAGGAGTAAGGCCAGGTAGAATTTTTTCCTTTAGATATTTATAATTATAGTGTTAGTTTGATGGCGCATTAATTGAATATTAATTTTTAGGAATATCAATTTGACAAAGCTAATTTGTTTTCATACTCTGTTTATAATAAAATGGAAAATAAGTTTTTCAAAATTTTTAAAAATAAAGTAGGCCTTGCTTAATTTTTTTTTTTTTTTTTTGAGTGGTTTTGGATTATTAAAATTTAATAAATAAACAAAAGAGTACTATTTAAGATTTCTATAAATAGAGATATTAATTTTTTAATTTAAAAGGTAAATTTATTAAAATATGGAATTTTAAACATATATTTCAACATTGAAATAACTAACTCATATTTAAAAAAATATATTTTGAATAAAAATCAAAAAAAAAAAAAATATTATTTTATGAAAATTTAAATTATTATTTTAATAAAACTAATCCAACAAACAAACAAACAAACAAACAAACAAACAAACAATAAACATTAAAAGTACTTTTAAAGTAAATTTAATTAACAGAATGGATTTAATTACTCTATAATATATAGCATTAAACATTTAAAAAGTATTTAGGAAGGATAATTTTTACTTATTATTTATAAAATGGATAAAAATTAATAAAATTTTTTATTTTACATAAAATATTAGCTTATTTATTATTAGTAATTTCAAAATGTTAAATTGTTTGTTGCTGAAATAAAATAAAAATTGAAGATTGAAAATATTTGGATATGTTTTTATAAGAATAAAATTATATTCATTTCATTCTAATTACTGAAATTCTTTCTTATTTTTCAATTATTAACTACATTTATTTTTGCAGATGTGCCACTTTTTCCTTTTAATTTATTTTAATCTTGAGTTAGCTGAGTGTTTTTTAATTTATTTGAATTTTCATCATTGCTAGATGAGTTTAAAATTGCTGCAGGATTACTGCCATTGCTATTACCACTGTTGGGATAAGCATTTTTAATCTTTGTATATGTTATTCCAGTATTTGGGTTTCCTATAATTATTTACTCCTTACCTATATTTCCTTGATAAAAATCATAAGTTCCTTTTTAATTATTGTTACTATTATTTATTTAGTTATTATTGTTATTATTTAATAGATTAATCTGATTCTTTGTTAAACTATTGGATCTCTTAGATTTTACAGAAGGAGCTCCTTAGCTAGGTACTCTTTTTTAGTTTTGGTCATTAGATTGTATTATAGGTGATTCATTTGTAAAATCTTAATATTAACTAGATATATTTGAAAGAGTATTTCTTCCAGTTGAGAGGAATTTATAATTCTCTTGTTAATTTGCTTAATTCTAAGGTTGTTAAAATTTAATCATTTATTGTTATTAAAGCTTATCTAAATTATGAAAATTTTGCTAATAGTAGGTATATCTTCCAAAATTAGTAGGTATCGAATCCATCCCTTACTTGTTAGTATATAAAGCTGCATTATTTACATCTAAGCTTGAATGTTGAGCATTTTAAGCTGCTGTTGTAGATGAAGGATGATTTGAATTGTTTATATTAAATTCTTACTATGTTCTATTTAAATAATTTACTCCTTTTGTGCCACTCAAGCTGCTTGTTGCTGTCATGGGTGTTGAGTGGAGAGTTTATGAAGGAGCGAAATCATCTTAGAGTTACATAGACAAGCTTTTGTTGTTAGATTTTGGTAATTATTATTAATTTTGAGAAGATCCTCTCTTCTTATTGCTACTATAAAAAACATAATTTTACTTACTATTAGGAGTCATTTATTACTAGTTTTTACCTGCACTATTTGAAGATATTCCAGAATTGACAATATTATTATTTCCTGCAGATATATTAGCTTGCCCTTATGAAGATTTTATTTAGTTTCTATCAGCATCATATGATTTTATTTTCTTTTCTAAAATCAACTAGTTATGACGAAGCTCTAGAATTTCTTGGATTAATTCATTTTTAGTTTAATTATGATAGCTATTGTTATTCTAAACATCATTATTGTTGTTTTTACCTCTTTATGATTGTTGTGTTTGTGTTTTATTTACATTTCTTTGAAGACTGCTTATGCTCATATCAGCTTATTAAGTATCTAAATTTTCTTCGTGGACCAGCTCCTATATGTCCTATATATCTTAATCGTCTGTGTATTAGTTATTGTCCGTTTTTTTCTTTTTAGGATATCTCGGAGGAATGCTGCCACCAATAGCATGCTTTTATTATTTCTATGCATCACTTTCTTAATTTTATAATTATAAATTTTATTAGACTTAATCGTTTTCACTAAGATCTTGATTATATTCTTTCTCTTCATCGTTTGCTGTATTTCTTCTTGTCAAATTTTTACGATTTTCTTTAGATGAAGAATTGTTTCTAGTTACCTTAATTCCTTTTTATGATGTAAATTATTCAAGCTACTCTCTAAGTTCTTAGTTTTCAGCTGTTAAATCAGATAATTCTCTTTCACAAGATTGTGCCTTTTATTTATAATCATCAGTTTATTAGCGAAGTTCTTTGTTACTTTCGAGGAGCTGTCTGACAAGAGTTATTGATTCAATTAGTCTGTCACTAAAGTTATCATAATCCATCTATGTGTAGTAAAGCTTGTTTTCATTGTTAGCTTAAGTTTATTACTAGCTAGTATTATATTATTGATTTTTAATAGCATTTGAATTTGTTGGAGTGTCTACAGAGTGTCTCACAAACCCAATACCTGTTTATTACTTTTAATATTATGTATTTGTAAAGGGTATGCTCTATCTGATAGATTCGTAATTGTGAGCTTAATTAAAAGCTGTCGAAGCATCGCTAGGATCTTATTCATTTTGCTTTTATCCATTTTAGGAGAATTTCATCATCATTTATTATTCAAATTGCTTTTATTGCTGAATTTAAGCTTGTTGCTATAGCTTAAATTATTCTTACTATTATTAAAAATGAATTTATTCTTTCATAAATTATTCTGATAACCCACCACCAACTTAAAATGAAGTTGCTGTTTGATTGAAATCTTTTACTTCTGAGTCTATTTTAGGTTAATTAGCACTTCCTGGTTTTTCTTCAAGCTATTTGAGTAATTCTGCATTCCTTTATTTTAGTATAGCATTATTCTTCTCAGACTTTTCTAGAGCTGCTGTTAAAAATGCAATGTGAGAGTTTGCTTTCTCTAACTCAGACCTTAAATTAATATTTTATTTGTTAACTTCAGCTAAGATCAACTTGTTTGGATCTTCATTTTTAACAGGTTAGTTTTTGATGTAAGTTGCTTTCGAAGCATAAAATAAAGTCGAAATATTTTCATCTGAAAAAGCATCATTAGGTACTATGCAAGCCATCATCAAACAATAGCAATTACCACCTATACTTTATTTGAGTAAACTAGTCAATTTGCTATCACGATATGGAATATGTTGGATTTTTGTATTTTAGTCTAATTGCTAAGTCTGCTGTAGCTATGTGCTTAATGTTTAGCCCTATGCAGTCTACCCTATAGGTTATGTGGAATTAAATGCATTATTGTTATTTGTGTTTTAATTTATCTCTGATAAAGCTGTTATAACTTAACGAAGTGTAAAGAGAGACTTATTTATATCAATTGATTCCTTAGCCATTTTTCCTTCAGTTCCAGTTAAAGAAATACGCTCACTACCTGCTAAATCAACCAACTGTAATTTTGATGTTGTTTCATGAGCTCCTTACTAGGAGTATGTTTACACAGTAATTGTAAAAATAGTATGAGAACGAGAAGAAGTCATATTTAGCTTATGTTGTGCTGTTATACGATTTTTAACTCCTTGCAAAAAATAATGTTAAGCTTCTTTAGGATTTTTAATATCAAACACAAATAAATTCTCTACTTAAAATTGTTCTCTAGCATTCCATCTTAGTTTTAATCCTTAAGGAGCAATACCTGCTGCTGCAGCAGCAGCTACTCCTTATTAATTAGCATTTACTGTATTGTTGACATCACTATTTTTTGCAAATTAAGAATGATGACTCAACAAATCGTAAATTTTTTCGTTGTAAATCTAAAGAAAGCTACAAGTAACATTATAATCCTTATTTGTTTATGATTTAAGTTTAGGTATCATAGTAAATAGATCCTCAAAGGCTCTAGCAACAATACCTTTCATCTCGTCAGATACATAATTTCCGCTTTCGTGCTTACCTTCCATTGTGTAAGTTTTACCAGATCCTGTTTATCCATATGCAAATATAGTTGAATGAAAACCATCTAAAACTCTAGCCACCATTTCAGTGACCTTACACTCTTCATAGACTTAATTCTAGGTAGTTTGTTAATCAAAGATGTGATCAAATTCAAAAACTCTATTATTGTTGCTGTGGTTATCGAAAACGCTAATCTTTCCCTAAGATTTATCTACTTTTATCTTTGAATTTTAATAACCTTTCCCAATTTCTGTATCAAGGAATGGACGCAAGCGTATTCCAACCTGAATTCTTGTATTCATAAACTATTTACTCTTTGCTTGAATAACCTTTAATTTATATTTGAATCTTCTTGTAAACAAATTTATACTTAATTTAAACTATAATATATATATTTATGTATATATATTTATTTATCTAATCTATAAAGCTTTTAGGTAGGTACTCTTTAATTTAAGTTGAAGTTATTCTTCTTTAATTTATTGATTTGGTTTAATAATTTTATAATGATTAGCCTTAATCATTCAATCTAACTCTTAAATTTATAAATTAAATATTTGAGTTGATTCTCTAGCATTTCCAATCAATCAATCATAAAGTATTAAATATTTTTTCAGAAAGATATATTGTAATGCATGCAAATATATTTCAGACCAATCTTAATTTTTTTTTTTTCTGAGTTTTTATCCAATTATTTCATTAAATCTGTTGAAATATTATAAACTGCTTTAATTAATTATCAATAAAACATTAATTAAATTAAAGATATAGGCTTACCATTAATTTTATTAAATGCAAACTACCAATTTTTAACGTTAAATTTTATTTTGTAAATAATCTATCTAAAATAAAATTTACAAGTTTTAAAATATTATATTAAAGAAGGTTAATAATAAAACTACTAATTTTTAAAACAAATCAAACAATATTTATTTTTTCTATTAATCCTTATCATTCGAATAAATTTTAAATAATTGTTTTATTGTAAAAGTTATTTATTGGCTTGAAATTAATTAATTTATTAAATGAATTATTTTGATTGTATTTTAATAAATACAGACTAGACTCTAAAAAAAATCGAGTTTTCTAAAATAGCAAAATATATTAATGAAATTAAACTAAATTAAATTTTTTTTCAATTTTAGACTTGAAAAATAAAAAAGAGAAGTGTCTGATTGTAATTTACATTAAAGCTTATTTAAAAAAATAGAAAGCAATTATAATTTATTTTAAAATAAATTAACAAAGTTAGAGTAAAAGGTAGAATTAATATACAAAAATAGACAAACAGAATACTTAATTGTAATTTGGTAGTTTTATTTCTTGATAAAAAAATATATTAAAGATATTTATTTTGGATGAATCATTTTTTCATAGGCTTATATATATTAGTTTAGCTAACATTATACTATGGCCCAGGAGTTTATGCACATGATTCTATACGATGCTTTTCATCAACGAAATTTGTCCTAATTGTATTACCAAATGAGGCTTTTGGTGATTATTTTCTTGTTAGTTTATCTGCCTTTTCAACACGATAATCAGAGGGTCCTGGAGATTAGCTTAATTCTTTATCAAGGAGTTTTCTTGGGGCTCTTGAGAAACTTGTTGAAAGTGGGTTTTTTTATTCTGGGAATTCAGACTAATTAAAATAACAAGGTTTAGTTTAAAAAATAATAATTTAATATTTATCTTACGAATGGAGGAGGCATTCCTAGCTTTGATTAGGATAGAGACTTTACGCTTGAAATAGAGAGATTTGTGCTATTAAGCTTTTTCTCAGCAGCTTTCTTTATATCTATAATTGAAGTGTTTGTTTTATTTTAAAAGGTAGAATTATTCATAGAGTTCATTCTTTTAGCATATTAGCTATCATTTACATTTCCAGTTTAAGATAACTTTAAATTTTCTTAGGAACGACTTGAATTTCTTTTTTTCATATTTGTTCTGACCCAATTTTCATTATGATTTTGTTGGGAATAACTTGTATTCATAGAATATGAACTATTGTTAATTAACTAGCTTTTGGCTAATCCAACTTTGTTAAGTATCTTTGAGTCATTATTAAGTGTATTGCTATTATTATTATTATTGCCGCTAGAAACTGCATGTTGCTATTCATATGACTGAGCAGTTTAATATATTTGGTGTTATTCATTTTCATTAGCAACACTTTCAACTGTTTAGTATTATTGTTGTTGTTAATGCTATTAATCTTCTGCTATGCTATATTGATGCTAAGCAGATGTTTAAGGGCGTCCTCTATCTTAAAATTCATCATCTTAGTAAACTTATTACTTTCCTTCATTAGGCTTACTGAAGGTAGCTGTGATATTATCCCATACTTCATTAACTATTTTTAAATATAATAATTAATAAATTATTGGAAGTGGATTATAAATAATTGAAATACTCTAAAAAAAGGTTTGCAAATATTAGTGATAAAAAAATAAACCAATAGTTAAACATAAAAATAAACAGTTTATCTAAAAGGTTTAGTTGTAATTTTTGCTTGAACTGAACTAAAATCAGGCTAATATAAATATTGCCATAAAAATAAAAATGCTTACTTAATATAGAGTTGATTGCTTCAAAATTAGCTTTAAAAAGCTAAGTATTTTGCTTAAATTGCTCATCCAAATCAAGGTACTTATTAGCTGGCTTACTACTCATAATCCTTTAAAGCTCTTTTAATAATTTATTTAAATAATATTTTAGAACTATTCATTATCATGAACTAGCTTTCATTAATAATATTTTGTTTTTTTTTGCTTTTAAAAACGAACTGGCTAATTAATTCATAAAATCGTTCAAATTGTTGATAGATTACCTGTGATTGTGAACTTTTGCTCTTCATAGAAAATCTCTTCAAAGATTTTAGAGAGACGTTCTATATATTTCTTTTCTTCTAATTTTTGGAGGACACTAACAATATCCTGTAAGCGGCCTGCTTTTTTTTTAATAGTTTTGAATAATTTAGTTGCCATTTCACTGATTTTATTATTGACTTGCTAAGCAATTTTTTCTTAATTTATTAATAATTTACAAAATTTTTTTAACTTTTAATATTATTTGTGAAAAGTTGTTTAATGTTAATTTATAAAACTCTTAATATTCTTTTAATTTTTTATTTTTATTTATTGCTTGCTTTACTTTTTATTAAATTTGCTGAATAAAATTTCAAACAATCCAGAAATCATTATTTGACCAATTATTTGATAGTAATAATAAAGCTAAACAAAAAGATAGATAGATACATAATCTATTATCTAAAAAAGATTTTTTATTGTATAAATTTGTGGTTTCCAACAATCAATATATACAAGCTAATAATTAAAAGAAAAATTATTTCTTCTAAAAAATTAGCAAAATTACAAAAAATGAATGCTATTGTTTCAAATTATATCTCATCTTATTATAATTTTTATATTAAAAAATATATTTATAGAATAATAAATATTTTGATTAATAAATTTATTAATCAGTAAAAACTAGTAAATCTTACAGTTTGAAAAAATTTTTATATAATTTAGTTGAGCTATTTTTATTAAAAGCTAAAAAAAAATAAATACTAATAATTCAAGAACTCAACTTATTACCAAAGGATAATTAGAAATAACATAAGCATATAGAAAAAAAGTTACTCAAAAGAAAGATTTAATAATTTAGAAATCATAAAATACTTTACTTTTAATTTTAGGATATGATAGAAATGTATATTTATTCCTACTTTTAACTGTAACTCTAACCAAAACATACTTGCATTAAAAAAAAGATCAAATATATTTAATTATTAAATATTTATTTTTTTTATATACTTTAATTATTAGCATCTTTAAAATATATCTTTTCATAAGTTATTTTAAAATAAATTTTATTTTATTAAAAATTTCAATTAAAATTAATAAATAAACTTATCTTTTAAAAAATAAGAATTGCCATTTATATTTTTATTATTTAATTTAAGGAATATGTATTTAATACTAATAGATATTTTATTATTGAAAAGCTATGATGAGTATAATTAAGTTAAAATAAACTTAGAAATTAATTAATCTAAAGGAAAATGAATGAATTATCTAAGTAAATATGGTTTAATACTTAAAAATTTTTAATTATTTATTAAAAAAGTTTAATTTAAATTAATTTAAAAATTATTAAATTTATAATTGAGAATATTTTTTTTAGTAATTTTAGAATATCCTTAAGATTAAAAAATTAAATAGGTTAGATAAAAGTGCCTAATAAACATTATAGAGCTTAAGAGTTCGATAATTATCAAATGCTTATGTGAATAGAAATTATTTCATATTTTAAGGATATTTGTAAGATTTCTATTAATTTCTAGCTTAGTTTGTACTTATTTTAAGATTATTTATTTTATCTTTCAATCTTAATGTTTTGATATCACAATCTAAAATATAAATATTCAAAATTATTTTTAAAATATCTTTCGTTTAATTAATTTAAAAAATTTTTTATTTAGAGATTAAAAGCTTCTATGTGAGATTTTGAGATATAGATGACATATTTACAGTTCTTAAGATTAATTTTTATTATGAAATAAAACTAAATTAATCTCCATTATTAGATACTTACCTTAAAATTATTTATTCTTGATATTAAATTAGCTTATTTTTCATAATTTTTTTGATGAAAAGAGGATTAATCAAAATTAAGACGGAAAGTGAAATATAAACTAGGAGAAATAAATTTACACTTCTATTAATAATTTTAAAGCTTTATAGATTCATAATTATTATATGGTAATCAGATTAAAAGTTTTATCTTATCTAATATTTTAAGGATACATGATATAATTCAATTAATTTCTAGCATTATTTGTACTAATTATAAGATCCATTATAAAATCATTCAATTTCATTATTTTAGCATCAAAATCAATAATATAAATATTTAGAATTATTTTATAGTATCTTTCGACTAGCTAAAATTTTTCATTATTAAACTTAGAAATTAGTAATTTAAATTTTATATTTTAAAAATATTATTGATATATTAAGATTATTTTTTATTATCAAAGAAATCTAATTTAATATTTAAAATTAAATACTTACCTTAAAATTTTATTATTCCTAATATTACATAAGCATATTTTTTATACTATTTTGAGGATAAGAATATTTAAAAAAGACAAAGTTGAAAATGGATAACAAATTATTAAAATAATCAAGCTTTAGCTTAAAATTAGATTAATATTCATATGTTTATATTACATTTATTTTGAAGTAAAAAATAAAAATATGAAATTGAGTTTATTTGCTTTAATTTTTGATCATAGTAATAAGTCAAAGATAAAATTTTTATTGAACTAATTTGTTATAATAATTACAAGAAAAGTAATTTTTGTCCATAGAAAAAGCTGTTTAAAATAGCTCTTACTCCTTCGAATTATTTTTTTAAACATTTGATGCAAATATCTAATTATCAATAGCTTTCATGATAAGTCATTTCTGATTTTTTTTGATAAGAAAAAATTTTTGGTCAAGATAGAAAAAAATTGAAATCTAATAGAGATAAAAAGATTAATTGAATTGACAAACAAATAATATCACAAAATCCAATTTGTTAAATTTGTTTTATAAAAGTTAATTTTAGAATAATCGATTGGTTTTAGTTTAATGGAAGATAATCCAAACAACTAAGGAAGTGACATATAATAAGTTGTTGATTCTTTTTCAGAAAAACCCGAGGGTGAAGAAAAAGAAGTTGTTAACATAGCTGATGCAAGAGAGAAGGCATTTGCTAAAATTGCAAAAGTTTTCATAATAAAGCATTACAAAAATAAATATCAAAAAAATCTTAAAAAAGCTAAAACAAGAATCAATATCATAAAAGAATTAGTAGCCACTGAAAAAACTTATACATCGAAATTATAGATCATTTAAAATACTCTTAAGAGTTAAATGATGAATATTTTAAATAATGAACAAGATATTTAAAAAATATTTAGTAATATTTAACAAATTTTAGAGCTTAACTAAGATTTTTTAGAATATATTAAAGTAAGATCGGATACTGTTTATAGCTTTTACACATTTAACAATAAAAAATATCCAGTTACTTTATATAATCAGGAAGTATTTGATAAATATATATAAGTAACGATTCCTTATTTCAAAATCTATGTAGATTACATGTAAAATTTTGAAGTTTCTATGTAATATTTGGAGAAACTTAAGGAAGGAAGAAAAGATATCAGAGATTATTTAAAGTAATTTGAAAGCGAAAATGATAATATAAGCAGTTTACTGATCCTGCCTGTATAAAGAATACCTAGATACGAGCTTTTATTCAAGACTTTATTGGAAAAAACACCAACAGATCATAAGGATTATATTTGGACTTAAAAATGCTTGCAATAATTCACTTAGGTTAACTAATAAATCAACTCATAAATTCAAAAGTATTTGGATAATCAGAAAATTTGCGAATTATCTCAAACTTTTAGAAATTTTTAGCTAAACATTATAGAGAATAAGAGAGAATTTAAATTGTAAATATTTATAATAATAAACAAAATTTAAATCTATTTTAAATAAAAAATTAGTGAAGAAAGATTATATTTGATCAAAGATGGAGAAAAAAGTTGTGTTGTTTCTTTCCTTAACGATTTAATATTGGTTTAAGAAGGAATCGATGAAGAGTCTACTAAACCATTAACATGGCTTTACCTAAATCACACTAGTAAAGTTAAACCCGTGGAAGATATGAAGTATTTCACTCATCTTTTTAAAATAAGTGGAACAAACAATACCTTAACATTTATGGCTGAAGATGAAAAGAAAAAGTAAACCCTGATTAGCTAGATAGATAAAATTATAAATAATCTACGTAAAGATAAAATGGATAATGACTTAGATAACATCGAAGTAAATATCTTAGGAACTGAAGAGTGGAACACAACTAAAATACAAAAATTTACAGTTTATGTGGCTGAAATAAAAATATTAAACATCACACTAAAAATATGGGTTAGATACAGATAACTTTCTAATTTAGAAAAAAAGATAAAGAATCATATAAAAGACATCTAAATTGATCATTTCAGCACAAGACTGACGTGGTTAAATAGTCATAGAACAAAAATAATTGAAGAAAGAAAGGTACACTTCGAGAGTTTTCTAAAGAAGGTGGATAGATTTCTTTGCTTTTTAGTTTTTTTTAGAATTAAATATTTTTTTGAATACATTTTTTATATTATTTTATTATTTATTTTGGTATATTTGCTGCTTTATCTAATTAAAAATAAAAATAATTTGTAGATTCTTACCATGAAAAAAATTAAAGAGTCATCTATAATGCCTGAAATACTGAATGATTTAGGTCTGCCTAGTGATTTTTATGACCTTCCTTACAAAACTAACATAGAAGAGGGAGACAAAAACATGTAAAAATTGCTTGACTTTGACTCTAATTCTGACTCTGATGAATAAAAAGAAAATGAAAATATGGAGGATAATGGCAAACTTTAAGAAGATGAAGAGATAAACAATTAAGAAGAATAAAAATTAGATCCAAACTAATAAAGTTCAGAAAAGAGAATAAGCACTTTAGGTTAAGAATTTTAAACTAGGCAAAAGTCAAAAAGTAATAGCTTAGCAGCTATTGGAACACTTTCGTCATCAGAAATGCTTAAACTTTTTAGGAAAAGCAAGAATTAAAGAGCCTCTATTATTACTTACTATAACTCTGAATCTCTGAGCTAAAATGAAAGATGTTTAATTGATGTTGAATTTTTAGATGGCTCCAAGTAAGAAGTGGAAATCAATTCTCAAAGTCGCTGCTTTTAGATTTGTGCTAGCATTGCAAAAAGAATCAAATTAAAATCCTATCTTGATTACAGAATATTTCTAAAAGATTCAAAAGGAAATTTTAGAGTTTTAGATGATGATGAATTATTATTTAAAATGCTATTTCCCCACTAAAATAGCTTAGAAAACAATGCAGTACTTGTTACTAATGGAAATAGAGCTAGTAGATAAGATATTATATTAGCAAATAACCAATAATTACTTTAAAGCTTATAAGCAAGTGGTTAGAATTAAATTTAAGATAATACACAAGAAAGTTAAAATGATGATACACCAAACCCTGAAGCTAATGATTCCTAAGCAGAAGGGAATACTCCTCTTTGGAAATATACATCAGAGATTTGTAAAAATGAAAATTTCATCATGAGAACTTTCAAGAGATTTGTTTCTAACTTTAGCGAGAGATATACAATTGTCTTTAAAAAATATTTGTGGCTCTCGCCTTAATAAGAAGAATATGATATTAGAAACGATCCTGTCAGGTTGAATTTAATTTGCTTTTAGATTTTTGAAAACATTCAACAGCAAAGATATAAACTCTCCTTCAAGAATTATGTTCTCTTTTCAGCTCTCTATATCTTAATAAAATACCCATAATAAGCAGAAAAAATTTTTAAAAACAAAGAAAGTTGCATTTCAGGAAACAGCTAGGAATTTCCTATAAATACCCTGAAAGAAATACTTCCTGATATCATTTTCAATTCAAAAGAAGAAACTTTTTGGATAATAGGAATATCTTAAACCCTTCTATAGATTAATGATGAAATTGATAAAATAAAAGAGAAAAATCAATCAATTTTAAATAAAGTCGACCTATTGAAAAGCAAACTACTAACATAAAGTAATCAAAAATCTCCAAAAATAGAAAGTTAGCCTAATCCTGAGTCTAATATAGTTGACATATCTAAATATACTTCCAGATAAATATTGGAATCAAAGTTAAAGCTAACATAGTTAGTAGTTATAAATGCAATTAAATAAAATAAGTTATTTGGAGTAACTCAATTTTATGTTAATACTTACAAGGATACACTTAGAGATAATTAGCATCTTAAAGAAAATGTATGGCTTGGAATTAAACATAATATGATTTATGTATTAGGGCCTGAATTTAAAGAGTAAATATTTTAATTTAAATATGAAGAACTAAAGGCAACAAAAGTATTTCCTAAGCTCATTCACTTAATATTTGAATCGCCTAGCAGAGAATATAAATTTAACACAACACAGAGCTTCGAAATAAAGCAATTAATTACAGAATATTAATAAATTAATTAGCTTTCTTTAAAGTAAGAAACTAATAAAAAGTAAGAATAATGAATCTATTATAACAAATCATAAAAAATAAACAGAACTAAAATTTTATAACTATTAAATTTAATTATAAAAATAATAAATAAATAAATATATAAATAAATAAATACATTTAATTTATATTTATAGATATTAAAGTAAAACAAAAATGATGTATTTTTTCATAAAAATATTTTGAAGTTTTTCTAAGTGCTTTCTAATCCATAGTATTTTTACACAACTCTTAAATTGTTTGTAACTTAGTAAATATTTAGTTTTTCAATCTACTTTAAACAAATTTGTTTTTGATAATACTGCTATAATTCATATCTATTCATCTCTAAAATATTTTTTAGCTTTCTTTTCAAAATTATAAATTTGATTTTTAAATAGTTTATTGAAAATAAAAAATGACTGATTATATAAATTAATTAAGAATACGATAAGTGTGTTTGTTTTTTAAATTAATTAATTTATTTATTTAATTGTTTAAATTATATAAAAATTATTTTTTTCGAACATTTTTAATTTCCAATCATAAATAAAATATACAAATGAGCAAACCATAATTTTAAAAGTATTTAAAAATGAACTTTAATAACTTTACAGTTAATCCTTTACTTAAAATATTCGGGTTATCAATTTAATTTAAGCTATTTTTTACGTAAAGTGAGAACTTCATGCTCAATTTTTTGGCATTCTATTTCAAGTTCTTCATTTCTTCTTAACAAATTTCCAATTTTATATTGATAGTTGCTTAATTTATCATTTGTATTACTTTAATCAAATTTTCTTTTTGAATTAACTTCTTCAATTTAGGCTTTTAACTTTTCGTTCATGCTACTTAATTCATTTTTAAAATTTTTTTAATATTCTATAAATATTTTGTGAGCTTCAGGACCATATTTAAGCATTAATTCTAAGTTAACTTATTTAATATTATTATATTAATTAATTTTGCTAGCAATATCATTGAATTCTTTTAACTAACTAGCTTCTGCAATATCTAAATCGAGGTTAGGAAGTTAAAGTAGTTAAGGTTCTTCTAAAAGCTACATATTTTTAACTCTTTAAAGTTCTTCTTAAATTAATGGTGAATCATATAAATGAGTTTTTGGCATTGGTAAATCTTATAAATAATCTTATTTTTCCATCAAAGCCATTTCTTATTTGATAAGTCTTTGAACTTTGATCTTAATATTATCATCTGCTTCTGCATCTACATAGGGAAGGCTTGTAACTAATTTTGCTAAACTATTTTTATAAACTAACGGTATATCCGATGAAGTGAGACTAAGCATTTTTAAAAATTCAATTTTTATTAACTTTTCTTTTTACAGAGATCTTTCTTAATAATTAATTAGACAATATTTTATTAATATTTATAAAATCTTCGTTTATTATAAAAAAGTTATTGTATTATTAATTAAATGAATTAAACAAACTTCATACAAAATATTATATTAACTAAAAATAATATTACAAAAAAATAAAGGAAAAATATTTTAAATAAACTTTATTTTCAATATTAAATATGCTTAAACTTATGATATATTTATTCATAACTATTTATGTTGAAATTTTGATTATAATTTATTTATACTTTATTATGTTTATTTACTATTTTTAAATCTTCAAAATAAAATTATTAGTAAACCTATTTTATATTTACTTTAAAGATTAAAACTATTCTTTAATAGATATTTATTGAAAATAAAATTTTTATAATTTACTAAAAATTCTAAACAAATTAAATTTAGTTTATAAATATATATATATTTTTCAACATTTATTCTAGTTTATTATGTTGATTGACATCTCGATTTAAAAACTCTATAGTATTCATTTATAATTTTTAAATCATTGAGTTTAAATTCTAAATGCTTCTTTTAAAGATACTCATAAGAAATAAAATTACTGGAAATATCTAAAAATAATTTATATAAAAAAAATATTTTAAATTTTTCTGCATTTTTTACTGTTCTTTATGCTTGTTTGCACCTCAATTTAAATAAATTTATTCTCTATAATAGTTATTAATATTTTATTAAATATTTGCAATAAAATTGCATGTAGATATAGTTTTATTTAGTTATATGTGGCCCTTCAAATTTAATAAATTCTGTTTAAGTAAGCTCAATGAAATAACCCAGGGAAGGAGTTAGATTTGACTGCCATGAAGAGCATTTTAACTTTTGAATTTCATGAAAAATATTTTTAAATAAAATATTTATTTATAAAAATAAAATTGTAAAGTAAAAAAATAATTTAATATTTTTAAAGTTTTGAAAAATATTTTTAATTATTTCTTAATTTTTTTTTGGCTAAATAGTGAAGCAAAAATATTATATCCATCAATATATTTTGTCTGATAAATTAATTAATTCAACTTAATTACAAAAAAAGTAAAAAAAACATTATGAAAACTTTTGACTCGAAAGAGGATTCGTTTTCCAATATTACGTTTAACTCTTCTCAAATAAATGTTAAAAATAAAAGAAGCTAGTCAAATTTGAGCAAATTATAAAATATTTCTCATAATAAAATAGATTAATAAAATCAAAATATTGATTTAGAGCTAAACCATGTAAATAATTTAGATATTTGGAAAATAAATACACAAAAAAAGCTAAGAGAAAACAATTATATAGAGAGAAAAAAATTAGTTTATCCATCAACTTTGATAGAAAAAACAGATCCGTTGATAAAAATAGACATTATCAACAATATTATGTAAAATGGTTATAAATTTGTTATAATTTTTGCTTTAATAATTCTTATTTTTATTAAAATTGTTTACTTATTTTTTTTTTGTAAACAATTAGATGGCAATAGGAGCTAAATATTCAATACCAGTGCTATAAATTTCAAAGTAGAAGATAAGAGTACTACAAGTCAATCAAAAATTTAATCTATGTAATCACTTGGTGGATCTTCTCCGAATGTTAGTAGGAGGAGCAGTCTGCTTAACAGATCAAACCAAATGTTATTCTCCTAAGCTCAGTCTATATAAAACTACTAGTTTTTTAAAAATGATAAAAACAAAGTGGTTATTGGTTAAATAGTGCTTAATAAATTTTAAAAAATCTATAATTAAGAAAAGTAGCTTGACTAAAATAGATTGATCTAAGAATAGCCTAGAATTGATAATACTTTAAAGAATTTTAAAAATCTTTAAATGACAATTACAAGCAGTGCTTTGAACATAAATGATATTAAAAAGAAAGTTATATCTGTTGAAAAAGAGCCCAAAAAAATATTTGATTTCTCAGAAGAGATGAAAAGAATTGAAACTGAAAAATTAGATTATGTTAATTGTGAGAGAAAGATTTTATAAAAAATGTATCAGCTGTAGTATAATACAAAAGTTATCAAAAAATCAAAGAAATAAGTAAGGGATTATATATATGATCTACAGCACAAGTTATCAATTTTCAATGTTAAGGTAAAAATAATTTAAAATAAAATCAATATAAATATTTAAAACCTAATTTGAATTGATAAAATCAATAGATAATTCTTTCTAAATACGAAAGGCTTGAGAGAAACCTAGTCGTTGGATATTTTTAGGAAAGAAAAAAAGGCGATGCAAGCAAATTTAATTTACATCAAATAAAAGATAAGCTAAAATTTGATGATGTTTTCATTGGTTATGTGGAGGTAATTTAAAAATTAAATTTTTTAAACAATATTGACTAATAAACATTCTTAGAAATTAAAAGATATGAAACAAAAGGAAGTGGATGAGTACAATGACACAATTTAATAGCTTTAAAATATTTTGTTAGTCCTCTAATAATAATACGAGTATTTAAAAAACAAATCATAAGAAATTAAAGAAAATTATGTGAAATGCAAAACTTAATTGAGAGATATGTTTATTGATTTATGCACAGTTCACCTTAAAACTTTTTTGTAAATAATGAATATTTTTGAGTTGTAATACAAAATAAATAAATTTATTTTTATCAAGAACAACTTAGAACTTGAGCTATATTGTGAGAGGATTTATAACAATAGATGAGCCAGTACCTACTTAGAAATTCCCTAAATGTTTAGATGATATATCTATAGATTATATTATTGAGACTGGGAAGATATTATTTGAAATTTAATAGATAGAAGAAAAAAAACCCTCAATTTTTACTAAGTATAATCAAGAAAGTGAAAATGTCAATTAAGTTTTAAGAGAATTAGCAGAATAGATATGCAGTATACCCCTGCTCAATGAAAAGATAGTATCCATGCAACAAATACCTCTATTCTAAGGCGAATCAGAAGTAATATTTCTCTTGTAAAATTATATTTAATAACATATACCATCTTTATCAAAGAGTAACTTAAATGGAAAAATATCGTTTCAGATACCTGACATTGATGAAGAAATATCAAATGAAGGATTAGGTGGAAATTTAAGTGAAATTAGCTCAAACAAGCAAAGTATTACTTACAATCATTATTATTAGATTAGAAAACCAACTCTTTTACAAAAAACTTTCATGTCTTAATCTAATAATATGCTTGGAACTGATAAACTTTTCTTTCAAGAAGAAATCTTAGACAAAAAATAAGACTTTTTTGCAATAGATAAGAAAATTAAAGAATTTAAATCTCAGTTAACAGTTCTTAAAAGATAAGAAATAAATCGCTTAATAGAACTGATTAACACAAAATAAATAAAAGAAGAGGTTTTTTAAGACATAATAAAGTAACTAAATTATTTATTTAAGTATTTTTATTAAAAAATTAATTATTTAATTAGAATACTATTTGGGCAAAATGATAACGATCGAGTTTTGAAAGAATTCCTTGCAAAAAAGCAAAGAAACGAATATATCTAGCAAGAAAAATAGATGTAAAATCCATTTTACTAAATGTAATAAAAGTAGCTACGTAATAAATAAAAATCATAAGAACGAATTTAGGATATTCAACCTCAATTAAGCAAAATATAAAATTAAAATACGGCTAATAAATTTGATTCTAATTACTTCCATAGGTCATAATCTATTCCTAATCTAAAAGAATCAGTTACTATCACTAATTCTTACAAATAAAAAATGGAAAACACTTTAATACACCATAATAAAGTTAAGTTTAATATTTCAACATATAACTTCTTAGATTAGATAAACAGATGATGATGATGATGATAATAAGGCTATACTAATTAATACCTTTTGATTGTTAATTTAATTAATATATACCAAAAACATTTTTTTTATTTTGCATCAGTTAAAGTAGATATCAAATATGTAAATTAATTTGCTAATATCTTCAAATTTTTATGGATAATTTTTTCTAAAAAATATTTTCTTTTGATTTTTTCGATTTTTAATAAAAAAATAAGCATACCCATTAACAGTAACGATTTTTAACAGCTTTAATTAATATATTATTTTTTTTAACAAAGCTATACTAATCTAATAGAAGGTTTAGTTAAATATGTTTTATATTTCTTATAGTCTTGTTGATGAATTCTATATTTATATACAATTATTCCTATACATAGTTTTAACGCAAGTTATTTGTGACAATAATTTATTTATTTTATTTATATAAAAATCTTCTATTAAATTTATTACATAGTTGTGCTTTTATCTTCTTCACCTCCAATTCTTTTTATAATCTTCATTTATTCCTATAGGTTTTCCTGATGTAGGATCTATTTTAGCAGCTGAAGCAGGTCTTTCTTCCATCTTAGTAGGAGGAGGTTTAATACTTTTATCACTTTTTTTAGATCCAATTACTGCTTTTTTGGAAGAAAAGTTTCTCCAATTGGATACTCTTGTTTCTCTAGTAGCTTCCCATTCTTCTTCATTTAAAACTCTATATTGCTCCATCATTTTTTTAGCTTCTATTTCCTCTTATTTTGCTATGATTTACGAAGCTTACAATTTTGCATGGTGAATTTTTCTCTCTTCTATTTCATCAAATATTTTTTTCAAGTTTTCTCTATACATTCCTTCAAAAGTATCTTCTGGTAATTCAGATAATCCACTTTTAAGACGCTTTTTATTTTCTTTTTCTCTTTCAAAAACAGTTCTTTCTTTGGCTTCCTTCATAATACGAGTATAAATTTTTCTCTTTTCAGGATCACAAAGAGTTTTATAAGCTTTATCTACAATAAAGAATGCATCTTTTGCTCTTGGATCTGAACATCTATCAGGATGCAATTTTACTGCAAATTATCTATGTTAATTTTTTATTTCTTCATCAGTGGCCTCCATATCTAACATTAAAACATCGAAAGGGTTTTAAAAGCGCTCATTAAGAAGTCTATCTAGCTATTCATTAACTTCAATTTTCTTTTTTTTAATATTTTTTGTTAAAACTTTTTGCATTTCCATTTTAAATGAATTCAATGCGCTTTCAGTTGTCTATTTAGACGAATCAGTAGCTGGAGTACTAATACCACTGCTACTAGCAGGAGTCGCAGGAGATTGAGCTTAAGTGCTAGGAGTTGTAGACATATGATTATAATACTTTAAGAGATTTAATTTTTAATAGACCTAATATCCTAAGTAATATAAATAACTTTATTAATCAATTTAAGTAATAAATAAATAATATTTCTTGAATCAATAGCATTAAATAAATAGATAATTTCAGAAAGAATAATCGCTAAAAAATTAATAATAGAAACAGTGTCTATCTAAAATTATATAAACTTAGGAAGTAATTGCATTAAAGTAGAAAATAAATACAACCAAAATAGATTTAAGAAAATTAAAATAATTTCATTTTAAAGAAAAACAATAGATAATTATTATTTTAATTTTTATTTTCAATTTTATAATCATATTAAGCTTTCATGTCATCTATCTAAATTTATTATCATTTAAATTTGCTTTTAACTAAAGTCTAAGCTTATTTTAAAATATTTTTAAATTATTTATTGAAAGTTGCTATCTATGAATTGATTTGATTCCTATAAATATAAAAGTAAGTATTAAAAAAAATTTTTTTTAATTTCATAAATATTAACTACCATTTTTGAATTTCTAAATATTTATCATCATCTATGATTCTAATTGTTTCATTTCCAAGCTGTTATTTATCATTTGCAAATTCATTTTTATCGAATAGCAAATTTTAATCATTTTAAACCACAATTTACTTGGAATCTGGTTGAATTGAAATATCATGTTATGTTTCATCATTTTCTTTAAAATAAATATGATCACCAAAATCAAGGATTTACTTATAAAATTCATTATTTATCAGCTTTTATCTATGTAAATCTTCTTCTATATGCTTACAATAATGGTATTAAATTTAAAAAAGTTAATAAGTTATTTAATATTATTTACTTAATAATAGTCCTCAAATTTAATTTTACAGATACAACAGTACTGAGACTTGGGAACCTAACTTTTCTATTAATTCAAAGTAAAATGTTAAAATTTAAATTAAGTTAACATCAATCATATAATTACAATAGTTTGATCTTAAGCTTGATTCAAAATTTATTCATATTCTTTTTTTCTGCTGATTTCATATATTTGATATAATTTCTTTATTTTACTTAAAATCAGCACGTTTTAAAAGATTTAAAAATTATTTACTTATTGTCCCTCTTTAATAAAAGTTGGATTATAGGGTTTTTAATCATTTAGTAAGATTAGTCTAGAGTCACTGATTAAAAAATAAAATTATTAAATTGTACTTTAATTCAAAATTTTAAAGCTACATTTATATTTAGATTTCTTTTGATTTTACCTGATTTGGAATTTTACATTTTTTTTTCATCCTAAACTCGTTCATTTTTTTTAGAAATTTAATATCTTCAAATTTATAAAATTTATTAAATTTACTTTTTATTGTAAAGATTTTATTGTAATTTGATGTTGAATTTATTTAACTAAATAATAGTAGAGAAAGGAAAAAAAAAAAAAAACGACAACTGCAGGATTCGAACCTGCGCGGGTAAACCCAAAAGATTTCTAGTCTTCCTCCTTAACCACTCGGACAAATTGTCTTATTGATAAATATAAATCCTTTTGGAATACTTTTTTTGAAAAATTCATTGAGAAATTAAATATTAGAAAAATATAGTTAAGACAATAATATATTTGCAATTTTGAAATAACATAATTAATAATGCTAAACATAAAAGTAAATTACCATATGATTACAAACAACAAAAGCAGTGAAGAAGTTATCGCTCTCATTGAGGGAGAAGAGACAAAGCTCCTTGCTTTCTATAAGTATGAATTTACTCAAGATATTATATAAAAAATGAAATCTGCAGCCTTAAACAATAGATAAATTGTATGGTCACTTAGTGAATGCTAAAATTTTAGCAAAAAAAATATTTATGAAATATTTGCTTAGCTTTCGAAAAATTTGAGGCTAGAAAAATTTCACTTTAATTTTTTATCTAATAATGATTTAGAGAGCAAAGATTATTCAGAGCTGTATTCTTAACTGCATAATAGTCCGAATCTTAAGTCACTGAACTGTCCTCACTATGGAATTATGTTGCAGAGTACATTAGATCTATTTCACAAGAACTAAAACATAAATCGCTTACAAGTCTCCATTTTAGATATGGTATACTATAAAGTCATACTTAGCTTCATGAGCTAAATTAGAAAGAATTTTGATGTGCTAAAGTTCAAATAAATATTATTGAACACAAACCTTATCAACTAATTTCAAAACCTTTTTAAAGCAATTAATAGCCTATCATTTAACACATTAAAGATAAAAAACCTGAAGTTTTCTTAGAAATTAAATGAAAATTTGATATAAAAACTATTTTTTTAGAGTAATATACGTAAATTAAAAATAAACTTATTGCAAATAGATAGCTTAGATTCTGCCAAATTATTAGTTTAAAGCATTAGTAAAAATTATAGTTTAAGTAAAATTACTATCAAAAATATTTATATTTAAAGTAAGGAAAATACCTTTTCATTTGATGAAATTTTACTTCACGATTAAGTATAGAAATTCAAAGTACGTTTTGATAGAGTCATTAATCCTTATTTTTTTTAAAATTTGATTTCACCAAATAGCTAATTAACTACTTTATCAATTAATTCCTTTCCTTTAACTAATGAAATTACTAACACCATAACATAAATACCTACCATTCAAAAAATTAGTGTTTGTCTAAACGAAGTTGATTAACTTAGTTATTTCATCAAAAATATTTAAAAAAATTTATAAAAGCTTCAATTTAATTTCACAAGCAATTTTTAAAAATAATTGTTGTAAAATAATAATACTTCAAATTTCTAAAGATTAGAAATTCAAGCTGAGGTCTGTAAGCTTTTCTTTGCAGCTAGCTTTTTGGAAGATCAATAGCAAATAAAACTAGCAAAATCATTCTTAGTATTAATTTAAAATAGTAAAAGTACATTTTTTAGCTTAAATTTTAAGGAAAATGCAAACATCATCTTCCAAAAATATATAGATTTTGAGAGTATTTAGTAACCAACAATAATAAATTTAAAATTCAAAAGTACTTACTAATCATAAATCGAATTAGAAAAGAAAAAGGCATTAGCAAATAAAGCAGCTTTTGATAAATTAATTTAAAAATACCTAGATTATTTTCCTAATCACATTTATTAAGATTTGTACTATTGAGTAAGATTTAATGTTATTTAATATGCTTTATTTTTAAATATTAGTATTTTATTCAAATTAGAAATTTAAAATTCTCCATTTAATTTTCGAAATAGTTGCTTATTTCTTAATTATGAATATTCAAAAATGCTGATTACTATAAATTATACTTAGAACAATTATTGATATATACTCAAAAAATGCTTTTAACATAATTAATTATAAGTATGAAACTAAAGGGTTAATATAGTATAATATATTATTAGTATAATTTTAGTATAAACTCTATTTAAATTAAGTATTAAAGAAAAAATTATTAGAAAGTCTTTTAAGTTAAAAGTGAAAAATATTTAATTTTATAACTATTTGTAAATTTAATTTTTTTCAGAATTTTAATCTAAATTATTTATTTTATTTTAGTAAAATTCTTATTATTTATTAATAATCGGTTAATTTTTATGAAATATTATTTTTTTATTATTTCAAAATAGTAAAAAATATATGAATTAATAAATACTCTACTTCTTTAATTAAGAAACCAGGATATTAATTGTTAAAATTTTAATTTTATCAACCATACAAACCAAAATAGCAATATCTTTATGAAAGGAGATGATCTTAATTATTAAGGAAATACATTGTTTAATGTTTTATTTATGTTTAAAATTGTTCATTTTTAATAATTTTATATTTTAGTATTTTATTCGTATTATTAGATATTTTGAGTGATTTTTAACAAATAAATAATACTAATTTAAATAATACTTAAGTAAAATTTTATATAATTTTAAAGACATTTTAAAATATGTAAATTTATTTAAATAAAAATTTATAACAATAATATTAGTTTTTTTCAATGATTTTTAAGAAAAATATGAAAATGAAAGTAGAATAAGATATTAATAATAATTAATTTTTGTGGCTATTTTTTTAAAAACAAAAAGTATAAAATTATTTACATTGATTTAAAATTATATTGATTAATTAAGATATATATTTGATTAGATATTAAGTTAGTTTTCAGATAAATTTGTAAAATATATTTTTTAAGAATGAAGGGCTGTTGATTATTTATTATTAGTTTTTGTTCAAAGATTATTAGTTTTAAGATTTTATTTTGAAGGTATCTTATGATTTTTAAATTGGCTTTAAGGTAATAGGAAATGCATTAATAATAAGATTAAGCTGATCAATAGAATCATAAATCAAACTAATGTACTAATATTCATTCTCTATTACTTTATTATTTTCTTACTTAATCTAAATCTAATGGAGTTCATTTGTTTTTAATATTTATTTATGGATTAGCTCAAACAAACATCCAAGTGATTTAGGAATCTAGGCTATTTAGTAAAGATTATTATTGTACGATATGTTGATTTTTTTAACGTTGATGCTGCTCATGATTTTGTCCTTTTAAAAGTGTTTAAATATTTAATTGAATACTTTTTGTTAAAGATTTAATTTAATTATATTTCTAAGACAAAGCTGCCTATCTTATATCCTAATTAAGATTTTAAAATATTAACCTATCAGAATAAATAGAATATAATTTGAATTGTCTATAACAAGATATCACGATTAATTTCTATGAGGCTTGATTCAAATAATAGTGATTTTTATTATATTTAATTAAATTCTTTTAACTTAGCATTTGATCAGAAATTAAGTCTATTTAATATGATTGAACAGACAATCCAAATAAATTAATTGGTTAAAAAAATTTATTATTTTTAATTTCTATTATAAAATCAAATTTGTAAATAAAATCTTCTTAATAGTTCGCAATCTAACTATATTTATTTATGATTGTTTTTTTTCAATACTACTAAAGTTATTCTTTAGAATTTTCTTAACATATCTTATTGACTCAAGAAAAAATAATTAATTCATAAAATATATCAAAAATTTATTGGGATATAAATAATTACATAAAATAAGGATAAAAAGTAGATTAAGTTTAGAATAAGATATAATCCAACAAATGCTAAAATATTTTAACTTATTTAACAAAAACATAACATCTGTGTAGCTGTTAAACTAAAAGTTTGCATTCACTTTTTGTTCAACTCAACAACCTTAGTAAGAAGAAACTTAGAATTAGTAAAAATAATAGCAATAGTAAAGAAAAGGATAAAATAAAAACCAAGGTAAATAGCATGGTGGTTCACAAAAAAATTCCATTTAGGTAATTTAAATAGCAATTAAATACTATATTACTTGAATATTCTTTTAAATAAATGGAGTTTTAAGCAAGTTACTTACTTACTTATTAATTGTTATTAATTATTTTCAATTTTAAATTAGCAAAAGGACCTCGATTAGTTCTTAAATACTTTATTATAAGATGCTGATGCCAGAAAAATCTCAGCTAGCCGTTATGATATTGACCTTTACCGCAGAGAAAGCATAAAGAATAGATTCAACATTATGAGTTTTGCTCTTGCTAAATGCTACATTTAGCATATGAAATTTTTCAACGAGTTTTTCTCCGAAAAAGATTTCGAAAATCTAATTATTAAATATGAAGTGAAAAATTTAGACTAGTTTGTATTTAACTTCTCATTAGCTACTGCTCTTACATTAAATGTTAACAACAAGTAAATTTAAAAGAAATATAAGTATTTGTATAGCTAATACTTGAAGTTTTATTAGAGCATAGATTAAAACGAATCAACTAGTTCATCTACTGCTATACAAAAATTAATGTTTGTATTGAATATTATTAATTTTGGCAATAACTAGAAATAATATTTGGACTATGTTAAGGAATTTATTCCAACATATTTTTAATAAGTGTTAGAATCTGTTTAGTTCTACTCTAAAGATTCTTATGACATAAATGATATATTGTTTGCTTCTAAATATTACAACTTTACATAGACTTTCAATAAGTAGGATGCTTTTGATAAATATTGTAAAGTTTTATCCTAAGTTAAGTTAGACTAAAACTAAACTATTTCAAAGTATGATGCTTTGAATTTGATATAGGTAAATTATTTTTTTATACATTTAATTGATATAGAAAAGTTAATATTTGATACTTATTTTATTTATTGTACATGATATTCTCATTAAAACTAATTTTGGAGATTTAATGTATAATTTTTTACTAATAAAAATAAATTTGAAAAGGAATTTGCAAAATTGTAAAAACTCCTTTTTTTTTAATATTTTAAAGTATATCTAAATAAATATTAAATTTATAAAAATAGGCAGCTTCACATGCAACATTTTAGCAAAAGAACTTTATAATTTAAAATCAATAAGTTTTAGATGAAATTGTAAAGATGTGCTTAGATGCTTTAGAAGGTGACCTTTAAAAAGAACTTAATTTAGAATTTGTATACTTTTACATAATGAGCAGTGAAACTTTCATCAAAAACAAAGAGGAAAATATGAAGTACTGCAAGCTTCTTGAAAAAAATTTAGAACGTGAGCATTCTAACTAAATAAAAACAAACATTTTATACTCTCTTGGTAAGAGTTCGATTGTAACCCCTAAGATAAAAGAATAGTAAAATTTTATAATTTTATATTAATTAAATTTTATCTTCTTTATTATTAAAAGCATTTAGTCTAGCATCAATAATATACAGACTGAAAAGATTCATTAATTTGACAAGTATGTTTCTTGCTTACTCTTATGTGCTGCAAATTTAGGCATCATTACTAAGGATAACATTAGCAAATATTTGATAGAGAGTATCTTCTCTAGTGACATAAAATTCCGTTATAAGTATATTGATTACCTAGCAATTGTGTTTTATAGAATTTAGTACTTTGAAAAAGATGTTTGGGAATAAATCTTTTAAAGAATAGACCATAATTAAGAATCCTTTTACTTAAATCTAATTAGATGCTCTTATAAGGCCTATTAGAATTTAATGAGCTAAGAAACATTAGCTCTCTTTGAACAAAACTTAGGAAAGCAATCTAAAAGCTTTACATTAAAAGAAAACCCCATACAAATTTAGGAAGAAATTTAACTTAAGAATTATTTAGAGTAAAAAAATATCAGCCACAAATAATCTCAATTCGGTAATTTATGATTAAAAATAAAAAATATATTTAACAGTTATTTTAAAAATAGTTGACGGATTTTACACCAATTTTATACTCAATGAGAAAGATGTTGTTTTCATCTTAAAATACAATAGCTATTTAGTAGAAGAAAATTCTACTGAAGTTAAATTCAATCTAAGTACCTAATCTAAGATTGATTACTTCTAAAAGTTAGGATACAATCTAATAATTTTGAATTCTTCTGAAGGTGATGTTTGCCAGCTATTTGAGCAAGCTTATAAGCCATCAAATTGATTTTATTTTATTTTTTAAAATGGAAATTTAAATACTCTAATTAGATTTAGTTTATTTATTTGATTGCATAATATATTTATCGCTTTTACAGTTTTTACAATTATCAACAATTAAATATCTTATAATCTTTGCTAAATATCTATTTAAATAAATTAATTTTAAAAAAACTAATCTTTATTTATTCAAATAAATATTGTTTTACAAAATTCTAATTACATAATATCATTTTTAATAAGTATTGACAACATAAATTTAGTATTTAAAATTATGTTTGAAAAAATAAAAAATAAACTAAAAATAAAATTTTAAAAAATAATATAGCAAGAAAAGTTCATTTAACTTAATGATTATTGCTTGAATATTTTATGATAAAATAATTTACATAATTTTTAAGAAATGTTTAAAAATGATTTTTGTTTTAGCACTTAATAAATTTATTATAGAAAAAAATTTTTTAAGAATAAAGTTTTTAATTTTTTTAATTTATTTGGCATCTTATTTATTTTTAAAACTTATATTATAGTAATTAAAATATTAAAACATAAATGATTATAAAATATTTTGTTTGTTTGTATTTAAAAGCTTAAAATCATACTTAACTCTTCTATTAATATTAAATAAATTTTTTTAAAAAAATTTATGAAAATAGATGCATCATCAAAATTAAATAAATTGTAACCTAAAAAAAATGAATTGAGGTTATAATCACTTATATTGCGAGTTTAATTGAAACATATAGTAATAGCTAATTAAATGATATTGCATTAATAGCCTGTGATTAGGTGTTGATGTTTTCATAAATGATATTTGAAGTTAAGCTATTCAATTTAGGTAAAATTTACCTCACGTTTTTAATTTATTATAATCTTTTTTAATTATGTTTGAAATCCATATTCAATTAATAAGAAAGTAAATGAACTCTAAATTCGCCTGTAACAAATTTGTGGAAAATTAATTGATGATCGAAATGACAAAAACAAACGAAACTATTAATTTACTTTGATGTTATTTCTTACAAGTGTAATTTTTTTTTTCTTTAAGTCAAATATTTGTTTACTGTTTAATTTCTTAAGATATTTTTTGATTGTTTCCTTCTTATTTTAGGATATCTAACATATTGGAATATCTTTGTACTTTGGGTAATACTTAAAAAAGCTTTTCATTTCTAAGCAATTTAAAATTTAACAATATGTTGAAAAGTTATAATTATATTTTTTAGTAAAGGTTTTTTAATAATATAATAAAACTGCATAAATTAAGGTAAAGAAGGTATTGATAAAGACAATATCAGAGAAGAAAAAGGAAATTATATTTTTTTCTTATAGTTAATGTATATTTATTAGAAACTTTTTATGGAAAAACCTCTTCAATTTAGAAAATTTTCATAAGAAAGATTAATATTAAATCTATTTAAAAAATTTAGATCTGATAATGTGCAATTAAAAATTATTGGATTCTAAAAAAAGAATAAAAGTAACAATTATTCTCAAATTGATATTTCAGAAAAAGAGATAGAAGGTTACAGAGTAAACCTTTATTTAATGTTGTAACTTAAAAAACTTTTAAGGTGTATTTATAAATAAATAATCATAGAAAGTAAAAAAGTCTTTTAATGAAAACAAGTAATCAATCATTTTAGAATAATTGCCTAATAATTACTTAATACCAAAATTTTTTATTACTTATTTGATTTTTTCCCATCATATTTTGGATTTAATTTATCATCAAAATCTCTTTGAAGATATTTTTGAAACAATAAAAGAAACTTAAATATCTTTTAAGTATAGGTAATAAATTGTTTGAAAATTTATAAATTTGAAATACCAATATCTATCTTATAGACGAATTATTTATTTCCACTGATTTCCTCCTCTTCTTTCTTAAAGAAGTAACACATCGAATTTAAAAAATAAAAGGTTTTAAAGCTATTGAATAATTTCTCATGCTTTTCTTAGATTGTTTGGAAGGCAAAATGGCAATGAAAGCACTAGTGAAATAGAAAAAATTTAAGGCAAATAAGCAAACATAGTCAAAATGACAACATTAGAAAAAAATTAAGTAATTGGTATGAGATTTTAACGGGAGAAAAGTTAGATCTATAATCTGTCCTTCCAATTAAAAATATAATTTATTGTATTATTGATTGATTCAGCACATTATGTGTTAATTAATAATCCCTATATTATGCAGGTTAGTGGAAATAAAGGATTTGAATCTTTCTAAATCAATCACTCAAAAATTAATTTTCAAAAATAACTATTAAGTATTTCCAATATTTTCTTCTATTTTATTAACTTCAAAATTTTAAAATCCCAACTTACTCAAATTAGAAATCAAAGTGTGTCATTTACCTACGTTCCATATTTTATGCAAGTTGTTTTCAGAATTTAATATATTTTATGGATAATCAGCACTTTAATAATTGGATGATAGGGAAAACCTTTAAAACTTTAGCAAAAATTTTAATTTGGCTGTTAGCCATAAAGTATTTTAATATGAAAAAGATGAAAACTAAAACCAAATACTTTTATCTAGATCCAAAATATTATTTATCTTAGGTTTTAAATTTTATTTAAATTGTATCTTGTTTGCGTAAACAACTAATAAGTATATTAAATTTTGTAATAGGAGTAGAAAAATATCTAAACTCACTCGAATTGAATCTTTATTTGAGAGGGAAATCTTTTTTTAAAGCAGTTTTGATGTATTTTTTTTTACACTTATTTAGATATTTAATGAAGAAATACTCAAAAATCTTTTAAATTTTTGTTTACCCTAAAACATAAAAAGTTTCTATTTTATAATTTAAATAAACTATTATTATGCATTTAAATTAAAATATATCGTTATTTTTAAATATAATATTCTTTTTTGCCAGTAGAATAACATGTTTAGAATAATTTATACTATCTATTAAAAGTCTAATTAATCATTCAAATAAGCTGGAGAGAGATAGAAGGAATTAGATGTTATACTTAACAAATATTAATTACTCTTTTAAACATTGTATCAGTCTAGTACTAATTTTTCTAAGGTTCTAATATGATATAGTGCGAAATTATAATTTCGCTTTATAAAAAATCTAAATTTTCTTAAAAATTAAGACACAATAAAAAGGGGATGATTTTAAAATTTTATCTGTTTAAATAAATATTTGTTAAAATTATCCTAATTATTTTAGCATCATGTTTAGTGTGATTTGAATCACACGTTTTCATCTAATACTGGAGATATACTGATTTTTAACAAACAGCTTGTTCGATTTCAAACAAATATTTTAAAATATTAGAAAGTTAGCAATAAATCTATTTATACTTTATTTTTTATTCATCATGCATAAATTTCATTTATTTAGATAGCAATTAATTAATTGAATGAAAATATTATATTACAATTGTTAATTATATGCAGAAAGCATGTTAAAATAAAAGATTTGATTTAATTTGATTTGATTTGATTGTAGAAACAATGAGAAATTGATACTGTATACAAAGAGAAGAAGAAGACAATAAAGATGTAGATATTTATAATTATATAAGAATTATTTTTGTTTTTTTATGTGTTTTTATCAAGGCAAATAATAAATGATTTAAAAGGAGGTTATTATATAAATTAATTGTTTTTATTATTTTTTATCCTTGTAAATTGTTATGAATTAAGAGAGTAAGTTCTGTATTTTAAAGCTGCTTTTTGAAGCCTTAAAGTCCATTATCCTACTCTCAATGAGGAAGGAATGAATGGTCAAAACGGAAGATCTCTTCAACTAATATCGTTCATCTACATTTTATTCATTATGCTTTAGAAACTGTTACATTTCTAAAGTTAGTTTGTACTTAAGTAAAGACAGTGACTTAATTGCAGTGTTGAGTATTTAAAAGCAAATTTAATCATAATACTTATTATTCTAAATGAGTTAAGAACGAATTAGAGGAAAGAAGATTATAGGTTTTGACTGTGTGTGTTTTATATTATGTTTAGAGGAATTTTTTATTATATAATTAAGAAATTTTATTGTTTGTTATGTTATATTTTTATGTATTTGTTGAATTGAAAAGTCGGAAATATAATCTAATTAATTAGCTGTTTTATTCTATAATTTCTAGAAGTTATCAACTTTCTCATAAGCTCATAGCGCTGTAATTGCTTTCGCTTGACAAATCGAAGAGAGCTTGTAATTATTAAACTTCAATTTGAGATTGAGGACAAATGCTTTGTAATTAGTAAGTGGATTAATCGAATTCACTTTCTTCTTATTACATTTCACTTTCAGTTTTCTTGGTAACTGCAACTACTTAGAAGCTGGAAGCCAAAGAGATGTTGCATGTAGTGCGACCACCTTATGAAATGACAATTTCCATTTAGTTAGAATTAGATCCATTTACTACTGGTAAGGGTCTGACTCCACATCTGGTGTTTTCACTAAGACGGGCAGCATTTTAGTTACCGATTTTCTTGGCCTTCTTTCTGTATAAGTGTAAAATAGTCTTGGCAGATGAGTAATTAATATTCAATTCTTAGGCAGCCTATTTATTTTAAAAGATATATTTAGATATTGAAAAGACAAATTTTTTGATTTAAGAGGTGTTTGTTAGTTTTTTTAGTGCTTTTTTTGAAAGTAAATATTCAAAAGATTGGTTTTTTGTTTGTTTGTTTGTTTTTTTTCTTAGCTTTTGATAATTAATTTTTTTACTTTTTATTTAAAGCTTACAACTTCATTAAATTTTGCTTATCTTCGCGTTATACGATATTTAATAAATTATCAAGTGAAGAATTAAAGGGATTTTTAAGCTGAATATTTTCTAAAAAAAGCAAAAAAATTAATTTTAACAAGAAACTCTTGCAAAGATTTTAACTAACAAAAGTATAAAGCTGAAATGAGCTTTTAATAAGGAAAGAAAGAAATAATTACGATTTTAATTTTTTTGTTTTCAAAGAAGATCTTTTCAAGGAGTTAGTTACGCTTGAAGGTAGAGATTCTCTTGTATCTTCTCTTAGCGTCAAGGGTATCAAGGCAGTCAGAATCGTTTCTGTCAAGATAACCAAATCTTTCCATGTCAGGGATGAGTCTCATTTTTAGTGAAGGGAGGTTAGTATTAGGTTTTTTTTGATTTTTGTATGTAGTATTAAGGTAAAGACCTTTTTTTGTGGGGATTGATTTTTATTTATTTTTTTTTGTTAATTAATTTTTATATTTATGTTGAAGATAAAGTTTGGTAATTTATAGGAAAGATAAAGTGAGGAATCTTGATTATATATTTTGAGTGTTAATTCAATATAATTTGATTGATCTAATATTAATAAAACATTAAAGTGACCAAAAACCAAACAATCTAAAAAAGAGGATTTAATTAAGAAAGCTACAAAAAAGTGTTGGCAAATAAAGTAGCATACAGCCAAATTTTCAATAATTTATAAATTATCCCCAATTAATTTTGGATGTCGTAAGTCTTATCAAAAGTCATTCTTGATGATGTATAAGTAAACTTCATAAGATGAAATGACGTATAATTCATTCTAAAATGTATTTAGCACATTAACAATTCAAAAAATAGTAAAATTTATAAAAGACTTCTTTAAATTGTATTATTAATATTCAAAGTAAGCCTAGATTTGTAATTTGATTCTGGTGTATTCAAATAATGCTTATTGGTATAACTATAATAACCACAAAAAAATTGTAAAGCACGAATTAATTAAGATCATGCTTTTTGTATATAAATACAAGCAAAACAAATGAACCAATTTTTGATTTCATCATTACTAAACAACTAAATCTCTCTCTGTTCTAGCAAACATATTTTTGTATTAGCCTAATTTTGATTAAAGCAAATATCATATTTTTGAGTACCTAAGGAATAAAAATTTAACAGAAAAGGTCTGCAAAATAAATCCAGTGCGACTTACGGCTGAATTTAGCCACATTAACTTATTAAACAAAAAATTGACTAAACAACATGAGAATAAACATGAATCGAAAGATAATGTGAAAATTTTTGGCGAAAATCACTATAGGGTATTTAAATTATCAATCTACTTATAGGCAGTTTTGCAATTAGTTGGGAATGGTTCAGTCAGTTTCTATTGAAATATGATATATGATAAATACTAATCATAACAGAAAAAAAAGAATCCTTTTTATTATGTACCATCAGAATAGCAATTAATCTCTGGATTTAAAAATAATCCTAGGGGTTCTTTTGCAGATTTTGATTAATAAATAGATTTTATTAAGTAGTCTTAATATCTCAGTTGATTAATTAATTAATTAATTAATCAATCAATCAATCGCTGTTTGGTTGTTTAAGAAGAAATTTAGTTTCAAACTAAAATAAATAAATAAATAAATAAATATACAAATACTTTTAAAGACTAACCATGCCTATTTATAATAATTATAATTTCATTAGCACATTTTATTTATTTTTGTGGGGGACCAATTCATCAACTAATCTTTCTATTTTCAATTTCGTCTAATAAATTACCATTTAAAATTATTTATTAAATGTTAATTGATATGTGTGAGTGAGTGAATGAATGAAGTATTTTCTATTTAGCAAATTTAATATTGAAACACAAAATTTGCTAAAAAGCCAAATTAATTCTATCTCCATGTTTTTGCAGTTTTGTCTTATTAGTAATTTAATAATGGGAAACCTCTTAGATTTTAATTTTTTATTTACTAAGCAAAGATCTTTATATTTTTTACTTTTCTCACCAGATGCATGATTATAATAATTACAATTTCTTGTTTATTTGGATGAATCTGCTTAATAGTCATCCAAATTAATTATAATAATCCTTATTTGGGAAAAAATATTCTGTGGTATTATAAATCTTTTATTGTAAGAAACTAGGAGATCGAAATTACATCATCATGAAATTTATTTAATCTTGTCTATTATCCGACTTGTTTCATGAGCGCAATCAACTTTCTGTAAATTAATATTTTTGTTTAAAGACTATCATCCATTTTATATTAATCACTTAAGTGATTTGTGTCTATATCTTTCTAAAGGGGGTTTAATAAAAATATTTTTTATATCAAACTAAATGGCTCTCAATTAAGCTCTTTTATTATTTTTTTGAGATTCTTTCTTTCGAACACACTACTTGAAACAAAAAATCAACCGTTATTTATTCAATCAGCGATAGATTGATTGTTTAATAAAAGTTTTCATTCATTTTTGTATCTAAAGAAATAAATAATTCAAATATGTTCAAATTTAAAACTAAAAGAATGAATTAAGATATTTTATCAAAAGAATATGATTTGTATTGGAATATATAAATAATTTTTCTTGCAAATGTTTTAACATATCTCCTCAAATGAAATTTGTTCATTTTGATTTAAACAAATTAAGAAAAAGAGAGCCAATATAAATAAAGAAAAGAATTTGTTTTTTTCTGATTTACTGATTTGTTTGTACTTGAAGATATACTTACTAAATAAGATTTAATACTTTGATATAACCAATACAATCTCGGACGTTTCTAGAACCATTCTTCTAGATTTTATCCAAAAGTACAGTAATTTATCATTTTAACTATACTTTTAATGAAAGTTAAATTATTGTATAAATTGTGGTAATAAAATTCGTACATTTTTCTATAAAATGAAAGCGTGAAATTAACTTTTAAGCGGTAAGTGTTTCTCCTCACTAGTACAAACTTCGTAATTGAAAAACTAAAAAGATATAATAACTTTATACAGTTTAGTTTTAAATCATATTTTACAAATACCTAAATATTATTGGATTAATTTCAAACATGGCAAAAGGAAAGTGTGCTAATTTTAAGTAAAATAAAGCATTCTTGAGGTTGATGTATTTATATAGATGAGGTATTTGGAATAATAATTGTTACTAAAAGATGAAATAATATTCGGTGAAATTTTTTCGCTGAATACATACTATAAAAAATTAACTAACATTTTGCTGCATGTTAGTTATATAAATTTGTGTAAGGAATTTTTTCCTAAATTTTAAAGTTGGCTAGGATGCTTTATTAGCAAAATAATAAATATGATAAAATGTACTTCTCCTGCTTTCGAATCACACATATAATATTAATTTTAACTTTTTTGTAAATTTGAAGCTAATTGCTAAGCAGTAGACTCTGATTGCTGGCAACGGCTGTATTAAATTTAGTTAGTTCAAAATTATTTGAGTTTTTTGTGTTTCTTAAAGGTTTTTCCCTTAAAATCGGACCAGTACAAAATTTATAATGTTTTTTATAAAATTATTTATAAATAGATAATTTTAGTTTTTACAAACGTCTTTATCTCTTCAAGGTTCTATACGTTGTTGCTTAGTACAAGTATAGCAATCAAAAGAAGGCGTTTATATGAATATTATTGAAACTTATTTACAAGAAACTTGTTTTTCCAATGTATAAAGTTATGACAGGCGTTAAAAGATAATTAAATAGTAAAATTATATATTTTTTTTTCGAAAAAACTATAAATTTAGTTAATTTTATCAATAATTTAATAAAGAAGTTAATACGCAAACTAATTTAATAGTTATTAACAAATTAGAGATCACTTGTGTAAAAAAAAAGTAAGATAATCAATCAATAATTAATTCTATCTATTTATTAATCTATCTATCTATCTATCTTCTATGCCTGTCATATCAAATAAATTATTTATAATAACATTTCTTAAAAGAATACATCTCTGTTTGTAAGAGAAATGCAATTAGTTTTAAAATAACAATTCATATAACTAACTCATTCTTACTTTACCAAGTCTATTTTTTATTGACGTCAATTTTCCTTTTATTTGACGACGCGCATTAATCAATATTTTTTCTAACAGTCTTAATGATTTTTTATTGGTATTTAGCTTTATGGCTAATAAATAATTCATATAATTTTTATGCTTTAATTTAAAAAAAGACTTTTCTCTAATCAAACAAATAATTAAAAATCTTAGCTGTGCTTTCTTTCTTTTGTCAGACTTTGATTATCAATAAAAAATTTTAAAATTCTTTTTATGCGCAAAACCAATCTTTTTTAACATTTAAACATATTTTATAAGCTAAATTTTCAACCACACAAATTTAGTGTACATTTACAGTTTTATCAAATTTATTGTTATATGTAAGATAAATTAACTAGCAAGGATTTCTAATTTGGGTAAAAACATGTAAGCATTTGGAGAAGAGAAAGGTTTGTTGTAAAGGAACATGAAATACCAAAAAATAGAGGATATTAAGCTCAGTTTGCTATAACAAATGTTGCTTTACTAATAGATGTATAATAAAAACTAATTACTTCAAAAGAAAGATATTAATTAGTACATTTAAAATATGTAAAGTAAAATATTCAATTAGTCTTTGAAAAAAAATTAATCTTCTTACGCCTTTATTGTTAAATTTTGTTAGATTTGATAATTTAATTAAAAAATCTGCTTGTATCGCAAATTTTTTCCCTCTGTTTTTATTATTTTTAATTATAATAAAAACATGAATTCACCATGAATACAATGTAAAATTTATCAATTAGATTAAATATATTTTCAGTTTGAATCCGCTTCTCGAAACAACCACAAAGTTAATTATTTGATAAAATCTTCATAATTCACAAAGTTATAAACCTATTATGTAAATAAAAAGCTGAAGAAAATAAATATTCTTAATGGTTTCTTTGGTGGGGGTTTGAATTAAAAACTATTCAAATTATTATAAACCATTTCAAAATATTAACAGAATACGATTCTTTTACATCTGGGCATTGCAATTTAAATAGTTCTGGCTATTTTGACATTTTTGCCATTTGTTAGTGTCTAAACTGTCACTTTTCATTCAAAAATTTTTATAAGAGTTTCTTTTAATCAGTACCTAGTACAATAATATGAGCTTTAATTTTTCTTTTTGAGAATAATAGAGAGGTAGAACAGCATTTTAGTTGATACAAAACAACGTTTCTTTATTAAATACACATTCATTACTAATGTTTATAAATATATTAACTATCAAATCAAAAGTTTCTTTAGAAATATTTCGCCTGGTATTACTAAATTCTTAATGGATGCATTTTATTGCCATCAACATATCTTAAGTCTAAAAGGCAAAGATGTGTCTAATGACTTTCACATCAAATATTAAAATATAAAATAGTTATAAAAATAGATTATAATATAAAAAATTAAGTCAAGGTGGGTTAATTCTTTTTTGTTGATATTACGGATGCAGCGTGCCAAGAATAATTATAAGAAATTTATAATGTAGGGTTAATTTCTGCACATAATTTATGAAAGAAAGTATTTGATTTGTTTTATTTATTAATACAAGAATTAATAAAAACCATCATAGAAAATTAAAATATTAATTATTTAATTAATTAATTGAATAAATAAATAAATTAGTGAAGTGGGGTAGGTATAGAGGTAGGTATTTTTCTTTATTTAATCTCAAAAGTTATTTATGACTAAAAAATATTGAATTAATCTCTAATCAACATCATTAATTTTTGTTGACTAAAGCCACCTCTCTCAAAGTAAATTAAAATACAATATTTTGGAATTAGATGATTTGTAATATCAAAGAATTGTAAGGGCTATCGGAATTGGACTGCAAAAAATATAATTACAAAAATTGAATAACATCAAAAATATCTTCTTACAAATCTTTCTATTAAAACAAATCTATAACAACAACTCCCCTTTATCCACTTTAGCAAAAAGTGAGCGCTTAATTTAACTAGAGCAGTGAAATATTTTTTTCAGTAACAAAATAAAATTTAAGTTTAAAATAAAACTTTCTCAAAAAGCAAACTAGTTTACATATTATTTATGTAATGTAATAAATTAGTTAATTATTTTCTGCTCAACTACATACATAGCTCTTGTAAAAAAAATACTTGTAACAATTAATTAATAATTAATTAATTTGCACATTTTATTAAAAATTAACTGTGCAACCTAAAATATTTATTTATAATAAATTTAATAAACACCAAAAGTTAATGAAATTCAATAAATTTTTAAAAAATGTTTATCTTTTTCAACCTACATATTAAATGTATATTATTTCATGGAAAGCCTAATCAACAATATAATATCCTTTCATAGTTAGTACTTTCCTAAATTGATATTATTGTTTTTAGTTTAAAAAGAGATTTAAAAAGCAACTATACATGTATGTGTTTTTGAAATAAAAAGTATAATTACAAATTATCTAATTGCATTAAATTAAAATTATCTATTTACTATTAACGATAGAAAAATTTACAATCTCTATTTAATGGCAAACAAATTTTAATTATAAATTTTATAGAGCAGCTTAAGTAAATAAAGACTTATGATGTAAGAAAAAATTTTATTAGAAATTACACTTTTACAGTTGATATATACAAAAAATAAATTTAGTATATAAAATTAAAATACTGAAGGAATAAAAATACTTGATTTCTTAGTTATAGTTGGAATCACTCTCAAAAAAATTTGTCTGTAAGGATTTTTATTTGATTAAATAGATATTTTATTCACTTTGATTAATTGGTTGGCTGATTAATTAAAATAGAAAGTAAGACGTAAAACAAAAGTACTGAAATACATGTATGATTACATATTATTACTTTTTTAATTCTGAAAATACTAAAATCTAACTTTTTGTTATAGACTCACTTTCTAAAAAAAGTTACTTAAAAAATAAATCTTACTACCTAAATGCTTAATAACTCTTGCTCTTTTTGATTTACATTTTTTTATTAAAAAAATGCTAAAGCAAATTAAAATGAAATAATATTTTCTGAAAGTAAAAAATCATTTAATGCTGCTTATGGTTTCTATAATTTGAAGTAAAAAAAGCACAGGTTTTGTTTTGTGCCTTTTTTTACTTATTTCATTTTGAGTTGTTGATAACTTATATAAAAGATCATATTTTCACCAATTTTAAAACAAAATCTAAAATTGCTTTTATGACATTCTTATTGCTTACCTCATTTGAATTCTTAATTACTTTGCATACATAGTCAATAAAGAGTGTTAATAGACTCGTATAAAGAAGCTTTATTACTAACTATATGGTTTACATATATAATCAAAACAATTTAATTTATGAGAAAAAATTTTTTTCACTTGTAATTAAATTTTTTAGCAACTCTTGATAATTTTTTTAATACATTCTGTTCAATTGATTTAGAAGAAAATATTACTGTGTTCATATTACATAAAATGAAAAATAAAATATATTGATAGATAGACAAAGGTTTCGTATTTTAGATTTCTCAAAATATAGCTTTTACACTAATTAAAAATTCTCTTTACTTAAATGATATAGCTTTATGACTTAAAAATACATAAAATATTTAGATCATAAATAAATAATTATATGTAAACAAAAAATATTATCTCATTAATATTTGATTAAAACTATTAAACTTATTAAAATGATTAGGCTCAAAAAAATTTTTATAAATGATTAGTCATTCAAACAGTGTAAATGTAACAAATAATTTTTTTAATTTGATTTTCCCCTCTCCACAAATTCAAATATCCAATTAAAAATAATGAGAAAATCAAATTAGAAGTGAAATTTTGATTGAATAAAAACATTCATTACATTTAATTTTTTTTGTTCAAAATTTATTTATTGTTGGTTGATTATAAACAGTGTAAATAAATGTTTTGAAGCAAAAACTTATTTAGAAATATTATATAACCTAAAATTTACTTACAAAACTTTTGTTATATTAAAAATGAGTATTTTAACTAAAGTGTTGTTAGCCTAATAAAACTAGTTAGATCTAGAAAATAAGTCAATAAATACTTTTTATCTATTCTTGGCAATGAAAATGGTAAGAGTGAATTGATTTTAGTTATTCTTAATTTATAGTACTATTTATTTATATATAAAAGTAATTGTTCCACAAATATTTTTGGGAAACAGATTTTAATAAATAAAAAAAAAATGATAGGCTTATATTATAAATTAATAGTTTTTATTTAGTTTTGTTTTTAATTAAAACTAATTTATCAAAAATAAAAATTTATTTTTATATTTTATCTCTGACAAATTATATAACCAATCAGAAATAAAGCAATTAATACCATTCTTATTGTTCGCTTACTTTAATTTTTCTGATAGATTAGTTTATTATAGACAGAAGGCAGATTTACACTAAATTTATATTAATTTAGCCTCTTGAAAAAAAAACAAAATTATATTTTTTGTATTAATTAAGTAGTTTTTTTTAAAATAATAACTTAAAGTTCTTTTCTCTTAAAAATTAAAATCAATTTAATAAAATTAAATTTTTATTTATATTTTTTAAGTAAAACATAGAATTAAAAATAAATAAATAAATAAATAAATAGAAGTAGATCTTTATATTATACTAATAAGGAAATCTTTTATACAAATCTTTTTTATTTTAATAAATATAATAGAATTAAATTTATTACAAACATTATTTAATTTTAAAATTAAATAGAAACATCATGTATCTATCTATTTGTCTATCTTGATTTGCTGAATTCAGCTTTATTTATTTTCTTTCAAAATCTATCTTCCATCTTCTAGTCCCATTTTACAAAATCTTTGTATCTTACATTGAAGTTAGATTGGCTAAGATTAGTAGTTGTTTATCTTCTCTCTGATACTTCCTAAATTAAGCAAAAAATATATATTTATATTCATTTTGTAATAAAATTGTTAAGCATACTGATATTAGAGAAACCTTTGATTTTATTTCTTCACCACCCGATTCAAACATTTAACAAAAGTCTTAAAAGTTTAGATCTTCGCAGTTTGCCAAACTCTTTTCAATCAGTTCTTCTATATCAATAGTCAATTCGAACTCGTTTTTGATCACATCGATTAACTTTTCCTTTTTAATAACTCCTGTTTTATCTGGGTTTCCACCCATAGCAACAAATGCGTCAACTTTTTTTCAATAAATTTTATAAAGCAAATTAATAAATAAACCAAATTCATTAATAAGTCAAGATTGCTTTTATATATTAAAATAGAAGTAATTAATTACTGTATTCTAAATCTTCTTATTCTTGCTCATCTTTTTCTTGTTTTTAGATTGTTAGAAAGATTTAGCAAAGCTGAGGAAAAGTGACTCTTTTCCATTTATTTTTATCACACTCTGCTCCAACTCTCTTTTTGATTTCTTTAGAATTAAATTTAAAGTCGAAGTCTTTATTTTATTTTATAAAAAAATTGTTATAAAATGCTAAACATAATCAAAGCAAAATAAAAAAGCGTAAAAAAAATGGTGTTTAGTTACTTGAAAATATGTCATCTATCTCATAATATTAAATTGCCCCTATATTTTTATCATCAAATTTCAGAAATTAAACTCTTAAAATTTCTATTTCATTCTTTTCTATTTTCATTTCTTTAAGAACGTTTATTACTTCTGGATCTGTCATAACTCCTGAATTCCTATTACAAAAAAACAAAATATTACCTTGCTTATCAATCTACTTTATTAGATATAAAATATTACCTTTTCTTAATTGAAACTACTGCAATACTTTATTTAGGTTGGTTATTTGATGGTGTAGTTACAGAAGTATTTTAAGGCATTGCTTACTGAAAAATTGTTTTTGTGTCAAAGTGAAAAAAAGCTAATTTATGACTCTTTACTTTTAATTATTTTTTTAGATAATTTATTATTCCTACAATTAATTAAGTAGAAGGAGAAGTAATAAAAATTAAAAATAAGGCCTTCCAAGCCAAATAAAAAATTTAAAATAAGTGATGTTGTTTTTCATTTATATTTTGAATAATAAAATTAAAATAGAAAAAAATGAGTTATTTTATTTATTTATTTATTATAATTTATTGTTGGTTTTGTGAGGTTTAAAAGACTTTTATTAATTTTAATTATTAATTGATTAAAAGAAATTTATTTGCTTCTGTTTCATGTTTAGGTTTCACATTTTCTAAATTAAAATAATTTAATTATAAAAAAATAGTTTAGAAAAATATCTAATTAATCAAAGAATTTAATAAAGTTTATTTTTTATTAATAATTTTATATTGACATCAACCAAAATTAAAAGTGTGAAGAATTTGAGTATTAAAATTTGATATTTGTAATTTGAAATTATAAAATGGAATTAAATGACTAATTATATGCAAGATATTTAGAATTTTCTTCAATTATTTTATTACAATACAATTCAGGTAAATTCTCCTAAGATAAAATTTACTCTATCACTTAAACTTTTAAAAATTATACATAATCTCACTTAGTAGACTGTTTTTTCAGCGCACATTTAATTATTACTTAGTCTTAACTCTCACAAAATAGTATATATTAATATATTATTAATAAAGCATATTGTTTATACGTTATATAGGGAATCAATACTGATTCATAACATAATATTAAAAAATCTAGAATTAAGGATCAAGTAATTTTAATGTTTCCTTTAAGAATATCTTTAGAGATTATTAGCAAGGCATAACATATTAAAGTTAAGTTATTTATTATTTTAAGAGACCAGCTCTTCACACAAAAGTATAGCAAAAAACATTATATAAACACAAAATTATGTCTTCCACACAAGTTTAGTAGAAAATCCCAACAATTTAAGATTATATACAAGCTTCTCCTTTACCTCTTCTAGGATTTCTAGGAGGTTTAGCAGCTTCAACTGCCGAAACTCTTACTTTTGCATTTGATAACATCAAGACACGTATGCAAATGAATGGAAAATAAGGAATGCCAACTTATACTGGATTTGGAGATTGCATCAAAAAGACTTTGAATACTTCAGGCTTTAGAGGATTCTATAAAGGTCTTTCAGCAGCACTCTTTAGACAAATCACTTATTCTAGCGTTAGAATGTGGGTTTACGAAAACATCAAAAGAGCTTACTTCTAATCTGACCCCTCATTCTTAACTAAATTAGCTGCTGGTGGCTTTGCTGGAGCTGTTGGATGCCTCGTTGGTACACCAGGGGATGTATTCAAAATCCGTCTTATCAATGATATGCAAGGTACTAATTTTCGAAATCTAATTAATTCTTTCGATTTCTTTATTTTGAAGTCCTTCTTTTTCACTATTTTTTTGATAACTCCTACAAGGGACTATCTATTTATATATCTTTAAATGTATGCTTGAAGTAAAAAGCATCAAAATATATTTTTACAAGTTTCCTATTTTTAAAACATTTTAAATTTGTATACTAATACAAAAATCAAACTAAAAATAAAAGGTTTAAAGTATAAAGGACTGATAGATTGCGCATAAAAAACTTTCTAAGCTGATGGCTATATGGGATTTTTAAAAGGGCTCAATGTTAACATCGCCAGAGCAATAGTAGTTAACGCTGCTGAATTAGCAAGTTACGATTAAGCTAAAGGATTTTTAGTTAATCAATGCTAATTAAGAAGCGATTCTCTCTGGACCCACTTCTTAGGTTCAACAGCTGCTGGTAATGAATTATATAATTATTTTATTTTTTGCCATACTTAAAAAAATATGCAAAATATTTTTAAACACGCTAAACATAATATCAAAAAAAATTGCACAAATACATTCCCATTTTGGAAGCTTTATAAACCATATTGCAAACTAAAAACTGCTTTTAGGAAAAAAATAAAAGAAGAGGGATATTGTTCGCTTAGTGATTCGCTAGTTTTTTTTATTTTTCTAAAGAAGATTCATATGAATATGTATTTTCTACTTTATCGATATTAAAAATTTAGTGTTTCACTACTATTAATATATCGCGCATTATCCCTAATAATTGTTTGCTTTTTTGAGAGAATCGACGTAACAATTAACTTTTTTAAAAGTTAAGGAGCTGATTATAAAATTAATAAAATCTTCACAAATTTTGTTGGATTAAGTTGAAAGATGTTTCTCTAATTTTATTTGGAAACCTAACCCCTTTATTCAAGGCAAAATTTTGTAATTCAATATTTATGTAAAGGTGACGAAGTAATTATTTTCAGCAATTATCAGATATAAGATTCGGAAATTTGATTAATTGTTTTAAATATTTTGATAAATTTTTTATTCTAATTTGTGAAGAATATGTAAAGATAAAAAATCTTTTATATTTCTATGCCTTCATCATTCTTAAATATTTATCATCATCTAAATCATCAAGAATTACACCTTATATTAAATCATTATTTGAAAATTAAATCTAAATTTAGGTTTTATGGGCGCAGTATGTAGTAGTCCGGTTGATGTCATTAAAACTAGATTTATGAATCAAGTCTCAACTGAAGGAGCGTTAGCATATAAATCTGCAACAGAATGCGGTTTAAAAGTATTAAAGACAGAAGGATTTGGAGCCTTCTATAAAGGATTCTTAAGTTATTTCTTAAGAATTGGACCCTGGAATGTATTTTTCTTTATGGCATACGAGTAATATAAAGCTTTCGCGCTTCCAAGACTTGTTAAATTTTGAATTTATAATTGATATTTATAAACAATTATGTTGTACACATTTTATTCTTTTATAAGTTTAGCTTACTTAAAGATCAATATCATAATTTATAATAAACGTTTCTTATTACCACCTTTGTCACATAAAAAGTGTAAATTCTTGTGTATTATTAATTCTATTAAATTATATTCGGGTTTATTTAGAAATATTCTTGAGTAAAATATTTATTACCTTTGAAATTCTATTTTTATATTGTTTTTACTATATAATAAAACAAACAAATTGTAATCTATTTATTTGTCTATACTCATTTAAAAATGCAATTCAAGCATATAATTTGAATTTTATTCATTTTTTAAGTTAAATTTTGTAAATAATAAAATTATTTTGAATTATTTAATTTGGTAGATTAGCATCATTTTGTTAAAAAATGCTAAAAATAACAAATAAATAATTATAGCAAATTTTTATGTTTTGATTTTTAAAGCAGAACGAAAATTAATTATTATGCAAATCATTCAATTTTATAAATATAAACAGAAAAAAGTTTAAATTATTTTAATTTAGTTTACTTTTTCAGAAGATAAAAAATATATTAAGATTAAAATACAATTTAAATTATAAAAATAGTCAATTTAAATATTTTGCTTTCTTAACAAATATACAATTGCAAAATAACATACAAACAAATTCAGTAAAAGATGTTTTAGATAATTTGCTTATTAAATTGCTTGTTTTTCTTAATTTTTTATAATTTTTTTTTAAACAATTTGATAAGTAAAAAAAATTAAAATTAAAAAACTACTTCTTCACTATTCGTTTTTCATTTAATTAAACATAGATTTGTTTCTCTTCATTAATTATTTTACTATTTTTCTTTTAACATCAAACTTTTCGCAAAAAAACAAAGTAAAAACACTTATCAAGTATAATGCAAAAAAAAATCTTTTTTAGTTTAATATTGTGTTTACTCTTAAATTCTTTGATAGCCATCAAAGTAAACTAATCTTAGTCTTAAATATCTGGTTAACAAGAAGACGAACAAGAATGGAATACTACCCAAGATTAAAGTTACAATAACAACGAAGTTGTGTAGGATAAAAATTAAGAGGATAATAATAATTACTAAAACTCAAATGATCAAAGAGGAAATTAACAAAACTCAAGCTAAAGTAGTTAAAAATAAAATGATTTTGACAACAGTATTTAGGATAGTGAAAATAAATAGGGTAATTAAGAATAAAATATGAGTACATCTTAAGAAGTTAATAGCAATACAGATAATTAAAATAATAATCAATCATAGTCTTAATAAGCAGGAGCTTCTAATTTAAGCAATTAACAAGACTATGATAATTATAGTAACTAAGGATATGAAGATACAAATGAAAATGAGCAATAATAGAACACATTAAATAATTAATAAGAAAATTAAAATTATAATTCTGATAGCTATAGCAATGAAAATTAATCACAAAACTAAAATCAATAAGCATAAAGCAATTAATAAAATTAATCTAATTAGAATTCAGCAAATGATATAGCTTAATATGCTCAAGACTAGTATCAGTAGAATTAAAATTAATCTACAAATTAGTAATAATAATAAGCAAATACTTAATAGTAAAAGTAGGTATAAGATAATTAATTAAACTAATATAAAAACACAGTAGCAAAATAAATTGATTCACAACAAGATTTAGATAGTTTAGATATTCTTCAAGCCTATTTAAATAAATTTGATGGATCTAAGGTTCCTTCTGCTATTTAAGATGTAGAGACAATTTTTGAGCTACCTCTGACAGATTCGGTATTAGATAATGATGAAACAGACTTAGAAGTTGAAGAAGTTTTTGGTAATGAAATTTTAAAAGCTGTAGAATTATCTGAAGAAGACCAAGAGTTAGAACATTAACTTGAGCTGGTAGAAGAAGATGCTTTGAAATATGAAGACCCTGAAAATGAATTACCTACTTAATAATCTGCTAATGTTAATAACCAACAAAATATCAGTTCAGTCGATAAAGTTAACCAAACCCAAAATAATTAAAACTAATAAGGATAAAATATATAAAACTCTTAAAACAACTCTAAATTTATGTAGAAACATTTCGAAGTAAGTTAACATACTGCTCAATAAGAAGCTATTGTAATAGTTTTGATATTTACTGTTTTGATTGCAATTATTGTGATTATTTCCATTAATTACTAAAAAATTAGCTAATGGAAAAATTATTTAATGTGGAAAAAAATCCCACTCTAAAGCAACTAAAATTAAGATCTCGAAAATGATGATGATAACGAAAATTAATAACTTTTAATATGATTTTTTATAGAATATTTCTAACGTTTTGAATTATTTTTAAATATATTTTGTAATTTTATTTCAAATTTTAATTTTGCAATTCTTGAGTTTTTTTTGCTTTAAAATACTTTATTATTATTGATATTTCATCATAAATTTTTTACTTTTATAGGTAAAAAATATTTCCTCATAACCAATATTATAGATTGATAAATTAATAAATTAGATAATTTATTTTATTAAATAAATATAATTAAAGTTTAAACAAATCGAATAGATATTTTAAAAATGAATCACTTTTTTAAACAAGAAAATAATATATGAACTTAACTTAAGCTCATTTAATTTAAAATTATTAAAATTTACTTTATTATATTATATCAAAACTTAGTAAAATTATAAATTTAAAATATTTAAATTTTGTCTATGAAAATAATAAAATTTATTCTTAATTTTTCACTAGGCTTTTTTAAATTTCATTTAAATAAAAAAATTTAATAAATATTGTATTCAGCTAAATTAAACAGAAAATGGCTGATGAATTGGTACACTTATTATCAATATTATAATTTTTTATTATTTGTACTTGAAATTAAGTTGCATTTAATCAGCATAGTTGTCAGACTATTTATTTTTAAATTATTTCAATTTTTTTGGATATTATGCAATTAAATTATATAAAAATTTTTAAATATTTGTTAAATTTTTAATCAAAAATTGAAAAATTAAATCAAAAAAATTTAGTTTTACTAAAATGAATATTTAAGATTAAGACGATTTAGACGCATGGCTTGTTGAAGTAGAATTAGCTAGCTAAAAAATTAAAGACTTAGCTTAAGGAAAGGTCAAAGTAGAAGATTTTGACCGTAAAGAGAAAGAAAGATTAAGGAAAAAAGAAGAAGAAAAGCGTAAGAAAGAATAGGAAGAGGAGAGATTAAGAATGGAAGAATACGAAAGAAAGAAATAAGGACGCAAAGGAAAAGGAGTTGAAAATAATTATTTGAGTTTTTGCAAATTTTGTTTTTGGGAGTATGAACTTCCCACACCTTAATGTAAAAATATATAAATATATTTTAGTTTCTTGTTGTTTTAAAAATAATTTTAATTTAGGTATAAGATGTAACAAGGACACAATTACTTATGATTAAAGAATGGAAGAATTAAAAGGTAAAGTTGATGATTATAAGAAGCACAAGGTAAAAAGAGATGAAAGAAAAAAGAAGTGGGAACTTTGGAAAAAGACATAGTCAATGCTTTGGAAAAAGACAAGCACAAATTACTCTAAATGGGATTATTATACATCAGAATCTGACTCTGAGCCTGAAAATTCTGAACCTGTTGTACCTAAAGATGATCCAAATTTTAAGGCCTTAGAGATGGATATTGAATAAAGAAAGAAAAAAAGAGCAAATGATAGAATTATTGCAGAGGGATATAAATAAAAGGTAATCATAAGAGTTTGTTTTAGAAATAATTTAACTTATTGTTATTAATAAGGGTAACGATGCTATGGCCAAAGAAGATTATAAGTAAGCAGTTGAAATGTACTCTTTAGGCTTAGATAGCATGAAAGATATAAAAGCTCTTTGGACTAATAGAGCTTTAGCATATATTAAGCTAAAAAAATACTCTAAAGCTATTGAAGATTGCACTCGTATTTTAGATTACTGCGAATGCTTCGAAGAAGGGTACACCAAATCAAGAGATAGTGCATTTAAAGTAATTCAATTTTTATCAACCTATTTTATATTGTTATATTTTAATTATCAAATAGGCTTTCTTAAGAAGAAGCTATGCAAGAAAAGAAAAAAAGGATTACAAATAAGCTTTAGATGATATTTTAGAAGCTCTAAAATTATACCCAAACGATAAGGCTGCACTTGATTTAAAGACTGAATTAGAGTTTATCTAAAAGCATAAAGAGTAAGCCTCAAAACTGTTACCAAAGCATGAATTTGAAGTCCTCAACCCTTAGTCAGAGAATCAATAAAAGAATCAAGCTGAAGTACAAAATGCTGAAAATAAAAAATAGGAAAATGAAGATGAAGATGAAGAAGACTAAGATCTAGAAGAAAGAAAGGTAGAAAACAGAACAGATTAAAAATAAGCAAAAGTACCTTTATCAGAAAAATAAACAAATTAGCATGAATTAAATGAAGTTGTTAAAGATTAAAAGGAAAGCGTAGAACTCTAATAAAAGCCAGTAGATGAACAAGATAAAACTTTAGATTAAAAAGCAAAATTATAAGAGTAAAATATAGACTAAACTCAATAAAATGGATGTTAGAGTGAGCAAAAGTAAGTAAAAACTGAATCTTAGCCTGAACAAAATAACAATAAAGAGAATATCTAAACTGAAAATTAAAATAAAGATGAAGGAGATATAAAAAAACGAGCATAGAAAGTTGATAGAAATAGAAATTATAAAAAATGTGTTGACTATTTTATGGCGAAAGATGCTTCTGAAATTGACGATGATGATTTAAAAGAAATTGTTGAACATATTGCACGTAATAATGAAGCAAAAATATACTTTTTCGAGAAAAAAGCTACAGCTAGAATTGAAAATTTACTTAAGCTAAAAAAACAGTGCTATCTCTTAGCTAACACATTAATAGATGATAACATTTTATATCAGACCTAATTTTTAAAAAATGAATGCCATTTGTTGATATAGTCTCGTGTTTAGGAATTATTGAGTGAAAACTAAAATTAGGCTTCTGGTAATTATAGCGAAATCGAAGATGCATTTGAAGTACTTAATACACTGTCTACTCTAGAGCAAACTAGGAATAAGCTATCATCTGACAAAAAGACAATTGAATTCGTCAAAAATATGTGGGAACCTTTAGTTAAAATTTATCAAAAGGAACCTTATATCACCTCAAATTACTTAATCTTTGTATCTAATATGTGCTATGGCTAGACAACTGTTAAAAAAAATTTAATCACAGACTTAAACAAGATTTTAAATGACTTGAATAGTAATCAAAATTTTTATACCATTTTTTAATTAAAATATTTTATAAATAAAAGATATTATGTAGAATGAAAAAAAGAAGTTTAGTTTTGAGTCTTTAAGAGAAAACTGTTACAATTTAATAGCAAATTTGTTGACTGAAGAATCTGTCAGATTATTATTTAGCTAAGATAAGTACACTCAAGTGCTTGAGACAGTCATTATGAGAATAACTTATTATGATTTAGCTTAAAACCCAAAATATCTTAAGTCTGCAGAAGCTGCCTTGGCTCTTTTAGTTAACATCAGCTTTTAAGCTACTCCTTAAATGCAAGTGATTCTTAAGAGACTCTGTACTGATTTAATAATTATAGGTAGGTTTTTCAAGCTTAATTGGAGAAACTAGCAATATTTTGAAGTTTACAATAGATCTCTGCAAATATTGGCAAAGCTCGATTACACAGACAGTAAACTAGCTGAAAGACTATTTGAACTATAGGATATGTTTGAAAATGAAAAGTTTGCAGGTCATCTCATCCGTTTGTATGCTAATATTACAACAAACCCCTCTCAAGTGGCTATTTTGAAGGACAGCAAAAAAGTTGATTTTAAAAATTTAAGTAAAATCCTCAAAAAATACATGAACCAAGATGAGGAGACAAAGTTTTGCAACTCTTGCAATTTGGCTTCATATATAAATGAATTCGTTCCAGATTTATTAATTGAATATAAGGAAACAATTCCTCGCCTAATAACAGTTTGCAAAGAAAAGACAGGAAATCTAAGAAAAAATGCCGCTATTTTCTTAGCAAAGTTAGCTAAAAATTAATAAAATTTAGAAGTTATTCGCTCCTTACATGGTATTGAAATTTTGCATTCTATTACTTCATTAGTCGTTTAAAAATGAATAAGTGTAAACAAATATGACCATATAATTAATTAAAATATTCAATGAAAATAATATCTATTTGTTAAAAAATTAAATGTTTATATGTTTGTGTTTGCTTGCTTAACTCACTTAACTTTAATATTACTAAGATTTATATTTATAAAAAATTATAACACTTAACATTCAAATAAATGTAATTTTACATTTTAAGATTTTTTTTATGCAAAAATAAAATATGTGCACACCTTTTAAAATGAAGTTAAGCCTTAAGATCATAAATATTATTCTACGTGATTATTACTCAAGTGAAAAAGAAAGGGTAGGGAGTATATAAAGAAGGAGTAAAGCATATTTTTAATTTACTTAAGACTTTGTATTTTTAATAATACTTACATCAATCCATACTATTTAGTTTTTCTATTTGCAGGATACTTACATTAATTAATCTGTGGATATGATGATTTCAAATCCTAACTTTGATTTTTAAAGTTTGTTTAATTTTATTTTGACTTAAAAAAATAAAATATAAATTGGTTTATGTGTATTCAAAATTGCGTTTGAATAGAAGGTTTCATACTAAAAAATTAATTTATTTTGAATTTTTTTATTAATAATTTTTTCTATATAAACATATAAAGTGAAATAAATAAATAAGTAAATAAATAAATACATAATATAAAAATAGAATAAAATAAATTCAACTAGCTTTATTCATTTAGTAAAAAATTAAGTTTTATTAACTATTTTATAGTTTTTTTAAAAAGTTAAATTTATTTTACAAATTATCATTAGAGTTAGTTATATGTAGAAATTGCTTATCAAATATTTTTATTATTTAGTTATTTATTTATTTATAATAAAGTTAATTATAATTTAAAGTAAAATATATCTCATATTAATTGCTTAAGGAGTTCAGTTATTTTTTAAGCTTTATTGATAGTTTTTACTTTATTAGCTATTGTTTGGTATAGTTTCTTATTAATTACAATTTGATAGGACTTTTAGATAGTTGATATATAGTTTGAGTTAATAAATAAATTACATTTTTTCCTTTTCAAATTGTTTATTTACATGTTGGACAACACTAGTTTATTTCTAACCAATAACCTATACAAGCTTTATGGAAAATGTGTCCTCCATTACAAGGTAGTTCTGCTAAATCTTCGTCTATTTAGTAGTCTGAATAGCAAATAATACACTAACCTTCACATTTTCCTAGCTAACTTTCATTCTTATATTTGAAAAACTTACAATTTCTTATATTACGCTATTATTTTTATAAATTAATTTGTTAAAAAATAGTCATGAATACTTTTTATCAAAACAAAATTTAAAAATATTTTAAAATTATACTAAATTTTATGCATCGTATTTTTTCTTCCAGGTAATACAAGCCCTTACTACATAAGCGAGAGAGTATAGTACCAAAATTATAAGATATTAAGCCAAATTTACAAGTAAAGCTGTTTAAAGAATTTAAAATGTTTGCAATTGGCCATCTAATTAATTATATTTTAAAAAAGCATTGTTATTTAAAAGTTTAATTTTTAGCTATTAATAATGAAAGGCATCAAAATAAATAAATCATTACTATCTTAGATTTAGTTGCAATCACCTTTTATTGAATCTTGATTAACAGAGTAATAAATAGAGGAGAATATTATCACAAAAAACTGCCCACTTATATTATAATAGATAATATTGTAAAATGGATGTTTTCAAGAAAAAATATTTTATAAATTACAATTTGAGGAAAAACTGAGGTACAATTATCGATGGATACTTAACATGAAGCGCTCTTAAAATATTGTTACAACTTTGTAGATCAGATACCTTTAATCTCATATCACTGAGTTACTTTTTTGACAGATTTTAATATTCTTTTTTGTGTAGAGTCAAAACACCAAAAAAATCAAGGAAACACACAAAGAAACTTAAAATACAAAGAGGAATTAAAGTTCCTTAAATAAACTTTTTGCCATCTTAGCAAAATGAAGAATCAAGCTAAGATGTCAATCCCGTTATAGATAGAATTAGGATGAAGAGATTTATACAGCCTGTAATTCCCATGCTAACCATTAATGCTTTTAAAATTTTTAGCATGTGTCTTAACTAAAAGTAACCTAACCCAAAGTCATTAATGTGCAGGTTATGAACTAAGCCAATATTATTATTGTCTTGTTATACATTGTTTTAAATCATTCCTAAGGGATGTATCGCATGAAGTTACTAATTTTGAGCTTATTGTATATTTTATCTATGAGAAAGAATTTAATTTTACTATACAGCAGGCTAATTTGGCATTTATACTACTGCGTTCATTTAGTAGACTATTTATCTAGGAATTGTGCTATTACTTTGATTTTAGTTGCTATCACTGCTATTTGAAAGAATATTTTAATTAGGAGCTAAACATGGACCAATGTTATTATTTAGGCTTATTATTTTACTGTTACATGGTTCTCTTTCTTGATCAACAAGATTTTCATTTCTGTTGTTTTAGCTTCCTTGTTAAAAAAAAGTCAGAACTCTAGATATCTCTTATTTTCTTAGCTTTTGAGAGTGACTTAAGCTTTAGTATTCCTAAGCGATATCCATGTTATTAGTACTCTCTGATCCATCTGCTTAACTTTTTGACTCTCCTTCCTTTTATTCAACTTGCGCAACCTTGAATAAGTTTATAATCTAAGGTTAATCTGATAAATTTTTTTTAAGACTGCTACTTTCACTATAATTTTTATGCTAAGTAGGAGATGTAGGTAAATTGCAGTCACAATCTCCCTAAATAATTTGCATACTTACTGAACCTTTCTTGCATTCATTATACAATGATTATACATTTGGGTTTTTGTTGGTATACATTACAGATTTACTTGTAGAGAATATTGGTATTTAGTTTGCATTTTGTCCTGAAGAATTTTCTTCTTCCATTACTTTCCTGTCCGAAACAGATTCAGATATCTATTCTTCTAATTACTATTAACTAACTTTTAGCATCTTAAATAAATAACTCAACGTAGTATATTCCTAAATGCAGATCTAAATCAATAGAGTTATTGCTGATTAACAAATGTTCTATATATGCACACAAAGATCGTTGTTGGCTATTTAGCTAAAGTAATATATATGTGTGTTAAACTTAAACTTGTTTACTTTATAAAATTCAATTATTTGTTTATATAGAAGTTTATATATTTTAGATTTAAATTTTTCTCTTAATTTTTAAATAGATATAGAAATCATTGTATTTGATGTATGTATGGATCAATTATCTAACTAAATAATTGGTTTATATATTATATTATAAAACCTTAAGAAAAGAATTTAATAAAATTGCAAAAAATTTGATTTGAAGAAAAAAAAAAATCACACTAATTAAATTACTCATTAATTATCAATGTATTTTTGATATTTTTAATTAAAGTAGAAAAGGATTTTTTAGATTGGAAAAAAAAAAAGAAAGAAATCGTTTATAAAACTAGATTGATTAATTGATTGAAATTATTACATTTGAAATTTACATCTTGATTTTGAATTAAGGTAATAATACTTTTTATATTATGTAATTAGTAATTTTATTTACTTTTCAGTTAAATTTCGGAAGTTAATTTATGTTAATTTTTTTGTTGAAACAAACAAACAAACAACTTCCTTCATTTTCTCTATCCTTTTTTATCAATCTTATAAGTTTTCTTATTTTATTTATTCTCCTTAGTTCTCTACTTTAATTTACAATGAATTGATTTAATTTTAATTTGGGTATTCTTATTTGCAAAGAACTTGATAATAATCTTCATTTTCTTTGAGGATATACTCAAATTATACTTACTTATTAGATCCTAACAGAAAAAATGAGTTTTATTTCATTTCTTCTAACTCTTATTTTTTAAATGAGAGTTAATCATAAAAGAAGCCAAAATGCACCTTAAAATAAAATTGCCTACCACATTTTCCAAACAATCTGTTGAATATCATCTCAAGTATAAATACTAGTCTAAGTAGTTTTTTATACATAGTCATCAATACTTTCATATAGATCATCGATTTATGGCAGTAAAGTTTCAAATCTAATGTTAAAATTTTATTGCCTTGAGGTATTAAATTTAAGCTTCCATTAAAGTCAGGATCAAAATAATTGATAATTCCTTTTTTGTGGCTATATTCTGTTTCAAATGATTTTTAGTATTTTTTATGCTTTTTTATATAAAATAAATAATTATTTAAATTAAGTTTGTTCATGCTAATTTTTAAATTAATTAAATAACTTAAGTTATTTATTTCTCTATTTTTCATAAATTTTAAGTCAAGTATTTGATTACACTTCTTGAATTTAATTTATAAAAAAATAAATAAAACCATTGTTTTACTTTTTTCAATTAATGATCAAATATTTGCTTTCCATATAACTTTAGAAGTGGAGTATTCATTGAGCGTTCTAATAAATATTTATATATTTCTTATCCACTAGTAAGTCCTTTAGAAAAGAACACTTTCTTTAATTATGAAGAAATTAATTAAACACTCTCTGATAGATACAACTTTCTTTTTTATGGAAATTGATCTGAAATTGGTAATAAAGAGAAGAATTCGGATTTAAATAATTTGTCAAGGTATTTCATTAAAGCAGAATAAGTTTAAAGAAAGTTCTCTCTTCTGATATAAATTTTTTATCTTTCTAGAGTAATTTAACTAATATATTCAATTTTTTCGTTTTCATTTCTTTATTTGCTGAATCTACTTTTAAATTGTTATTAATTGCTAAACAAAGAACTATCATCATTTTCCTCTTCTATTTCTGAAGGCTGTTTTTCTTATTCTTGAGCTTGCTATAGAAAAAATTGCGAAATTTCATAATCTTCTTTATTTTAAATTCTATCTTACAAATTTTCATATTAATTTTAGTACTCTACTTCCATCTGCATAAAAAAATTTACAATTTTTTTTGTTGCAAAATTTTTTAATATTTTTTAATAATAAAAATATTTATTCTAATTATTATTTCTAATTTCATTTAAATGCTTTTAGCCTATATTTAATTTATTTAGTGGAAAATATTAGCAGACTATATTTATATTTCTTCTATAATATAAACAAATTTTTATATAATTTTAAGACATTTTTATTTATTTTTTAACTCAAGCATTTTGAAGTAAAAAAATAATTTTATAAAAAATTACTAAATTAATTAGAATGGGTTTGTTATTTGTTTATAAACAATTTAATATTTTTAAGATAAATCTTTGATTAAAAAAAGAGTAATATCATTTAGTTTGTTTTAAGATTTTATATGTTTATGAAATTCACTGTAAAGACTACACAACATTTTTTAAATGTGATAAAGCGTTCTTTCTCAGTATAAGCTGAATAACCTATTTTAGTTAATGGAAATAAAATATCAAAAGATGTGCTTTAAAAAGTGAAGGAAAGGATACTAAGTATTCGTGAAAGTAGACTTTGTTATTTTTATTCTAGATTATTGTTTAATTTTTGATGCATGGAATTTCTTAAATGATGTATTAGCTATAATATTTTTCTATTGGTTTTTAGCATTAAATATATTAATAACTAAAAAGGAGTAAATATTAGAGAACCTAAGCTAGCTATAATATTAGTTGGTAATGCAGCTGATTCAATATCTTACGTTTCAGTCAAATAAAGAGCTTGCAAGCGTGTAGGAGTTCAATCTGAGTTGATTCATTTACCTGAAACAACAACTTAAAAAGAAGTTATTTAAATAGTTGAAGACTTGAATAAAAGAGAAGACGTTGATTCAATATTAACATAAGTAAATTTACTTTTTTTGCTTATTGCTGTAAAATCAATGATTGTTATTATTCATTACAATAAAATAGTTACCGTTTCCAGCACAAATTTCAAAGACTATTGTAATCAATTAAATTGAACCAAGTAAAGATGTGGATGGTTTGTAAAGATGTTTCCTCACTTAATAGTTAATTTGGGATGATCATAATAATAGAGCTCTCCCATGCACTCCATAATCTTGCTTGCACATTCTTGATACTCATAAGATCGATGTAAAAGGTAAATAAGTTGTTATGCTTGGTAAAGGCTTGCTAGTAGGATCTCCTTTAGGCGCAATTTTGCTTGGTAGAGGAGCTATAGTTAGTATGTGTGATAAGAAAAGTGATTTGAGTATTGCTTTAAAAGATGTAAGAAAAAAAATTTTTATTTTGATAGAATTTTCGATTTGTTCTAAAATATAAGTAGTTAAGCAAAATCTGTGTGCGTATCTATCTATATATGAATGCTCTGAACTAATTCAAATGATTTATATTACTAATTTAAGTCTAATATTTTAAATTAAAATATTTATTTATTGATTTTTATTATAAGGCTGATATTTTAGTATCTGCTACTGGTGTTAGAAAATTAGTTAAAGGGGAGCAACTTAAAAAAGGAGTTATTGTTATTGATGTTGGATGCAGTAGACCTCTTCCACACGAAGATTAGTCATCTATTGTTGGAGATGTTGAATTCGAATCAGTAATGTTAACTTAGATTAAAAATCATTATATTTAATTCTTTTAGTAAAATTTTGAATGTTTTTAATTAATATGAAAAGGTAATATTAAAGGCAAGTTTATTAACACCAGTACCTGGAGGAGTTGGGCCTGTTACAGTCAGTATGTTGATTCAAAATGTTGTAAAATAATGGGAGAGAAATAATAGTGTACTAATTTCTTAAGTTAAATTTGAAGATGTTAATCAATAGGATAGGGAAAGTCTAGATTCAATGGAAAAAGAATAATAAGTAGATAGCCATTAAAAATAAATAAATGACATAAATGAGGGTATTTATAAAGAAGAAATTGCTGATCAATAGCAAGAAAAATTAAAAAAGATAATTTAAAACCCTAAAAAGGATATTCTAATTTAATGATTTGAATAAAAATAGTACTAAGTAATAAATATAACTTTTATTCTAATAGAAAATGTTATACATATTTAAATTTTATTTTATCCCTTAAATAATAAATTTATTATTTCCAAAAATAACTATGTATTTTATTTTATAATCAATAAAAAATTATTATCTAACATTAATTTTGTTAAAAAAAATATGTAATTTTTACATCTGAAATTCTTTAAAAATTATTTTTATTATAAATTTAAATTAATATTTTTTAATTTTTTAATCAAATAAATTTTTTAAACAAACAATTATTAATATAATTTAAAATTAAAAATTAATTTAAAGAATTTATTTTTAAATTAAAATTAATTATTTTAGATTTCCTAATTATTTTTTATGATCAAAATAATGAATACCACTAATTCTGATTAATTAAGGTGTAAAATTATAGTTTTTAGAATAATCTAAACTTAAGGTATTTCATTTTAAAATTTTTGCTATTTTTTATTTTTTAGGAAATAATAAAAGTGAATTTACAGTATTTGCCAATTTTTTACTATTTTTCAAATGAATTTTAAATAAATTAAAAATTTTTCTGAAAAAATAGTAAGTATGGGTAATCAATAACAAAAATAAATTCAAAAAAAAAAACAAACTTTTAGAAATCCAAAGGAGGTAATCTATTATTAATCTTTCCAAATTTATAATTTTACATTTTAAAATACAATTTTTTAATAGCTTTTAAAATCTAGTCAATAAACGCTCTCTAACATTTGCATTAACCTTAATAAAATAAAATTCAAGTAAAATTTATAATACTTTTTACAAATATAAATATTATCAAACAAATATTTCTAACAGTAAATTTATGATTTTCTTAAAAAAATATTGTTTAAATATAGTTGGGTGAAGTTTAGATTTGAAGAAAAAAGCTTTTAAGAGTTACATTTCGACTTATCTAATTGTATTAATCTCTAAATTTTAGAGCTGAACTTCTTTTCATTGTACTGATTAACTTATTTTTGCTAATTTTATCAGATTGATACTTAAATTAATTTAACAAATAAATAAAATAAAAGATTTTCAATTTATGTTATTTAATCATATATTTAGCTTTAAATTTAATAAACAAACATAAAAATAGTCAATTTTAGAGAGATCCTGTAAAAATTCTATCCTCTACTTTAAAAACATGTTGTAATCTGTCAGCTTTAATAATAAATTTAAGGTAAATTTATTTAATTATTTCCTTATTTCGAATTTCTAAAACTTTCTTAAATAATTAGGAAAACTGTTATTATTTAAATATTAAAAAATTTTACTTTTTCATCATTATAAATCAATAAAGGATAAAATAATTTATAGTTTATAGAACTGATTTATTAGGTTTAACTAAAAAATAAACTGGTATATGCAGTGTTTTATTTTTTCTATAAAATAAGTTATTTAAATTATTGAGCTTATAGAATAAATTACAAATTTTAATTATAAAAGATAAAATTATGTTAGCAATTAAGGGATAAAAGAGCTTAATTCAGCATTAGTTGATTTTACTGTTCTTTAGACTTTGATACTTGATTTAAGGTAAATTTTATGTTTCCGAGATTTAAAATATTTATTTAAAAAGAAATAAAATTGATAAATTTAAATAGACAGAAAGATAACATTTACCCTTAAATTTTATTTACAATTACTAAATAACTTTCATAAAGCTTTTTTAAAATATAATACTTTTTCTATAATCCATCCATAATTTTGTAAATTGATGATAAAGAAGATTATAAAAAATACATATCTAATAATATCAAATAATTTAAAAGTAATAATTATATTTCTGACTAAGACTTCATAGAATTAAGCTCTGCCATACATAGCTGTTCAAATCTTTAAAATTTAATTCTTGATCTTAGGTAATAATACTAAGACTATTTAAAATAATTCTTTATTACTTACTTATTTATTTAGAAATTAAATATTCAAATTTAAATAAATCTTCAAATATGTTTAATTTTTATTATTTCTACTTTTCAAATAAAATTTAAAATTTATTAAAAGCGGAAATTATATTGTTAATATAGAACAAAGCATTTCATGTATAGCTAAGTGTTCGAATCTTATAAATTTGAAACTCAACTTCAGGTTTTAAATTTTACTTAATAAAACAAATCAATTGATATTTTATATTATAGTTATAATAAGGAAACAAATCTCATGTAATTAATAAATCTAGGGTCTCATTTTGTAAAAAATTCAAGTGACCTTCAAACTTTGAACCTAAAATACGAGTAAACAAAAATTAATACAAGTTTATTTACTAATATATTATCTTAAAATTTAATTAAATAAAAATCTATCATACTTACTTACTTACTTTATAAAAATCATTAAATTTTTATTTATATTATTAGGACTGTTAGCTCATTCCATCTTAATTTCCTTGATCATTTTCCCTTTTAATATACCTAGTCTGAGTAAATTTATTTTAATTTAATTTAATTTATCATTTTTATCATTTTGAAGTTTAGTTTTTCTTAATTGTTAAAATATTTTCTCTATTTTTTTTTGATTTTATAAATTAATTCAATTTAAAGAAATTCATATGGGCTCACTGAAAAATTTACACCTAGTTTTAAAAAAATAAAAAAGTTAATATAGTTAAAAGTAGTGATTAAAGTGTATCCAGATTGATTATCCTAAAAGAAAATCAATAAAGTTGATAAATAAATATTTTATTATCTAATGTAATAAAAAATTTAAATAATTTATATTCTTAATTTATTAAAAAAATATTTAATTAATAGCTTTTTTTCTATAAAAAAATGATTTTTGCTGTTAATTAATTGTTCATATTTTTATGTTTAATAAAAGCAAGATATTTATATAGTAATTTTGAAAATGTCTACTTTTTTAGAGTTTTTAACATTCCTTATTAATCATGTATGTTCAATCTCTCTATCCCTACCATATTTCACATAATATAATGGTGAAAACCAAAATTTTTTAAAAAACTTGTAATTTTTGATGAAAATCAATTTAAACTTTTTTCCAAAAAATCAAGTAAATTAACTAAATTAAATTAATAATTTACATTAAAATATAACAAAATTAATATAAAATTAAACTAGTTTTTGTATAAATAGATTATTTATATCAACAGTTTTATTGATCTCACTCACTTAAATTTTATTAATAAAAAGGATAGATTAAATTTTAAAGCATGATCTAGATAGTTTTTTTCAATTTTTAGTAAAAAATTGATATTTTTCTACGTAAAAGCTCAACTAAGAAAAAATATTTTACACTAAAGTTTTAGATATTCTAACATTAATTTTGTATAAAAAAAAGAAAATAGAAGATACTAAAAATCATGCTTTATTTGATTATTTAAATTCTTGCAATTAAAAATTGATTAATGCATAATTGAATAGATTAAATTGAAAATACTTATTTAGATTTATTATTAAATTTATTTTTTTTACAAAATAAAGTTCTGATTACTCTTTGTAAAAGTAGTTTTATTTATAACTATTTTTTTAAATTTTAATGATACAGTCGTCATTTATATTTTTTATGTTCTTTATATATTTTAACTTTCATGTTGTCCCATCTGTCAATCCATTCTCTAGTCTCTCTGTTAAATTAGTGATCAAAGTCTTTCATAGAAATTAAACCATCTATAAGTACCCTCTAAAAAAAAAATTGAGTAACATAGAAACATATTAGTAAATTACTTTTAAATTAGGAGCTATTAAATGCAAAAATTTTTTATCAATCATTCCTATTTCATTGTGATTACTTTCAGAAATCTAATTTTAAGTTAAAAATATTAAAATAAATTAATTATTATTTTTATTTATTTTTTACAATAGTTAATCTCGATTTTTCATTCGGATCATAATCTATTTACTCCAAGATTTACTAATCAACTTTACATTATTCCGAAATTAGAGATCTCAACATGAAGAAATCTCCTTCTTAGAGAGTGCCTATTTGATGCTGAATAAAATTAATTAATATAAATAATTTACTTTGAATAATTACAAAATAGCAATATGCTAATTCTTCACCATTTTCATACACTTTTTTGTATTGCCTAATATCTTTTTCGCTATATTGCTCTCTTATTGCCTATTATATTTCTTAATATTTTTATTATTATTCTTCATTACAAAAAAGGTTATTTCTTTTAAAAGTTGATCTTTCTTTAGGTAATTCTTATTAAGCTTCTCCCTCTAAACCTTTATAAAAATCTAATTCTAAGCTATCATTCAAGCTTTTATTATCAGTATCCTCCTATTATTAGTGAATCTCATCTTTTTAATTTATATAATTATCTTAAATCACTTCAGCAAAATCATGTTCATAAGATTTCCTCATTATTTAAATATGATTCCCTGTTTATTTTTAATGTAATTTAAAATTATTTTGTAGATAATTTTTTTTACAATTTTGTTGACTAAAGTCTAATCTTTTTTCATTATTTTTATTTTAATTAGCATTTGATGACTCTTTACTTCTTATAATAATCTCTTCTTTTACTATCTCAAATTTTCCTTTTTTAATGATGTAGAAATACTAAGGTTATTAGCCTTCTCTTACAACAATGTCTCCCAGGTTTGTTTTTTTTATTTCAATATAATTTGCTAACGTTATTAGTTGAGTATAGTCTAAATCCTTTTAAGATAAAATTCAATTTGTTCAATTATTAAATCTTCTAGTAAACAAATAAAAAATTTGTTCTATTTAAAGATAAAAATTGAGCAGAAAATATTTTTAAATATTATTATAAATAAATAAGCTAAGGTTACAGATAGAAAAGGGATATTTTTGAGTAAATTAAGCTTTTCTTCCATCTCGGAAAGTATTAAATTTAGCAAAATATTAGTAAAATCTTCTCTTGATATTTGTAATAAGTAGCATTTTTCAGCAGCCTGTTATTATTTTCAAAAAAACTTTTACGATATAAATAAAAAATTAAGTTTAAACTTACTTCGATAGTTGCACTCCTTCTGTTGTCTATTTTAGAAGCCTTTTAAAAAACGTTAAGCAGGTTTTATTTATTTTCAGCACTGTTTTACATTCTTTTTTAAACTAGATTTTAAAATTTTTTAATAATATCTTTTTAATGAGGAGTAAATTTAGTTTATGCGCTTGTTTGGAGCTACTTTTAATTAAATTCATATTAAGTGTTTTTATCTTAATTTTATTGATTCATTTTTATATAATCTCTCATCTCTCGGAGTGTTAATATTTAATTTGTTTCAATTATGTCTTTGCTTTACTTTATTTTTAGATTTATAAGAGCTAAGTCTCCAAACGAATATCCATCATATATGGTAGTAATAATAGGATCCTTTAATTATATATCAATATCTTCTTATCTTTTGATTCTCACATGAATACTCCCTATTTAAGTACATTTATGTATTTTAATCATCAAATTAAATAAAAATTTACCTTTAAGTATTATATACATATTGTCTGCTAAATCTCCTTGATGAAAAATGATGTCGTTTTTCTCAAACGTTTTCAACTTAGCGATATTAATAATTTAATTATTAACTTCAACAGAAAACTTTTTAAAAAATTAAAGTTTTGAAACAATCGTTAAAATTTTATTATAATTTTTTTAAAGTGAGTCAAGTTAAAATTATTAAATTAAGGTATCTAATTCTTCTATGTTTAATTTGTTGTCACAAACAGTAAACTGATTTAATCTATTTTACTCTCTTTCTTTATTATAACTAAAAAAGAAAATTTAATTATTTATTAAGTTAAATGGAAATAAAAATCTTTACACATTATTTTATTTCTCAATTAATACCATGTGTCTAGCAAATTTTCTAGTTAGATTTTTGTTACATATTTTCAAGAAATTATTAATTTCTTAAATTTTTGCAAACAATCCATTCTCTTCTCTGCAAATATTCTAGATTAAAACAAATTATTAAAAGATGCTTTGAATTAAAATATATATTAATTACTGTCTGATAAATAGTATAATTTTTCTCCTCATCATTATTAATATTATTCATACTGTCATATATTTGATAATTTGTTTTTTAAAGTAAAATTCCCCAGTCTTCATAAAATTTGTCTTCATCATTCCCATAATTCATTTTTAATATATCTAAATCTTATTTTAGGGGTTCAAAATATTTTTTTCTCTACTGTGCAAAATACAATATTTCTTTTTGGTTTAACTTATTTTTTGTTTACTTAAATTAAATGTATTATTGTTAATCTTTTAAATTTTTTTTCATTTAAATCTAATTTAAAAAACTCATTCTAACTGCTTCTGCGTGGTCTACTTTATTTTTTGGGTTTTATTACTTCCTAGATTAAAAATTTAAGATTTTATTTTGTTTTTTTATAATATTTAAAAAAATGAATATACTTGTTTTTTTATGTTGACTTTTCTTTTTCTTAAATGCTTTGCATGAAGTTATTATTATCTATATCAATTTTTGAGGTGCTTCTTAGTAATATGCTTGTAGGTCTTGATGATTCTTATGGTGATTTACAACCATTTTTTAACTCTGGTTAATTTTGTGATGAAAAGGACTGATTTAATGAGACTGGATCTGCATTATTTAGCTTTTTTATATTGTTTTATTTGTTTTACATTTAAGAGCTTTAAAATAAAAATTAATTAATATCCTTTTATAATTTTTCATTTTTGAAGCTTTGTTGTTTTTTATTGAAAATAATTTTATTTTAGTAAATTTTTGTTATTTCTTCTTAAATATTTTTTTATGGCTAGCTTTTAAAATATTCTTCTTGAAAAGAAATTCTTTTTCTGTTAACTAAACTATTAATACTACTAGATTGTGGTCTAATGTTGCTTTTAAAAGATATCTTTAGTCTTGGTGAAGATTCAGGAGATAATTAAGGTGTTAAATATTATTTTTTAGGCATATCAAATTTAGTTTAACCTGATAATCTCATATGTTCATCGATATTATCAATTTAATCATTTTGTTAATCCTTGTTATCATATATATAATTAAAGTTAGGAGAGCCTGCTGAAGTAGATATTAAGGTATTTTCTTGGCTCTTAAACTACAGTGTTAAATCATTTTGCTAATCAAGTAGATTATCATTTTTTAATTATACTTTACTTATTTAATTCTTTGCTTCATTTATCAACTAAGATAGGTTTAGATTTAATTTTTTAGAATTCTATGGAGAAAATACTTGTGAAATGTTTTAGTTAGAGACAAAAGAAATGCTCTTGCTTTTAGCTGAAGCAGTTCTATTGTAAATATTTTAGGAATTAGAATTCATACTTTTTAGATTTGAAGGTGATTATTGATAGTGATTTATATGGTCAATAGTTGATTTTGATTACCTCCATATTTTATATGTGTCGTCTTTGTAAGGATAATTCACTTCAATAAAATCTAAATTGGTTTATTCTACTACTTAATCGTATGATTATTTTTAATTCTATTTTTTATCGATTTAAAGTTACGATTAGTTACTCTCTTCTATCATTTATTGTTTATGCTCATTAGCTTCTTGAATAATTTATTTATCATTACCCTAACACTTTTCAATTTTTTTTTAGCTCTTTTATATGCTTATTTTGGCACTCTAAGCCCTTTAAAAACCATTTTTAATATTATTGAATTGATAAAATGAGTCGTTAAGGCTCTAATCATTAATTGCACTCTATTATTTTATTTTTTAAAATTTTTTGTCCAGCATTTCCTTGTAGTCTTTGACATCATGCTACATTATAAAGTTATTTCTCTTTAAAATTAAACTCTAAATTCTTTGCAAATTGTAGATTCTTGCCCCGTTTTCAATATTTTAACCACTTTTATTTGTCAGATTTTATTTCGATAAAGTAACTAAATTTTTGATAAATTTTCTACCATTATGTATCTAACCTTATTTACTTAGAGTTTATTTTTTAGATATGGACTCAGAAAAGTATTATTAAAAGCTCACACTTTTCGATTTATCCATTTAAGCTGAATTTACAGGACTACATAAGACTAATATGGATTTGCTACTAACAGGTAAAGATGGATTTTTATAATTTTGAGTTTCGTTATTTTATTTTTCATTAATACTTTAAGTTGCAGCAATTGTTTCACCATTCATTAAAGTTGAATCTGCTCTCAAGTCAAGAGTTTACATTTTTTTTTTGATTTATCTTTTGGTTTAGTGATTCTTATTTTTCATTTGGTTTTGAGTATTAAAGTCTATTAAAAATTATTATTTATTTTACTTTTCTCTATCATTATGAGAAAGGCTTTTCGATTGCTGCCTATTTATTAGATTAAGATTGGTATTTAGCTATTATTTTGAGTGAGTACTATATTTTGGAGAGATAAATCCATTGCTATAGCAAGTATTTCTGTAATATTATCTTTATTATTGTGTATCTTTTTCATCTTTAAAACTTAAAAGAGATAACATTTTATTTTAATATTCAAAAATGTATTTTTACAAAAATTGAAAACAAAAATAGTAAAATTAATCCTATTTCACTTATTTATGTATAGAAAAAATTCAGTAGAAGTTTTAATTAGGGTTTTGAGTTATTTTTTATAATTTATTTTTTTTAAGTAAATTAAAAATTTTTTAAATAATTTAAAATTAATATTACGGATAATAATTTTTATTTTCAGCCAAATATTGTTCATTTTATTAAAGATTATTAATTCATTTTTTTAAATTTCTAATTAATATTGATATTGATTTTTTATTCTAAATAACATGTAGTGAATTAGTATCACTCTTGTTTTATTTTTAGAAAATTATTTGAATTTTATAATTGTTTTATGTGAATAAAAATTTATTCTTTTTAAGAAAAATGGTTTTTTAAGATAATTTTTTTAAAGATAATATTTTATGATTTAATTTAAAAAAAAAGTAGCAAATTTGTATTGATAATAATTTTTTAATTATTTATTATATCACATTGCTAATATTAATATAGTAGATAATATTTGTTTATATTTAATACGATTTATGTTGCTAATTAATTTATTATAATTTTTTCAAATTTAAATAAATATGATTATTTTAAAATTAAATGTACTAAAATTGTGATCAATCATCTCAAAATTTTAAGAAATTTAAAGATATTATCAATAAAAATATTTTTTTTCACTTAAATAATTTTAATAATTTAAATAAGTGATTTTAACTAATTTGTTTTATAGCAATTAATATTATTAATAATAATTGTTAGAATATTACACTGTCTAGATATAATTAAAATAAAGAGTATTTAAATAAAATGATGCAGCTTATGCATTTAAATATCTTATTTGATTTAAATATTTATAAAATATAAATAAAAAAAATTATTAATTCTAATATAAATAAATATTTTTCTCCATTCAAAAATACTTTTTATTTTATATTCAATAAATCAGTAAAATTAGAAATATTTCTCCATTTTATTCATTATTAATGAACTATTAGAATTTTTTATGATCTGTTGGTTACTTTTATATTTTGGTTTGTTATTTAATATAAATAAATTTTTTAAAATTTATTATAACATTGATTATTTTGTTTATTTTTATTTTGAAATAAATTGATATCTTATTTATCTTATTAAACCTAAAGACATAAATAAATTATCCATAAAATATGGGCAATAAATAAGTTTCTATTATCAATTAAATATTTTATAAACTATATTTTTTGATAAATTAAAATTATAATTATTACTTCTAAACACCTAATTTTCTAAAAACAAAGAAATAATAAAAGAATTAAACTCTACTAGTTTATTTACCTATTTTTATTAAACTGTCTAACCATACCATTTGAAATTTACTTTGTAATTGTTTTAGTTAAATTTATGTATAAACTTTTAGTTTATTTTAGAAAAAAAAATATCTGAGTTAATTTGGATAAAAACGGATTGAAAAACGGTAATGTTAAAAAATTATTTAAAATATCTTCTTAATTGATTAAACAAGTGTTTATCTTTACAATTTAATAATCAATCTGATGTCATTTTATTTAAGTTTTATTTCTTATTATTTTAGTAAATAAATTCTAACAATATTAAAAGTAGAAGAAATGGAAAAGATATTTTTTCAAAAATTGTTTAGATACTATGTAATAAATTATTTTTCTTAGTTCTACTTAATGCCTCAAATCATAGTGTAAAAGAATGAATTTTAAGAATCATGAACTTTTTGATAAATCTTTGTTTTTATGTTAATATGTCTAAAAGTTTTAGCAACAAAAAGGGTCTACCGAATACTATTAATACTGTCTAAGTTTATTTTCAATGAATAACTCTCTTTGTTTATCATTTAAACTTTTTTTAAATATTATTTAAATGCAATAAAGTTTCAAAGTTTGTTTATATTATTTAATTATTTATTAAACCAAATCTTTTTGATTTTAAATAGAATATGAGAAAAGAAAACATCAAAAGAATATCTTCCATAGCTGGTCTTCTTATTTTGTTTGTAGTTATAATTGCTATTTATAATGAGAACGCTGAAGATGAGCTTACTAGAGGTGTGAACTTCTTTAAAAAGCACTCCTTCTCTTTCAACGACTCTTCCATTCACAAGCATATCCATAAGTATGATCACGAATGTGGTCATAATAAGATTATTGAGCAAGAAAAGCTTCTAGACTAACCAAAGTAGGCTTTTGATGAAAGTCTTTTTGAAGTTGATGACATTAGCAAGGTCCTTCCTATTGAAAAAGACTTCAAAAATATTAGAATTAGTATGGATTACAGTAACGTAGCTTCTTAACCAGCTAGCGTTTAGACCTTCCTCAAAACTCAAGTTGTTCCTCCTATTATGAACCATTTGTAAGAAATGATAAAGGTCCAAAGATTAACAGCTCCTATTAAAGTTGATCCTTATTACAAGTTAAAGAACTGTGGCTAAGCTAACATTAAGATTCCTGCAGAGCATATTAGCGTTGGTGTATCTAACACAGATCTTATATTTTATGTCTAAGCATATAGAGATTCAAGCAATTTACTTGCTTATGCAAGTTATTGTCCTCAATCTGAGCCTTATGGATTAGCCAGTGGAAGACCTACAGTTGCCTACATGAATATCAATTTGAATCAACTTGATAAAGATTTAGCCTCAAAAGATCCTATGTCTTTAGCAAAATGGATTTTCATTCTTACTCATGAAGTTGTACATTCTTTAGTTTTTTCACCTAACTATTTTGATAAGTTCTTAGGTGAAAAAAATCCAGTTAAAACTTTCGATGGTAAATCTTATGTTGTAGCTCCATCTATAGTTAAGCTAGCCCAAGATCATTTTGGATGCCCCACTCTTAATAAGGTTCCTCTTGAAGATGAAGGTGGTCCTGCTACTTTTGGTACTCATTGGGAAAGAAAAGCTTTTGGTAATGAACTTATGACTGGTTCTTAATTATACGATAGTGTCTTTTCCAAATTTACTGCTGCTATGTTTACTGCATCTGGTTGGTATTAAGTTGTTGATTACATGACAGCAACTTTGACATGGGGTGTTGGCGAAAAATGTGAGTTTGTTGAATATAGCTGTCCTAAATCTTCAAAGGAATTCTGTTCTGTAAAAGGAAGTGCATGTAGTTATGACTATGTAAGCCCTGGTACATGCAGTGACAGTGATTTTTTAGCAGATAAATGTACTTATTGGTAGGGATACTCAAATTAACATTGTAATTTCCCTGACGAAAACACAAAAAAAGTTTACTAAACATCAGGTGGTGCATGGGGTGCAAAATCCAGATGTTTTAACACTAATGTAGCAGATTCAGCACGTTGGGTAGGTGTAAAATCTCTTTGCTTTGAATCTTATTGCGACTATAGTGGATCTACTACTAAAGTTGTTTTTAAAGTCTTCAATAAGGAATATACTTGCACTGCAACTACCAAATAGGTAACTATTCCAGGCAAAGGTGTTGTTGATTGCCCAGATGTTCTTAGATTCTGTTTTTCTCCTTCAGCTTGTCCTTACTCTTGCTCTGGTAAAGGTGTTTGTAGACTCGGAAAGTGCAGTTGCTATAAGGGTTTTAAAGGAGAAGATTGTAGCCAGCTTGCATGAGCAAACATTAATTATTTTAATTATTATACTTTTATGTAAAATTGTATATAATTTTATATATCTACATGTATAATCAATCAACCAATCTTTTTTCAAAATTTAATAAAATCAATTAAAACAAAAAAAAAAATAATAATATAAAAAATAATAATTGTCTTCAATAGACAGAAATGATTAAAACTCGACTGACTGACAGACAATATTATTCATTATATTTATTTATAAACTGTATCTAAAAATAGTGATGTCACAAATCAACTGCTTGCTTTTTGTAGTTTTAATAGAAATTTTTAATTAAAAACTAACAAACAGACAAACAATCAAACAAGTTAATAAATAAAAAAATTAGTTAACTAAATACTGTTCTATTTAAATTATTAATTATTTATTTTAAATAAAATAGGTAGGTAAGCTTGTAGGTAGGATTTTTAATTAAATAAAAACAGTATTGAACAGTCTTCTCTAGCTAAATACTAAATAATTAACTAATTTAATATATATCAGAAAATTATTTAAAAAAGGAAAAGCTAATTTTCAGTATGTCAAACGTTCGCAATTTTAGAGATATTGAAACTAATAGTAATTCATCTAACAATGAAAGCCGAGGATCATTTGGAATGGGAGGATATAATGAAAACGGCAAATATAATCCATGGATGAAGCAGTAGCCACCTTAATAATAAAGAGCAGGATATTCTTAATTAGATGTAGCAAATTAATAATCTTCTTCCTCCAGCCTTCTAGGTGGTATGAATTTAACATGGAAGTGCTTTTCAGCTATAAATTTATTGCTTGTATGGGTTGTCTTTTTAGTTTTAAAAGCTATCGCATTTTTTACTGAAAACTCTTTCATTTGTTTACTATTCAACTCAGGTGCTTAATATCAACCATCGATAACATATAACTATGAATTTCACCGCTACTTTGTTCCAATCTATCTTCATGGTGGATTTCCACACATTATTTCAAATACATTTGGGTTATTTTTTTACGCCTTTACCCTTGAAAAATAGTTTGGATTCAAGAAATTTGTTCTTCTATACATTTTAAGTGGTTTAGGAGGTAATTTATTCTCTGGATATAACTAACCTGAATAAATGTCAGTAGGAGCCTCTTCATCTCTATTCGGTTTGTTCCCCTTAATGATTTTATTCCTAATAGAAAATCAAGACATGAATAAAAATCAAAAGTTATTCTATGTTGTTTATATTTTAATTATGATATTTGCAAATTTCTTTGGGTCATCTTCCTCTCCAGATCAGGGATAGAAAAAAGATAACTAAGACGAAAGCGATGTACGTATAATTGATACAGCAGCTCACTTAGGTAATAAATTTATTTTTATTGATATGTCTAATTTATTTTTCAACATAATAGGAGGATTTTTAACAGGATTATGTATAACAATAATATATTCTTAAATATAGCATCCAAAGTAATCTCATTTATACTTTTAAAAAAGATAAAAAATCAATTAATTATGTATTTAAATAGATCTAAATATTTCAAGATTGGAGCATTTGCATTACTTGTACTAGGATTAGGATTTTTATTAATTTATAATTAAATGAATTACAGCATAACAAAGCCTACTAGTATGGAACGTTACTGTGCATGGAAATGAGTGCTTAATATATTAAACTTAAGTTAAATCATTCACATTTATTAATCATTAAAAGCATTTTCTAACATTAATAAAATTAAAGTTATAAACTTCATAGTATTTATTAATATCTTTTATATGTTATTTATGAATGCAAAGCAAAATTTAAGTAAGTTTTAAAAATTAATTTTATGAGAGTTAAATTTTATATAAAAATAATCTAGAAAAACATAAAATTTAAGTTAAAAATTTTCATCTTTTTTATTGAACGAATTTTCTTAAAAAGTTTTTACTAATATTTAAAATAAATATTCAATAAATTTTAGTTTAGAATTGAAGCTGCTTAAAAATATAAAAAATTTTTATATTAATTTTAAAAATAAAATTATAACTAAAATCATTAAAACAAATAAAATAATCAAAATATTTATATTTTATTTAAAATTTGGAAATCAATAAATAAATAATACCATTTTTATTTGTTTAATTAAAAAAAATCTATTTATTTTTATTCGTTTGAAGATAAATTAATATCTGAAATACTAAAACAAAATAATAAATAAAATATTTACGTTTATTAAATTTGGAAATTTTTTACATGAGAAATTAAAAGATAGATAAATATATTTCAAATAATGTTAATTATTTTAGTTTTTACTAATATTTAAAATATTCAATAAATTTTAATTTAGAATTAAAACTGCTTATAAATATTATTAATAAAGTTATAATTTGAGTCATTAAAACAAATAAAATAATAAAATACTTATATTTTATTAAAAATTATGGAAATCAATAGATAGATAATACCATTTTTATTTATTTAATTTAAAAAATTCTTTTTATTTTTATTTGTTTGAAGATAAATTAATATCTGAAATACTAAAACAAAATAAATAAATAAATAAAATATTTATGTTTGTTAACTTTGGAAATTTTTTACATAAAATAAAAAGATAAATACATTTAAAATAATGTTAATTTTTTTACTTTTTAAAGCTTAATTACTTTAAACATTTTTTACTTAAGAACTTTTCTAAATAAATATTAATATTTTGTAATGAGAAACTATTTTATTTCTTAAATTAAATTCTCAGTAGAAATTTAGTAATATTTTTAGGTGCTATTTCATTCATTTAGTTTCAACATTTTCCTAATCTTATTTTGATGAGTAATTAGTTTACTATGCTAATTAAAAACTAGATTGTTAATGTGAGTTATTTCTCTTATGCAATATGGTATTTCTTATCCTGATTGAATCTTGATTTAAAAGAAGACTACCATTTTTCTTAGTTCCAGGAGTACCAGTTTTTATTAAGTTTGATTATTTTTTAAGAATCATATTTTGTAATTAGCATATTTAAATAACTTTATTGACTGATTTTTTGAATGCGCTTATATTTCTTCCATTCCTTTTTGTTTGTTTCTATAGAATGTTTTCAATTTTTTCAATAACTTTAGTATAATTACCTGAAGGATAATAAATATTATACTCTTTCATTTTATCAAACCCTAAAAGTACCATGAACTCAGTTTTTTATAATTAAGCTAATGCTTAACTTATTTGAATTGCTTGCATATTCTAATTATTGTTTAGGGAATGAGAGTAAATATACTGTTAATGCTATAGCATTTGATGTTAATTTCCTCCATTTTAATTTAGTTGAGTATTGCTTTAAGGTATTTATTGAATTGAAACTTAACGTGAGCTCGTAGAATTCCTTCTTGCTTGATTTTATACTCCATCTTATTCAAAACTATTTACATAATTTATGCTTGTAATTTTTTTTTCTGAATTTTTGATAATAGCTAATTTTCGATCAAGCCCTGCTTGATCATCTGATAATTATTGCTGTTAGTCATTTGATGAAAGAATTTTATGAAAAGACTTCTTTTTTTATTGGCTAATCACATTATTAATTAACTCTGCACTACATAGCTGTGCATCTTCAGAATTTCTATTTTCAGATTCTTCAATCGTCTTCCTTCTATTTCCAATATCAATGTAACAAAATTTAGAAGAATGTTATCTTGGAGATGCAGTAATTTGTAAGGGGAAAAAGTTATTTTAATTACTATTACTACTATGTTAATTTGATTGTAAATTTATTTGGTTTTATTTTAATAAAATATTTAAATCAATATTTCTTTTTTTAAGCTAAGGAGATTTTGCAATTACTATTGCTTTCTTTTTTATAGCACTAAAATTTATATTTGGGGTAGTCTAAATATTTAATAGACCATTATTTGCTTAGCATGAATCTGTAAGTTATTAATTATCTACAGAATTTTCAAGAATTTACTAGCCTGTCTAAGACTAAATAATTGGTGTAATAATTTACTGGTTTAGTATTTGAGATTATAAATTAACATTTTGTTATGCTTATAATGATTGCTGTTACTACATTATATTATCATGAACTGAGATCAAGCTATTCAAATTTGAATTATTTTTTTGTATTAAAGTTGGTTCGAAATTGCTATTAATTTCTCCTCCAAAGCCAGCAGCAACAAGTGAGGAGTCATGATTAGTATATCCTCTATTCATCTGAAAAACATTTGCATGTTAAATTTTATGAATAGGAGAGTTTAATTCTTGCTGTATTATAACACTATTTTGCTTTAAATAATCTTATTCACTATCATTAACATTATTTAAATATTATTCCTCTTAAATATAAGTGAGATTAGTTCTATTTGTTTAATTTTCATAATACATATATTACTCATAAAATTCCTATTCGCCAAAATTAACTAACTCGAGTCTTTCGATGAGTTCTTCTTCATTTTGGTAAGGGTTTCTTTCAATCAAGTATTATACAGCTCTCTCTTTTGTTTAACGAAGCTAGGATAATACTTTGTGAGAAAATTCCCTTCTTTCCTGCGGTTTACGAATTGATTCTACAGAAACTCTATATAAAATTAGAGTTTTTTCCCTGTAAGGAATATACTTAACATAAGGACAACAATCAAACGAGTGAGTGTATTTATCGCAAAAATTGCATTTTGTATTTATATTCCTTTAGCTTTTGTAAATGACTATATTATCTTTGATAAGTTAATACTTTTCTTAGTCCTAAGGAAAATTTTTTATTTCTTAATTAAAATCCTCTTTGTTAATGTAATAAAGCATACAAGATCCTACACTTCTGTATCCAGTTAAGCTAGGCAAATCTCCCATAAAAGATATTTGATCAAATATTGAATTAACTTTAATATTTTTAAGAATTGTGTAAGGCTGAAAATCATCTTTTTTAATATTAATATATGAGACAATTTAACCACTGGCTAAAAAATATAATTTGTCATTAATTTAGTTTTCATCTATCAAAATTTCTTCTGGTTTAGAGCGTTTTGTTTTTATATGATTTGCTATATTTTTGAGGAAACTTGGTGAAAAATTGTTTACTAAGATTGGAATTTTCAAGATTAGACGGTTGCGGATATCATTTAACACTTCTTTTTTAAGATTGTTGGATAAGCTTTCTATCATTTTATCACATTCTTCTCCATCATTTTCTTCATTACTTTGATGCCAATACTCAAAATATTTTCTTACTTGAATTTATAGGCTATTACATACTCCCCTATGTCTCAAATGGCGTGTAAGCATATTCATTCTTTATTTGAGTTAATTTGATGTCTTTGTTAAAGCTTAAATTAATAGACCTTTTTAATATTCAAAATAAATAATTTGAATGGTATTTATTTAAATATCAATTTTTAGAATAAGTAACCATAAATAACAGTTACTATAGATACTCTAATTCTATGAAAGTTAGCTAAGGTATTTCTTGAAAAATAAATTTTTAACACTGAAAAATAAACAAAATTAAAAAAAAATTTTTTAAATATTCATAAAAGAAAAATAGCGTTATATTTAGTGAATAATAAATTTATTTTACCTATCTAATTTAAAGAATAAGCAAAAACACCACAACTCATTAGTGTAACAAATATGACATAAATTCTCTCATAAATAGTTATTGGTGTAACGTCACCATATCCAATAGTTATCATAGTGATAACAGCCCAATATAGAGAAGTAACATATTATTCATACCACTACCTATCTTAAAGATTAGCTGCCTATATCCATGTCTTAGACGCCACATCATTCTACATTTCCATAGATCCTACAAAAAAAAACATGCAACCTGCAAAATGTGCCACAAATACAATTGTGAATATTAACTTAAATAAATTATAAAGAGCTGTCTGCTTAGGAGTAAAATTAACAAGTTATTCAAAATAATTAGCAAGTTTGAACATTTTATTTGTACGTAAGATAAGGACAGAATTCAAGAGAATAAGATTTAATCTCAAACTTATTATAAAAGGGACAACTACAAGCAAATCCCCAAGAAATTTTGTTTTTAAATAGTTTTTTATAATTCTAATTTATTAAAAAAAAAGAGTATAAATAAATACCTTATTATTAATTACTCCAGTAATACTTTATAGAAATAAATTTGATCTACAAAGAAATAGTAAAAAAAGAAGAAAAATAAAAATCAAATCTTAAGCAGTTCTTGTTTGAATTGAATAAAAATAAATAATTAATTAAAGTTGCCAATGCTTACTTGACTCTATTATATATAATTTAGCCTTTGCTAAAATAGGCAGTGTTAAAATTCAATATAATATCTGCTAAGAATGTCCATCCAGGTAAATCGTTAAGGAATATCTATACCCATGATGTTAGCTAAAAGCCTCCTAAACTTTATTCTTCCCATGTAATTTTGATTGGTATATAAAATATATTCAAACTGAGCAAAAATAATATGTACGAGTCCCAGATCTTTTTAGTTAAAGAATCTGGTAAAATAATTAAGTTATTCCAGTCTATTGCATTTAGTATCGTGTTGTAAAGATAATAAACTATATTTTATAAAATTCTTATTAGTAATAAATTAGAAGAATTACAAGTAAAAGCTATTTTATTTTTCTTAAAGAGTCACCTTTAATAATTAAAGATATTTAAATATTATTGGTAATATCCAAATTAAACTTCTTTGTTATTTAGGTCTTTAAGAAAAATTAAATGATATAATGTTATTTTGAAAATGATTACATATTTTCCAGTTATATAGTGATTTTTACATTCGAATAAAAATACTTCTTGCTCGTGATGGCTAGTTTCCAATAAAATATTTGTTGTCAAAATAAAACCTATAATTAGATGATTGGTCACCAATTATTTAAAACTATGTTTCTTTTAATCTTTTAAACTTGTATTATTAGCCGTATTTTCTAATCGAATCAAGGAAACTAGCAACAATTACAACCAAATTTAAAGCTTACAGCATAGAATTTATTTTAAAGAGCTTAATATCTGACCTGCTTTGAACAAATTTTTCATAATAGCTATTTTTGACAATGGCCTTTTATTCTGCTTTTATTGCTAGCTGCTTTTCATCTTCTGATAATCCTCTGAATCTATCGTCTAAGTCGTTAATATCACTTTTTTAGCAGTAAAAAATACTTGTTTCAGTAAAAAAATAGAGTGGAAAAATATTTAGTTATTTATTGTTTGTTACTTATAAAATAAATTGAATAAGAAGACAAAACAATAATAATTGATGTAAATTAAGTTTTAATGTATTAATAATCTATAGTTATGCAAAAGCAAGTTAATAAATTAGTAAGTAAGTAAAAAAATTAATAAATTAATTGATTTATAGCTACTTATGTAAGTCAATTTTAGAAGTAGAATTTAAACCTATGTGGATCTAACTGCTATAATTTTTTAAGTAAGCTCTTTTTTTAGGAAGAGAGTTTATTGTTAATTAACTTTCTTGTTTTTTGATATTCTTTGCAATTTCTTATTACTCTGTCTTTTGCTCTTCTATAATTATACTTGGATCGCTTTAAATTTATCTTAAGCTTAACGCCACTTATTCTTTCTAGAGAATTTAGTTGCAACAAGCTTTCCTTTTATTATCTCCCATTCTCATAATTTCAGAAGGATCATCTTTAAATTGGCTGAGCTCATTATTATTTAATATATTAATTTCACTTATATTTCCTTCTTTTATATAATTATAGATACTCATTTGCTTTATCTTGTAAAGTATTAATTGAATATATTATATCTATAAGAAAATTATTAGTTATTTGATTAAAAAGTTATTGTGTAAAAAAAAATCTGTTTTGTTGTAAAATTTTTTTGATATTTCTAACTCTTTAACTTACAAGGTGCATTCATAATTAAAAACTAACATTTATCAAAATTTTATTCATTTATCATTGTATTTTTTACATTTATTTTTGGATTTATTATCAAGCAAAACTATTGTAAAAAAAAAAAATCAGAATACGTTGAAATAACACACATATATTTAAACAAACTAAAAAACAAAAATTTCAAGCAAATACTAATTAAAAAAATCCATAAGATTACATTTTTCAACAAACATTAGTTTCAACCATAAAATAAAATATAAAAATGCCGCAATACATAAAATGAAATATAAAATTAATTGATAATTTGTTTGTTATTTAATGATATTATTTTTTTTAACATTTTTTAATTATTGAGAAATACTCAAATTCATATTTTTCTAGTAAATTGTCATATAATATTTTTATCAGATTAAATACTATAACAAGAAAATTAAATTTATAAATAAAAATATTAGAAGTTTCAATACGAAAAATGAAATAGAAGTATTTATTTAAATTTATTTGAGTATCAAATGAAATTATTTTTTTTTTAATTTTGAAAAAATTAAAATGAATCTATTTACATATTTTTAAGTAAATAAGAATAATATTTATCTATCTATCAAATTACATTCTTTAGTAAGCATCAATTTAATTCATAAATAAAAATATTAGAAATTTCATTATATGAAAAATGAAATACAAGTACTTATTAATAATAAAGTTGAGTATCCAATGAAATTATTTTTTTTAAATATTTAAATGTAATAAAATTCACGTTTTTCAAGTAAATTTAAAAAATTACTTTTTTAAAAGACAGACACCAGCATTAAAATTAAAAAAATAGATTAAAACATCAATCGATGTATATTTGAAAATTAGAAAATAATTTATCTGAAACTTGTCTGTCTTTTTTGATGATTTAATCTTTGAATGAATTTTTCCATTTTTAAAAAATATCATGCGAAATTAATTTATTTTAAAAAATATTATTTTAGTTATTTTATAAAATAATTTAAATTGTAAAAAATTTATTTTATTTTGACAGGGATTTTTTAAAAAAATTATTTATTTATATTTTATTTCTACTATCTGTTAATCAAGTATGAAAAAAATACTATTAATATAATCAATTTATATATTTTAGGAAATCATATAGATATATGTTGACATTTAAAACATTCTTTCTTATTTGGTTTGAATAATTTAAAAATTATTAATAATTTAATATTGTTTATTTGTAGAAATAAATAGTAGATATTTTCTTATCTTAATTATTAGATTTTGGAAAATAAGTTAAAAATAGTTATAATTTGTTTCATATATCTCAAGATAAGTTCAATAACCTCATATTTAGCTAAAAAGAACCTTTTTTAAGAGCATTCCATTTTAAATTTTTTGGTAGAATTAAAAAGAGAATTAATTGTTGGTAGAATATATATTTATAAATGTTGAGAAACTAAGACAATAAAACCTCTTAGAATTTTAAGCAGGTGCCTTACAATTAGCTTTTTAATATGAATCCTGATAATAAAGATAAAAACTATCCAATAAAATCTGCAACATTTTTTAAAAATATGTTCGTAAAACAAAATCAAGGAATTGAGCATATTTATAAAAGTGAAAAGTAAGATGAAATGTAAAAAAATGATAAATTTTCTATGAGTCAAGATCAAAACTTTTAACATAACAAAGTAAGTAAAATAAATACAAATGAATAAACTAATTATTTATCGCAATTCCATACAAGTCATTCTAGCTTAGCGCTACTTGCAAGGACCAAAGAAGATATATAGACAATTTATCAGGGTTTTAAACAAAAAACTCAAACATCGAGTGATGAAAATAGATTCTTTTTTCCATCTCGAAATAAGATGTTTAATGAAACTAAGAGTATCATAGAAAGGGGAAAAGAAAAACAAGATATTAATAGCGGATTTTAAATAAGTAGTAATAACTAATCTAAAGATTAAAATGTTAATGTAAATTAACAAAATTCAACTTTAAAAAAAAGTTCTATTCTCATCAGAACTTAATAACAAAATAATAGAAGTTAAAACTTGAGATAAGTAAAGTAAGATAACTCAGAAGATAAAGAAACAGAATTGAAAACTGAAATTAGTAATCAAAAGATAGATACTTATCAAATTAAATAAAAATTTAAGGAAGCAAGAGAGAAGAAAATATATTCTAAATCCTAAAATAAGTTAAATCCTGTGAATGAATTTAACTAAATAACAACTCCTTATGATAGCTTTTTTATTACACCTTAAAGTAATAAATTAATTGAATTGAAAAATTACAAAACAAACTAATCTTTTGCAAAAAACCACTCATTCAAAGACACTGTTTAGTCGTAAAGCACTTCTATATCTCAAAAAAGATCTTTCAATTTTAGTCACTTTGAAAGGTTTCCAAAACTAGATTAAAATATTTTCGATAGCGAGATTCCAAGCATATTAGAAAATGATAAACACATCAATCATTCTAGAAGTTCAAGTTAAATCAGAAAGAATACTCGTATATAGAGATAAATAGAAGATCCTTCCTTTTTATTTCCTTTAAAAGAGCATTCTAATAACAATAGCTTTTAAAAAATATTTAAGGGATTAAAGCCAATAAAATAAGTAAATAAGTAACTAGATAATGAAAATAGTTTAATAGAACATGACTTTGTTTTATCTATGAACAATGAATTATCACCCAAAGAAAATAATACCTCGTTCAATAGTATATTTTTGAATATTATTTGAGTTATATTTATCTTTATTAAAACTAAGATTAAGAAAATGGAAAGTCTATCACAGATCAAGCAAATGACTTTATCTAAAAATTCAAGAAACTAAATCCATTACTAACTATTCAAGAAGAGAAACTTAAAAAATTGCAAATTCTTAAGCAAAAAGAAATACAGTTATAGTAATTTATCCAAAAAAGAAACTTTGTAGAGGCAATCAATAGTAAAAATAACTACTAATAAAAATATATTTTTAAATTCATTCTTTTTAAAGTAATGAAAGAGTTTTTAGTTTAAGCATCATAAGAGAAGAATTTGGAGAATTTTGTTGATACGATAGCCTATTTAGGATAGCTTAATTACTTTAATCATGATTTAGACAATGCATTATATTCTTTCATTCAACTTGTAATCATAATTAAATTTTAATAATGTAATTTCATTCCTTATTTAGAAAAATTTAAGTGAAATTGTGGGAAGCCCATAGATAAAAATGAGATCTTTGATACTATTAGGATAACTTTTTTAAGACGAACAAGATTACAATTAAGCACTTTAGTTGTATAGAAGAGCTATTCATTACTGTTGGTATCTGAACGATTAAGATACTGAAATAGATTTATATGACAAATTAGGCTTTATTTACTTTATGAAAGGTGATATATAAAAGGCCAAGTATTTTCATGAAAGGTCTATATCCCATCAATTAGAGAATCCTAAATCAGAAAATATGCAACAAAGCATTTACACGGTTTCCTAATTATTTTCTAAAAATTAAAATTTTATACCAAATTTAAACCAAATGGTCCTTGCTAAATTAGGGTTATTAACTGATTAATAAGGTAAATTTATATTTAAAATATTTTATTTAAATCAAATTTTTTTTGTAAATTATTTAGATTAATTGAGATTTTCAACTAAGTTATCTGCACACCATCAAATAGTAATACTTAAAGAAGATAAAGAAATAAATTCAGCAAATCATGACCCTAGCTGTAAATATATTTTTAAAAATGCTAAATTTGTTTATACTTTTTAAACTTTCAATAGAAATTAATCCTGATGATAAATTAAAGTAAAAAGTAATACCAGAGGGTATGGAAAATGTGAAAGAATACTAAATTATTTAAAAGATTCTTGACCAAAAGAATTCATTTCAACCAATTGTAAATTTATTTATTTTTTTGGTAGTAAAACAAACAAACAAATATATTTTATATCAATTAAGGTATTAAAAAATATACAATATAAGGATCCTCACTCTTAAAAAATAGTTGACAAGTCTTTGTTGAAATTAACTATAGAAGAAAAAGTGCAAAAAGTTAAAATGGACATATATGATGATAAAAGATTGTAAAAAAAATTGAAAGAAGCATAAGTATCTGCGATGATAAATAGATAGACTTGCAATTAAAAATTCTTTTTTAATCACTGTACTCCAAATAGAAATCTTCTAGGATTTAAATACACATTTAAACCTAATTCTCTAAAATTTAAGAAGTATTTTTAAAAAATGGAAAATATGATAATTAATTAAGTTTATTGATTAATTCTTAGTTATTTAATTCAAATTTATGCAGAGATTTAAAATATTTTAATTTGTAAACTCTTCACATATTTTACATGTTTGTATAAATTTAAATAAATAAGTTATCACTAAAAAGGTTTATTTATTTTTTAATTAGCTAGTACAAGACAAAATATTTAAATAATTTATTTCATATTTGTTGAAATTATTGCTAGATATAATCTTAATATTTTTTAATTGCCTATTCATAATTACCATTTTCATCAATATATTTTTTTGAGGTAGGATAATCGCAACCAGTTTCTTTTGAAAATTTAACTATATCATTAACACTTTAGTTATTAAAATTATTAAAATAAGACGATGAAAGTGGTATATTTTATCTTTCCTCTTTAAAGTTCGAATACAAATTTGGTAAGTTATTTTCATTTGGATTAGACTTAATTTTAAGCAAATAAGGCTAATTAGCTTAATCTTTCTAATTTTAAAATTCCACATTCTCACCTTTTTATGTTAAAAAATATGATTACTAAAGTATCAAAAATTTATTAGTTGTTATTACTTGGTAAATTCTAAAGCGTTTAAGCTAAAATAATTTTTTCATCATAAGTCTTTTTCCTTTATTCCTATTTTTTAGCTATTTATTGTTCAATAGTAAGGTCAGTATCAGGAAATTTATTCACTTAATAGCTTAAAAGACATAAATTATAATCAATTTCAAACTTTGGGCGATTGTAGATAACTTTTACTTTATTGAGAATATTATCTCTAGATTACTCTTTCTACTATAAAAGAACAGACTTCTAATAGAAATTACTTTAATCTTAGACTTAAAACTATCTTAATTGATCTAAAGATGTCTCTGAAATAAGCTTATTCTATAAAAATCCTTGAATTCTAAAATTTTTTTGATTCATTCAGTATAATTAATTTAATTATTTAAGAAGTATTACTATTTTTATTTTTTAAGATAAAAAGTGATTTTTTTAATTGCATATTTTATCAAATATCATTTGAAGATATATGATAGAAGACTTTTCAAATAGAAAGATGACAAACCTATGATTTTTGATAAAAAATCAAATTCAAACATACATATTTAAAGCTCCTATATCAAAAATGATTAGGATGAGTACAATAACTTTATTAATAATAAACATGTCTATTTCTATTTTAAAAATAAAAAAATTATGTTCTATTAACAACAAAAAAAAAAATAAAATTAATTAATTAATTAGATTGATAAGATATTATAAAATAGTTTTTGATATATTTGATATATTCTAAAAGCAATACAAAATTTATTTATTTACTTATTATTTTTGATAGCTATATTTAAATTTCTAAATATCTAATCTTATTCAAAAAAAATATATATATGTAATATTGTCTAAGAACTATACTAAAGATTTTCAGAAAATAATTAAACTTATAAGCCAAGAAAATAATTAGAATAAATTATTTATTCATTCATAGTGAAATCTGATTCATAAAAAACTATATTTAGGCATATTTACTTTAATGAGTGGAAGAAGATAAAGTGATCATCATAGCCACAGTAGTTCACACCATAACAATCGCGAAAATAGCAGCCACGATAGCTCAAGAGATCGTAAATTTAAAAATACAGAAGATCAATGCAGTTTACAAATAGAAAATATCGCTGATCCCGAAACATACAAAGACTTTGAAAGATAAGTAAAATAGTATGGCATGACTACAAAGTTTTGGATTAACAAACGTAGTAGGACCTGTGTTGTTACTGTAAATATTTTTAGAATTAAATTTTTATAAACCTGCTTACAAATGCTTAGATAAAAATAAATGTGTAGAAAATATTTAAATAAAACAATTTAAAAATTAAAAAGTATTGTCAATAAGAAGATGCCATCTAGGCTTTTTCAAAGCTATCTAAAATTTACTGGCCTGATTAAGGAGGAGAAAAATTGAAAGTAAAACTCTTATAAAATATAGAGGTTTCAGAAATTATAACTAAGATTTAAGTCTCTTAGAATATAACAAGACCAGAACAAGAGGCTTTTAAGGATAAGAGTAGTAATATATTTTTTTCAATCAAAAAGTTAATCTTTATTAAATCGAATAATAATATTTAAAAATGAATGAGCAAAAAATTAGAAAGTGAACTTTATAAAAACATTAATTTGTAATAAAAAAGGTAGAAGAGAGGACTATGATAGGAAAGATAAAAAAAAATATAGTAGTGATAGGGATTCTAGAGAGCGTAGTAGAGATAATAAAGATCGCGAAAGAGATTAAAGAGATAAAAGAGATAGAGAAAGAGACAGAAGCGAGAAAGATAGAGAAAGAGATGAAAGATACGATGATAAGTATAGAAAAAGAAGCCCTAACAAATATTAAGATGATCGTTATGAATAAAAAGACAGATTTTAATATCAAAGAATCAGTTCTAATTTCTTAAAAACAAATTACTAGCCTTCAGTATATTATACAGTCTAATCTAAAGAAACAGTAAATAATTTGATTGAATTATATGTATTCATAACATAACATAAGGATATTTAGTTACCTAGCTAACTAGAAAAAATTTTAATTAGAAGTCTTTTGATGAAAGAAATATAAAGTAGTAAGTAATATTGTTAAAATTATTTTTATAAATAAAGGTTTAAAAGAGATAAGATATGATTGGAAAATTATATGAATCTAATAAAAAATGATTAACAAGAAACTAATCAATCTACTTAACTAAAATATTTATTTTGCAACACCTAGCCAGCCTAAATAAAATATTATTTTGAATCACTCCTTGGATTTTTCTAGCATTATTAAATACTCTATCTAAATGTTAAACAAAAAGTTAGTATTAAGTGTATTGTGTTAAGGTTAATGGTCTTTCTAACTAACTGATATTAACCCTAATATTTCTTAGTGAAATTTCGTAGAATATCTATCTATCTATCATTTCTTTAATTAATCTGTCTGTCCATCTTATAATATAATTTCAACATTTTACTGAATAAGTTTTCATTTCGTTAGTTTTACTTCACGCTATTAAGATAACCTATCATTAACAATTCAACTCTTCTTAAGTTTAAAAGTTTTATATAAATTTATGATATTTCCTGAGTTAATTAATCTAATTAAGTTTAAGTTTATGAAACATTTTTTCGTTAAGCTATCTAATTGGCCAATTAGTTTCTAAAAAAAAAGCCTATAGAAAATAGATTCCTACCTCTCTTAAATAAAATCGCTTTATCTCTCACCATTTACATATAACTAACAACTTAAATATATTAGAAATTCAAAAAAAATCAATTATTGCAAATTCAATTTTCTAATTAACCAAAAATATTTAATATATTATTTGAAATTTTGGGCTTTTTATTTTTATATTAATAAACACAGATTTCAAGCTAAAAAATAAATTAATTAAAATGATTGTCAACGAAATAAATAAAATAAATTATAGCTATTAAAACCAGCAAATCAATGAACGAATAAATAAGTAGCTTATTGAGTAATAAATATGGCTAACTATATTATAGTTTTTATTATTTAGATATAAACCTATTTCAGATCAAATATGATACTTATTATATCTAGCTTAATTAGTAATTTAGTAGAAACAAAAATATTCATTTATTAATTTTTTTATTTTATTTATAAACTTTTAATTATATCATTCATTATGTTCCTATTTTTATCATGTTTATTATTTATTATCATCACTATATATGCTGCTTCAATCCCAATATTTAATGAGACCATCCCATCCACATGTAGCTACTTTAGATGTTTCTATAGGATGCCATCTTATATCAATACAGACTTAGTCATGAGCCTATATTACTTTATAATTCTTTCCACTTTTCCAATCCCAGAAATATGCCCTACCTTCAGCATCTCCAGAACATAGGAATTACCCATCTGGAGAGAAATCTAAACCAATTGCATAACCAGAAGAAACGTGTTCTTTAAATAATTTTTTCTTGTTAAGTCTAAAGTTACCTCCTTTAGTATCATAAATTTAAATCTATTTGATAAAAACATTTAAAATTAGAACCTTGCTATAATTATAGTCAATTTAGTAAATTGTTCATTCAGATAAACTAAAAGATAAATAAATTAAAATTACTTTATTATCTGAGCATTGGCCTGCAAAGAACTTTTCTGTAGGATGAATGTTTGTGTTTGCAACAGCTGTCATATCTGGTTCTGCAATATGCTTTTCGACGACACCTATACCAAAGCCCCACAAGAATATTTTTTTATCATCAGAAGTAGAAACAAATTTTCTACCATAGTCAACAAAAGTAACTGTGTTAACTGCACCTAAATGCTCATCATAAACTTATGTTCTTGCTCCAGATCTAACATCGTATTGTAACACTTTTTTATTGGAAGAAGCAAGAATAAATGAGCTTTATTTACCCTCGTCTGGGTTAAATCTTGCCTGGTATGGGTACTTCTTAATATTGAAAGTTCTTACAATTTTACCAGTCTCAGTATCCCAATATAATACATTTTTATCATAAGAACAAGAGAGGAAATGTCTTCCATCATTAGTAAACTCAATATCTCTAACAGCTTATTTATGTCCCATATATGTTCTTACACATTTCTTATTACCCATTACATCCCATAATTTTACCTATAGAAAAAATATAAGTTTTAATAATCGAAATAAAATGCTTTTGCTAATAAATAATTAATTACTGTGGTATCAAGAGATGCTGATAACAAATAATGACCAAATTTAGGGAAAAATCTAATAGCTTAAACTCCCTTTTCATGACCTGACCAGCAGTGAACTTACTTTTTAGGTATGTAGCATACATGCTCTCTAGGTTTTAAATCAATAGGAGGTTATATGTAGCTTCTACCTTTATAATCAAAGTAAGGTACAGCATCGTGAAAAATAGACGTTGTTACTTCGCTCTAATTTTATAGATATAAATTGTTTTATTAACAATGAATAAATTTGTATGTATATGAGAGAATGTATGTTGCATACTTAATATTCTTTAAATAACCTAAAAAATAAATTATATATTTACTTTTTCTTTTTATTTTTTAGCTTCTTCAGGTTAACCTTCACCTTCTAATTATTTTTATTCTTACTCTTCGTTTCCTTCTTTATCTTTAGCTTTTTTTCCTTCATTTTCTTAATCTTCATCATCATCTATTTCAAAGCCCTTTTCTTTTAGTTTTTACTTTCTTTTCTTTTCTTTTTTAATCTTAGCTTCTTCCTATTCTTCAATTTTCTTTTTTTCTAGTTCTAATTTCTCTTCTTGAGTTAATTCTTTTGGTTTTATATTTTCTCCTTGATAATTTGCCCAAGGACCGGCATAAGTACCATCAGTAACAGCACCTGTTTTTTCTCTCAAGGCTTTTAATTACTTTTGTTTTTATTTTTCTTCATTACTTTGTGAGATAAATGCTCCCTATGTATCAAGCATATTAGGATCGACATTTCCTCCATAATGAATAACTTAAGCAAGCTCTGGGAATTTAGCATCATTTACAACTATTCTATTTTCATCTAACTAAGGATCATATGCATAGCCTCTATTCTTGAAATTATAAAATTGCTAGTCAAAACTAAAACTATGCATATTGTAGCTCTCTACTTTGCCAGTTAAATGATTGTTTTTTTTATTTTATTCACTATTTCCGCTATTGTAAATCTAATTTAACTACCTTAATCTATTCTCTTCCCTTTCTTACTCCAACTTTGAAGTATTTACATCAGGTTTAACATTTACTGCAATAGCAAAACTTTTGCTATTTGCGCTTTCTTCTACTCTTTTCTTTTAAAATTCTGGTTCTGGATCGCTATCACTATAATCGACAATCATGGGTTGAAAAAATATCTTTTTTATTTTATTAACAAATATATGATAAATAATTAATTAATTAATTATTAGTAAATTTTTTTTTGATTTATGATCATCAAAAGTTATTATATATTTAATACGCGTCTAAAATATATTTGGTAACTAAACTATCTATATATTAGGGAATATAGATATTTTTTAAAGCTAAATTTTACAATTATTACCAGCAGATATACTCAATTAAATTTGCACTGAAATGAATTTAATTTCAATAAAAATTTTATTTAACTAAAATAGAGTCGTTTATTTTTAAAAATATCCTCATTTGTTTATTCATAAATTACAATAAAATAATTAATTATTAAAATCATAATAATAACTATTTTTTTTAGTAAATAGTCAATTAATTTATTTATTTGTTTGCCTTCAATGCAAAGTATTTATAAGAAACAGTGAAGAATCTTAAAGATGCAATCACTGTTAAAAGTGAAAAGTTAAGATAGAAAAATATTTTTTGATATTCTCTTATGTCAAATTAAAACATTTTGAATAATTTATCATATAAAATTTATATTTACTCTAAAATATGGTTCTTATAAAATTTAATGATTGTAAATATGTCATTAAATCTATTAAAAAATGTTAAATCATCTTTAATGCAAAATAATTAAAATTAAATAGAAAAATTATTTAAAGATAGATAGATAATGCTATGAAAAAAAAGTATAAACCTTGAATTAAAAGTGAAATTAAAAATTTTTATTATTTATTCTGTAAAATATATAAATTGAAATTAAATACTAATTTTATTGTTATTTTTTAATTTACTAATTGCGTTTTTTACTAAAGAATACTTATAAATAAATACTTAAATTCATATTGAAATTATCATAAATTAAAATCTTCATCTATTATTTAATCATCTTCAATTTACTAGCTTTAATTTTAATAACGATTTTGAGATTTAGTTACATTTTATGTCTTCTATTAATCTTTGTCATAAAAGTTATAAGAATCTAAAGGTTTTTATTATTGTTATTTTTTATTTTACGAACTTTTATCTTCTTAAATGCATTCATCTTCTTCTATTTCATATTCTTAATGGTAGTCTTCTTCATTATAGCTTTGCTTCTAGGGAGTATAGCTTTAAGGTATATCTTCGTTTTCTACAACTTAAGCACTATTTCTTTTTTAATAGATTGTTTTTTCATCCTATATTATTGGTTTTTTTTGATTTTGTTTTATATTTATTTTTTCAGGCTCATCATCATATCTATCATCGTCATCATTATTATTAGCTGCTGTTGTAGAAATTCTTCTTTTGTCTTTATAAACTTTTTAATTAGATCCCAAATCTATTTTTTCACTTGAGCATCTTAGTTTATTTATTGGTATTTTATGTTGCTTACTAGAATTTGATTGTTGTAGTGTTGTATTTTTACTCTGATTTGCTTTGCTTTTGTTTTAAATTGAAGCTAAACTTAAGTTGTTTTAGTCCTTTATATTTTTTTGATTTTATTATATTGTATTCTGAAGTTTTACATTTTTATTTTGGTTAGTGTTTAATATTTTACCAATTTTTACAGAATTAGTATTATCTGTTTAAGATTTTTTAGGCTCAATGTCTTATAATGTATTTATTGAAGTATTATTTTTTGAAGAAGTATTTTCACTTCTGATTTTTTAAAAATTCATATTCTCTGAAGATTCATTTGTTTATATTACTTTAGAAGTATTTCCATCTTAATTCTTTACACTGACTACTTTTGACTAATCCATAGAACGAGAAGATTTTTACTGATCTGATTTAGTATAGCATTCTTATAGGATGTTGTTAAGTAGCTTTTTCTCTTTAGATTTTCCTTTTTAAGATGTATTGCTTTTTAAATTTTCAATTTAATTAATCATATTGTGATTTTCATATTGATACATGGCAGAATTTTACTCACTATATTCGTACTTTTAACTTGAATTGCTAGTATTCTTCCTATTTATTTAATTTGAACTAACATTACTATAATTGTGACTTCCATTATTTATTTCAGTATTGCCCTTGACTTGATAATTATATTTATTCCCACTTCCTGAATTCAAACTTATATTATTTGAATTAATTCCATGTGTTATACTATTTTTATGTGTTCCTTTTGATACAAGCTTACTGCTTTATGAGCGCTAGGATATATCATTTTCACTTACTAGTATATTCTTTTATTCTTACAAAGGTGGTAACTTTAATTCACCACTATGGGCTCCTGGGCTATTGTTTTAATCTCTTTCTTAACTAGGCAAGTTATTGCTACGTATATAACGACTATTTTCATTATGTTCTGTTGAAATATTATTTTCGTTAGAACTGATATTCATTTTAGATGGTTCAGCTTAGTAATTACTATATTTCTACATTAATTTACGCTGCTTGAGATATTCTGATATAGCTCTTTGTCTTTATTCTTTACTCAACTATTCATTTTTTTAAATACGCTCAATTAATCTTCTAACTATCTAAGTATTCTCTTCTTTCAACTTTTCTTCTTAAATTTTACGTTGTATTTCACTTACATCTGCTTTTTTCTATATAAATTTAAACATAGAATCCTCAACTTAATCACTATTAACAAACCTTTTTAGCTTTCCATTGTTGATATTAACTAATCTTCCAAGCAAAGCTTCATTTTCTTTATTTATCACGTTTAATTTATCAATTTATTATTTTAGAAATCTCATTTACTGTTTAGACTTCAAGTCTAAGGAACTCGAAGTGTTGCTGGAAAGAGTTTTAGATCTTTTAGTTTTTATTTCTTGTAGCCTTTTAACATGATTCTTATATTCATAATTTTGTTAATGCTAGTTAACTATACTTTTTTAAATGTACCTTGGAGCATTCATCTAGTTTTAAATGAAAGTTATTTTTTATAATTTTTTTTTTTGATAAAATAATAATAACAACTACTAATAGATGATTAATAATTCACTAATATTTTTTAACCTGAAGATATTCTTATAATTTAAATTTATAGGTTAATTGTAATATTCAATAGCTTATTTCAAAAGTTAATATAATATTTTTGCCATTAAAAATAAACCTCATTAGTATTTCGCTTAAATTTAATCAACAAAACTTATTTGATAGATGAAATTAATCATTATTTTGGTTATACATATAAATTAATAAATAACTCTCTTGAAATATTAAAAATTGATTACATTGGTAAAATGTTTATTGGTGTAAAAGACTTCTTCTATTTGATAAATATTTCAAAAGTAGCAATTCATCATTTAAAAATTTTGCTAAATTATTATTCTAATATTAAAAAATTTAAGAAAAAAAAATAAATGAGCATCTATCATATTTAAAATTCATTCAAATTAGAAATTTTTACTGTAATTAACAGAAAAAAAATTTAAGGCAATTTAATAATAAAAAAATAATTAGCTATCTGAAATCCCTTGTAATCTAATTATTTCAATATCAAAAATTCAATTATTTGTGAATATTAAAAATATAAATTTTGTTATTTTTGGTAATCTTAATCAAATATAAATATTCCACAAATGTCATTTAATCCTCACGAAATTCTTTTTAGATTAAGGAGCTAATAGCAAAACACAAATTCAAATACATCAAATTCATAGGAGCCACGCTAAGCTACAAATAATCAATCAAATAGAGCTAATTTTGGCAATACTTTCACAAATCAAGGAAATAATAACTAAAAATCTGATATAAACAACTTTGAATCAAGAGATAATTATGGGTAATAACAATAATTCTAATAATAACCATTCAATTAAGCCACATATAATAATTATTAGTTGAATAACCTATAGAGTTAGAAAAATTAATTCATTAGTATTGCTAATAATTTAAATAATAACCAAAAAAATAATTTTAAAGGAAGTGTTCCAAACTCAAATTCAGTAGACATGAAATAAAAATCACAAAATCAACATAGTACTTAATAAGGTATACTATTTAACACTAATATGTAAAATAATGAAGAAAATGTGTAAACATAAGGTGAAAGTAAAGCTGTAGATAGTAATGGTAATCCTCTAGTAGATTACCTATTAACTAAGGTTAATCTTTTAGAAAAAAATGTAATTTAATTTTTTATTGAAAAAGCTATAAATAACAATCAAAGTTATTAGATATCTGAAAGTATTTTAATTTGAATAGGTTATAGAGCTTTAATCAAAAAATAGCTAGGCTAAATAATAAGCATCATCCCCATAAAGAAGGGTAAAAACAGAAGTAATATATGATGAAGTTGCAGAAGTTATTGTAATTAAAAAAATATTTTATAATCAATTGCAAAATAATATTATTTTAATGCTTAAATATAAATTAGAGCAGAGAGCCAGTTGATAAAATCTTATAAAAAAAGGAAAAAAACTTTGTTCCTTTTGCTTCTAAAAATTCAAAACGCTTCAGCCAGCCTAAAGTAGCAGGTAAGCTTAACTTAGAGTAACTATAAAAAATTATGAATGAATATCCTTAGCTTTAGAAGCCAATTATCAACATAAAACTCACAGAAGAAGATTTAAATTGAAACCTTAATTCTTATTTGAAAAATATTTAATTAATTTTTAACTTTGTAAATATCTTTATAAATTTTATGTTAAAATGTTTTTTACTTTAATCACAAAAGTTTAAAATAAATTTAAATTTAAAACAAATTACTATTTATTCAAAAAAAAAAAAAAAAAAAAAATATTCATTCAGAAATTGAGAAGTGCTTTATAAAAAATTTTATTTATTTTTAAAAATTTGTGGTTGGAAATAAAAAATAATTAGCTTAATTATCAATTTTTAATTTTATCTGTGTATGTATGTATTAATTAATTATTTCATTTTTGTGTTTTTATTTTATTATTAATTTTTATTTATCGCTTTTGTTTTTTCTTCTTTGCTTGTTTGATTATTTAGTTCTTTTTTATTTTTTATTTTCTTATTATCTTTTTTAATTTTCTTTTTTTTCTTTTTTAATTATCTTTTTTATTGCCTGCTGCGAGAATCGATTGCGAGTCTTGAATATTTCTTCTTCTTTTTCCTATAAAAAAATACTAATTATATATCAAAAAAAAAAATGCAATAATCTCAATCAGAGAGATACAGAGTTGGATAAAAGAATAAAGTTTTTGATAATTCCATACAGACAATTAAGTGAACTTATCTTTCTTAATTTCTGATTTTAAATCTTATTCTAATAATTAAGAATTTTTATTTATAAAAACTATGGAGGTATATGTTTAGATAGAAGGTATTAAATCAGTATAGACTATATCCTATTCTTAGCATCCTGCTGGGGATGCTTGGCCTAAATCAAAATGATTTTTTTATTTAAGAATAGTTGAAAAATATAATCTAAGTACTAATTCGCTATCTAAATATCTTAGTGTTATTTAAAAACTTGATTATTTTTTTTCTTCTTGATTATTAGATCAGATTATTTTTAAATTTTTTATATTTTTATTTTAATAAATTAATTACATTTTTTTCCTTTGTAAAAGATAAATTAAACAACAATTGATCCTTAAAACAAAAAGTAAAATAAATACAATTAATTAAGAAAATATCTTCTAAATATAAATAATTTGGAATTATTTACAAGGAATTTTTAATATACATTGTCAAAAAAAATTAATGTTTTTAAAAAGATTTTTATATTTATAATTTTTAAATAAATTTCTTATTTTAATATCAAATTAGCTTAAATAGTTGATTTTTTACTAAAATAAAATTATATTTTATTTGATAAATTAAAATTGAAAAATTAATACAAATAAATATATTAAAATAATTTAATCTAAAATATTTCTTGCTTAAAATTAATAATAAAAATTAATTATTTTATTATCTCTTTTTTTATTAAAACAATAAATTTATTTATTTAAAATATAATTTTTTATAACTCTTTAAATGCTTTGATTTTTATTTACATTCATTTAATTAAATTACTTTTTTGAATTTTGAATTTGATTTGAAAAATTCAGATATAAATTTGTTTTTTCAATTCAATCTTTCATATAATTTTTAATTTTTCTAAACTTTTTTAAAGTTAGAAAAATTCCGAAGAAAACTATATTCTTCGTAATAATAACCAAATGCTTTAAACAACAACAAAACTACTACTACAACAACATCTAATGCTACTATTTGCTATAAAATCATCTAATCGCCAAGGTAAGAAGGTGAGCTTATTCATTTATTTATTTAAAATTTAATTTTATCATTGATTTATTAATTGTGATCAACTTTGATTGCAAATGCTCCACATCGAATATTCTAGCCACTTGATGAGAATTTCAATAATTATAAATCTCAAATATCAAGTAAGTTTTTAAAATGCTAGCCAAAATTTATGCAGGAAGGTCTTATGTATCGGACTAAGGGTACTCTGTGCCTCTTCTTGCATAAAATTATTATTAATCGGACTATACGTATACAATAACCTCCTTAATTGGAAAATTCTCTTTTAGTCACTGAAATATATAAAAAGTATTTTTTGAAATTAGATTTTTGAACAGATGCTTGAGCTGTCCTTCTTAGATGCGATGTGATCCTGTGCTATTTTTAAAATTTTTAAAAAATTTTTGAGATCTTTGGAAAAATAAAAAAGAAAAAAGAAAAAAGAAAAAAATAAATAAATTTTAAGAATAAAAAAATAAATAAACAAAAAGATTAAAAAGATACTAAAAATATTAAAATCAAGTAAGAAATTAAAAAAATTCAAATTTGAAATAAGAAATATAAAAACCAAATAAAAGTATTAAAACCAACTTAAAAAGCTAAATAACAAAACAAAGTAATATATATGAAGCACTTGCTTTACTTTACTTTAATATAAAATAAATAGCTATTTTAAAACTCACCATTGCATTTTTTTAATTTAAAATATTTTATATAGATGAATTTTTTTATGGATTTATTTTAAAATTGAAATGAGATAAATTATTTTTTTTTTAAATTAGAATTAAATAAATTTGGCCTTTTCCAAAAAAATGAAATAAAATTTATTTATTATTGGACAAAATAAATAAAATTATCTAATTGTAGTTTAATTGTTGTTTTGATAGACTAAATATTTCTTTAAACTAAAAAAATAGTGTAAGTATAGTCTTAAATTACTAATAGAAGCCTTATAATGAATGAGTTTATATTATTCAATTGAAATTTAGTTTCTAATATAGATATTTTATATTTTTTTGATTTGGTTTGATTTGGTTAATCTAATTAGATTGTGTTTTTGTTTATAAAATAAATACTTTCATAACTAAAATTGTTATTAAGAGATTAAAAGTTTTAACAAAAATAATTAAAAAAGCTCTAATATGAACAAAATTATTGCACTTTTTGCTTTGGTTTTCTGCACTGTGATATCAATTAATATGATATATCACACTAACACAAATAAGTTCTTACTTGAATTGGAGGATAATGAAGTTGATTTCTAGTAGGAATGGGAAAAATACTAAAAGACTTATAAAATACACTTTGATGATTCTGGAGAAGAAGAAGAAAAGCGCAGATTCTAAATTTTTACAAAGAATCTTGTCTATATCTTAAGCAGACCTGGCTTAAGCATTACTTAATATACTCACCTTACTAAAGAAGAATTTGCTTAAATGAGCTTTGGTGTTGTAGAGTAAGAACCAGATAACTTTTAATTATTATAATAGGTTAATGAACCTGTAAATTCGATTGATTGGATTTCAAAGAATGCTGTTTCAAATGTTAAAACTCAAGGCATGTGCTAGAGCAGTTGGGCCTTTGCAGCTGTAGCTGGTGTTGAAAGTGCTCTCTTTTTGAAAAACGGAAAGATTCCTGATGTTTCTGAATAAAATTTACTTGATTGTGATTAATCAAATTAAGACTGCAATGGAGGTGACAGAGAAAAGGCAATATAGTATATTTTAAATTAAGGCTTAACCTCTTAACTTACTAATCCTTATAGAGCTTACAAATAAAAAAAATGTAAATTTTAAGTAAAGTAACCTTATTCGATCTCTAGATATATGCAAATAAATAATTGCAAAGATCTTTTATCAGCCCTTGAAAATGGACCTGTAATAATTGCAATAGATGGAACTGATTTGCAATTCTACGAAGGAGGAATTCTTAATACAAATTATTCTTCTAGAAGTGTTGGTGGTCTGCTTGTAGAATACAACTATGAATAAGGATACTACAAAATAAAAACTTCACTTGGAAGTAACTTTGGAGAATAAGGGTATGTAAGACTTTCTGGTTAAGTAAAAGACGGGATGATTCAAAATACAGCTGGAATTTGTGACAAAGCCTTCTAAGTATTTGCCTGATTCAATAGCGAAAATGTTATATATACATCATGAAGCAAATGATAATAAAATCTCTAAAATATTACAAGACAAAAATTAAATAAATGATTGAATATATAATTTAAAAAAAAAAATAAATAAATAAATTACTATATCTCTATTAAAAGAAATAGCTTATGTTTCCATATGGTTTCTTAATAAATTTAATAAACAAAATAAAATAAAAAATTAATTAATTAATTAATTAATAGTAAAAAAGATGAAGTGTTGTTTTTTAAAATACCTAAATTTCGTTTATAGAAAACAATCTTTGATTTTTGAATTACATGAACTTAATTTATTAATTTTCTCATCAAAATAAATAAAATTGAAGACTTACTAACTTACTTACATACTTACTAAATAACTTTTTATTGATTGATTGATTGACTGATTTGATTTGAGGCAAAATAAATTTAGTAGATTTTTATATTAAAAAATAAATTAAAGTAGTTCATAAATAAATTCAATCATTGTTTGATTCCCATAATGAATGAATATTTTAAAGATAATATTTTATCAAGAAGAACAGAGATAATTAATTGATCTAAAGTAAATTGATAATTAATTTAAGATATATGTGATTAATTTTACTTTTAGAAATAAATATTTTTTAATTAATTAATTATGCAAATTAGATAAATGCCTTGATGAAATTAAGCATTAATTTTAGTTAGTTAGTGATAAATTAAATTATTTTATTATAAACTTTAAATTTTCTAAAAATTATTTGAGTTAACTTTCATGAATAGAATTTAATAGAATAATAGTAAACAAAATTAAATTTGATAATTTTTTTGATATGAGATAATATTATGATGATACAATATCATTAGTACCATAAAGTTTAAGTTTTTAGGAGTTATGGTTTGAAATAAGAATAATAACTACCTTTTCTCAAAAAGGCTAGATAAATCATTAGCCTTTATTAATATAGATTATAAAGTAAGAGCAATAATTACTAAATTTATAAATTAAATTCACTAATTAAAAATTGAAAGAAAATAGTTAACATGGGTTAAGATAATATTCAAGATACTGAAGTACAGAAACAAGAAAAGCCTTACGCTTATGAGAAATACTTAAGGTTATCTTAACTATTAAAAAAGCTAAATATTTAGGATTCATGCAGAACTTTAGACTGTGCTCATTAAGATGGGTGCTTATACAATATTTTTAATTAATTATTTAAAGGTTTAGCATTAGGTTACGCTGCTAAGACAACTTTAAATATTGTTAGTACAATACTTTAGTACAAAAAAGTAATAAAAAACCCATTAATGTTCATTAAAGCACTATTTAATGGAGAATCTTTACGCTTTGCTTTATTTCCAGCCGTTTATAATGTTGTGATGTAGACTTCTTTATGTCTTATGAGAAGAAAGGGAGTTAATAAACATATTTAAGGATTTGTAAGTGGGTTTTTAGGAGGTTATTTAGCTTTAGCCACTAGACAAAAATAAAATAGAAATATTTGGGGAGTTATGTTACTTGCAAGAGCTGTTGATTGTATTTATAAATCTATGTGTAATAGGTAAATATAATTTATAAAAAATGGATTATTTTATTTTACATTTAAACACCATACAGTCAATCTATATCAAAAATAATTCTAATTCTTTTATTAATTATAAAAGAAATATAATCAAAAAAAGAGGTACAGACTATACTTTGATGTTTTCCTCAATGTATCTAGTCTTTTCAATTTGTTATGCCTAAGAGCCAGAATGTCTTCCAGCTAGTTTTAACAAATTTTTGAGAGCTTTCTCTAACGAACATGACGCTGATTTGAAGTTTAGAGGTTGTTGGATAGCTAAATCAAATTTAGAATTGATTAAAAAAGGAATACCTCCACATAATGTTGAAAAAGGCCTCCTTTTAGATTTTAATAGAAAAAGATGAAAGCAAGCAAAAATAAGAATTTTACTTATAATAAATAAAAATATTAAACAAACTAACTAATTAAAAAGCAAATAATTTTATTGGGAATAATTTATATCAATCAATCAACTCTATACTAAAATACTTTGGAAAAAATTATAAAAATAAATTTAACCTTATTTTATCTATTTATTTAGTAGCAACAACATGAAAAAATTAACAATTAACATATTACAAATTATCTTTTTAATTTTATTAAAATTATAGAAGAAAAAAATAAATTTTTAAATTTAAATAAAAATATTTTTTCTATTTATTTTGTTTTTTTAAATTTTGAAAATATTTCAACAACTAAATTCTTAAAAGACAGCAAAATTGGTTTATTAAAATTTGAAACACTTTTTAAAAATTAAAAATTTTTAAGAGACACACTTATTTAATATGGAATATTAAATTTTATTTTCATTTATAAAAAAAATATAATAATTTATTTTAATAATTAAATTTAAAGTTAAAAAACACAAATCATCAATGAAAACACCCAAAAAATTGAAGAATAAATATATCACCAAATTTAAAAAGACTTTTAAAGATCTCCATAAAATAAAAAGATTTTTGTTCAGGTTTTTAGGGTGTCTTTTATTACCTTTGCTTTTTATTTCAATTCTAATCACTGACTATTTAAATATTTACCTCTTGGAATCTGAAAGATAATGGTAATCATATGAAATATAAGCCAAGAATTTTACAGATTCAGTCAATGATTAGTTAAATTTGAATCATATCATAAATGAGAAGCAAAATTAATTTATTTTAGAAAATAATTTAAATTAAGAAAAAGGATTACAATTAAATTATATGTATTATTATTAAATTTTAAACGATTAACTTTAAAATTGCTAAAGCCAAAAAGAAGAGTTGATTTATGCATTATAAGATTATTTTTATGATAAAAATTCGGATCTTCAAAAAGGATATACTTTTGAAGTAGATTAAAAACTCAGAAATATAGCTTCATGTAAGTTTAAAATTAAAAAATGAGTTTAGTTATTTTTTTTTACTAAAATTAGATTCTAAAATAAGAAAGCAACATCAATACACAACCTTTGTTTATGGAGTTTAAACAAAGAAGTTTTAATCTGTTTTTCTTTTCAATGTAAGCAAAAAAATAAAAATATAATGATATTATAATAATTTCTCTTTATTAAAAGGAGTAAGAAGAGTTTTATAAAAACATAGATTTCATTTTATCAGATTAGGATTGGTAAAATTTAATTATTATTTTATTTATCAGTTTAAAAATTTGGTTTAATACATTAATTAATATAGGAAAAGATAATATATAAAACTGAATGGGAATAAAGTATAGATTCATATTGATTTTTAAGAAGATTATGTGATCAGAGCTATTGGTATTTAAAACCTAATTAGTGACTATTCAGATGGTTGTGAAATAAATAAGCTCAAAATAATATCAGTAGCTAAAAATATAAATAAAATTGTGAATGCTAATGAGGATGAGCTGAGAGATTTAAGTGAGGTTTATTCACTTTCTGATAGACATTATTATAAAGTAGACGAATAGGTGATTGAGACCTACTATTTCTAAATTGATGAGTAATTTTATTTTTGTTTCCTAATCTTTAATTTTAAATTATTTTATTAATTTTTAAAGATTTTTACTGGACCAGCTTTCAAGTGGTCTAAAATTAGAGCTCGAAAACTCAGGAAACAGTTAATATACTTGTATTTTTAAGTAATTTAATTTAAATTATATACATATGCTTTAACTCATTTTAAAAAAGGATAAAGATTTTAGTATGAAAGACAATCAAAAAAAAATTAGTTAATTAATTAATTTATACAAAAATGAATTATATTATTTTAGTATTGAAACTTTATGTAAATTAGTTTATTTTGTTTTAACATTTTATCAATTCTATCCGCCTTATTCTTCGTTATCTTCATTATCTTCATCATCACTATAGTTTACTATTCCTCCAAGTTTATTTATTTACTTTTCTGTTTAACTCTTTTATGGAGGATTTTCTTAGGGAGGCTAAATATTATATCCTTAAAATTCACTTTGTTGCTATTAATTTTTACCTGCTCTTGACCAAGATATACTTAATTGTATACCTTTTACATTAAAATTTCCATATAAGTCTTTTATAGCTTCTTCTGCTGCCTTTCTTGCTATGAAGTTTACAAAAGCACAACTTTTTTAAGAAATAATCTTAATGCTTTATATTGGTCCGTATTTGACAAATATCTAACTATTTTATTTATAAAAAAACTTAAAAATTTATTTTTATTTATTTTAAAAATCTTACTGGAAATCTTATTCTGTGAAATCTGGTGTGATATTTCCTATATATAAAGAAGTTATTGTTGGATCAGCAGGAGGTTTTATATCGTTTTCTTTGTGATTCTAAATTTTATTCATGACTTTTTAAGCAAGAGGGTCATTTTTACCATGGAATCTATCTTTGAGATTTTATTTATTTAAGGGATCATCTTCATCTTAATTTTCTCTTTTTTCGTGGCTGTAAGGACATAAATCACCTCTAGTACAATTTCCCTTAACCCAAAAACTGCAAATTCTAGCTTTATTTCTTTCATAATATGGCTTCAATCTTGCAACTTTTTCAAGAATGGTATTTCCTACAGTTTAATCATATGGTAGAGAAAGCTAGTCCAACTTTACAGTAAAATAAAGAATTAATTGAGTCGTTAAAAAAATAAATTGCGTTACATTATTATTTGCTAAATGAGTGAAATAATCTTTATTTGATTATTGTGTTGGCATATGTACTGCTTATTCTGCTAAAAATTTATCACGAACTTCTACTGGAAGACCATATTGTAAATCAAAAATGCAAGTTTGACAAACGTTTTTAAGTTTTGCACAAGTTTAACATATTTCTGTTTTTTTAAATCTTCCCTTAGTACCTGCTTTCCATCTAAAAACTGTGAAAGGTCTAGTACATATTTTACATTCTTGACCATGCTTTTCCTTCATCTATTTAAGTAATTAAAAATATGGTTATTAGCCGATCTATAAATAAGTATTAAAATATTTCTTCATACCATTCTAACGTAAGGATTATCTCCTAAGCAGGTTTCACATAATATGGGAAACTCAGCATCTTCCCAACCTAATTTTATTTTTAAATGCTGAAATAAATATCATTAATTAATATTGATCAATTAAGTAGTTAATAAGGATTCTATTAAATATGAGCAAACAAATCAAAAAGAATTTGTTAATACCTTGTTTGTTAATTGCTGTACGAATCTAAAGACCTCTTTCAGTAGCCATTTTATTTGTGCTAATAACAAATTCTAATAAATGGATATTTGGTTTAACTATTTTATTAAATCTATATTATTTTATAATATTGGTAATTCTGTTCACAAATTTTCCAAAATAATTACAAAAATTATTATATTTAATTAAGCATCACTAATATATGCAAGATATAAATAACTAAAACTATATAGGCATAATTCTATTGAATTAATTAATTTGCATATTTATTTTGAAATTTTATCTTGTAGTAATTAATGTCTAGAAGCATTGTTATAAAGTTATTAGTTGTAATACAACTTTAGTGTATATCAAGAAGGAAAAATGAGAAAAAATAATTGAAAAAAAAGAGAAAATAATTACATTGAGACAGAAATGACATGTAATTAAATAATTTGCAATTTATTTGAATACTTCTTAATATCATAATTAAAATTATTGTTAATTTATATATATAATTTTAAAAGTTTTTAGATAGATATGTGCTATAGAACTATTTTGATTTAAGAAATAAATGCTTCCTAAATAGTTAAATAGTTAGTTATTTAGTTGTTTGGTTAACCTACTATTTTAAAGCTCGTCAACTCAAATCTTTAATTATGTTAAATAAATGTATTTTTTGTGTATTTTTATACATTTTCACACATTCATTCATTAGCTGAGTTAAAAAAGATTTCAATAGTTATCTTTCTTAGCGTATTAAGGATATGCTTATTAATTACTACCACCTAAAATAAATCCACCGAAACCTTTTTATTAACGTTGCTTCAAAGCATCAACCTTAGTTTACATTTCTGCAACAAATGCTTTTCCAGGGTTATGGTGACCATATTTGCTTAATTCTTGTCTAACATCCTTAATGTTAGGATTTGCTAAGCCTATAATTTAAATATTATTTTTTATTATTAGTTTTATTGAATTTTAAATATTTTTTTATACGCAATAGTAAAGGAAGAGTTTCTTTCAAAAGCTAGTCATCTTAGTTACCAGTGTACTTATCTAAAATAATAGCATTATCAATATGCTTTTTATAGTAATCTTCGTTCCAATCAACAACAACAATTCTTTTTAAATCTCTATTTAAGTAACTCAAATCTTTATAGTACTTTCCTTCAAAAACCATAGCTTCTTTACCAAATCCATTAAAAAATATTCTTTAATTTGGGTCTAAGTGTTATCTGACTTCATCAACAAACTTTAAATTTAATTTAAATATTGTGAATACATAATTTTGTAGTGAATTTATCCTTACAAATGAATCTTCGTCAGCAAGAATAACGATCTCATAATGTTCAGAAAGTCTGTTAAGAAATTCATTCAATCCAGGTCTCTTCTTAATTTGAGTACCTTTGCCAAACTATTTATTTTGCAAATAAAGATTAAATCATTCATTTATTTCTCATATTGAATCTTTACTTTGAATTCAGTATGGACAATAGTTCCTGTAAGATTAAGAACTAAAGTTTTAGGGGCAGGTCCAAAACCATAAACTAAATGCTAATCAACTAAAAGATTTTATGCTGGAGGTTTTGTGAAGAACTATTTATATAAAATTAACCGCATTATTTTTAAAAAGCTAATAAATTTTTTATAAAAAGATATACATCAATCACATCTTAAACTTTCTTTTGTACTTTTGTTGATAAAGCAAAAACAGGTGCTACATAACCTAAGTATTATATAATAAAATAATTAAAAAAGCTTAATTTATTTTTACTAAATCGTTTCACAAATAAAATAATTTTTATTTACCTGTTTCCTTCTCTGGATTTTAAGAAGTGGAAGCCAAGTAATAATTATATGAAAATAAACCAACAAAAGTCCACCAGCCTAATCTGAATACCTATCTAGCAAAACTAGTAGTCTTTTATGTTGCTAAATATTAAATATTAAATAAATTACTGCATTTATTTGAATTACAAGAAAATTTGAAATCAAATGTATCTTTAAATCAAATAAGAAAAACTTGTTTTTCTTTGTCTTCTAAATAATCATTAATGCTTGTTATTATTAATGTAAATATTACTTGTTTCTTGGTACTCGCTTTCACCTTCAGTTTATCTACCTCCATTTGTATTTTATTCACCTTCAGTATTTTATTGATTGTTGTTCTAAGATGAAAAAGCTCTGATATTCTTCATATCTTTTTATTTATTAATAAATATAACTTAATTAGGAAACTCAAGTCATAAATGTATAAATTCCAGAAATAAAGCTTTTGGATTAGTTTTCATAATTTTGAATTTGATCTGATTGAGTTTCAATGAGATCGATCGATCAACTGTATATTATATCTAAAAATAAGAAAAAAGTACATAAATTTTTATGAGCGTTCAAGTGATATCTTAAAACAGTTTAATTGATTTTGCTTAACATTTTATGCTACTATTAAATGGAACCTTTATTTTTAAGAATGATGTTATTCTACTTTTTTGGGTCTATTGTACTTACTTACAAAGTTTAAAACAATAATAATTTTTAATTTATTTAATTATTTATTTTAACTAAAAAATTTGTTTATATTTGCACTTTCTCTCTTTTTAATGCAATATTAAATAGACTACCTATCTATCTTAATATCTTTTTAGTTGTTAATAGTTTTTTTCTTAATTTTAAAATAGAGCTTTCTTCTTAATTAATCAATCAATCTATAAATCAATCATTTCTTATTTTCTTTAACATTCTATTTGTTTCTATTTTTTAATTAAAAATTTATAGAAAAAAAATATCTTAACAAAAATTTTATCTCCTAGAATACTTTCTATCTATTCATTTAACTAGTAATAAGATTTAATAGAAGATACAAAAAAAAAAAAAAATCTAAAATACATAAATATTTTTGATAGAATTTTCTCTGGTTAAAGCACACAGTTTAATTATTTAATTAAATTTAAAATTTTCAAAAAATTAAATACATAATTAATTAGCTAATTTCATTAAAAATATAATAAATTTAAATTAAATTAATATTAAATTTTAATTTTATTTGTAGAGTTGTTATAATTCTATCAATGTATAGAATACTTTATTATATCTTCCTCTAAATTAACTGAAGCATATTCCTTGATATGATCGTAAATGGTGAGAGATACACTTAAATCATCGTTTTAATCAATTACTTTCAATAGTATTGTAGATGCTTCTTTTAATTAGTTCAATTCCTCTTTTAAGAATTTTACTTTTTTGATTTGATTAAAATCAAACTAAACGCTTTTGAATTCGTCTTAGCCTTTAATTAAAAGCTCTTCAAAATTATCTTAATAATTACTTTCGTTTGGTTGATCTTATATATTTTATAATTTTGTGTCTTCAACTTTTGTTTTTGCAGTATTTGATTGGGTATTTTGCAAACTTTTAGATTTGTAGTTAAAAATTTATTATTCTGAGTCTTAGTAAGATTCTTCTTTTAAAACAGCTAAGTGTAAGTCAAGTTTATTATTTTTCCATAATTAGTAAATGTATAAGCTAAAAGATGATATAATTTAATAGTATTTATCTTTGATAAACTCAACCAAAATTTCATTAGAAAATAAAAGTGAGTGCACTTATGTAATCATTTATATTAAAAATTGCACAACAAGTTCTCCTAGTGATTTATTTGTATTATGTGTTTAGTGGAAAGAATACATATTACTTCCTATCTCAGTGAGAACATTTAACAGATGAGGAATTCTTTCGTTAAGAATTTTGATATCTTGTTATTGAAGTAAATTGTTATTTTACAGAGGTAAACTAATAGGATGATTAATTACATTTTTTAAAGCTTTTAGAGCATAAAATTGAGATTTTTAATTATTAATTGATTAAAGGACTACTTCTAAAGATTATATTAGACTAGAAATAGATTTAGATGAGAAAAAAAAGTGCAACTTATTTATTTTATTTGTTTCTGTTAGAATACAATTTATATTAGAAAAAATATTTTGTATAGCAACGCAAGCATTCCATACTACTTTAGAGCTTTTGTGAGATAGGTTTTCTGTTATTAACTTGCAAAGTACTTGATCTTCCTTGGAAGGTTCGCAAATTGATAAATATAAGTTTTTATTCATTTTCATTAAAAAAATACCCAAAGCTCTTAAGCCATGTGGTGACACCTTATCTTTTGGTGATGAAGAGATATCTTACAAAGCTACAAACAAATTTTATAAAGATTATTATGAAAGTATTGAAAAATCCTTTACATAATAGCACCAACTAGCCAAAGACTAAGAAAGTTTTGCATAAACTGAAAGATTTGCTTAAGTTTTTTTTTAGCCAATAAGCTACTTTTCTCTGAGTAGAATATCTAAAATCTATTTACAATTAGATTAATCTTAGTTAAAAATTGTCCTAGAAATCAAACTTCCCAGTGCCTTTAAAACGTAGAAACGAATTGAGGAAGTTATATTAAGATTGTAAATTTGATTCTTAAAGAAAGTATAAAAATCTTAATTTTATAGCCACAGCTCATTTTTAATATGGACAGACATATTTAATGAATTTACCATTAATGGCAGTTCACCGTCATCTTTAATCTTACCTTGCTCTTATTCTATGCTTTATTGCATTAGCTGTTTTACCTTATTTATCAAGTAAAAAGAAAATATTTTATCAAATTCCTCGGATTTTTTAACAAGATCAACATTTTATTCAAAAGATTATGTTAAATTTTTATCAATTTAGCTTTTGTTTTCTTGGTTTTCATCTTCTTCTTGAATATTTTCTTAGGCATCGTCTTAGTTATTTTCTAATTGAGTCTAGTCTAGAGCTTTTAAGGAAGAAATTTATTTATTAATTACTTATTTAGCTATTTAAACAGCACAATTATTTTTCTCTGCTATCATAATAACTAAATCGTATAGAAGAAATAATCTTTTTTTATCAGTAGCTAGCTTATTTCTGTGTTCTTCAAATGTTTTAATTTTCTCAGAAATCTTCTCCCATAATGGAAATGAGCTTTGTTATGTTTAAGATTACTATTAAACATATAATAATGTGCAATCAAAGTAATTTATTTATAAATTGGTTAATAGAGAAATTGATTCTAATGAAATCATCTCTCTTAAAGCATCTTCTTTCTAAAGTAGAGAAATATCATGCATGCACTATGATAGTTCGCTATTTAATTCTGACTAGCTATTTTTAATGAGGATATCTTCTATACATAAATCGAAGAGATTAATCTGTGAACCATTTTTCTGCTTCATACTCTAATTGCTCTCATCAGAAATAGCTTGAAGATATCTATTTGCAAAAAGGTCAAATCTAATATTACACTTAGCAATACAGTTCAATATTTACAGTGCATTATATTTTAAATGTAGAGCTTCAAGAGATGCATCTTAAGTTTTTACATGCCTTAAAACCTTCAAAACAAACTATCTGAGTATCAAATCTATGCCTTCTTTAAAAGGCATTTTCTCAAATTAAACTGTACTATTGAATAAACTTATGTAAACTTTTAAAATCTAATTGCACAGAGATAAAACTTCTTCATCACTATCATTCACAAATAAATCTTCAGCTTAGGGGTTTTCTTTTAAATCCTTTGAAAGTTGAAGTAAATTATCTGCCTGCTGATTAAGAATTTAATTGTTATTTTAATCATACTGTTAAATATGTTTAGTACAGAGAGTTTAAAGCATGTGAATTAGAGTGAAATGAATATTTTTGTAACTTTGATATATTAAATATGACTGTGGTTTGAAAGATGAAGTTGATTTTTCAAACTTTTAAATTTCTAAACCAGATACAAGCTATTTAGAAGGTAAGTTTTCTATTAAATTCTATATGGTTTATAAAGCATTACTCTTGATTTTATTATTTTCTTCGAAAATAAGACAACTTAGTAAACTTGCTTCCATATAATTTGGGTATAAAAGTGAGTAATCACGCATATTATTATTATTATTATTATTATTACTACTACAATCATTTATTATTTTAGCATGATCGTCTTTTTTGTTTTCTTCTACAGGAATAATATTTTGTTCATTTTGTTATTTTTATGAGTTTAGCTTCTGTTCTAAAGAAGAATGAGTTTTTAAAGAATGAATAAAATCTTTGGTCATGTTATTACTTTTAATTAAAGTTTACCATTAATTCTTAACTATTGCAGGAAATAAACGAATTATAGTTGAAAGAAGAGTGCATGTTTAGTTCCTTACTTTACCTTCGATAACTTCAATTTTTGTTTTGTCATTATTTCCTAAATATTCGTCATTTTCTGACCATTCGCTTTAACTACTTGCTGAAAAGCTATTATTCATTGACAAATTATTCCTACTTCCATTTGTATAATCGGTTAATTAAGAACTAGTACTTAGCCTATTACTAAAAATTCGGTTCTAATTTTACCCAAATATAACTTAGTGAAATGTTGGATTACCTAAAAAAACATATTTAAATATCCTTAGGAATACTTTTTCAGTCAACTTTTAATTATTAGCGTCTGAAAGAAATACTTTGTTTTCTTTTAATTCAGCCAGAACTATATGTCCAGTCCTTAACAATGTAACAAGGAACCTTAAGAAAGAGTAATAGTTACTTCTAGATGAAGAATCATTTACACTACTACCACTAGAAGCAGCTGCAGATAAAGGTAAAGATTAAGAATTTGATGTACTTTACTAATTATTTGTTAAATTAAAGAAGTGCATTATTAACTCTTATATTCTTTTAAAGATTAGTTGGAATTCAGTTTAAAATTTGGATGATATTTAGGGAATACAAAAGCTCTATATATTAAGAAGCACAAGACGCTGCACATGATTACTAATAGTATCTTCTTCTTCTGATTTTTGAGGAATTTGAAGCATCTTAGTAAATAAATCAATAATCTGATTCAATTACTTTTCCATTCCCGCATAATAATCATACTAATAAAGTAAAGTTATTTTGAGCAAATCTTAAATATTTGACAAGCTTCTCCTTTAAAGTGCCTTAGAAAAGTGAGGTAATATATTTGCAATCAAAGCTTAGCTACTTGTACTATTCTTGACTTTTAAGAGATCTTTCCAATTACTATTACTTCTAACAATGGTTTTTTAAAGAGAAGATAAACTAAAATCTTCTTCCAATACTAATTTATACACTCTTTCGAATAACCTAACTACCTATAAATCTCCTATGCTTTAAGCTTCATTCAATTTTTAAAGCAACTTATTAAAAAAATCTTTTTCTCCTTTGTATTCAAATAGTACAAAATCTTCCTATTCTACCTTATTTGCTTTTGAATTATAGAATTTACCTCCAGAACCAAGCACATTTTAAGAATTTATTTAAGTTTTTTAACCTTTTGGAGATTATAAAGGACTCATTTGAGTTTCATCTTTGAACTAATTTGTATTCTATGGATTTTATTGAGATTGTTGCTACATTTTAGAATTTCTAAATCGCGGTGACTATTAATGAAATTATATACCCTCTTACTAAGGCTTGTCTTCATCTCTAAAACTTTTAGGATTAACTAAAAACTATTTAGGCTTTTTATTGTCCATTTTAATATATAAATAAATATGCTTGTGTTTTAACTATGATGTTTTATAAATTTTAACTTGATGATTCCTACTTTTTTGATATAGTGTTAGAAGTTTGTAGATTGATAATAATAAATATAAAAATAAATAGATATTAAAGCTTTTAAAATTTTAAAAAAATAAATACACATCAATTAATTAGTTATTGATTATCAATAGTAAACTTTAAAAATATTATTCAATGCTAAAAAATAAATAAAGCTATTCCTAAACTATAAATAATATATTTTAAAACTACTACAGCATACAAAAATATTTATTTCTATGTCTTATAAAATCTGATAAACTCAATTATATCTATTTGTTTATTTTTTAAATTTTCTATATAAATAAAAACTACATATCCTATAAAATCTGATCCTTATTTTTCTATAAAATTTAAAAATAATTTATGTATTTACATATCTACAATAAATAAATACAATTTGTTAAAGCACAAATTTTTAAATAATAAAATTAATTAGTTAATTTTAATCAATATTTTTTAAATTAGTCAATATATTTAAGTAAATTTAATTTTTAATTTTTAAAATTATAACGAGAATTTAAAATTTATTTAAAAAAATTATCTTTATTCATTTATTCAATATCTTAAATGATTTTAATAAAGTTTATGTAAGTTAGAAGAGAATATTTTGTTCTCATTCATAGTTTTTACACAAAATAAAAAAGTACGACACCTGTGAGAATTGAACTCACGCTCCCAGAGGGAAACGGCTTAGCAGGCCGCCGCCTTAACCACTCGGCCAAAGTGTCTTTCATATTGTTTTAACTTCTAAAAAAAAAGACTTTTAATTTTAATTCTTAAAATAGAATAAATTAAAAATAAAATCTGCTAAAAGAAATAACATAATAAATTAATCATTAAATTATTAAGTTATTGTGATTATTAGTATTTGATGTTTAAATTTAATTAACATATCATACTTATTTTGTAATAAATAACTTTTAATATTGAACAAATAAATTAAAATCATATATTAAGTTTTTTAAATAAAAAAGATTCGACACCTGTGAGAATTGAACTCACGCTCCCAGAGGGAAACGGCTTAGCAGGCCGCCGCCTTAACCACTCGGCCAAAGTGTCTTTCATATTGTTTTAACTTCTAAATAAAAAGACTTTTAATTCTAAATTTTATAATAAATTAAAAATAAAATTAAAAAATTTCATAAAAATATATCATTAATATATAAAGATTTTGTGATTATAATTGTTGATTTTTAATTTAATTAAGATACCATAATTATTTTATATCACATATTTATGGTTGGGCAGGTCGCCACCTTAACCACTAATCCAAAATATCTTTCACATTGCCTTAACTTGTAAAAAAAAGGCTTTTAATTTTAATTCTTAAAACAGTATCTATTTTAAATAGTTTATTTAAGTTAATTTAATTTGAGATATTAAGCATTATTCACTTCAAATACTTTATTATTTTTTAATAAAATACTTCTGTTTATAAAAATTATTTAAATTAAAAAAGTACGACACCTGTGAGAATTGAACTCACGCTCCCAGAGGGAAACGGCTTAGCAGGCCGCCGCCTTAACCACTCGGCCAAAGTGTCTTTCATATAGTTTCAATTTCTAAAAAAATGACTTTTAATTTTAATTCTTCAATATAATTAATTTTAAAAATAAAATTTGCTAAAATGAAATATTATAATGGTATATAATTTATTTATTAAAAATTAATGCTTATAATTATTTTATGTTAATTGTATATTAGATATTATACTTATTTATTTCAAATAACATTATGAGGAAAATATAGTTCTCATAAAAAATATATTGATTTAAAAAGTTTCGACACCTGTGAGAATTGAACTCACGCTCCCAGAGGGAAACGGCTTAGCAGGCCGCCGCCTTAACCACTCGGCCAAAGTGTCTTTCATATAATTTCAAATAAAAGAAAAAAAGCATTTAATATAAATTTATATAAACTCACTCAGATTATCAAATGAAATCTATAAAATATTTTAAAATATTTAAAATAATTTAATTTTAATTTTCCTTTCTAAAAACAATAAATTATTTATTCTTCACTTAAAATAAAGCCTTATAGGTATAAAATTAAAAAGATTCGACACCTGTGAGAATTGAACTCACGCTCCCAGAGGGAAACGGCTTAGCAGGCCGCCGCCTTAACCACTCGGCCAAAGTGTCTTTCATATTATAAAAAGATTTTTTTGAAAAAAATTAAACTTAAATTAATTTCTGTAAGTCTATTTTTTAATTTAATCGAAATAGATTAAATTACAGTTTTTTTTAAGCTAAATGTCAAAATTAAAGGCTTGAGCACCTTTTCCAACTGTAAATCTTTAAAAACAAAAAGATTCGACACCTGTGAGAATTGAACTCACGCTCCCAGAGGGAAACGGCTTAGCAGGCCGCCGCCTTAACCACTCGGCCAAAGTGTCTTACTTATTAATAAGCTTCAAATAAAATTTTATTTGAATTGAAAATTAGATTTTATAAAACTAATTCCATTATATAAAATAAATGAAGTTATAAAAAAATAAGTAAATTAATTACAAAGGCATCATATAAAATTTAATAAGTATAAAATTTACCTACTTATTAAATTTTATAGATTTACTGAAAACAAATTAAATATGATTGATTAGTAAATGAAATTTATTTGTTTTTGATTGATTTAATAATGAATTTACTTGATAAATATAAAGTTTGATAATTAATCTATCATTTAATCATATTATTTTTTGATCAAAATTTTATTAAATCAAAAAGCATATTTATTAGTAGAAATTAGGACAATCAATCAATACTATAAAGAATAATTTAAAATTCAATTTATACTAAAATGAAAAGAAGCTCCCTGCTATAATTTGAAACTAGTGAAAAGTAGTTAAGATTATCATCGGCTAACATTCCACAAACCCTGAATGAAATAGGAAAGACTATTTTAAATTTTGATATAACAGATAATGTAAATAGGATTCAAAAAAGGAGAGTAGAGTAAAGGAGAGAAGATTAAACAAAATATTAAAAAGAATAAGAAGATATCTTAAAAAAAAAGCTTATAAAATAAAATGATGCACAAATTATTATAGAAAATATGAAAAAAAATGAAGAAATTAAGGAAGATTTTAAAGTGGATGTTTCTTCTCTCTATTCTTCGAGTAAATTTAATTTTAACTTCTACTAATGAAAAATATCAACTTAAATACATTAAAAATAGTGAAAGAACAATTCCCTTTGTTTAATTAGAATAACGATTAAAATCAATGGTAAAGCATTGCTAAAACTATAATATCTCCATAATCTGCATAAGTAAGTCCAGATAATTCACTATTTATTGAACTGAATAGTAAGCGAAGAAGTCTTTTTAGCAACTATAATGCAAACATTCTTGAAAAATCATTTGATTCAACCAATAATATTGCTTCTGTGAAATAAAGGGTCTCTTTTTTAGAAAATGTTAAAACAAAAGAAAAAGAAAATAAACCATCATTTGAGTTTGATTAAAGTATATTTTATTATACATACAAATAATTTATTTACCATTAAAATAACAACTAAAAAGTTAATTTCGTAGTTTTAATTATATTAATATAATTAATTTATAGAATAGTGGTTTTTCTCTCATGTGATATCTTCTAACTATATAGAAAGCGCTCTAAAGAATAAAACATAGAATTAAATTAAATTTCGAAGAATAAAATTAGGTATTTTTTCTATTATTTTAATTTTTACTGATGTAAGTAATATCTATTTTATTCAACTAAATTCAGGATCGCTAGAAAAAGAAGTTAAATTTGATATTATTGAAAATCAACAAGATAATCGTTAACTAATTTAAAGGAACAGATTTGTACCAAAAATATTTTTAGATAAATAGATAATATTATTTGAGAATAGCTAGTAAAAGATACCCTCTTATCACCCTCAAATATAGAAAAATAAAAAAGCTTTTAATTTAAATATATTAAATACTAAGGTTCCAACATCAAGACGTTAATCACTTATATTTTATTCTTCTAAAGATATTTAAAACCAAGCTTAAATTGAGAAATAATATAAAAAATTAATTCAGTTTAGATCTGAGAATACTTTAGAGTATTAAAGAGCTTAAAATACTCTGCTGTTTGATTTAATCTTTGATAATATATAGGCAAATAATGTTAAAAAGTCTAAACATGGTAAAAGTTAGCAAAGAACCCCAAAAGTAAATTAAGCAAAATAATCAGATGACAATGACTTCAAAACAATCTTGAAAAATGTAACTAGGGATAATATAAGAAGAAAAAGCTGTCATTGCTCCGAATGCGGGGATATTACATAAAAATAAAAGTTAAGTTAAATGGTTTTACTAGATAAAGAAAAAAAATCACCAGTAAAAATACATTCTCAATAAAGATAAAATAAAAAAAATTATACAGCAAGTAGATATTTTTAACCAACAAATTTAATGATTATATTTATTTAAAATCAAATTTTTTTAAAAAAAGATTGTGATTCACCAAACAATTACATAAGGCTAGCAAATTAGAACAAAAATTTTAGTATGCTGAGTCATTTCTAGCCAGAAAAAATAAGCTCACAATAACAAACTTAATTAAGCATAAATTCAAAGCAGTCAAATGAAACACCTAAATAAGAAGCAATGAATAATTAAGATGAATTTTCTTGTATGATCTAATCTTAAAATAAAGCATTAAAGAGATAAAATTCATTAGGCTTAGTTAAGGTACAAAATTTAGATTAAAGCAGATACAGAACTGACACTTAAGATACGGATAGATATTAAGAAGAAATGTCGGAATCTCAATAGTTAAAATTTCGAGCCAATAAGTAATTTAATTTATGTATAACTTAAGAAATTTATTAAATAATCATGAAATAAAATAGATCATTTTTTATAAAGATTGAAGCACTAAAAAAATCTTAACAAGCATTAAGAGATAGAGTTAAAGAAAATAATTAAATACTCAAAAGCTATTCGCCTAGTAAGCTGAAATTAAAGTTAATTCTTAAAAATGAAGATAAAAATTGTGTTTTAGCAAAGTTTCTAAATGAAAGATAGAAATCCTCTCGTCGGATTGAAGAGTACTCTCGTAGATAAGTTGTAAGCTAATAAGGATAGAGAAATATATATAATCAACCTCAGTTTTCAAATAATTCAGAAAAGCAAGAATATCTTAAATAAGCAAATAAGATATTTTTTAAAAATACAAAAAAAAATTTATTTTTGAAGTAATTAGATGAAAAAAGCGATAATATTAATAAAATTTTAGGATCTTAAAATATTCAAACTTGCAGAGTTTCTACAGCAGACCCATATACTTTACGCAAAAACTACAAAAAAAATGATTTTATTGAAAATTTCTTGTAAATTTATTTAAGATATGTAAAATTAGCCATAGCTATTATTTTTTATTAAATAGAACTAATAGAGAGTCAGTTACCAGGAAATCTTCTGATTTCAATAGTAAAGCATACTCTTCTTAATCCACATTTAATTCTACAAAGGGCTTCTCAAGAGAAAAAAAGTATCTTTATGCTAATTAAGATGAAATTAATTCTTAGCATAGTTGATTTTAAATATGATTAAAAAATACCAAAACAAATAAAATCATACTTACTTACTTACTTTACTGTTAATATATATTCAGTTTTTAATCAATTTCAATAAAAATATGTAATTAATTAGGTAAATTTTAATAAATTTATTTTATATTTCAATTTATATTTAAGCTTTTGTGTTTGTGGTAAAATCTTACTAATTTTTAATTAAGAAATTATGCAAAAATTGAACGTTGTTGCTAAAAATACTAAATCAAGTAGCCAGGATTAGCAATATTTTAAAATATAATATTTGTTTAAGTAAGAAAATATAATATTTTTTTAATTTAATAAAATACTGATCAAACAAACACATATAAATGTTAACTATTTATAATAACATTATTAGAAAAGAATGTTTTTTGTTTAAAATTTAAAAAAAACTTTTAGCAGATCTAATTAATAGCTTTAAATATTTCAATTATAACACTCATTAAACTAATCTACCAACTGTGGAGTATATAATTTGATTAGTCTTTTTAAAATATCTTTTTATATTGATTTTTCAGACAAAATGATATTTATATAGCCAATTTCTTTTTCTATGTTTTTTATTTCTTTATAAATTGTTATGGAATCTCTTGTTCCTAATTTTGAAATGATAAACTTAAAACTTTTATCTCTTGTATAATATAATGCACTTAAGTATAGCCTTTTTTTCATGTCTATCCACTATTTAATTTTTATGATAGGATGAATAAATATGCTTTCTAATGCCATATTATTTTTAATAGTTTTTCTCATATCAGTAGCTAAACTATTCCTTGCTTATGAAAACATTCCTGAGGTATTAGAATTTTCGTCATCGATTAGATCTACAAAGTTACCAGTTTAGAATTTTTAAAATATGAAATAGCTTATCATCCGTATATCTGAGTAATTTAGTTATGCATTTTAATAGCTGCTTTGGTCATAGAAATAACCCTCTCCGATAAAAATATTAAGTATTTCACGGAAATTTAATTCAAGTATTTAATCTATTTGCATGTTAATACTTCTTAAAGATATAAAAAAATTAAGTTAGGCAGTATCTCTATAATTTATAACATCACTGTTCTTTGTCATAATGAAATCTTTTTTTCTGCTAACTAGGTTTCTAAATTAATTAAAATAATAAATAAATATCAGTTAAAAAAATTGAAACAACTTACACATTTTTTTAAATTAAATTTTTATTCTTTTAAGCTTCTGATTTTTGCAAAAAATCTTTAAAGTTTATTTCGATGTCTAAATTAAATACTTTTTAATTGTTTAGTCTAAGTAAATTTGAAAAAAACACTTCTTTCAAATTTAAAGTATAGAACCATAATGTGCATTATTCTCTCTGGATAGCAAAGAAATTTTATGAAAATGCAGATGTCCATAAATAAAATTCTATAAATCTATTGATATTTGTATATGTTGCATTAAATTTAAAGTCTTAAAATAAGTTATCTTGCTATTCTGTGATTTATTTTAAATATTCCAGTTGCTGGTCATAATCTAATTTATTGCTGATAGAACTTTTTCTACTTTTTGATGTTTTTTTTAATTTCTAAATGTAATTTTTAACCACTTTCTAAAACTTTTTATGAGATTTACTCCTATTTTTAAATTTATAATAATAATAATATTTTTAACTTTTTAAAAAGAAAATACTTACAAACAATAATTTTATTTTGGTTGTTCTCTTTCTTTTACTATCTATAACTTTTAGAATTTACTAGGAAATACAATTGAGGAGGTGTTATTTTCAACTCTATTAAAGAAATGAATATAATTATCAAAAGGTTAAATCTATTTGTTGTTTAAGTAAAAAATCATCTTTGGAGTAAAAAGCAGAGGAATTTCACTCTTCTTCGATTTAAATGACTAACTCAGCTACTAGAAAGAGAATTTATTCTAAAAATTTCTTTGAGAGTGATTGGAATAAAAGTTAACAATCCATAACTTAAACAAAACATCTCTTGTTACAGTAATAATCCAAAATTAATTTTATATTTTTATTATATGCCTCAATATAATCCTTTTAGAATTAACTGATTTCTCAAGTAAATACTTTTATACCCGAGAAAAATCTCTCTAAAAAGCATATCTTTCAAAGAAATTCCTAAATTAAATTAATTATTATTATATATAAAACGATAAAAATAATATTTTTACTTAAAGAAAGTAAGCTTTTCTAATTTTATATCAATGTTTTGATTTTATTCGTTTTTATAAGTATTGCTGCTATTTCTGAAAAACTATTTAGAGTCTTATCCAAATAAAGCAGCCCTTTTTTTTATTGATTAATGATGCAAATACCTAATTATAACTTGTTAGCCTAATGGTGTTGAAATAACCTCTAATTTCTATAGGATTGTTTGAACCATTATTTTTTAATACTTTATACTAAAGTCTTGCATTAAATAATGAAGAACTTCTTAATTAATTAACATTAAATCCTAATATCCAAACTAAAAAATATTTTAATTATAATTAAATTAATTTTTTTGAAAATAATCTTACAATTATTTTGCATAGAACTGTTTTAGATAAATATGGACTTATTTATAGCTTTATGAAAAACTATTAATTCTTATTACTGTTTTTTTCTTCGATTGGCATAAATATATGTAAATCAATGATACTTCTACCAAATCCCTTTACATTCATTGCAAAACAATTATTGATATGAATAAATTTTGAAAATAGTAGTTTACTGCTTACTAATATACTCATTTTAATTGTATGAATAAGATCTAATTGTAAAGCACATTCTTTGGTCATATTTATTTATAATAGGTTATTGTTTTTAATGTGTTTTTGAAAAAATTATTTCGGCTATAAGTTCTTGTATTTTTTTTTCATTTTTTATGTAGCAAATTCAAGGAAATATTTTTTCAATATTTTGTTTTCTGTGTTAAAAAGCTATGATAATAATTTTAAAAAATTTATATGAGAACCTATATCGATTTCAAGATGTACTGGAGTATTTTTTCTAGCTTCCAGTTATTAAAAAACTACTTTGTTATCGGGAAGTAGAGAAAGACAAAACAATTGATCAATAGATCTCAATTAGTAAAAATAAAATAGCTTTTTAAAATCATCTTTTAGAATTGTTTATTACCTTGAAGCTTAACTAAAGTTTGATTATTTTTTTATTTCTTTAAAATTACTGTACCTATCTGTGTTTTAAATTTTTTATTAATCTTAATTTATGGAATTTTTTTTTAATTTAGAAATGAATTAAGATGGTCTTTATTGCTTTTCATTGAGATATGAGCTAAAATCAATACTAAGCGCTCTTTAAAGATTAAGCTAGTAAGAAATTTATTTGCTATTTCTAATTTATGGGCTAAACTTTGATCTAGGAGTATTTTACTCTGAAGGGCAAAAAGAAATATTATTCATATCGAAAGAACTGTTCAGGGAACTACTGAAACTACTATTCTTTCTATCTTCTAATATTGAAAACTTTTATGTAGGACTGCAAACAACAGATCTTTTGGTATTTATAATGCTTTAACTACTATCCAAAACTTATTTAACTATATCCACAAGAGGTGAATCTGGTTTTATTGACATCTTTACACTATTATTGTACTTAGTTATTATACTTGCCTGCTCTATATAAATTAAAAGTTTTTATTTAAAGTTTGTATATCAAAAATGTACCTTCTTCTATTTAAGTTTCACTAGGTGAGTTCTTATTTGATTTTTTCCCTAAAATCTAGAGCAGTTGAGCTTTTTTTTCATCTTTATTTGCTATTTTTTGCTTGATCAGTTATGCTAAACTATAAAATTGTTATTATTCATTGGTAGTTTTTGACATTTATGTTATGCAAATATCCTTATCTTCATTTATATCTTCTTTGTACTAAGATATTTTTGTTAATTAATTTTTTTCTTGGCATAGTAAAGTATCTTCTATTTCATAAATCTATTTATAACTTATCTGAACATTGAATATCTACTCTATAGAATTCACCATGTAGATTGTCTCCCACATCAAAGAGTTGAGGAGCAATTTTTCCTTAAGCTATGTATTTCTTTAAATAAAAGATCTCTTTTCAATAATCTACATAATTAGCCTTAGAAATCTTTTACTGAAATAACCATTTATAATCCACCTTTATATTTTTAATACAATTAAAAAAATAAATATATTTACATTATCTTAAAAATTACTTTTTGACTTCTTATAAAATATAACGTGGATGAACTCCTTCTTCTGTGAACGTTTAAATAGGTAAATTAATTGTATTGATAGATTATAAGCGCTTCATATTTTTAGCACTTATCAAAAAAGTTATATCATTAATATTTAATTTATCAAAGCTTTCAATTTAGTGAACTTAGGTTCCAATACTTATTTAACAGTTTATTTAGTAAAAATTTTTATGCTATTTAGCAATAAAACATGACACATGATGAAGATTTTTTCTCATGCTTTCAATTTTTTTTAGAAAGCTTTAGTGATATTGCTGTTTAATAAAGATTCTCTCTTATTCTAATCTAAGAAACTTATTTTTTAAATATTTTTTTTAATTGACAATTTATTTGAATGTTAAAATTTACTTTTTCATGATTGACCAAGACAACACTTGGTTTTTTACGCGTTGAATTTTGAGCACTTTTAAGGTAAGTAATTGATGCCTACCTTCTCAATTAAAACGAATTTCTTGCCAGTTACTTAAATCCAAAACGACTTAGGTAGCTATTAAAGCTATCTTACTGTGAAAAATCAATTGATTTACCTGTTGGCTTTGCTGTCTAATAACAAAAATAGTTGATAAAAATCTCAAATGTAAATTTAAAAAGCCCTATGTAATATTAATCTGTCTCAGTTACACTTTCTGCTATTTTTTCATTTACACTATTTTTTTTGTTAAAAATTAAATCGAAAAATAAACTTTATTAAAAAAATTAATTTTGATTAATATTATAAAATAAAAATTTTACCAAAATAAAAAAGATTTATTAACCAGATTATTGTTGGTTGGATGCTATTGAGTTAAATCATACTATCTTTGCACAACACTAAATGATAGTTTTAAGTTTAATTAGTTTAAGTATAGAATAAATATTCTCAAAGCATATGACCATATAGTAGATGTTTTTTCACCTCCACTTTAGCCCAAATATTCTCTCGACTCATAGAAATTCGTTGGTATAAAAAATCTTTAGTATAGTTGTATAAAAGGTTAATAAGATATTATTTTAGAATAAAAATAATAACCTCCATTTTTATGATTTTATTTCAATACCTTCTCTTGGCTTTTATTAAAACTTCACTATCCAGCTATTCTAACGATAGTAGAATTTAAAAGGAGGATAAATTTTTATCAATTTGAAGTTATGAGAAGGGTAATTATACCCTGATATTTTATAGAATAACTTATTGATAAATTTTTTCAGGTTAGTCAATATTTGAAATACATTTGTTTTTAACTTTTATTATTAGTTTAAATCTTATTTAATTTGCTAATTTGATATTAAAGATTCTCTTCTAGCTTTTATACTGTGATTTGATAGGTTTTATTTTGATTAAATTTAATTATCAATTTTACTTTGTTGTCTCTAACTTTTCTCTAATTTATTTTATTATTTCTATTAATTATCTTCATCTTCGAAATACATCATGATGTTATCTTTTAAACTCTAGCGCTTTTACTAAACTACTTAGATATTATTTCTATACTACCTTAATAGTTTCTTAATAAACCTAAATATTTTTTCAAAAGTTTCTTAATTGAAAATTATTGTTCATGTTACACTAAAACTAACTACCAAAATTTTTGTAATATATAAAACTAATAAACTATAATTAAATAATTACAAAGATACTAAACTTATAGAATAGAACAGCTTCAGCATTTTACTATCATTATTTTATTTCATCAACCCAAATCTTCTTTTTTAAGTATCTTTTTATATTACCTGTAAATTTTATACCGGATTTGTGTCATCATCGTCATCGTCATCTTAACTAGATGAACTTTCATCACTATTACTCATACTCGAAGAATCACTGAAATTAATTTCTTCTTCTTATGTCTAATAAATATTAAATTAGAAAATAAGATAAATTTTAGATTTAAACCATGATTAACTTATAAAGAATCAAAATATTACTGGCGATTATTCTACAGTTTCTTAATCCTTACAATAAAATAGCTAATTTGTCAAACCTTATCTATACCGATTTTACTTATAAAATAAGGATATCTGCTAATTTTTAGAAAGTTGCTATCTAATTTATAAAAAAAATCAATATGAAATTCAAACTCAGATTCTTACTTTCTTAAAAAAAGCTTAATTTTAGGATGAGAACAACTTAAGTCTTTTTCATTTTTATAGGAATCTCCTTCTAATTTTATTTTTTTTATGTTAGGAATGTTGCCAAAATTTAATTCTAAATTTTATTTCTATTCTTTTAGTTTTTCTAACTGCTCTTAGAATAGCTTAAATGTCTTTTCTTCGTGAGTTAAAGTTTCTATTTCAATAATATTTTTCAGTTTTTTTATCTTTTAGGTAATTAATGCATTTTTAATTCTATTTTTAATATTTAGCAACTTTTGTCTTTTTTCTTAAATTATTTTTTAAATATCTTGCTCTTTCTTTAAATCTTGCTGCTAGTGAAGGTATTTTACTAAATTCTAAGTTTTTGTTCTATCTCTCATTGTAATTTCTTATCCATAAGTACTATCAAATAACGGTATGTTAATATTTTATGATTAAGACTTCGGTCTTATATGAGAACCAGGTTAGCTTAGGTTATTTTTTAAATAAATATTCATAAGATTTGGTTTATCACTTAGAGGAATTTTTTGAATTTATTTTGATTAGTATGAATTAGTAAGGTAGTGGCAAACAATATTTGTCTAATCTTAAAGAGCAGCTACAGATAATGCTTTACTTCTTTGACTAGTATATAAAGAGCTACTTTATTCTGATTAAATCAGGCTTTTTTTTGGTGTTGATCCTACTGTATTTAGCTTTTATATAATTTATTAATCATTTAAAGTATCTGTAAAATTTTATTAATTTTTGCTTCTTTAAAAAACAGAGGTTTTAGGAGAAACTACTTTAAAATCAATTTTTTTCTATTAGTTATTTAACTAAAATGATTTGTTTCTTACTAATTTTCTGTTTAAAATTGTTGGGTAATTTGACATGGATTAATTAAAGTGTTAACTACTATTATCAATTAAAGAGTTGTTCATTGGAGTATTGATTGATGAAATATTAAGCAAAATTTAGCTTGTATTGTAAAATTTTAATTATGATTACTCTTTTTTTTCTTACTCTGAAGTTTAATTAATATTTTAATTTTAAGAAATGTAATTTTAATTTAAATTTATTTAAGACTATGATCTTTTAAATAAAGAAGAAGATGATTAATATTAATTATGAGAAGAGGAAAGAACTGAATTTTTAGAGATATTTTCATCCTCTATTATTGTGTCAACTTAATCTGTTATGTTAGTTTGATATATATCATTACTTTCTGAAGTACTATTTATGTATTCCATTTCAATTAAACTAGCTTTGATCTAAGATATAGCAACTCCCACTTCTAAAACAGGATTCTTTGGTTTACTCTCTTAGTTTTTAAACAAATCATATCTCTTCTATACGTTTTTTTGATGAAAGGACTAGTATGGAGATATATCATGCTAAGTTTTTGTTTTTATTCTATTTTAAAAATCTAAAGATGCTTATTTTTTTCTAACACACACATTATTGCCTTAAACATCAATTTTAATATTCGAACTATTCATATTATTTTTATGCATTGAAATATTGTTGCTTTTGATGTTAGATAATTTATTCTACAATTTGTTTTAATCAATCTTAATATTACTTTGAGGAAGCATTCTTTTTTCATTAGATAAATCCTAAATTCTATTAAGAATTAATCTTTTAGATTTCTCAAATATGCAATCTTACTTTTATTCTTATTCTTATTACTGCTATAGATTAATTTTGTTAAAATTTTGGATGCTTTAAAACCAATTATAAAGAGGATTTTTGTTTTTTGGTTTAAAAAAAGCAAATTAATTTTATTTTGGAATTTAACTTGGTAGTTTGCATTCTTACCATTCTACTTTTGAATTCTTATCTATTGACTCTTCAAATTCTGAATCATTTTACAAACTAATTGATTCTTTTTCTGATACTATTTAGCCTTTGAGTAACTTCAGAGTTTATTCTTTTAATTCCTAGTTTTTAGTTTATAGTATAGCTTCTTTCTTTGCTTTCATATCAATCTATGATTGATCAGATATTTTGGTATCTTATTATTCTATGTCAAAATCTTAAATGATTATTGATTCTACAAAATTAAATTGGTCATCTATTATATTTATAGGTTTTTCATTATTTGGCTCAGCTTAAATTACTTTTCTTTGTTTATTTTATGATTCATTTTAATCTTTCTTATTCATTTTTATTTATTATAAAACATCAGCTATTGAATTTTTTCTAGATTTATGAGGAGTTGCTGCAGGATTATTTAGCCTCTAAATATTTTAATATTAATTTTCTTATGTAAAAAAGCGAATATTTTATCTATTTTCTTCGCTTTTAAAAATACTATTACGATTTGTAATATTTATAATAGATTTTTAGTTACTATTAACTTAAATTTAACTTGATTTTTCGTCATAAATTTTTTAATAAATAAGTTGAGATATCCTCTTTTAGATTAAGCTATTAATTTTATTATTTTCTGCCTATGGGTTTTTAATTGTAGCTAAGCATTTTTCTCTCCACGAATTAAATTTATTGCACATAGTTTATATATCTTTTACTAACTATGTTCTCTAACAATACATTCCTAGAATCTTGTTATTTATTTAGCTGATAAATGTGTCTATTTTTGCTGAGCAAATCAAAAACATTGCTCTATCATAAAAAAATTTAATTGTTTGATAACTTATGAATAGATAAGTTTTTACAAAATCTTCATCCTAGTATGAATTGATAATTTTATGATATCTAAATAGCAAGCAGATTTAAATGTACTAATCTAATTGTTTTAAATCAGCAATATTGTCTTTTAATTCATACAATTCTTAAGGTAATTTTGGTAACTTAGTAATATCATATAATGTTAGTCCATATAAAAATAGAACTTCACAAATTTAAAGAATATTATTTAGTTGAAATTCATCTAATTTTATGCCTGTTTAACTACAAACAAAGTGTTGGAACTTATCAATCTATATTTATTTTATCTTTTAAATATATTTTTATATAAGTTAAACTACTTTCCTAATATTCTCGTGCTTTAAGCAGTCCTTTAAAATTTAAATGTCTAAAATACATTCTAAAGTAGAACTAATTTTTTTGCTAAGTGCTGATTTACCTAAGTAATGCTTAAGCTCCTCTAATTATTACAATTATGATGCCTTTTTTCTTTTTTACATAAGTATAGATATATATATATAATTCTTGCATATTTTTTCTGCGATTATCCCATCTTTTTATTGCTATTAATTTAAAAATGTATTAACTTAAATTCTATATGTATTACAAAATAATAAATTCTACTTAATTTAGAAATAGCTTTTAATAGTAAATGTAAGCATTTTCGATATCTTATTAGCATTAAATCTCTTAAATCGAAGGAGATAAATCAAGATATTTTTTTGCTTCTAAGTGATTAAATATTAAAAGCTTTTTAGCAATCTACTTATCCATTATTTCAAATTAATTAATTAGAATTTTTTTTAATTAATTTATAACAAATTTTTGTTTAATTAATAGCTATATTGAATCTTTTTTAAAAGTAGCAGCAGTTAACTATCTACTTAAACTATAATTTAACAATAGTGCAGATAAATGAAATAAATATAAAAAAATTTTGAAACTCTTTTTCTAATTAAATCTTTTAAAATTTATAAACAAAATTATTTTAAAATTTTTTTCAATTTTTAAAACTTAAAATTAAGGAAAGCAATTTAATTCAAATCAAAAATAAAAAATTTATAAAAAAGTTTTTAGTATTAAAGAATGATATTAGAAATTTTAATCATATTTTTTCGATAAAATTTAACAATCAATCTTTTTAATTAAAACATTTAATTTAATAAAAATTTTGTAAAAAATATTTTTTTCATCAAACTTATTTTTAGCATAGTTAAATATTCAAAATTATTTAATTGTATTTTTTGAAAAATTAAGTTTGCAAAGCTATAAAATAAATTAAATTAAATGCATTAGAATAATTAGCTCATATTTTCTAACATGATTGATTCCTTTCTTTTTTTTTCAATTTTATTAGGATTAATAGATATTCAAAACTCTATCAAATATTCATTTAAACAAAAAAAGAAAAATTTTTATTTGCTTTTTTGAATATAATTACTAAGAAATAAATAATCAAGAGCACTGAAAAATTAAATGAGTACTCTAAATAAAAATAACAACTAGGATGACTAAACTAAAGCAAATTTTTAAGTATGTGTAAGAATAAGACCTTTGAATTCAAAGGAAGAAAACCAAACTACTAGAAAGTACCATAGTATAGTGAAAGCCCAGGATGACATGGTAATTTTATTTTCTTTAGAAAAATGCACATTAATCAGAAAACAAATATAAGCAAGCAAGCACATTATTAATGATTAATTTTCTTAAGAAATAAAAAATATTTTATATTTTAATTAGAATTCAAAAAAAATTATATCTTTTTAAGGAATTTTATATGCTATAATAGGTTTTTGTGTACGATCCTAATGAAAATAGTATAAAAGATATATTATAATACAACTAATCAAGTTTTATTCCAAGTAATAATCCCAGTTTAGTTGGAGGATAATAAGGTTCAAATAATGTTTTAGGAATTAATAATAACGTAAATAACATAACTAAAAAACCAGAAAAAGAGTTCATCTTCGATAAAGTTTTTGATGAAAATGCTTCCACGGAATAAGTTTTTCAAGAAGCAATTTACCCTACAGTAGATCACATAACGAGCGGCTATAATTCTACTGTTTTTGCGTATGGAATGACTGGAGCAGGAAAATCCTATACAATATTTGGAAATTTGTACAGTCAAACTAATTAATAAGATGGTTTAGCTTTAATGATAATACAGTCACTGCACAAGTAAGCAAAAGAAACGACATCTTAAATTAAGTTTAAATTCAGTTACTTAGAAATTTACAATGAAAATATACGTGATCTAATGGTTCCAAAAAGTGAAAACCTTATGGTGATAGAAGATCCTGAAAAGGGAGTATTTGTCCCAGATTTGACAGAATATCCCTTAGAAGATCCTCAAGATATTAATAATTTTATTATATAAGGAAACACTAGAAGGATTATGGCTTCAACAGCAGCAAACTAGTTTTCTTCGAGGTAAATAAGATTGAAATTATATTAGAATAATCTATCTCAAATATTTGAAATAAATTCTATTTCCAATATAAAAAAAATACAAAAAAAAGAAAATGTTCTTTAAAATTATTTCCAAGAACTTAAAATAAAAAGCATTAATTATAAAATTAAAATTATAAACTCGAAAATTTTATTTTTCTTAACATTTATTAATATTTTTTATCAAAGATCTGTTAAATTGTTAATTGGGAATAATTTAATTAATTAATTAATTTACAAAATATAATAATTAATTAAAAGACCTTTTGAATTTGAAATTTTTGACTGTTTTTTTTCAAATATTATTGAGATTGATTGTCATGCAAGTGTTTTTTTATTAAACTGCTATTTTTTAAAATAAGATCACATGCTATTATTCAAATTATTTGTGAGTAAGTCAATCATGGATAAAATAAGAAAACCTAGTCGAAATTATGCATAGTAGATTTAGCAGGAAGCGAAAGAGCTGCCTCAACTGAGAATAGAGGAATGAGATTAACAGAAGGTGCAAATATTAACAGAAGTTTACTCGCACTTGGAAATTGTATTAATTTACTATCTGACTCAAATAAGAAAGGTTCATTTGTACCTTATCGTGATTCAAAACTAACAAGATTACTTAAGGAATCTCTTGGAGGTAATACAAAGAGCATTATGGTAGCTTGTATATCTCCAAGTAGTCTTTGTTATGAAGAAACAATCAATACACTTAAATATGCAGTAAGAGCTAGAAAAATCAAAAAAAGTGTTACAAAAAATGAATAAGAAATGACAGAGCATGTTTCTTAATATAAAAGTATTGTAAATGGCCTTCGTTAAGAAATTATTAACTTAAAAACACAATTAGATATGAAAAATAAAGAAAATATTCTTTTGAAGAACAAGTAAAGATTAATACACTAATATAATTCTAATAACTCTGTTGAGGGTCTTGATGAAAGTAAATAAAATTAATTATAATTTAATAGTTAAAATTTTTAATTAATAAGATAACTTTGTGGATGAGATTGGTTAAAAGCTATTTGAGAATCTTGAAGAGCATTGGGAAATTAAAAACACTATAGAAGAAATCATTAATCTCAATAGAATAAGCGAAAATTACATAGTTGAATAGGAAAAGATGCTTGAGTTGCACCTTGATTAAATAGATGATTTAGAAGTCAACGAAATAAAAAGCGATATTCATAAGAGAAAAGAAGTCATATAAAGCAATTAAGAAATACTAGCAGAAATGAATTTAAAACTTGCTAAAAACATCGAACAAAAGAAAGAGCTGTAAGTTAGTATTAAAAATTTAGGAAATCAATACTAAGGAACATAGACTTTCAATTCTAGCATGGCAATCGGTGGTATTTTTGGAGGTGATATGGAGTCAGATTTGAAAGACTTTGATGCAAACATGAAAGACATATAAATTTTAGAAATGTAAAAAAAGATGCAGTAGATGTAAGAATAACTTAACTAGAAAGATAAATTGCTGTAACAAAAGTAAAAGCTCATTATGGATTTGGTAAATTATATTTTTAGTTTTAGAAAATACTAACTTTTATTAAAATTAGAAAACAGGAAAAGAAAATCAGTAAAGTTCTTCTTCATCTTCACTTTCCTAATTATCAGGATAATAGTCTTTACTACAAAAGAAGGGAAGCTAAATCTATGGTGCTAATAATTCTAACAATATACCTCCTTCCCCATCTGTGAATTCTTAAACGGGATCTACCTCCTCAAATCCTAGAAAATTTTATATGAAAATACCAAAGGAAATGATAAGCGATAGATCTATTACAAATAAAGAAATAAACACTCCACTTTCTTTAGTTGTGAATGGAAACCAAATTTAGGATGCAAATAAATTCTAACAAAATAATTCTGGCGTTTTTCCAAATAGCTCAAATATATCAAGCTAAGCTAGCAACAATAATAATAAATAAATAAAAAGATAAACCTCAATAAATATTAACTAGAATGCTAATTAAAATGATGAAAATTCTTATCTAGCAACTACAAAAAGAACCAATAGAGAATCAAATAATAAGATGCAATATTCTCAGCTTTAACAAAATAATTAGCAAGGAGCTAATAAAGAGAAAGATTTGGCCACTAAAAGACCATCAACAAGTAAGCATATTAACTTCCCTACCAAACAAGTGTCTAAGGACTCATAAAGTACTCTTTAGTAGTTGTAGATTTAAATTAATGGATTTAAGCCTATTGCAAAACAAACTTCAAATTAAAAAAATAAAAACAATGGATCAAATGTTCTTGCAAATAATAATGCTATCTTGAATGGAATCTAAAATAGCTCTGGGAAAAAAATGGAAATATCAATATCAGAGCTTAAATAGTATGCTTAAAAGTTAAAAAATGTTGACTTTTCTAATATCACAAAGAATTCAAGTGAATACTAAGAAGCTACTAAGTAAAAACCCTAATTAAACGATAATATAGAGAATTATTAGATAGTTGAATCAAGAAGCTAAGCAGATTTATTGTAACAATTAAATTTTACAAATATTCTATAAGAAAATTAAGATGAATAAAATGATAAAAAGATGTCTAAAAATGCATCAACAACATCTTTTACTCAAGCTAAAAAAGACACATCTTCAAAAGCTAATTCACCAAAACAAAAGCACAGGGTTCCAGAAGATTCTTTTAATGTAGAATTTTTAGTAAATCAAATGAATAAAAAAGCAGAATTGATGATCGCTGCATAGCAAATGAAAACATTAGATTCTATAATCTAATAAGAATTAACTAAACAAGAATCTACTAATAACTTAATTAATTTTTCAACTAGTTAAAACACTGTTGACAATACAACTGCTTAAAATTAAGAGAAGCATACTCTTAATGAGCAATAATAAAAAGGAATTGTTAAAAGCAAGGCTAACCGTAGTATGTCTTGCTTTAAAATGGGTGGCTAAGATCTTGAACTCAATTCTTATGCATTCGCTAGAAAGAAAGTGAGAGAACTAAAAGATAGACTAGCAAAAATGGCAGAAAATATAGACAAATATTCTAAAGAAGAAGTATAAGGTTTATTGAAAGAATACAAAATGCAAAATAATTATCAGTTAAAGAATCCAGAAGATGAGCAAAAAATTAAAATTTTAGAAAATCACATTGGGTTAACTAGTTAAAAATAATAAAAGTAAGAAAATAATGAAAACTTGCAACCATAAATTGTAAATAAAAAGCCAGGTACCTATTCATCTCATCAATCATCTTCTGCTACTTCTTCTTATGTCTAATAGCAATAGATGAAAATGTTAAAAAAAGAATAAAACCAAAACAACGCTTGCTTAAAAGGTTTAAGCACAAATAATATTAATAATGCTAATCAATTACCACCAACTCCAACAAGTAATAATTAAAATTTATAAAATGCTAGCTCAAATACATCATCTAGTAATATTGCTAAAAGTAAGAAGGTTCTCCCAAGAGGACTGCTTTCATAGCTCAATTCAAACTATGCAGAAACAGTAACCTATTCAAAAAAAATATCTGCAAACTAATCATCTTTCCATTAACCTTCAAGTAGAAACACGTAAAAATATTAATTTTTTTTTTATTGAATTGTATTAACATCTATTTTTCTAATAGAATTAGAGATAAATCACCTATATCAACTAAAAATAGAGACAATTCTAGAAAAAGATTGTAGGACAGCTTTGGTTAGGCACAACAATAAGTTTAGATGAATTCTAATATAGGTATCCCTCCAAAATCAAAGTAAGCTCTAGGACTAAGAGATCAACATTAAAATTTCTAATCACTTTAAAACTAAGAAAACTAAGCTTAAATTTGAACTGTAAGTAAATGCACTCATTGCTTTACTTTTATATGTTATTCAAGATAAATTATTCATTTTATGAATCAGATTCTGTTCTAAAATAAAAACTAAAAAATCCATTTATATAAATGAGTTTGAACTTACTAAAAGTTAATCATTATTATACCTTTATATTCTAATTTAATCTACCTGTAAATAAATATGATTTTTGATGTGTATTAATTAATAATTGCTTCTTTGCATTAAATCTCACTAAATTAAATAAAAAAATAGTTTAATTTTTTATTAATATTATTTTATTTACAAAAAAAAATTCTTTAATTAATATTAAACTAACAAAAACACAAACCAAAAAAGAATTTTTTTGATTAAAATGAATAATAAAATTTATAAATAATTAATTTAAAATAAAGAATTAAATACCTTAAAATGATTTATAACATAAATTAATAACTTTTTTAAACTAATTTTCAAAAAATTGAGTAAAATAATTTATCTCAAAAATAATAGCTCTACTTAATAGAAACAATAATTTATTACAATCTATTCAAATAAGTCAATAAAAACAAAACAAAACAAATAAAACAAACGAAATGAGCAATTAATTAATCTTAAAACTTTGATTTTATTATTTATTTATTCTACATTTATACTTTAAGGATTGACAAGAGAATTATAGTGTGCTAGCTTTTCTAAAAAAGAAGATCGATCGATCAATACTTTGATTAATTAATCATATTTTATGTTTGTTTCTAATCATTTAAATATTAATTAAAATATATTTTTTTCACTTTTTTTAACATTCCTGATTCTTTTTTTTAATATAAATATTATTTCCTTAAACTATCATACTTTTTAACATATCACTTTCATTGTTAGTTCTTAAGATTTTCTTCTTCTTTGACTAATTAAGCTCCTTCAACAGACTTTAAATCTATTACGAGACCAGGATTTGAAGGGTTAATTTAGTTGTTGACCTTTAGGATACGTTGTAAAATATCGGTATGATGAGCGATGGCACCAGTATCTATCTTTTCAATTAATTTTTAATCCTTATCGTAAATTGCAACTAAGGGAGTCTATTAATCAGCAACTATCTTTCTTTGGAATTCTAAATGATCATTGTAGAATTTAATTGAGGGTGCATAATTATTAACAAAAGCCATAGTAGTTATATATAATTTGCTTTGATTTTTATGAGTAACTTCAATTTTTCCTATATTAGGGAATAAGATTCTCTTCATTAAAGTTTTAGGAAGCTTATTGAAGGGAATTTCTGCTAACTTTTAGATGTTATTCATTTTAACTAGCTTTTATGTTCTTTTAAAGTATCCAAATAATTAAAACTAATATACCTTCTTTAATAGATAATATATCTAAATTTAATATATAATTTTTAATTACTTATTTCTAAAAATTTCCTTTTTTTTCCTTTTTAAATTCGCCCCAAATTAAATCCCTTTAAATTTTTATTGAAAATCTAAAATAGTCAGAATTTGTTTGTTTAATAAAGAAAGTAGTTAGTTATTAGTTGCTTATATCTATAAAGTAATAAATATTATATATATATACATTTTATATAAATAGTTTTTTTAAATTATTTTATTTGTGTTATTTTTTTTTTGCTTCATCCTAATTTAACGTAAGCATATCCAATTTATTCTATCTCTTCTCTATTTAAAAGATTTCTTCCATCAAAAATAAATGAAGGTCTTTTCATTTTTTTAAACATCCTCTCGTATTTACACTATTTAAAATCGTCCCATTCAGTCAAAATAACTATTGCATGAGAGTTTATAGAAGCAGATTCTCCATCATCAAAAAACTTTATCTTAGCATCATAGCAATCTTTCCATATTTCTTATCTTTGCATTTCTTTTTTCATGCTCTCAAATTTAGCTAATGGATCATATATATGCAGTACAGCACCTTCTTTTAGCAATTCTGAAGCAACAGTGCTATATACAAACAAAAAATTATAGTTTGAAATAATTAAATTATTAAAATAAATAAGATACATAGAAGCACTGTCTCTACAATCGTTAGTATTTTTTTTATAAGAAACCCCAAATATTGTAATGATCTTATCATCAAGATTATTGTACATTTTTTCTATCTACAAAATAAATTTTTATTTCATTAGAATTTAACTATTTCATATAAGATTTTACTATTAATTTTGAAAATCTAGACTTTTGATATTCGTTCATTTTAACTACTTATTTCCAATAATCTGCCACCTCTGTTAGCCCTCTACTTTCACAGATGTATGCTAGTCCAAGAACATCCTAAAATTTTATAAAAAAAGCTTATTACAGTTATAATATATATTTATTTATACTTTTTTAAAGCATGAACCTCCAAAACCTACTGAACAATTTAAGAATTTACTTCCTATTCTTTTATAAGAGTGTTTTAAATTTTTAAGGTACTTTAACATTTTACCTTGAATCTGAAGCAATGCATTTCTTAACTTCTTCAATATTAGCACCAGTGGCCTCACACAAAGCTGTAATACTGTTGATAGAAGATACTCTCTGAGCCAAAAATGAATTTGAAACTAGCTTTGAAAGTTCACTTGAGACTAAATTTGTAAGAATTATTTTATCTTTATTTACCCATTTTTCATAGAGTTCTTTCAGCATATTTGTACTATTCTATTCTTCTGGAGAATTACCTCCACCTATAATTACTCTTTCAGGATTCAGTAAATCATTAATTGCACTACGTGTATTTTTAAATAAAATTCCATAAATATATTATTTATAAATTTTCTTTTAAATAAAATATTAATTTTTAGAAATATAAAAAATCATTTTAAATTTTAAAATAATTATCTTCTGAAAGAAATTCTGGATTTGAAAGAACAACAAATTTGTCTTTATTCTAAGGATTATTGACTTAGTTTTCTTAGAGAATCTCATATATGTGCTTTGAAGTCAACACAGGTACAGTGCTTTTTTCTACTAATGTAACAATTCTATTTAATTTTTTCAAGTCAAAATATTCAGCAATTGACCTTGTGCAAGCTTCTATGTACTTTATATCAAAACAATAAGATTCTTTTTTTGATAGTGATTATTTTATTGGGGTGTTAACAGCTAAAAAAATGATATCAACTTCATCTAAAGCTTCATTGATATCACTGGTAAATGACAAATTCTTATTTCTCGTTTCCTTTAGTAATTAAAAATATTTTTATAAGAAAAATTATTAAAAAATTTAGTTACTTCCAATAGAAGAGATAATCCACTTTCAAACACAGGTAGAGTTTCGCTTTGCTACCATTTTTCAATTTATTGCTTATCGATATCATAAATAGTAAACTAAGAAATATAAAAAAGTTATTTATAGTATATATTTTAAAGCATTTAATTTCTACTTATATCTATGGGTGTTTACTGGCAAAGACCGCCATAGTTGGGCCTCCAACATATCCAGCCCCAAAACATGATATCTTTTTAATATTGTTCATAAATTTTCAAAATATAATTTAGAATTTAAGTTATTTATTAAACAATATATTATTTGAATTCCAGGTTTTAAAAATGCGCTAATAATAATTTAATTTTGCGGATAACTTTGATTCAGGATTTGAAAATTTAAAAATGTAAGTAAAATTTAAAAGACATCAATGCTTTGCATAAAAAACTAAGTAATTTTTTTTTAATGAAATTTCTTAACAAACTTTTTATCACAAAAAGTAAAATATTTTTTTATCAAATAATTTCAAAAAATAATAAAATATTTAATTAAATAAAAATGTTACTAAGTATTCTTTCTAATAAAATTTTATATTATTTAAATCTGTTAAATCAAAAAAAATTATATTTAATTTTTTTAATACTGAATTTTTAGAAAAGTTAATATCATTTTTTGAAATTTGTTTGGCTTAAAAATAAATATTTTAATTAAATTATTAAATTCAAATTCAAATTTTATGCTAAAAAAGTCCTTATCTATTTATTTAAATTAAACTTTCAAAACAAATTTTATTTAGATTTGAAATATTATTTTAAATTTTGAAAATCTATTAATTTTATTAGATTTGAGTATTAAAAATTATTTATAATTATAATAAAATTTTGATGAATAACACAAATTCTTTTACAAATTCAAATATATTCAAATAAGAAATAAAACAATATAGTATTTCAGTTTATTAATATAAATTATTATTAAAAAAGCTAAGTAATAAAGAGCTTTCTTAGATTTTGAATTTTTTATTTCAATAATCAATTTGTATTTAAATTTAAAATCATTTTTTCAAAAAAAATTTATTACTCTCTCTGGTTCATTTTAGGTCAACATATTAACTATTTAATGGGCAGCATATTATCCATAAATTTCTTATATATTTTTAGATTCTAGCAAATAGAGTATTATTGCTCTCATTCCAATCATATAATTAATAGTAAAGTAGATTTTTGATGGGTCCTAAGAATCTTCTGGCTCTCTGTACACTTTTTCAAATTCTACATAATATTTTCCATCTGGAGAAAAACATTTTTCTGTTAGATTTAGTTCGCTAGAAATTGTTTTCACAAACGACACTGAATTATCTACTAAATTTATCACAGAAAACAACTCTTCTTTTTAAGTTTGAATAGAAACCAGAGCAATTTAAAGATCTTAATTTAAATAATAAACATCATTCAGGATGCATCCTAATTAATCCATATTTTCAGAAGGATTGAATACATTTAAATCTATTTATCTCAGCCTTTTATTTCCAGCCCAATCTACTACCAAAACTGCAGGCTGTTTTTTGTTTACCCAAAAAGATACCTATATAAATCATATTATAAATTTTTAATATTTTAAATTAATAAATATATTATACTTCTCTTTCATTCAACGGGTAAGCCGCAACTATATCGCAAGTAATTTTCTGATCTAATCTTTATTTAAAAAAAGTATTTTGTTATGTATTTAAAAATAAAATGTAATTTATCTCACTTCACAACGCTAAACCCTTTATCTCCTTAGAAAACATTGCATATGAACATTTCTAATAAATCTTCAGATTAGTGAGCACCCCATAACATTACAGTATCAATTTAGTTAAGAGGAGTAATAAAAAGTGACTTTTATTTTTCATCAGGAATTATGATTTGATTCAGATGACTAGGCTACTAGAAGTTGAATGTTGTTAATACATATTCGTTTACTGAGCAAATAATGTTCTTTTATTCTAATACTATGACCATTTTACTTTCTTACAAAATATGTATAGTCAATCCACTTGTGATTAAATCATCAATTTTTCTTGCTTTCCTTTCAGCTAATTACCAATTAATTTCAGATGGAACTTTAGGATGATTTGTCGAAACTACTTTTCCTGAATATACATCTAGAAGTTGTAAAATATACTTCTCAGTATTAAGAAATAGAACTGTTTTATCATCATAGTGCTTGAAGTGAGTCATTTTAGGGGGTATTTAAAAGCTGTTTAAAGTTTTCATAGTATTTATATCTAGGAAAATGCATTTCCCATTAATAAAGTAAATAAATATTTTGCTGTTTTTAAAAGCTACGATATGTGAAACTTCACCTGTGAAATCAATGGGAAGAGACACAAGCTTTTCAGTAATTCTATTATGCTTTATATTCTAATGTACGCTATCGTTCATCTCACTACTTTCGTTAATTATACCTTCAAAGGATCCTAAGTTTTAAATTTGCTCCATAATCTTCACCTTTATAATATTTTTTGATTTTTTTTAAATTTATAGAATTAAAGAATTCAAAGATTTATTAAAATGACATAAATTAGATTTTAATATTCTAGATAAACAGCTTAAAAAATTTTTTTTTAAAAATGCTAAACTAGTAAAAATTGCAGTTAAATATCAGAACGCTAAAATATTAAAAAATCGATACCAAGCTAAAAATATTTTAAATATTAAGAATTGCGACAAGTCTAATAATATTTATAATTTAAAATATTTCCAAATATTTATTTACATAAATTTTTTATTTATTAACTAATCCTTTTTAACTTAAAATTCATAAAAAGTATAAAAAAATTTTAAAATATTGTAAAATCAAAGTATTACTTGATGGATTAATCTTAAAAAATAATATACATTGAACATACAATTTAATTAAAATTTATAAAAGTAATTTAATTTTAGAAATATTCGATTAATTTATTTAAATTAAAATTAACTGTTTTTGAAAAAAATAAAATATACTGTTGAAAATAAATTTATTTACTTATTGTGAGATTTATTTATTCAAAAATAAATGCATTATTTAAAAATATTTCAATGTGAATTAATCATAACTAGCTTGCTTTAATGCTTTATTATTTATAATATTAAATTGGTGAAAAAATATATATTTACATATAAAATTATTAACAGTCTAATTAGGGAAAATTAATATTGAATAGTTTCAGTATTTTTAAAATTCGACTTATGTCATTTATTTAAGAGCTGTTTATATTTTTCTTACAGCTTATTTAAATCTAAATAATAAATATCGTTGAATGACATATTGTGTCTGTCACCACCAAAAAGCAAGATTTTATCTTACCCAAAATCAATGACTCTATGACCATCTCTAGCACAAGGCTTTTTTCCTTAGCGTACATTATTTGAATCATTCAGTGGCTCAAGGAATCTGCTAACAGTAACTCTACCGAAATCTGTAAGTTTTCCTTGCCTTATTTTTAAGTGAGGCATAGGATTACCTATTACTATAATAATATTTTTTTGTTAAGAGGTAAGTAAGTTAGATTTAGTTAAATTATTTACCAAAGAGAGAATTTTTCATAGCTTCAGATGTTGGTGATAAATCTTTAAATTTGTCTTCTTCTTAACCATTAACTTCAAAAATCTGAAGCATATGTGCTTTTTGTTGTTGGAATTCTTTACGTTTTTTTTCTAACAGTTTTGTCGGACTTCCCAAACCAGGGGATGCTGAATTTTTGGATTCATCATCATTAAACATATCTTTATCAACTTACGAGAAAGTACCTGATCTTTGATATGATTTTCTTTACTATGGACTTGCATTTGATCCTTAAAATAATTTAATAAATAATGTTTAATAATAAAATTCAACAAAAATTGTGTCAATAAATAAAATTTACCTCTTTTTGGAGATTAAATAAAAGAAGTCTACCCTTTCTTCTTTGATCTAGATCTAAATTGGTTTGGCTCACCAGAATTTCTTTTCTAGCTATCTGGAGATAAAGATGATTAGTTTACTATTTCTCTTCTCCTTGCTGAATCTTAGTCAACTATTGTCCATATCTAAGACTATGTATCGAATATGCAAAGATCATCTAATTCCCATGTAATATCATGAATACCTCCAAGTAAAACAATTTAATCTTAAGTGCTAAATAATTAATGACCACTTCTTATCTAATAAAATCAAATTAAAAATTACTATAATGTTTTGTTTTAAGTAAAACTTTTATATTTTATTTTTATATTAATAATTAAATTTATAATTAAAATATATTTAGGGAAAATTTCTTTTTTTATGAAATTAATACCTTAGGAATAGTGGAATTTTTTGGTTATATTAATTAAAACATACAGGTTTATATGTTAAATACCCATAAATCATTAAGTCTAGTAAATCCATCGCAACCGCCAAATGCATAGATTAGCTACGGTTAACTCTTAATATAAGTAATAGAAGACTCTAGTCTTCCTTTTGGTATAGTTGAGGACTTTTTTTCATCAAGAGCTGCATTGGGTTGATGCTTAAACTTATTAGTCCAACACATAGTGTCGAAATTAAATTCATAAACAGAGTTTGATAATTAACCATAATCACTAAAATAACCGAACATCGTGTACATTTTATTGCCTATCAAAACACTGCTGTGAGAGTCTACACTAGGTGGGCATTAATCTGACTTTCCTAAATTAACTACAAGAGACCAGGTTTCAGTTTTAAAGTCAAAACTCCACATTTCATTACTACTCAATGAAGCTCCATGCTATCCGCCAAATAGATACATTTTATCCTTAAAAACTTAAGAGGTGTGTCTACTTTTAAGTCCTTTAAAAAATTAAAAAAAATAATGACAAATGCTAATTGAAAAAATATTTAATTTATAGATCGTTTCAAAAAGTGTAGACAATCCTTACAATTAATTAATAAGTAAAATAATGTAAGCATGAATTGTTTTTATATGTTTAAATTCAATAAGCAGCTAATCCTTTAAGTGAATATATCTCAACAAATTAATTTAATAAAAAATTGAATGTTAATGATTTCATTTGTTTTAAAGTAATAAAAGGAGGGTAAAAAAAATACAATTTAGACTTAATCAATCATAATTTTATTAAAAAGAGATTAAGTATAAGATATGCAAATTTAAAAACGAATGAAGGAAGTACCTGGATTTACTTTTCCTTTAACTTTAACTTTCTCCCATATATACTACTCAGAAGAAAGGTTTATTCTCCAAAAATCTCCAAGAGGACCTGCAGTCAATTCATATCCTCCATAAACATATAAGCTAGTTAATTAATAATAAATTGGAGTTATTTTTATTAGATAGAAAGTTATTATTAATATTAACGAGTAATAAATAAGTTTAACCTACAGTAACTCTAGTAAATTAAAAAATGATAAAGTTAAGATTAATTACTATCCGTTATGAGAACATATAGAGGATCTAGAACGGGACTATATATTACTTCCAATTATTTTGCATTCTGCCCATTTTGGGTCTTTTTATTCTACCACACTTGAATTTTTCAAATCAAATTTTCTATCTATTTAAATGAATAATCCTTTGTTATCGTGAGCATTACCACCATTCGTTTCATGATGACTACCATTTTCATATATAGCAGTTTTCATTAAGCGTAATCTCTTCATTGTTTAACCTTTTTAATGATTCTATGGAGAAGTATTTTAGCTTGCACTATAACTTTAAAAACCTCCATTTGATTATTCTTAACTTGTCCTTCTTGAAATTGTTCCCTTTGTAGAAGATTAATAATTTAATGAATTTTATTCAGTGCTGCTCAGATGCTTTGAATGGTTTCCGTAATTTTTACTAGCTAAATTGTTACGCTAATTCGAAAACTGTGACATAGCTGATTCTGAAATGTACACCTCCTTTTTTTCTTTTTTTTAGTTTGAACTGTTTAATCGAACCCTATTTTTACTTGAGGCTGAATCTAACTAATGATCTTATCCTTGCATACTTGCTTTTTACTAATTATAAATATTAACTCTTAATAACAATATAATTTTTGTGTTGGAAGTAATTCAAATAATATTTATTAAGCGATGAATCTAATGACAAGCAGCTGATTAATTTACTATTTTTCGCTTTTTTAACTTAAAATTTATTGTATATTTTACAGGTATAGTTCCTAATATTCATTTCTTTTGATTTTTATGTAATTACTACAAATTTAAGCTTTTAACATTCTTATTATTTTTTGTCCACTCATTTTTACATGTTTGAAATATTTATTACTGATATTTAAATACTAACTTGTTCATTAAATAAGTAAATCTTACTTTAAAATAATAAAAATACTAAACAAAGCATTATATTAATTGTTATCAAAACAAAACAAGTAAATAAACATATTTCTTAATTATAAATTTTATAAAAAATCATATTTTTAAAACAAAATTAGTTTAAAAATATCATTCAAAATAAAAAAAGTAAAAGGATAATTTTAAGCTTAATTAATTTAAGATTTTATGTTTTAAAATATTTTTTTATTTAAATTTGTATTTTATAAAAATATTTCAGATTTTATTTGCTTACAAATATTCAAGATTATGTCAATTAATTAGTTTTTTTGAATTAATTATAAAGACAATTGATAAGAGATTTTAGTGGATTTATAAATCAAAATAAAACAATTTTTAAAAGAACAAAAAAATCCAAAATAAAATATTTATTAATTAGATATTTTGATATAAATAACTTAAATAGTTATTTTCATCTAAAATAATCTTTTTTAATTTTATTTTATAAAAATATTGAAAATTTTTAAGTTTTATCTTTGAATATTTAAAATAAATTTAAATAGTTTAATTATTTTTTATAATATTAAAACTTGAAAAGATTGATAATTTTTATTCTTTAAAAATGATAATTTTTGCTTAAAGCTGATAAAAATGAAAATTAAAGATGATTGTTTGGTTTTTTTAAAGAAATAAAATATTTTTTTTTGTTAAATAAAACAAAGAATTTGAAAATTTTAATTTTTTCTTTCATAATAATTTATTTTTTACTATATTATTTTAAATAATTTTTAAATCTACAATAAAATATATTTAATAATAATTTATTTACGCGGTTTTGTATTGCGCGCAATCTGATATCGTTAAAACTGAAACCCGCACAAAATTTTAAAGAAATTAAAAAAAACACTTTTTTATGGAAAAAGATTTGAATCATTTTTAGAAAGAAATATTTGATATTTATTTAAAAAAATAGACTCTTACTAATTAAAAGGAATAAAATAAAGAAAAATATTAAGAATCATTCTTTTGAATAATGCAAATAGATCAAAGAAAGAAATTGGAGCTTCTTGATTATAGAATGCGCCATCCTTCGACTTCACCTATAAAAACAATAAATAATTTTGCAAATATAAAATAAAAGCTGAATGGTATTGATATTTATAAGAACAATAATGAGCAATTAAAAGATCTTCATGATAATGAAGAGGATGATGATGATAAAAGTGAATAAGATGATTACTTAAACTTTGATGATAATTAAAATAATCAAGGAAGTCTAGATTTTATGAATAAAAACCTTTCTGGATTTAATAATGGAGGTAATTTTTTGTACTGTACTCCACCTGTTAAGATCAATAACAATTATGGCAATAATCCAAGTATTTTAAATAACCCGCATCTAATAAAGAGTTTTAATGAAGAAAATAACGATTTAGATTAATAAAACTCTTCAGAAAACAATTCAGATGAAGAAGAGAGAGAGATTGAAGAGGATGAAAATGTTTCCAGCAATAATGAAGAACTCGAAGAAGATGATAGCAATCAAGATCAGCAAGAAAGTTTAGAAAAAGATGCTTCTTCTTAGCAATCAATTAAAAATGAAAAATAAAATAAAAGTTAGGTGTCATAAATTGAAAAATCTTAAAAATAACAACCCCCTTAAAAAGCTGAAAATTTTGAGCCAACAATAAAAAAAGTAAGAGTTTTAAATTCTTAAAAAATTCTTTTTTAAGAGAACACATTCCCCAATGAAAATGAAAAGCCAATAAATTAGTAAAGCGGATAAAGTGGTGAATAAGTAAAGAAAACTGAAGATATTAAAAATATAGTAAATTAAATTGGGCTCATTTAAGTCAAAAATGCTGCTAAAAATAATAATAAAACTTAAAAAAAAATATCAAAAATTACGGATTACTTAAATCAGGATTAAGTTAATAAAAATGCAAATAATAACAATATGTTTTCTAAAAGTACTGGAAACTCCAATAACACAGAAACCGAGTAAATTTAATTGCTTAATCGTGAACTAAAAGAAAAAGAATAATAGCTAAATTAAAAGTAGAAGTAGATTGAAAACTTAGAAAATTTAGTAGGAAAATTAAAACAAAGTTTATAAAATGCAAAGTCAACTAATACAAGTGGATAAAATTCTTTAAATCCAACAATCTTTGATCACTCCAAAATAAAGAGAATTGTTTAAAAAATGTTTACTGAAAACTCATTTTTAAATAGAAAACTAATAAAAATGTAACTTTAGCAATCCAAGCAAAGATTAGGTGAATATGTTGTGTAATAAAATTTGTTTATTTTTATTTTATTAATTAAATATTTTTTTTTAAAAAGAGACCTATAAAATTTTAAAGAGCAATGGATTGATGGATTTGAAGTTTAGGAACTTTATAGTTAATTGGTAAATTATATTTTAATTTTAAATGACTCTTTTTAAATTGTTTTCTTTAAAAAAAGGATTAAGTTTAGAAAAAAATTAAATATTATTAAAATGTACTTTAAAACTTGAAAACTATGAAACCAAAGAAAAAAACTTAAACAAATGGAAAATAATAAAAGCAACTGACCCTATTAGGCTCATTAAATGATCCATCTACCTAAGCTAATTCTAACTAAGATAGTAATTCAAAACTCACTTTTGAAGACGAAGACGAATTTGACACTTCCATATACCCTAATTAAGCAGTTGCACATGAAGAACAAAAGCGCTTTACTGCTTTCCAAATAACTCTTCTCTAAAAATAGGAAGAAGTTATTGTGAATAATCTAAACTAAAAGAAAAAGGAAGTAAAGGAAATAATTAAAAAGTACTAATTATAGTTTTTGGAAGAAAAGTAAAATTTTTTATTGTAATTTAACTTAAAAATAATAAAAACTATTAAATTTAGTTCTAGATATGGAGGAATTTAAGTTGAAAACCCATGGCCTATTTTGGGAGAAAGATATTAACTGCTCTCACTTCTTGGAAAAGGTGGTTTTAGTGAAGTATACAAAGTAAACAAATTTAAATAATCCTAAGTGAAAAATAATAATTAAATTTTTTATTTTTATCTATAAAGGCTATTGATTTAGAAGAATTCCGTGAAGTAGCTATAAAAATACACTATATTGATAAATCTTGGAGCAATAGAGTTAAACAAAATTATTTGAAGCATGCTTTTAGAGAGCATGGAATATAAAAAGAATTAAACCATCCAAATATAGTAAAATTGTATGACTACATAGAAATTGATAGCACTTCATTTGCCTCAGTTTTGTAATTCTGCGAAGGACCAGATTTATCTTAACATTTAAAAATACACTCCACAATTATAGAATAAGATGCAAAGTATATTGTAAAAAAAATACTTGAGTGTCTTGAATACCTTAGCTCGTTTTAGAGTAAAGTAATTCACTATGACCTCAAGCCTTAGAATATAATTTTCCATAAAGGATAAATAAAAATTACTGATTTTGGTCTTTCTAAAATTATAGAAGATAATGCTACTCGTCTTGAACTTACTAGTTAAGGTGTCGGAACCTATTGGTATTTGCCACCTGAATGCTTTGAAAATTTCGGCTGTGAAGAAAATGAGAAAGCTCCAACAATCTCAAACAAAGTTGATATTTGGAGTGTAGGAGTAATTTTTTACGAGATGCTGTTTGGATAAAAACCTTTCGGTAATAAAATGACTCAGGAATAAATTTTGAGATAAAACACAATCTTAAATAGCAAAGAAGTCAAGTTCCCTAAAAAGCCTTTGATTTCTAAGGAAGCATAATCATTTATAATTGGTTGTTTGAAGCATAATTAAGAAGAAAGATTTGATGTGAAATAAGCTCTCAATCATCCTTACTTTAAAAAAGCATGAAAAAAAGTATCAAAATTTGAAAATTTAAGCTATTTAAACAATCCATGTGAATTAATTAATTAAAAAAATAAAAAAACTAATGCAAAGCATAAATGAAAACAGAATAAATTAAGATTGGATGCAAGTGTATCTATCTATTAATCAATCATACCAATCCTATCTTGTCATAAATTAACTAACAAAAAAAACCAAATAATTAAACAAATATACTAAAAATATAATACAAAAATTGATTATTTAATTTAGATTTAATGAAATAACTAACTATATTTAATTTTATATTCTCTATGATATTAATTTATATTAATTTACTATTTCTCTTACTTAAATAAACCTATTTATATTAATATATTTACTTAATGATAATACAAAATTAAAAGAATAAAATCCCAATATCATTTTTTAATATACGTGTTCCTTTTAAATTGTTTATTTATTTATTTTAGACATTTATCTTGAAAAACAAAATTAATATAAAATTTTGGGTAATTGTTTAATTTTTACTAAGCAGATAACTTATTCAAAAGATTTTTGAATGAATTATTAAAATCAAGAGTATTAAATTTAAACTTCTTTTTTTAAGTAAATGTAATATGTTTACTTTATATTAATTATTTGTTTAAATTATCAATATATTAAATGATATTTGATAATTTTACATGCAAGTTACTTTTAAAAAAATAATATTTTTTATAAATAGATATAAACTTCACACAAATTATCACAAAATAACAAAAAATGAGTAAACAAACAAAACTTAAATTTAAATAAAATCAATCAAATGCCTAAATAATATTAGAAGCAATTGTAATATTGAAAATAAAGTGTAACTAACTGACACCAATTTTAAAAAAATAATATTTCCTTATAAAAGAAAGTAACTAACCATATAAAAATACTTTACAAAATAATAAATAAAATAAATGAGTAGTTTAAGCAAATATAAAATTATTTAATAAATAAGTTATTTTAACATATAATTAGGAGGGAGATTAAGCTCATTTTAAAATTATTAAATTATTTTAATTATTTAAATTAAAGAATTATTTAGTATTTATTTATTTATTTATTATTATTTTTTCTTAATTATTTAAATATAAGTGTTTGTTTTATTTTTAATTTTGAGATTAATTTTTTAGTAACTTTTTCACTGTTTTTTAGTCATTAATTATATATTTATTTTAATTAATATGATATCTTTTTTATCATAGATATTTATCTATCACCAGCTAATAATTTATTAATCGATTTTTAAATTTCTATTGTCTTTTTTTTCAATTCCATTTATGTTTTATAATTATTTCAAAAGACATTCAATCTTCATTTTTATTCAACATAATTTTTATTATTTTGGGATACAGCTGAATTGACAACTGAGGATCTATTGCTAACATCTCCTACTCGTTTACCATTTTCCCATATTCCTTCTTTAACATGTCCACTGCTCATATGGAATTACCCTTTTCCATGCTATTTATCTGCCTTCCATTCACCGACATATTTTCTGCCATCATTGAATGATAGGACTCCAAATCCTTATTTTTAGTCTTTATAAAACTCACCAGAATACTTTCTACCATCAGGCCATTCAAAAACTCCCTTTCCATGTCTTTTATTTTCAAGCCATTCTCCCTCATACTATTTACCATCGTTCCATCTATATTTTCCATTACCTTCAATATTATTTGATTTAAAATCTCCTTCATAAGAAGATCCATCAGCCCATGTAAATCTTCCTGTGCCATTCTTTTTACCTTCTTTATATTTACCTTCATAAACTGATCCATCGGGCCATCTTTCAATACCATCACCTTCTTGCAAATCATTTATCCAAGTTCCTTCGTAAGTTGCTCCATCTAAATGAGTGTAAACACCATATCCGTGCGCTTTATCATCCTTTTCATTTAAATTAGAAAAGATTAAAATCCCTTAATTAAATTTTATTCAAATTCTATATTTTAAATAATTCTATCGAAAGTTACCTTCCAATCTCCCTCATAAATCTCTCCATTAGCATGAACCAATCTTCCTCTTCCATTAGCTTTATTATTTTTGAAGTATCCTTCAAATTTTGATCCATCTTGCCATGTCATTATTCCTTTTCCATATCTCACATCACCTATCCACTCACCAAAATAAATAGCACCGTTTTCTAATTCTGTAGAACCTCTAAATTCTTTTAAGTGACTATTAGGATCATCTTAATCATCAAATCCGTAAAAAAAAGGAGCAATATTTCTAGAATTAAAATTTAGTATAGTTGAGCTATATGTTGTAAGTTATTCGTTAACCTTTTCATTATATTTTCTCTTTTTTATTTAATTAACCCTCCTTCTAGCTAAAAATCCTCTAATAAAGGCCTAAATTAAAACTATTTCCTTGCTCATTTGTTATATTATCAAAAAGTGCTTATCTTTCAATTCTATTTAATATGCTTTATTCGACCCTATAATAGATTCGAATTCTGTGGTATTGCTTTCCCTCAAGCAACTACAATTATTTCCCATGATGGATGAGATATAAAGCTCAACAATAATTTCAAATATTTTAGTCTAATGATGTAATCTATACAAAATATTTTCTTTAATGTTTTCAAAGCTTTAATTACTTTTAATTGAGTCGTTGAAACTTTATTATTAAAAACAAACTTAATTTCTAAATTTCTAATATTTGTATGAACTTTAAAATTTTGCAGATAATTATTGATTGATTGTTAGCTAACATTTGCTAGTCAGTCTATCTATTAAATTGCAATCTTTCTTTTATAAAAGCAATTCCATTCTAGTACTATGAAATCAAACCATTTATCTTAAATTTATTTTACATTTAAACCTCTTTTTCAAAAACATAACAAAACGCAATCAACAATATTTAAGATAGAAAATACATTTTTTAATGAATAATTTTTGAATTAAACTAATTTTTTTTAATAAAATATTTTTTAAGTTTACTTAAAAATAATTATTTTACAAATATTAAATAAATACTAATAAAAAATACTTTCTAAATTTTCATTTAACTAATATTAGAGTGCAAATACAACATAAAGGTTTCTATGAAAAGACACTTTGGCCGAGTGGTTAAGGCGGCGGCCTGCTAAGCCGTTTCCCTCTGGGAGCGTGAGTTCAATTCTCACAGGTGTCGAATCTTTTTTTTTTTTATTAAAAAATATATTTAGTAAATTTTTTGATTTAATTGAACTAAGTGTGGAGAATATAAATTTCATGAAAGACACTTTGGCCGAGTGGTTAAGGCGGCGGCCTGCTAAGCCGTTTCCCTCTGGGAGCGTGAGTTCAATTCTCACAGGTGTCGAATCTTTTTATTTTTGATTAATTCTTAATAAAATACAAAATCTTTTGTTAATTAAAAAATATGAAAATTCGTTTTAGAAAATAGTAAGAAGCTAAATAGTATTAATGAAAACAACTTATTTAATATAATTAATACCTAATCCAAATTTAATTTAAAATCAAATACAATTTATTTCTTTCCAAATTGATATTTCGAAAATATTAAGTCTTTTTAATCTATTTCACTCATTTTAATAAAATAAAAGTTTAAAACCTAAATCTATACAAATTACAAAATAAATTATAAAGTTTTAAATAAAAAATTCAAGATAAACTGTAAATAGTATGTACCATCACAAATTAATGAATGAAGATCAATTTGTTGTATTCGCTCAAAAATAGAGTTAAAATTTCTATTAATAGTTTAATATTTCTACAAATTTATTTTTAAGATGTTAATAAAATTTTGATTACCTAAAGAAGATATGTTTTTCTTTAGTAAAAAAGAATTAAAATACTTAAAATAATTTATTCTTTGAAATTTTTAAAAGATATTCATGAAATGTTTTCAAAAATATTCAAGAAATGTTTTGATTGGTTATTGATTAGTTAATAACTAAAACAATCATATTTATATTCAATACATATCTAAGAAATCAGCTATTTTAAAATTTTTAAAAATTCCATCTTTAAATAGAACAACTATTAAGAATTCTTTTCAATAGATAAATTTATCAAAATAATAAACTTTATTCCATAAATTTTAATCTACGTTAAATTAAAAATTAAATCAATTTATGAAAGTTTTTATTAAAAATTATCATAATTTAAAGTCTTCAAATATTGAGAAGTGATATATTTTAATAATTATTCTCTAAAGTAAATATTTTGATTAAATTAAAAACCTAATTAATAATATTAATATAAAATATATTTATACCTAAAATAAAATGTTTGTTTGAACAAAATCCACCATAAAACGAATTTAATTTATATTTAGAAACAAATAAATCAACTTTAGCTTTGCTATCTCACTTATTTAATCGTTTTTAAATAAATTTTTTTTAATAATATTTTCAAAAATGATGTTAATTTGATATAAAAATAATGAAATGTATTATTTAATTTTAAATACTTAAACTCATTTCATTATAAAATTTTAAAACAAAAAATAAAAGTTATCATAAATGTAATACTATTTTTTAAAGAAAAAAAATATTTATAAATTAAATTAAATACAATATAATTTGTATATCTAAGCAATCTCAATTTGAAAATTAATCTATAAAATAAATAATTGATTGAGTAATAAATAATTTGGTTTTAGAAATTTAAGGATATTAATTTCAAACTAAAATAGATTTTTTATATCTAGAATTAATAAATTTATTTTATTTAACAATTCATTTAAAATTTGAAAATTTAATTTATTGCCTAATCTAAGGATAACTAATTTCACAAAAATTTCTTTTAGATAGTTTATTTGATTGTTTGTAAAAATTTAAATTATTTTAAACTTCTTTAGGTTTTTCAATTCATATTTTACTTAAATTATTATGTATTTATTGGGATCTTATGATGACTGATAAAAACGTGAATGGAAAATTATGAACTTAAACGGTTAAATCTATCAGATTTTATATTTAAAATATAAAATCTTACATATTGGATTCGTTTTGTAAATAACATAATCTAAACAAAAAAATATGCAATAACACTCCAAGAAAGCAACTATTACAGTAAATCCTTTAAAAGGTTATATTTGAATAAAAGAAATAAGTATGAGTATTTGCGTTTAGTGGAGAATTGTATTCATATCTTAAAATTCATTTGATGTATTTTTTATTTCTACTAAATAACAAATCTCAACAAATTTACGAAAGTTAAGCAAAAATTTCTATTTAAAAAGTGTCATTTACGAATATCAATAGTAGTAGTACGGCCTTGTGGCGCAATGGTAGCGCAGTGGATTTCGGCTCCAAAGGTTTAGGGTTCGAGTCCCTACGGGGTCGTAATTTTTTGAAAAATAAAAGATTGATTAACCAAATTCTAAAAATTAAAACAGAAAGAAATTAAAATTAAAAAAAATGCATAAATATTCTGTTAAGTAATAATGTTTTTTTTATGTTTAGAATACATTATAAATTATATACATATATATATTTGCAGTTAATTAATGTAATTAAGAATTCAACATAGGCATTTTATCTTTTATTTTTGCTTGAGAAATTAATAAATTAATAATATAATATTTGGAAGGAAATCTAATTAGAATTTTAATTTATGAGAAAAGTTGATTTATTTTTATATTTATGAGTGAATGATTAATGATTAAGGAATGAGTTAGTGATTAAATTATTTAGTTAGTAAGAGAGTGGATTAATGAATGAATTAGATGATTATTTTCAGCTGTTTTAAAGAGTATCATGGTGTTAAATTTTTGAGAGGATCTATCTAATTTTGATATCATTTGAATTTTCTTACTATTTTAATATAATAAATAATTATTTCAACAAAATTTGACAAAAATAAAAATCTTTACTTCGTAATTGTTTATTGACCCGAAGTTCTCATTTTAAGGAGTGTAAGAAATATTTTTTGTATCATTGCTTTAGTAAGTATTTAAATGAATTCCTACTTGATTTAAGATAAGAGAATCCTATTTCAGCACTTCGATGTTTTCATGCAAGTTTTTAGCTCTTTTTAAAATGTTGTGGTATGGATTTGACTTTAGCGATTTATTTTCATTTCCTCTTTTTGTAGAGTTAATTCCTATAATTTTTTTTTAAAAATAAAAATAAAAATGTCTTTTGAATATTATTATTTGTTAATTGAGCTTACCTGAAGCATTACTTGAAGATCTAGGTCTGTAGACGTGGTAATTTTAAGAAGTATTTCCATCGAAATTCCCATTTTAATGATTATCTAAAATGAAATCTGTCTCATTATTGCTGCTAACTCCACTTCTACTGTTGGCTCTGGAATTTTTACAGCTTAATTTATCCCTAATACCTATCCTCTATCTTGATATTTCATTCTGTAATAAAATGTCTTTTAAAACAGCTTCTATTTCATTATTTTATTTTTTAAGCTCTTTATTTTTGCTTACTAAACTTTTAACTATTTTCTCTATATTTTTCAAAAATAATAATTAATTCCACCCACCATATTTATCATTAAATTGTTTACTATATTTAGTTTTATCAGTTGATTTTATGTTTTCTTTATCTGCATAAGCATTTTCTTTTGTTTAGTCGCAATCAGAATTACCTAAATCCTATTTTATATTTATTTATTTTAATCAAAAATAATGAGAAGAGATAAAAATAATAATAAGAACCTACCTAGTTTTTGCTTAGTTAGGATTTTAATTGACGAAAAGCTTTCCATATATTTTCATTATCTTATTATAGTTTTTAGTTAATTTAAGCTTAAACAATTTAATTTTTTTGCATTTCACTTATCATAACCTTCAGCTCAGTAATTTCTTTCAAACAGTCACAGTTTTTCTATAATTTTTTATCACTAACTAAATTATTTTAAGTGTGTTTATTGCTCAAATCTGTACTATTATTTTCTAATAAAAATAAAAAATTTAACAAATATTTCTTTGAAAGCTATTTTAGAATATTTACATATTAATTAGTCATGGCTAGTATTTAATTCTAATTTAGAGCCTTCTATTTTCCAGTCAAGTAGGTCTTTAAATTAAGTTTGATAATTATTTTCATTATTAAAAATAAGCTGGTGACTGCTAGTACTAGGAAGAGATTGCTTTTGTTTTTAATTATTTTGGAATGTTTGTGAAACTCCGTTAGAATTAGAAGTTTCTTGTGGAATAATGCTTTGATCACAATTTTGAGAGATATCCTAATAAATTAAATATAAATTAATTTATAAAATCAATAAAAATTAATAATTTGGCAAGTAAATTTTTTAATCAAATTTAACAGAAAAATATTTGTTTGTTTATTTATTAAAATCGAGTTTTAATTTAATTTACATATTCTTCTTGTTTCTTTGTAAATAGAGAAAATGGTTTTGATTTATTGTTCATACTATTACTATTCAAGTCATTTAAGCATTTAGTTGAAATGTGGTAATTATCAACGTTTCTGAGGTGCTACTATCCTTCTTAATCAAGCTCTTTTGTAGTACTTAGATTATCTGATTAAGTGGGTAACTTGTTCTCAACATTGTAGAACTACTACTAATGATCAGTAGGTAGCTTTATTTCTGATCGCATAGTTCCCTAACGAGATTGTGCGATTGGATCTGTATTCTCTTAATTCCTAAAGAGTAAACTTTAGTGATTAGGCTGTAAAGTATACTCAAAACTATAGAGATCTTTTGATATACATTTTTAAGGAACTGAACAATAGTTGTTTTTGTTCACATAATTGTTATTCAATTTTGGTGTGATGGAAGAATTTTATAAATAATTTCTATTGCCTACCATTATTGTGGTATCCTTTAATACGTTTGAGTCTTTTGTTTTGATTGTATTCTAAAGCTATAAAACATTTTTTTCGCATTAAACAGCATTTGATAATTTTTTTGCAGAGTTATTGCTACTGTTATTGTTAATATTATTATGGGTATGAAAGAGCATTTAGTTACTTTAATTCCCAAAAGGATTTTATGCTGAAGTGTATATTGAGCTTGAATCATTAATAGTAGAACAGGCGAGAGTACTAATAGGTTAATTAATCTAGCTGCTTATATTATTTTAGTAATACTAGTTGCTTAAATTATTTTAGTAATTCTTAGCTGAATTTATACTCATATTATTGTGGTTATTGTTATTGTTACCTGTAGAGGATTGAACATTATTACTAGTGTTATTGTTAGTCAAGCTTGAGTTTCTCTCTTTTGATTTTGAAAATTACTTCTTTATCACTTTTTACTAGGGAGTGTCTTAACTGTTGCAATTATTGATTCTCTTAACTTATGGATTTCCAGTTAATTAACTATTCTACTAATGATAACTCAACGATCCTGCACTTCCTTGATTGCTTTGCATACCACTTGAGTATTATCTATGAAAAAAGTTTTCTCTTTAATTATCTAATGGATTTGATTCCTCAGTAACTTTTTGGATGGTTTCAAAAGTTTAAGGAGCATCCATAACTTTCCCTGCGCTCTAAATCATTTTTATAAATATATTTTAATTATTTTTTTTGTTTTGTTTGTAGTTTAATTTAGTTTGCAGTAATTATTGTGAAGGGTTTTTTAATTATATTGTTTTTTTTCTTCTTTTCTTTCTTGATTTGTTTTCTATTAGTTTTCATAAAATCCCAAACAGATAGTTTCTGTTGAGTTAGTTTTTTCTTATAATACAAATATGTTTAATAAATGTTTAATAATATGCATTAATCTTACATGAAATACTTTTTATTCAAACTAGAAATTTTTTAAATATAACCAGGTTAAACTTTGTAAGTTAAATAAAACCTAATAAATAAATATCTTAACTCTGAAAATAAAAATAAAAATGTATTATTAAAATCTATTGTAAATTATAATTTAATTTTTACGATTAAGCCATATATATTTATGAGGATTATTAATTTTAATATATATTAATTCAAATAATATTTTTCCTTTTCAAAATAAATTTCATATATTTTGATTTTTTTCTATTCCGTAAAATCGATTTTGACAAAATTAAAATCAGATTAAATAAATTTAAAAATTATGAAAAATCTATTTTGACATAGTTAAAATAATTTTAGATTTAAAAATATGAACACTAAGATAGATATACTGATCATATGTTTATCTGAATTTAGTTGAATATTAGGTAAAATGAAATTTGAAAACAAACATAAAAAGTTATTGAAATGAATTTTTGTGAATGAATGAATGCTTAAATTATTAATGCAAAAAAAGGAATAGATAAGGAAAAAAAGAAAAAAGATTTCTATTTAATATTAAAAATTAAGAAATATTAAAACTAAAATTGTGATTAATTAATATATAAATAAACAAATAAAGCACTAGCAAGTAAGTGAAGTACGCAACCAAGCATCTAAAGGATATTAATTTAGATTATGACAAATTCAAAAATAGAATAAGTTTTAATAGATAACAATTTCGAGATATGCAAAACACCAGAGGTATGTATTTATTATAACATGAATTAAATTATGCTCTTTTTTGTGCATCTTAGTGACAATTCAGCAATTATTTACAAAGTTCTGAATTTAAAAAATGCATCTAATTGTAATTTGTATTACTATATAATTAAGGGATAAAATAACTTGATGAAGTCAGTTTCTCTAGCACTTTTCAATACTATTGACCACTATGAAAAAATATAGCAGTATTGTAAAAAATATATCAAGCACTTGATAGAATAAAAGGTAAATTCCACATTTTAAATTCAAACATAGGCCTCTTTTATACAGAATTCAAAGAGATATCTATTTAAAATTTGATCTCATTTAAAATTATTAACAGGATAATAAAAATAAAGATAAAGCAATTTAAATTTGAAATAAAATAATATCAATATATCATTAGGGCCTATTTTAGTTTTGATTTTAAAATGAGATAGAATTATTTCTTAAATATTATTTAATTAAAGCTAAATTTATTTTATATCAACAGTTGCTCTCTAAGAAGCTTGAGGGATTTATTTAAAACGAAAGATGGGTAGCAGACTACTTCACAAATCCAACTTTAAAATGCTTTGAAAGAGTAAATATAACAAATATTTAGTTTAAAAATTAAGGATTTTTTTGGATTGCATTATAAAAACAATCAATTAATGAGAAAAATGAAAGATACTCTGAGTTGAAATTATATAGAATAAACAAATACTATAATTGATTGTTTCGAATAAAAATATTTGTGGACAAAAATTTTAATCCTCAATATTTCTAAAGAATTTTAACAAGAAAAAAATACCAAAATTTAACAACATACTAAATTTATGAAATATTTGTTTTCTATTAATGAAAAATAAACTCTTTTAGGAGATTGTGAAATAAATAAACAAATTATGGATTAGATTCTATTATTAATTGACAGAATTTGTTTTTAAATTATTCACTTTTCTATTTTACCAGTGAGCATAAATAAATTATTAAAGGAATATCCTGAAAAAAAATAAAATCGTCAATTAAAGTTTTTCAAGTTTTAACCAAAAAATTCTATTTTTATTTTGTTTTGTTTTTGCACTATAACCAGCATACACATTTTTTTTTGAAATTTTCATTTAATTAATTACATAAATTTAAGTATTTTTGAATTTTAGCTTTATTTTGATATTTTGCAAACATCTCCAAAATTTTTGAACATTGAAATAAAGATACTTTTCAATACAATAATAAATAAATAAATAAATAAACTAAATATCCTTTTTTAAAAAATATAGCTTAACCTTGAATTGTTGTCTCTTATCTTTAAGACTAAGATTACTATTTTTACAATCAGCTAGGAGCACTAATTCTTGAAATCGACAATCTACAACAATGGCTTTGATCATGGTATCATAAACCTCTATTAGCCTGACTAAAAGCATTATGACGTTTTTAGACATAAAAATTCCCCTATATTACCAATGTTAGACTAAGCTCTAATTTCAGATGTAAATAGAATTTCATTAATAAATTATCAACGTGTCTAAAAAAATTTTTAAATATTTGTGTAAAAATTAAATTTTGAGTTTTGAGTTTTGGAGGGGGTCTCCTTAAGCAACAAAATTATCAAGATTATTTTTTATTTATTTAGCTAAATATAATTTAAATAAATAGATTTTAGGGGATTTAAAGGACTAACCTAATGGTGCTACTCTAAAAGATGATTAACATGCCAATCATTATGTAAAAATAATTTAATTCTATACTAATTATTTAATCGTTAGTTAATAATATTTACTTACTTATTTACATATGGATATATAAGTTATCAAAAAATTTTATTTTAATTTAATAAATTAATTATTTTTGTTATTATTTGATATTGTTTCATGATCTTCATAGAAACTTTCATATCTTTAACAGTAAATATATGGAGTCACTGAATCACCACAGATTCCAGGATAGAAAAGACACTCCTTCCATAGAAAGCACAAGAAGTCTCTTTCTGATACATTTAATCCATTCTAAATTAGGGTGCCTAACGATTTCCTCGATTTGTTTAAAGGATCAAACGATTTCTCTAACAATAGTTAATTTTTGAGCTTAATTAATCACCACTAAAGTAACTCATCAAGCACAGGAATTAATAGTGATTTATCTAATCATCACCATGATCCTACATAAAACATTGAAAGTACTTCACGCAGATTAAAATATTAAAACTATATCGATGAGACAGAAGAGACACTTAATGTAGCTATCAATAACACCTAGCTATCCAAATTTAATCCCAAAGCAAATGAGAACAGCTCATCTCCTAACTCATACAATCTATCACATCAATTAAACCCAGAATAGCCTACATAATTTACTAATAATGCTAACTCAAATCAACTTTTGAATCCCGAAAAATCAAATGAGGAAAATCAGCAAACACTTAATTTAAATAATTAAATGAATGGATTTTAACAAAGCTATCTATAAAATAACATACCTTAAACATAATAACTAAATAGTTTATCTAACACCAATGCTAAATAAGATACATTAAATACTTAAAATTTAGCTTAAAGCAATAACTAATCCAACCTAAACACAAGTGGTTAGTAACAAAATAATTTAGCTCAAAATAACTTAAGTAGCAATACAACTTCCTTATAAACAAAAATAGCTGTAAATTAAGGAGAAAGCTTAGCTATTAGCTCACAAAGCAGTAATGAAAGCCTTAATTCCAATCAAGTAAACAATTAGGGTATGTAAGATAGTCAAATATCTTAACAATAACAAATTTAAGCTTCTTAAACTTCAAACTAGCAACAAGCTTCAATTTAACAAAGTTCAAATACTCCCAATCTACTCTCAACTCCATCAATAGATTTTATTTAATTTACTCACCCCATACCAAATATGGTTCCTATCCCTACTGTTTCAACTCCAAATCTGCTCACCCCTCCTTTCATGCCTCCCCCAGCTACTATTAACTTATTAAATCCCTCATTTGACTAACTCCAAAAACTACCTGCTAACTAGCTCACAAAATCAATGAGTTATTCTATAACTTCTACTACACCTTAGTTGCAATAGCAAAATACTCAGCAGCAATAATAATAGATTCAATAAAATACCTCATAATCATAATAGTAGTAGCAATAGCAAGCTTAAGGTTCTCAAATAAGTGCTAATGCAATTCATGAAAATTTAAGAAGGTATATGGGAAGTTTGAAGTTTTTCGATGAAAATAAGAATTATGGATTTATTGTTATGGATGACGACAACAGAGATATTTTTGTGCACTACGATGATCTTTAGAAGGCAGGTATTACAAAAGAGTTCTTAAAGAGTTCAAAACAAGGAAATGTAATTCGCTTTTCCTTTTCGTGCATGCAGTACATAGGAAAATACAAATAGTCTAAAAAGGCTGTTGAACTTCAGGTTATGCCTTACAATCCAGCTTTAAGCGCTTTAAGAAGATAATAATTCAGCTATATTTCAGCCAATCCCTAGAACACATCAAATAATAACTAATCTAATAACAATAGCAACCTTTGAACACCCCATCCAAATTTTAAACAATACCAGCAACTCAATAATTAATTGAAAATGAAGGTATTGTAAATTTTGATTTAATAAACATCAAATAAATAAAACCACTTATATAAACAAACAAACATTTATATATAATTATCCAAAAAACATCAAATATCAAATCAAATACAATGTCTCATTATATATTAATAAATACAAAACACTAAACTAGTCAAAAGTTAGCTGCTTCTCATTGATAATTGTTATTATTTCTTTCAAAATTAATGAAGGAAAATAAAAAATACATTAACAGCACATTTAAAGCAACAAAAAACCAAACAACAACAACAACTTAAAAATATCTCAAACTGCTTTTTCAATAATAATAATAATTTTTTGAAAAGTTTTTAAAATGTACATTAATAATTTTAGCAAAAACAAGTGTAATTATTATGAGATAGTTAAATGATAAAGTCAAACACTACTACTTTAGTTATTATGAAAGAATAAGATGTATAACAAAATAAATAAATAAACAAACAAACTTCTAAGTGAATATATAAGATAAAATTATTTAAAATACTGACAAACTATTATATAGAAAAAGATTTTATATCAGTTAACTGCAAAAGTAGAAACTATCAATCAAACTAATATAAATTTGTATAATAACTATATTATTTACTTTTTATATAAATTAACTCTATCTAGACTAACGCTTCATTCTTATATAAATCTATAGTCATCTTCCTTTTATTCATTAATACACCAACAAACTAACTAACTAATTCCAAACATTTGATCAGATCATAATTGATAATAATAATAATAATAATAATAATAATCATAATAATCAACCAACAGTTTATTATCCCCCTATTAATTGTATTTACTTTATGTTTTATTATCTCTTTTTTTCAAGATAATTAATTCTGTCTAAACATAAAAAATCATTTTTAAGTTTTGAAATAAGTTTTTTTAAATTCAATTTAAATAAAATTTAAACTTAAAAAAAATAATTTATTTTTGTCTCTAATTTACTTGTTGAGAAAATGCAAAGCTAGCAAAATCAACATGCAATTTTTTATAGCTTTAATTATAAATAAATAAATATTAAATAGAATAAAAATACTGAAAGAACATATTTTTTGAATAATTATAAATCCATTTTAAACATTTTTCTGCAATAAAAACTATAAATACAACAAATTATATGAATATTAAAATTCTTAAAATATAATTTTTTTATTATAAACAAATAAATTGATTTATCACTCTATGTGATCCATTTCTTATATAGCCTAAAGGAATGAACTGCATGATACTTTATTATCTGTACTATTTTCCTATATTATTATTTAATACATTTTAATGTTAAATCAATTAATAGAGATAAATTTTTACTATTTCTTGAGCACGTTTAAAGATACCTTCAAACTTACCAATTTTATATTTGTAACCAATTTTTTCAAAAATATCTTTAATCTTATAAAAATTATATAATAAATTTAAATTTTGATTAATTTCTTTATTTTTTTAAATAAGAAAAATAAAATACTTCATATTTATGTCTTTTTATTTTAAAATCATCTTATTCAACACCCATGTAATCGTACTTTTTAGGGAATAAAAGATTTACAGCAGGCTTTTCATCACCATAATTCTATTAATAATAATATATTTTAGCAAATGGTTAGTTAATTAGTTAATTATTACATTAGGATCAGCTATTGATTTCATTAATGGCTTTTAAATATCGTTTCTGATTGTAGGTACACCAAACACTCTATTTTCATCTCCATCTTTAGTAATATTTCTAAATCCAAATCTATTGGTTTTACCTAAATCTTTATCTGTTTAAACTTCTTTCAAAGTTGCTTCACCAGAAATGCACTTACCTTTTTATATTATACTTTGAAATTCAATTTTATAAATTAAATTAGTCAACCTGCATTCCACTCATCTGGACCTCCTAAACGAGCACCAAAAACCATGTCTGGATTGTTTTTGGCATTAGTTTAACCTAAGTTCTTAGGTAAACCTAAATGATCCTCCTTAAAGTTTCTAAAGTCTTCTTATTTCTTTTAGACAATAGTAGTTTTAGGGAATCTTTATTAAAAAAAGAATTATTCTATCTATATATACTCTTATGTTAACAAAATTACTAATCTTATAAAGCTTCTTAGTTAAGACAATAGACAACTTCATTTGAAGCTATCTTATCAGTCTTACCAAAACGATGCTATTAAGGATCAACTTTCCAATTATAATTTCTATTTTTTTGCTCTCCTGCCTCATAATTACCATGTGAACGTACATATTAATCATGAGCAGCCTAATCATTAACTGCAGGCTTTTAAGGGAACATAACTTCTTTTGCAGTATTCTCGCTATTTATAGTAGCTACACCAAATTTAAAATTATCTTAATGAACTTCCTATGGGAATTCATAGTTTCTTTCCATCCTTTTGCCTAAAGGTTCTCTAAAATATTTGAAAAAGGAATGAGTGAACAAATAAATTAGCAAATGAAACATAAATTTATCTAAATTTAAATAATTTAATGCTTTTTACACTTATCTTGAATGATATTTTGCTTCTTTGATTTCGTTTATCATTTGCTTAATACCATCTGTCTTACCACTATCCATGACTTATTAAACCTATTTAAAAATTAAAGCATAAATTACATTAAATTCAAATTGCAAAAGCAATAATTTTTCTCAAGAGAGTTTATCTTGCTTTAGTCAACAAAATTTACATGGTCTGATCCTTCTATTTTTTTTCCATAAACAAATGTCTCTGGTGGTTTTTAATCATCGTAAATGCCATAATGCAACTTTTGATATTATTTGAGTAACACTAAATTAAATTTTTAAGATCAATTTAAATAGTATATACTATTGTTGATCCAGGTTGGTTTTTGTAAGATTTTCTGTACTTTTTAATATGTTCCGGAGTACCAGGATTCTTTTTTTAAATGAGTAAATGTAAATAATACAGATAAAATGATCTTTTTAATTTACTAAATTCTCTTTAGGTTTAATGCAATTCATTGCAGATTCATCAGGTAATTTAGTGCTAGCACCAGCCTATTTTTAGATTTAAAAATATATGTAATCAACTACTAAGCTTATTATTTATAACTATTTTAAGTATTTTATTACAGTCTTAAATCCTGGAAATAAATCTTTTGTTCTATTTGCGGCCATTTTAATGTTTATCTTATATTTGATTATTTTATGTAGTGGTGATTATTTGTATGAAGTTTAATTTATGAATCTATTAAATTTAAAGATAATAAAATTCTTTTTGACTTTATATTTGTTAACTTATCAATTAATTAATTAATTATCAGCAAGCAAATTGACTTTAAAAAATTGAATTTTCATCAAGTAGTTTCAAATAATTTAGATAAGTATCTATCTTCTGAATTTAATGATTACTAATAATCGATTATAGCTGATTAAATTCCAAGTCAGTTAATAAGAAAAACCTATTCCTATCTTTGTTTGTATGGAGATCAATCAGAGCTGCTTATAAAAATTAAATATTTTCGATTGTTTAATCATGCTTTAATCTCCAAAATTATATTTTTGAATTGCTCATTTTCAAAGCTAACTAAATAAAAACATAATTTTTATTTTAATTTTAATAAATTTTTTTAAACTATTTTATTTCAAAAAAAATTATTTTTGGTAATTAAATAGTAACAATAATTCATAATTCATATTGATTAATAATACACCTTAAAAAAGTAAGACACATTACATGGAATTCAAAAATATATAATTTTATTAGTCTTTAATAAATAAAAATAACTAACTAACTAACATATTATATGTGCGTTAATAATTATTAAATTATTTATTAAAGTTATTTACAAAGAAACATAGAATATATATTTTTTTTTTAAACTATAAATTTTATTTAACTTAATTTGTAAAGAAAGTTAATTAAATGAACAGTGAAGATCTTTAATTAATAAGGGGAGTAGGATTTTTAAAGGAATTAAGTATATTCGCTTAATTAGAAGAAAAAATCTTAAAAACAATATGGCCATTATGTTCATTTTTAAAATGTGAAAGAGGATAAAATGTTTATCAAGAAGGCTAGATAGCTACTCACATTTACCTAATAAAGGAGGGTGAAGTTTCCGTAAGCATTTTTTATCTATTTAATATTATAAAAAACGCTTAAAGATATCTAGGCTTTTAGAGAATGATACCAAAAATACAGAAAAAACTTAAAATTTACCAGAGAGAATTATTAGAAAAAATTTGATTTGGTAGAGCGAGCTAGCTTAAAAGAAAAAAGAGAAGGTAGTCATAGCAAAATTAGGAGAAAATTAATACTTTGGAGAGTTAGAATTGCTTACAAGTAACATAAATATGAGATATACACGGGCTACTTGTGAAAGCTAAACAATATTGTATTCTATTTCTAAAAAGGTTATAACAAAAATAAATAGTTCTACTTTGAAAAAAAATAAATTTTTTTTTAGTAATTAATAGCTATTCTTGCCTAGATTGGTTTATAATCACAAATTTCTGAGATTTTTCAATTAAGAACAACCATTTACGATGAATAAACTCAAAAAATAATAGATGGAAGGAACAAAAGAAGAAAAATTTAAAAATGTGATGAAAAAATTGAGGTTTGACAATAACTTTTATTTTAATTTAGCTATGTTAATTATCAAATAATTTGTTAATAAATAGTTAGATGTAAAAAACAAAGAAGGGATAAAAATTAATTTTAACAAACTGAGAATGTTCTCATAGAAATGCTAGTTCATTAAAGAGCATATGGAAAAATTGTAAAGCAAAACAAAAGCTCAGTAAGAGCATTAATCTTAGCAAAACCTTAATACCTAAGTAATTTGGCAAGAAGATAAGGATAATAAGGAACCTGAAACATTTATAAGCAGTAAACATGTTAGTTAGATGATAAAATTCTTTAAAGGATATGTAATTTTTTATTATATTAAATAAAATTGATTGATTTATTTTAATCAAGAATTTTGGAGGAGTTTAAAATTTAGAGTAGTAATTCATTTTAGATATTTTAAATAAAACGAAAAATCATCACTTAGTAAGACTGCAATAGCTATGGAAAGTTTTAAAAGAAGGAAAACCAAGTTTAAGATAATCTATGGGATTAGAAGATAATATCACAACTTCTACTCATGATAATACTCACACTTTTTCTGATTAAAACGACTTAGACGAAAAACGAAAAAATTTGCTTTCCTTTATGAAAAAGAGAAATATTTTATCAAAATAATTTACAATAAACAGTTAAGATAATAAATCAGTAAGCGCATATTCATAATAATTTAGAAACACTAGTTAAACTTGTGATAAGAATACACAGTTTGATGAAGTAATAAGCGATGATAACTTTTATGAAAAAGAAAGATATAATTCTATATTCTAAAATACTTAATCTTCATAAACACAATTTTAAAGTAGAAGAGGTTCTTCTAATGTTTATTTAGAGAATTAAAAATATTTTGTTTCTTACTACAACTATGGAATTATGAATTAAAATAAAACAAATTTCTAAAATAATAAAAATATTACACAATCATCGATTAGCCATTCTAAATCATAGGATTTATATTTGAATAATACCAATTTGTTCACATCTCTAAACACAAGCAATAATAATAATATTTCTTTACCTTGGCTGCAACAGAAATATTCTAAACCCCATTTCGTAAAGATCTATCAAAAATCTAATGAATTAAAAGAATTTAACAAAAATATATTTATAAAACCTAAGCTTTAAATATATTCATGAATTAATAATATAAATAAATAAATTAATAATTCATCATAAAAATAAATTAATTATAATATTTATAAACTAATACTTATTTATTTTAATTAAAGAATATCTGTGGATTCATTTTCTTAACTCCCAATTATAAATTTAATCATTCAACAATTCAGATAAATAATTAATTTCAGAATTTTAAAAATATTTTAAAGTAAGAAGAAGGTTAACTAACATTTTATGTTTCTTTTAAAATTAAAAAATTTTTATCATAAGTTTATTTTATGTGTAAATAAATATAAACCAAGTTAAAAAACCTCCCTTGACACATAGGATATTTCATAATAATGATAAATTATCATTTTATTGAAAAAAAAAATATTTTATTAATTTATGTTTTTGTTTTTATTTTTTTTTATAAAATTATTCAATTTATTTTTTTTTCTTTAAATCAAAAAAGTTTTAATAAGCCTTTTTAAAATAAATATTTTCAATTTCAATAATTAATTTATAATCATCAAATATATTGATTGTATAAAGATATTTATTTCATTTTTAAATACAAAAATTATCATTTATTTTAAATTAATTGACTTAAATTCATTGGATAAGTAATTTTAATTGTACTAAGAATCTTGAATTTTAACAAAATTCTTAAAAATAAATAGATGGCTAGTGATAAACAATATATAGTTATAGGAGCTATAGCGGGATTTTTGTTGTGTTTATTTACTATGTAGACAATTCATAATTTTAATATGAATTCTGAAAAAGTAAAAAAAGTAGATCCTAAAGCATTAGCTTTTTAGAAATATTTTTCAGCTGTGATACCAGATGAGTGGGGTGGCGGTAAAGTAGACCCATATACTTATAATATAAATGATCCTGATCTAACTGAAGAAGAAATCGCAAAAAAGAAATAAGAAGAAGATTAGGAAACAAAAAACAAGGGAGTGAAGAAAATAAATGAATATGGTAAAGTTAATTAAATATTTGAAACATAAAAATAAATGCAAGTATTTAACTACCCATAAAATCAGAAAAGCATTACAATATTACAAGAACTGAATTAGGAAACTGTGGATGGATGGTCTTACATATGATTTCTGCTACTTATCCTCTAGAAGTTAATGAAGAATTTGTTGAAAAGACCAATCTATTCTTAAATTTATTGTAAATAAATATATTAAAATTTCAACAAGAATACAAGAGCTATCATAGCTTTTGGATCGATCATTAATATATAAACAAAAAACTTTTTTTAATCTATAAAATAATTTTTATTAAATTTTTTATTAATTTATTTAAGTGGTTAGTTCTATCCTTGTAAAGAATGTTCAGGACATTTCTTAAAAATGACAAGTAAATAATAATTTACTGGACGTACTAGATAAGATTTTATGGAGTACTTATGCGATTTACATAATTAAGTAAACTTAAGACTGGGGAAAAAAATATATGATTGCAAAACATATCCTATGGAAAAATGGGGAGGAAATTGTGGATGCTAATCTGGATCTGGTCCAGTAAATGAAGAAGGAAAATAGTGAAATATTTTTAAACCCAAATAATAAAGTTATATTTAAAAATATTTAAAGTTTTTTGTTAACTATTTATATATACAGTTTTGCATGCATATAAATATATATGATAAAATATTTAATATAAGTTAAGTAATTTTGTTACAAATAAAGAATTATAAGAATCAACAACATGATGATTTTTCATTATTTTTTTCCTTTTGATTATTATTTTATACATAGATTGTATTAGGGTTTTAAGATTTGGTATTATATTTTTCACTCTAATTTTATAAATTAATTTATTTTTAATTTTCTAAATCATCTTAGTTGCTTTAACCATTATTCTAATCTTAATTTCTACTTTAGCCAATATTTAGTTCTTTCTAATTATTAGCTTATATATTAGAGGAATTTTAACTTTAATTTTTATTTCTCTCAGATAAATTATTTTCAGATTCTGAATATAAAGATGCATAATTTTTACTTTGATTTTTAGAGTTAATGCTTGATTCAGTCATTTAATTACTTACTTTATTTAAAGTAAATACATTTAAGTTTTGAAATTGTTCATATGTAACAGTTGTAGCAATAAATTCTAAAAAAACTCCTTTAAATATATCATCAAATAGCTTTTTTTTAAGTAAATAATAAACAAATATCATTAAAAGATTTTTTGATTCAGAATAATTAATTTAACTGATTTACTTTTTGGATATTTATGTTATTATATGCACTTGTTTCAATATAATATTGTTTCTCAATAGTATTCATTTTTTCAAATAGTTTGTTTCTTCTATACTCAAAACTATTTTATGTAATATTTAAATATGTGAAAGAACTTGTAAATGAATAAATTGGATATATTTAATTAATGTAAGGTTAATTAAATAAGTTTTGAAAAATCTTAAATTTTACTCATTTAATTAGTCTTCACTTAATAGATCTTGCTTTGCTCCTACAAAATAAGTTAAAGGAGTAATTTAGTGATTATTGTCAGGTGCATAACTAAACTTATACCATTTTTTCACTTAATTTAGGCACTCAACTTCATTTTTGTAAAAACTATTTAATATTTATCATTAATAAAATATCAGATAAAAATTCAAAAGCTTTATATCTTACTATCTCAAATCAAAAACGATAATGATTGCAAGAGCATTTCTGTATAAATGTCTTGACAATGATTTCTAACTTTCTTTTCCAACCTAATCAGTCAGTAGTAAAACAAACATAATTACTAATAATTATAAATATATTCATATTAAATTACAGTATCAAAACATGATATCTATAGCGGTTTGTTTTTGATATCTTTTAAAGTTTATGAAATAAATGATTAATCGGCAATTCTTGTAATTTTTTTCTCTTAGCTTGAAATATCAATGTCTGGTTTACTATATTTCTGCAACAAAGATGTTTTGCCTGATCCTATTTTTTATTGATAATAGATATACTTAACTCGATTAGACGCAAAGATAATTTTACCTTCTTATCCTATAATAGCTACTTTGTTTAATTTATTATTGGAAGCTACGGTAATCATAACTAATAATTTTTATCTTCTATTATTATTGCTTTATTTATTTATTTATTTGGCTGAATTTGAAATATTTATTATATGTAATTATCAAATAATTTAATTACCTATTTATCAATATTAATCTTAAATTTTTTATAATTTTCATTTTTTTTTATAAGAGAATCTATTTAATTTTTATAAAATTTTTAATTAAATTACTGAATAAAATATTTTTAAAAGTAATTAATTATGTTTAGAAAGTAGATAGATAAAAAAAATGAAAAAAAAAATAATTTTTAAAAAATATAAGGTCATTTCATGAATTAGGAATTGAACTGAAATGAGTGGATGTATTTGAATAAATTTATGGTATGGTATTTATTTGATTTTATAAAATATGTAATTTTATTAGTGAGTGATATTTATTTTTTATAAAAGAAATCTGGCTTTACTAAAAAGAATATAAAGTAATTAATTTCGTAATCAATCAATAATTTGAGAGGGTGACAGAAATAAATGAATTTATATCTAAATAAAGTATGTAAAATAAATGAAAATTAATCTGTCAGTCAAATTGATATATTCTAGTTTTTAATGGGATATACATTAAACCAATTTAGTTGTTTCTTCAACCTTTCTATCTTTATTAAAGATTTTTGATTAATTTTTTATCACTTATTCATTCATAGAAAAGACCTTAACTAAATCAATTGAGATTGTTTGCTTGTTTTTTTGTTTGTTTGTTTGTTTGTTTGTGAAAAATTTATTAATTAATTATTTTTGTCATAGCTTTTTGAAGAGGAATAAGAATCCAACTAATACATTAAATCAAGTATTAAAAAGAAAGAGTAACAAAAATAACTTTTGAATGCAGTTAAGGTCAGAAAGTTATGAAGACTCTGAGTCTTTTGACCAAATATAATATGAGCTTTTTAATGCCGTTGCAAATAATGAACTAAGAAGATTAAAATAAATATTTAAAGACTTCACATGTTTGAATTTAATCGAGATTGCTAACAATCAGAAAATGGAAAATTGTACCTATTAACATATAATTATTCTTAAATACATATCAAAAATAAATTTGGGAACAACAAAATTCAAAAAATATATACCAAGCGCATTACAATTTTAGTTTGTGTTTTCATATAGAATAAAATAGTTACTATACATATAATTTAAGCTATTTTAACTTCATAATTTTATTTTAATACTAATAGTATTGCATGTAGCTTGCTAACATTCCAGCATGACTGTAATTGAAATGATTGTAGAATATTTTGAAAAATCTCCTCACAGCTAAATGTTAAAACACTTTATTAACATGAGAAATTATGAAGGATATACTTGCATTCATTTAGCATCATATACTGGAAAATTAGTAAAAATTAGTCAATTTTATAGTTTTTTATAGATTTATTAGAAGTATTTTGTAATCTCATATATTCAAAAATATTAAATCATAGCAAGCTGTTGAATATTTACATGGAAAAGGAGCAAACTTGCACCTATCAAATGTTGCTGGTAATTATTCACTTATTAGATTTTAAAGTTATATCAAACGTCTATCAAGTTATCATAATGAGCTAAAATAATCAAATGATAAATATAATAAACTTTAGATTAGAATAAAATTATTAAAAATCTATTCTCAAATCTTTATTTGATTAAATTAAATTTTAGGCTTGACTGCGATGCATACAGCTGCGTAAGGAGACTCTATTAATGTTATGGTAAAATTAATTAAATTAATTTTGAACTCTCTAAAATAAAATCATATAGAATTAAAATAACTTAAATGATAGAGTTATGTAAACAAATTCATTAATTTGCCTAACTAGAAAAGATATTTATTAACCAATATTAAATTATGCAATATTAATGAATAAGAAGTGAATGAAAAACAATCTTTTATCTATCTACATTAATTATCTACCATGAACAATAATAAATATCTAATAATATCTTTTTTATTATAAAAGTGCTATCTAAAAATTAATGGTTTGTCCATTGACGAAAAAGATTAAAATGGGAGAACACCCATTCACTGGGCTGCATTTTAAAGGTAATTAAATATAAAAAAAAAATAAATTTAAAATTATTAGATTATTTGTATTAAGCAATAAACAAGTTTTAATTTTTTAGTTAAAAATACATCTTTTCAAAAACTAAAAATATTATTTTATTGACTGAATTTAATTCTTTAAATAATTAAAAAAGCGCCACTAATGCTGTTTCTTTTCTTCTTGCATGGGGAGCTGAATTTAACATTTAAGATTATGATAACATGATGACGCCTCTTCACTATGCAGTCATAGATGGGTGTATTCAAATTGTAAGAAAGCTTTTACATGCAGGTGCTGACAAAAACATCAAAGATTTTGAAAATTTAACTGCATACGATCATGCTATCTAAAAGAAAAGAGAAATAATAGGATAAATTTTGGTAATTATTTTTTTTTTACAATAACTTATTGTTAAATTTTAATGTATATAAATCACTCAGAGCTCAAAACCTGGCTTAGCAGAAACTTGCAATCTACAAATCCCTTTCGAAAAACTAAGAAGAAAGAAAAGATTACTTGTCTTATTTTTATCTCTTTACATCTCTACATTTGTTGGGTCTCTCTTATTTGTGATTCCTTGTAAAAATAAAACATATTTCATTCATATAATCTAAACAAAAATATTTATAAAAAAAGATGTGGCTAGCGTTGAGCTATTTTGTGCATTTATTACTATTTCAGTAATAACAATTTTGTTATTCTTTGGGGCTTGGTTAGGAAATCCAGGTTATTTAGAGCATAAAGGCAAATGTGATGAACATTTATTTTCTCTTCTTAAATAAGTTTCAGATCCATCACAAATATGTGCTAAATGTTAAGTAAATATTTAAAAAGTCAATATTTAACATCATTAAAAAAAAAAAAAATTAAAATAGATCATTTAACCTAAGAGATCGAAACATTGTGATATCTGCAACAAGTGTGTTAAAGTCTACGATCATCATTGTCCTTGGATTAATAACTGCGTTGGATCAAATAACTATAAATATTTCTACCTATTTGTCTTATCGATATTTATCTAACTCATTTTCTAATTAATTTTCCATGGAATTTGTAATAATTTTCAGATATCTTTTCTCAACTTAAAAAATTAAATCTTCTCATATTTTATTTAAATAGATTTCTCCTCAACTGAGCCTGTTGAATAGTATTTCTTAACAATTATCGAAGATAGATAAGCTTTGGAGATTTTGCACTTGATAACTTCAATTTATTGCACTGCTATGTGCTCAATCTTCTTAATCTGTGTTGGGTAAAAAAATTTAACTAATTTAACATTTAAAATAAATTTATTTGTATTTTAAATTTTAAAAAGAATTTTATTGTGTGTACAAACATCAAATTTACTATCTGGAATAACAACAAGTGAGAAATACGGATATAAGCCTAAGAAAACCTATCAAAAACAAGTAAAAATTATTTTTTTAAAATATATTTTACTTATTTTAAAATAAAAAGATTGAAATAAATTCTGAGGAAGAAAGATTCTATGCAAATAGTTCAAGTATAACTGACTCAATATCTACTACAGTAGATCATGAATAGTCCTTACTCTAAGGTTACTCAGATAACCAAAAAGAAGGAGTGTTTACAAATATGGTTGATATGTGCTTTAGAAATAATAAAAATCCTTCTTACGATCTTCAAATCTGAGAAATCTCATAATTATCTATCTATCTATCTATCTATCTATCTATCTATCAAATTTATTAATGTATTGAGAAAGCTAAATATAAAAAAATAAAAATATATTAAATAATTCTATAAAATATATGGCTAACAAATAAATCAATGCTAATGTAGTAAGATACTAAATGAGTGAATTTCATTCCATATCAATTTGAGTGGGATTTAATACGAAGTATGAATATAATACTTCATAGATAGGATTTTGTTTATTTTACTAGAAAGCTGGTTGCTTTAAAAATGGAAACTAACTAACTAACTAACTTAATTCACTCTATTAATAAAAAAGAAAAATAATCAATGACTATAGTAAGAAAGCTTGCTTATTTTACTTAGTATCTTAAGCATGATTGTTTGGTTAGTGTTAATTTGTACTCTTATACAATTATTAAAAATAAAATTTTATTAAAAAAATATCTTCATATTGTTACTTCTTTTATTCTCACAATTAAGTTAATTTATATCATTTAGCCAATCTTAATTTCCTTAAATTTGTTGTTAAAGCTTTTAAATTTTCTTTATTTACATAAAACAATTAAATATGCTTAAAAAATTTTTTAAATCTTTTTATTTACTTTTTGAGTAATTTTAATTTCAAATCACAATTTAAAATAATTCCTACTTTTCATAAATCCCTACTTATCAAAAAATCAAATATTCTTTAATTGATACTAATAATATTCATTTAGTGTAATTGATCTAATATTTTATCTATAACAAACACTCTGTTTCTCCTTCAGGTATTTAATTAACTTTTAATAAAAACATTGAAGTTTAATTTCTCTTTAATTTTTCAAATATTGTAGCACTAAAAGATAGTTTAAAAATTTATAATAAATAGTAAAATTAAGAATATTTTTAAATCATGTTAATTACTTAAGGCTTTTAAAATAAATTTCATAGGCATAGATAAAAATAGTATTTGAAATATTTAGTATTAGATTGAAGTTTCTTATTTAGGATATTGTTAATTATGAATTCCTTTGGAACACAATTTAATTAGTAAAATGTAATATTTTATTGCACGATAATTCGATAAATATATGCAATTTGTTTTAATTTAAAGAAAGGGTCAATGCAGAGGCCATTTAGCGCTGTTTACCCGCAAGGCATATAAAGCAATATAGAAAATGTTGATGTACAAACAAGAAATCCAATAAATAGCTAATATTTTAATAGCTAAGGAGATACTTTATAGAGACATTAGTATAAATAAATATTTTATTTTAGCTAAAAAATGAGAGTAATAATTCTGAAATTAAATCAAAATATAATAGGTCAGCTCACACTCTTAATAAAAATAGATCTTTAAGGCCTTCAAGTAGTACTACAAATAAATTTATGCAAATGCCTTCATCACCTTAAGAAATGCAAAAACCTATGTTCAATGGTTCTTAATCAGTTAAAAATTTTCATTAGCCATAAATAGCTGATGCATTTGAGTATATTTTTGAATGATATAGATAAAAGTGATTGAAAATTTTATTATTAAAGTCCGAATATAGCTGGTGTACCTTTATTAAGACCACCTTCAGCAGAAGACCTTAAAATAGTAGCTCCAAAAAATATAAAAAAAGATAAAGTAACTGCTAAAATTTAGATTTACAGTAACAATTGTGTTAATATATAATATACTAATAAATAGGAAAAATTATGGGAAGAAAACATGTAAATTAAATATATGTGGAGTTAAGTATAAAAAGAGAATATTGAACTTAAAACAAAGAACATGACATTAATGGTAAAAATATATAATTTAATCATTTTAAGAGAGTAATAAACTTGTTGTTTTATGTATAATTAGAGAGAAAATTAAAAGCTTTATAAGCTTTTGGGAGATGTAGAAACATATTTAGATTAAAAAAATGGTAAAAGTGGTACAAGAGAGGTAATATTATTATTTGCTTTATTATGCATTGTATTTTTTATTCAAAATGATTTAATTTTTAGAACTTGCTAATCGTCAATCTTAAGAAATAAGTTCAAGACTTAAAACTTCAACTAAACTAGGCAAATACAGAAATTTAGAAATTTAAAAGAGATTATAAGCTAAATAATTTAAAAGAATTACAAATTGAACTTGATTAAACAAAATAGGAATGCATTAGACTAAAGACATTATTTGATTAATCTATTAGGGACTATGCAGAACTATTATCGTAAATATTATACATACTTTTTGCATATAATTTTAGTTTCAACTAAATTAATTTGTTAATTTAAAGGTTTAAAGATTTAACAGATGCTGATAAATATATGTAAATGCAATTCTCTATGGTGAACAAAATAAAATAAGAAAACGAGGAGTAGAAAAGAAACTTTGAGGACCAAGAAAGAACTTTGCTCGACAAGGAAGTAATATATTAAAAAATATGTATAAATTTATTTTAAAATTTTAATAATTAGGCCAAAAGAGTTGAAGTTACTAAAGAACTTTAAGAAGCCAATAAAAAATTAGCAACCAAAGAAGAAAAGCTCTAATAATTAACTGAAAAAGTAAAATGGTAAGATGCAGAAATAAAGAGGTTGGCAGATATAAACACTAAATTAGAAAAGGAAGCTTAAAAAATTAATGAAGAAGATAAAAAGCTAAAGCAGGCGTATTTATTTACATTACATTTCATTATTTTGATTAAAATAAGTTAATTTTTACTTTTAATATTAGAATTGATAAAATAAAAATGCTTGATAATAAATTATCTGAAAAAGAAGATGAGCTAAAAAAATAGCAAAAAAGTGCTGTAAAAGCTATAAAGGATGCAACAGAAAAATTAGCTGCAGAGAGCAAAGAAAAATAAAAACTTTAAGAATAATATAATAAGTTAAAAGAAGAATTAGATGCAAATAAAATAAAAATGAATGCACAGCTCGAAGAAAGAAATAGAATCAACCTGTAGCATCAAAGAGAATTAAATCAAAGCAATGGTGATATAATGAGTATTCCTTATGCTTATCAAAACCAAGCAAATGAAATAAAAGACATAAATAAAAAAGTAGATCAAAGCAAACCTTAACATACAAAAAGATTACCAACTGTTAAATTTGAAGAGGTAGAAAAAATAGGTATTTAAATAATCATTTTCAAAAAATTGCTGTTAAAAAATGTTGTTGTTGTTTTTTTTATAAAATATAAAACAGGTAAAGAATTAAATTTAAGGTGTTCTCTAAAGTATAGAAACTTAGATGAAGTCATCAAAGAATTTTTATCTAAATTAGAAACTTAATCGAATTATATAACTATATCAGAAACAGTTGTTAAGCTTCAGCAGTAATTTATAATTTTATCTTTTGGAATAATTTTCATGTTTAATTTTTTATCTTTTAATTAATTCAAGGAGCCCTTTTAATATTTAAAAAACAGAAATTGCTTTGCTAGTAGCAAGGTATTTAATAGAGAATAATAATTAAAATGATTATGTTGACTTTCATTAGGATTAAAGTACCAATATTTAAGTTTTCAGAAGCACTCTTAGAAATTTGATAAAGGAACTAAGATACTTTGAAAAGGAAGAGAAGGAAAAATTGGATGATGAAGTTACAAAGGTAAATATTGCTTTTTACTTCAATTTGGCATTTAATTTTAATGAATATTTAGATTATAAACTAGTTTTACTAGACCATCAAGCAAGGTTTAGAGTAAGAACCTCATGTCAAAGATAAAGAAAGATTTACAATTGAATAGTTTGAAAAAGTTAACTAACAGTTACTAGATCCTCCTATGACTAAAGATTAAAAAGATTATTTCTTCTTGAAACTCTTTGAAAAGGCCTAGACTGTAGAATCATTCAAGATATCTGATATTTATGAGTCATTTAGAAAGATAGATTTAAATAAAAGTAAATATTATTTAAAAATAATTAATCAATAAATAAAAAATTAATTAATTAATATTTTTTTTATAGACACAATTCAAAAAATCAGTAAATACAAAGCACAGAGTAAAAATAACAAACCGATGGACAACTTTTAAATGAGTTGAACAAAAAAAGCTTAATGAAAATTTAAATACATAATTAAATGTTAATAAAATAAGTTTAGTGTAAAAATGTATTATAGTGTATATATAATTGTATGCAATCAACTATGATATGCTAAAATAAAGTTTTAATTAGCTTAATTAATAATTCTTAGGATATTAAACAAAAGAAAAAATTGTAAAAATAAATACAAAAGTAAGTAATGTAAGATTTAATTTTTAACATTTGTAATATTGGTTTATTTTGAAATTTTATTTTTCAGTATTTGGAATTTGTTAAATTATTCATCAAACGCGAATAAGATTTAATCAAATTAGATTTTTCCAATCAGATTGATTAAAATTGTAAATAAATAGTAGGCATTAGTAAGATATTGATAGAGTGATAGAATGGAAACTGATAATCTACTTCAAAAGGAATAAGATTCGATATAATAAAGAAATTATTCTGATTTAAATAGAGACTCAAGTACATAGTTAGAACATTAAAATATACCTGACAACCATTCTGATACATCTACTGCAAGAAGAGCTAGAGATGAATCTCTACATAAAAGAATATTGATAATAGCAGCAGTAATTTATATGATGATGTTTTTGGCTTTACTGATTGTTTTTGCTGCTGTTGAGCCTTTTAGAGTTTGGTATATAGATTTGATTTATCAATTAAAGGAAAATAACATATAGGCTTATGTTACTGTATTTTTCGTAGGATTAATTTGTCTCATTGTAGGTATACCTATATTTATAATCGAAACTATGATTGGCTATATTGTAAAGCCTTTAATTTACGGAATTTTACTAATAGTAGCATTCAAAATGACAGGATTATCTATCACATTTTTATTGGGGAGATATATTTTCAGAGATAAGTTAAGAGCTTTAATATAAGATAATGAATATCTAGAAGCTTTTTCAGATCATGCGTCTGAGCATCCTTTCAAGATTGCCTTCTTTTTAAGAGTAATAACGATTTTCCCTCCAATATTATAAGATTATGGAATGGGAATAATGAAAATTACTTATAAATAATTCTTTTTACCTGTGTTATTGAGTATAATTATTTTTGCTATTTTCTATGCATATATCGGCAAATCGATCAAAAACATTTATGACAACTATAACTCACCAAAGAAAGGAGAAGAAGCATACAAAGATCTTGCTATTAACCTACTTTTTATACTATTTACTATTATCGTTATTAGTTATTTTGTAAAATAAGTTTAAAAACGACTAGAAGCTGCAAAAGAAGAAACTATAAGCTAGGTATCTAGAGAGGAAGATCAACACAGAGAAAGAGAAATCTTTTGAATTTAATTTTATAGTCAATTATTTAAAATAATTTTTATTATATAAAATATTTATTTGTAATTCTTATTAAATCTTTTAAAGATTTACAACGACGTCAGAAATTATTTTTAGATTTAAAACTAATTTCTATTCAATTTGAAGGAATCAATAATATTTTTTCTTCTTTTATTTGATCAAAAAAATAAAATAAATTTAATTTATTAAATAATTTAAATATTTTATTTTTTATTATTTCTGATGAAATAATTTTAATTTATCAAAGAATAAAAATTAGAATAATAAAAATAAACAATTAATTTTTGCTTTTGATTTTTTTCAATTTATAATTTTTGAAATTATTTTACTAAAAAAAAACTTGACAATCAATAATTTTATGCATTTCACAATTATTTTATTAACAAAGCTAACTCTATCCATCTACGATTTAAAATAGTTTCATAAATTGATTTTGAATAATTTTATTAATTAATTCTTTCAAATTGGCTTCTAGATTCAGATCTAACTGTCCCATCAAACTGATAATATCTACCTGAATACTTCCAGCAGCAGTAACTTAAACTAAGGTCTTTAATAAGAAACCTATTTTCTCCACTTTAATTATAAATATATGTAGATTAATAAATAGATTTTTTTATTTTTCAAAATATTTTTATTAAAAAACAAACAAATTCGTTACCAAGATAAGCATGATTTATTATTTAGAATATCATTTATATCAAAAACACCATATCCTAAGGCTATATTTTTATCTTTACTAAAATCTAAACACCCTTATTTAGAACAAAATCCTGTAATCACTAGACCACTTAATTTTTAAGGTTATGCTGGATTATATTTATGAAGTTCTCCAACTCCAAATAATTAAAAATCTTGAGTATAAACTGAAGGAGAAATAACTTAGTTAGTCATACTTTTTACATCGCATAGAATAGCTTCATTATTTCGTATTCTATGCTAATATAAAGTAGACTAGGGCTTAAGTGGCTCTTTTTACCCTGATTTATAAAAGCTCATTACTGTTATTAATGGATCTAAGCTAAGATTTTCGCAAATCTATATTTGTAATTCTTTGATGAAAGAATGAACAGTAAGTCCTTTTAGTATAACAGTTTTTTACAATTTAGGTATTTTAACAACTACATCAGTATTCCAATCATAAACTTTTTTCATTTTGAAAATATTTTTAGTAAATGCTCAGTATTAAATGAGTAATTTTAATTCTATTTCAATTTTTTGCTCTTTTATTTGCTAGCTTTGAAAAAATTCTTTTGAATTTCAAAAAATATAATATTAAATTGTAGTTAAAAAAAATAGAGCTTCTATACATTGTTTTTAAAAATGTAATTTACTGAATAAAAATTTAAAGAAATTAAATACTTAAAATGATATTTTCTTTAGTAAGCAAAAAAAAAATAAATCAATTACAAAATTTGCAAAAAAGTTTTATGCTAGAATATTTTCGATTTAAATCTTATAAAAAAGAAATTTAGAAAAAAATTTAATAGAATTTGCATATCTTTATTATATTAATTACAAAATAAATAGCAAACTAACTAGCCAGCTAGATGATATATTTTTAATAATTAATTTTGTTTTAAAGACTAACTAAATCAGATATAAAATATAAGTAGAAAAAAAAGAAATAGCTAAGATTTAATAATAATAAATGACCAAACTAGAATAAGAAAAATATCTAATTGATTAAAATGTAGTAAAGCAATAAGAGGAAATATCAATATAAATTTATAATTTGCAAAGCAAGGTTTTGAATATTTATTTCTTAATACTATTTTAATTTATTATGAAATTAAAAAGAGCGCTGCTTTGGGATAGCAAAGAGAGTCAAACAAGCAAACACAATCTTTGTTTACTACAAATAAGTTGAAAGATGGTAAATAAATCATTTTATTAGTTTGATAATATAAAGATAAATAGCTAAATTTTATTTAATATAGAAAAAAAAATATTCTACTTAGCATCTAATAATTTTATAAAAATGAAAAAAGAAGAAGCTTTTAAAATTTTAGAAAAAGGTAAAATTATTAAAGTTACTTCAAATTTAATGATAAAAAAATAATTTTATTAAATAGATTAATCTAAAATATTGCATGAGAAGAAAAAGATTGATTAATAAATAAAAGATCTTCTATAAAAGTTGTCTAAAATGAAACCTTATATTGAGTTATTAGATTTTGAAATCTAGGAAATGTTAATAGAATATGTAAAAGACAATGAAGATATGGATGAGGATTGAATTTCTAAGTTCAAATTATAAAATTGGTCTTCTTAAAAAATATTTTTTTTTTAAATGATGTTATTTTCTCATAAAAATTTATCTTCAAATATCAATAATAAATTAAAACTCAAATTAATTTAAACTCTTTTAATTTATAAACAAATTTAGTTAATTAATTTATTAATTTATTTAAAGTTTAATTTATAAATTAACACAAATTTAGTTAATTAATTTATTTATTTAAAATTTAATTTAAAAAAAATTATTATATTTTATTAATTACAATTGATAAAAGCATTATAAAAAACAATTCATAAATATTATTTTTTATTAATTGAAATAAAAAGAAATAATAATTTTTGATTTTTATAAATAAATAAATAACAATGAACAATATTTCAGTTTTGTTGGTTATTTTTAATTATTAACATAGTTAATTAACGAATTAAAACATTTAAAATTTTTATTGAGAGTTTATTAATTGGAATTAATTAGTTTTAAAACTATATTTAAATGCAATTTATTAACAAAAATAATTAATTACAAATAAAGAATTAATTTAGTAGTATTCTTATTTTTTTCAAAAAGGTTCATTCATATAATTAATACTTTTACTATAAAAATTGTTAAAATCAACTTCCTAAAATTTTAGTTTTTTTGAATTTTTTGAATAGGTTGAATAATAGTCGAGCGAGTTTTAAGATAGATAGATAGATAATTATTTAAATTTTTATATTTTGTTAAGTGTTTGTTGTTGGTTATTTTATATACATTTGAGTTTATTTAGTATGTTCTATAATATTTTTAGTATTAATTGTAAACCTTTTTAATTAATTAAAAAATATAATTTTTTTAAATAGATAGATAAATAAATAAATAAACTCATTTACTTTCTTTGATTTTAATTAATTATGTTAGGTATAATTTCAATATGCTACTTTGTTGTACATGAATTTGCAAAGGTCTTGGCTTACAGGAATATTTTTTCCTTCTTCATCAGGAATCAGCTCTTCTTCAACTTATCTATTTTATCTTTACGATTATGAAAATTAAGAAAATGAAGTCTAGTTTGGAGGGAAAAAAGTTGGAGTCTTTTGTATAATATCATTAATCTATTAAATTTATATCTCTTTCGAACTCTAAAATTTTATCAAACCTATATCTTCTGGCAAAGGGCTAGACTCTCTGGAAGTAAGGCCTTCATCACTCTAGTATTTATCTCCTTATATGATTATTATCTTTTCTGACCGAGTCATATTTTTTCTTTGCTATTTTTTTCTATGGTTTACTTCGTAAAGTTCACAGTCTTTGCTACTATCAATGCAATCTCTTTCAAATTGATCTTTGCTCTCTTCATCATTGTATTTTTCATCTTTTTAAATTTCTTGGCTGTTATCTAAGTCTTCATTTGAAGATATTTCCACAAAGTTTTTTAACAAAATAGTTTCTCCTAATTAAATCACATTTTTAAATAAATTTCTTCTTTTTAAATTTATTAAAAGAGTTAATTACTTCTTTTTTTACTCTTTGTTGTTTACTTTCTTTCTCTAAACTCTCTTTGCTAAAATTAACTATCTTCATCTTCACTAAGTTAATTTAAACTTTCTTTTTTTAATTTAAAATAATTAATTTATAAACTCAAGTAAAAATTTAAATGAACTACCATCTTATTTTATAAATAAAAGACTTCTTTTAGTTTTTCTCTATGCATAATTTCTTATCTAACTATCTGCATCATCTTCTTATTCAATAAATTGCAAACTTGGTTTACTAATTTAGCATATTTGTTTAATTTCTATTTCAACAAAAGAAGAAAAATTAATTAATTACCTTATTTATTCAATTGAAACGTTGGTTTTATTTTAATTTTTTTAAAAATTTTCTTTAAAAAATTGAATAATTTCTTCATATAATTGATTATTTCTCATATCATTATGATCTCCACTTACGTTAAAATACTTTTTTCTTCCTTTATAAACCTTTTTATTGTTAAACAAATTTGAAATATAATATGAATCCAAAAAGAGTTAATGTTTACTTATACTATATCATCAGAATGCTACTTATTTATAATTTTATCATTTACAGCATGAATAAAAATAGCACTAATACGTGATTTTTGTGCAGAAAGAATTGGTTGCACAGATCTAATTAGTAAAAATAATCATCATTCAATCAATTTTTTATTGTTATAAAAATATTTATTTACTCAATTGATAAATTTGCTTCTTCTTATACATATTTAGATACTTTTTCATATAAAATATCTCCAAATATATTTGTTATAATTTTAAATTTATCCATAAAGTCCTGAATCAGAGATTTTAATGAACGAAAAGGGGAATCTAAGCAAAGAGAGCTAATATCTTGATCTAATTCAGTATACAATAAAGCAGATGCAGCTCCCATAGATCTTCCCCACAGTCCAATTCTATTTAACATATGTCATATAAAATTGAATTTTATTTTTAATAAAATATTTAAAAATATTACTATCCAATATAATTGAATGTTCTTATATGATTTACTACTACCTGAATATCGAATTTCTCATAGTGACCTAAACTAACGTATTTGCCTTCAGAGTTACCACAACTTTTTTTTGCAATAATTATTTATACTTAAAAATATAAAGCACTTTTTTAAAATATGAGTAAGAAAGTAATTTGTGTAGTTATTTACCCTGAAAAATCAAATGACACAGCTATAAATCCACTTTGTAGTATAAAATCTAAGCATTCAAATATTGAGCATCTATTTCCTGAATTTCCATGACAAAAAACAATGCAATCATATTCCTTATTCATAATAAATTTAAAATAATTCAGTAATAATCTATTTAAATGAGTTTAGCCATATAAGTAAGAAGTTAGTTACTTTATTTTCTTATCTTGGTGATGGCTCAAAGATACTGCATTTTATAGTTAGCCCTCTCTCATTTTTTAACTTTAATAGATTTTATAAAATATTTTTTGTAAAAGCTGAATTGTTATGATGGAATAGTTTACATTGAAATCATTCCTAATAAACTCACTATTTCCGATTGTAAACTCTTTATCTCCTAAATCTTTATCTTAATAAGTTGATCTAAATATTTAAATAATTATGATTAACTTCATTTATTCTGTATTTAATCCTACCTTTGCGGCCTAATTAAATAGTTGGCCAACTTTCTAATCATATTAAATATGCTATTTGGATACTTTTTAGCTATTCGAAAAAGCAATTAACGCTAATTCTAATACTAATAACTAATTAATTAATTGATTGCTTAATAAAAAAATTATGATATTATTTTGTGATAAAATTAATCTCTTAGAATCAATAAATAAATAGTTATTTCATCAAAATATTAAAAAAAACATATTTTAGGTAATAGTGATTTTTAAAATTTTTGCAGTAATTTATTAAATCATTATCTAATTTATATTTTATGGTAATTATTAGTTTGACTCATATAAAAATTACCTATTTATATACATATATTTACTGAGCAAAATCTACATGAAAATATTTAAAGATAAATAAATAATCAAAAGCAAAAATAAAATTAAAAAGAACTTTTCTAAATGCTTTTTTATGTCAAAAAATGTTTTAAATTTATTGAAAATTAAAAATGCAAAACAATTATTTTTAAAAAAGTTGAGAATTTGATTTAAAATGTTCAAATTAATGAATTTTATATTAAATCTAATTATATATTGAAATATTAATATAAAGACTACTTAACTAATTTCAGCTAATAATTAGTAGACTCAAAATTATTTTAAAATTTTCACTGAATGAATTGATAGTGGTTTATAATCAATGCACAAAAATATTTACAATTATGAAATTTTAACTTTTCCTATACAAAATAAATGTTTGGATATTGTTTGTGCTCAAAAAATTTAATTAATGTAAAATTGAAAAACTTAATTATAAACTGTTTAATATTTAACGAATTAAATCAAAATACAGAGAGTTAAATAAATAAATAATAGAATATTTTTTAATTTTAATATCACTGTTATATAAATAAATATAAACACTTCCTTTCGCGTGTGATCATAAAAATTATTAAATGAACAACAGAAATAGTTTTTATTCTAACCATTCTTTAAAACTTAGACCTCAACAATTACATCGTTTGAAAGAATTGTTATTCCCTAAAAAAATTAATGAAAATGTTCCTTTGTAAATAAATTAAAATGAAATGAGAATAGAAATTAAAGTAAATATTTTATATTTTCCATAAATATTTAAATTAATTCTAATTTAGTTGCTAAGTAAAGAATTGGCAAAGATATTAGAATCTAGTTAAGAAATTATTGAAGAAGAATTGAAGTAAATCGTGGTTAGAAAAAGTGTAAGATTATTTAATTATGCTACAAAATTTTGTTTTGAATAACAAATAATTCTATCCAAAAAGATAACTTTTGAGGAGTTCAAAAACTTTTAAGAAGAATTTATAGCTCAATTGTATAATAACCCAAGCCATCCACTAGATATGCAAGTATCTCAATTGAATGAAATAAGAAAAGATTTTGAAGAAGCTGCTTTAAGAGCAAAAGATAAAAATTCTTCAAATGAAGGAATTCCTATTGATGTAATACCTAAATTATATATAATTTTACCTGTTTTGAAATATTAAAATATTTAAATAAGGGATTTAGTCAGATTTTAGCTAGAAAAATGAATTTAGATCCAAGCAGAATTCAAAAATTTTTATAGAAGTCAGCTTTCTTTAACTAGGTAAACAAATTATATATCATATAAATATATACAATATTTAGTAGATATTTCTTTGTTTCAAAATGTTTACACTAAAATCTATTAAACAAATAAACAGATTACATGGAACGAGTTTTAATCAATGTTGGATAAAGAAAGTAGAATCAGAGAGGAGCTCTTAGATTGGTTTATGCATAAAGAATCTCCTGATAGTTTACATGACTAAAACGAGTACAGTTTAGTAGAAAAGAATGAATACGATTTAAAACCTAAAGAAAGAACTTCAGAAAGAATATTTTTAATTGAATATTTTGTTGAAATGAAAGTTGATAAAAGAAATTACTTTTTAGTCATATTTGATGAGTGTACAATAGCAATTTACAATGGAGATAATTTTTAGAGTGCCTTAGAATTTGTTATTCCGTAGGCAACTTTAAAGGAAATTGATAAATAAATGTAGGAAGATGTTAAAGATTATGAGAAATAGCAAAAAGAATTCAACTATAAAATGAAAGGCCAAAGCAATTTTAACAATAGGAATTTGTAGACTGATAATTGTAATTTTTTAATTTAAACTTTTATATATAAGATGTTTATTTTTTCCTTTTAAATAAAAAGAAGCAACAAGATTAACAGGTAGGGATCATCACAGTAATTTCAACAACTCTTACTATAATATACCAGTAAGCTAAGCTAAAAGCACAAAATATTAACATTCAGATTTTATGTAAACTTAAGATGATCACAAAGTAATAAAAACAAATCATTCTGAAAGTTCAAATTAAAATTATAGGTTGAACTCTTAAAAAGCCTAAAAAAGAGGTATTTAGTTTTTTTGATACTTTTGTTTTTTAAATATCTATTGTTTATAATCCAATAAGCCTCTTCATCGAATAGAAATAACAAATAAATCATATCTAAAATGTATGCTCATAATAATATTAATTCAACAGTAATTTAAGAAGATTCAAGATCAAATTTAAATTGGTCTTTTTTAGACAAACAAAATTGCACAAATAAAAATACGAGTTTAAATGAGTCGATTTACTTGACTACGAACAAAAAGTAATAGATAAAATAAAATAATAAATTAAGAAATGCAACTAGCTTTCAAATTACTAAGTAAGATAGAAGCAAGTCTATGAATTAATCAATTTTTACTATGAACTCTTCCTTGATTGGGAATAAATATGAAGGAGAAAAAAGGAACTTTTAAAATTAAAGTAGCTTTATGTATGACTCTAGGAACGATTAGTCATATATGTATTCCACCAATTATAATTCACTACTTAAAGGAGAATTTAAAAGAACCTCAAGTGGAATCTAGCAATAGCATAGAAGAATTAATTAATCATCTAACAATAGAATACATGACAGTACCCTTAGTATACATTCTACATCAAACAATCCAAAAGCTAAAATATTCAAAGACTCAAATATTTTGCAAGGTGGATACTTGCAAAGTACTTCTAATGATAAATATAAGGTAAACTATATATTTAAATATCTTTATTTTGAGCGATAAATATTTAAAAGAGAGAAGATAGGAGAGAAGGATCAATCAATAAGAATAACTTATTCCTTGATGAAAACCTTTACTAAATGGAAGAAGACCCAGATTTTCATTTGATAATTAAGATCTATCTGACTTCTGACATAAAAGATGAAGATGATAAAAAAAGACCTTTAAGCATAGAATAATTTTATGAAGTATATAAAAAAGATCCATATAAATACCAATACATTAATGGTTAAATTCTAACTCCGAAATCAGAAATTAACTCAAGTAACACCTTAACAATTAATTTTAATGAAAAAGAATTTATTTGTTTACGTTTATTTAGAAACTATGTCAAAAGAATAAGAAGAATACATTAGTAAAGACAATGAAACAAAAGAAATTATCAGAAAATTATGGAAAAAATTTCACTAATTACCTAGAGAATTTTCATTGGGATATGCTAAAGCTGTGAATGAAATTATTTAAGAAAAAAATGTTAAATATATTAATTTGGAAAATTTAAAAATGTTCTTCAAGAAAACCTTTTAAGTCAATACTTCTGTTCCTAGCTCTAATAAAAATTAATATGCTTATTTAAGTAAAACTCCTTTAAATTAAAAGAAAAGGGTTAATTCTAACTGGAGATCAGAATAAGGAAGAAAATATTTGCAAGGTATATATTTTAGCTTTAATATAATGCTTATTAACAATTTAAATTTAAATAGATATTAAAGACATAGATTCACATATCAATATCAATCCCTGGGACAGTGAGTACAGGAAGAAACCTGAGCATTAGATGCCAGTTTTTCTAAAAGAAATTTAATAATAAGTAGACTAAAAAATAGTAGAGAAGTAAATTGAAAAAATGAAAAATGGAAACAAAAGATAAAACTATCAAACTGAATATTAAGATGAGGTTGGAAACTAAGAATATAATTAAGAAGGTAACGTTTCAAGTGAACAGACAATGAAAAACAGAAGCAACAGGTTGAAAACATTTTCAATCGAGTTTCTTTCTGATTTAAGCCTTTTAGCTATGGGCACAATTAATAGACAGCTACAAATGTACTTTGCTTACCATGAAAAGAATGTTATCTAAATGAAAAAAGTCTTTTCACATTAGTTCAAGGATTGTATAATATGTATTTAGTTTAGATTAAATGTTGTCACTAAAAGATGGAATGTTGCTTTACTCTTTGAAAACAATATCTTCGAAGTTTATGAGTTCTCATTCAATGTGAGAGAATAAAAAATTACTCCGTTTTAAAAGTATTTTTACAAGCATGAGTTTAAAATAGAAATAAACAAAATGTCTATGTTTAGCGAATTTGGATTTGTATTGACATCATATAACGGAGAATTTTTTATCTTCTCTGATCACTTGACAACTAAAAACTCTTCAGATGAAGTGAAAAGTTTACCTTAATATTACATTGATTAAGAAAATAAATTATAAGAGAATGGTATAGCGTTGAGTATTACTGCTATGGCATGCTGTGAGCCTTATTAAGTTATAATATTTGGAACATCTAAGGGAAAAATAGCTTTTTATGAAATTAAGACAAGAGGTAAAGCATGAATAAATAATAAAAGATTAAAAATGTTTTTTATTAATTAATTAATTAGAATTTTTGGGTATTAACCAAGCAGGTGATGATATTATACTGAATTTACACGTTTATAAACCATAAAATTAAGTTATTTCAATATGTAAGAGTACTCATATAACTGTATGGGATGTAGCTAAAAGAACTTAAATATAAAATTTAAGAGGTATTGATGATAGATTAGATATAGGAAATGCTAAAATTACAGCTTCTCATTTCACATATGAGTATAATTAGCTATTCGTAATGGCTGATACACTAAAAGTTTGGGAAATGTAAGTTAATAAAAATATTTTATTTAAAGAGAGAAAGATGCAGCAACTATACGAATGGAGAAAGAAAGATATTGAAAAGCAAGATAGTAATTATTTAATTATGCAAATAATTTATTTTTTATTATTTTAACTACTCTGTAAATAAATAGATTATTTAAAGCTTGAAGGAGGGAAAGCTAGTCAAGTATAAACACCAGAAAAGAAAAAGCTACTTGTTTTAAAAAAAACATCTTCCATTAAGAAGCAATTCGATTTTAAAAATTAACCTCTTTACATACAAAAAGATGTAGTTTTAATCAAATAATCAATCATAACAAAAGGAGTATTAATTACCTGGGATTCAGATAATGAAATTAAAATTATGTGCACTAAAAAATACAAACTTAAATATTCTTTTATGCTATCAGCACCTGAAGATGACAAGATTATGTATCTTGATATCTTAGATGATAAAATTTTGGCAATGTGTACTGAAAAAGGTGATATTTACATTAAAAACTTATACACAGAAGATCTTTGCTAGAAAATCAGCGAATACGAAGGATATCCCTTGAAATTAAACATGTTAATTTTCCTCCCATAAGATTGTTAAATGTTTTTAGCAACTTCTTCATTAGAGGGGAAGGTCATGTTTTTTAATTCATACTTAAAAAAGAAGACATCAACAAAATATATTACAATAAATGTAAGTACTTTGACTTATTTTAAATAATTTAAATAAAATTATAAAAAAAGGCACACAATAAAGATGTAATTACAATGGTGACAAACAATAACACTACTATGGTAAGTGCAGGTGTTGATAATATGATTAATATTTATTCTTTAAGGTCTTGCAGCAGTATATAAAAAGTAAATTAATAAAAAAATGTTTACTCTTTATTAAATATGTTAATATATTTTTCAGGTAGATTTCACTGCATTAGCAAGTTAACAATATATTTATTAGCTTTGCATGTCTAAAGAAAAGAATAAGGAAAGAGAAAAAAATTTAGTATTAGTTATTCTAGAAAGAGGATAAGTATATGAATTAAATTGTAATGATTTTACGGCTGTTTCAACTTTAAAAACCTCTGTTGGAATGCAACCAAGATGCGAATTAGATAGTTAAAATAGACAATTAATAGTTGTAGACGATGATTTAAACTTAAAAATCTACGAAAAGCAAACAATTGAATAACTTTTATCAAAACATTTATCAATTAACTTTAGTTAGAGTCCTACTAGATTTACTCCTGGGGATTATCATAATATTCCAGCTCTATTTAATAAAAATAATAAAAATTACAGTAAACCATTTTTATAAGAGAATGAAAAATGGAATAATTAACCATCACTCGTATACAGCCTGAAATCATTTCCATTATTTGTAAATAATTTTAATATCAAAATCAAAAATAAATATTCATCAATATACTAAATAGGCTAAATGTAAAGATCCAGAGCTATAATGTATTAAAATACTTTTTGATGAAAGTTCTTAGTAGTATTTCATATTCTTAAATTAAATAGCTGCTATTTTAATCAGTGCTATAAATAAAGTAACTGTTTTTTTCTTTTAATTTTTATTAATTTCAAAAACACTTTAATTAATTAGGATTACAAGCTAAGATACTATTTCTACTCCTCTGGAGAACTAAGCGAGTACTAAAGAATTACTAAAAATGAGGAGTCCAATTAAAATATAGATTCCTAATCAAATAGTAACTATTCTATGAATCTCATTTGAGTTTCAAAATTACGTTTATATTGATTAATATTGTAAATAATTATCCAAAAAATTTTAAATAAAATGTATATATTTTTGTTTCTTTGTTTCTTTGTTTTTTTCTTTTGAGTTTTATATGATATGAATATTTATTTACTATTACCACATAGTTATTTATTTTTTTTATAAATCCAATCATTCAAAAAATAAATTTTATAATCAGAGGGAGGTGTATTTGTAATAATTGGTATCAAAAATGAATGAAAATTATTATTTTAACTTATTTTTAAATAGGATTAAAAATTTGCTACAAAATTTGAGATTAGTTAAGATTTGTATTTGCCATAAATATAGAAAAAGAAAAATAATAATAAATATTTAAATTCTGAAAAAGGATTTCAAATTATTTAATGCCATTTGACATTTATTTATAATATTATTAATATTCAAGAAAAAGAACGAACATATTTATATTTAAAAATATTTATTGATTGATACTTATAATTTTCCTTTCACATAAATTTGAAATAAGTAAAATTCTACTAATGAGCACTTATATTTTATTCAAAATTTATTATTTTTTTGTTAGTACATATATGCTTCTAACTCATCTTCTTCAGCTGAGAATTCCTCATCTCCGCTGAACATGTCTTCTTCATTAATTTGTTATTTCTGACTTTCCTTTAACTAAATTGGTTTTTCTTCTTATTTATTTTAATTTTCATCTTCTAAGAAAATTTTTTCTTATTAATTATTTTATCCATTTTCAGGATTACTAAAAGAAGCAGTTTAAAATAGTTAATCAGATTTCTAATCACTTACTGATAATCCCTCATGACTATTAAGAATTTACTAGCTTTAAGGTTAAACCTATTTATTTAAATTAATATATTGATATGATTATTTGTAAAAAGGAATAAATAAATTACCTATTAAACACATGTATTCATTTTAGGTATCGAAAAATTATTTTAACTTAATTTTTGATATGTTTATTATTTTTTACGAGCTACATTTTTTAATTGAGCATTCTAATTAGTAAACATCTACTAATTATCATAACTAACTTGTTCGTTTGTTGTCACATAATCTGCCCATTATCTATTAAAATGTCTTGCTTATTAGTAGTTGTTATTTTGAATCAATTAAGCTGTGTGAGTGGCTACTCTTGTATTAATTACTTAGTAATTAAGATTCTTTTCAGCTACTTTTTTGTCAAAAGTAATTTCTTAGTTTTTTGTTAGAACTCTAATCATTTTATGTCCCTGCAAGTTATAGTACAATGTTTAGCACTAAAATGGTAATTCTTTTATGTTTTCTGTGTTATCCTCTAATTTTTGTTAAATTACTTCTTCGTCAGTTTTATTAGTATATTCAAAGGTAGCCAAAGTTTTTTTAGTTGCATTTCCTACAAATTTTACACATTTAGATCCGTTTTCAGTAACTTTATCTACATCTGGATCAGTATTTCTGAATTTCATGAGATTATTTAAGTAAATAGTCATTTCTGCTTTAAGGGCGACAACTTCATCTTACAAAATATTAGCGAAATCTTTATGCAAATTGTCAGGATCGACACGCATGACATTACCTCCTGTTTTATCAGCAATACTTCCTAAAATATCTAACTTGCAACCTTCTCCTTTGATAGAAATTATGTTAAAGATAGAATCATTTTAAGACGCCTTGAGCTTGACATCTTCATAAAATTCTATGTAATTAGTCTAATCTTCAAATGATCCTACTCCCACATTAGCTAAACCATCAGTGCAGACAATGATTTATGAGCCTTTCTTTTATTGAGAAAGAACACCTAAAGCAGCTACAATAGCAGGACCTAGTGCAGTTTATCCTTTTTCTTTAATAGAATCAAAAATTTCAATCAAACGATTTTTTGATTGCTTAACTGGTAGATTAAACAACCTTTAGCTATTTTCTGCAGCAACTTAGTAGATTTCTTCTGTTCTATACAACTTATCACCTGTTATTACAACAGGTTCTGCAAATCCACTTCCATAAATGGTAACTTCATTGTTGAAAATAATTAATCCTATTTTTTTATTTGGCTGATTTTCTGCTAAATCTTCCATCTGCTACTAAATGGCAGCTAATACGCACTACTTACGACTAACGAAATTTTACTATTATTGCATTTGAGTGTATTGATAGATATCCTCTTCATCCATAAATTATTTCAGCATTTCAAACTCTTCTGAGCTAACCATTGTGGAATGTTTAAATGTGTTTGTATCTTTATTTTTAATAGGTGCAGTAACTGACATACTTCCACTAACATCAATTACAAAGACTATTGTATTCTCTTCTTCAAAGTTTTGAGCATTTTCTTATACATTCCTCATATTTACACTCTGAACCATGTAGATAACATCTTCTTGCTATGGTAATTCTTCTCGTTCTATATTAATCACATTCTTTGTTTTACAGAATTCACAATTCCAAATCATATTTCCATTTTCTTCCAATTCTTCCTTTATTTGTTGTTATTCCTACTTATTATCTTTGTTTTCTTCTTCTTCTATCTCTACTTTTTCACCCTCTTCTTTTTTTTTATTTTCCTAGGTTATTTTAGATTAATATAAAATATAGGAAAGAAATTGATTTAAACATTAATACCTCGAGTTTGGAGATCTTACTCAAAACAGCTTTGCATCCCTTGCAAAAAATAGGATCTCCCATTTGCAGATTTTATTCTGATTATTTGATGGAATCAAATGAAATAGTAACTATATTTGTATCCAAATTATCATCTTATGGTTAAAAAAATAAATTTTAACCGACATTCAACTAAACTCTTTCACTATTAGGTTGATGATTTTATTTCATCTTTGGCTTTAACCAGCATTATTTAGAACCAAATTACATTTTTACTTTTTTATAACTTAGAATCTATTTTTTTTCTATATTTTTTTCTTTTAGCTATTAATTTATATTAAATATTAATTATTTTTTATAAATAATATTAAAATATTGTCTGATCTAAAAAGCAATTAATTATTTCTGATGTAGTCGCAAAATTGACAGATTTTATTGGTTTTTGTCTAGATCAAAGATATAGTTGAATATAGAAGAATGCAAACAGACAAGTATCTTAATTTTGAATTAAAAATAAAAGTTTTTAGTTAGTGCTTAACTTTCATTTTTAATTAAAGGAGAAACCACTTTATTTTATTTGAATTATTAATAAAAATATTTTAAAAGAGTTAAAAAAATTTAATGAGTTAGAATATCACAAAAAGTAACTTTAAAAAAAATAAATTTGGCATTGCATAATCTCAAGATAAATACTTACTATCAACTAAATGCATAAATAAAATTAGCAATCAAATTAAACGAATATTTATTTATATTAAATAATAAAGCTAAATACGTTTACCATTAAATTAAACAAATAAAAAATTGTAAAATAAGTTTTAGTGATAAATTATTTTTTAAATTTATAAATTAGTAATCAATTAAGAGGTTTAAAAAAGAGATAAGAATTTTTAAATTACAGATATGATATAAAATTAAATGAGAAACTAATTAGTTGATATTTTAAAATCTGATCTACCTAATTATAGTGTATACTAAAGAAATTTGATTGGTATCCCAGATCCATATTCCTATAATCTTGAAAGTGGTATGTCCAACCATATAATTATCAATTAATAGGATTTTAACATAAATGAGGACTATAGATAATTCACAAAGAAAGTTTCACAAAATTAAAATTACACGCCAGTAATCGAATAAGAAAACAGACCAATTACTTACATTCAGTAAGATATTCCTAATTTTGATATAGAATACAAAGGTACGAGGAGCTTATTTAGCAATAAGTACAAAAAGTATCAAGATCCTATGTAAAAGGAACTTGATTTATTAAAGTAAAGCGATGTATAAATACTAAGATAATAAGTCACTTAAAGCTAACATAATTTAGGAACAGCGTTATCTTTTTCTACAGACAGACCCTTTAGCTCAAGTTTATAGTAATCAAGATAATTAAGTGAGTAGAGAACTCTCCTCCCTTCCTATCTAAATTCAAAATAAATATCTGTAAGAAATAATTATAATTAAAGTACTGACTTTAAAAGCTCTTATGAAGGTTATAGCAATAAATAAAATAGATAGCTAAATAATGATAGATTAGAAAAATAATATAAATATACAAATCAAAATGATAATTAGGTATATAAATCAATGGTATTTGAAAGTAGATATAATGTTTAACCAAATTATTCTCGCTTTTTACTAGAAAGTGGAGAAAGGAAGGTGTTTACTTCTGAAAAGAAATCACCATACACATCATAATTAATGTTTAATTAATATAGCTAGTAAGAAAATATAAATGAAGCCACAAATGTAAAAAATCCTTTAAACTTATAAACTCCATATTTTTAAAAGTTAAATACCACATAAATTACTGACAAACCATAAATCTTTACAAAATAAGTAAACACTTTTTATTGAATTAAATACGTTAGAGAAAGTCAAATGCTTAACATTTGAAAAATTGTTGATTACCTTAGTGTATAATGAGACAAATTAAACTAAAAATTACTATATTGATGAATTAATTAATATAAAATTGAAATATATTACAAATCTATTAACTCTTTAAATGTGTATAACCCAACCTTTATTTTTATTAATCACAAAAAAAAGTATTTTTATATAGCAAATGCTTAAATTATTTGATATTTATTTGATTATTATTTTGTAATTAAAAAAATTTTGTTAGAGTGAGTATTAATTTTTATTATTTTTGTAAAGTAAGAATTTTAAAAATGATCTATTTAATTTTTCTTGACTTAAAAAAATAAAATATATAATTCAAATTTTTTACCTTAAAATTTTTTTGACCAGTCTTTCTATTTAAAAATTTGAAAAATTATTTATAAGTAAAGAAGCAAGCAAAAAAATAAAAAATATAGGCTTTTTACAAATCTCATTTATTTAAATACTTTTTAATATTAAATTTATTTCAACCAACACAAATGTAAATTAATTTCATTCAATAAGAAAAAGGAAAAAATTAAAGATAAATATTGACTAACTAAATAATATTGTGTGTTTATTACATTTACATTTTTCTGAATTTATATATATTTAATACTTAGTTAGTAAATTACTAAGTTTGTCAGTATGACAGTTAATCATAGAGATAGACAGTCAACCAACCAAGCAACGAACCAACCAACCAACTAAACTTTCTCTGTTTTAAGTAGCTTAATGTTATTATTTTAATTGAAATAATTGAGTTTTATTATTCACATCGTAGACATGTATACGATATTTTTCACTTTTCTTCGCTATTTTCATTATTTTTTTATATTTAGTTTTAGTTAATTTATTCATTTTATGTTTAGGCTTGTTCTCCATTTTACTACTACACCTAATCTTCACTACTTTATAACTAATTTTATTCCTATTCACTTTATGTTTGAACTTTCTCTTCAGTAATTTATTTAAATAAAGATTTCTTTTCTATTTTAGATAAATTGCTTAAAATTGGACTATTCACTAGTGGTGAAGATTCCAAACTTTTATGCTATTCTCCGTTTTAAGATAAATTATTTGGTGATTACTTTTCATCTTTCTTGTCTTCATTGTTTTTATTTGTATTATTATTAGTGGATACTTTATCAATGCTATTTAATTTTTAAGATGGCTCTTAATTACTGCATTCTTTGTTGATTTGATCCCACTATTTGATATTATTTGACAAATTATTTGTTGATATTTGTAAGTCATCTCCTAAAAATTTATTAAGTAACTCCCAAAGAGGTTTAACAATAGCATTTATAAAACCGATTTCACTTTTTGCCAATATATCTCTTTTATCAAGATCTTTTAAATATGGAGTTTGTGGGATATTCTTTTCTGCTTCTTCTTTATACTATTTTTAATTTAAATAAAATGTTAAATCCAAATAAAACTTGTTAAACTCTTACTTAAGCTTGAAATTCTTGATTGACAAGTAGACTCCATTTTTTACTCAGCTCGAACTCCTATGCATTGCCATGGAAATCAGCTGCGTGGATCATCATATTTGTGATTAAATTTAAATCATTATCTGAATATGTAGTAACACTTTGACATTCTTACTCGTTTATTTGAAAATCATTTTTTAACTTCAACCCTTTGTTGCCAAACCTCAGCTCAAAGTCCTTTAATAGATCAAAATGCTACTTTATATCTGTAGCTAATATATTACTTATAACTATTTTTCTTATTTGCTAAACCTATTCTAAAGGTAGCTAAGTTAGAATATTTGCTTCCTTTTTCCTCAAAATTTTAAATGTAACAGCAATATGGTGTTATTCTAATACACTTTTATCATGGTAGCGAATAGCTAGCTTTGACATACTATTTACTTCAAAAAGATTCGTTCTTGCTGTATGAGAAACATCATGACATAGACCTTTTATTCAAAAGTACAAATATTCAATAAAAAGTGGAAAACTTTAAAAATAAAAAAAATTACCTGAAAAAATTAAGGCAAATTCATTAATTTCTTTTATGATTGTTTGTGCTACTGTCTAACAACAAAGCATGTAACATCCATGCATAACAGTGATACCATGATCAAAATTATGGAAAGGATTTCCTCTCTTATTATATCTTAATCTTATCTCTTAAATGAATTCACAAAATTAACTTATAGGAATTTTGTATTTTTCAAAATAGTTTCTTTTTTAGAAAATAGACCAAATTATCCTAACTTTTTCTTTCTAGTCTGCTTTAAATATGTCAAACTTGAATTGGTCAAGTAAAGTATCTTCTTGCTCTTTTTTAGTTAGATCTTGTGGTTAGGGCTTGCTTATATTTTAACTTGTTAGAAGCACATCAGAAATTCTATTTATGCTTTTTTTATTTGGAGAGTATAAAGTAAAATAATTAAACACTTATAAATAAATAAATAAATAAATAAATAAATAAATAAATAAATAAATAAATAAATAAATATATATACGTAGTTTGAGGATTAAATAAACGTGGCTAATTAGATCTATTTTAATTGCCATCTTGTTTTTGATTTTCATCTTCTTATATTTTTTGTAAATCTCTGTCTGGTAAATACTCTCTGACCCAAGAGTTTTTAACATCAGGATCTTTTAGTACCATCTTTTTTCAAAAATTTATTTTATGTAAATTTATATTAGCTTAAATGATTAATTAAAATGTTTACATCTTTAGACATTGCTGTTTTTGATGTCCTTGTAATAAATGAAAGCTTATGCATAGCCCTTTTAATTTTACTAACTTAAGGTAAATGTTTCTCCTTTAAATTTTGTGATGGCTATTATATCGATATTGTATTTAAAGTATGAAAATCTTCCTACTTTAAAAATATCTTGAAACCTCTTTTACCATCATTTTTACTTGAAGGATTTATTATAATTTCAACATGAGGATCTCCCTCACTTCTGATACTAAATTTTTCAGGATCATTACGTATTTCCTAAATGAGTGTTTTTACATGTTAGTTGTTTTAAAAAATATCTAAATAATTAAAATAAAAGGACGGGTCAACACTGTCACTGCTTTCAGATATTTTTATTTTTAGCTTTTCACTTTTTTATAGCAAATATGATTAAATGAATATCTCTATTTTATACGAAAATGATTATTTACATAGTTGCAGGGTTTAAAGTTTAGGATATGAATATTAAATCTCCTTTATTATTAAAATCCATAAGCACTATCTCTCCATTCCTCAGAAAGTACATGTAATTAGTGAATTTGCTTAGCAGAGTTTTTATTTTCTAGTGATGGTCACTATATATAGCTGTCATTACCTATATTTTGATATGTTCAGTATAATTTAATATAAAATTAAAATTAAATATATTTATGAACCTTTTCAAATATTTGGAGTTATAATAGTTTGCTATAATGAGCTTTAGTAAGATAGCATTTAAGTGTAATTTTAGCTATAGGTATAGATATTTCATACTTACAAGAATCTTCTTACTGAACTTAGTTATTCTAATTAACCTATTTTAAAAAACTATTAAATTTCTTTATAAAAGTTTGAATGATTCTTACCTATTGCAGTTGTTCCCATCCAAAAATAATTTACCTAATTTTTAATTTGAAAATATAATAAGAGCATTTACATACATGAATATATAATTTAAATATACGCTGGTATGTCAAAATATTTTTGAAAGCAAATTCTAATATCTTCAATGAGTATGAGTTCTGATTTTTTAATATATTCTTCAATCAACTTAACGAGTTTGTGCAAATATTTTTTTCTTTTAATAAGAATTGAAATTTAAGGGTTAATTTTTAACCTTTGTCAATTAATGTTACTGCAAATAATCTTTATCTCTAACAAAGATGCAAAGTAGAGAGATGATCTAATCTTTAAATAAATTATTAAAACTATTATCAAAGTTATTCCTATTTTATAAATACAATTAAAATTTTTTATTTCTAAAATCATTTAATAAACTATAAATAAGTACTCCAAAATCGAGAAAAAAGAATCGCCTTTCTAGTGGGGATTAACGTGGAAAACTAAAATGTAAGCATCATCATCCTACGATTTTAATATCATAAGAGATTCCTTATTTTTTTCGAAGCAAAACAAATTTTCTAAATCTTTTTTCTGTGCATCATTTAACAAAAAAACCTTATTTGGCACATATTAATTAAATTATTTTTTAAGCTCCTCTTCATCTTTTGTGTCCTGTAATATTAATAATATGTTGAAAGCATCAATTATAAATATTTCATGAAATTAAAAATAGGAGAATTTACGCCTGTAAATTAGATAATATTCTTTGATTAAAATGTGTTTATCATGTTATTATGAATTTTTGCCACCTCAAACTCACAAATTCCAAATAAATTTTTTAGAATTTCTTTAGTGTACCTTACAATTTAATACATTTCACAATTTATTATAGAGGCTTTTAGAAGTGACTTTTAGGAAGCAAATATTTTTTCTTTAATTATATTTTTTTTTTGAGTAAGAAGTTGAGTTATTTCTTATTCTGCCTGATTATAATCGCTCCTAATTTTTGTAAATAACTATTAAATTTTTATTATAAATTGTGGTATCTACTTTTCTGGGCTAAGAAGATGTATGAGTAGATCTTCACATAAGAAATCAAAGTCTTCACTATATTTTTGATTCGATTGCTTCTCGCTAATACTAGAGTTCTTTAATTTAATAAAACCAAAATAATTTATTTGAGTTAAAATTATTTGTTATTATTATTTAAAGATAAAATAAGAAAAATGGGCATAATAAACCAAAATATAATTCAAACAAAGATGCCCAGTAAATTTTTTCTTCTAAAATAATATGTTTTTAACATTTTTTAAAGCTAAAAATTATAGATTACATACATACCTTTTATTTTAAATCAAGAATAGATTTTAAATATTGCAATGCTTATTGCTTTTGCAAACTAAGAGTAGAAATAAACTTTTAACTATCAGAATTTTCGCTTTTATTTGAAAAAAAATGGCCAAAGCTTATATGATTAGATTTCTTTTCAGCCAAATTAGAAATGTTATTATTTTACTACTAACTTGTTCCATTTACTTCTTCTCCTTTTTTTAGAGGTACCTAAATATTAGTTTTTGATGGGCTTTCTTATGATTTTTCATTTTCTTCAGAGCTATTTAAATCATTTTATTTTTGGTTTTATTGAATAGACCGCGTATCCTGCTCTTTCAAAAAATCCAAAATCTTATTTTCGAATACTTCTATTTCTTGTTGCTGCTATTAATTTTCATTGAAAAAATCTTAAAGAATTCCTAAAATTTTGTCATTTCCACGCGTTGCTCCATCTGTAATAAAGTCCACTTCACTAAATGAAAGTAGCCTCTTTGCTTGCATATTTTTTAGAACTACAGACAAGCAATTTATTTAATCTGTCATATTATATAGGTTCTATTTAAGTTTTAAAAATGTATTCTATCTATCTTGCTTACTTTATTTATTATCTTATTTATTAAAGAACTATACTTTATTTTTACGTTTTAAATGTAAAAATTAAGAAATTTTATAAATCAATTAATGCTATACGAGTTACCTTATTTTTAATAATTTATTTAAAAGATGACTCATTCAGAATCACCAAATATAATAATACCGTTGATTTTTATTGTTTTATTTATCATTTTTTAATAATCAAAATCGCTTATAATAAATAATTGAATATGCTTAATTCAATACAAAATAAATGTTTTTATTTGAATCATAAAAAAATTATGATAATAAAAAGAGTTAAATAAATTATAAATAGCAATATTAAATTTTTATGATTATTTTATATAAAATTTATTTTAAAATTTAAATTCTTTGAATAACAAATAATTTTGATTACTAAATAATATTTTATAATTTTTGATTAAATATCAAATAATTCATAAAAAAATAAAATTAATATATTATAAATATTTACTAAAATTTAAAGAAATATAAAATGGGTGAAGTAAAGTTTAATTAATTTAATAATTTTTATCTTAGAAGTTAAATACAAATGTCCTTTCATCACCTCTTCTTTTCGTATCCTTTAAAAGTTAAAAATAGATAATTTAAGGTAGATTTTTCAGATTTAAGTTTCAGAAACTAATTAATTAATTTCCTAAAATATGAAGTTTTTTTCTTATCAAAATTTATATTCATAACATTTATTACATTCATAAAACAATTTGCACTTTACAGTTTTTTTTTACAAATGAAATAAATAAATTTTAAAAGTTTTTATTATATTTTATAAATGGAGCTTAAAATTATTCTTATTGATTGATACAGTTAAATCTTTAAATAAAAATTTTAGATGCTTTATTTTATACTATATACATAAATAATATAATATAGTTGATTTAAAAATATTATTTAATTTGATTTTTAATATTTTTTTAATTTATATTTTATTATTTTTTATTTTATATTTTTATTAGTTTTTGTTATTTATGTTTTTCATTTAAGACCGCAAGCTCTTTCGAATTTTCTACCTTCAGATCTAACATAAGGAGCTGAATGAGAACTTTTATAATATTTTAAATAATTTAAAATCAATAAATTTTAATAATAAGTAGTAATATGTAAATATATTACCCCTTTTGACCTGGAGCCTTTCCAAAATGTCTGTAAGCTTCTCTTTCCTTAGGACCTCTCAAAAGATGGCAGTTAGTACCAGTGGGTGCTTTAAGGGCAAGTTGGTCGAAGGTGAGAACATTTCCACCAGCAGCAAGAATTCTCTTTCTGGCAGTTTCAGTAAACTTAAAAGCACATACAGTCATTTTAGGAACTTCTAAGAGTCTTTCGTCATTAGTAACAGTAGCAGTAGAAACAATAATTTTATTTAAATCAGAAGCATTTCTAACAATTCTGCTCAAAGAAAGAGGGAATCTGTTTAATTTGGAGGTACTTAATCTCTTTAAAATAGTTTTGTTGAATTTAGAATCAGTTCTTCTTGATAAGAATTTGTAAAGCTTTAAAGAGTTATTTATAAACAAATATATTTATTATTATTTTATAAATACAAAAATCTTTAATTTAATTTAAAATAATATTTAAAATAAAATAATTGATTGATTGATTGATCAAAAAATCACAATATTTTTATATTCTGGGTAATCAACCAATTAATTAATTAATTAATTTATTAATTTATTAATTAATTTAGCAAGTAGATAATTAAAAATTGCTATTTTATTTTGTTATTTCTACTATTTGGTTTATGGTTTTCTACTAGATAATATATTAGTGTATTTTATAAAACTTTAATCATATTAGATAAAATGCTTTATGATTGATCTTTTATAATCGAAAATAACATTTTGTTTTTTTAAAACTTCAAAAATTTAGTTCTATTTTATATATTTGTTAACTTTTTTCATTAATATTTCATACAAAAGGTAAAGATAAGCCTACTACAGCTATTTAAAAATTTTTTTTGAAAATAATATCATAAACGCCATGTTTAAATATAGTCCTAAAATAATTGATACTTAAAATAATTTATGCTTAAGAATGAAGGCGATAGTTATTTATTTAACTTATAAAGAAAGATTATAAAAAATTACTTTAATTAAAAGCTTGTGATAGACATTGGTTGTTTTAGATTGTCTAACTACGGATCTTCTAACTATTCTGCCTTGCTTATATAAATCAATAGCCTAAGAAATTAAAAAAAAATAATTTTAAATTTCATTTGAATATGATTAGGTCTTTAAAAATATATACCATTTTCCTTTTGCTTGTATTCTTATTAAGTAATAAATCTTTAAAGTTTTTAATAAGTTTCTTATTTCAATTCTTAAGATTTGTAAATATAGTTTTATCTCTCAAACTTTTTTAATTTCTTTATCTAACTAAATACAAAAATAAATAAATAAACAAATACATTTGTTTGGCTCAAATACATACTGTTATTAATTCTTTTTAAATTAATATTTAAAAGTTGTCATGAGAGATATATATATATATATATAGTTTTTCAAAATTTTAATATTACTGATATACTAAATAATAATTTTATTTTTGTTTGTGAAAAAATTTTGCTTAAATAATTTTATTCCATACTTTGTGTTAATAAAACACGCTTATTACTTTTTTTGGTAAAAATAAAGAATGGCATTAATTAATTAATTATTTTAATTAAAAACTTAAGAAATATCTTCTTTTTATTTCAAATATTTTATACCAATCAGTAATATATAATTATTATAAAAGGTAGACATACGAATAATATTAGCACTTTTAGGTAGCTATAGCTGAAATATGTTAAAAAAGATTTTCAAATAAACAATTTAAATAAATTAGATTCCTAAATATTTCTTAGCTTCGCCAAAACCAAATTTTCCTATTGATAAAATTAGAAATTTCAACATTATTGCACATATTGATCATGGAAAATCCACTTTGGCTGATAGAATATTAGAAATGACTGGAACAATTGTAAAAGGTATATTTTGTTTATCATTAGACTAAAAAATAAACATGAATAAGTTTTAAATAAATCTTTAGCGGAAATTTTACATACTTGCTAAAAATGGATTTAGTGGAGAAAAGCAATATTTTTATTTGATTAATTGAAGAAATAGTAGAGATTGTACATAATATTAATGTGTTAAAAAATATTTAGGAGAGTAATACTTAGATAAGCTTTAGGTTGAGAAAGAGAGGGGTATTACAGTTAAGGCTCAAACAGCTGCAATGACTTATGAATATAAAGGCGAAAAGTATTTGTTAAATTTAATTGATACTCCTGGTCATGTTGACTTTCATTACGAAGTCTCTAGAAGTATGAGATCTTGTAGTGGTAATTCAAAGAATTTTCTTTTTGAAATGTTAAAAAATTTAAATAAAATAACTGATTTCATTTGAAAACTAGGATCTTTGCTACTTGTAGATGCATGTTAGGGTATTTAGGCTTAGACATTAAGCAACTATGAAAAAGCTAAAGATAACGGACTAAAAATTATTCCTGTTATTAATAAAATTGATATGCCAGCTGCTCATCCTGAAGAAGTCGCTGAAAATATGCAGTTATAATTTGATGTAGAAAAAGAAGATATTCATTTTATTAGTGCAAAGACTGGTGTTGGAGTAGATGGAGTTCTTAGGGCTGTAGTTGAAAAGCTTGATCCACCCAAAGCTGATATTAACAAGCCCTTCAAGGGATTCTTAATTGATAGTTGGTTCATCAAAGACTAAGGTGTTGTAATGCTTGTTTAAGTGAAAGATGGGTGTATAGCTAAAGGAGAATAAATCATGTCTTGTGCTTTTAAAAAAAGATATGATATTTTTGAAGTAATTTTAATACATATTTATTTATCAAAAACTAATAAAAATTTCTATAGGTAGGTATTTTAAATCCTGAAATGACACCATAAAACTCTTTAACTGCAGGACAAGTCGGCTATATTTTTACCAATATGAAAGCTGTTTCTGATGCAAGAGTTGGTGATACTTTCCATAAACCAGATGAAGAGGTAGAACCTGAATAAGGGTTCTAAGAAGCAAGACCTATGGTTTTTGCAGGTCTTTATCCAGATGATCCAGAGGATTATATGCAGTTGGAAAAGAGTATTTACAAGCTTGCTTTAACTGATCCAGCTGTTCATATTTATAAAGAAAGCAGTGCAGCGCTAGGTAACGGTTTCCGTTGTGGGTTTTTGGGGCTATTACATATGGATGTATTCAAATAAAGACTTGATGATGAATATAATTTAGACTGTTTTTTAACTACTCCCTCTGTACCTTATAGGGCAAAGCTCAGAAATTCATAAAAAGTATTACAAGCTGCTATTAATAATTTTCATTAATGTTAACATAAATAAATAATTAGATATTAGAAGTAGAAAATGCATTAATGGCTCCTGATGATGGACTTGTAGAACATTACGAAGAACCTTTGGCAGAAGCTACAATTTTATGTCCAAAAGAGTATGTATCTGCTGTGATGAATTTAGCAGATGAAAGAAGAGGAGAATAAAAAGAAATCAACATAGTAGATGAAAAAAGATTTAAATTGAAATATACTTTCCCACTAAGTGAGATTATTACTGACTTTTTTGATAAATTAAAATCGGCAACTTAAGGGTATGCATCTCTAGACTATTATCATTCTGGTTTTAGAGAGGCTAAGATTAAAAAATTAGTAATTCTATTAATGGGAGAACCTGTAGATTCTCTTTCATTTATGGTTCATGAGAGAAGAGCTCATGATTTTGGTAAGAACATTTGCAAAAAGTTAAAAGAAAAATTACCTGGATAACAATTTACTGTAGCTATTTAAGCAAAACTAGGATCAAAAATTATAGCAAGAGAGGAAATTCCTGCTTTAAGAAAAAATGTAACAGCTAAGTGCTATGGCGGTGATTATTCAAGAAAAAAGAAGCTTTTAGAAAGATAAAAAGAAGGTAAAAAAAATATGCGTTCTATCGGTAGAGTTTAAATCGGAAAAGACACATTTGTAGATATTTTAAAAAATTGAGTTTTTATTGTTTAATATAAAAAAAATATATATATAATTAAATACATACATAAATAATACGTCTACTTTTAACACATCTAAAATTAAAGTAATTAATTAGTTTATTATTTCTTTGTTAGTTATTTAGTAAAATATTTATTTAGTCAGTTGGTTATCGTAAAACATTTTTTTAATTGCATATTTTGTATTTCATATTAGTATTTCTAAAAAAGAAAAAAATATATTTTATATGTAAAGTAATTAAAAATTGTTAAGCAAATATCAGTAAATTATATAGAGATAAGAAGATATTTAGCAATTAATTTTTTTTGATCAAAGACATATCTTTATTTAGAAAGATTAATAAATAAAAATTTGAAATTATTAAAATCACTTTTATTAATCTTGAAATAGGCTGATATAAAAATTGAAATATATAAATATTTAATACATTTTTGATACTTATTATTTGTAAAGTATTGATATATATTGTTGTTAAGATATTGAAAGATATTTTTGCTAAAACATTTTTGGCTAATACATTTTTCACATTTTATTTAGTGACTTTTGGTTTACGAAATGAGATACTGTTTTTTTGCTGCTTAAGAATAGTTTTGAAGTAACAAATACATTTGCAAACATCATCTAGACAGTAGGTAATTTATTCATCTTACCTAGCTTACACTATTCTGAAGAGCAAACGTGACACTATTTCCCTTTTTTTTGAAGCAAAGTATGAAATGTTTATTTATGGAAATCCTCTAGCTTTTTGTATAGCATTTTTTTGTTAAGAATTTTAGCTTTTTGGCGATTTTGCTCATTTGTGAATTATGCTGTCAAATTTGACATCAAAGAAAATTCACTTTGGTAATCAGATAAATCATATTGACTCTTTGTTTCTTACTATTCTTGTTTTGGCTGGCTTTCACAAAACTTTTGAATGTTTTCTTTTGTTAGCGACATAATTCTAATATTTTAAATAGGCTTTTCTGATGCTTAAATTACTTTCTCGAATTGCTTAAAAATTTTTTTTTGATGAATTTGTATTATTATTAATATTAATTAATAATCTCTTAATTTTTCAAATCTATTAAACTCTTCAATACTATATATCAATATTCACTATTCTTTTAATTTATATTAATTACAACTTATAATTCTTATAATACCTTTAATTTTAATATAGAAAAATAATGTTGTCTTTGAGAGATGCTGATAAAAGCTCCACTGTAAGCTCAAGTTTAAAAATAAAAGTATTTTCATTTATGCATTCTTAAAATGATTAGATAAAAATGCTGGAATAAATAATTGATAATATTAGAATAGTTGAGAGTTTAAACAATTTTTATATAGAAAATTTGAGTAAATTAAATTTTGTATTTTCTAATTTTAACAATTCTTTTTTTATAATATTTGCTTTTTCATTCATTAAATTTTGATGCTGAAAATCAAAAAAGTAGAAAAATTGCATAGATAATGAAGAAAAAAAACAAATAAAAACTTAAAAAATGCAGATTATTAGTTATAAATGTGTTAATGAAGCTATTTTGTTGTAAGTAATAATCAGTGGATTCAAAATAATTTACAGTAAAAATTAATATCCTAAAGATTAAATATCCATATTATATTAGATAGATAGCATAAATAATTGTTATAAAGCTATTATGAATTACCGTTAGTAATCTTTTTATGTAAATTAATATGTGATTATTTTTCAATCAATTTTAATTATAAATTTTTCAAAAAGTACTTGATTTTCATTTTGCTTGATCTAATAAGAAAACCAATTACAAAAATTAAAGAAAATATTGATTGTATAGAGGTAAAAAAGAGTATAAAATGCAAGTGTACTAAGGAAGCGGGTAATAATTAATCCATATGAAACAGCCAATTTAGATATGAATTTTTTTAAAATTTAAGCTACAATTTAGAGACTTGTGTTAATGGTAAACTTAATCAGAATACATCAATGCACTTATCTACTAAAACTAAAGAAACCCTACCTTGCGAATATGATTTATAATTAAAAAACGAGGAGTAATTTAAGAGTAAAATTCAAAGTAAAAACTTAATTTTTTGTATATAGCAAAGATTTAAAAGAAATAGACTAACAACCAATGAGTTTATACGCTAAGTTATGCTAGTGCTTAAATATTTTTCAATCTTAAAAGAAGTAATTAAAATTGAGATATCCTCAATTCAGCTTTTTTGCTAGTTTATTCTGCTATTAAAATCAATTTTTTTATAATAGGAATATAGATAACTATATAATCTAAGAATTTGTTGAAGAAGGCATTGTTGATAGATAGCCAGTTAAAATACCTCCTCAAGAGTATGATTTAGTTGGGAAAAAAACATTAGTTTTAGACTTAGATGAAACTTTAATCACATCTAGTGTATTAGAATTTAAATCTGCAGACTTAAAAATAAAAGTAGCATTAAAATACTTAGCATTCTTAAAAATTATTTTACTTCCATCATTAATTTAATTGAAATTAATATTTTTTACATGAATGTTGTTTGGCTAAAATTTTTAGGTAAATCTTCCTAATGGAAGAGGAAAGAATGTTTGGGTAAAATTTCGTCCTGGAGTATAGAATTTCTTAAATGAGATGAATGAATTATATGAATTGATAATATTCACTTCAAGTATTAAGGAAGTAATATTTGTTTTTATTGCAAGTAAATATAATTGATTAAATTTTCTATATTATTAAAATAGTATGCTAATGCTGTGATAGATTTTTTAGATTGTGAAAGTCTTGTTAATGTAAGAATATTTAGAGAGAATTGCTCAATAGATAGCAATGGAAATCTATATAAAGACCTTTGCAAACTGAATAGAAATATAGGAGAAATAATAATCATAGATGTAAATTTAATTAATTAAAACCTAACTATAACTAATTAATTATAAATAAAATATTAGAATTAAGCTAGCTAATTTAAAAAAAATCCTGAGAATGGAATCCAAATCAAAGATTTTAAGATAGATAATAATAGCGATCAAGAATTGTTAAATCTGATTCCGTTTTTAAAATTTATGAGTAGTGTTAAAGATGTAAGAAATATTTAAGCATATATGAATGACTATTACAGTGGAAATGTAATAAATTATATTGATATTAATGGCATGTAATGCTAATTCTAAAGAGGTATTGCTGTTGAGGAAAGCAGACTTCAAACAGAAAAAACTGAAAGTAAAATTGATCCTATTGATTTAAAATTCAATGAAAACGAGTCCAGTAACTTGGGAGATACTATTAAACTGGATAGCAAAGAATACAAAAAGCAAGATAGTAATTCAATGATTAACCACTTTGAAGATGATATTGATGCTGCTATTAAAATTTAATAAAGTATGAACAAACATAATAATAAACTCTCTAATGATGAAGTAGCTAAACCCATCAAAAAATCTCCAGAAAAAAATTAACATAAAGAAAAGGAATCGCAATCAGAAAAGAAGCACATCTTTAAGAATATTCATAAAGTTGCTGCAAAAACAGTTTTTGATTTTACTTAGTTTAAATAGTCACTATTTAATAAATTAGGATCAATAAATGACCCAGAAAAAGAAAACATATAAGCAAATGTTAATCTACAAAATGTATTGTAGAGTCCTGTATACTCAAATCTCTAAGATGTAAGTTCTGAGTAATCTGCTCATTGCATCAGCAAAGAAGAAATAGAACATAATTAAAATAGCACAATTGACAACTCTGAACAATTCATCAAACGCCCTAAAAGAAAAATAATTCAACCCCATAAGAGAAGATGTGCATCTTAAGCTATTAAATTTATCGAGGTCAATATGAAGGAAGAAAACTTTAATTCACCAAATACTGCAAAAGAAGTTTGATAATCCATCCTTTTCTTTAAAAAAGAAGTACTTAAATATAATTTTGAATTTATAATTAAATGTTTATGCACTGCTCACTATAATAAGAGGCAACTATTTGAATCAAATGACTAACCCACATTTTGTGGAATTTAACTTACAAATAAATATACTTACTTCCTTACAATAATCACACACTAAACGAATAATTAATACAATCCCTTGTTTACTTTTTCCTAAATCAAAGATAAATTGTAAATACTAAAAATATATAATGTTTATATATATTGCATATTTTATGCTTCAAAATATCTAATTTTTATCCTTAAAAAATAATTTACCAAACAATAACAAATATATATTAAGAAGTAGCTCTTTTTTAAATTAATTGTAATTTTATATAAGCTTATTAAAGGTTAATTATCTGATTAAACTAAATTAAAAAATATATTCAAAGATTTTAAACAAAATAAATTATTAATATCCTAAATACTTCTCTTTAATTAACTAAATTAATTTAAAATATAATTTTTGAAACATTTTTGTAGTTTTTAAACTAAATTTAAGAATGTATTTAATTGTAAAAAAAAATTATTATCATTTTTATCAATTAAAATTTATACTTTGAATTTATGGGATGATGATGATGATCTATCTATTAAGAATCAAAAATCATGTTTGTTGTTTTTAAATTCCAGAAATGAATCAAAAGTTTTATCATTCAATCTTTTACAAATTTAAAGTAACTTGTTTAATATAAAAAATTATTTTAAGATTTAATTATTTTTTTAAAAATGATCCAATACTTATCACAAATTTTTGATTTATATATCGAGTTTTTATTATATTTTACTTAATTAATGTTAATAAAAAATAAACTAATTTAATATTATTAGTCAGTTATTAGTCTTAAATAAAGCTTTTTTGACTAATTGAGTAAAACATTTATCAGATAAAATCAATCAGTTAAAAAGTTTATTTATCTGAACAAAATTTATTGTTTTTTAAAAATAAGAATATTAAATGATATCACAAACATCTTTATAAAAATATTTATTTTAATTAAAATAATTATAACTTTAAGCAACAGATTATACAAAATTTAAAAACTCAATAAAATATAATTTTTTAAAATCATAAAATTTTAATTTATTTTACTAAATTTTAGATTTTACTTATTATCCTAAAACAATATGAAAAGCAAATACTTTATAATGAACATAATTTCAAGCATTAAAGATCAAACATCAAATTCATAATTGTGTAATTTACTTTTAATTTATTTATATAATTTGGTATGCGCATAATTATATAACTTTCATTTACATTTTTAATTTTCTTGAACAATAATTCTACTTTTACTAATAAAATAAATCGTTTTATAAGATCTTCATTAATTCACTAATTTTAATTTTCTTATTTGTACATTTCTTATATTCTTTTTGATTAATATCTCTCAAACTTTTTAATTATTAAATGGATTCCTTTTATTTAAGACTCTATACACTATCTAATGCATTATTATTCTTATTTGGGATAATCATTTAAATGAACATTTATACATTATTTGAAACATTATTTAGAAATATCTTTAATAGCATATGCCATGCAAACTATTTTGTCATGATCAAACTAGCTATTTACACTTTCAAATTCACCAAATGTATCTTTTTTCAAATAAAACATTTCCTTATATGTATTTAAGCTAATAGTGTCATCATAAAATTATTCAATTTTTTCTTTCCATTCTTTCTCAGTAGACATTTTATATTTCTTTTGTTTGTTAACTTTCTCTAGTATTCTTTAGTTTTCTTTAAGTTTAAATGGATATGATTTAGATATGTTTTAAGTGTCAATATATTTGTATTAAATTATCAGATCAAATGCATCAATAAATTAATGCAAAGTTATGCAAAATCTAAAAAAAAATTAATTAAACACTCCAAGAAGGATAATAATATTAAAAGGCTTATCATTAAAAATTAGCTAAATAAATAAAAACTTATTAATTTATTTTGTATATAGTTAGATTATATGGATAATCAAGACTCTAAAGTCGAATAATTAGGTTAATCTGAGAATTTTGGAGAAAATCCAGTTAAAAAATTAAAGACTGAAGTAATCATTTAAAATATTTTAGCAACATTAAAAGCATAAAATAGTTTTTAGTCTTTAACTTTATAGCTTATCTTTAGAACATCTAACATTATTTATAATTAATAATTTAGTCTCTTAGCATGAACAAGGCTTTAAAATTCGTAGTTCACAAAACATGTAACAAAGCAAGGTAAATAAATATTAAAAGATGTCTACAAGTTATAACAAATAAATTAAATGAAATTTTCTATAAAATTAGGGCATCTACCCTTACATTACCTCACGGTGAAGTTTTAACTCCTGTTTATATGCCAGTAGGAACAAAGGGTACTATAAAGGGTAAATATATATAAATTCTTTAATTTTTTTGATGAAAATGAAGGAAAATAATTATATTTTTTGGATTAATTTAAAAGGATTAACATCCTAAGAAATGGAAAATCTTGGTTGCAGATTACTTCTAGGTAACACATACCATCTTGCTTACTAGCCTGGTGGAGATTATTTAGAAAAAGTTGGTGGTTTGCATAAGTTTATGAATTGGAAATATAATATTTTGACAGATTCTGGTGGTTTTTAAATGGTTTCACTTTCTAAATTATGTGAAATTTCTGAAGAAGGTGTAAAGTTTGAATCACCAGTTGATGGATCTGAAATGTTTTTAAGACCTGAAGATTCTGTTCATAATTAGAATTAAATTGGAGCTGATATAATGATGGCTCTTGATGATGTAGTATAAACAACAACTGTAGGAGAAAGAATGAAAATTGCATGTGAAAGAACAGTCAGATGGATTGATAGAAATATTTAAGCTCATGAAAGAAAAGAAGTTTAAAATCTTTACCCTATCGTATAAGGCGGTTTAGATTTTGGCTTGAGAAAATAGTAATTAATTTCTTAAATATTTCAGTTTAGCTTATCTTTTTAAGTAGATGCTTTTATCTCTAAAATAAAGAATTTACTTTTTAATTACATTCTTATTCTTTTGTCCAATTATTGTCAAATATTAAGTTTGTTATTAAGTTAAATATGCCTAATTATTCGGTATTGTCAACTAAAAAATATTTGAATTCAAAGATTATAAAATTATTTCGTTTTTTAATAAATATTTTATATAAAGCTGTTTAGATGAATTAATTAAAAGAGATGCTCCAGGATACGCTATAGGTGGTTTAGCAGGAGGAGAAGACAAATAAGATTTTTGGAAGATAGTCAATTTTTGTACAGATCACTTACCATAAGATAAGCCAAGATATCTTATGGGAGTTGGATATCCTGATGATTTGATTGTTTGCTCATGTTTAGGTGTTGATTAGTTTGACTGTGTTTTCTCTACAAGAACTGCAAGATTTGGAACTGCTTTTACTAAGTATGGATTTATGAGATTAAAAAATGCTGATAAAGAATTCGACCTTAAGCCTATTGAAGAAGGCTGTGAATGTCCAGTAAAATATTATTTTATTTATTTATTTACTTACATTTGCTAATTTTGATGAAAACATAAAATAGACTTGCCAAAGATATTCAAGATCATTCCTTCACAATACTATAGCCAAGGAAGAAACTGCTTGTCATTTGATTTCATAGCACAATTTATATTTCTTACTAAATTTGATGAAATAATTTAGACAATCAATTTTAGATGGTAGAATGGAAGAATTTGTTAAGTAAATATTTAAAAAATTTAATTATTCTCTAATTTTTCCTAATTTGTTATTAAAAGTGAGTTCTTTAAAAACTATTTCAGCCATGAAAAGTAAATTCCATAGTGGATACAAGATGCTATGGTTGCTGCTAAGATAAACTTAAATATAAAATTTGATGAGTGATATAATTTATTAGTTGATGTATTATTATTTTTTTGTGATCTTTTAATGTAAATAGTAAATTAATTTAACGAAAATTAAATCTATCAATTATAATATTTTATTGTATGAACAAATGTTAAAACTAATGAACAAACTTTAAAATAAAATATAGCTTTTCAAACCTTATTTCAGAGTTAAAAAAGTTATTTGACGAATAAAAAATAACAAACTGTACCTTTATAGCAAATCATAATATCTCTGTATTAAAATTTTGCTTTTTAATTAAATAAAAATTAATCTTTTGTACAATTTTTAATTAAATTTATAGAAATAGTCTAATTACAATATCATATGGCTTATCATTTTTATTTCTTACTTTATTTGATTTTATCTTACATTGAATTTGTAATCTTAAAAGAACTGTTCTAAAAAATATAGATAATCATTACTTATATTTATAGGAATAATAGATACACATTTGAATAAAAAATGTAAACTAAATACAAAGAGAGAGATGATCAACAAATAATAACGTGTTAAAATTAATTTTAAAATTGATAAAAGTTTTAAAGTTAAAAATCTTTTTTTACTTTTTAATGATTGAAAATTTATTATAAGCTTACACTTAAACTAATAAAAATAACACTAAATAACATCTTAATTAAATTTTAAGCTTATTCACATTAATTTATTTTATTTTCACAAATCTTATTTCTTTTTTCCTTTTGATTTGCGCTTCTTTGATGATGATCTTTCTGATTTCAATTCTGCTTCAATCTTTTCTTTTTTTAATCTCTCTTCTTCAAGAATTTCTCTTGCTATTTCATCTTCTAAATCATTATTTGATTGCTATTATCTTTCGTATTCTTCTCTTTGTTTCTTTATTTTATCATGTTAAACTTAACAGTCATGGTCTGTGAGCTTCAACTCTTAAGGAAGAGTTTGGATACGGGTCTTACCTTGAATACCTCTAAGAGTAAAGTTCTCAAGATTCTCTACATCAAATCTACCAATCAGAGCAGAGAAATGCTTTTGAGAACCATTGTAAAGAATATAATTAGGTAAATTATCTTCATATATTTCCAAGGCAGCCAAAATTTCTGAATGGCATACTGCATCAATCCAGCCAAAAGTAACAGGTCTGTCTCCTATTTTATCTTTTACCTAATCATAAATCTATAATTATTATTGTAACTTTGTCTTAGATTTTTAATCATCATCGTCTTCGTTGCTAAACTTTCTCAATTCAGGCTCACCGTTCAAAAGAGCAATAAAGCAGATACGTGACTTTTTCATACAAACATTTTCTAAATCTTATTAAGTGACAATTTCAGTGATTTTTTTCTTTGTCTTTGTCTCTCCAGGTTTTGTAATGAAAATGTTTAAGAATTAGCTATAATCCTTGTAAGTCAATTTGCCAGTATATTATGTACCTTGGACTTACTCAGGCTTGATAGGAGTATCTTTCTCTTCTTCTGGAACATTACGGAAAACAACTGAAACAGCTGGTACTTTGTGGATACCAGTTTATTATAATAACTATTAAGGGGCATTTCTGTAATTGAGGAAACGGAATTTCTTTTTATATTCAGTGCCTTTACTTGCTAATCTGAAACCAAGAGGAATACGAGGCTTAGCATGGAAGAGAATTTAAACTATTTTACCTTCTTAGAGTGCTGAACTCATTAGCATTTAGAAAGTTTTATCATCTGAAACACCAGTAGATTCATCATCAGTTATTTCATCTATTTCTTCTATGATTGTTTTAGAGCTGATATTATGGCCATACACGTATTTACTATTTGCCTTCTTTTCTACTTAGAAAGGATAAACTTTAATACTAGGGAAGCTCTTGATACCCAAAGTACTTTCTGCAAATGCAACCTTTTCAGGAGTATCTGCTAAGAATTCAAAGTACTTAGAAGCTTCTGCTAACTTCTCCTTAAGGGGAAGAAATTCTGCATGCTACTTCTCCTTTTCTGTATAAACGTGTAGTACAACAATTCCTTCAATTTAAAGAAGAGTTTTATCATATTTATTTTGTTTTAATTCTTCAACTGAATTATCCTTAATTTCTTTTGTTTCTTCATCTTCATCATTAAAAGCACTTTAGAATTATTGCTTTGAAGAATCTCCTGCTTCATGTCTACCTTCTATATCAAAATCTACTACTACTTTCTCTTTCAATGCGTATTTATCAAGGAAACTTTGAATTTTGCTAATTTTAAACTAATCCTAATATGCAACTCCTTATACCTGTCCATCATCATTGATAAATGCAACCAATAGTGTTGGGAAGTTACTTATGTTAAATTACTTTATAATATCTGTCTAGCTTTAATTTATTTCTACAAATTTTAAGCGATAACGATAAATTGCAGAAAGAGCTTTGAAAAGAGCTGGGGTTTCTTCTTTATTAGTAAAGAGGAATACTTTTTTATGCTCAACTTGACTAAGAATATTTTTTGAAAGTTAAGAAAGAGAGGGTCTTCTAATAACATAGCTTGGCATGTGAGGAATAGCAAATGTGGAGATAGACTTTGCATCGATACTACCACCATATTTCAAAACTTTAACTTCATTTGGTTTTTTAGTAATGGGATTGGTCTTTGAAGATGGAGGAGCAAATATTTCAACAACTGGTAAATCTCTAACAGTGTTTTCATGCCCACAATATTTTATTTCTTCTTCAGAGAAAAATTCACAATCAACTTAATAAATGCTAAAAAATCCTTCATATTATTAAGCTAGATCATAAATTGGTTTTTCAATAGTGGGTGTTTAGGTGCTGTCTTCATGCCAGTAAATTACCACAGACAAGCGATCAACACCTCCATTACGTACTTGTTCAATCTATTCTAATGTTGTAATAGGTTTTACAAGATTATCGTTTTCAAAGAGGCAAAAAGCCGTAGAAATCAATAGCCCTAAAATAATAAGAGTTTGCTTGTTCATTCCTAATTTATTATTTCAAGCAATAATTTTTTAATTTATTTTAAGATATCTTTTTATTTAATATGATGTTACAATAAATTTTTGATTTGAATGTTAAGAAATTTATAGAGAAAGTTTATAACTCATTAATTAAAAGAAAATTCTTCTTCTCTCCATGTTTTAATTTATTAATAATTAATATTTAAATAAAATCCACCAAATATACACATTTGGTGTATTATTAACAATTTGAAATCTAATTAATTTCTTTCTTCTACTATCCAGTTGTAAGTTCTAATAATTAATTAATTAATTCATTCATCATTTATACCTATTTTTTGATTCATAACTGAACACTTTAATATAAAAATATTTATTAATTGTTTTATTCACTCATAAAAATCATTTTTTATTAAATTAAATAAAATCTTGTGATACTTTTTTATCATTTTTTAAATAAATCGTCTTATTAATTAAAAATTTAGTTCAATAAACTAATGAATGAATTTATTGTATTCAAATGTATTTCTTCTACTTTTGGTAATATTATTTATTTTTTAAGACAAATATTTAATAATTAATATTTATTATATGTTCATTAATGCTTTGGCCAGGATAAATATGAATTTTTATCATTGAGATATATTTTGAATAAATTTAATTATTATCTACTTTCTTTCAGAAATAAAACTCTATTTAAATATTGAATTATTAAAAATATTTATTTATTTTCTAAATATTTGATGCTTTGATAATCAGATTAGTGGTCCATATTATATATAACATTATTGTATATTATTCTAATATTTATTAAATGAAAACTATTTATATACTTTTATAGAATCAGAATTTAGATTGGAAATATAATCAATCACAAAGTATATTTATTTAGTGTTATTTTTTAAATGTTTCTAGGATTATTGTAAAACAAGCAGATTCCATGGAATACTATCAATGTTTAAATAGATAAAATTAAATATAAAGGTGACCCTAGCTACTGCGAACAGAGAGAAATAGAATTAAATACATTTAAGTATGTGATTTCTCTTAAATTATTCAAATAAGGATGAATATTATCCTAATTAACAATAAAAATAATCTACTAATAAATTTCCATTGTTATATCAGCGAAAAAATTAGCCGTGGACTTCTTGCAAGCAATTTAGATGAGCTAAAATAACTTAAAATTAGAATTAAAGATCCTTCAGGAGATTAATTAAATATCCTCATGGATACAATCACTAAGATTTCATGTTAGCCTGAAGAATTAGAACTTAGTTTAGCATTGTAATTATTTAATTTAAACAACTCAAAGTTAAAAAATAAATAAGTTTAAAAATGAAGATTTTTTAGAAAATATATTAATCTCCTTCTTTTTTAATGAAATTTATATAAAATAAGCGATTATAATGAAAAACTGCCTGACTATAAAAGGATGGACTATAACTCAGACCAATATGTTGATTCTATTCTATAATCAATCCACTATATGGGTCATAAATTAAAGTATTTAGAAGTAGATTTGTCAAGTTGGTCTCTAGCTATGGATGGAATTAATGACAAAAAGGTAGAAAAAATTTGCTAAATATTCAACTTTTTGCCTAATCTAACCTCCCTACGGTTATCATTATTTCAGTAAGTAATTGAAAATTAAATGAAAAAGAATATATACTTGATTTTAATAATTAAATAAAATTATAAGTATTTATTAATTATATGATAGATATATTTATTAATAATATACTAATCAAATAATTTAAATAAAAAAGATGGGGATTACACAATGCTGATGTTTCGGGAAAAAGTGTGATTAACATATGTGAAGGTATAAAAAAAATTAAATTAACAACACTCCATTTGGATTTGGGAAGATGGGGTTGCACTAGACATGACACCCTAAACATACTTGAAGACAGCCATGTTACTATAATTAGCTAATTTCTATCTTCATAAAATTAGTTGCTGCACCTTAATTTAAATTTAAGAAGCTGGGGTTACTCTAACAATAGAATCACCATAGATTCTTTTAAATCTTTAGGAGAAGGTCTCATTCAGCTAAGCAACTTAAAAACTTTGGCAGTTAACTTTTTCATGTGGGGCTATAATAACTAAAGTATTCAAACAGATAGTGCAATAATGTTTTTTGAGATTTTTAACTACCATAAATATTAAGCTTTTCAGAATTTAACTAGCATTAAATTTATTTTTAAAGGGTAAAAAATTATTTTCACTTTTTTTAGCATTTGAAAATATCATTTGAAATTAAAAAGAATGCAATTTATTAAGCATCTGTATTTTTAATAAATAGATTTTAGTATTGTTTGTACTCATCGATTAATATATTTTTTCAAAACTTAACGACTTTACCTAACTTACTTAGGCTCTCATTAAACATCTTAGGGTAAAATTAAAATATATTTAGGCTTTATTAAAATATTAATTATTAATTATTACAATAAAAAAGCTGGTAAGAAGTACAGGTTTAGATATCAGATGAGTATATGTAAAACCATGGAATTAGTAAGATATTTTCAAAAATACAAGGCCCTGTTCTGATAGATTGTCCTTACTTAATTGAATTTGAAGAAGTTACCCACTCTTCATATAATAAAAATATAAAATAATATTATCCTGTAAGAAAGAAATTATAACACAGAAAAAATATTATGAAATTAATTCAACTGATGAAACATCAAAAAATAAAAAAGTAAGCTCTTTCTAGCAATTATATATCCCTAAAACCAGAATCTATGAAAGAGTTACATTAAGAAAACGAAATTAATTCAAGCCTCACTTAAATTTTTAGAAAAGAAGTTGTGTTTGAATTATTAGAAGAGTATTTAATTTGAAATAAATTATACATAATAAGATTATCTATATTCTTTTTAGAACAGTATCTGCTCTTCTTTTTTTACTTAATTAAGACAAAATTCTTATTAAAAGTAAAAGTCTGAGCTTAAATTTTGATAGTCATCTTCGATAAAAACACTTATTACCTAAAGAAATAAAATACTTGTAAAAAAAAAAAAAACAGTTTTAAAATAATTAAAATTTCAATTAGAATATTGATTGTATCATCACAACAATATTTTTATTTTATTAAAGTTAAATTAACTAATACATTTATTTATGAGTCAATCATAAAATTTAAGTATATAATTTATGTTTGTATGAATAAATTAAGCGTAAAATAAATTATCATTAATTATGGAGTAGAAAATTTATTACTTAATCTTTAGAGAGATAACTTACTTCAATATTATCAAATATGGATTAATATTTTTAGATTGATAATAATTTTAATATAAATCATCAAAAAAAAGTTATTTTTGTAAAAATTTTATTTATTTTTTACATTTTAAACAACTGAAAATTATTTTATAATCGAATGGAAACTTTAACTCATCTTAAAAAAATTTAATTTTTGCAAAAATGGATAAAATTGTTTTCAAAGTTTTTATATCAAAGGAGCAGAACTGACACATTATTTTGATATTTATAAATCGAATATTGTAATAGAAACTATAAAAAGATGACCTATTTATATTTAGATGATGACAATAAAACCTATTTTAGCAGAAAAATAATGAATGAATTATAGAGTCTTCTTGGTAGAATCTAATTATTTATCTATATGAATTTCATAGCATCTCTTTCAAATAATAATAAATTTAAAATTCTGGGGAAGAAAAATGAAAATGCTTTTATTTTTCTGCTGAATAGAAAAAGAGCAGACCTTAGACACTTTCTTTTATAGCTTGGTTGTTTATTTTGAAACATGATAAGAGATAATGTTTCTTTATTTTTTTTGTATTATTTGATAATTTGATTGAATTTGCATGGGGAGAGATCAGAATGCTTAGAGATTATGAATTTTTGTTTTGATTAGCCACCAACTCTAACTCTGATCAATCGATACGTAATTACTATAAAAATCAATATAATTTTTTATAAAATAAGAAAAAAATTAAAAGAAAAATCAAAAAAAGTAAAAGTGTTTGAATATAGAAAAAAATATTCTTAGATAATAAATATCATTTTAAAAAACTGAGAATGTTCGTAAAAGTAACATTTAAGCAAAATTCTGTTCTTTTTAAGAACGACCTTGAAGATTTGGAAAGCCTTTTAAAAGCTTTCAAATAATTAGCCAAAGTTGATGCTGATCTTTCTATCACTTTTATCTTCAGTGATTAATCTAATGGCTAAAAGTCTATTATCCTTACCAATGAAGACCTTCAAATTGTGAGAGAGGCCGTAAAATCTGAAAACAGATCTATAATTAACTTCGAGGCTGTTGAAACTAGCGATGAATTAACTTAGATTTAAAACGAAGATAATGCCGCAAGTGACAGCGAAACTGAAATCGTTCATAATGATGATTCTGATGAATTCTAATTGGTTTAATAATCTTAAAAAGTTGAAGAAATTCCTGCAGAAGTTAATAAAGAAGAAATTCCTGACTGCAAGTAAGCAAAGAAAAAGAAACAAATTGAAAAAATCAAAAAAATTGTTTAGAAGGAAATTAAGAAGCAGATTCCTTCAATTACTGAATAAATTAGAAGCTAAATTCTAAAGGAAATAAATCAAAAACCCTCTGCTCCTTCTACTGCTTCTACTGAATAGTCTTCCTCTTCTCAAGTTAAGCATGAAGGTTTTATTTGTGATGGATGTGAAGCTAATCCTATAATCGGTGTTAGATACAAATGTGTTAAATGCCCAGATTATGACATTTGCGAGAAATGCGAAGCTAATGGTGTTCACAGTCACCACGCTTTCTTGAAAATAAGAAAACCAGACATGGCTCCTCAAATGCTAGTCTGTGTTGAAGCAGATAGCGATGCTTAAGAGTTGATTTCTTAACTTCCTCAAGAATAACGTCATAGAGTTATTGATGTTGATTTCAATTAACTATTTGGCACATTCAATAGCAACACCAAAACTACTGAAAAGAAGGAAAAGAAGGATAAGAAAGAAAAGAAGGAAAAGAAAGAAAAGAAGGAAAAGAAAGAAGAAAAAGATGGAGAGAAAAAGGAAAAGAAGGACAAAAAGGAAAAGAAAGAAAAGAAGGAAAAGGCTCCTAAGAGTATCCTCAAGCCCTAATAAAGAGTTTCTGAAATTGTCGCTTCCGTCGTTGGTGGCTCTCCTTCTGATTATGAAGACATATGTGAAGTATTAAAGGAATTTACTGTCGATGAAATTATTGAAGCTGTTCTTGCAAATGCTGAATCTATGAGATAATCCTCAAACTCTACCCCCTCTTCTGAAGTTTAAGTTTAGGAAGTCAAAGAAGTTAAGGTTGTTTAAGAAGTTGAAGTTAAGGAAACCCCTAAGCCTTAAGTCACTTTTAGCATTCCTGAAGAAGTATCTAAGAAGGATGATAAAGACTCTTAAATCGAGCTAAATGCCAAATTGATTGCTTCAGTTGTCGATGGAAACGAGTAATCTTTCACTCATTACATCACCCTTATCTAGTAGAATCCCAATAAATCTATTGAAGAGTTGATTGATCTTGTTTTCGAAAATAAGATTCAATAAGTCGAAGTACCTAAAAAGCAAGAATGTCCTATCTTCTATAAGCCCAAGGAAGTAGAAGAAAAGCCAGTCTCTGAATCCTATCCTCCCATCTTGTAGAAGAAAGCTGAATAAGTTGCTGAAATTATGGGTGGAAAATTCTAAGATTATATCAACATTATCCTTAACATGCCTTCTAAATACACTGTTCAAACTATAATTGAAAATCTTATCAATGAATAACCTATTAAAGAAAATGTTAACGTTGAAGAAAAGTCTCAAGAAAAAGCTGATTCTATGGACAAGCTCTTTGAAGTTAAGGAGGAACCTAAAAAAATCTTGAAAAAGAGATTCTCTGAAAATATCAAGAAGAAAGCCCATTAAATTGCTGAAGTTTTAGGAGAATCTCCTGAATTATACTATGGTATTTGTGATGCATACTGCCTTAGCAATTTCAATGAAATCATCGAAATAATTATCGATGAACCTGAATTGATCAACAAATATAGTAGCTACAAAAACTGAAGTATTCATTCAGTAATCGAGATTGAATGATATAAATTGACAAAAATTTATTGATTTCAGCTCATAAACTTGGTTATAGAATAATATTTGTTTATCAAAAAATTACAAGAAAGAAAGAAAGTGAAAATCTTATCAACAATAATTCGAAAATAAATAAATAAATAAATATTATTACTATTAATCTTTAGTTTCTATTTCTATATCTACCTACAAAATCAAATACATACAACATTTATAACTAAATATATAAAGAAAAATGAATATCATAATCATATATGCATACATGCATTTATAAAGTTTATCTTTTATTGTTGCCTACTTTTATATCTACACAAATATTATAATATGTATGACAATTATGATTAAATTTTACAGAAGGATCAAAAACTATAGATCCTCATTTCTATCTCTTTCACTCAAAATCAAATTTTTTATTTATTAATTTCTTTTTAAATTTTCTAAATTTGGAATAATTTTAATTTTAATGTAAATTTAAGTTTTACGCAAACACAGCAAAAAGTTAATCATATTTTAAAATCAATAAAAAACTCCACGTGACAATATTAAGAACATCAATCTAAGCTTTAGGATTGATGCTAATTTTAAAGCCATGCTCTTTTTAAACTAATAAAATATATTTAAATCTATCTTTTTCTTTAATATGTAATAAAAGTGGAGATTTAGTTTTAAATGATTTTTTAAACAATCAAATGTTCTAGAATAGACAGATAAATAACAAAATTATTACAGAAAAAACTTCTATTTATAAATTTAACAGATAAATATCACTTCTTTTAAAATTATTTATTATTAATTGAAATAAAAAAGATAAGCTATTTGATATATTTGATATGAGTGAAGTAAAAAAGGAAGAAAACGATATTTCTAACAACTCCTCTGATAAAAAGGAGTAAGAGTTGCCTAACAAAGAGGAAGTTAGTAACTAACAAAATTAATAGGAAGTTAAGTAAAAGAAGAGAAGGCCTGGTGATCAATTTTTGTTTAATAGAGTTGATGTTGAGAATATTGATGTCAAAACAATGACAGAAGAATAAAAAGCTGATTTAAAGGCAAAATTAGAAGAAGAATGCCTAAAAGTTTGCAATGGTTATGCATAAGAATTAGCTTTTGCTCACTAATGGGATAGCTTCGATAACATAAAAATGGCAAATGATAGAGACTTGGATGATTTGTATGATGAAAATAATTAGAAATTAAAAACAAAATTAAAAATAATAGCTGGTTGGATTTTTGGTTTTGCTATTTCTTACATTACTAATATCTCTTGGCTTTTCTTAGTTTTTTGGGTAGGTTCTATACTTCCTCATGTATGGGATCTTATAATCAACAAAGAGCAATATGATAGTTATATTGTACCAAATATAGATGCATACTTTTCTTAGTCATATGTTTCTTTTGGATTTAAAAGAACTTAAAAGGGAAGAGGCAGAGTCAAAGAGCAGGATAAAAGCTTACATCCTAAAGCGCTAGAATTATATGATTACTATAAAGAAACTCTTCTTCTTATTAGATCTTTAAGACCAAGCAAAGATGAGAAAAAAAAGAAATGATTATTTTTAAAAATATCAATTTAAATAAAAATTGTGTATTTATTTATATGATGATTTCAAATAAAGTTTTATATTAATAAACAAAAATGTAATAAAAATGTCAATTAATTTAATTTACGATATAAAAATATATTAAAATAAACATAAAATAATTATTTCAATAAATAACCAGCAGTAATTTTAACAAAACAATTATTTTATGCTTTACATTTTTATAGAAATTTTGAAATAATAAAAAGCAATGAAATTTCTTTAATTACATTTTCTTAAATAAAAAAAAGAGCATTATGAAACTAAAGAGGATAATGTATTCATTAATTATTCTTTAGACGAATAAATATAATTTAGTTTAATATCAATAAAAGAGTTTATTCAATATAATTTAGTTAATTCATTACATCTTTATAATATTTACTAATCTATTAGATCTTGATTGTTTGGAATTGTTTTTTAATATAACTGATTCTAATTTCTTTCAAACATAGGATTAAGATTGTAAGAAGGAACTTGTTATTAATATTTTTATTAGAAATTAGTACCATTATATTGACTGCTAGGTTGTGGGAAAAGAGGCTGATTTTATCTTGAAGAAAAGTTGAATTATTCTTAATTTTAGGATGAGGGAGAATATATCAGATTTTATGTTTATTAGCTGCTGTTGGGAATAGCCTATTAGTTGAATAAAAGATTTTATGATTGTAATTTTTATGGTGGAGATAAAAATAAAGGATTATTATTATTGCTGATGCTAGCTGTTGAAACCTAATTTTTTCTTGGAGAAAAAGGAGGAGAAGTTAACATGTTTGTAGGCTATGGTATTTTTTTAACAGTTTAGTTATAATTTGGGTGCTGTGGGTCAAAATTTACTCCATATCTCTCAAAAAGCTTTGCTTTTTACTCATATTTTTCTGTCATAGCTTTTAATTGTTATTCGAGAATTTAGTTTCTTGCTTATTATTAGTGTATCTAAGTTTCTAAATCGATAACATGCTAGGAAGCTTAGTAGTGAATGTTTTAATTAAAAGCTATTTCAGTTTTTTACAGCTAAAGATCTTACTATTTAATTTTAAATTGTAAATCCTAATTATCTATTTCGAGCTTATTAATTTCTTTTTGAAGAGAAGCTATAGTTTCAATATATTTTGCATCATTACTTTTTAGCAAGGCTATTTATTGTTACAAATTTCTCATTTGTTCTACTTCAAGTTGGAGATCTGTAACTTGTGTTTGATACTAAGATTTTTCATGGTTTATTTTAAGGATAACTTACCTATCAACCAAATCCAATTCCTTTCTTAAGTCAGATATTTATTATTCTTTTTCCTCAATTTCCTACTGAAGAGCATTTATGCGTTTATAAGAGTTTTTTAAAGATTTTTCTAATTCTTAAATATCTTTGCTTAACTATAAAATTTCATCTTCATATTACTTGTTTAAAGAGACCATACTTTCATGTTTCATTTTTAGCATTTCTACTTCTAAACGACTCTCTTCTTTTTCTTTCTCACTTTATATTGCTCTCATTACACTTTAGCTTTCTTCCAGTTCTTTTATACGCTAATTTTACTTTTCATTCTCTTCTGTAAGCTTTTCTACTTACAATTTTTCTTACCTAAGCTATTCTAAAAGCTATTTCATTTCATTTCTTGTACTATCTAGCTTTTGTAGTAGCTCTTCATTTTATTTTTCAACAACTTCAGTAACAAGAGCTTTTTCATCACTTATTCTCTTTTCATAACTAACTTACTTAAATTGTTCTATAACCTTTCGCTTTTCTTCTCTTATATGATTCTCAGTTTACTTTGCTTCTTAAATGATACTTTCTTACTTTATAACGGTCTCTTAAAGCTTTTCCCTATCTATTTCTATATCTCTATATGCTTATTATAATTACATAAACTCAAGATTCTTTTCATCAATTTATTTTTCTAAAATCATGATTGTCTACTAAAGCTGATCTTTTTGTTGAGTCAGCATCTCTATCTCTATGCATTACCTATCATATTCTTTCATAACTTCTGACCCTTAATCAAGCTGTTCTGAAAGATAAACCATTTCTTCTCTTAGTAATTTCATTTCATTCTCTTTTTATTCCATTTGTCTTTCAGCCAACTTAACTTTCATATCGCTTACCTTTATCATCTCTCTAAGCTAATTCTCTTTTTCTTATGAAATGATCTTTGTTTATTCTTAAATTTTTCCTAACTACTCAGTAAGCTTCTATTCTTTTAATTTATGAGTCTCAATTTGCTCTTTTTGCTGCTTAATAGTATCTTCCCTTTCATCTAATTTTCTTTGTAACTAATTAACCTTCACAAATTCATCTTCATATTTTAATTTTGTGCTACCATGTTTTTTTTTGAACTCTTCAAGTTCAGATCTGACTATTTTTAAATTTTATTCTAAATCTTCATTAATGCTTTCTAACTTTTAACATTTCTTTGTTAGTTATAAAATTTCTCCTTCTGTTTGAGATTTAATTTCATCTATAATCATTTAACTCTCTTCAATTTCTTTTTAAGATTACTTTTAAGCCCTTGCATACTTTTCTTATAGTTTATCATGATCATTCTAAATATTTTACAGCTATTCTTCTAACGTTTGTATATCTTTTGTAAGAGAATACTCATTATTCTTCAAATCCTTATTTTTTTATTATTCCTAAATAACTTTTTCTTTTTAGTCCTAGAGATCTTCTTTCAATTACTCAATATCTCGTTTCAACTCTCTAATTTATTACTCTTTTTCAGATTTTTATTGTTCTAATTAAAATGCTTTTTATTGACTATCAACTTTAATTTCAGATTCTTTGATGATCTACTCTTTCATCTATTTTTCTTCTAACATTTTTAGTTCACATTAATTTTTAAGTTCCTATACATTTGATGTTAGATCTCTAATCTAAAATTCTTTCTCCTATTTTAATTAAAATCAATGAACAGAGTAATACATTAATTTTAAAAATTACTTGAATTTATTTTTAAGCTTGAGCTAGCTGCATCTAAATATCTTAAGTATTCTATTAGCTTATATCAAGTTCCTTTTACAACTAATAAATTTTTAAAGAATTCTTTTCAAGAATAATATTTTTTTGATTTTCTGAGTAATATTATTATTTTATAGTATTATTTTCGATAGTTAATTCTTAATTGAGTTTTTTTAATTTTTCTAAATTCTACTATAAAGATGTATATTCCAATTCAAGCTATTTTAAGCTTTATTAAGATTACTTTGCTTGTATTAGCTGCATTTCATAAACCTTTTTATTTTTAAGTTCCAAGTCAAGCAAATCATTTACTCTCTTATATTAATTTTTAAGATCTTAAACATAATTCTCATCAGTGTTAGAATGATACTAAATTTTTATCATTTCATCACGCAACTAAATATTTTTTTCTTCCAACTTCTCATTCATTCTCTCAAAAGCTAGTAATTTTTCTTCCAATACTTAAATATGTGCTCTATCAACTTCCTTTCTAAAATTAATGTGTCATATTTAAATATTAAGTAATTAATTTTATGATTATAAAATATTACTGTTTGATTAATAGCTCTAAGTCTTGCTTAGCCATGTTAAACTACTCAATTAAGTTAGCGTTTTCTTTAACGAGCTAATTCACTTTATTTTCAAATTCAATTTATTTTTACTTCTCTAAAGAAAGAGAAACTTCAGTGAGATCTTATTATTAATGTTGCTGATATTACTTTATTTATAACTCCATGGCATACAATTAGTTTTTTAAATCATTATTTTCTTAAACAAGCTGAGTTCTTTCAACAGTTTCGCTAACTGATAAATCAATTTACATTTTTTCTTACTGCAGTTACTTCATTCTGCTTTCCATTTATCTTATTTTCTCAAGTTTTTCTTCTTTCTCTTAATTATTTAAAATTGAAGGAGTTGAATATTTCAATTCTTAACTCATATTAAACAAGCTGCTTCCCGCTTAGTAGCTGGATAAATCTTTTGATTCATTGTTAAAAGTGAAAGTATATTGTCTTTTCTAAGCAGAATTATGCAAATTTTAAGAGTTTTCATCTCCAAATTCTTCATTTTCCTCAATAGTATACATAAATCCTAAATTCTAAATTATATCTTTTTGTTAATAACCAGTTAAATATTATTCTTAGTGTAAGATTTACTAAATTTTCTTAATAAGAAATTCAAATATAATAAATAATATTTAAAATATTAAGAATAACTGAAAATAAAATAAATTGAATAATAAAATAATAAATCGAATATGGAAAAAAACAATTATAAAAAGATATTATTGATTCAAAATTTAAAAAAGCTAGAATATATTTATTTAAAAATCAAATGATAAAATGTATATAATATGTTGGAAAATCAAAAGGCTAAAATAATATTAAATAAAGATAAAAAAATCATTTTAAAGATGCATTTAATTGAATTAAAAATATAGTAATATATCTATTAATATAGCATATCATATTTTATAATAAAAAAATTAAAATAACAATGATTGATATTAATAAAATAACAAAAGAATAATTAACTGAAATAAGATTTAATAATAAATGTTGATAATAAATTAAATATTTAACATAATTTAAATAATTTATTCATTTGTAAAAATAAAAGCTGTAAGTAATAAAAAGTTTTAATCTCCATCAAATTTTTTTTAACATGGATGTAAAATTAATTATGATTATTTTTTTTTATGATTAATGACTTGTTTAATGTAATGATAAAGAAAATGTTTTATAAGTACTGAATTAAAAAGAAGATGATAATAATTAAATGTTGATAATTAAAATAATGTGATATATAAAATAATTTGAAATAAATTAAACTAATATACTCAGCTATTATAGTAGCCTTGAAAAAGGCAGTATCCTAGGGTACTATATATTATGTTATTATCAAATAAAAATGTTGTTTTTAATAGGTTGATACAGGCAACGAATCTATACTTTATATATAATAATTTATAAAAATAAGTTCGGTATCTAAAAATAAGCAGTTTAATACAATAAGCAACGATCATTTATTCATTCATTTACAATTTTAATGATATTTATTTAATTTCAAATAATCTATAAATACTATTTTGTTAACTAAAATATATCTACTTAGTTTTAGCATCAAATTTTTTAAATATTTATTTAAAATTATTTTAAAATTCTATTTATTAAATTGTTTTTAGAAAAATAATTTCAAATCTTTGTATAAATCATTGATTTTTATGTGTTGAATCATTTTTTTAAATGAAAACGATTAAATTATAAATATTACTAAGTTAAAAACGATATAAATTCCAATTATTAATAATTTAGATTTTATCACGATTTTACAAAAGACATTTGATTACTCGTAAAACAAAAATAAAAATGGCTGACAAATAAAAAAAACCCGTAAATAAAAAGGAAGGAGAAGAAGGAGCAGAAGGAGAAGTAGATGAAGAGGAGCAAAAAGGATGCTGTGCTGTTTTTTGTGAATATATAGCTGCTTGTTGTGCAGTAATTAGAAATTTTATTTTTAATTTATATTTATTGATATTAAAGTAGAACATACAATACTTTTTTACCATAAAACTAAATTAAAATAATAAAAGGCTACATATAAAGTAATAGTTTTTGTTTGCAGAGCTGTGCGTGATTGCTTAGCATTTATTTGGTATCCTTGCAAAGAAAGATGTTGCAACTGTATAGATGATTGTGATAAAAAAATGAATCCTTGGAAGGATCCTAGCTATTCTCACGTATGAACAAGAATTGAAAAAACTAACAAATATATGAATGAATTATAGATAGATAGACAAATTAAATTTTCAAACATTCAAGTATTTAGCTAGATTAAAATGATATTTTTATTTCGAATTATGATAAATCATCTAATTAAATTGTATAATACACTTCTTATATTAAAAATTAATCTATTTATTTATATTAAATATGTAATTTCATTCTCTCTAAAATTTTACTTTTAAGCCTTACTAATTGAAAAAATATATTTTAAAACCTTTTTTTTTAAATATTTACCTATTTTAAAATTTAATTAATGATTTTTGTTAAGTGTTAATAATAACATCATCAAAAATAGCAAAATAAATATACTATTCTTAACCTTCCTGATCTTTTATTTAGGATTAGTATTAAATCATTTAATTAATATTTTGTAAATTTTATAAAATTTTAGTAAAAATTATAAATAAAGAAAAGAAATGGCAGAGGAACAAAAATAAACAGATTTTGAAAGAGATTAAAAAGAAATTAGGTCTTTAATATGGCAAAATAAAATCCCTGTTAAAATTAAATTAGACCCAGAACAAAATAGCAATAATGAGGAACCATTTCCTCTTTATATGTTCTTTTAAAGAGTTCACCTACCAGTATTTTATTATGAATAAATTCATGAGTACTTTGAAAAATTTGCTCCTGTTCCAAGAAATTAGGATGATATATGGTTAGAATGGAATAATAAACCAATTGCTTGGAATTTACCCTTTGGAGTGACTTTTGATTTAAATTATTAGGACCCATCTATGAAAGGAGAATTAGGTGATGATGATAGTTTTGATTTAGGAATTTAAGAAATTCCTCCACCATTTATTCCTTAAAATATAATCTTGCATTATGGTCCTTGCACTATTTCTAATGACTATACTCCTATTCCAAGCATCCCTGGCAAAACCGTATTAGATATAGCAAAAAAAAGTTTTAGGTTTGCCCTTAAAGAATCACTTCATATTAGATTTGATAGCGATACTATTCTTATGTAAATGGAAGCAGAAAAATAAAACGAATTATGGGAATCTTATAAAAACCTCAACCAAAACACCTTTTTTAGCATTTTAGATTAGATATTTTAGTTGAAAAATCATTTGTAAAATAACAAAGCAATTAAATTGCCTGTAAGAGTGTATATAGAAGGTTATATAGGTCGTATATAACTCTCTCATCAAATAGATTCTGAAAATGATACTTTAGGCGATTTTCTAACAAAATATTTCCCTAAAATTTTAAAATAAACAGATACTGCCTTTGAAATAATTAATGATAATTACAAAAACTTCAAAGTAATATGCAATGGAATTGTTTGTAACTTAAACATGCCTTTACTTTACTTTTACAAATATTTCTCTCATTATGATGGCTTCACTTATCTATGTATATAAAAATGAAAAAAATAAGAATGTACAATTAATTAAACACTTTATTTTCAAAGCAAAATCTAAATTAAAATAAAATAAATAAATAATTAGTAAATTAATTCTTCTGTATTATGAAAACTATTATAGTTCTATAATAAATATAATTATTATTCTCATATCCATCCTTCCTAATGTATATGTGCTTGACTCATTCATTCAATAAAATTTATTTAAAAATTTTAATATTTATTTGCATTTAAATAAATTTAATTTGCTTTTTTTTATGTTCATAAAAGCAATTTTTTAGATTTTATGAATATTTTCAGGAAAAAAAAATGACTGATAAATTTAGTTAAAATGTTAACTTTGAAAAAACATCTTAATAATCTGAATATTTTTATATTATATAGAGTTATTTAAAGAAAATTTTTGCTTAAATGTAAATTTATTAAATACATTTATAAAATGTTAATTACAGAAAAAAAATACAAGTAAAAACAAAAAAGCTAATACCGTTATAATATGTAGGAAATTTATTTTGTGGTTCCTAAATTTGTATAGAATGCTTAATATTTTGCTATTTTAGATTATTTTTAATATAATTAAATTTTAGATTCTAACTATCATTATTTTAATTATGAATTATTAAAATAATAATAAACTTAAAAATAAGAGAGATAATGGTAACATATAAGTGAAGGTCATAGAATTTACAATCAGAGTATTTTAGGGCTAATGAGTTTAAGGAACTCAACAAAGTATAAAATTTAGTATAGGGTAAGCATTAGTTAATTGATAGTATGATGAAATTATTGGATTAAAGTAGTAAAATGAATATAATGAGATTTTAAAACAAATTAATACTAATTTTATATCTAATAATTATTTCTATGTTAATCTTTTTATATATTAAATGATGGTTATTTCTAAATAAAGTTAGAAACTTAGTAAAAAATTATTTTTTTATTTTTCTTAACTTATAAAATTATTTGTATATTTATTCATTCTAAAAATTCATATTTTAATAATATATTTTATTGATAAAAATAAATTAAAAAAAATAGATATTAATTACAAAAAGAGAGTTAATATAAACCTACAAAATAAATAATGTACTAGAAATGTTTTAATCAAAATTTTTAGATGTTATAGTAAATAAGATTCATCATTTCTGAAAAAATTTTGATAAATATTAAATTGATGGTATTCGTATTAGATTAGATATTGATAATTATTAATTTTCAATTAAAAATTTGATTAATGATAATCCATTTACTCGTTGTTTTTAGTCACTAATAATTATTTAAAGAATATTAATTAATTACTTTGATTTCTTAATCGCAATTTTCTAAAATAAAAAGGCTCAAAGGATTATTTTTATAGTAGAAAATTATAAATTTGTATTGAAATATGTCTAGTGATTAAGTAGATAGTAGCTTAAAATAAGAAGAATCTTAACAAATTTAAGATAATTAACATAATACAATTATCAGCAAAGATATAAAATCCGATGATGATCAAAAAAAAATAATAGATCTATAAAATTAATAAAATCATGAAGATCAGCAATAGCTTAGTAATTTAGAATCAGAACTAAAGTAAAATAGTGAAATATAATAGTTTGACTTAAATTCTTTACAAACTCAACAAAAATAATAAAATAATAATTCGCCTGAATTCTGTGGTAAAAATATTTTTTTGAAATATAAATTTGTTGGTCAAAGATTCAACTTATTTTTGTAAAATCATAATTTTATATCATTAATCAAATTTTATTTTTAACATTATGAAATAGCTGAAAAATTAGAAGAGTCAATCAAAAAAGAATTAACTTTTAACAATCTTTCTATTTTAAATAGCCCATCAGTTTAAAATAGAAGTTAGGATGCGCAAAACTGCCATATTTCAGTATTTAGTGAGTAAGTGAAAGAGATTAATTAATGTTCAGAAAATTTTGAAGAAAATAGCGGCATAGCTGTCAATATAAATAGCAATCATACTTAAAACGATGAATAGTTGAGTACTGAAAAGGAAGATAGAAAATTTATACCAAGTTAAAATGATGCTTAATAATAAAACTAAGTTCTAAATCAAAATAGTGCAAAAGTTGAAGTTAGTCATGAATAAAATAAAATTCTAGATCTAAAAGTTGATTTATAAATGAGTAATAATTAGAATTAAAGTAATTTAAGCCCATAAATAAGTAAAAATTAGATTTAAGATACTTATGTTGATAAAAATAGCTAAGAAGATAATATAAAAACAAATAATGTATTTGCAAAGTAAATGAATGAAGAGGAGAAAAATTAGAAGTAAATTTAAAATGAAGATCACCATACCTTAGATTAAGAATCAAACCAGTCTTATTCTACAGTGATTACTGATAAAAAATAAAATAATATGATCAATATTAATAACACCAACTTAATTACTAATAAAGGCAATTAATATTAAATACATACTCAAGAAAAGAATCAAAGAAAATTTACTGATGATATTCTTGACGATAATTCAAGCTTTTATAATTAAAATGTTCATGGGCTAATTATACCTGATGACATTAGTTTTATAAAACCAGAGTAAGATACTATTTCACCAGGTAATCAAACTGTAGTTATTGCTGAAGGAGCTATGAATTAAACTTAATCTATTTAATTTTAAGCTATTATTGAAGAATAATCTAGCCAAAGTCAATAAATTCCTGCACAGAGATAATCGTAAATATGATTTTTACATAATTATTTGAATAATTTAAATCATAATTTTTATTAGTAAAATGGACACAAAAAATTTTCAAAGTGCTATATTTGAGAGATAGAGTAAGCTAAGTGCTTCTTTTTAGCTCGGAGCTGATCGTTTGTGCTAAACTGAAATAAATGAACTTCCATCTTAAGTTACTATTTAAATTAATTAAAATTAAGATGATGTCAATAATTTTGATACAAGAAGGACAAGATACAGATACATTAAATGCTGGGAAGACAACAGAGTTTAAATTGTTGGAATATATTAAGATATAGTTAATAATCTCTCTGGTCAAGCTCTAGAGATTGCAACAAGCTCAAGCAAAAGTAACTATATAGTTATTAAGTACTTCAAAGATAAAGTAGCACAGCTTTTATAATTTAGTTCTATGAAATTCAGCCCTATTTTAGGAAATGGATGTAACTAGTTTGACTAGTTAAATATGATTATTTATGAGTTAGACGATTTAAATAAAAGAAAAATGATAAACTCTAAAAAATTTGCTGAGTTTGTAGAATAATCAATAATTAAAGAAATATTAAATGCAAGCTCTTTAAAATATGAGTCAAGACTTAATCGCTACAAAGAACTGGCAAAATCTTATAAGTAAAAATGTTATAAATTAAAAAAAATTAATTATACTTATTTTATTTATTTTAATAGTAAAAATATTTAGCATATAGGAAGAAGCGCTGCAGAATAATACTAAGATTATTCTAATATATTTTCTGATCTTGCAGCCAAAGATATGAAGACAAAAAATAAAAAAAAGCTGGTTAAAGACTTTTAAAAAAAGGACTTGTGTTATAATGAATGGATTTTTTTAAGTAAAGTATTCAAGCATTATGATTGCTTAAAAAATTTTGGGATAGAAACAATTAAATTTGTTAAGGAGCTTAAGGAACTAGAACTATAGAGGGTTGAAGGTATTAAAAAGAGTTTAGAACTCTATGTTAACAGATATGAAGAAGTATTTGGAAAGATTCCTCAAGCAGGATTAAATTTGATAAAGTTCGACATTGATTAAAAATCTTAGTCAAAGCACTCTTCGATTGTAATACTTAAATCCAGGTCTTTAAAAAAATCATAGGATTGTAACTTAATGCAATAGATTTAAATTGGTAGAGAAGTAGATTCAAATGAATCTTCCCCAAATAAATAAAAGCTTAATACATCAAATCATTCATCAGAAAATGAAGCTAAAGATGCAATAGAAATGTAAAATTTTACTATTTAAGATATCTCGCTAAATTAAAGTGGGGGTAAAAGAAAATCTGGTAGCCCTGAAAGATATATTAATGGACTTAGTCCTTGCTAATCTTAAACACTAGATTCAAACATACTGAGTAGAGAAGATTAAAATAAAAATTAAAAACCTTTGATCAAATAAATTGAAGAATGTGATGTAAACAATGAAGTAAATCCATATTTTACCTTAAAAAGTTACTTGCCATCAGAAGAATAGAATTATTTAAGAAAATTGCAAGAAATAAATGATGAAGAAGAAGTCGAGTTTGATCATTTATTTAGATTTATTGAGAAATTCTAGCTAAAAGAAATAAAATAATCTTAGTTAGTAAGAAAAGAATATAAAGCACAGTATGTATAGCAAGGATCAAATAAAAAAGAAATTAAGAAGGATGTTTTAATAATCGTTACATTTGATTACAACTTAATAATAGTTGAAAGTCTTGCCTCTAACTTTTTCAAAAAACCAATCTTTTTTATAAGAGGAAGCCGCTCTAGATATAATAATATTAATAATAAAATTTAAGTTATAGAACTAAACAACATTCTTTTCAGAACAAAAAATTACTATACATTTATATTTGACTATTAACAAGATTGTCAAAATTTTATAGAAACAATGAAAGCTAAATGATTTGTGATAATAAATTCTAATTTATTGAAAATATTTCTAAACAATTATAAATTAATTATATAAATAAAATACATTTAAAGTAATATTTATTTTATATTTTCATTTTTGTATTTCTTAAAATTTTAAATCATTAAAAAAACAGAAAATAGTCTTTAACTTTTTTATTTTCAAATTTACTTTAAAACAAAGAAAAAAAATTCATTTTTTAGATAGATAGATTGATATATTTGGTTTAATAAAATAGAATTGAAAAATAATTAAAACTAAATAGGAAGATCTTGAAGCAAAACTATTGCATAATTATATTAGAAAATAATCATAATGGATAAATTATAAAGAAGAAATCAAATATTAATTGATAGTATGTTTATTAAAGAAAAAAATTCTTGCTGAAATAATTTACATAAAGATATAAATTTATCAAATAAATATTATATTTGTATATTAAATATATAAGATGACCATAAAAAATATTTAAAAAGAAAAAAAAATGTATTAAATATTAAAATACAAACAAAAAACATAAAAAAATACACTTTCACTTTTTTTCTCAGAATTTTTTTTTTGGTAAAATAAAATTCTTTTGATGGAATTATTCGAAATGATTTATCTTATCTTTTGCATGCAAGTAAATTGCAAACAGTCTCTCTAAATTCTATTTATACATGCAATTTATTATGTTATTTAGTTAAATAAATTCAAGTTTACTGGAATCGGCTAATTATTAATTGTATAAAAATATTGTTTTAATTATTTCTGAGATTTAATGAATAAATTACAATCTAATTATTTTATTTATTGATAAATATCGCATATGATTCATAATCTACTTACTTCATCCTATATATTTTATTAGTTTTGAACAAATTTTTTAAATTACAATTTATTTTACTCCCTATTATTAACAATTATAGCTTTAAGATACTTTTAACCATTTTAAATTTGTATTTACTTCTTCTTCATGGTATGCCTATTTTAAATCAACATAAAATATACGTTAGCAAGTAAGCATAAAATTTAAATAGTAAATGAATTACTCTCTTTTTAAATATTTTTATTGGCTTTAAGCTGAATAAAATTATTTATTTACCGTCTTTTATAAAGTATTGATTTTTTTAATTTAAATAATTAACCCATTAAATCTTACTAACTATATTTTTTTTATAATTATTTAATTTTTATTCAATATTTAATTAACTTACGAACTATATTTTAGTAATATTCAAGTTTAGAAATATTCCTTTCAATTAATAAATCTTACAAGCTTTTTTTAAAAAATGATTAAAAACAATACATTTAATAAAATTAATTTACTGTCTATTTTTTTTATAATATGTTTCTAAAAGATAACAACTTCATAATTATATCTTACACTCTTTTATTAAAATTAAATAATAATTATTATTACTATTATTAAATTTAAAACTTACGAACTATTATCAATTAATTATCCATAAAAACCATTTGATTATTATCATATGCTTTAAAAATAGCTAAATCTTACCCTCTAAATAATAATTATGATAAAATTTTCGTTAAATAGATTAAACATTTTAATTTAAACTCACGCTCTAATAAGTTTATCAAAAAAATTTTTTGATATTGAATCAGTAAAATCTTATTTACCACCTATTTAAAAAAATAAACTTAATAAAAATTTAATTTGAATTAATTTACAATCTGTAATTATTTCAATGTTTTCATCATAAATATAAAATTGATTCCTTCAATATTCATTTTACCGCCTTTTTTAAAGATTTATTAAGAAATTAAATATTTTAATTCTAAATTAATTTACCGACTATTTATTTATTTATTTATTTTTAAAGGCATTTAAAAATATTTATTTAAATATGATAATTTCTTACTATCTATATTTTTTATTAGTTATTTATTTTACTTTTTAATATCCTAGAATATTAAATCTATCTTTTAATTTACATTTGTCTCTTTAGATTACTTTTTATATATAAAATATTGTAAAACTATTAATTACTAATAAAAATATTTACAATTTGTTCCTGTTATAAAAAAGATTTAGATTTTTATTCCCATTCAGTTTATAATTTTAAATTGTTACAAAAGTCTCCCACTATTTAAGGTAATAGATATATATCTATCTTTAGATTATTTAACTTTTTGAATAGATTACTTAGAAATGGATATCATGTTCTTTTAAAATTTTGTTGCATTCTGTGAGACATTTTTATTTCTCGTCCTTTAAGTTTTTGTATTTAATATAATTTCCCACTTTTAAATATTTACTTTAATGTGATCTTCAACAGTTCCAGCAGAAGATAAGTAAACAAAATCTTAAGATCTTAACTAAATTTATAATTTTTTTATTAATAATCATAAATTTGAGTGAGAATAATTTTACAAAATTATTGGTATAATTTGTTAGCTAATTCAATGTGTTTTCAATTGATTCTATTGCCTAATTAAACTTTTGTTAAAATTTTTAATTATTTTCATTTTAACTTTCAATATTTTCTCTTGATTCATTTGATCCCTTATCTTCATTTTTGGACTCACTGATAGTATTCATCTATCCCAATTTTTTTTATGAATTCTGCCCTATGTTTTTGTGTAAATCTATTTCCTCCAAGGGTTTAATGAAGTTTTCTTGAATAAAAGCCTCATTTTTCCATTAAAGTGACCACTAACGATTGGATCCTGTACCTTTTTAATAATGAAACATTTTATTTAAAAAATCTAATGTCTTATTAATGCTGCTGTAGTGATTGCTTGGCTTATATATTTTGAGTAACTCCTCATAAACAAGGTCATATTCTCTAAAGACTTAACCCAATACAACTTTTTTATACTCAAGTACATTTTTGATCTATATAATAATAAAAGATATTGGCACTTATTTTAAATATTTACTGACTTTTATTAACAAGAAATAAATAATATTAAAAATGAAAGCATTTAATTTATTAATTTACTGATCCTATTGCTTAAATTAGATTATCGATTTATTTTATTTTTTCATCAATAACATCATAAAGTTTGTTTTTTTCTCGTTGCTTTTTAGCTATGTTTTTTTTTTATCTAGTTATTTTGACTATTTCTTGCATAAATAAGTCAACATCTTAGATTTAATAAGTCATTATTGGATCTACTAAATGATTTTGTTTATGGCAGAAAGGACAAACTAACTTGAAATAATAAGGACATTTAGGCGAGATACATCTAAAATATAATATTATTAAAATAGATTATAGCTAAGATAAATAACTAATGCTTTAATGTTTAAGTTTAAAATAAAAATAACTTCTTTTTACACATGATTCAACTATTTATTCATAGGACAATTTTCACATAATTCATAGTACTGACGAATATTTCTATCAAAATACTACTAGTCATCCTCAACAGCTGCTGTGCTTTTTTTTAATTAACTATTTTATAAGTTGTTTGTCTATTAATTCATGCTAGTAGATGACCTCATTCCTATCTATTTGCTTGATAATTTTTTTGATTGTATTAGATCTTATTAATCAGGTAGGTAGGTATGTATTTATTTATTTTAAAGATTTTTAATATATTTGAAATGAATGAGTAAAGTAACTTGATAAAAATATAATTAATAAATTCAAAATTTAGAAAAATTAAATAAGCACAGTAAATAAATACATAGAAGATAAACCAAATAAAAGTTATTTTCAAGCAAGATTTTATTATGATATGTTTATTGATAGATGCTTGTTATAAATACGAATTTTAATTTTATAAAATATTTTGCTTTTACACAATATAAAATCACAATTATTTTTAAATCCAATATATAGCTTTCAAATTTCATATTTTTTATTATATAATTTTTAAATTTTGATAAATCAGTAATCCTTAAACTATTTTTTTTTCCCTTCAACAATAGTCATAAGTGCAAGGTGTGCATTCTGTAGGAACCCAATTAATCAAACATTATCTAGGGCAATAATAGATCTATTAAATAAAAAATATCAATTAAAAAAAAAAATTATTTAAAATAATTGAATCGAAATTTTGATTCAAAATTCATGAATGATAATTCTTTACTTAGCAAACTTGCAGGTAGTACTATTTTTAAAAAAAAAATAAATAAAATTAAAAATTTTAGCCAACTAACTAACAATCTTTTACAATTAAAATGCTAAATAATAATTTAATTTTATAAATATTCTAGTCGCTTTCTTTTATAAATAAATATTTAAATACTTTTATAATTATTATACTTCATTAAAATTTTTCTGCTAATATTTATATCAGCAGCTATTAAAAATTTATAGAAATAATTATTGAAAATGTAAATATTTATCTCAAAAGAAATTAAACAGAATATTAAAAGATTGTTAGCTTATTTTAAAACAAAAAAAATAATACATCAATCCAAGGTTTGCACTAGTTTCTCAATGAAGCAGTGCAATCACCTCCACTAGATACTGATAAAAGATTCTTTAAGGTCTAAAGATTATTAATTAAAGTACTAGGTAAGCATTCATTATCAAAGCACTTTTTAAATTTAAGTAAATCAGCGTTTTAAATCTTATTTGAAGAGCATTCTATGATGCATTGCAATCCACTACAATTTTAAACGCAATCTGTTTCAATTGTTTTAATTTCTTGTATATACTTAAATACTTAAGAGCTGATTAAGCTCGAGCATTAATTAGCTTCACAAACATTTGATTCATTAATAATTGTTTATTACCCGAATCCCAAAGTAAATATGGTAAAAACAGTCAACAAGACAAATTAATAATTATACTTCATCATTTAATTAATCTTCTTTCGCTTTTTCTTCTTTTTCTTTTATTTCTTTTATATTTATTAACAGAAGTAATAGTTGCCAATTAAAAAAAAACACACAATTTAATTAATTATTCATTTAAGTATTAGATAGAGTACACAAATTTAAGTGATGTATTTTTATCTAAAGCAATTAGTTATTTCCTGATCATTCATTCAAAAAACTTAATAAACACCATATGTTCATTTATACCCTCAACTAGGTATTGAATTGAAGGAAAAAATAGATTCTTTTTTATCTAAATATTTAGAGAAACCTACTATCAATTACATTTATAATTTAATTAAAGCTATTTTAAAAATATAAGCTGTTTTTTAATTATTTTATATCAAATTAATAATAGGTATTATTTAATAATAATACTAACACTAATCATCAATTTATATGGAATTTAATTAATAAAAGAATAAAACAGTAATATTACATAATGTTTACTTGTTTAAAAACTAAGTATTTACTATTACTTAAATACATTAAACAGTATTTACAATAAATTAATTCCTTTTCTTTCCTTCCATACATATTTCATGAATTATTAGCCATAAATTTTTACATAAAATTATTTATGAATTTTAATAATTCAGTTTAGGCTGATATAATTTTAAATAATAAATATTCTAAGTTAAATTTTTTAATTTTTAAAATACAATATCAAAATATATAAATATATATTTATATATAGCAGTAGCTTTATATTTTTCATTTGTTTTATAAATAAGCTAGATTTTAGAATAAAAATGAAAATGCAGTTTCCTATTATAGAACACTTTAAATAAAAAATCTACTTAGCTTATTATAAAAAAAACTAAATAAGATAAAATTAAATTTAGTTATTTCAAACTATAATTTTTATTTTTGTTAAAGTTTTTATTAATTCTATCTAATTTGATGCTATTTTTGCAAAATATAAATATTTTAAAATTAAATAATTGAATTTGATAAAATTACTTATATAAATAAAAATAAATAATTTAATTTTGCTGAATTAAATTTAGACAAAATAATCAAAATATTTAAAAAAAATAATTTAAAAATAATTTTTATTTTTTACTAAATTTTGACTGAATTTATAGATAAATTATATTTTATTTATAATAAATTTTATATTTTTTATTATTATATTTAAATAAAAAATAAAATACTTATAAAAAAACTATCGTTAAATAATCTTATTTTTATTATAAAAATTCAAAATGGATTGTTGTATTTGTATTTATTAAATATTTTTAAATCCTTTATATAAATAAAATAAAATTTAATTTAATAACACTTATAAAAAAATTTGAAAATTTTTTTAATAAACTAATCAGTTTTGAATAAAAAAAATCAATCATATAAAGAAATATTTATTTATATCTGAAAAATAAATATAATTCTAATTATATATTTTAAAATTTACACTATGTGGCTTACAATTTAAATTAATTGTGTTTATTAAATTCAAAATTTTAAAAAAAAATATCAATTAATTACAATAATATTTTTATTTATTCATACAAAGAATTTAAAATTACACTGGAATATTTTTGAAGTTTATTATTGTATTGAGATTATGTAAGATAACTTGTTTTCATTGAAGATAATTATTCACAGAGTGTGCTTAACAAAATTTGCATTTAAAGATGAGAAAGGCATTATAAAATAGCCTGGATTTTAAATTAAATTTGTTGATTTTCCATACATGATCATCATGTCTAGAAAGAGTATGCATTTGAGTGAATTTACAGATAAATAAAATCTAATAAACAACTAATAGGAGGAAGTTAAAGCATTTGGTAAGGGAAAATCTATACTTTTAAATGCGAAATATAAAGATATGGTAGAATATTTAGATAAATATGCCCTAGTGGTATAATTTAAGGAATTCTAAAAGTATAATTAATTCACTATTGGGAAATGCTTGTTAAATTTAGATATGTTCATTTAAGGAATTAAGTATGCAATTACAGATGATATCGAGAGATTTAAAAGAAATACATTTAAGTTGACAGATAATCAGAATAATTGTAATAATATTTTGTTTATTTACAAATATTTATTTAAAAACACTAAAAAAAGCTGTTGGCTGGTTTGATATGAGTATTTCAATTTTATAAAGACCCTTTAGTTCAATAACTAAGTAAATAACTAAGAAATTAAATTCATTGCAGTCTTAAGAGGAAAATGATGAAAATATTAGTAAACTGAATCAATAAAATTCCAATAGCTAATAACAATAGAATTAAAAAATACTAGTAGTTGAGAATTTTAATGAAAATCAAATCGAAGTACAAAAGGGTTAAAAAAAAGAAGACACTAAAGAAGAAGATAAAGAAGCTTACAAAGTAACTGTTATGAAAGCAAGTACTAGTAAAGAAGAAGAAGAAAGTTTATTAGATAGTGGATTCAAAATAAGTGAATTTTAGGGTCCTTAGAGTATAAGAAGAAAGTCTAATTCTTAAATTTCAGTTGATTACTAGCAAAAAAATGTTAAAAAAACAGGTTAACTTCAAGTGATTTAAAGCCCTTCATAAAAAGAAATGTTAACTTTTGGATAAGATAAATTCAATTAAAAAAGTCCATAAAATAATTTTTAAAACAGCTTGGATGAATACTATTAAGATGATTTTGAATTATCTAATGTATAAACCAGTATTTAATAGCAATCTACCTCTTAATAATAAGAAATAGCTAGTAGAATTCCAAATTTAAAGCTTTAATAATCAAGTTACACTGAAGAAAATGTAAATTTTTACAAAAAAATATTAATATTTAAAGCCTTTTATATAAAAAGTATGATGAAGATTTTGAAAGCATGAGTATTTCTTAGAGTCATTAGCTCAGTAAAAAATAAAGCTAAAATACAGATAGAAGGAAACTTAATTAAAGTGAATTAGGTACTTCCAAACATTAGGATGATGCCATAAGTGAAGTATATACAGAAGATTTCGAAAGTATGAGTTTTAGCTAATCTCTTACAAAGCCTAAAAATAATTTTCGTTGATAAATAGAATAGCAACAAAATAAATAACTTAAAATATATATTAATAAATGTTAATTATAATTACCTGATGTATGTTTTGTATCAAAGATTTTGAATATAAAACATTAAAAATGAGGTTTATGGTCAATCTTACCGTAATTAATTATTTCTTCATAATCTTAATATAATTAGCTGGTAAATGGATAAATAGATAAATAAATATAAAGATATGTTCCTTAAAGTATTAGATACTGTATTTTTAGCTAATATGTTATGATTTCAACTATATTTACTTTATATAATTGATGGATGGCTCTAAGCTATTATAATTTATTCTATTAATTAATTATATGTGTTTATGATTAGACAGTTAACTGCAATAATATTAATATTAAAATTGTAATTATTTCAAATTTTATAGTTAAAAAAAATAATATTACAAAATGAATTAGAGTGATTCCAAACATTATAGAAATTCAGTTATTAGCTCTCAACTTATGAGAAAATCTTATTTGTAGACTACACCACTTGCATCATCAAGAAGATAAGAGGATGCTTTGTCTGTTATATCTGGCTAAAGCTCGTAAAGGATGAGATCTACAGGAAATTAAAAATTTTTAAATACAAATGTTTCAGTGCGTAGATCTTAATTATTTGATGCATCAAAGTATGTTTGCGAAGAATTAGATGCTGAACAAATTATATAACTAAGAGAGGTTTTTAATAGGTGGGATTAAGATTAAAGTGGTACACTAGCCCCTAATGAATTAAAGCTAGCACTAATGCAATATGAAAAAAATATTTCATAAACATAAATAAATTAATTGTTAGGTGTAGTCGATATTGAAGAAAAGGGTGAAATTGACTTTGAAAATTTTATAAGCATCTATAAAAGAGAAGTTATTTTAAAATTCATTAACATTATGTATAGTTAATATGACATTAAAAAGTAAGGATACATAACAGTTTAAGATTTAACATAATTTACTGAAAGAAAGCTTAAAAAGAAAGAAAACGAAGAAACTTTAATTAAAATAATTTAAACTGTTGGAAATGGTTAACAAATAACAAAGAGCTAATTTACAGCTGTAATGCTAAATCATTTTAAAATGTTAAGAAACTCTTGATTGATTGAGTTCTTTACAATTTGCAAATTAATTAAAATAACTTAACTTAAAATATAAAAATAAATATATAAATGTTTAATCTATATTTGATATTTATTTATTCATTCATTAATTGATTGATTGATAAATTATTTTTTTGTTTGTTTAAAAAAAATTTGTTCAAAACCTCTTTATTTTCTGATAGATTTTGTATAATAAATATTATAGGAAGAAGATTTGTATTGTTTTTGAGATTTATTTCAATAATTAAATAAGGGTTGTTTGAAAACAATAAAATTCATGGGGAGAAAAAACCAAAAACAAAATAAAAGTAAAACTAAGTAGAAGAATTAGGATGATAAACCTAAAAATAAAGGCTTCAATTCAGAAGTTTTAGTTCAGTAGGCGTATGAAGGATTTTAACTACTAGAAGCAAGTGATATTTATCTAGAAGAAATAAGTGAAAAGGTGGTATATGTTATTGATATGGGTTGGTTTCAAGATTGGATAGAATATGTTGGCATGCCAGCTTTATATGAAAATGAAGATCCAAGAAGTTAGCCATACTTTGGTAAAAGTAGACCAAGAGATTAGAATGGAGCGTTGTGTAAGGACAAAGCTTAGAATTTTCATAAATATCCTAGCACTATGAAAGAAAGTGTTTATTATGGCAAAGTGCTAGTAAGTAATTTTAATGAAGATTAAACGAGGATAGTAGATGAGGAAATGTGGAAATGGTTCAAAACGCAGTATCCAGATCTAGTTGAAATTCCTAGAGCTTAGCTTGTTGTAGATACATACCTAGAATATGCAATTGAACTTATTAATGTACAAAAATTTAATATTTAAACTTTATAAAATTAAAAATTTAATGATTTTATTTAAAAGGTATGGTTTGGTATACTAGACCAATCAACTGTTATCAATTTTAAAGAGCTAAATAAAAAAGAGAACCATGACCACTATGACTTTTATAGATTACAATTTGCTAAATGCTTAAATTTTGAGCTCTTTGTAGATTTAATGATCAGGTTTTATTTACATAAAAAGTTTGGAAATGAAGATAATAGAGATAAGCTCAAGTTTAGAATTTGGAAGCTTGACCAGACTCTACATATTTAAACTACAATAAATATCTTAAATAGTGAATTGAAAGAAGAAACTTTTCGCGTAAAGGGATAAGTCTTTACAGAGAGTTTGTCCAAAAATTGCAAAGCTAAGCAATTTACTAAATCTCATTACAAATATTTGATAGAAGTAGTAGATAAAGATAAAGATTGGATTTTGAAATAACATCCTATTAAAGCTATAGGCGGTCTCTGTTCCAAACTTGAAGGTAAGCTCAGAGGTATATGTGAGTGGTGTTAAGATGATAAGCATCTTGTAGTTTAGTGTCTTTGTAAAGAAGTAATTTTAAATATTTTATATTTTATATTTTTAAAATCCTATATCAAACAAATTAGAATTACTATTGTTCAGATGAATGCATGTATAAAGATAAAAAATTCCACTCTCACATTTGTGAATTAGCTTTTGATAGTGACAGCGATGAGGAATTAGATAAAAATGAAGTCAAGACAAACTATGAGACAGGTCTTGTTAACTTAGGAAATACATGCTATATGAATTCAGGTCTCTAATGTATATTTGCTACCAAAAATATATGTGAATTTTTTATGAAAAACCAGTACAAAGAGTTTTTAAAGAAGGATGATGATAATCTTGATAATATAAGCTAAAAATTAATTAGCAAGTTTGCTAAGTTAATTAAAGAAGTTAAATCTAAAAAAAGGGAGAGTATTGAACCATGGGCTTTTAAAATTCTTTTTGGAAGCTATTATTACATAGTAATGATCATTTTTTTTTTTTAATTTATTAATTAATTCTCTTCTAAAATCAAATTATAGTTTAAAGGCTTCAGCTAGCATGATTCCTAAGAGTTTATACAAAACTTATTAGAAAATTTTAATGAATTACTTGTTCCTGCAATTTAAGATGAAGAAGAAGAAGAAGAAGATGATGAAGATGATGGTGAAAAAATCGAAAATTTTTTAAGTGAAAATAAATTCTAAAAACGATTCTAAAAAAATCCTAATCTATCAGAAGAAGAAAATTAGGCTCTTACTTTGATAAAAAATCTACTATCTTCATCATATTCCAAGATATTTTCAGAGTCCTTCTTAGGTTTGTTGAAATCTAAGCTTAGTTGTACTAAATGTGGAAAGTCTTCTTCTAGCTTTGATTTATTTTCGTCTCTTGCTATTCCTATTGCAGATAAGAAAAAAGAAGTAACAGCAAATGTTTTTTATATTCCTTATAATATTCAAGAAGAAATAAAACAAGTTAAGTTCAGTCTACCTACAGAATCTAAAATAACTGTTCAAGAATTTTTAGAAAAAGTAGCTGGATTGCTTGAAACGCCTAATTAAAACATTAATAGACTAATGTTTGCAATAATTTCCAATGAAAATGTAAAATAAGAATTTTTCATTAAAAATTGCACAAAGAAAGCAATTGAAATGATAAAAGAATGCAATCAAACAAATAAATTCGTAGCAGTCTACTAGCTGCCTAATGAATATGACTTTTATGATATTGATACCAATAGAATTATAAGTATCAATTTTAAGAAAATCGTAGCCTAATAAGATGGGAAGCATTAAAATTTAGTAGTGATAAATATACCAAGAATTATTGTTATTGATACGTAGGAAATAGTTGCAGATATTTACTTAAAAATTTCAGATATGTTATCACCTATTTTACCAGATGCTTCTAAATTCGTTAATGATTTAATAGAAACCCTTGAAGATGAAAGTAACGAATAAACTCTAAAGAAATTAAATGATAAATTGTAGTTCCAAATACTAATCAACAGCTAAATGCAGCGTAGAAAGAAATAACATGACATTTGCATTTTTTGCTAGAGCACAACTTGTAAATCATGTCCTCTTCCTTTTTTAATTGACAAGCAATTTATTTAATTCACATAAAATTACAATAAAGGAGATTTGTCTTTTTCTGTTTTATTTTAGACTGAGGAAATAGCTAAATAAGTTCCTCAATTCTAGTTTAATTCAGGAGAATAGAACAAATCTGATGCTAATAATCCCACTCTTATTGAATGTCTATAGCTTTATTTAGAAAAAGAAATTCTAGATGAAGACAATAAGTGGGATTGTGACATTTGCAATTAAAAATAAATAGCTTCTAAAGAAGTTACTATTTACTATGGACCACGCTATTTAGTATTCTAAATTAAAAGATTTAAAGATAACTCAAAGGGAGAAAAAGTTAAAAATTGTGTATAAGTTAATTACAGTGAATTTGAAGATTTTACAGATTACATTTATAAAATCAACCCAACAGTTAATACCTAGCAAAAGGCTGAAAATAACTCACGCCTTGTTTATAGATTGTATGGTGTTGTAATTCACATTGGTTAAATAGATTAAGGGCATTACACATCATATACATTCCAAAACAATAGATGGACACATTATAATGATGATTTAATAAAAACTGTGAAAGCTGAAGAAGTAATTAACAATAGAAACGCTTATTTGCTTTTTTATGAGCTAGTGGATTAATGATAAATTAAACTAATACATGCATGTTAATTAAGATAACAAAAAATATTTATACTTTCATTAATTAAAAAATTTATTAATAAAATAAACTAATGGAAAAATATTGATTCATTAATTCATTGATTTATTTATTTATTTTAAATTGCTATTATTTATACTCACTCATTCGTTTTAGAATCTTTGTATGTTTTTTTTTTAAAGTTTCAAATAATAATTATTTAATTTAAAAACTTTCCTCTTTCCTCTTTTCAATTTAAGATTTTTTTTTGAAAATCCTCTAAAATTTAAAAAAAATTATTTAAAAAATAATTATTTAGCACAATTAATGTTATATTTTAAATAGAGAAAAATAATTTAAATATTTAAATCTATATTTAACATTTTGTTTCAAATCAATATTTTTTTAAATTGATATAATAATTTTATTTATATCAGAATTGCTACTTTTTTAAACTTCAATTTGTTTATTAAAAAATAGATAAATACTTTTAACAAATTATAAAATTAAAATCATAATGTAATTTTTTTGTATTTTATTATCAAGATTGTTTATGGGATAGGAATAATTCAGTTTTTAAATTTAATGATTTTGTTTCGTAAAACAATTATAGGTAACAATAACTTGAGAGATGGTAATTGAAGTAGATTTTTATTTGGAATATTAAAAATTAATTATGTTATAAATTAATTGAAATATTTAAAGCTTAGTGAGTTAATTATAAATATTTAAGTAAATATAAGTCCAGCCAGAGATACAAAGATTATCGGATAGAGAGGTTTTAAAATTACAAATTTAAATTAGCAGAAATAAATTTTGTATTTATAATCAAGCTTAGCTTTTGAGTTGATATCATTTATTTATTTATTTTTATTAAAAAGATAGAAAAATAATTTGATTAATCATAGAATTATTCATTAAAATTTCAAGTTAAAAGTTGTTATCAATAAATTTCAATCATAAAAATATTTAGCGTTAATTTGGGCAAGTAATTTTTAAAAGATGGATAATGAGCTATTTTTAGATAATTTTGATATGAGTCCTATCTGCGCAATAGGTACTCCTTAGTCAAAATCTGAAACACCTGTTCATAATTATAGATATCCTGTTAAAATAAACTTGTAATACAACCCAATGTAGATTAAATTTGACTTATTTTGCATTTTGAGTTAAAAATCATAAATTTAAAAATAAAGTGAATTACCCGTAAGGAGAGCAAATAACGACTATGGTTTTGAAAATGACGAAGTTTTAAGCTAACCAAAATATAAAGTTATAAAATTCAATTCAAGCAGAGATATTCAGCAAGGAAGCATCAGAGACTGTAAAAATTAAAAAGAAATATTTACTGATTTTTTAATCGATATTATCTAAAAAAAAAAAGTTTCTGAAAATTTTGTTTCAAAAACTATTCCAGTGGAGAAAACTTTTGTAAGGATTAACTATTTAAAGAACAAGGAGAAAGAAGTTAAGACTGTTGAAGATATTGTAGGATGCTCAACGATTTCTACAGTTAACTAATCTTGTAATGAAAAAAGCTAAGTAGTCAATCCATAAAAAAAATAGAAAGAGAAAATTAAAAAAGCAAATCTTTCTAAATCAATATCTAAAACAACAATAACTGATACTTCAAAAAATTGTATGTTACTTAATTTTTTTTTTGATTACCTAAAATTTTAATTAAACCTTTTTAAAAATTTTAAAGAAGCTTAGAGCTACAAAAAAAGATCTTCCATTTCTAATTCTTCTAAATGTGCCCTACCATCTGCAAGATCGATGAGTAAGAAAGGAGGTAACACTCCTAGTAAAAATAATTCGATGAGTGAAAGAAAATCAAATAAAAAAAATTATTAAACAATTATTAGAACAAAATCACCTTCCCATAAATTAGTAAATAACAGTTCATCAAGTTGCTGCAGTTGTTGTAAAAGTCATGCATCTCCTCTTTCATCTTCAGAAAAAAATATGGTTTTACCTTCTGAAGGTGGGTAATCTTCAGTATATCACTCCATATCGCAAAGGTAAATAAATCATTTAAAAAGTGATAAAACAATACTTAGTGGTTTTACTTTAAATATTAATAGAGCTCAGTCTGTTAACAGCAAAAAAAGTAATTAAAGATCAAGTTTTAACATCCATTTTGATCTAAGTTCTGAGTGGAATCATAAAAGCAGTATTCTCAGTTAAAGTGGATAAAATAGAACAAGTGAGTACCTTTAAAAAAAATTCTAATAGATATTTGAAAGGAAGCAAGAAAAGATTTAAATTAAACAAATTTAACATGCTGACAAAGCCATGAGAAACGAGCTTTATGGAATGTTTTCTCGTTAATCTAGAGATATGAGATAAAAAAAGCTTTAGGAGTTATCTATGTTTGAGTAGATGTAAAAATAGCTAATATAAACTGTTGATCCTGAAAAAATCTAGAAAGTCCAGGAAATAGTTAGATAATCTATTGAGAAATATTCACGTAATTAATTGTACATTTTGTATTTTATTCTATATTAAAAATACAATTTCAGTATAAAAATAGACTGAAAAGGAAGAATAAGAATAAAAAGAGAACTAAAAAAAAGAATTGATTAAGAAAATAAAGGAGTATGATTAAAAGGTCAAACAAAATAATTATTTAGTTTCAGAAAGAAAATCTAAAAGTAGAGAAAATAGCCAAAAGAAAGACATTTAATATAAGCCATGGGGTATTGACTAACGTAAATTTGACAGTAAGCCAGCTGAAGTAAATAAAGTAAAAATAGTCAAGAAAGACTAAATTGATCTAAAAGTCTTGTTTAGTAAGAATGAAACAGTTAATTAACTGCTAAAGTAAATAAAGAATGAATAAAAAAAGAAATAATCTGAAGATCAATAAGTTTAACCTAAAAAAAATTAGCATTCACAATCTTCAAATGATATTAGATAAGAAAAAAAAATAGATGCAAATGAGTTTAACAAAAAAATGGAAGAAAGGCTGCAAAAGATTATTGAAGAGAAAAAAAATAAAGCAAACGAGCTTAAAGTGAAAAAGCAAGATTTAAATCATAAACTAAGCAAAATAGAATAAGTAAGAAAAGAAAGTATCTCTAAATGCAGGAAAGTACCATTTAAGCCAACCTAAGAATAAATAGAAAAAGCATTCAATAATATACAAGAAGAAAATTAATAGAATTTATCAAATCAATAAAACCAAGAAATCTAAAAAAACTAAAACATTCAAGTTAAAATAAATAATGAGCCAAATACAAAAAGCAAAAGTAAAAACAAAAAGTCTAAAATTTACGCATAAGTTTGATTAAGCAGTGTGTATTTGTGTATAAAATTTTTGATAAAAATTAATATAAAGTTTATTTAGTTAATTAAAATATATTATTTATTATTTGTTTGTATATAAAAAGGAGTTCAAAAAAAACAAAAATTAAACAATAAAATTAATTTTTTTTAATTCTTGCTTATTTTAATGTAGAAAATCGTTTTAAGAAATTGTAGTTTCTATATTTTTTAATTAAATTAAACTCATGTTGTCATTACATATTTTATTATTAAAATATAAAACATTTTAAACTGTATATACTAATTAACTAAGGAAGAGAGATTTTAATTTTAAAAACTGAAAATTTAGCTTTTTTTCCCCAAAAATCATCTTTAATCTTTGAGTATCTACATTATATGTTTTTTAAACTTGGTTTAATGTTCTAAATTATTTACAATTAAATAAAAGATGTTTATTATAATTAAAAAATACTTAAATTTATTATCTTTTTTTCAAATTGAAATATATTTAAAAGGAAATATCTAACTCTAATTATTTTTAATGTGATATTTAAGATTTGTTATTTGCTAATTTGTGTTTTATAAAAGATATTTTAAATTATAAAAACAAATAAATCAATAGTATTGAAAATATCTTCTACAATAAATATTACAATTTATTTTTTGAAAATGTTTGTTTATTCTTTTTTAATTTATTTATTTATTTTTGAGTTGATTAAATAATTTAATAAAAAATAATTTTTAAATGATTAAAATTATTATAATTTAATAGCATTGCCAAATATATTTAATATCAATAAAATAAATAAAAATTTAATGCAAATAAAACAAATCATTAAATTAGTATCTTTTTCAAATAAAATTGTTAATTATGATTTTTATAATCTGATCAAAATCTAAATTGATCAATCAATCAAGCTATCTATCTATCTTTCTGTCAATAAAAACTAGAAAAATAAGTTTTGTTAGAAATTAGAAAAAAGAAATTTTTTTATTAATTATTAATTAGGTATTAAGACATAATTATATCTGAACTCAATTATCTTTATTAAAATAAAGTACTTGATATAACAAATGGGCAATTAATTACAAACTAAAAAGTAAAAAGATGCAGGATTCTTCTTTATTGAGAGTTAGAATTAATCCTATTATCTGCATATCAGTAAAATCTTGTTTAAATAGGATTATAAATTAGAATTGAATTGCTTATCCTAATTGTAGCTCTAATATAATAATAAAAGCTTGGAAATAATTAAATTAGAATCTACTGAACAATTTTATGTGATTCAATTACCTCAAGAGGAGGATGACCTTTCTTTATGTGTCTAAGGGTTATAGTAAATTCTATAAAATCAAAAGTAGTATTTATTATAATCAGATATTAGGATTTTACCACTATTTAAGCAGAAATATATTATTCTAGAGAAATTAGATTCTACTATTGAAGAATATTTTATTTCTAAACATTTTGCTTAGACATAAATATAAGGCTAGATATCTAACAAAAATTTAGTAGAATTCTTATTAGACCAAACAATAGCAGAAAGGTATACCCTTTACGTGAACCCTGAAAACGTTAGAGATCTAGCAGAAAATATTCAATAGGATCAAACTCAAATCAAAAGAATACACTTTAAAAATGTTCGTAGTCACAAGTATGTGAAAAAAATTAGTGAGAAATTGAATGATATTTATTTAGAAAATCCAGCTCTTAAATCTCATATAGGAAGCATAATTTTTGATAATTCAGATACTTTTGATCCTAAAAACAATAATTATATCACGCAATTTAATTAAACTTTATAAAACTTTTAACACACTTAAGAATTCATTTTAAGAAATATGGATTATGGATCGAGGAATAAATTTTTGAAAAATCACTTCCTTCCATCATTAAAGATTTTAAAGGATATAAAAACACTTGATTTAAGTGGAAATAATATTGATGAGTTTTTCCTTTAGTAACCCTAATATTCAGCAAATTAAGAGGATTAAATTAATTAAGAAGAATATTTCTAAACTGAAGATGAAGAAAAAGAAAAAAATGAAATTGGGGATATTCATTCATAAGAAGGATAGGAAGCTTAGTAAAATATCTTTATTTTTGAAAATTTAAAGAATTTATGTTTGAATTCGAATAACTTTTTAACTTCTTAAAGCATTGAGACTGTATTTTACTCTAAAGCATTATCTAATTTAGAATATCTTTATTTAATTAATAATAAAATTGGCCAAATATAAATTAACGACCATAGATTTGCACTTAAAAAACTCACTTATTTGAACTTAACAGCTAACAAAATCAACAACTCATCTGCACTTGCAATTTTCACATCTAAGAGTTTGTGCTGCATAAAAAAACTCATACTTAGATCAAATGATATTTAAAAAATAGTTGAAAATCCTGAATAGTGCTGTTTGAATAACCTTGAATATTTAGATTTAACAAAAAATAAAATCGAATCTGATTAAGTTTACTTAATATTTTCTACACCTGCTTTTTCTAATTTAAAAGAGCTAATTTTGTGCATGAATAGTAAAATAACAGAATTCCCTAACGTAACAAGAGACAATTTTACTTTGTAATCGCTTTAACATCTAAAACTCTCTAAAAATTAAATATCAACAAAAGGCTATTTGCAATTTTTAGAATACCTACCAGCTTCTTTAGAGAGCTTAAATCTTAACTCTAACAAAATATCTTTGAAAACAGAGGACTCTCTATAAATAGATAAAATTTTTGCTGAAAGGAGCAATTAATAGCTAAATTTAAAGATTCTTTAAATGAATAATAATTTGATTATAGATATATCTCATATTTTAACATATTTTAAAAATTTAATTGTGCTTGATTTATCTCACAATCTCATTAGCAAATTAAGTTCTTTTAAACTAGATTTTATCTTCAAAATTGATCTCAGTTACAATTAGCTTATCTCTACTGAAGAGTTGTTTTAGCAATTACATACTTCTGTATTTTTAAACTACCTGAACCTCTCAAACAATTAAATTATTTCTGTTTTAAAACATACCTATGGTCCTATTAGCATCAAGCGTTTAGATTTATCCTTTAACCAAATTTCAGATATGTCTTCTTAAATTCTATTCTCTTGCTCAAATTTGGCAAATCTAGTCTAACTAAATATGTCATTTAACTATATATCTTTCCCTATAATTCTAAATAACCTGAATAAGCTGGAGTGTTTGTATCTAGCATCAAATTAAATTAACTAATAAGGTTTTTATTTACTTTTGAGAAAATTATTTTTTTTAATTTTTAGAGGAAAAATAGAAAATTTTAAATCCTTTTTGTATTTTAAAATTAGGTTTAGATAGTTTGCTAAATTAAAAATTCGATTCCCTAAAAGAGCTGGATTTATATTCGAATAAGATTCAAGGTATTAAATTTAATTAAAACCTGGAATTAAATATTTCTTAGCTGAAAAAAGTCATCTTATCCAAGAACTTACTTGATTCTTTTGATATTTTCAAAAGCTTGTTTATATTTAGATATGTTGAAAATCTTAGCTTAGATGGTAACTTGCTTGCTCTTCCTGATGAAACTTAAGAGAAATTGCCAGAGTTTATTGAATAAAATAAAAATCTTACAATAAGCATTTAAAATTTTTCTTACAAAGATGGATTAATTGACTCAACAATAGCTGAGAGTATTTTGAGATTGTTAAATAAAACTAAAAGTATAAATTTAAGTAAAAATTAGATTTAAATCATTCAAAAATTAGATAATAAAATGCTAGAGAAATTAGAATTAAGTGAAAACTGCCTCAAATCTGATTCATCTCATAATATCTTTGCTTCAAATATTCCTAATTTAAAATTCCTTAATATTTCAAAAAATTAAATTAATAGCTTATTTGATCCTGAAAATATCATAGACTTCAATCTCTAGAAATTAGAAGAATTGGATTGCTCTACAAACAGCATTTGTGCTAAAAGCTGCTAAACAATATTAATGAGTTCTTAGTTTGAAAACTTATAAAAATTAAATTTTAGGTATGTTGATATTTTTTTATTTAATTATATTTTTTATTAAAACAAATTAAAAAAAGAAATAATAAAGTTTTTCTACCAGTGCCTTAGATGTAAACAGAAATAAAGTGTCCAAAATTATTTTAAATAATTCTTTAAAACAATGGTATAGAGACTCATGCTGCAGATTTTCTATTTTCTTCAATTTCTTCTTCTCTTAAATTTTTAGATTTGTCATATAACAAGTTGAATGAACATATACAACTTAAAGAAATTGGTTTATCGAACTTAGAAAGCTTAGACCTAAGCGGAAACAATCTTGGAGATTAAGGATGTGCTAAATTTTTATAGTGTATAGAATTAAGATAGCTTTTCAATTTAAATTTAAGTATGAACAAAATGAGAGTTGTCCCAAACTAATTCCTTTTGCCTTCACTTTGGTATTTAAACATAAGTGGGAATTCTTCAATAGGGATTTATACAAAAATAGAAGAGTATTAGAGTTAAAATTATTTCGTCAAAGTCATTTTATGAGCTAATAAATTATTTTAAAAGCTAAGATTTAAATGAGATATTGTTTTAAATCATTCATTTACTATTTTTTTACTATTAATTTAATTTATTTTATATTTGTTTATTTGTTTTTTTTAATTCAATTAATAAGTCTTAGTTAATACCAAACAAGTAATTTAATAATTATTAAATTTAATTTAGCGGTTAATTTGAGTATAATCTATCTTTTTGTTATAATTTAATAAATTAAATCGCGCAAAAAATTAAAATATTACAAAAAAAAAAATATTTATTAAAAAGCTACTTATTTAAAAAAAATGAATTCTGATTAAAATTTGCTATAAAATGAGCAATTTAGTTAAGTCTTTCAATTTAAGAAAGAAAAATTTAGAGTAGAGATAAGGAAGAAAAATTTAGCTTAGGAGCTCCATCAAAGAAGAATGAAAATAGGAAGTATTGAATAAGTAAAAACTTAGAAAGCTGATAAAAAGTAATATTTTTCTGGATATGAAAATGTAAAAATTGATCAAATCATATAAAATTTATTTTAATAATGATTCTAATAAATAGAAATATGAAGAGGAAATATAATTGGCATACTTGGATTTAGCTGACTATTTGGAAAAATTAGACTTTGATGGAATTTATGATGTCTTAATTGCTTTTTATTAATTTATTTAAGATGATTAAGAAATGATAAGTCTCAAAGCTCCAAAAATTGTTTAGAGCGGAGTTTTATAGATATTTTCATATTTGATAAGTGATTAATTTGATTAAATGCAAAATATTGTAAATGTTATTATGGAAATATTTTGCAATCTAACAACAGGATCTGCCTCTTAAAATCTTACTATATATAATATCGCTTTAAAAGATAGACTACTAAAATTCTTAGACTTCAACCTTAATCCAAATATAATTGATAGCGTACTTTTTATAATTATTGTATTAGCTCAATTAAATAAATTAATTATTAATAACAAATATTAGGTTTTACATATTATATCACACTTCTGCTATGATGTCACTCCCATAAAAGAGGATTTAATGAGATAAGGACTAATCTAAAAAGTAGTTGAATTATACAAAAAAAAGAGACTAGGATTATATACTAAATAAAATAAAGAATTTTATAGCACTTATACTTGGTGTTTGAGCTCTATAGCTTCAGATGAAAATCTTGAATTAAAAGAGGTAAATGTTTTTTTTATCATAAATTTATGAAAAATTTTTTAAACAATAATTAGGTTTTAGAATTAAACTTAGTAGCAAATGAACTCTTTCTTGAAATAAAAGATCAGAGCTCTGCTAAAAATTTACTTTGGTATTACTACCGAATCACTCATAATGCAGGAGATAAACTATCAATTATATTAGCAAGCGATGAGAAAGGATTAGTACTTCAAAAAATGATAGATTGTCTAAGTCTTTAAAAAGAATAGATTTTAGTATCTCTTTTAGCATTCTAGCCTCTTTCTAATTTCTTGTAAGCAAACGATGAATAGCTAATTATATAGCTCCTAAATAAAAAATTATTAGATGGATTAAATTATTTAATCTAAACTTGCTCAAAATAAACTAAAACTATAGAAACCATTTTTTGGTCTATTTCTAACATTGTTTTGTTAAGCAATGAAGTACTAAAGTATATAATATCTCATCCTATATTTGAAAATATTATTAAAGCAGCATAAATTTACTCTGATAAAGTAAGATAAATTACAAATTTATATACTTAATGATATTTATTTTAATATTTAGATTTAAAGTGAGGCAATAACCTGTCTTTGCCATGTATAATAACTATGCTCTTACTAACAGATTAATTTATTTTATCACCTCAAAGTCTATGACATCTTAATAAATGAGCTACAAGAAAGTAAAGACGAAGATATTTTACTAAAAATAATAGATGGTTTATATTGTGCTGTTTAAAAAGCTGGTCAAGAGAGTGATTCAGAATAATTGAAATTTCTTTCCAAGCTAGAATAGCTCAATTTATCTGTAAAACTTGATAATTTATAGAATTATCCTAGCTAAATTGTATTTGAAAAGGCTATTGATTTTATTGAAACCTTTTATCCAAAATCTAATCTTGACTAATAATGAACAAACATTTAATCACTTTCACAAATACTTTTAATCGAAACAAAAATAATTAAACTATTAAAAAACTCAATCAAAATATCCATTCTTTGGTTTAATCTATTTAGAATACAAAAGAATGAAGTAAACAATTAATTAAATAAAATTTAAAATGATTGATCAATAATTTTTAATGTAATCAATTAATCTTAAACTAGAAAATAAATATATCTTAGATATTTCAATTTTATAAACAAATTTATTTTAAATTTCTCATGTAAATAAATTTAAATTTAGATATAATGTATTAATTAAATGTTAACATTATATAAAATATCATTTTATTTTTTTATTCTATCAACTAGACTAAAAATTTCAATATATAAATTTTAAATCTAATATAAATAAATAAATTATTAGTTTTTTTTTTATTTTGCTAAAAAGCATTTCTTTAAACTTTTGAATACACACTAAACAACTATTTTAAAAAAAAAAATTTCAATTTGTTTAGCTATTTTGCTAAGGATTATTATTTAAATCTTAACTTTGATTTTAGTTATCTTCGTTGCTTAATTATTTTAGTTTAGCTACTGTAAATTTATCGATTTCTAGCTCTATTGACTCGAGCCTCTAAATCATCATAATCAGGAATGTCTTAGTCTTGCTACTTTCATTCTGTAATTTTTAAATATCTTTTACATACTTTTCTTTATCTGATAGTTTCTTCTTGATGAAGATTTTATTAGAAGAATTGACACTATCATAAATATTTGAAGAGCGTTTACTGATTTCTTTAATCCTATCAAAAATGCTTTTCTTTTTATTCAAAAAAAGGTTATTTTGAAAACACTAAGCTATATATTTATTTATATTACTTATTTTAGCATGTATTTTGCAACATTTTCATCATATTTTTTTTTAACTTATTCCATGGTTTATTCTAAGTGAGAAGAGTCTATTTTGAAATTTATAATCTCAGGATCTTCTAATAAAGGTTTTTTCTTTTATTTACGGCAATTTAAAAAATGGAAAAATTAAAAATTATTTTACTATTTTTATGCTTTGCAACTCTTATATCATATGATCTGTTTCTTCTTCTTTCTTTTCAGCATCTGCCCTGACAACTGTAAGGATATTTTACTTAGTCTAATTAGAAGATTCTTAAAATTAATTTTATTGTGAGATCTAATCATTTTATGGAGTCTCTTAGTTTATTTAATTCTTTTTAGGTGATGAAAGATTGATTTCTTATATGTTTTGATTATTTTATAATTAATTAGTTTCTAAATTGTTTTAGTTGTCTTCTGCACTTTACTATTTTTATTCTTCGATTTGTTAATCTGCTTGATTATCAATTTCTATTCCATTTTAAGCTAATATATTTTTAATATTTAACCCTGATTCTACTTCATCATCATCTTCATGATCTACTTATTGATTTTACTAGCTTGAAGCATTCTGATTTTAACTATTGCTAGCTTATTATTTAAGTTCTAATTTTTACTAATCTAATTGTTACTAATTTTGCTTTTCTTTATTTAGATTACTTTCTTCTTTTTGCTGATTATTATTGTCATTATTATTTACATCAATATTATCTATTTATTCTTCTTAGCTTTTTTAACTGTTTTTGTCTTTAGAGCTATCTTCATCTTCATTTTCACTGTTATCTTCATCGCTATTATCATTATTCAAATTCTTTTTAATACGATTGAGTAGATCTTGAGCATCCTCCTCCTCACTATCGCTATTACTTCTTGATGACATTTTTGAAATGGAAAAAGTTTAATAAAATTAATTAAAAATATAATTATTGCAAAAATTAGTATCTTAAAACACAAAAAAAGTAAGAAAAATAAATTCCTATCAAATATAATATCTTATTCTTTAAAATAAATAAAATTGTAGTTAAAAATTAAAATATATCTAAAGTATTCAATAATTGAGCTTAAAATATTGTCTAATTAAGCTAACAATTTTTGAAGATTTTAAAAATAAATAAAAAAAATAAGTTTTTATGAAATATTTTTAATTAAAAATGTAATGTATGTATGTATTTATTTATTTATTTTATGCCTTTTGCAATCTAGTTCTATTTCTTATTTATAATTTTACTATTTTATTTAATTAATTAAATGTGATATTGTACTGAATTTTGTTTGTTTATTTTATAAGCCTACTAGTTGATATTTCAGTTCATTAAGGTTCAAGTAAAGCGCTGGATAGGTATTTGGCTCAAGTTAAATATTTATCAATCAAATCCTTAAATATCGAATTTTATAATTTAAATATATTTATTATGATAACTTAAATATTCTTGTTTGGTCAAGTTATATGAAAATCTATTACAATTATATTAAAGAAATTATGAAAGAAATAGTTAGTTTTTAAAAATATTTTCAAAAAATACTTGATACAGTAATGTTTAGTTTCTAAAATTCTTTTATTTAAATAAACTGACTGAATTATTTTTGAAAGAATTTTTTAATTTCGCTTTAAAAAGCTTAATTTTACTTTTTAATAATTTTTACTTATAATAGAAAGTTTAATTATTTTGAATCATATGCGCTTGCATAAATTACACTATTCTATGTTAATATTTTAAATACTATATCTTAAGATTGCTTTAAATACATTTCTTGCTTAAAAAAAGAATCATCCTCAAGTCTTTCACCTTTAATTATTGTATAAATCAAGGTATTAATTTATGCCACTCCATGTTTTTTAATAATTTATTAAAAAGATAATTGTAAAATTAATATTTATTGATATGCATTTTGAAATAAATTGGATTTTATTTTTGATAAACATATCTTTAAATCATATTCAAAATTGAGGGTAAACTAATTGATTAATAAGGCTTCAATTTTTTACAAACATGAATTGAGGAAAATTTTTCTATAAAATTATAAAATTTGTGAAAAGTATTTATTCATTTTGTAGAAGAAAATCTAATCTTAAAAATGTAGTAAATTAAAGCTATCACAAAAATTTATTCGATTATTAGACATGTATATAGAATAGTTAAAATAGTATGATTATTGTGCAAGATGAATGTAAAAGAATCAGTATACTTGAGTGAGAAATTACCATTTTCTATTATTTTATTTAATATATATTTATCAGGTTATATAAATTTTCTTTATAATTAGTTTATTTGTTCTAAAATAGAATAAGCTGAATCAAAATTAATTAAAGAGCGCCCAGATTTTTAAAAAACTTACACTTTAAAATTAATGTGTAATTTTTTCTTCTAATAAAAATATAAATTGGGAAAATTTATCTCCAAGTAGTTGCCTAAATTAAGAAATATATCAAGCATATTTTTATATAATTTTTAATTCAAAAATTTGTGCGAGTAAGAAATTTTTTTAATTAAAAAAGAAAATATTAAATTAAAATTGATTAGATTTCTCCAAGTAATTGAGTGTAAAAATCCGAACGACATTTTGGATTGCAGCCAGCTGAGAAATTTAGCAATCTACTTTAAAATATTTATAGCTTGAAGTCAATAAGATAAAAGGGATTTAGCACACACACAGCAAATAATTAATTAATTAATTAATAAGAATAATATAAAAAATAAAGAAAACAATACAAAAATTAGAATCTTATTATATAGTTTTTTGATTCAGAAAAGTAACCTAAAAATAGCTAAAAAGTATATTAATAAAAAATAAAGCCTCTCTAAAATATTGCCTAATTGGTAAGGAGAGGAGGGATAAAGATATGCAAATAAGTGTAAAGCCCCCTCTGGAATATCTTCAAGAGCCTGATAGCTAAGCTTAATAACAGAAATAATAAAGCATTTTTAATAGTTTGATTGGTAAAAGCACAAACAAAAAAAATAGGGTGCTAATTTTCTTATGTGTATAGATAATTTGTTTCATACTAACAGCATTGATTTTAGCTTTTTTGTATATATTTCTTAGCAAGAATTTTATAATTGGATTTTATTATCTACCTTTAGTAATAATTTACTGCATTCCCCTTCTATTTATCTATGTCTGCTCAAGTGAAATCAACTTGGTTTTTGTAATTTAGGTAATCTCAATATGCTCTCTTTTTATCTATATGACGGTATTTATTTTGATATATGTTGGAGTATTTTAGACAATATTTAATTACAGATTTGATAGATTTTAATAAAATTGCACAATAGAAGGTGTTAAAACTATAAATTTGCATTCAAATGAAAAATATAGCATTATTTATGTTAAATTTTAAGACGCAACTGGTTCTGTATAATATGGGTAAGCATGTGCTAGCAATAACATTTACAGTTCTCTATTTGACACTAATATCTAACCTTATCGTTTTGTTCCCTATAATGATACTTACTATCCTTTAAATTATGATTAATAAGCTCAAAGATATACATTTTCATAAGCCAAAATTCCGAGTTGGTTTTGCATGCAAGATGCATAATTATAGAGTATTTTAAAGTCAAATGATAATGATTAGTTTGTATTTCCTGTATGTAGGGTTAACTTATATAAATAATAAGTGAGTTACACATACTAAAAAGGAGTTTCAGATATACAAAAAGATGATAATTTTTTTATTGTTTCTCTTTCATAGTAAGACCCTTATTTTAATTAAGCTCTCTTTGTGATTTTAATTATTTTAGCATATCAACCTTTGACTCTTTATTCTCCACAATTTATTGCTTTGTATATAATTATTAAAGTTAGTTAAATGTAAATATTCAGAAACAGATAAAATAAATAAAAATAATTTTAGAACTCTACCAATAGGGTTTCAATTATAAATTTATAAAAAGTAAAGGCTTAAAGTGATAAAATTTCAGAAAAAATATAAGAAAATGATTGCGATTCAGAGAAATACAGTAACTATGATCAATAAAAATAAGCAAACATGAACACAAAGTCTAAACTAAACACATAAACACAAACAACAGCTTAGTAGGTTATAATAAATAATAACCTCACTAATAATGAAAATATTAATCTTATATTCAACAACAATAAAATCGATAACCACTTTTACTTTAATTAAAATAAAAAATCTAGTCCTAATCAATAATCACCAATCGTCCAAAAGTTTTTCAAAAGATATTCTGTTAGTTTGAAAGACGAAAAATCTAAAAGAAATTAGCAAAAGAACTTCTCATCATGCGATATTTCTAATTAATCAATTTCTATTAATTATTACCATGAAAATACTTTGTTTCACCTAGAATAATATGATTAACTAGATATACCAAATCCACTTTTAGATTTAGACTCATAAAGTTCTGAAAACACAGAAAAATAAAAGTAATAAGATCAGCAGAATAATAATTTAAAAGAAGTCGATGTGCAAAATTAAATCTGAAATCAATTAACTAAAATAATGTAAATAACAATAGTAATATGTAAAATAACAAATTAACAAACAACCAATATCTATTTCAATTTTAATCAAATTTATTTAATTTTACCAATTAATTAATTAATTTATAAAATAACTCTATTTAGCTTAAAAGTCTTGGATATAATTTCCTGTGCAATGTTTTCTGTTTTAAATCATTTATTTTATATGCTTTTATATAAAATAATTTAAAAATTAATACAATTAAATTCATTTTAATTTAAATTTATTTTTAATAGCTCTAAATATTTCTTTGATTATTAAGAAAAAAATGCTTGAGTTTTAAATTTATTTTTGATCTAATTTAATTTTACTATGAAAATTTCATCCATTTTCATTAAAAATTAAAAAATATTTTAAATATATTTTTTTGTTTTATCAAAGCAAAATTAAAATTTTCATAATATTTTATGTTTGATTTTTAAAAAAGTGATTAAATTATTTTTATTTTTCATAATTAATTATAATTTATCCATCAAACAGTATAATTTTAATTAACCTAAAAATAAATTTTATACTTCTAGCTGTAATATTGAAAAATATAATAATCTAAATAATATCTTGAATAAATTAGAAAAAATTAAACAAATTTATTCAATTAATAGCCTTTTACTATTTTTTTTCAATTTTAATTGATTAATGATTATAATTAAATTATTTTTTTCAAAGCTATTTTTAATTTAGAAAACAACAATAGAAAATTCCAATTAATTGCTGTAATTGATTTGAAAAATATATTTTTTATTTTTTATCAAATTGAAAAGTATAAATAAGATAATCGATTATATCTTACATAAATTAAAAAAAATTAAACAAATTTATTTAATTAAAAGTTTTTTACTAACTCTTCTCAATATAAATTTAAATTATAGTTAAATTATTTTTTTCAAAACTATTTTTAATTTAGAAAACAATAGAAAATTCCAATTAATTGTTGTAATAGATTTGAAAAATACATTTATTTTTGATTTTTTTTTTAAATTAAAAAGTATAAGATAATCAAAATTATATTTTGCATAAATTAGAAAAAGTTAAATAAATTTGTTTAATTAAAAGTTTTTACTAAATTTTTTCAAAATAAATGTAGATTATTGTTAAATTAGTTTTTTCAAAGCTATATTTATTCAATTTAGAAAAAAATAGAAATTTCCAAGTAATTGTTGTAATAGATTTGAAAAATACATTTTTTATTTTTTTTATTAAACATATCATGATTTAAAATTTATTCAAATTTTAACAAACTTTTAGCTCTTTCATGATTGTGATGAACATAATTAGGCATGAGATATATTGCTTTGCAAACAAGCAGTATCCATATATTTATTTATTCTTCATATTAGTAAAAAAAAAAAAATATGGCTTGATGCAATATTGTTGAATAATTTTTTAACTTATTTTACAAATGTATTTTTATATATTAGGCATGTCATACTTTAAATTCATTTATTATGAAGAAAAAATATGTGATATTGCTTATTTTTATGTTAAAAAATGATGGAAAAACACTGAATTTATAAAAAAATACAAGCAAAACTCTTTTAGTTTGAAAAAATTTTATATTTAAAATAATTTTTGAGGTATTTAATAAATTTATTGAGTTATTTGATTAAGTATTGTTGTCTTTTTTTTAGTATTTTAGAATTCAGTAAAAAGAAATTTAGAAGTTTAGAAAATGAGTTGGATTCTTTCATTTTACACAAACTTTTTTAATTTATTTACTATTTCAAAGGAGTAAGCTATATCAAAAACTATTGGTATATTTTATTTTATTATTAATTACTAAGCACATTAAAAATAAGCAAATCACTTAAAATATAATTTACTCTTCACTTCAGAAATAATGGATTTGCAATGATAAATAAATTTTCAAATTAATAAAATCGGCGTCACATACAAACAATTTATATCATAAATAAAAAACAAGCACTTGAAAAATCAACTCTTTATCCTTAATGATAATTAATTTAAAATTAAAAAATCTTTAAAAATTTGTAAAAAATGCAAGATATAAAACAAAGAAAGAATTAGGTAGAAGAACCTTCCGAAAAAACAAAGTAATAAAAAGGTGATGCTACTCCTACTGGGTAGACAAAGAGTGTTTATACTTCCACTTATCCTTCTGACCACCCTTTACATAGGTTCAAAAATTATTTAAGTGTAGATCTGATAGGCGGACCTAAGTTACTTCAAATGAATTGGATTATCAATTTAACAAAAGGATTAACTCCATTGTTTGTTGTATTTCTTATGTATTATTACCAAAACTTTTCTCTTGGAGCTTACTGCTACATGATTCTTCATGGATCTTATGGGTATTTTACAGCTAATTTTAATTTTTATGAATAATTAATATTTTCCAAATTATATGAATAGAATTTTATGGTTAGTTAAGGATTATATGTTCCCTGATAAATCTTTCTAAGTTAAGTAAACTATTTTCTCTAGTGTTGTACTCCTAATAGTTTTATTTGGTTACTGGTCTATTGGATGGTAGATTCTCAGTGGAAAAGGAATCAATGAACCTTCTAATTCTAGAATTACTGCTTGCACAATGCTTTATATCTTTGGTGTTTCAATGATGCTTGTTTCTGATGCACAAAAATTCTATACACTTAAATACAAGTAAGGCTTAATTAATGAAGGTATTTTTGCTCGTAACAGAAACCCTAACTATTTGGGAGAAATGTGCGTCTATGGATCTTTCGCTTTCTTAACTGGTGTTTGGGAATCTTGGATTCCTTTAGCTTTTATGTGGAGCACTATTTTCTTTATGAATATGTATTTAAAGGATATCTCTTTAAGCAGAAAGTAAGGTGGACCAGAATATATTAAGAACAGCTACTTTTTCCTTTTTAAAGTATTTGATTCTGATTTGCATAATATCATCTTTTATGCTGCCTTCCTAATATTCGGATACATCGATTATTCAGTTGGAGGAGCTATTACATTGCTTAAAAACCATTGATAAAAATTATATTTGTATGCAATAAATCCCTTTACATTTCTTTTTGTAAATGTTAATTATTTTTTAATCTAAAAATTTTTAGATACTCTTCAATTTTATTTAATTCTAGTTTCAATTTTGAGCACAAAAATATCTTAACTAAATTTTACTTACTAATTTTATTTATAAATAATTAATATTTTTATAATTCTGAATAAATAATTCTAAATATTTTTTAATTAAATCATTTAAATTTCAACATAAATCTTAATAAATTTAAATAAATTAATATTTTTAAAGTTAATTATCACATACATTGCACAAAAATTGATTAAAAATTTTTAAATTTATCTCTAATAATTTTTATTTAATTAACTAAATTTAATTTTATAAAATCAATTAAGGTTTATTATTATAAAATCATTTTAGTAAACTCAATAATAGCAAAAGAAGTATATTTAACTTGAATAGAGAAATATGTATTCTTGCTATGATAAAAATAGTATGTATGAATTCAATTATTTTTTAAGCAGTTTATCAAATTATCTTTAAAAAATAAACTATTATGCTTGTCTTGGTCAAAAATATTTTCTTGTTCAATTTCACATTTCTTGCTCTTTACTTTGTTCTTGGTTTTTATTTTTTATTTTTACGATTTTGTATTTCTTTCTATATTGCTAGCTGGTCTTGTCTTTATTTTTTTTGTAGATTTGGAAGAACGAGGAAGCTTGGTTTTGTTTTCATCTATTATTTAATCAATATTATACTCAAAAGAATCTTCATTTTAATTTTAAAAATTTTATGATTTATATGAATTTAATGTTTTTAAATTCTCTCCTTCGTTTGTTATTAAGCTTTTTTCTGTTTTCAATTAACTGCTTTCTTAATACTTTTATGTTTATTAAGATAAATTTTTATGCTTAATCTACCTAAAAGAAGCTATATTTTATTTAATCAGGTCTTAAATAGAGTTTTAATGATTTAAATTTATATGCTTAATTTTAAAATTATTCATATTGTAATTAGACATTATAACTGAAGAAGTTGGAGAGGATTAATCATCAAATGAATTGTCATTACTCTGCTTATTACTGAAACTACTTCTTATTTACTTAGTCTAAGCTAAATTTTAAGTAGATCCAGTAATCTAAAATAGTTTGGGATTACTCTTTTTTTACAGTATTGCGTTTGGTGCATTTATTTAAGATGATTCATTTTACATTTGTTAATTTGGTTAAGCTTAGTTTACTTTTTTTTAGCACTTAAATGAAGATTTTTATTTTTAAAACACAAGGGTTTTTTCTGAAATTTAATAGATAGAAGAAACTTTTGAATTTTCTTTGAAAGATTTCATTTTTTTTATCTTTTAAGAACCACTTGGAGGAAGTGTAGGAGGAGAAAATAAAATACTAGATATTTTGTTGGTGATAGGAAGAGTTTCTGAGTAAATTTTTTATGAATTTAATGAAGAAGTAGTAGAATCTTAATTTGTGAGTTTCGTAGTTTAAGTAGTATAAAGTTAATTTTATTTATATGTTTAATCTGACTGTAAGGTACTAATTGTAGTTTGAGATTACTATATATTTTTATTAATTGGACTTGATATTGCTAATGGCTATTTATATTTATCTTTATCTTCACAGTTATACCTGTTGTTAATTAATATAGAGGGAGAACTTTCTTTATGTTTAGAAGATAATTAATTATTGTTTCTTATTATAAGATTTCTTTACTATTAAATTTAATTAATTCCTTTTACAGATAAGCATTCCATAGAATTAGAATGTACAATCTTCTTTTATTAATTGTCTAGGCAAGAGAAACTTGTATGCTCTGAGTTGTATGCTTGTCTATCTAAGGGTTACTATTTTTAATCAAGATATTTTGAGTCCTTTGAAGCAAACTAGATAAATTGTTAATTTACCCATTTGCTTTTGATATTTTTAATAAACTATTATTAGTAAATGCTTAATTGCAAAGCTTATTTGTTAAAAAAATTATCCTAAAAATTTTCAAGTTATTAAGTAGAATCTACAATTAGATAATTACAAGTTTATTGTTAAAATTATATTACTCTTTAATTGTTAATTTATAAATCATTTTATTCTTATATATTTCCAAAGCTTTTTTTTGGCCCGCTCGAAATGCTAACTTGTTAATTTTTATGATAATCCACTATTTTTTGTTTGTATTATTTAGTTATTTTTTATTAATAAATTTTTGTTTGGTTGCAGTATTGCAAAACTGTGTTTTTTATTTAATTATTTTATTTAAGCATAACCTGAAAAAGTTTATCAATATTTTATTTAGTGTCATTAACTTCTATTGATGAGTATATGAGTTCATTTTGCATAGTCAAATGGTAAAATGACTCTTCAACTTCTCTTTCACACAATTGATTTTACTGTTCTGCTTTTTTCATCTTAAATTTCTTAAATTTTACCCTTTAAGTAATGTCTGAGATAGCATATTCACTAATCATTTTCTTAAAAAGCTTCTTTTACTTTTCATTTTTCAAAATCGCTAATTTTATACTTAAAGTTGAGGCAGGTCCTAGAGAAGAAACAACTTAATTTATATTAGATGTGAGTGAGTTATTATAATAATTATTATAACTTAAATTATTGAGTTAGTTATTAGGCTATAACAAACTTAACTAATTCTAAATTTATTAATAAATACTTGAATTATTTATATTTATTATATTATTAACATTAATTTTATTTAGACCTTGTGAATTAAAATTATTTATTTTTGCTTTTAAATTCTAAGAAGTCTAAAGTTAATTTTATAGCTATTATCCCAAAATATTTTTTGGAACTGGTACTATTTACATCGTAGATTAATTAATAATTTTTATTGTATTTGTCGTAGATGTTTGAGAGTTGTCACACATATTAGCTTGATTTAATTTTATGCTTTTTGCTTCTGAAGGGCTCTTCGCACTTGATATTTATTATTTTATTCGAAGATTTTTAGACTGATTTTTAAAGGTCTTTGCTGAGTTGCTATTTTCTATAATATTTAAGTTTTGCTCATTACTAAATGATCTTTGTATTTTGTTTGGTGATTAGCTTTTAAATATTAACTCATCTTACTCTTCATCATTTAAATTAAAAATTGTATCGCTTTCTTCTCTAATCAATACATCAGCATCTAAATCTAAGATATTACAATCTGATGATTACTCTTAATAAAAGCAGTTATTTTAACTTGCCTTTTATTTATAGTTAATGCAAGTCTATGCACTTTTTAGTTGCATTCTGTTTTCACTATTACAATTATTAAGACCCATCACAGAGTTATAAATTTAATTTATATTTTAATTATTCTCTCCTATTCCATTTATTTACTTGTAATTTGACATAGCTTAGCTTAAGTTTTTTTAAAGCTGTTGCATTTTTTATTATTGATGCTATTTAGATGCTGCTTACTAAAGTGCCTATCTTTGCTTAATTGCATCCTTGTACACATCTTCATGTCTCTTGACGATAAAATCAAATCTTTCTTACTCAGCAAATATTCTTGCTCTTGAAAAATTGCAAATATAAATAATTATAGAAGTTAACCTAAATTAATTTTTATAAATGAATTTATGTATTTCTTCTTTAAATTTATTTGTTTATTTTAAAAGATCGTTTGCTTCATAATCTGATCCTTAATCTAGTAATTCGTTGTAGCTTATTTAATTTGCTTAAAGGATAGAGTTTATCAAATTAAAAACTACAATCTTCAAGTTTAGTTAGTCAGCTTTTATATTAAAATATTTTTTAATTGTGCTCTCTTCCTACATTACTCTTTATTTTTCTTCCTTTATGCTTAAAACATATGTGTCATACCCGTTTAAGTAGTATGCCTGAAATTCCTTTTCCTTGAAATTTTCAAATTTTCTATACTCTTTTCTTAGATTACGAAGTAATTTAATTTACTTTTCTCTTTCCAAATATGTTTTTAATAGATAATTTATGTCATTGCACTCAATATTTTTTACCTAATTTACAATTTACTGCTATTGTTATTACTAATTATTAATAGCTGAATTTGAAGAGTTCATCCCTATGAGTTAAACATTCTATGGAGAGTTTTAGCTGATTTACTTTTCCTACAAAATTAAACAAGGCTAAGAAGCGTTAGATTGAGAATTAGAAATAATATTTAACTATTTAATATTCCCTAATAAAGGCTGCTAAGTCTGATTATTTTATTATTAATTATTATTCTTTTATTGAACAAGAAGTTATATGTAATTGCTCACATTATATTGCAGCAATTGAGGTTCTCCTAACTACCCAGGATGGTAAACCCTATTAGTAATATTCCCACTTTAATAGTTACTCATTTAGCGAGGAGATTTCATCACTAAACTAATGGTTTTGTTTTAGAAATATTGCTTTTAAAAATATACGAATGCAAATTAAATAACAATTTATATTATTTTTTAACTACTTTATTACCAATTAAAAATTTAAATTAATTTTTTGTAAAACAATTCCATAAAGATTTAAAACTCTACACATAAATAGTCTGCTTTTTCTTTAATAATATAGCATATATATCTAAAAAGTCAGTGTATTTAATTATTCTATAAATAAAATAAATATTTTTGCTGAATAAATGATCAATCAATCAATTTTATTGTGTTGTTTGATTGGTAGATTTATATTAATAAGATAAGTATTTATTAAAATACTTAACATATAATAGTTATATTAATTATAGAATATACAAAACAAAATTTTATTTAAACGAGGTTTTTTTAAAATTATAAGATTTCATTCAATTTGAAGATCAGTTTATTTAAGATTGAGAATTTTATCGTTTAGCTAGTTTGAACTATGATGTGAAAAAACAGAAACTTTTTTTAACAAATGTGTGTGTAAATTAAAAATATTTTTTATTATAAATAATAAATTGTTAGTTAGATAATTGAATGAATAATTGATTGATTATGTATTTATTTTACCATTTCTGATCCAAAAATCTTTTCTTTTTTTAAGTGGTAACAAGCTCATCATTGTATGAAGCTTTTTAAAATTAAACATTTTATTTTTTCTTTAGTAAGTATAAAAAATTACTTATTCTGCTTTTCTTAATAGAGCCTTAATAACTTCATTTTCAGTAAAGTGTGAGGGTTTATGTTTAGCTAAAGACTTTACATAAGGATTGGCTCCTCTAGCAAGAAGCATCTTCAATATAATTTTATGAATCAAATATTTTATTATAAAAAATTTAATTTTTACTCTACAAGAATTCATATCTCCTCCTATTACACAGTGAAATAAAGGAGTTCTCCCTCCCATATCTTATGCTTCTAAATCCGCCCCATGTTCACATATTAAAGCCATCACGTCAAAAAAATTTCTTCTTGCTGCCCAATGCAGAGGAGTTTATCTTGTCTTTCAAAAGAAAAATTTCAAATAAAATTTCTCATTAATAAAAATTATTTACTGAATCAAAATCATAAACATGATATTTACAGATTTTTAGCATTTTTTACACTTTTTCCAAATCATTTGTTTTCACTGCTTTAAAGAAATCCCTTGAGCCTTCTCTTTCAAATGGAGAGTTAGGAAATACATTATTTATAAATATCTTTTTAATAGAATTTAAGTTTAAATATTATATTAACAGCAAATAAATACTTCATCATAATCTAGCTTAAGTCTTTTTAGCTTCAAAATTATAGTCCATATTGTTTATCTAAAAAGCTGCTTTAATAAATAACTATTGTCTTGTTTAATAATTAAATTTTTTAGCTCAATTAAAGAATCACCAGAGCCTGTTAGATCCTCTTAGAATTTAACCTATTTTTATTCTCCATTTTATTAATCTTGTTTTCCAACTTTTACTTTTTTAATTATATTCAAAGTCTATAAATTTTCTCTAAATGCTTATCTAAATTCAAGTAATTGTTGATTAACCTTCTTAAAATCTTCACATTAATCCTAAAGCTTTTCTTCTTTTTAATTCATATCAATTTAAACCTGTACAAATTAGCTTTGGGCATTTCGATATAATGCTCCTATTTGATTCTTTCTTTAAAAGTTTTTGGAAAAGGTGTCTTGATCTCCAAGTTCAAACCTTATTTAAAAAAAATTAATTAATTCACCCTGTTCCAAATGGTCATATCGTTTATATAATATTTAATATTTTAACATACCTGTAATTTTATAAATAAGAAAGCTATGGTGCTTCTAATTTTATGGTATTTTAATTGTTATATTTTTAATTTTATGGTAATAGCAGAGGATCAAAATTAGCTAAAGAAGGCAGGGTACCTTTAGGTTGATTTTTTGAGAAATTCTTATCAATAAAATTATTTAAAGAAGGTGATTTATTTGTATCAAAAGTTCCCTACTACTTCATCCTTTATATCCTTTCCTATTCCCTTAACTTAATGGGCCTGCTTCGAAGTTCTTCAACAAACTTCATTTACAACTTTTCAATATCTTCAAAATCTTCTGCTTGCTTTCCTTTAAAAATTCTATCGATTTTAGCTGATATAATTTTAGAATTTCCATATAAAACTTTAACACATCCTACAAAATCATCTAAATTATCAAAAAAATCAGTTTTAAAATTAGTACCCAAAAACTCACGTATTTTTTATCTAATAGATGTATCTGAATTATTATCTAAAGCATTACTCATTAGATGAGGAATATTTTCTTATTTAGCATCAGATAGCTTAAAATAATTCATTAATTGCTATTAAGATTATACTCTATAAACTTTTTCTAATTCCCTTTTTTTATTTTTAATAGTTTAGTTTAAAAAGTATTCATCTCTCTCATATTTTTATTCCAGTCTTTCAAGTTTTTTACTCTTTTAGGTTACTTTATCTGCAAACGAAATTTCTTAATTATTACTCTAGTTTGTATGTTTTAAAGACGATACATGGTCACCAAAATTCTTTATATAAATATTTCCATCAGATTTATTGAATCCATGAGCACTTTTATTCAAATTTGGTTGATCTTTTTACTGAGATGATTTATTTGTCTATCCATTAGAATTTACAAATGTAGAATTTTTGATAGAATTATTAATTGCACCTTTTTTTTTTTGGGAAAGTAGCTCATCTATAACTATCATCTTTTCTCTATCTAATTACATTTAAAACTTATTTCTTTTCATTGTTTTTAATGTTTATAATAGCGCAATAATTCTAAAATAATTTCCAAGGTTTGGTTTAGTTTAGTTCTAATTTTTATGCAAGTGAAGTTATAACACAAAAATTTTTTAATCAATTAATTAAATATATGTCGAAATTAATATTTTAATGCAATGTAATAATTAATTAATAATAAATTATTCTATTTGATGGTTATTCTTAAAATTTAATTTACAAAATTTTAATAAATAAAAAATATTTTATTTTACATGATAAAATAAATTAATTATTTGCAAATAAATATATTATTTTAGATTACTTTTTAACTTTGTAGATTATTTTTTTAAAATATTCGAGCAAATAGATGATAAAAATAATAATATTCCTTAAAAAAAGATATATTAACATACAAATAAGTGCTAATAAAAGTTATACTCAATTGTTATATATTAAAATCAAAACATTATTCCATATTTATTATAATCTAATTATTGAATTACTATGGGAGTATAATTTGGTTAGACTTCACTTGGATTAAAGTAGATATCTAAGTTAAATTCTTTAAAGCAAGAAATCAGTGTTGGCCCATATAAAAAATTTTATTAGGCTTCATGATTATGGTAAATAATATTAGCTACTAGTGTCAAAGTAAATGTAAATAATTCGCTTTAAAGCTTTTCTGTGATATATCTATAATTTATTTATTCTTCTCTTAAGTTTTTTAACTATTCTTTAAATCTTTAAAATAATGATCTGCTCTTTTCGTCAAATGGCTAATTTTGGCATCCTTCTAAGAGTTATATAAATAAATCGAGCATTCTTTTATTCTTTGTTACCTAAAATGACTTGAAAGACTTTAGAAGTAAAGAGGTAATTACAACAAATCTAGGAAATAGCTTTTCATCAAGCTTATGATTTGTTAAAGATATTGCAATATTTAAATCTGAACTAAAGTCATTTGATTCCATAACAAGTTCAGTTGTCTAAAACATATTATTCATATCTATTTAAAAAAAATATTTTTTATCCTAAAATTCGTCTTTTTTTCTATTTAGTCTACTTTTTGTGCAGAAGATTTTTATTTTTGTTGCTTTTAACTTGCTTTTCTATTTTTTTTTGAAAAGTATCTTGCCTAAAAAATTTTATATTGATTTATCCTTTTACAAAAAATATTATTTAATAATTAATTAATTATCTTTGATTATGATTATTGATTCTGCTTTCTAGCAGTTTGCCAAATATTTATTAGAATATTTAACAAATATAGTAATGAAAAATAAGTATTAGTATGTGAAGAACAATAAATTGAAATAAATATTCACTTATTAACTAATATAAAAGATTATTTTAGAATAATTTTTGTTTTTATTTTATTTATTTCATTTCACCACTCACTCGTATTCAAAGTTAGCTCCTAACTTTAATTTTAATTATTAGAAGTAACCATATCTATTTTTTTATTCTTAGTTTTCTAAGTTAATTATGTCATTATTTCTATTTTATTTTAAAAATCAATTTATTGTCAAGAAAGAAATGTAAAAATTATTTTAATTAATTTAATTAATTACCCCATCAATAATACAATATCTATATCTTCTTCTATGAGAGCATAAGCCATCTCAACCAAGCCTAAACCTCCCATATACTCAATACTATTATTTCTGTAAAATAATTTAAGCTAATAATATCTTAAATAAGCTTATTTACCTAATATTGAGATAAAATCTTTCTAATTTAGGAATAATATTTTAGTCTTCTTCGACACTATCTATATTATCAGATTAGTTTAATTGATCCTTATCCTTTTCTTTATCTAATTTTAGCTGATTTTCATTTTTCTTTTTATGCTTGTTTCCTAATTCTATAATCATTTTACCTATATATTCAGCTCCTTCATATTTAATAATGTTAGATGATAAATCCAATTCAACATCTTTCAATGAAGAGTTGCTGCTAATATTTTCAAATAAAAACTTAATTCCCTAATCAGTGATAACATTCATAGAAAGATTTAATGAAATAAATTTAAGGCACTCTAGACTCTCTATCATTGCTTGTAGCATCTTCATATCTAAATTAATAATACCATTTGACCTTTTATCATAAAAATTAGTGAAATTATTTTATGATTTTAATTTTAAAAAATTTACTTTAAATTCAGTTTTAAATGTGTCATCTTATTTTTATCCAAATTCTATATCTTAGCAAATAAATCTTCAAAAGATGCCAGTTTTCTATTGGTAGTTTATGGTGCACGTATATTTTGCTCCATAATTTCTGAAAGATATTTAAATATTTGTTATTTTGTTATTTTTTCATAATCCTCTACCTATCCTTCTTTATTTATTTTTAGAGAAACAAATTTTTTTAAGGTAAGCTCTTCTGCTATTTCTAATTGATCTACATACTTTTTTAACTCAGTTTACTTTTTGTTCATTTATCCTATCTTTCTAAAGATTACTTTCAAAGGTTTTTCTTCTTCTCTCATTAGAGATTCAAGTTACATTCTCTACTCACCTATAGCATATTTACGATTTCTCCTGATGTTAGTATTTTGCTTTTTCACCTAATTCAAGTATATATCTAATTATTGTAGATTTTACAATTTCTTGATACTCATAGAAAGCTATTAAATACCAGCTTTTTTTAAGTAGTTTTCCCTTTTAATTTATATTTAAAAGTGATTTCAAACAAAATATATTTTATGTTAAATAAAAAATTTATTTACGAAAGGTTTAAATACAACTAATTTAAGTTGACTAGATTACCCAAGGATTTATTAATAAAGGAAGCACCTGATTGATCAATGTTATTATTGCTAATTCAAACATATTTTTAATTTTTATCTAAAAATAATTTTATTATTTACCATAAATCTAGGTGCAAGAATTTTAAATTAACTAAGTTATCCAAGCATTTAGCTAAATTATAGCTTCCTTTCTCGTTTACTAATTATTTTTCACTAGTACCAAATGCTTTATTCATATCAACAACCAATTATTAAACTGGATCTAATACATTTTCTCTTTTTTAAAAAGATTAGTAAAATTAATTTAAAAAATAAATTCTTGAAAAACTTTACTTTAAAATTAGTGTTAAATATTCAATATTAGTAAAGGCTTGAAGTGTATTAAATAATTTATTTGCAGTCTTGTTGCTCATTTCCATATTCTACAAATCGAAATACAACGTTTTTAACTTTGTCAGCTTTGATAGACTCTCACAAATGGCCTCTAAACTTCTGCCTGTCAAAAATTTATTTTATCTATTAATTTAATTATTGATTCAAAATGTAATTTTAGTTGAATTTTTATAAAATTATTTTGTACTTCAAGGTTAAGCTGAACGAATTCAGTTTTGTTAGCTTTGAAAGCTTATTCGCCAAAGCCAAACATCCTAAATCTCCCAACATATTATTACTAAAATCAAGTTTTAAAGTTTAGCACTAGTTCGAGATAGATTCTGCAATTAAAAGGAGTCCATGATTCGTAATTATGCTATCTCTAAAATGTTAATCAAATATTAATGTTATAGATTTATTTATGATTAAAATATATTTTTTTACGGGATAGTGATATCATAGTCAGCATGCCTTGTATGGTTTGAAAGCATTTTGCTTAACCCTTTAGATCCTTATATAGATAAAGGTTGAGAGTAACTATTATTTTGTGAAATAATACATTCAAATATTATTGAAAAAAAAAATAAAAATCTACTTTTTGTTTCCTTCTAATAAGAGCTACAATTCAAACTAACTTTACTTTTGGTCTTGATACTTTAAGTATTTTCCATTTTTAAAAAAACTGAATCGTCTAATCATTCATATATATATTAAATATCATTAATATAATTATTAAGAAGTAAAATTTGTTACTTGGTAATAATAAATCCCATTTAAAACTTATAGTTAGGCATTTCTTCTTACAATTTTAAGTACACTCCATGATCTTCAAAGCTTTTAATAATAAAAAATATTTATTTTTCACACATTTTTGAATCTGAAATACTTGAGTAAGACTTCTAAATATCCAATATGTATGTCTGAAAATATTTTTACAAGCATTTTCTATTCCTCTGCATTTACTATGTGATTACTTTAAAAAAAAAAAATTATTAATGATTATGAGGTAAGAAATTTACGGGACTATTATGTAGAGTTATTTAATTTTATTATCGCTTAAAGGAATTTTAGAATCCAAATATGGGGCTGCTTATTAAGGTAAAGGAGAATCTTTAGATTCTAAAGGAGGTGCAGGTAAAATAGTTTTAGATTAAATCCTTAAACTTTTATCCATATTTAATATATCATCAAATTCATAATAAAATCTTCGATAAAACATTTAAAGTTCTGCCAAAAAGTTAACTTCTGAGTTAGTATTATCATACAAAATGACCATCTATTCACTTAAATTTTTTAAAAACGTTATTTATAATTAAGTAAATCCATTTCACTAGATTTTATAAAATATTAAAAATCTTACGATTAAAAGTAAAATTTTTGGTAAGTCAAATTATTATCAAATTTTGTTTTAATAGTGTTCAAATCTTCTTCATTTAAATCGTTTCCACTTTATTTCAAATATAAAATATTTTATATTTAAACACTTAGTCCAAACTTTTTTATTTTCACAATTAAAAAACATTTTAGAATTTTACTCAAAAAATAATGTGATTTCTTTGCATTTTGACAAGCTTTAAATTAAGAATGAGATAATTTCAGATGCTTTTTTGCTACCTAGTTTGTTATTTCTAAAAAAAAATATATTTTATATCTATCCTTTCTTTGAGTGAATAATTATACTCTAAATTAACTAACACTTTTTATAGTTAGAAGAACTTTGTAATAGTAGAATTCATACCCTTATACAATAATTCTGTCTACTTCACTTCTCCGTTTATGTAAATAGACATCTCTTTTACCTACTAAGCAGCACTTTATGAAATATCAATCATTCTTTTTAGTGTGCTGAGCTGATTTATTTCTATAAAAGAGGGCATAGGATAGTTTTTGTTCACTTATATTTCATCCTCACCCATTTCTTCGTTAAAGTATCTCACATTTTCTAAAAATTTAATCATACGGTCATTTAAAAGTAGAAACTTTATGAATATAAATCCAACAACAAACAGACGAACAAGCAAAATTATAAAATAAAGGATTGTGAACCAATAAAGAACCCAATTATTTTGTAAAATATTGTTGCAAAGCTGTATAGCAAATATGGGAAAAGATTTGAAAGCCATCTCCATAATCTCTCCAACTTCAAAAAGCATTTAGAAATTAGATTCTTCAACAATAGCAATAATGCTAAACTTACAATTAGCTTCGATTGCAATTTAGGTTTTTAAATTCTTTCTAAAGTTAATATTGTATTAAGGTGGCTAGACACTACCTGGTCTTTTTCCTCTGAATAGTTAATTAAAACTATTTACTTCATCTTAATTTGTATTATTCCCTTAAACTTAACTGTTCACAGAAAAAAATTGCCTCAAATTTTCTTTTGTCATTTCACTTGGTAAAGGAGTATCTTATGCATTATTAACTTGACTATGAGCATTTAAAATACTTTGCCTACCTTAAATCATTTTATTTAGTTTAATAGCCTTATTAGCCATTGAATTAAAATTTATAGTTTATTTGCTTTGTACATCTCTTTTAATAATTGCAGATTAATTAATTTTATCTTATTTATGTTAAGTGGATGATTTAATACCGTTTTGATTGTTAGTATCTTGTTTATTTTAAAGTTCATTTGTTCTAAACGTTGCAAAACTTTTTTCTTCATCATTCATCATATATCTCTTTTACTACTTATCAAGTTCTAACAAATTTACTAATTATCTAATTTAAATATTTAAATATAAAATAACTTTCTTATATTCTATTTAAGTTAAATATTAAAAATATTATTTTGAATATTTGATATTTCGTTTACATAACTAAATAAATTGTTATATTTATAAATCCAAAACAAAATTTTTCGGCAAATAGTTTATTATTAACTTCTTAAAAAATGTGTTTAATGTTAAATTAATTAGGTAAATTTAACTTTAAGTTAAATTGTCAAATTATGTATTTACTCTGTGAATATAGCGTGGTGGTTTTTGTAAATCTACATGTATATATAAAAAGGGAGTAGGTTGAATATTTGACATAATGCAAAAACAAATGCCATCTATATGTTTCTTTTTTTATTTCTTCCAAAGAAATCTTTGTAGCTTTAGTATTCCAGATTGTGATATTTCAAGTCTAAAAATCCTAAAATACCAACCCAAGCAATGAAATTCAAAAATGGATAAAATATCATGAACATAATTAATATTCCTCTAATAGCTTCTATTTAAAAACTAGAAAGTATTGCATAAATATAATCTAGTGTTGTTTATGTAAAACTAAGTCCTAATCTTATGAAAATTCTTTTGTGAGTATAGACCTTGCGGATATCGTTAGAATAAAAATTCATTTCTAGATTAGACTGAAACTCTTACTTCGAATTATTCAACAAACAGCTGAGCTTTTTAGTTTAAATTTCTAGTTTATTTTCAGATATTTATGCTTAAATCAATAATCTTATTTGTATTTTCTATTAAATAACTATAAACGATTAATACTGATTATTTTATTATTAAAGTATGTATATTTGGGTATAATCTCTTTTTTTTCTTACTTAAAAATTTAAAATTAACTAATAAACATATAAATGTTCATCTACTCTTTATAGAATTATTATATTTCAAAGGATATTAAGTATTTTTACACATATGTACTGTAACATACTTGAGTATGATACTTTTATTAATTAGGATTAATTTGACAAACACCATCAACCACAATTATCAATAAAAATAGTTGTGATAAAATCTTTAATTGATAAGTATTAAAATAGCATAATAAAGAAAAAAACTAAATTTTGTTTGCTTTTTGATTTGAGAAAAATAAATAGTTAAGTAGTTAGTGTAGTACTTTTTTTTGAAAAAATGCTTATGGGTTGGTTATATTTAGTATTTATATTTAAAAAGAAGAATTTTAAGTTCTATAAAATTATTAAAGCAAAAGATTTTTCATGTTAAAGACTAGAATTAGAAAGCAGTATTTAATTTAAAAATAAATTAATATTATCATTTTAAAAATGTGATTGATTGATAATTCATATTGTAATTTAAAAATATAAAATTTTCATTTATTTGTCTTAAAATATGTTAATTTCTTTACTGGATATATTAATTAAATTCTATTTGTTTTTGTTTTTCAAAATTTATCTTACTTTGTTTATGTTTCATTAAAACTAATAAAATTATCTAAATTATTACTCAAATATTTTATTATAAAATATTTAACTCATCTCCGAAATTTAAAAAAATAATATAAATTGATTTTTTAATTTATGTGTAAGGAAAATAATTTGTTCATAAACCTTTATTTTTGCCAATTTTGCAAATTATGATTATGTTTATTCATCAGATTAATCTAAAAAGATAAATAGAATTCGCTGTTTTAAATTCTCAAAACACCACATAAGCATATGAAGCATAACATTACAAAAAATATTTTAATTGATCAAAAGTAATTTCATATTAAAACTTTCAAATATTAATAATGACTAGTAATAATGTAAATAGTAATGCAAATGAGGTAGAAATTATTGCTGAGTGCTCTGCAGCGCCGCAACTTACATAACATGTTTGCAGGTTTTTGAAGAGTTAATTAGGTGAATTTTAGTTGCATTTTGTCCAGCATTCTCCAAAAGGATCACTACTTTTTAATCCTGAGCAAACAGTATTTTATTTCAAACAGTTTAAATAAGCTTTAAAAGGAACCATGCAACCAGTTGTATCAATTGCGCATTATTCTTCCTAATTAGAACATTGTGTTGCTTTGCAATAGGTATAAGCAGTAAGAGATCTACCTTAACATACTACTAAAATTAAAGCTATTATAATTACAATATTTTTCATAACAAAAACTGTTAGTTGCCTTTTAAATTAGAAAATTCAGCTATTTTTTTAATATCCAAAATGATCTTTGATTATAAAATATACTCTTTTATTGATAAAAATTTACTTATTATTAATAAATCATATAATAAAAATCACAAAAAAAAAAATAATTCAGACCATTGAAAGAGATTAGCTAACAATATTTACCTACCTGATTTTAATAAAATAAAATAAATTATATTTATTAGCTGTTATCTTTGAATCATATTTTTTTAGAAAACATTTTTAATTCTTTTTAATTTTTTAATTTGAGCATTAATTTTAATTTCTTTTCAAAGAAAAAAATATTTTAAAAATTGTTAAATTGATTATTATTTACTTTTAGATAAATACCTAAATATAGTAATTTTTATATAGTTATTTATATTAACAAAGATATTAGTTGAATATTTATATATCTTCTTTTTATCATTATTAAACATATTTAAATGATCAATCTTCTATATTTAATGATATTGATTTTTTTTTTTGTTGTTCAAATGGTATCATGCCTATTTAAAATATGTTTGTTAAAATAATAGTTATATCTGAAAAAAAAAAATTCAAACAATGATCTGATAAAATTTGTAATAATGTTTGATTTATGCGCTAAAATTTCAAGTAGAGTATAAGCAAAAAGAAATTAAAAATCAATAAGAAAATTTCATGAAAATATATAGTAAACTAATCTAAATAACTCTTTTTTGATCTAAAAAATCATTTAATTATATAAATACTGAGAGTTTAAAGAAGACGATAATTAGAAGCAATATAAAACAACAATAATGCAATAAGATGGAGATTATCAGATGGAATTGCAGTCATCCTCTTCTAGAAGGAGGTAAAGAAGTTTGAACTCTTCCAAATCTAAGAGAAGAGATTTAAAGAGATCTAAAAGTTGTAAAAATTTTGATCAAATTTGTAAACACACCTTCACATTTAGATAATTGTCTGAGGAAATAAATGGGCTACTACCATTAGAAGTTACTATTAAAATGTGTCCCTAAAAATAAAAGATATATGATGGATCAACGTAAAGAAAAAATAACTAAATATATATAATAAAAATAACATTTGTCTATCAAAAGTCTTTAGAAATTTATGCCATTTATTTTTAAATTTTATAATTATTTTAGAGAAAAGCTTAACACTTTTCCTGTGATAATAATTGATGAAAAACCTCATATGCCTCTCTTTGTAAATGAGTGTGAAATAGTAATACTAAAATATGAAGCTATAGCAGAAAACACATTCATTATATTTTAATTTTATGATTAAATAGAAAGCCTATATGGAGCATGAAGAAGAGTTGTTACAAAACTACGAAGAAAAGAGAAGAATATAAATTAAGCCTTCATTTGTAAGTGAATTATGGATCTCTAAATTCTTTTCTTTCAATTTTTCTAATTTACAAAAGCAAAACCCTTTGGAGATAAATTCAATTGAAATGGAAAACAATAATTTGAATTTTTTTAAGTTCGATTTTCAAAAGAATTAAATTGCTCTGAGCATAAAGTTCAAGTTTAATGCAAGTGCTAAATGCATTTAAAAAAGAGTTTATAAATAAGTTTAGTAGCTCAGCTATTTAAAAGCATATTTATATAATTATATTTTAAATTTTTAGGCAAAATTTGCTTCAATTTAATAAAATTATTTTAGCTTGAAATTTGGTTTAGCATTTTATGAGATTTTGAAAATAATTCTTTGATATTTACAGGGAGATCATGCACCTAAAGAATAATTTTGTAGTGTCTGTATGGTTAAATATGAAAATTCTTATTTGGAGGTAAAATTAACTTAAAATTTAAGTAATTTAGTTAGACACACTTTTAATTAAAATAGCATATCCAATCTGTATAACACAAAAGCAAATATAGACAAAATCAGTATGCCAAAATTATTTGTGATTTAGAATTAGAATGGAAAAAGTAAAAGCAAGATTTAGATCATTCTTCAAATGCTAAGAACAATCAAATGGAAGATTTTGAAAACCTCAAAACTTTAGTTGATTCTGAGTAGAGCAACTAGATCAAGAATGCAAAACTTTTTAATGAGCCCTAAAAAAATTTATTTGAAGATTAGGAAAAGGTATAAGATTAATTTCAAGAGAAAATTCTGATTACTGTTAAATCTGTAATCATTTTATTTAATGTTACTATATTAATATTTTAACATTTTTAATAAAATATGAAAATTCTTAGAATATTGGAGAAAACAACTAAAATATTTGGAATTTACAATAAGTCAATTTAATCTAATCAAACAATAAGCTATAGAAATGCAATACAGATTAAAGCAATAAAAAGATTTTTAATGATCAATCATTTAACACTAATAAACGAATGGCAGGCAGTCTTTCCTATGCTAAATTTTAAAACCCAGTAAATTCTGCATTTAGAAAATACAATTTATCTACCTAGCCAGATGAGCAATTTATTGATGAAAGTTAATAGCTTAGACAATAATAGTTCACATACCAAAGCATAAAGAATATATGTAAAACACTTAAATTTGAAGAAAAGTAATTTTATAATTTCTATTTAAAGCGATTGTAAGTATATTTATTTATTTATAAAAAAGAAATATGTAAAGTGAAAAATTTGAAGATGGATCGATGGCTAAAGATAATTGCAAATAGATAAAATAAACAAATAAGCAATAAAAAGAAGAATAATAGAAAAAAGGATTTTAAGTTAACAAAAGTTTCTTCAAGGAACATCTGCTATATAATCACTTAAAATAAAAATAAATTGCATTAGAATTACAACAAAAACAAGAAGACATGAAAGAAAATAATTTAAACTTTTGTTCAAATTAAGAAAGTATTCTTAAACTTGGCTATGAAAACTAAGTTAGTTCAGATATGGATTCGAACAGAAGTGCTAAAAATATTGAAACTAAAGGTTAAAGCAGCTCTGCTTAAAAATTTGTATAAAGAAATAACTAACATCAAAAAGACTCATAGCTTTTATAAATATCAAGAGCATCTTCTTCAAGTTGCTCTAGAAAAAATTAATCTCACTCAAAAAGTTGTAATGGGGGTTATAAGTTTAGTTTTGATGAAATTTAATCTTTTTAAGCCAAAGAAGCAGAAGGCTAAATATCATAATAAGAATCGAAATTACCAGATACAAAATAGAAAGAACATAACTATCAGCCAATATCCAAAAATAAAAAAAGAAGTTTTTAAGAATATAATTATTAAAGAGGCATGTAAATGAGTTGTGAAGAAGAAATAAGCATAAATAAAAAATTTAAAATATTTGGGATAGGCACAACTGAAATAAAATCCATTTGGTAAGAAAAAAATATATTTATTCACTTTTAAATATCAATAAAAATAAATTATTAAAATATGATAATACAGGTAACAATTCAAGGATATATTTGCATTACAGTTTACAGGAGTCAAAACAAAACAAAATAATTGATTTCAAAGCATATTTTTTAAATATGATATTCATAAAAAACATTTGTAGTATAAATTTAAATTAATTAATTAATTATCACTGATAATAAATATTATTGTTTATTCTAAGTAAACCAATAATCACATAGATTAGGAGATGATATTTATGAAGAAAATTATTGTTGTTCTCATAAATTAAAAATCACATGCTAAAAACATAAATTTATGAAGAAAAATTAAAAAACAATAAAAAATCAAGGATATTAATGAATAAGTAGTCTACTAAATAAAATTTCACTATCAAATAACCACTTAATAAATATATATATAAATAAATAACCAAACATTCAAATAAATTAACTAACTAACTAACCAACAACAAACAGGCAATTTAGTATAAAGAGAAATTTTCCAAGCAAGCCCTAGAAAATAAGAAATTTCAACACTTTACTAACCAAAAAAATCATTTATATATTTAATATAATATTTTATTTATTACTTTATATAATAATAATACTCTGTATCAAATTACTTGTAAATCAAAATTGTATGCAATTAACCGATAATATAATATAATATAATATAATATAATATAATATAATCAGTTTTCTGCTTAATTCTATCAATATAAGAACTCTATTAAAACAAAATTTGCTTATTAGTTAATAAGTCATTTTAATATGATTTTATACATAAATAATTGGTTGCAAAGTTAATATTGAAATTATTTCAAAGTAGTAAGTTTATCTATATATAGCTTAGTATTTTTTAATTATTAATATATCCTATGCTAACTAAAACTAAAATATTTGGTTTTATGACTTTCTCTTAGCTATAGATAAATAATTAAGAAACTAAGTAAATGACAAATTGATATTTATAAAAAGAAAAATAAATTAGCAAATATAGTTTTAGCAAGCAATATTTATTTTGGTTTTGTTTTTTATAATAAAAATACATTTAATAATTTAAATTTCATTCAATATCAATTTGTTAAAATTTAAACTTACATAATTTAAATTAATAATTTTTTATTTAAAATAAATAATTAATCATGAAAAATTTGTAAATGTTATTTATTTAAAATTTAAAAAATTGAAGTAAATCTACAAAATAGAAATGTAGACTAACAAACAGACAGAAAAATAGGTAGAAAGAAAGATAGTTTTTAATTATAAATTAAATGTTTAGTAATCATATTAAATAAAAAAAAAATCATAGTATTGTTTATTAAATAGAATATCTTTCAAGCATAAGCGATTTCGATAGTAACGGATTCTTCATCAACCTAGAAAGTAAGTAAAGAGTTTTCAACAATCTTAAGAGCAGCATTCTTTTCAGATAAAGGAACGAGGGGTTTCTTTAAGACCTTTTGGACAGCTTCTAAATCGGATTAAATAGCAGCATTTAACTTGGGTGCTTTGGTAACATCATAATAAATAACGATGTTATCGTCAACCTTTAAGCCGGTTTTCTTCTTGGTCTTTTAAACGTTGCTGGTAAATTCTCTAACAAGACCTTTGCTCTTTAACTTTTCATCTTGAGCGAGGTTCAAAAGTAAAATAACTTCACCTTCACCACCAAGTTCTAAGTCACCACTAGAGTATTCTTTCTTGTAATTTTGAGTAATGGTGAAGTCTTCCAAAAGTAATTTCTTGCCAACTAAATCAATAGATCCAGTAGTCTTCAAGGTTTCAATATCCTTGGCAGACAAGTTACCGGCAGCAGCCTTAAGATCCTTATTGTATTCCTTACCAAGTTTTTGTCCAAGGAGTTTGTGATTAGGAATGGCCTTTAAGTCAACATAATTAGCAGTGTTAATTTCGTGGAGGATAGAAGGAGTGTTGATTTCATCTTCAATATATTGAATGTAATCCTTTAAGGAATCGTGGAATTCTTAGTCTTAATTGATGACAGTCAAAGACTTTGATTTTAAAAATTAATTACCATTAATAATAATAATAAATTGTTGAATATTACCATGATAGGTTGCTTAAGAGAGACCTTTCTCTTTTCTCTTAAAGTACGAGCAAAGTTGATGATGTTTTACATTCTTTCAAAGTTTCTTTCGATCTTTTCATCGAGAAGTTCTTGCTTAGGAGTAGGGATTCTCAAGAAGTGGATAGATTCTTCTAAGTAAGAAGAACCCTTAGGAATGACCTTTCTTAAGTTTTGATAGAAACTTTCAGTGATGAAAGGAACTAAAGGTGACATTAAAATAGTGGAGTTTAAGATAACGTTGAATAAGACGTTGAGGGAAGTTTCTTATTCTTCAAGACCGTAATCACCTTTTAGTCTGTTTCTGTTTAATCTAATATACCAGTTGGTTAAGTTTTCTAAGAAGTGGATTAAACGAGGAACGACATTGTACAAGTGATACTTTTCCATTTCAATTCTGACATAGTTGATCAAGTTTTGGCAGGAGATCTATTTGTAAAAGTTGTTTTAAAATTAAAAAATAGCTATTTTAATATTCTTACAATAATCCATCTATCAGTAGGATTAGTTAATTTAGTAGTATCAACAGAGAGTTGTTCGTTGAACATGTAGTCTTTTCCAGTAGCGAGTTCCCATCTAGTGATACTTTAGATTAAGAATTTGTAAGCATTGTACCAGGGTAAGAAGATATCTTTCTTAACAGCAAAAACACCTTCGGACTTGAAACTCATTTCTTCAGCTCTGACTAAAGGAGAGTTGATCTTTAGGATAAGGAATTAAAATGATTAATTTGGTTTTATTAAAAGAAGAAAATAAATACCATATATAAACGGATAGCATCAACGGAGTACTTGGAGGCAATGAGCAAGGGATCATCGTAGTTCTTCTTTGACTTAGACATCTTCTTTCCGTCAGCAGCAAGAACGATACCGTTAACAATAAGGTTTTTGTAGGGGTTGGAATTTCTTAAGGCAGTAGAAATAACGTTAAGAGTATAGAACCAACCTCTAGTTTGATCAATACCTTCACCGATGAAATCAGCAGGGAATCTCTTAGAGAACTCTTCTTCGTTCATAGAGAAGGGATAGTGTTATTGACCATAAGGCATAGAACCAGATTCGAACCAGCAATCAAAGACTTCATCAATACGTCTTAAGACCCCCTTACCCTTTTAGGATGGGATGGTAAGGTGATCAATAAAATCTTTGTGTAAATCAGTGATTTCAGTTGCACCAGTTAATTTCTTGAGTTCTTCAACTGATCCAATGCAAACAACTTCTTCAAAATCTTCAGAAACCCAAATAGGGATAGGGTTACCCCAGAATCTAGATCTAGAGAAACACCAATCAGAGACATTCTACAACCAGTTGTTGAAACGTCCTTCTTAAGCAAATTTAGGAACCTAATTAATATATTTGGAATAATTTAAGTAAAATAATATTTTTAAATGTCAATCTAAATAATTACCCAATAAGCCTTCTTGTTGTTAGCTAAAAGGTCATCCTTAAGGGCAGTAACCTTAATGAACCAGCAGTGAACAGCCTTGTAAATCAAGGGGGTATCAGATCTCCAGCAGAAGGGATAGTTGTGCTTGAATGAAGAATCAACGAGCAACAAACCTCTTTCCTTCAAGTTCTTTCTAATTAACTTATCAGCTTCCTTGATGTAAACACCAGCAAAATCAGAAACGACATTAGTGAAATGACCGTTTTCATCAACAGGTACGGGTGGATCATCGGGCTTGATGATGTTATTTGCAACTGAGACTTTGTAATCGTCATCACCAAAACCAGGGGCGCAGTGGACGATACCAGTACCAGCATCAGCAGTAACGAAGTCACCAGCGAGAATTCTGAAGCAGCCATCTTGCTTTCTAGAGAGGAAATAGGGGAAAAGAGGTTCATATTCTCTGCCTACGAGTTCAGAACCTTTGAATTTTTCTAAGATCTTGTATCCATCCTTATCCTTTTTGTATAATTCAGGGAGACGGCATTCTGCAAGAATGTAGTGTTCTTAGGTCTTAGCATCTAAAACCTTAACGTAATCGAAGTCCTTGTTGATAACCAAAGCCAAGTTAGAAGGAAGTGTCCAAGGAGTGGTTGTCCAAGCAATGAACTTGGTCTTAGGATCTTCGGCAGTCTTAAAAGCGATGAAGAGAGAAGGATCATCAACTTCCTTGTAGTTTTGTTGAGTTTCGAAGTTAGATAAGACAGTTGCACAACCATTGGAGTAGGGCATAACCTTGCAACCTCTATAAACTAATCCCTTATCGAACATTTGCTTGAAAACCCACCAAACGGATTCCATAAACTTCAAATCAAGAGTTTTGTAATCATTGTCAAAGTCAACCCAACTATAATATAATTAATTAATAAATATTGAATTAAATTTATATTTTCTATAATTAATTATGTTTTTAAAATTTTAATTTTTCTTTGCTTATTTAAAAAGCTAATTCGTTAGTTATTTTCCTTTCTTATTTATTGAATTAGAATTAATAATTTATTTTAATTAAAGAAGATATTTAAATAGGAAGTTTCATTACCGACCAAATCTGTTCACGATTGATCTCCATTCTTAAGCGTATCTCATGACGATGCTACGGCATTCAGCATTGTACTTGTCGACACCCATCTAATATAAAAATAAATAATTTTTTAGATTAAATGTATTTCTATTTAAGATTTATTAGAGTAAGAAAATTATATTTTGTTTAAAAAAAAGAATGAAAATTTTTTTTTTAATTGAAGTTGCGCCAATTTTTTCTAAGATTTATACTTTATTTATTATTCTGTATCTATTTATTAATTAAACTTTCAAAAGCTTAATTTAATTGAATATTTTCATCTTTGCAAAATATGGTATTCGAAATATATCTAATGCCAAATTAGGGTTCGAATTAACTAAAAATGCTAATTTTTATCTTAAATATTACCTTTAAGACTTCTTGTCTATTGGTGATACCGAGCTTCTTATCGATTTCATATTCAACTGGAAGACCGTGACAATCCCAACCGAATCTTCTTTCAACATATTTGCCATTTTGAGAAGCGTATCTGCAAACGACATCCTATAAGCATTTAAAAATATATTAATATTATTTATTTAAGTAATTCAGAAACAGTTTAAGTTTAAAAAATGAAAAAAAAAATGTGTTGACTCCAATAAAATAATTATTTTAGTCAATTTGTTTTTTTTTTTTCGTACACAGGATTTTATTTCAGAAAAATAAACATGGCAAGAGCAAAAAACTAAATAGAATTTTCTGAAATAAATAAAAATTTTTATAAAATACCTTGATTGTACCAGCAAGAAGGTTACCATAGTGAGGTAAACCGGTAGCGAATGGTGGGCCATCGTAGAAAGTGAAAGGAGGGCAATCCTTAGTTTTTTCTAATTGTTGCTTAAAAGCATTAATTTCATCCCAAAACTTGAGGATGTTCTCTTCTTCCTTAGGGAAATCAGGAATTTCCTAAACTATATGAGTATTAAAAGAAAATATTAATTTCTAGGACATTTATAGATTTTGTTTTTCATAGAAAAAGGCATATTTATTAGTAGAAGTAATTATTACGATCTTTGAAGGTGGTCTTTGAAGCCATTAATAATCTGCTTAGATAATTTACTTTTTTTTATATTAATAATTTTTTGAAAAGAATCATAAATTTAATTATAAGATATTGTTAGTTTCTCCTTTTCTGGGCTATCTTTTCAAATATTCTTCTTTTTCGAAATAGATAATTTATTTAATTAAATAATAAAAAATATCCTTTTGCAATACTAAAAAACCAAAAATCATTAATAATTAATAGTAAAAAATCTCCCACTCAGCATTTACAAAATAATAAGGTTTATATTCATTTTCCTTTTGTTTTACATTAATTTCTCATTACTCTCTTTTTTATTTTTTTGGCTGTTTCTGAATTTATCTCTTGCATTCAACATTAATTTATTTAAAAAAACATCTCTAAATGTGCATAAGCTGAGACAGTAGCATTTTTGAGTTTAATCCTAGAAGTAATCATAAAAATTTTAAGAAAATAAAGGAAAATCCAAAAAAAGGATAAAATAACCTTATCATTTATCTTTTGGTTACAAGGGTAGAGTAATCGAACTAAAAACAGTTTTATAAAAGAAAATATAAAAATCTTATTAATTCTATTATTTAGTGTGTCTAATAAGCTAAATAAAATATTTGAGTGGTTTTTTAGTTAATGGTTAATTATAACAATTTGAATTGAAAACGTACTATTAACAAGTAAATTTCGCAAAATTATTATCTTACATCATCGCTAGTGATTGCTTATCTGATTTAAGAATTAAAAATTGTTATTATCAAAAATTTTCATCAAAAAATATATAATTATCTATTTATATAGAGATTCAAATTTTATTAAAATGTTTTAAAAATCTCCTTTAATAAAAGAAAGTAATTCCTACTTAATTTTAGCTTTATAAATAATCTAAAAAATAGCTGGGATAATACTTTAAATTTATTTTATTTACTTTGATTATGCATTTTAAATAGGTCAGAATTAATCAAAAATATTTAGAAATAATTCTTTTGAAAAATAAATAAGAAATAGATTTATTAACTATAATTTTAATGAACAATTGTAAATAAATAAATAAATTTAATTGTTATTATCTATTGGAAACTTAATCATAAAAATATAAAATATCAAATTCTTTTATTATAATGACTGATTATACTAAAATTTATATTAATTTTCAAATATAAATTTAAAATAGACTGCTTTACATAGTTCATCATATGATAAGAGTTTAATTTAATTTAAGCTTTGATATTATGATTTATTTTCTAAATCCACATAATATGAAAACAAAAATTATTCAAAACACAATTAGAAATTTAAGCTATCAAATGACCGATAATCTTTCTATAGCTTGATGACATCTTAAGTGTTTTAGTATATCGTAGAAACTTTTTACAAATACTTCTTTTTCTACATATCCTTCTGTATTACCAAATTATTCAATATATTGCTGAATTTCTTCTTCACTACACTTGAAATTACACTTTCTCATCATCCTTTTAAGACCTTTAAGATCAAGTTTTCCTTAGTTTTCTTTTGTGAATTGGTCGTATAACTTTTTTGATTAATTTATTAAAGCGTCTGTATTCTATGAAATAATTTACCTTTTCTTATTCTTATCTTAGCTCTGCCTAACTCCATCCTTCCATTAATTAGTCTGCTCTAATAAATCCTTCTTCTATAAAACGGGCCTGACATTTATTAAGTTAAAATTATTTTTAGTCCTGAAATAATGTATGTGATTTATTTTACTTTCTTTTTAATTAAATTAGGAGTAAAGAATTTCTTGATAATAGAAGCTAAAATTCTAGATTCTGTGAGATATGAAATCATGTTATTTTCGTCCTTATTAATGAAGCTCTTGATGATATAGGTCTTTATAAGTTTGAAAAATAAGATTTGCATTCAATAGCTATAATAAAAATAAATATTTTTTTGTATTTACTTGTGTTTTAGTTAAAATAATTTCTGTTGTTTTTTTTAGTTCATTCATTAGATCGTCAAGATGGATGAGTCCTTTATTTTCCTTATCATAAGGTATGCATAGCTATCTGATAAATATTTCTAACTTATTCAATTAGCTTTCCATCAAACCATTTTTAAGTATTTAAATTCTAAAGTTTAGAAGGATGTCATACAACTTTTCATAGGGAATTTCATTATCAGGGTAATCACGAGCTATTTATTTCAGCAACTCAATTTTTTCAGATGGATTAAAGAATTTTTCGCCAAACTATTGAAAATTAAACAGTCAATAATGTAGAAATGCCTTTTATAATTTACGTCACTGAATAGCTTTTCTAAATTTTCTAAACTAATCCAATGGAGTTCATCTTCTTCATCTAATTCCTTGCATTTTTTAATTAATTCGTGCACTATTGTATGCATTTCATCATTCTATAAAATTAAAATTGATTGCAAAAGGTACTCTTCTTCTCTTTCTCTTAAATATTTGCTAGCCTAATTTTTCATAAATATTCCGTGAATAATTTCAGCACCTAAAGGAATGAATTCTCTATATTCAATAATTCCATTTTTATTGGAATCAGCCATTGTCATTAATTCATCCCACTAATCTTTTTCAAGCTCCAATCTATTTTTTTTAAAAATACTTAGGTTCATAACAATAATACAATTTTAATACCCCATGAGCTTAAAGACCTCAATACACTCATTAAATGAAACTACTCCTAAATCATCTCTATCTACACTTCTAAAAACTTAAAAGAGGGATCTTTTAAGTACTTCAATTTATTCATCTTCATTTACAAATTCTTCATTAGTATCTAACTCATCTGGCTACTCTAACAAATCTTTTGATAATTTTTTTTACTCTACTACTTCTTCTTTGTAATTCCATTCTTCAAATATTTTATCAAGCTTTTCCTGTATAGTTAAAACAATATATTTAAAATCTATTAAACCTAGTCCACCTAAAATTAATAGGCCCAGAATAAAATATAAAACTATTTTTATCTTAATTTAATTACATGCTTTATTCTTGTAGATTCAAATTCTGTTCCTAAAAAGAGAATCTTGCTAGTCCTTGCCTTTTTATCTAATATTTTTTCAAGCCATTTCTATTAGTTTTTATTTAATTTTATATTTATTTTCAGACTCCATAATTTTATTTAGCTAGATTAATTTTATTACTTCCATTTGACTTATACGGATTGTACGATCAGGAGTATGTATTAATGAATCATTTTCAAATCTGAAAGTTATTTTAATGCCTTTAGGTGAGCTTTCATCCTCATTAAGATAAAAATAGACTTTAACAGTAGCAGTTGGAATGGGTTTATTAACTTGTGGCAAGCTAAATTCTGTCATAAACCTAATTAATTATATAAAATGTATTATTCAATTGAATTATTATCAATTATAGCTATAAATGTTAATGACAGCGCTGTATAATTACATCTTTGAGCAACTTATTTTGATTTGCTTAAATAATTTTAATTGTGATGTAAAAATATTTTAAAGAAATACACATATCCATGCTTGTTATGTTCCTAATATGTTGTTTGAAAGAGATATTTTTATGTCCAAGTATGAACAAACTCATTAATTAAATGAACTCCTTCTATTTCTATGGATGGCTTGCTGCTCATTAGTAAAGCTATTATATTAGTTTATCTCTTAATTTATGATTAATATCTATATATGAAGCAAATAAATATTGATTTATAAATAAAGTAAAATTATAATTAATTTTTAATCAATAGTGCTGTTATAAAAAAACTGGAAACAAGCAAGCAAATAATGAAAAATAAGTAAAGAAAGGATATAGTTTTTCATTATTATTTAATTAACTTGAAACTTACTAATTTTATATAATATTAAAATCTCTCTCCATATTCATTATTTCTTTAGATTTGTTTATTTATTTATTAGCTTTTATAAATCTTTATTTTTTATTTAAAATATTTTATTATTTTTTAAAACAGTTGCTTTTTTAAGATCTAAATTATTAGGTTTTTATTAAATTCACTGACATTTTTAAAATTTAAAAAGTGACACGGAGTCTTTACTTGAAAATCTCTATTCCAAAAAGTTATTTTTTTAAATTCTTCAGTCAAAAATTTGCATAAATTTCATAATAAGATATAAAGACAGATATTTATAAACTATTTCTAAGTTACAAACCTTAATTAATTAATTAAGAAGAAGATTATAAAATATATAAAGTAAAGGTAGTAATTTTTAAAATAGCATCATGCAGCCATCTACTTCTGTGACGGAAATTCCTTAAGCTAGTGTCAACAATAAAAATAATAGGGTCTTAAGAAATGTTTCTGTATGATGTGTTTTTTGATGAAAATTAAAATTAACATTTTTAATCATTTAAATGAGTTAGCATATTGATATTAACATTTATAAATAAATTATAAAGGCAAAAGTAAATCGTCATATTGAAGCTATTGAGAAGTATAAAAATTATCAAGCAAATAAATAAAATGATGAAAAACTAAATGATATGATGCATGTAATAATTATAATATAATTCATCAATAATCTGACACAGTTAAAACTATTTTCATATTATATTTTAAGGGGTAAACTCATTAAGAGTATGTTTCTAGGCCTGGAGAGTTTATAGTAGTGGCTACAGGTAAAAAATAAGATAAGAGCAAAATTTTAGATATTCCGCTATTCGCTTTGTTAGATGTAAATGATCATTTGCAAATTCAATATAAAACTGATGAATAATTGTTTTAATAACTTTAATTTAGGGAACTAAAACATTTAGCGAACTCTAGGCCTAATCAGCAAAGAACAATAATGGAAGCGCTAATCATTAGAAATAAATGTCAGCTACTATTAGTCAGTCTAGTAAAAACTTAAGATCACCTTCTGCCAATTTATTTTTTAGTGTAAAAATGTTTGTTTTCAGTTTCGAGAAATTTATTATATTAGACAATAGAAAGAAAAAGTTACTGAATGTAATAAAAAAAGCATATTAATTTTAAAAATAAAGCAAAGACCGTAAACTGGAAAAGCATAAAACTTATTAGGCTAATATGATTCTGCTTAATAGCTAAAAGAGGAAGATAATTTTATATAAATTGATGAAGCTGAAGATTCATTTGATCAAAATGTAAAATACATATAATGTAAGCAAAAATTAATTTTTTGTGTTTATTTTTAGGATAATTAGTAAGAAAAGAGAATGCCAAATAGAGCTAAGTCAAGTGGAAAAATACTGATAGATAAAGAATCAAAACCATAATTAACTAAAGATCTAAGAACCATAGTTAACAAATAATATACTCAACTTTTATCACCTAGTAGCAAAATAATTTAAAATGCAGTTGATTAAAATGTATAAAGAGAGGGAACTCCAGAAAAAAAATTAGTTGAAATGCTTAGTAGAGTTATCAGTGCATAAATTTAGCCATTGAGAACTATGTCAACTACCTAAGTTACACAATTACCTTCAGTAAGACCAGTCACTGCTAAATATATTATGAACTCTTTGAAAGTAGAGAATGCAGAAAGAGTAACTACCTCAAAAAGTAATTAATTTTTTGATTATTTTCTCATTCATTTTAAAAATATGGATATTATAAGGACATTAAAAAATGAATAAAATTAATCTAATTTAAAAAAAATATTAGCAATCCAAGATGCAATAATTAAAGATAAAAAAAACCTAGAAAAAGTAACCAAAAAGAAAAGTAGTTATTAATCTACTATACCTGAGTATAAAAAAAGAGTAAAGCATATTACTGGTTACAATACAGTAAAGTTGGAGCAAGAGGATTATGAAAAAAAATGGAATTATAAGCCATCTGAAGAGAAGAAAATTAGTACGGTACAATAAAGATTAAATTCTGCTATCGATATCAGCAAATAAAGTCCTTACTTAACTGGCAATGAAAATGCAGAAAAAATAATTATGAAAGACATGAATATTCAATAACCAAAAATAGAAGAAGTCGTAGATATTAAGCAAGGAAATTTTCTTCCACTTGAATATTACAATCTAGATGACGATGACCTGAATCCCAAGCAAGCCCTAGAAAAATACAAAGATCAATAAACAGGATAAATTTGGGGCTATTCTAAATTTTTTGATAACCATGGTAACTTTGAATGGAGGGAGTGCAAAATTCTAGGATATAATGTTGAAAAGGATAGATTTGAAATAATTTGGTCTGCCAACGGAAAACATAAATATGTTTCTAGAGTAAATCTTCGTTTTTCTAATGAGAAAGAAGAAGATTTCTAAAGAAAATTATAGGCAGCTGAGTACTACAGAGAAATGAGTGAAATATTTCTAAAATATAATTATATGATTGATTCAATGGTGACAATCACTTCTATTTTACCTTAGGAATGTCTTGAGCGTATTTAGTAATAAATTAATTAATTTTACTTCGAAATGAATATTTATCATTTATTCATACATAATTATTAAAAATAAGGATTCTTTCAGCTAATTTTACTTTTAAATTGTATCCTTTACGTGATCCTATAGCATACTGTTAGCTTGAACCTTCTATTAAGTATAATGCTAAAAGATAACTTATCCCTAAGATTTTAATCACTGGTGGAAAAACATACGATGAGGTTTTTAAGTAAAAAAAATATAATAAACAGTTACTTTAGTAATTAATTGAAGAAATCAAAAAAGAATTTGTTAGGTCAAATCATAAGGTAGAGTTTGATAGTTCTCTTCCTTACCACGAAGAGCGTTAAAAATTGTTCAAAAATATGCTACCTGATTATTTATTTATTCCATTAATTGATACACCACGTATAGAAACTACTAAAAGAGGATGCCTTGACGTTGGTTATGATCTAGAATAAATCATACCCAAAAATCAGTAATTCTAAAGAATGTTACCAGAAGATATTATTGATAGTTCTACAAGAAATTCTTAGAAATAAAGCATATATAATTCTTAAGTTATTTAAAATTAGCCGTACGAAGCAACTAAATATCATTAATAGTATTTTATAAAAAAAGTATTTTTTATTATTAATTTAAATTTCTCAAAAATAATAATTTTTTTTTCAATAGTTTAAAAAAATGAGCTCTACTATACACGTTGCTAATACTGATAGATATAATATTTTATATGAGCTTAATAAAACATTAATGCTATTTGTTTAACAGTTAATGGTAGAAACAAACTTCAAATCTCCATTATATTTAAAAGACTTCGTAAAGATGTTTACCAACAGATACTAAGATATAATAAGAGAACTAAGGTCAAAGATTTATGATACTAACTTTGAAATTATGGATATTGTTGAATTTGAAGCGAATCAAATCAAGTAAAAAGTTGAGGAAGCATAAAGAACAGCAGTTACTGAAGAATAAAAAAAGAAAGTATAAGAGGTTTTTGAGCTATCTGATGATGTTATTCGTTCTTTAAAAAACTTTTAAGATGTGATTAATATGCTTTATGAAAGAGCTGCTCGTTAAATGTATGAAGATTCTCTAACTAGCTACATTTCGCATTTTAAAAATGCAGTTGATGAATTTAAAAAAATCAATAGTAATAATTTATTTTATTAATTCTTTTTAATTAAATTTTACTTTTTTAAAGATATACCTTTGGACTAAGTGCTTACTGGAGCCAACGTAAACTAGTAGTAGTTATTAAATTATATGCAATAAATTAGATTTTACTAATTTGATCCTAACAGACTTAATTGCAGAGTTAAACTTGACAAAGATAACAACAAAGCTGAGCTAACTCCTTCGTTAGATGAGTGGTACTAATAGCTTTCAGTTATAAATTAAAATATATTAATAGAATTAGAGACCGTAATATGTTTGAGAACTTAAAAGATTGGAAGCTCAAGAAAAAACAACAAGCTTAAAATATTTGAGGATGAAAATGATCCTCTTTTAGTTGAAAATAAAATTGCACTTCAGTCATAAATTGATTAATTTTTTGTATTGCTTAAATTATTTGCTGATAAAACCAAAGAATTTGAATTTGTTGTTGAGCTCTCATAATAATCTTTACAAAAAGAAATAGATAAGAAGAAGAATGTTAAAGTAAATTATAAAAATTATAATATTAAAATTAATTAATATTATTTAATTTAAAAAGACTTTTAAAACATATGAAAAATGGATCAAAAAAATCAAGTAAGCAAAAGATGATATTTAAAATTGGCTTTTCTAAGACAAATTGTGGATTGGTAAATATTATTTTAAAATAGTTTAAATATTTTGATAAATCTAAATTATAAAAAGGAATGTTTTAGATTGATGTTTAAGAATTTAAAATACACTGTGATAATCGTATATAGAAAGGAGCTGCTTCAATTTATTCGATGCTTGTTTAGAAAATAAATGTTGAAAATGAAAAAGTTGAATAAGAAATAGTTGCATTAAAAAATAGATTAAAAATTTAGCCTAAAAATATTGAATAACTTCATGAGTTGAGAATATTTTGCAATAAAGATCTTATTGAAGAACTTGGAAAAGTTTAGCAAAAAATATTAGAAATTTTGCAACAGCTTGACCTCCACGAATAAATGCACTTTTAGATTGATTATGAAAATTACCAGAAAGCTCTTAAGATGTATACACTACCTCACTCAGTTAGAAAAAGAAAGGATAAAACATTAAGGAAGTTAGAAGGATGGGAAAAAGAATTTTGGGAAGATTTAGTTTTGGATCAATAAAATATTGCTATTGAAATTAAGAGTATAAGCATCGATTTGGAAATAATGATGAAAGAGAATGATGTTGAAAAAACTGATGAAGTTAGTTACAAATTTGCTGATCTTGGTGACCGCATTAACGCAGTAAATATTATCTATTTTAATGCAAAATAGTAAATCAATTTTTTAAAAAGGCTCTGCAACAAAGTGATATCATTAATAAAAGAGAAACTATTCTAAAACTCAAGCTAACTGATTATTCAGATGTTGAAAAAATATTTAAATAGTTCTAACCTTATAATAGAGTTTGGCAACTAAGTAAAGATTTCTCCTTCAAGGTCTAAAATACCATGCAAGGTCTATTGAACTAAGTAGATAAAGATGAAATTACAAGTTTCATTTTAGATGGATGGAATGAATTGAATAAAATGGAAAAAGGTGTCTTTAAAACTATTGCTGATATTAAACTTACTACTTAAAAGGTAAAGCAAAAGTATGAATCTTTTAAGCCATACTTACCCATCATAAACGACTTAAGAAGCACATCTCTTATGAAGAGACATTGGTAAAAGATCAATGAGCTTATAAGAGATTATAATTAAACATGCTAAGAAGAAGATAAAAAGATTAGAGTTAAGTTTGAAGATGATTCAAATTATTCACTCGAATAGCTTTTATAAAACAATATTTTGCTTATTAAGGATGAGATAAGAGACATATCTGAAATTGCTTCCAAAGAAAAAGGTTTCGAAAAGATTTTATACAAGATGAAACAAGAATGGAAGCCCATCAAATTGGAATTTGCTCCTTTCAAAGACTCTGGTACAGTTATCCTTAAAGGAGTTGAACCAATTATGGATAAGCTTGACGAAGATATAGCCAAAATTCTAAGTATTGCATCATCTCCTTATATCAAATTTTTAGAAAACGATGTAATTAATATTTATTTTTAAATAAATTAAAATGATTAAACTTTTTATGATTGATTCACTCAGGTTTTGAACTGGAGAAATACTCTGTTTAGATTATAAGAGACTATTGAAGCTTGGTGCAAGGTTTAAAAGATGTGGACTTATCTTTAACCTATATTCTATTCAGAAGATATTATTGCTGCTATGCAAAAAGAAGGTATGAAGTATTCATATGTTGACAAGAATTGGAGAGCAATAATGCAAACTTCTCAAATATAACCTAGTAAATATTTTTACTTATTAAAAAAATATTCTAAGTTATTAATAATATTTAAATAGCTGTCATGGATGCATGCTTCACAAGCAGGCTAAAAGAAACATTTTTAAATATGATTGATCAATTAGAGTAAGTAATAAAAGGACTAAATGAATTTTTAAATAAAAAGAGAGCAGCTTTCCCTCGTTTTTATTTCTTATCAAATGATGAGCTTCTTTCTATACTTGCTTAAACAAGAGAGCCTCGTGCTGTCTAGCGCCATATGCCTAAGTGCTTCGAAGGTATTGAAAATTTAACTTTCTAAGATAATGCTATGATTACTCACATGAATTCACTGGAAGGAGAAACCATTAGATTCAATAAAGACATAAATCCTTTAGACTAAGATTAAAATCCTAGAGGAGTTGAAGAATGGCTTTTTGAAATAGAAAAAAGTATGAAAACAACATTGTAAGAGATGTTTATTCAAACTCTTCAAGATTTTGCTTAAAAACCTCGTAAACGCTGGTTATTTGACTGGCCTTCACAATTGATAGTAACAGCAGATTAAGCTTTATGGACTTAAAGTGTAACTGAAGCTATTATGTAAATGCCTGTTGATGCAAACTCCTTAAATACCTACTATAATAAATTAAATGGACTTTTATTAGAAATTGTCGAATTAGTAAGAGGTGATATTTCAAAAATACATAGAATAACTCTCGGAGTTTTAGTTGTTATAGAAGTACATGCTAAAGATGTAGTTAAGCAAATGATAGATTAGGCCGTAAAAGATCCTAATGAATTTGAATGGCTTGCACAAATGAGATACTATTTAGAGAAAGGTATTGATTGATTGATTGATTGATTGATTAAATTAAAATTTTATATAAAATTTAAATTTATAAATTTAAAAAGACAACCTTGAGGTAAAAATGGTAAATACGACTAGAAAATATGGTTATGAGTATCTTGGTAATTAAGGAAGATTAGTTATAACTCCTTTAACAGACAGGTGTTACAGAACACTTATGTCTGCTTTATAATAAAATCTTGGTGGAGCTCCAGAAGGTCCTGCAGGTACAGGTAAGACAGAAACTACTAAGGATTTAGCTAAAGCTATAGCAAAGCATTGTGTTGTATTTAACTGTTCAGATGCTCTTGATTACACTGCCATGGGTAAATTCTTCAAAGGACTTTGCAGTTGTGGATCTTGGGCTTGTTTTGATGAGTTTAATCGTATAGAACTTGAAGTACTATCAGTCATTGCCTAATAAATATTGACTATATAAACAGCTATTTTTAAATAAAGCACCTCAAAATATGCTTAAACATCATTTTAATTCGAGTAATTTGCAAATTTTTTTAATGATTTATATAAAACGTACATTTATTATAAAATAGAGGAGTTATGATTCCATTGGATATAAGTTGCGCTGTCTTTATTACTATGAACCCAGGTTATTAAGGACGTAGTGAACTCCCAGATAATCTTAAAGCCTTATTTAGACCAGTAGCTATGATGATTCCAAATTATGCTATGATCACTGAAATATCTCTCTATTCATATGGTTTTGTAAATGCCAGAGATTTATCTATAAAAATTACTTCCTCTTTGAAGCTTGCAAGTGAATAACTATCTACTTAAAGTCACTATGATTTTGGTATGAGAGCTGTTAAAGCTATTATTCTTGCTGCAGGAGCTTTGAAAAGATCATTCCCTGAAAAAGATGAAAGTTTGTTGATCTTGAGAGCTATTAGTGATTGTAACTTACCTAAGTTCACATCTAAAGATGTTCCACTTTTTAATGCAATTATTTCAGATCTTTTCCCTGATGTAAAACCAGATGAAGCAGATTATGGTGAACTCGATGAAGCTATCAAAGAAATAGTTAAGGAAAAACATCTCCTTCTTAAGGATGTAAATTCATCATATATTTTTAATAGAATATGCTTTAATAATATTTATTAAATTTAAAATTAATTATTAGAGATTCCATAGAAAAATAATAGAGTTATATGAAACTATTTAAGTTAGACATGGTTTGATGGTTGTAGGTAGTACTAACTCAGGAAAAAGCACGTAATAATACTATTTTCATTTTTTCATTTTAAAAATTATTATATCTGTTAATTATAAAATAGAATTCTAAATACTCTTGCATCTTCATTAGAAAGGAAAAGCTTGAAAATTTCATATTAGAAATGGAAAGAAGAAAATGAATCAGAAGGTAGAGTAAGCTTAGATTAAATAGATGAAGAAAAAGAAGAGTAAGCTGATGAAGTTAATACTTCAATTGCTAATGCAAACTCTCCTAAAAATGTTTTAAATACATCAGCTTCCCATCAATCTCAGAATAGAAATTCATAATTCCATCGCTAATCTTTCACACAATAAGGAAGAAATTCAATAATTTTAGAAAGAAAAGATTCAAGAAGACATTCTTTACTGCAAACTTAAGTCACTATTCCAAGCAGTCCTTTTATTTAAATGAAAGATAAATTAGAGCATCAAAAAGTTAGAATACATCCTATAAATCCTAAATCTGTTACAAGCAGACTGCTTTATGGTGATGTTGAAGAGGCTTCAGGAGAATGGCACAATGGTATTACAGCTATCATCTTTAGAGAATGCCAAGAGGAAAAGAATTAAAATCTTTAATGGGTTTTATTTGATGGACCTGTCGATGCATTATGGATTGAAAATATGAACACTGTGTAATTAAAAAATTTATTTTTATTTTATAAATTAAGTTTTTTTATAATTAAAAGCTTGGATGATAATAAAAAGCTTTGTTTATCAAATGGTGAAACTATCAAATTAACAGAATAAATGAGTATTATTTTTGAGGTAGAAGATTTGCTTGAAGCTTCACCTGCTACAGTCTCCAGATGTGGTATGGTCTATTTGGAATCAAAAGATTTAGGCTGGGAACCTCTGTTTGACCCATGGTTCTGTAACCTTTCTGATTTCTTAAAAACATATGAGCATTTAGATATATTCTAAGGGTTGATGAAGTTAATTCTTAAACCTATATTGGAATTTGTTTTATATTCAGGATAATGTAAGCTAGTAATGAGTTGCAGTGATTAGTGGCTTGCTACTAATTGTCTTAAACTTTTCGAAAGCTATTTGTATAAAAATAAAACAAAGTAACAAATATTGTAAGATTTAGAGCTAGAAAAAGAAAGAGAGGAAGCTAGAATAGCAGCTGCTAAACTTGAAGGAAAGGACATTTCTAATGATTTGAAAAAGAAAAAGAATGTAAAATTACAAAATTTTGAAAGGCTGTTTTTTTTAATTTTTTTTTTTAGATTTAGTTAAATGATAAGGATAGGGCAGAAATATTGGGTTCATTTATTATGGCTGTTGTATGGAGCTGTGGTTGTGTAGTAGAAAATTAAAATGACAGAGATAAATTTAGCAAAAAGATGTTTGAATTAATAGGAAAAGTGAAAGAATCTGCAGATTTGAAGTCTATTTCTAGCAGTGGTTTCCCTCCTTAAGAAAATAATATTTTTGAAATTAGCTATGATTATGAAAAAAAGAATTGGAATATGTGGAAGGGAAACGTCGAATACAGAATTCCTAGAGAAACTGAATTTCATGATATATTTATCCCTACTTCAGATAGTATAAGACACCATTACATTTTAAATGTATTGACTATTCATTCTTTCCCTACTCTTTTCCTTGGTAAGACAGGTAAATAAATAAATAAATAATTTTGAAAAAACTTTTTAATTTATGCCAAATATTTTGTTTGATAAACAGGAACTGGTAAAACGTCTATCATGAAAAAATTCCTCTTGAATGATTTAGGTGATAATTACATTACAACAATAACAGCATTCAGTGCTAATACTAATTGTAATTAAGTCTAAGATATCCTTGAAAGTAAATTAGAGAAATAGAAAAGAAGAAAAGGTGTTTATGGACCTCTCATTGGAAGAACAAATATTATTTTTATTGATGATTTAAATATGCCAAATAAGGAAAGATATGGTGCTTAACCTCCTTTAGAATTAGTAAGATAGTGGTTCGGATTTGGAGGATGGTATGATAGAAAAACACTAGAATTTAATAAAATTGTATATTTATTTTCATTTGAAAAATAATCATTTTATTTAAAATTTTTATTTTATCTTACAGGTTGACATACACTTTACTGCTGCTATGGGTGTAGGAAGACCAGCTTTGTCATAGAGATTGCTCAGAAATTTCAATCTAGTTTATTTAAATGAGATGGAAGAAATTACTCTCAGCTATATGGTTGAGAAAATACTTGATTGGGGTTTTGAAAGCTATATTGATAAAGTTAAATTTATGATTAAAAACTTTAAAAATACTATCATTTAAGTTCATAAGCAAATATCTTCAACATTTTTGCCATTACCTAAAAAATCTCATTACATTTTTAATTTGAGAGACTTAATGAAAGTAGTTTAGGGTTTGCTCAGTGTGCCCTCTACCCAATATGAGGCTACATTTGATAATAAAATAAAACTTCTACGTTTATGGGCTCACGAAAGTTATTGCGTTTATAGTGATAGATTAGTAGATGATGTTGATAAGGGAATATTCCAAAAAATGTTGGATACTGTAGCAGTTGAAAACTTTTCTGTTAAGTAAAATAATTTTCAAGTTTTATTATAGCTTATTTTTGAATTTTTTCATTAAAAGCATCTAAGATATCTTGTATCCAGAAGTTATTTTGTCATAACCAGTAATAGAATTTGATGAGGCTGGTAATCCTAAAGAGTTAGGTCCTGAAAGGAGAAGCTTCCCAGTTTTTTGTAATTTCTTAGATAATAATATTTATCACGAAGTAGAGCAAAAGGAAAAAGTTAGAAAAGCTGCACTTAATTACATAGATGATTATAATGAGTAAATGAAGAAAAAAATAAATATTATCTTATTCGATGATGCCATAGGAATGCTCTGTAAAATAAGCAGAATTATTTCTAATCCTTTTAGTCATGGTTTATTGATTGGATTAGGAGGAGCTGGAAGTCATACATTAACTCGTCTTGCAACTTACATCCAAGCATATAACATATACGAAGTTGAAGTAGATAAGGACTTTGGCAAGGATAATTGGTTAGAATTTATTAGAGATATGCTTAAAGAAATAGTTATAAAGGATCATAATGGTGTGTTCTTAATTTCAGATTCACAAATTATAGATGAAAGATTCTTAGAAGATATAAATAACTTATTAAACATTGGTGAAATTCCTAATTTGTATCCTCCAGAAGACAAAGTAATTGCTTTGAAATATTTATTTGATTAAAATCAATCTTTATTTAAAATAGGAAAATTTATTAAGCGAATTAAAAGATGCTACCGAAAAAAATAAATTAAGTTTGAATACACTCCAACTGTGGGAATATTTTGTCAATAAATGCAAACAAAATCTTCACATTGTACTTTGCCTTTCACCAATTGGTGAAAAATTGAGATAAAGACTAAGAAATTTCCCTTCTCTTGTTTCTTGTACTTCGCCAATTTGGGTTTAACCATGGTCCAGAAGTGCTCTTTAAGAAGTGGCTATGAATACAATTTTGAAAGATGCTGAAGAATTGCACTTAGAATCTAAAACAACTGAAAGTATATCAGAAATATGTCTTTCATTCCATCAATCAGTTACAAAAATGTCTCAAATATATCTTTAAGAGACTGGTAAACACTATTATGTTACTCCTATCTCTTATATGAAGCTTTTGAGTAATTTCAAGAATGTCTATTAAAAAAAAGTAAAGAAAATTAAATTAATTAATATTGATTGTAAGTTGTTTAAATTTTTAATAGCTTGATGAACTTATTTAGCAGAGAGAAATTTACACAAATGGTGTTCAAAAACTAAATGAGTGCTCTTTAGAAGTTAATAATATGAAGGCTTAACTTGAAAAAATTTAACCTATATTAGAGAAGCAGACACAAGAAACTGAAGAAATTATGAAATAGGTATATTTTGCTCAATCTTATTCATTGATTAAATTAATTATTTATGAATAAAAAAATAGGTTGAATAAGAAACAATAGAAGCAGATAAATAAAGAGAAATTGTGCAACTTGATGAAATACAAACTGCTGAAAAGGCTGATATAGCTAAAAATATTAAAGATTAGTGTAATTAAAAGTTATCAGGTGCTGAACCTATGTTATTAGAAGCTATTGCAGCTCTTAAAACTCTCAAGACTAACGATTTTATTGAAATGAAATCTTTCTAGAAACCACCTGTTTTAATTAAAATGACTATGGATGCTGTATGTATACTAACCAACTAAAAAGGTAAAAAGAGCTAAGACAAACCTGGAGAAATAGATTATTGGGATGATGCCAGAAAACTTTTATCTATTCCAAATGATTTCTTGAAAAGATTAGAAAAGTTTGATAAAGATAATATTCCTGACTAGATTATTGCAAAATTAGAAGTTTTCTTAAAAAAGAACCCAAATTTCAAACCTAATTTAATTGCTAAAGCTTCCTAAGCAGCTGAAGGTCTTTGTAAATGGGTAAGAGCTATTTTCGAATATCACTTTGTCTACAAATCGATTCTTCCTCTCAGATAGAACTTAGCAGAAGCTTAGAAAAAATTAGATGTATAAAAAAATAAAAGTTGTTGTTGAATATTAATTTATTTTTGTTACTTTTTAAAATAAAGGAAGCCAATAGTGAATTACAAAAGAAGAGAGAAATTTTGACTGCTGTTGAAGCAAAATGTTAAGCTTTGAAGGATAAGTTTAATGCTGCAAATATGTAGAAGCAAAAACTTATTGCAGAGAAAAACGATTGTGAACTAAAGCTAAAGCGTGCTTTACATCTAACAGAAGGCTTGGCAGGAGAAAAAATTCGTTGGTCAGAAAGCTCTGTGTAATTAGGAGAGTAAATAGAGAATTTATTAGGAGATATTTTATTAGCTGTAGGCAGCATCAGTTATTTAGGTGCTTTCACTGGAGCTTATAGAAAAAGAATTATTTTTGAAAAGTGGATTCCTGCAGTACGTGAATAAAATATTGTTTGCAGTTCGAATTTCTCACTTGTTGAAAGGATGGGAGACCCTCTAGTGATTTAAGATTGGATTATACATGGATTACCTCTTGATGATGTATCTAAGGAAAATGCTATCACTATGTACAACACTGAGAAGTAATATTATCAAGATTATTTAAATGAAAAATTAAATTTTTTTTCTTAATTTATTAAAATTCTAGCTGGCCACTTATAATTGATCCTTAAAGCTAAGCAACAAGATTTATAAAAAGAATTGAAACCAAAACCGATGAAAAGAATTTCGTTTCTCTCAAACCTGGAAAATACATGGAAAAAACTATCGAATAAGTAAATTAAAATACCAAGGAATTAAAATAAAAAAATTTTTTTTTTTGTTTGTAGGCAATCATTCATGGAAAAGCTTTAATGGTATTGGGTGTTGGTGAGACTTTAGATCCTATTTTTGATTCTCTTTTAATAAAAAGTAATATTACAGTATAGGCAGGTAAAAAAATCATTTAAATTGGTGCTTAGCCTATAGAATATAACCCTAATTTCCGTCTTTATTTGATATGCACTCTACCTAATCCTCATTATACACCTGAAACACTAACTAAGGTAACTTTACTCAATTTCACTATCACTCCTGAAGCTATGAGTGATTAAATGCTCTCTATATTAGCACGCGAAGAAGATCCTAATCTAGAAGAAGAAAAGATCCGTTTAATGGAAGAGTCAGCAGAAAATAAAGTGAAATCTGCAGAAATAGAAAAGAATATTTTGAAAATATTAAAAGAAACTCCAGGTAATAAAATGTTAGAGTCTGAAGAACTTATTGAACAACTTAAAATTTCTAAAAAGACTTCAGAGGAAATCTAACAAAGAGTACTTGAATCTAAAAGTACTGAACAACGTATTGTTACAATGAGGTAGTAATATTCAATAGTTGCTTCTATGGCATCTGCTATTTACTTCTCTATATTGCAACTTAGCAATTTAGATCCTATGTATCAATTTTCACTTGAATTCTTTGTAAGAGTGTATAAAAAATCTATTAAACTTGCTGAAAAGGTAAATTTTTTATAAATAAAACTAATTTTTTGGAAAAATATTGTTGAAGTTTCTTATGAATTTTTTTTAATTTAGCTTTTTAAAAAATTTTAAAATAAATTTTTTTTTAACTTAAAAGCCAACACCTAAAAAAATTGAAGTTAGAGTAAAGAACCTAATTGACAGTCTTAAAAAATGTATTTATTTTGAAATGCAAAGATCTATTTTTGTCAAGCACAAACTTCTCTTTTCTTTGATGCTAACATTAACATGTAATTAAGTATATAATCCTTACGATGCAGATGAAATGAAATTACTACTGAGTGGATTATCTAGCAAGATTATCCATATATCTCAATATCCTAACCCAAAACCTGAGTACTTTTCTGAAAAGATGTGGGAATCAATACTTCATTTGAATAATGTTAAAAATCACTCTAATGTTGCTACAGAGATTATGCATAATGTTGATAGCTACATCAATTACATAGATAACATGGGTACCATTAATATTTCAGATGCTCCACAATATGTTAGATAGCTTTCTAACTTCTCTCGCTTAGTGCTAACTAGAGTATTAAGGCCAGACTTATTTGTTGAATAAATTAGAACTTTTATTTCTTTAGAAATGGGTTCTCATTATGTCAGCAATTTGATAATAACTTTAAATGACTGTTTTGTTGAATCTGCTGCCCATATTCCTTTAATTTTTATTCTTTCACCAGGTATTTATTAATATTTAAGCTTTAAAATATAATTCATCTTAAATCAAATAGGTGATGATCCTTAAGAAGATTTAAAAAAATTCGCATAAGAAAAAACAAAATATATAACCTTTGTCTCTCTTGGTAAAGGTTAAGGAGACTTTGCAGAAACAAATATCAGAGAGGCTATGCATGCAGGATAGTGGTGCTTACTTTAAAATTGCCATTTAGCAGTTAGTTGGCTCCCACGTTTGGAAGAAATTGTTGAAGAAATATCATTAAATTCAAATAAAAAAGGTAAAATTTTTAATTAAGAGATCATTTTATTAAGGAGATTAATTTTTTTTAGATAAAGATAGAACTTTGAGTCCAGATTTTAGACTATGGCTAACCTCCATGTCTTCAGATTAATTCCCTAGAAATTTATTGTAGGAAGGTATAAAAATGACTAAAGATCCACCAAAGGGAGTTAAAGCTAATGTGTAATAGTTATACTCAAATTAAAACTCAACAAAAGAAGAAGTAAAATATTTCTCAGAATGTGAAAAGATGGATGAATGGCGTAAATTATTTATGAGTTTAACATTCTTCCATTCAATCATAAGAGAAAGAAGAAGATACGGTCCTATTGGTTGGAATATTTACTATGATTTTAATGCATCTGATTTCCGTATTTCAATGAGGCAGCTAAAATCCATGCTAAATGATTATGAAGATATACCCTTTAAGGCCTTAATATATTTGACAGGCGAATGCTATTATGGAGGTAAAGTAACTGATGATTGGGATAGAAGAGTACTAAGCTCAATGCTTAACGATTTCTACAATCAATCTGTTCTCGATGAAGACTACAGATTTAGTTCTGTAGAGTCATATTATATCCCATTATAAATGTCAGAAATAGAAACTTTAGACAACGCAATAGAGTTTATTAATAATTTACCAGATATAAATGATCCTGAGCTTTTTGGATTGCATCAAAATGCTGCTATAACTTCTGCTAAATTCGAAGGAACTTTCATTCTAAATAGTCTTATTTCTGTTTAATCATCTGCTAGCAAGGCATAAGGTGATGATATCAACAAGCAAATCCTAGAAAGGTACTTAAAAATATTTATATCGTTTAATGTTTAATTTTTTTTCTATTAAAGAGCTAACGAGCTACTTGACACACTTCCAACTAACTTTAACATTAACCTAGTTAGTGAAAAATTTAAAATAAATTATCTTGAATCAATGAACACAGTACTAATTCAAGAAGTCCTACGTTATAATAATCTTTTAAATATTATTCGTGAAAGCTTAAAAGACTTAATACTAGCACTTTAAGGTTTTAAAGTAATGACAAATGTATTAGATAATGTATCAGAGAGTTTACTAAACAACCTTATCCCTTAGAGTTGGGCCTAAAAAAGTTATCCCTCATTAAAGCCTTTAATGAGCTATCATAAAGACTTAATAAAGAGAGTCGAAATGTTCTAAGATTGGATAAGAAATGGAACACCTAAAATATTCTGGCTGAGTGGATTCTTCTTCACATAAAGTTTCTTCACTGGTATTAGACAAAACTATGCTCGTTAAAAAACTATACCTATAGATATAATTGATTTTGATTTTGAAATTATTGATACCAAAGAAGGATCATAAGTTGTTCCTGATAGAGGTGTATATTGCTAAGGATTATATTTGGAAGGTAATTTCTTATTAAATATCAGCTTTTATAATTAAACTATTTGTACAATTATCATAGGTGCCAGATGGAATTATGAAAAACATCATTTAGATGAGTAAGAACCCAAAATTATATACTATGACATGCCTATTGTAAGATATTTTCAAAATTACATTTTTAAAGATTATTTTTTAATATTTTTAATAAAATATAGATTTGGTTTATTCCTACAGTAGAAAAGAAACCAGAATCAATGCATTTTATGAATTTCAAATGTCCCTTATACAAAACTTCAGAAAGAAAAGGAACATTATCCACAACAGGCCACTCTACTAACTTTGTAATATTTAACTTTTAAAATAAATTTTTTATTAAATTAAATAATATAATTTAGGTTATTGCTATTGATATGCCGACTCTTAAATAAGAATCTCATTGGGTAAAGAGAGGTGTTGCACTTCTTTCTTAGCTTAATGATTGAAAAAAAAATAAAAACCAATTTTGGATAAATAAATTTTTGAATTGTAATATTTAGTAATAAATTAAAAAATTAAATAAATAATAAAAATTAATTAACTAAATAAATAAATAGAATCTAATAAATACAATTTATGTTTATTTATTTAATTTGTCATTTTCAATAAATTATATAAAAATATCAATTATTTTTTATTTATTAAAATTAATAAATACAATCAATCAAGGTTGTTAAAAATACCTAATGACTAAACTGTAAAAAATAATAGAATATTGAATATATTTCCTTTAATTTTCATAAAAATCTAATCTTTCTATTCCTATTTGTAAAACATACAAAAAAAAAGATTATAATATTTTAAACATAATTTTTCTCAGCTAATTGAATGAATAGATACAATTTAAAAATCAAATAATTAATAAAATCATATCTAAACAAATTATTTTTATTCATTTAATTTTTTTTTGAATAATTAGATAAAAAAACAAAATATCAAAATTAAAATAAAATTAAAAAAATAAAAAAATAAATATGATAATAAATTTAAAAACTCTTATCTGTATAGCTAGAAATCAAAAATTAATTTGCACAAACATTTTTAACTATCTGTAATAAAAATAAAATAATTTATCTAACAAAATATATTTATTACTCTAATTTATCTTTCTTTTTTAAATAAATTATTCTATCTATTTATAAAAATTAATAATACAAATATATTGATAAAAGTTTTAAACAAAATTTTAACTTTAAATTGTTTATACTTTGGATTTTATTGTAATTTGTTAATGTATTTATTATTTCTGATACTCAAATATAACTAAATAATAAATGTAGTCAGAATATTCAGTTAAAAAATAACTCTTCATTATCAATGTAGCTTATAAAATTATTGTTATTAATTTAATCAATTAATTTACGATGTACTTTTTCTTAATGCTCTCTTTGAGCTTATTAATAATTTTGTATGGATTATCCATAATTTGGTACTGAATAGAACGATAATTGCTTTTAAAATTAAGACCCAATTACCTGGTTTTAAATTGAGCTAAGCTAGTTAGGAAAGTCAAAATTTTAGCTACTTAATGACCCTTACTTAAAAATTATTTCATTTTTGCTATTTAGCTTTATGCTTTTATTAAAACTCTCAATAATACTTTTAGCATTACTATCTGGGAAATATGCTGCAAAATTAAATACTTTTTCGCTTAAATCATCTCTAGATAAAAAGTAAGGAATTTCATCTTTTTCCTTTGAAGATTTATGAGAAATGGATGATAGAGTTACTGGCTAGTGGAAATGAGATCTGCTATATCTTGATCCTCCTTGGTTTGTTAAAGAGTCAGCTTTTTAGATACTAACTGATTTTCCTTTACTTGCTCTATGCTTAGGGCTATTCTTTTCTTCTTTAGGATTAGTTTTTGACTTAAGCAGAATTTTATTATTAATTGATGAAGAAGAAAAGACTATTTCATTATTCATGTTCGAATTCAGTCCTGATTCTATGTCTTCTTCTACACTTGCTACCTACAAATTTATTTATTTATTCAATTTAAAAAAATCATAATTCGTTTTCAATAATTTACCAATGATCCATTTTTAACATTTTATTTTGAACTTGTTCTTCTATCAGGTGTCATAGGTAAATTAGATACATGTATTTAAGAAGGAGGTCTTTTACTAAGATTATTTTAAAGGTTATTTTCTTTTTCTTACTCTGAGAATTCTAAAGAAAGTAGGATACTATCATAGTATATCTTTTTATCAAACTCTTCTTCATCAAATTACAAATCTGAACTATAATCTTCAGATAGAATACCCTGGATAAGTGTATCTTCTAAGATACCACTAACTAAATCATTATAATTTGACAAATTAAACAACTTAAAAAATATATAAATAAAAAATATGTTTAAAATCGCAAATTAATATACTAATTAATTACAAAAATAAGTGTATTTTCTTATGTTAAAATAATTTTTTACCTGCTCTCTGAATTTTTTTTAAACAAGTGACTGCTTTTATGCTGTTTTTTTTCTTTCTTTCAAAAGACTATCTCACTTGATCTTTAGAATCTAAGTAATATGCTTTGACATAAGATACTAAATCCATTCTATAATGAGCAAAAGGACAAACAGATGCTAGATGTGTATGCTAATCGCAAATATAGCATTTTAAATTTATGAAGGAATAGTTTTGATTGTTCATAATTTAATCTCTCATCATGCAAAAAGCTTAGTAATCAAGTATATGATGCTATATCAAATTTATCAAAGTCTTTCTTTATATTTTAATTACTGTTAAATAGCCAATAGACTTTACACTAGCTTTCCTAGGTTATCCTGTTAGGAAACTTATCTCTCCAAAATAATCTAGCTTTTCTATTATTTAAAAGATGAAAAATTTTTTTGAGTATATAAAAATATGAGAGAGATTTTATATAAATTACTTAAAGTTTTAAAAGTATGGAAAGCTTTTGAGTCTAATTTCTGTTGATAGAAGACTTTTGCTTCGCCTTCAATAATAAAGTATAGAGAGCTATCATCTATTTAACCTTCCGTTATGATTTATTCATCTGGTAGATAGGTTATTTCTTCAATTTAAGAATATATTTTATTCTTCAATGATGTTTAAAATTATGAGAGAAATGGGATTTAATCAAAAAGTAGTTCTTCGAAGTACTCCTCAATTTAATTTTTGAAAGAGCGTGGAAGAATTTTCAGAGCTTCTGTATGCGAGTTAAAATTACTATATTTATTAGGATTATCAGGCAAATTAGATATATAAAGGATACTTTGATCAAGTATGCTGTCTTCAAGATTAATTTTTTTTGAGTATTCAATAAGATCTATCTATGTTTGTCTTTTTTTTCTATTAAACTCACAGATAGTCTTTGATAATGTGAAGAAAGACTAAAACATGTGTATATAAAATACTCCTATAAATATATGTTGTAAAGAGATCAAAAAAGTTTATTCAAAATGCTTATCATCGGATTCAAGAGTTGTATAGATACTGAAGGTGTTCTCAATTACCTTGTTCAAAAAAAACAAAAATTATTGATTATAATCATCATTTGGGATATTTGCAGTAATTAATATTTGAAATTCTTGCATGTTAGCAACCTAAAAGTAATAGCTTGCCAATGCGCACCAGAGATTTGTAAACGTTAAGATGAGGAGAGTTGCCGTTGTTAATATACGAAACATCTCGTATTAATAGTAATATTATCTTTTGAAAAAATGGGAATGAAGAGCAGAAAGACTGCTTAATATTCTTAAAAGCTTGAATAGCATAAGACTTCTAATGATGTTTAGTAATGCAGAATTTATCGAAAAATCAACAATCGACCATATAATTTCAAGTAAAACGACTAAAAAGCATAATAAATCAAATAATAAGATTAAATACTAAGAGTGTTAAGTAAAATTTTTTTTTGAGATTTCGCTTGAACTATAAATTATTTTCATAGCTTATGAATCATATTGGGCAAAAACAAATGTGAAAAAAACTTCAAGTTGACCAAAAATGAGACAAGTAATATCAATATAAGTTGAACTCATAGCATTTCCTTCAAGGGTTTTAAATATTTTTAGCAAGAAATATTAAATTATTAAAATATTACACAGAAGACTCACGATTTAAAAAATAAAGTTAACTAACCCTAATGCTGAAATAGCTTTTTTTTTTTTTAAATAATCAACAAGACAAAAATAATTTAAGCTAATTATCATTATTGAAACTCTAAAAATATTTTACAAAACATTTTTACCCTTTTAAACTGTCTTTTCTTTAAGAGATGAAAGATCGTTAATCATCTCCTTTGATTAAGCATATATTTCATCAAACTCTATATTCTAATTTTACTTTTATTCTGTATTTATTTGAGAGTGATTTATTACCGAAAATTAACCATTATTTAATTTATTGCTTTATATCGTGTTTTTGTTATTAATCATACTTGAAACTATTCTTTGTTGTATTTCTTACTACTGCTGAATCATCAACTTTTTACTCTAAATCGAGTTTAATTTTTTAATCTATGAAACAGCTTACTCTTTTTACTATTAAATTTGTAGAATTTAAGCCATTTTTTATACATTTAGTGTGCTATTTGTGTTAGAAACAGGCTTTAAATTACTGAGACTTGTATTTAAAACATTATTGTTTGGTAAATCTCTAGCACTTATCATGTTATTTACAAAGCTACTTTCTTATTTAAAATTTATTCCATTTGTAGTTATGTTGTTTGTTTGCAGATTGCTTAAGTTTTACAAGTTAATTATTTAATTATTATTATTATTTTAGCTAACTGCCATTCCATTAGAATTTATATTGTTAATACTGCTGTTATTACTATTGAGAAGGATGCTTTCTCTTTTTTATTATTTTTTTTCATTAAATGATTGCTAACTTTATTGAAAATTGGCTTTTCCTTAATTAACGCTTGCTAATTAAGACTAAATAAATTCACTACTTTAAGAATTAGATTCATTTTTAGGATTGTTGGAATTTAGAAAATTCAAATTCTAATTACTTAGAATAGAAAGCACTTCGCTTGGTTATTTACGAATTGAATTACGTTTTTAAGTAATTTAGCCTTACCCATTAAAAAAGCTATTTTCTTATCCAGATCCTCTTTTATTCTTTATCTTTGTGGTACTGAATACTGCAGAATCAATAACAGGAATATATTCTTCGCTTTGATTCTTTTTCATTTAATTGCTCAATTAATTGTGTTCCTTTATATTTATTTTTTATAAGTGATCACTTACATGATCTTTATTACAGCCATTAAAAAAATACAATGATTATTTTATTAAAGAAAATTACTTCTGCATTAAAGAATTTTTACTGAAGATTGTAAATATTAAGAGATTGCAGCTACTAAATGTTACTTTAGTTATCTGAGTGGATCGCATCACCGTTACTTAGAGAACTGAGATCTTACTGAATGCCTTAGCTATTAAAGACTTCTTCATTACCTTTAGACTTACGGAGATGCATTTGACTGCCTTAGAAAGATTTATCTTCCATATTTAAATTTCTCTATGAGTATTTTTTTAACAAAAAAAATAATATAATGAAATATTTACAAACAGCTTTTATTTAACTATTATAGTTAGTATTAATCGATATTTTTTAATTAATTATGCTTTTTACTTTAATCAATTAAGATAACAAAAAACCAATCAATTAATCAAATCAATCAGGCGATATGTCCAATATATGAATTATATTATTTTTTTAGTTTATACAATTTATGTAAGTAAATAAAAAGTCTTTCCACTTAATTAATTTTTGATATGAAAGTTAATTAAAAATTTACACAAATATATAAGATATAGATTATGCTAGTGAGGAATAATAAGGTCATTTTGTCTTAATTTTTGTTTTATTGAATTTAATTTGTTGAGATTATTAATTATTTAGCTCTGAGCCTTTTCTGAATTCATTGTTATTTCTTATAGAATTTGTTAAAATTAAATTTTTATCAGTTGATGCTTTATAGATACTAATAATTCAAATATATAAAAAGTTATTATTTTTTAATATAAAAGAATGTTTTGTTTTAATTTTAAACATTTCTTAAGTTTAAATAAAGCTACTATCTTTATTTTGTTTACAATTGAATTGTATTTTTGCATTATATTATTGTATTAAATCAATTTTAATTTTAGATTTGATTGGTTAATAATCGTTCTTGATATTAATATAATATTTAATTGAAAAATTTTAATCAAGTACAAATACTTAATACATTGAATTATTATTAGTAATCTAAATAAAGTCATATAATTTGGTTAATAAGATATTTCTAACCAAATTTTTTTCGCTTAATCTGATTTAATTGTATTAAGTTATTTTAATTGTATGAAATTTAATTCTCTATAGGCTACTCCAAGGAGAAAAAGATAACAGTGTGATGCTTTAATTCCAATTCCTAAAACATTTGCTGTTAATTAGTTGCTAATAAATAATACATTTTAAGACTTTAAACCAAATAAGTCAAAATGTTATAATTCTTAACTCAGGAGTACTATGTATGCTGAAAATTCAGTATTTTCTTCTACAAGCAGTTATTCCTAATCATAATATGAGCCTAAATAAGAACCATTTTATATAGACACAATTTAAAAAGTCAAAAAAGCTCTAAGCCATAAGCAAAATCTAGTATTCAAATATATTCCTTATTCTTATACTGCTGTTTGAAATTTATAATCAATACTTCATTAAAAATAATTATCTTTTAGGAAGATGAATTAAAATCAGAATTAAGTCCATTGAGATAAGCAGAATCGAATGAATCTAAGCTATATAATATAAACATCAACGAAAATGTAAATTTAGCTAAAAGAAAAAAGCTTATGAAAATATCTACTGGTAATGAAGATGCTTTAGCTTTTTTTTAGCCAAATAAGACAATGAGCTTAACATCTAGGTAAAAAAATAAAAATTTTTAAAAACCTTTTGAAGAGCCTTAAACCTCAAGATACAGAAACACAACTGTTTTTTCTTAAATTGACTAACATAATGCAGGTTCTCTTACAAACAGAAAAAAAAGTGATAGTTTTTCTAAGCATATTGACAGCTTTTCAATATTAGAGAAATAAATGAATATACAACAAAATAATAGTTTTAATTAAAATAAGCTTAATAATGAATAATAAAATACACAAATAAATTACAATGCTGACAACTAAATCAAGCAAAATATTAGTGAATAACTAAATTCATATAGAAACACATTAGCTCTAGCTGATAAACAAGATCATCGATAATATTACGAGCCTGAAATATCGAATCCTTAAACAGTAAAGAGAGCTAATAAATCATCTTCAGGTAAAAGAGAGAAATATCATTCCAACACTTTTTTTAGACTTGAAGAAGAAAAAGCTCTATAATTTGAAAACTCATAAGATATAATAGATATGGCTGAAGTAGCAATGAAAAATTTGAGTCATTAATAAGTATTATAAAAGAGAAAAAAATTGTATGAGCCAGATATTCTAGATGATGATGAAAATAATAAACAAATCAAATGTAATTTCATACAAAAAACAAATTTAATTCATCAGCTAGAAGAACCAGAATTGAATCACCATATTAAAGAAAGAATAGATGCTTTATAAAATATTGAAAACTACAGGTAAACATAATATTATATGTATCTAAAGTAAAGATTCATATGCTAAGATACCACAACTTTTTATCCATTATTATATGCTAAGATTTTTCAAAATCTTAAATAAGAGCATTAAATTATTAGTGTCAATATATGAATTTTTACGGTATACCAAAAATTTTGAAAAATTCATTAATGAATAACATAACTAAAAATTTTTCAAAATAGATATTAAAAGAAGTATGGACTTGTAGAAATACTAAAAGAAGCTGATTAAATAAAAAATGAGAGAATAGTAACAAAATAAAAAATATATATGTCAAATTATCCCTCTTAGGGTCTTCAAGAAGCACCTTTTAGAAAAAATTCTTACATCAAGCACAGCAGAGAATTATCTGAATTTCACATTGACAATGTTCATAATAGGCTCTATGAAAAAAATTAACAGTTAAATGGAAATTAAAATTCAAGTAAAAATAAGGAATAAACTGAGAATATCTGTAACAAAAAAATATCAAATAGCTTTGATACAAATAATAATTCGGTAGGAGATGTAAAATAGAATTAGCACACAAGAGAAATCAAAGACTACTAAAAGTAAAAATTCATTCTTCCAATAGTTTAAAGGAAGTGTTTATATTTAATTCCGATATATCAAAAGAATTCTTAGAGATATGAAGAAACAGGGAGAATACTATACAAAAGTATCAGAATTACTGAATACAATTTACTTTTCTACTCCAGAAGATTCTTTCAAAGAGTAAATTAAAAAATCTATTTCAATTTGTTAAATATTTTTTTTTTCAAGCCTTTTTAATGCAATTTTTATTTACAGATAATTTCTGTATAAGCTGGCTGTGTAAATTAATAAAAACTCAATTTCTAACAAAATCTGCTCTTAATAATCCAAAATTTTTAAGGAATCCATTTTTTGAAAAGTTTTAAAATTATTATAAATTTATAATAAATCACTTATATTTCAAAATAATTATATTAATATTAATATAGAGAAGAACTAAAGCTATTTAGAAGACATTAATAAGCTATTTTCGAAGAAATTTAATCAAAGAAAAAAAAGTGAATAATAAAATTTTTCAAAATGTATCTATTGAGATTTGAAAAAATTAGACCACTTTGCATTTGGTGTTTAATATAATTAAAATGAATAGTTTTACATTAAAAATAGTTGATGGTGGTTCTGTCTAATTATTTATTTACTAATAGCAAATGTAATTAATTAGAAAGATTTGTCGATTTTACATATTATATAAACTCAAATTAATCTCTTAATTGAATTGATTTTTTTAAAGGAAAATATTAAGAAAGAGTAATTGTAATCTCATATTGTAAAATAAATAATAATCAAAAAAATCCCTAACATACTCATTAATTTTAACATTAAAAGAAAAATCCTTTGTAAAAGATTTAGAATATAAATATTTCTTTTCGAATAACATCTGAATTTATTTTCGATTATGTTCTTTAAGTCATTAAATTTAATTTAAAAAATGGTAAATAATTTCGTGTTGAAAGAGAAAACAAATAGAAAAACTAAAGATAATTAATATAACTAAAAAATATAAATTTGATAGATTTTTTGTATTTCCTTAATTTATCAATAATTTATTTAATGATTAAAAAATATGCTTTTTCTATTTCGCCTAAGACATTTAATGCATATTATTGTCTATCATTACATTAACACTCTCTAAAATAACCATAATTACAAGCATGATCAATCTTAATCATATTAGCAACTTACTGATTAAAAAATTATTTTGTAAAAGCTTTTATTTGGAAAATAAACTCACAACTAAATAAAATACTAGATAGATTTGTATCTATTTTTGAGAAAAAATTATTTTAATAAAATGGTTCTGCGATAATTTTGAACAAATTATATTTCATAAAAGTGTATTTTAGAAAAAATTTTATATTTACTTTAAAAAATTAATATGTTGTGAAAGGTGTTTCGAGTTCTAATTTAACATCTTTATTAATTCTGATATGGCAATTTATTTATATTTTGTAATCGTAGCAAGTAAGATTATGAATTATAAACAAATGAATTTATTGTTTACTTTGAATGAATTAATCTAATTTCTTAAAGAAGGTTTTATTTAAGGGAGAATTAAAAACAACTATTAAAATTAGTAATGAATTTAAGTAAAAAAAACAAATTAATAATTACTATAACTTTTCTTATTAAAAATAAATTTCAATCCAAATAAATAAAGCCTAATTTTGATATATTATTAGCAAAGAATAAAAAATTTAGAGAATCTAATTATCGATTATCTATCTATCAGTCTATCTTTTTTCATCATTCCTGTTTCTCATAATTATTATAATAATTTCATTAATAATAATTAACATAATAATACAGCAAACATATTTATTTACCAGTGCAAAATTCCTTAAAATAAGAGAATAATAAATAATCATAATAAAAATGTCTTTAAGGGAGCTTGATAACTTAAGGGTTTACCTCATTTCTAAAGATTAATATAAAAAAACTGGCAGATACAAAGAAAATATTAAGTAAGGAAATTCTGAAATCATTCCTGTTGTTTTAGAAACTATTGAAAGTATCATTACTAATAAAAAAGAAGAACCTATGACTCGCCTTAATGCGCTACGTCTACTAAAAGAATGCGTTGATTTAGATAATGAATTATTCAATCATAATGTTGAAAATGGTGTATTAAATACAATTTACTAATTTGCTATTTAGCTTGATCGCAAAACTCTTTTGAAAGCTAATCCGACTGTACATGAAGAAAAGATCAGTATGAGCTTCTACATCCTTTGTTTGGAATGCATCAAGATGTGGGCTCATTGGTATCCTGAGCATAAAGGTGCTTCATCTTAATTTAAAAAATTATACATAAGTTTAAAAGATAACGGATTTAAATTTCCTGCTAACTTCAATTTTTTTAAGGATGCAGACTTGTATAAATTTAATCCTCAAAGAAAAGCTGAATACTTGCTCACAAACACATTAAAGCAAGTAGAATTCTTAAAGAATATATAAGATAATGAAAGCTATGACTAAATAATACTCACCCTCAGAGATTTTGATTATTTTTTAAGACACTCTAATGAAATAATTCATAATTAACATCAAGACATACCATAAAATACTCAACGAGATTTACATATGTAATATTTTTACTATTTTATTTACAAATAAGAACAATATAAATTTTATTTAGATACTTTCACTGTAAAGCACGAATAAAATTTAATTTAATTTCATTTTAACAGCTCTTTGGTACTATTCCTAAAAATAAAAACTTTTAAATACTATTGATTAATTTTTTTTAATATTAATCAATCTATTACAATTTACAAAAGAAACAACCATATTATGTAAACAGACACAAAATTGTTATAAAAATACTCCTAAATCATAAATTTGCAAATTATTTTAAAGATATTTTCTTATAAAATTTTTTTAAGTGTTTTAATAAGATTGAATTATTAAAATATAATTTTTAATTATTTATTGAATATCGTATTAACATTATTTCTTTTGATAATAATTAGGGTATAACCTCTCGTTGCGAGCTTACATCCGATATTAAATGAATTTAAAATTGGAAATATCACCTTCATTTAATTGAGAAAATAAATATAAAATGTAATTAATAATTATGAAACCTCCACACATCAAAGATCTTCTGAGCCATTTATTTCTCATAAACATATTTCTCCTAACAGTAGTGAGGATTTTGATTTGAAATGTGAAAATATTATGCTGAGCTCTATAAATAATATGCAAATGTCTCAATCACTACTTGATGATAAGTAAATACACTCTATCTTAAGATAGAATTAAAATAATAATAATAATATTAATTATGCTGGAAGTTAAATGTAAAACACAAATTCTGTAGTAAGCTTTGATACAAATGATATAGATTTTAATAAAAATACTTCTATCCTAGATCAAAAGTCTAGCTTTGCTTAGAAATCTAGTTAATAATAGCTATTTTAAAGAGTAGCCGCCAACCCATCTAAGTAAATTGCTTAAAATAAAGATTTCAACTTTACAGAGTAAGGTTAAATTGAGAGCTTAGAAGAACGTGTAGCTTAGTTAGAGAAATCTAAAGAAATTTTAGAATAGAAGTAAATTTAATAAATTAGTGCTATTGAAGCATTGATTACAGAAAATAAAAAACTCTAAACTCTTGTTGATTAAAAGTAAGATGAAATTGATTTATTAGAGAGTAAAAAAACTTATTTCTCATACTCAACAGATTATCAAAACCTTCTCTGCACTCACTAAAAGCTTGAGTAGGACTATAACGAGCTTCTGCATAAATCAAAAAATTTTGAATCAGAAAAAGATTTAATTGTTCAAGAAAATGAGCACTTGAAATAATAGCAAGTCTCATTAAAAGAAATGGTTGAAAACTAAAAAGAAACAATTAAATAACTCTAAATTAGAGTAAATGATCTATAAAATAATATTAATGTACTTGAAAACGAAAGAGAAAGCTTCAAAAAAGATTTAGACAGAAAATATTAAATAAATCAATTAATAAATATATAATAAAAAAATGATTATCAAGTAAGCTAAAATTTAGATATATCAAATAATTATGCTTCTTTACCTGCCCCTAATACTCTACATAAATTTAATTAAAAAGATTTTATGAGAGGAATTTCAGTACCTAAAAATCTAAATTTGTTTTCCTTTTTAAATGACGACTGCGAAATTAATTCTTATACTTTCAAATTAGGCTGCCTTCATTCTTCTGTAAATATTTATGAAAACGATTTAATCAAAGTCTTGGTATGCAAAATTGATTAATAAGAGTTAAATTAAAATATTATTTAAAATCCTAATGGAGCTCCAGTCACAGCTCACATGGGCCTTAATATTTCAATATTAAATAAATCAAATATCAATTTAAAGCATTTTGAAATATCATATCGCTCAAACAATTCTTTAAAAATAACTTCTGACACTGCTAACTCATCCTAAGCAGCATATGTATTAAATAGCTAAAATATATTCTAGCAAAAAATTTACATAGAAGTTAATACTATTCCATTCTAAGTACCAAACATGATTATCAAACTATAATCTAATTATATATCTTAAAATTTGACAATTCCTCTTCCTATAACTATTAATTCTATGGTACAATCTTAAGCTATTTCATAAAACTCATTAAACGATACAATTGGTAATTGGAATAGTTCCCCTAATGACTCTATTTATAAATCTGTCGTATTTACAGTTAGTAAATAGCTAGTTGATAAAAAGTACTCATTACATCAGTTCTTCCCAACTTTTACCCATGTACAAAGTGCTTCAATTAACTTCTATGAATTAATCGGAATTGTAAAAATACCTCTAGTAAATAATATTAAAGCAGCTTTAAAAGTAACTTTAGTTAATGATAGATTCATTTGCTTTTAAATAAAACCCTTAACTCAAGAAATGAGATCACTTTCAGGATCAGAAAACTAAGCTTATCCTATGCTAAAAAATATTTAGTCAAATACTTTATAATTTATTATACAAACTTACTAAGAACTATTTTCAGATTGAAAAATAAATTACTAGTTTTACTAAAAAATTTATATTTTATAAATCCTCAAAAAAAACTTACTTTAACCTTTATTACCTAACTCAATATGATTTAATTCTAACATTTTAAATTTAATATTAAATAAGCTTATAAAAAAAATGTGCTTTTTATTTATTTTTAACTTCATAAATTGTATACTTTCTAAAAGTTTTTAATTTTTGTATATGTACTGTAAAGGCTCATTGGTTAAGACTATTTTCATTAGATCTAATTTCTTTCTTTTTTTATTTTTAATTCAAAATCTGAGTACTACCTTGGCATTTGGCTAGGCGCTCTTATCGAGGTATTACGGTATTCAAAATAGATTTTAATTTGTATAATTTTGAATTAAGATACTTATTTGAAAAACTATCTTCTAAATTATTATGCAATTTTAATAGTTTTTATTATTATAAAAGGTAAGTATGTATGTATGTATGTATGTATGTATACAATAATTAATTTCAATTTTTTTACAAAAAAATAAAGAAAAAATAAATATTTTAGATAGTATTTTATAGCAGCTGAAATTACAACTTACAAATTATAATTTTAAAATTTAAAGTAAAGCTCCTATAGTTTTAGATTTAATTACATTTATTACTTATTATAATATTACATTTTATTTATTTATTTAGAATATTTCTTTTCTTTATCTAATTTAGCTTCAAAAATTTCCTACTATGTGCTTACATCTTTTTAGAACTTTTTAGTTTAAATTATCATTTTCAGTTAGTAAATCAAAAGACCTATTCATATCTACTCCAATGCCTGGATAACGTACAAACTATGGTTATGTAGGACTTTATTACATTTAAGGCATTGACTTAATAATGGGTGGTGAGCAGCTTCTGCCAGATCTTGCAGATCCTATTATATCATTAGATTATCTTTAAATATTATATGAAATTTTATTGATGCTGCTTTCTAATTCTCTACCTTTGAAAGAAGCTAATCTAGTTTGAAGCTATTTTTAAAGTAAAGAGTTTTCTTAAGTCAAATTAGAAACCATTAGTTAGAGTTTATTTATTGTTATTTCCCTATCTCTTAGGATTTATTCTTTGTTGGATATAATAAATGAGTGTTCAGAGAGCAGCTGCTTAATTGCCTAATCATGCTTTTTTTATTCAGTACTAAGTGCCAGTTCTGTTACAGAAGTTCTAGAAGTGATAGCATATTTTTCTTTATTTAATTTATCAATATTATTTTTGAGGGATTAAATTTCATTTTGATAGTTAATAATTGCTTCTTAATATCTTTTAATTTATTCTTCATATTGTTGTTTTACTTGTGAGAATTCTAGTTTAGTTTCATTAATTTATTTTTCATAGCATTGTCTATGAGAAACAAAAGCTTCTCGATCTTATTTTAAATAAATTTTCTCATTTTCAGCCGATTTTATAGCTGTTTACATTTATTTATAACTGGTTTATTATTCTTGAATTTAAGTTTAAAACTATCTAATTTAATCTTCTTGAATATTTATGATTTTTTCTTTTTCAGTAGTTAAAGAAACTTAATGGTCATATTTTGTTTACAATTTTTTAAATTCTTTTTGTGTGCTTTCTAAAGACGATATTAATTCTATCAACTTGTCTTCTAATTGTTGTTAGCTTTTAGAATTTATTCTTTCTGTTTCTACTAAACTTCTTTCTGTTTCAAATTTAATATTAGCAATTTCTTCTTACTTTTTCAAATAATCCTAATTTAATTTTTCATATTTTAAAGCAAAATTATCATTTTACTATTTCAAAGCAACTTCTTTTTCATTACATAGGATAGTCAATTTCTTTAAGTCATTTTCTAAATCATGTTAAATAGTTTCTTTCTATGTAATCTTCGAATTGAGAGAGCTATTTTGAGATTTCAACTCTATTATTTATTATTACAAATCTTATAAATCTTTTTTATATGTTAATTCAGTTTATTGTGATAAACTATCAAGATTTTTATATTTTTCAACCATTTCTTTATAATTTTTTGTTTATTCTTTTAATTCTTCAATGTTTTATGTTTAAACTATTAGAGCATTTTCCTTTTCTTTAATAATTTTTTGTAGAGAATTTATATTTTATTTATTTGCCTTCATTGAGTTATCAGTATCTATTTCTTTTTATTCAATTTCATATTGGTAATCTTCAATTTATTTTGTAAGTGCGTTAATTTACTCCTTCTGCTAAGATAGTTACCTCTCATATTCTTTTCTATACAACATTTCTTTTTTTTCAAATATTTGTTTAGCTTCTTCAATAAAAAGCTCTTTCTACTATTTATAATAGTTACATTCATCAGAAATCTAAACGATTTTCTAATGATATTATTGTATATCTTATTTCATTTTCTATCTTTCTTATTTAAACTTTTCAATTTCTTCTAATCTTTAAAGTAGCAATTCATTTAATTCTTCATTAACTTCTGTAATCTACTACATTTTTAATTCTAATTATTTGTATTATTCTTCAATTATATATTATTGGTAATTTTCCTTTTCATCCTATTGCATCATAGATGATTCGCTAAAAGGCTAAGGTGAAGACTATCTAATAATGCCCTTCAGCTACTTCTACTATGAAGCAGGAGATTGTATTCTACTGTTAATCCTAGAAGGACTTTAACTGCTTTTAATACCTCCAACTAACATATTATTATCTACTTTCCTAACTTTTAGAACCTAATTATTATATTTTTTTATAGTTTGCTCATAAGGCGAATCCCTTAAAGAATCTTGATCCATGAATAAAGCTATTTAAATCAACTCGTTTTTAATTTCAAATGTAATAAAAAAATTAATTAAATAATAAGTTTGTTTTAAATATCTCTACATTTAATTTATTAAATCAACGCATATGCAAATTAAAAAAATAGATTGTTAAAATTTTCAAATTCCTAAAACATAAAAATTCATAAATAAATTAAATATTTAAATAGATTTAAAATAAAATAATTATTTAACATTCAAAAGAATTAAAATTTAACAAAAATTATTTTTAATTGCTTTTATATATCCAAAAGTAATTAATCAACAAATTAATTAATAGGGTATAAATAAAGCTTTAAACAAATTTTTGGAAAAATATTTTTTATACATAAGCATGAGAGTTAGTTAATTGAGGATGATAGATATCATCAAAGAATAGAATAAAAAACAATAAAAAATGAATATAAAGTCTACTTAAAATAAAAATATTTAATTATTAGTTTTTAAATGATTATTTAGTTTGTTTGTAAGAATTTTTAAATGATTCCGAATAGAAGTAAGTAATCATTTTTTTTGATTAGCTAATTGATTATAGAAGATTTGATTTCATTTTTACTCTTTCTTTAAGATCCAAACATCAGGAATGTTTCTTCCCCATTCGTCAAAGTCAAGTCCGTAACCAACAATAAATTCGGGGTCAATAGTCATACCAATATAATCGACTTTCAATTCTACCTTGAGATTGGCAGGCTTGAAGAACATTGTGCAAAGCTTGACACTAGCAGGATTCTTTTCCTTAAGGAAATTAATTAATCCTTACATAGTAATACCACTATCAACAATATCTTCAATAATAACTACGTGTCTGTCCTTAATATCTTATTTTAAACCTATTAATTACTTAATATTTCCAGAGGATTCAGTGCCTTCATAGCTAGAAACCTTGCAGAATTCAATTTCACATTCTAAGAATTCCAAGTTACGAATTAAGTCACTGCAGAAAATGAAAGCTCCGTTTAAGATACCAATAAAGATAGGGTTCTTATCTTTATATTCTTAAGAAATTTCTTAAGCAACTCTCTTGACTTCATGGGCAATTTTTTCTCTAGCGAGATAAGGGACAAAAGTCAATCCTTTATGGCTGATTTCTTTTTCTTAAATATTCATTCTGTTAAAATAAAAAGAGGCCTAAGTATTATTTTATCTACTTAATTTTTATGTTTTTATAAATTTTTAGAAACAAAAATAATATAAGTTTTTGCTAGTCCAGTTTTTGGGTTTAATTTAAAGTGACCAAAAAAGATATTTTTCATACATCAGAAATTTTCTTTTAAAATCTATAATTAAACGTACACATTTATTGAGTATATTTGGGAAACTCGTACTGAGGAGGGGGATTAGCAATTAGGGATATTAAAAACTAAGATAAAAAAGGTATTCATGCATTAAATTTTATTTAAATTATCCCTTCTCTTCTACTAAATCCTTAGACAATATACTCTGTCATTTAATTTAGATTTAGCTTAACTTTTCTAATAATAAATCAGGTTAGAGAAATCTTCATTAGCTTAAGGTAAAAGCTGCACTTGATTGAATATCAAACATATCATTTAGATATTTGTACATTTTCTTTTTTCATTTTAATAAGCTCTTGAAAAACATGTTATATTTATTACTACTAACTATTACATTTATTTAAATTTCTTTAATAAATTAGTAGACTCAAAGAGTGTATCAATCTAATAATGCGTAAGATGCAAAAATAATTGTAATTAATTTAAGTATATAATTATAAATCTAAATATTAAAAAAAAAAAGTAATTAGATAAAAGTTAAGCTTCAAGGCAGCCTTAATTTCTAAAAAAAAATATGAATATAATGCATCGTATAAAACAGATTTTAATTAATTGAATTTGAGATAATCTTTTTTTTGGGGGAAACAAATATTAAATCCAAAAAATACACCAAAAAAAAAAAAGATATCATTAGAACAAGTATGCAACGAAAATACATATAAATAAACATAGACGTATTTTATTAGCAATCTATTTAGATCTAGTATATTCTATCCTTCTATAAGATACATTCATTTGATATGAATTAAGCATACATTCTATGATGAAAAAAAACTAGACTTAAAAATAATAAATAATATTGATTGTTTGATTGAATGATTGATAATTTGATTAATTATTATGGTAAAAATAAGAAAAATAATACGATAATAAAGATATAAATTCATATAATATAGAATTGACAGTTGATTAATTGATTATTAATTAAGATTTGCTTAAATTTTTATCACTTTTTTATTTTTAGATTTAGGTAATTTAAGATGAAGTAAAATTTATTGATATTGTGATTAAAATAATATTTCAAAATTGAGTGCAAACATTGCATTGATCGCTCTTTACTATATCTGGTTATGGAGTATAGTGGCTTTTTAAAACCCAGATATCTCTCATGTTTCTAGCCCATTCATCAATATCAAGTCCGTATCCAAGAATGAATTTAGGTTCAATTGTAAATCCAATGAATTCAGGGTTAAGTTTAACTTTCAAATTGGCAGGCTTATAGAACAAAGTACAGATTTTAATGCTTTCTGGTTCAAACTTTTAAACAGATTGTACAAGAGAGCTCATGGTAAGACCAGTGTCAATAATATCTTCTACAAAAACTACATGTCTTCCTTTAAGGTTATTTTTTAAGCCAATTAACTCAGTTATTTTTTCTGTGCTTTTAGTTCCAACATAACTAGCAACTCTGCAAAATTCAATATTGCATTCAAAGAATTCTAGGTTTCTGACTAAGTCACTGCAAAAAACAAAAGCACCGTTCAAAATACCAATGAACAAAGGGTTCTTATCTTTGTATTCAGCAGAGATTTCTTTAGCAAGTCTCTTAATTTATTCTTAGATTTTTTCTTCAGAGATCCAAGGGACAAATGTAAGGTCCTTAATTGTAACTTCTTTCTTACCGATATAAGTAGTCATTTTTGAGTTTTTGTACTAAGTATTATCTAATTTAAAAACAAAAGTAGTTTTTATCAAGTTTTAAATTTTAAGTATTTTTTGATAAAGAAAAATAAAATAAAAAAATTTTCAGAAGAAATCTAGGTAGTATTTATAGCATATTTTTTCATTCAAAAACAAAGGAGGGGGATTATTTCTAATAATTAGTGCGAATAGGGGGATCTTGTATTAAGTAAATTAAACAAATGTAAAGTGACTTACCTTTCAGTATTAAATCAAATGACTGAGACCCCTTTTTTGTTTTTTCTTTTTCCAAACTTAACTTCTAAGAGCGTATCTTTTTTTTTTATACGTAACTTACTTATTTTACTATAATAAGCTCATATTTTAGAGTTGTTTGTATCGTTTTTTTTGCATGTTATCTTTTTCGAGTTTCAATTATCTAGTAAACAAACTGTAAATTTAGTATGTAGTTGATTATATTCTGATTAAAGTAAAATTTCAGGATAGTAAATTACAATTTTTCAAAAAATTTTAAAGTATAGAGAATTCTTAGTAATTATTTTGACCCTCAATAAACTAATTTTTAATTAAATAATGATAAACTTTGACATGACGCTGTATCATGAATAAAAAATCTCCAAAATTAAGTATTATTTGAAAATTCTTACTAATTAGTTATAGTTAAAATAATATGCACATCATTTTATCATATCAGGCATTTTCATAAAACAATTTCATTTTAATGTAAAATATATTTGTAGAGCTGTAAAGTGAAATTTATAGATAAAAATAAATTAATCAGTGAATCTACGAAGCAAGAACTAATATTTGCTATTTAAAGTTCAATACTATATATACATTTTTGAAGTTTTTAATAGTTTGAAACTATTATTTTTAAATTTTATGAAAGTAAAAGTTTGTAAAATTAAGTGAAATTCAAATTTGATTAGGAAACAAAATGTTTTAATTTTTTTGAGTTAGTAATTAAGCTATTTAGAGATAAAATATTGATAGGATTTAGCTTTTATTCAAGAAATTTCTACAAAGGAATTTGTATCCATTTTAAACAAAAAAGTATTTATTCTTACAAAGAATTCTACAAAATTAGTTTTAATAAAAAAGGTAGAATAAGTAGAAAATATAAAAATGAGCGGTAATAATCCTTAAAATATGAGTCAAGAAGAAAAAGATAAAAGAAATAAAATATTTCAAAAGGTAGCATAAATGAATATGTAGTTTGAAAATTTAGAAGCATAAGTTAAATCAGTTATCCACTAAAATCTAATGAAACGTAAGGAAGATTGTTACAACAAATATAAAAAATCTTCAGACGATTTTGCAACCTGTGCTCACAGCTTAATTGAAGAAACCCGTAAAATCTCACAAGAAATGAAATTCAGAATTAATTTCTTTGAATATAAGATGGAAGAATGCTTAAAGAAAAATCACGATGCAAATATATTGCTTCAATGTACTGAAAATTAGGAAAAACTTTACCACAAAATATTTTCACATATTCATAAATTGGAATGAAAAAAATAACAAATAAGCTATAAAAATAGAATATAAAATGAATATAAACAAATCGTTTTATTTATTTATTAAAAATGGCATTCAGATAAATTCTTTTTTAGTTGATTAATTTTCATATTTGTAAAAATCAAACTATATTTTTATTTGACATTTTGAAGCTAATTGATAATGTTTATAACATTAACAAATTTATTCTTTCAATAAATATCCTTAATATATATATTAAATATGACAAAAATAATAAATATATTCATCCATCCTATATTTAAATTAAAGATATTAATAATATATAATTAAATCAAATAAATTTCTATACATTTTTATGATAATATAGTTTAAATATTTAAAAAAGTTAAAATATAATTTTTTTATTTTAAAATTATTTATTTAACAAATATTTTTGATAAATATAAAAAAATATTTGATAAGCTTATTAAGATTTTTTTAAGTTAGATTATGCTTAAAATTATGTAAAATAATAAATTGAATAAAAAAATCTCAAAATATTCAATTAGAATTTAGCTTTTTCTTAAAAAGTTAAAATCCATATAGTAAATAAATAAAATACTCTGTAGCTTAATCTCAATTTTGTATTCTTAAAATAAAATTATAAATTAAAAATAATAAATTATATTTTTTTAGCTTTTAAAAGCTATATTTTTATTGACTTTAAAATTATTTAGTTAAATTACAATAAAAGATTTGAAAAAAATATTTACAGTCAAATAAGGTGTTATTTAATATAAGATTATTTTTAAATGAAATAAACAGGTTATTTTTAAAATTTAGGGCACTAATATACATACATTAGTGGTAATTAATGAGAATTTACAGTATAGAATAAAATCTTAAATAATTTTAAAAAATAAATAAAAGAATAGAATTCATATGTTTTATTTTTATATTCAACTTACCAATAAATTAAAAAAAAAGATTTTAGAAATAAGAAATAAATGTAGAATTTGAGTATGAAAATAATAAAAATATCTACTTCTTAAACAAAATACTTTCTAAAAAATTAAGAAATTAGTTTTTTTATAAAGTATAATAAAATAAATTATGAAAAATATATTTTAGTTAGAGTTTATAAGCGAAAGAGTGAGCAAATAATATGAAAATTAGTATCTAACTAAATAGCTCAGGCCTAAGAAGATTTTATTATAGTGTTTCCATTTTTATCTTATTCTAAGTAAATATGGGTAGCTTAGTTCTAGAATTTAGAAGCAGGAAGACCATTTATTTTTTTAGGAGGTTACTTGTTTGATGGAGATTTACCAAATTTATCTTCATAATCTTTCGGCAAGTGGTTTTTGCAGAAATCAAGCTACTCAAGTGCTTCTTAATTTCTTTGTTTTGTTGTTTTTAATTTTTTAATTTATTCCATTTCCACCTGCTCTAATTTTTTGAGAAGGCCTTCTTTTTACTCAATCTATTTCTTTTCAGTATCAAATACGCTCATTTATTCATTTTAAACGGACTCTAATTTCTTGATCAAAAACTCTTATTACTTTCTTTTAGCTTACTTTTCTTATTATCTAACTTGTTAAACTTTCCATCTCAAATTTTCCATATAAACTTAATCTTCCTTAGCTTTTTATGCAAAATCCTTTGCTAATAAGCTCTTAAAGTATTAAGCATCATCTTTGTGTTTATCTTGAACAAACTTCTTAGAAATTTAACACTTAATCATTTCTAATTATCCTACAGGATGAGTAAATGGAATTTCTTCAACTTCAATTTTTTTTCTTTTGGCTTCTTGTTTCTTTTTTTTTTTCATAAAATAAATATAAATTTTGCATAAAAGAGGTAAAATATTTCTTTAATAAAATTTTTATTTCTTAAAAAGTTTAATTTGTTTTGGTTATTTTATATTTTTAGTCAGTTGAACATGAATTTATATTTCAAAGATACTCAATAAACTAATAATATTTTTTTTAAAGATGATTAAAATGTATTAAAAAAGTATTTTTAATGTAAACACTTTGTCTTCTCATCAAATTTTAAGTGCGATGTTTTAGTTATTTTTCGCAAATTCAATTTTTCTTTAAATTATTATTAATATTATTTGTATGTGAAAAACGCTTATATTGGTGGAATGTATGATATAAACTAAGACAATAATATCAAAAGTTATATTTTTTGTATCAATGTATTTATTCCTCTTCCTTCTAAATGGAGAATGTCCAAGCTAAAAAATGAAAAGAAATTTTATACAATCCTGTCTTATTGTGTTAAAGCTCTAAACCAATAATTTAAAATACTTTAATAAAGTCAAAAATACCTTTAATTGTTCACGCCTTTTTATTTCATAAATTTGATTAGCTCTTTCCTTAATATCATCTGCTTTCTTTTAGAGCATATTGTCTTCAACAGAGAGCTTGTTAATACGATTTGTAATAACATTTAACTTAATTTATGCAACCTTATGATTCTGCTTAGCTTAATATAAAGATCCCATGCTCTAGCTGTGGGAATTTTAAGATTTTGCTGTGCTCATAGTACTTCCATTCTTATTATATGGATTTGCATTAATTAGTTTTCTGTTTAATGAAGTACCCATCTTTGATTTTTGTGTCTAGCTGACCTATGAAGTGTTACTTTATTCTAGCTAGCTTTTTTGCATGGTTTCTTAAGCTTAGCCTTCAGTTTTAGGGTTTTCTTCGCTCATTTTTAATTTTTTTACTTTATCTTTTATATTTTTATTGTTCAAATAGTGAGCCAATCAATATTAATTTTCGGCAGCAATATTATCAATCTTTTTATATTAATTTTTTAATACACTAACTAAAATCTTAAAAAATAAAATTTGATTACCTTTTCTTTTTATTACTCTAGATTATGAGTTTTTTTAGCTGTGAAACTTTATTACTATAGTTCAGTTTTATTGAAGTAATCTATTTTAGTTAATTGTTTTAAACAAATTAATTTTTTAAGCTGCCAAAATCTAAATAGAAATAAGTAAATATATAAAATGGGTACAGGATTGATTTGATTCATTAAAAAGAGTAACATTTAAGCAATTAAATTTACTGATTTAATAATTTTTTTAGTAGGAAATATTTGATCTGATTGAGAAAGTCTTCAATAAATAAATAGAATTATTTAATCAGCAATTTGCATAGAATATTAATTTCTTAAAATAATTTGAATAGAGTTTATTAAATAAATAAAAATATCATATCCAAAGCAAAATATAAAAAATTTAACTAGAATATAAAATAATTTCAATAAAATATGCAAATAAATTATTTGATAATATTAATTAAGTATTCTTTATTTCATTTATTCAATCAATCAGAGAGTACGTTAAAAATATTATGACTTTATATTTGCTATTTCTTTATTAAAAAAATACTCATAAATAAATAATTAATTAATTAAAAGAGAATAAATTAAAATTAATAATATAAAAAATAAAGAGTAAAAAGAAATAATATAAAAAATTTACAGGTTGCTATTTTTTGCCAGCATAAGATCCTGCTTGTTGCTTGGTGTTGCTATTTTCATCTTGATAGTTTCTTTTGTTATTTTAGTTGTTAGATTAATCTTGATTTTAATAATTTGTATTTTTTTGATTGTTCTAATTGGAATAGTGCTAATTGTTGTTTTCATTATAGTTATTTTGTCTATAATTATTATTACCCTTTCTTTGATTTCCTTAAGTTTGTTGATTGTTATTATCTTAATTTTTATTATCATAATGTTTTCTCTAACCATCATTATTACCTTAATTTTATTATCCTTATGTGTTCTTGGAGTAGTAATTATTATTTTTGTTACCTTCGGTGTTATTATTACTGTTATTATGATCATTTTGATACCTTTTTCTTTCATAATTATCATCCTATCTATTGTTATCTTTTTTATAATATGTGTTATTGTTTCTGTAATTATTTGAGTTTCTTTTCTCTCTATTATTTTGGTTTTCTTTGCTATTTTAACGAGATTAAGCACTTTCTTAGCTATCAGTTTCGTAATCACTCACATTATCCTCAAATTTTTTCTAGTGTCTTTTTTAAAAGTTCTACCTATTATTATTGTTGTTGTAGTTATTATTATTATTATTGTTCTAATCATAACCTTATTATCTATTGTTATAATTATTTTTTTGGTAAACCCTTCTTTAATTGCCTTGTTAGTTATCTTTTTATTCATGATTTTATGAATCTTAATTATCATTATGATTACTTTATTCATTAACTTGCTGGCCTTCATGCTTTCTTTCATATTTATATTGCTTTTACTGATTTCCATCTTTTCTATAGTAATTATTATTGTTATTATTTTGATTTTTATAGGGTTTTCTATTATTATCATAAGATTTTTTGCTATTAATTTTATTAATATTTTCATTGTTTAAGTCTTCAAGTTCATTTTCATTATATAATTATGGGTCTTTCTTTTAATTCTCATCATAAATCTCTACACTCTCCTAAGATTTATATTCATTCTTAGATAATTACTTTGTTTAAACTTCGGAATCATAAATTTAATTAATTTATTCTTGAGCTTCTTTTTTAGCTAACTACTTTTCTACATAAACTACATTTTGTACATTTTTTTTTCTATCTCTTTCATCTTTATTATATTTTTTATCCTAATATTTTTTATAATTATTGCCTTCTTTATTTTAAGAATTCTCTTCTTAATCTTTAGATTCCTTATTTACTTTATTTAATTATGGCTTTTATTATTCTTAAACTTGTGAATTCTCACTCTTAGTTACTTTCACTACTTGTTACACAGAACTTGCTTATTCTACTCTTTAATCACCCTTTTATTCTTCTTTTTTAGTTGAATTTTAAGTCTTTTATTAACCCTAGCTTTAGTTTTATGTTTATTGCTAATTATTAGGCTTTTAGTTTTATACTACTTTTTCTGTTGCTTATTGAACTTGATTTTGATTTGGTTTATTTGCAACTGTAGTTTGTACGTGAGCTTTCTATGATTAAGAATTATTATCAGTAGCTGCTGTATTTGTTTTTGATTCTTTTTCTTAATGTGGTACTTTTTATCCATTTTCCTAGATATTAGCTACTTTCTATTCCTTCTCTAAAGCAGTGGTTTTCTATTGTTCTTAAGCTTAAGAAACAGGTTTTTATACTTTTTCATGAGCTTTTAAATCCTACTTAATTTCAGCTTTTTATTCAGTTTGATGCTTATGTTCATTTTGATTCTTTAATTCAACCTGAGGAGTATGCTTTTACACACTTTGATGTTGCTATTGCTTTTATTCAATTTATGGTTGAGGCTTCTACTCATTTTATATGTTTTCCTTTTTTTTTTAATCAGGTAGTGGTTAGTGTTAATTGTTCTATTTTTTTTCTTGTTATTGATCTTATTTTTTTTCAACTTTAGTTTATTATTAGGGCTTTTCTTATTATTGCTAAGTTTAAGGAGACTAATGCTATTGTTAAGTTTATTCTTATTATTTAGGTTTATTATTTTCGTTTTAAGCAGTTTCATTAGCAGGCTAGCTATTTGTTGCACTTTATGATGGTTAAGCTGGTTTATTATTCATATTTCTTGTAATAACAATTCCATCATCGTAGTTAATAGTTTTAAAGAATGGTTTATCGTCACCTTACTTATTCTTATTGACAAATCCTTTAGGTCTATACTCTTCTTAGTTATTTTTTGTGTTTGTATAACCTTTATTTCCATACTTATCTTATTATTTGAATTTTTTATTGTTTTAATCATCTTCCTCGAATTATCTCTTGCTACTTACAACATAGTTAAATTCTTGATCATTATCTGCTTTTGTTTAATTCTCATTCTAATTTTAAACTTATTAGCCATGTTGCTTAACTTCACTTGTTGTTGATTCTTTTTGAGGCTAACGCTAAATTAATAATTTTCTTTAAATTTATTCAAATTTTAAAAGATAGATTTTACATTTTATTTTACAAAATCTGATTGTCTATCCTAATTATAATTCTAGCCATATTGTCTATCTATAAAATTTATAAACAAACACTTACTTATTTGATATTTTACTATAAAGAACAATTACCATATTTTTTTTTTTAAGTACCAGGAGCTGATTCTGCCCATATTCTTATGTAGAATGGTAAATCCTAATTTTAAATAATTTTAAAAAGTAAGTTTGATTATAAATTGTAAATTAAGAGGGAAAATTAGTTTATAATTTAAAAACAGCACACACAGGAGACACAATAATATTTAATTGCTTATAAAATTATTTATTTTTTTGTATTACTTTCATTTGAATAATTTTGAGTGCATCGTTACGGTCAAATTTTATTTTAAAGCATCCACTGAATTTACTGTCTGCAATCATATCTTTAATATCTAAACCTTTAAAGACTTTTCTAACAAGATCTTCATCTACTTATTGGTCTCTTTTTGCAATTTTAAAAGTGATGAGATCTGACTCATATTCCTCTATTTAGCTAACCATATCTTCATCTAAATAATAAATAATATGTAATCTATCCAATTATATACATTAAAATTTACATTATTAATTAAATTCATCCTTTAGATTGCTATTCTCTTAATAAGGTCTTCTCTGGCCATAGTTATCTCTCTTATTTTTATAATTTTAATGGTGATCATAGTTTTTATTATTGTAATTTCCACTCTATTGTCTATTTTATCCATACTATTAGTTATTCTAATAATGCTAGGCTTCCTTTGTTGCTTACTTTTCAGCTTAATAAGACTAACTATTCTACTTACTTCCACTGCTTTCAGCTTTTGCTAATTAAATTTAACATAATTTTTAAACTTTAACATATTATTTATAAAAATTAATTTCTTAATAATTTAATTACAAACAGTTTCTTCGTGTCTGTCTTCATCTTCTGAGTCATTTCCAATATCTGCCCAGTCTTGTATATTTAAAACATATTTTATTTTCTAATAATTTATTATACTTTATTAATTACTTCTTTTCTTAATCTCTGCTCCGCTCATCTATACTTTTGTTTTTTAATCTTCTCCTTTTTGCAATATATCTTTTTTAATGTGAATTAATTTTTTTTAAATTTTTTGATTTTTTTTTTCTGCTAATAATTAATTTCCACTAGTTCATTTTTCAAGTAAAAAGACTTCTAATATCTTTTTTTACGAGTATCATTATGATAACAAGAGAATAGAGTGGGAGCGAGTGGAAGAGCTTATCCAAAATCTCAAAACTTATAAAAAGACTTAAAATAACAAGTAATTTTTAAATTAAAAAAATTTATGGTTTTAAATTGAATTATTTCAAAATAATAAAAATATTTTTTTTTCTTTAGTTTTTCCTTATTATTTTGGATTTTAATTTTGTTATTAATTTAATTTGAAAAAGTAAATTTAATTTACCATCTTTTTATGTTCCTTTTATATTATAAATAAAAAGAGGTATAAAATATTTATTTACTCTTAAACTGGTTAAATTAAAATATTTTATTAAAAAAATATTTTAATTCTTCTTTTATTTAAGATTTCCTTTTTTTTTTATCAATTAATTTAATTTTTATATATCTTATTAAATACTTATTGATAAAATTAATTACTTATATAGATTGAGTTAAAGTGGAAACTCCATTAAAAGTTAATGGTTTAAAAATGAATATTAGATGAGGGAAATTTAGTATAAATAATATTAAGTCTTTTGAGATAATTTTTATCACTAAAATTTATGAGTTTTAAATAAACATATTGATGATTTAAATTAAAAAAAGATTTTAGAATATATGATAAATTATTTATTTATTTTTAATTAATTAAGAATTAATCTAATAAACAAATTTTTAAATATTTTTTTTTTGCAAACATCAAGAAAGGAAGTTGATATTTATTTATATTATAAATTAAATTTTTAATACCAATAGTTTGTAATATTTTATTAAATAGACTAAGCTGAAACTGATAAATTAATTAAATTTTAAAATTTTACAGTTTTATATTTTTAACTTTAAAAAATTTAACAAATGAAAAGATTTCAAATATTAAACCAAAAAAATATTCATATTATAAATAATTTATTTTAAATATAATTGGTTAATTTGAAATAATTTGAAGACAAGAATTTCAAATTAAAAATTAATAATAAACTTGATAAAAATAGATTTTATTCATAATATAAATACTTTTTTTCTAAAATTTTGAATGAAAAACATTCTTTAAAAAAAAAATAGTTTAACCTTTACATCGTTTAAATTTTTCTGTGATCATATTATTTTTCAATTTAAATTGCCGCATAAATTAAACTTCAGCTTAACTTAATTCGGCTTAACCTATATTTACACCATTATATTAATTTTATTATTTTTCTGACTTTTTAGAAAAACTAGATTAATTTATCAAATGGGTTGTTTAAAATATTTTAATTTTAAACTAAAAATAAGTTAATTTAAGTTGTTTCTTGAAGAGTGAGTATTCATATCTATCTTTACGAATTAATGTGACGAGTTCTATTTTAATTATTATTGGTTTACTCGTAAATTTATTAAATTTTGAATCCTTAAAACTAAAATTGTTCTAGATATAGTTTATGTTCCCTTTACTTAATACCATTAACAGAAAAATATATTTTTGATGATGATATTAATAAAAATAATAAATAAAAACCAAAATTAATTTGATAAATCCAAGTTTCATAAAGAATATCTACTTTAACAAAATGTCTGAAAAACAATTATAGGCTATTATAGCTCCTTCAATTTTATCAGCTGATCTTTCAAGCCTTGCTGATGAATGTTAAAAGCTTAATGACTAAGGCGCAGATTGGTTACATATTGATGTCATGGTACTTAAAATTACTTGTGCTTTCATAATTTTTTAATAATTTATTTAATTAATAGGATGGGTAAATAGTTTTATAGTTTTCATAATAGAATTCTAGCAAGAAATGAATGAACAAATAGATTGAATAATTCAATAAATTTATATTAAATACAATTATTTTTTAAATTAGCCACTTTGTCCCAAACTTCACTTTTGGTTAAACTGTTGTTAAGTGCCTCAGAAAGAAAGTCAAAGGATTTTTTGATTGCCATTTAATGATTTCTGAACCCTAAAAATGGGTTAAAGATTTCCATAATGCAGGAGCAGATCAATATACATTCCATTACGAAGCTGTTGGTATAGCATTAAATATAATTCAAGGCTAATTGGTCAATAATAATAATTTTTTAAATAGAAAATCAAGAGTAGCTCTGCAAAGAAATCAAGGAAACTGGAATGAGGGTAGGAATTGCTATTAAACCAAAAACTTAAATCGAAGATAAACTTTTACAACTTATTGATAGTAATTTAGTTGACATGGTTTTAATTATGACAGTAGGTAATATCACTAAAAAAATAAAATTCATATCTTTTAAACAATATTTAATTTTTTTTAGAACCTGGTTTTGGTGGATAAAAGTTTATGTAAGACATGATGTAAAAAGTTGAGCTTTTAAGAAGAAAATATCCTAAGCTAGATATTTAGGTTGATGGAGGTATAGTATGTGAAAACATCGATATAGTTGCTAAAGCTGGAGCAAATGTTATTGTCTCAGGTTCAGGTATAGTAAATCATGCTGATCCTAAAAAAGCTATGGCTTTTATGAAAGAAAGAGTTTAGTTTTTTATTTCTGACAATGAAAATCAAATTTAATAGTAAAAGGATTGATTGATTCTAAAGTACTTACTTCTTGTTATATATTCAGTAGTTTAGTAGAAATAGTGAAAAGCTTTTATATGATTGATTATGTTTGTTTGTATCACAGAAGATTAAAAATTAAACTTTTTCTAAATTAAATAATAAGATTTTTCTTTTCACAAACTAAAATATTTTTTAGATAAATAATTCATTTTATTTTAAAATTATTAAAAAACTGTATGTTTATTTGTTAAATCATAATATGAATTTATTTTGTGAGACGCTAAGGATGTTATATAATATGTTACTTACTCAATTATAATTGCATAGAATCAAATCAGTTTATAAGATATTATATAAGCACATAAATTTTTATATTTTAATTAGTTTAAATTATTAGAATTAGTAAAAAAATAACACTTAAATAGCTTTAAAAGTTTTAAGATGTCAAGCGTTTACTCTCTAGAACCACCAACTAGTGGCAAAGTTATAATTAGAACTTCAATGGGAGACATTGATGTAGAGTTATGGACTCTTGAGGCTCCAAAAGCTTGTAGAAATTTTATTTAATTGTGCCTTGAAGGATATTATGATGATACAATATTTCATAGATTGATTCCAAAGTTTATGATTTAAGGTGGAGATCCCACAGGCACGGGAAAGGGAGGAGAAAGTATTTATGGAGAGCCATTTAAAGATGAATTTCATTAAAGATTAAAATTTTCACATAGAGGTATTGTAGCTATGGTAATTATAAGTTAATAGATAATTTTTAGCTATGTGAATAATGATTTTAATTGATATAATTAGGCAAATGAAAGCAAACCTAACACTAACACTAGTTAATTTTTTATAACATTTGATGAGTGTACTTGGCTTGATAAGAAGCATACTATATTTGGAAAAGTAACTGGTGATTCTGTGTATAATTTGCTTTAACTTCAATAGGTAGAAACAGATTAAAATGATAGACCATTGAATCCTCCAAGAATTATCAAAACAAATGTAGTATAAAATCCGTTTGATGATATTGTTCTAAGAAGCGATTAAGCCATAAAATTTTCAAAATTGAACCAAAACAAAGATTAAAAGTATAGCAGTGGATCTGAATCAGAAGAAGATGAAGAAGAACAAAGGTTTAAAATAGAAAATGAGAAAAGAAAGAAAGAAATGCTTATATAAAAGCAAAAAGAGGAGGAATAAAAGAAAAAGAACTTTTAAAATAAAAACTTACTTTCTTTTGCTGATGATGATGAAGAGGAAGAAGATGGCATAGAAGAAAATGGTGATGATGATGAAAAAGAAGAAGGAAACAATAAAAACAGTAATAAAGATGATTTCAAGAAACCATAAGACAAATGTTAAATAATGAATATTCATGATATAAGTGAGGAAGATAAATTTAGCAAAGAAACAGCAGTAGATATAGAAAATTTACAGTATTCAAATATAAAATAAATTTATTGTAGAATAAAATTTATGATTTATTAAAAAGAAAAAAGAAGTAATAAATAGAAGAGGAAGAAAATAAAAAAAAGAGATTGTAAGACAGAGTAAAATCAGCAAAATAAGATGGAGTGAAAGAAGAGATAAATAAAAAGTTATTTAAAGAAAATGAAGTCATTGAAGTAAAAGGGAAATTAGCAGAAGAAAATAAAGATTTGCTCAATTACAAGAAAAGAATTAATAAATAAACAGGTAAAGTTGAATTATATTGGGATAATGAAGGAGAATAATCAAAATCAGAGAGTGATCAAGAATCTTATTCCTCAACAGACTCAGAAGATTATCAAAATGAAGAAGAAAAGTAAAATAAAATTCAATATCATTTTAATGAGGGATTAATTAATAAAACAAATAAAATTAAGGAAAATTAGACAAAAACAAAAGGAGGAGTATGAAAATTTAAGAATATCTTTCTTGTAATAAAAACGAGATGGTTAAGGAACAGCTTCAGAATCAGCAGTAAATATTGAAGTTAAAAATATAGATTTAATGATTACTAAAAAAAACAGAGGAAAAATAAATCAGAGAACAATAAACTACTTACTAATGTAGAAAAAAGGAGGTAAAAGTATTTGGAAAAAGAATAGTTAGAAAGGCGTTAAGGAGGTTACATGAAGAAGTTAGCTGAATTTTAGTAAAAAATGAAGGTTGTTTCAAATCCAAATAGCTGGGTAAAGCATGAACTTAGATTCTAAGCAACTGGTGACAGAGCCTTTTAGATTTTTGATGCTAAAGAAAAAATTAAAGAATACAATGTTAATGAGGACTTGGAAAAGAAAGGATATGTAAATAAAAGCTTGGATAATCTTAAAAGAAATATAGAGAAACGCTAAGAAGAGAGCCAAAAAAGAGTAGGAGAAAAGTTGACTGTAGAAGAGTTAATGAAGTTAGCAGATGAATGAATGAATAATTAATTAATGAAAGAAATAAATAAATATATCTAATAAGCTAATGATTGATCTAAATTCGCTTATTATAATTTTTTTGTTTTATTTAAAATGCTAATATTTTTAAATATAAAAATTGCCTAATGTGAATGAATATAATGAATGTTTAAATGTTCAAATAATTGTAGTATTTGTAAATAATACAATCAAGCAAACATTCAAACACCTTTTATTTGTTTAAAAAAACATAAAAATATACTTTTGCTTTTATTTTATCTTTTAATATTGAAAAAACCTTTTTTTTTAATAATAAGAATCAAAGTTTTTGATAGATATTCTAATTGATAATTGTAATTAAAATCAAAGCAAAGCAAAAATAATAAAAAATGAAACCCAAGATAAAAATAGATTTCTTTAAATAAAATATTGAAGTCAAATCTCTTAACATTCAGATGATTGGCAAATAAGGAGTGAACTACTTCACTTTTATTAAAAAAGAAAATGAGGGTTTACTAGAATCTTAACATTTTATTGTAGTAGACGAAGTAAAAAATAGCAAAAATTAAAGAATTCCTAATTGCAAAGCTTTTATCATTAGTAAAAAAAAAGAAAATTTAAGAATTTAACTATATGACAATGTTGATGAAAAGATAGATGAAGTTTCGATAGATAATCAAAAAGAGCCCTATTTTGCAATTATTTAAAAAAGAGATGTAGAAAATTGGAAACATTTAAAGGATTATTAAGTTTCTACTTTGCCATAAGAAAAGTTAGAATAGTTTACTTTTTCGCTTTTATACTATGTGTATTAGGATTTAAATCAATTTAAAATATAAAAAATTAAAAAATGTAAATTCTCAATAAATGACAATATTTATTTTTAAGAAAGAAATAATAAACTAGAGTTTAAAATTTTCTTTACAGAGCTTTATCTTAAAAAATAACTTTAAAAAGATGAATCTGATATTTAATCAAAGTAATTATCAAAGTATGATATATTTTGCAATATAATATGTTAGTTATTTAGTAAAAATAACAATGAATTCGATGAACCAGATAAGCTTGATACCAAATAAATAGATTATTATGAAAGAATAAATAAATTCTTTAAACTTTGCAAAAGCCATTAAGGTAGTGCTAATAAAAGTGGTTTATAGTATTAAATAGATTCTGAATTACATTCATATCTTTGCGAAAACCTATTTAAAAATAACTCAATCAAAAATATGATCTAATAATTAAACTGAAATTACATATTTCAAATAGCTATAAGTATATAATCTTATAAAATAGTTTCTTAGTATATTGAATTTTTCTTATTTTATAATATTTTCATTTTCTATAAATTGTTTCTTAAACTACTTAAAAAAAATATCATTTTATTTATTTGTTTATTTTTTTTTTAATGAAAGCTCTATATTTTAATAATAATAAATTGTTATATTTTTTAAATTTTGAGTTTAAAATTTATTTATTTTTTTCTAAATAAATATTTTATGTTAATTTTTTGATATAAAAAAAATATTTATATTAATTTTAACATGGAATGTTCGTTCTATTAAAATTTTTCTTATTAATAAATTAATTTTCCCAATTTAGAAATTTAATAATATTTTACAAGAGAATAATTTTTAAAATGCTATCCTATATTAAATGGAACAATAAATTAATTATTTATCAATAATATAATAATAAAAAAGTAGAGAACTAGAATAATTCTACAACATGTGTTCAGATATTTGTAACATATAATTTTTACAAATAAATTTATATTTTGTGAAAGAAATTTTTGAAAATCAAATATAATTAGAAATGTAAATTTATTTTTTAAATATTTTCATTTTCAAGTTTATTAAAAAATGTAATTAATAAAATTAGAAAATATTTATTTTCACACTATTTATATGCTATAATGACAATTTAATTACTTCTGAATATTTAAAGTAGAAAAAATAATTTTATTTTGAACATGTAAGAACATTTTTTTATAAAAATATCTAATTAAATTTAAAAAGAAAGATGAAAGAAATAAAGAAACATAGAAAGAAAGAATGGATCAAGATTAATTGGCCATGAAAAAAACAGTTAAATGAAATTTAAATACAGTATCTATACTAAATATATTATCTATTTTTGATAGCTTGAATAGAATTTGCAAAAAAAACAAAAAATAATTATATTTAATCAAATTTTAGATAGAATAAGTCAATAATATAAATATAACTAGCATTTGTAGACTGTGAAAATGCAATTACCAGATGAACCTCTAATGATTAGAGGTAAAGGCTAGTAAGTAAAAGGAGTTGGATAATTGCTTGAAGAAAGATTATAGAGGTGTGATTTGGAGCTTAATAGAGTTTTAAGGTTAGATGAATAAATCAATGTTTTTGATGTTGATATCAGAAATTTAAAATCCATATTTCTTGAAAAAAATGTACATTTCAAAGCTCTAGTTGATGAAGTAAAAACATGGAATAGTGATCTTATTGAGTTTAAAAATGGGAAAAAAACAATCTTCAGAGTTGGATTTAAATTTAACTTAATGAAGTATCTCGCACGTATTTTTTAACTTATTTTTCATTATATTTCTTTCAATACTATACTATGTAGACAAGAAAAAGCTATTTTCTAATGGTTTTTTTTTTTTTACTATTATAGAAAATTTAAGAGAAATTGTAAATACGAAGGATCGGCAAGTATAATTATTCTATTTGATGTAGCTCAAGAACTGGTATGACAGATAAAATGACATTTATTTATCTTTGAGACCTTAGACTTAAGGGGGAAGAGTTTCCACTGCTTCTAGACCTGGTACATCAAATCAGAATAATTATAATGTGTTTTCAAGCATGACGTTAAAAGATACAAATTAAAATTTTTTTCCTTCAAGCAATTTAGATGATTACTTCAATAATTATAGATCAAAACATTCACATTTAGATCCTCCTGAGGACAGGTAAAGTTTAAATTTGAATATTAATTTTTATAACTTACAATATCTACAGTTTTCAAGTTTATAATAAATATATGGTAAGTGGTTTTTAATAATATATATAAAGCATAGCAGTTTTAACTGTTTATTAATCTAAAGCTGAAAAGTTATTTTAATTAAATTAAGCAATCATAAAATGTTTAAAAATTTACTTTAATTTGTTTGGCTAAATGTAGCATGGCAAAAATAATTTTAAGAAAAAAAATAATTTATTTAAATATTGTTAAAATAGCTGCTTAAGTTACAATCAAAATTATTTTTAATTAAAAGAATTAAAGAGTTTACTAAAAAAGAGTTAGCTGAAATGCATCTATCTACAAATTAATCTAGACCTGCAACTGTAATGCTTAACTAGGCTAGACCTTTTACACAAGGTAGTCGTCCTTCAACTAATTACCAATCCCTACGTATGTTAAGTAATGTGGATTTGATTTCAAGAGGTGCAAGTAGAGGTGGATTGGCTTCAGCACAAACAAATTATTAAGAAGGGGAGAGATTAAGATCCCCAGGAGTTATTAACACTACTCCTTGGAATTACTCTGGAAGCTTTGCATTTTTCTAAAGTACAAATATATCTCAAAAATAATCACCTACTCCTCAAATATAAAACTAGTTTAATTATAATAAAATTTCAAAGAAAGATTCTAAAGAATCTGAAAATAAGCAAGATGAAAATTAAGAAAATGATGTGGAATAGGAGGATTAAGAAAATACACCTTAACATGAGCAATAAATGCGTAAGACACATTAAGGTCCTGGAATTTTGTAACCTAGCAGAAAAGCTTTTAATCAGGATAAAAACACTGAAATGAGTTATGCACCTCATGTTAGGCCTTCAGGAGACATAAAATCAACTTATCTTAACTATAATCCATCCAATGAGGTTATTATAATCTATATTATAATAATTGTATTTAGTTTATTTAATTAATTATTTTAAAGATAGGGGAAATAAGACTCGAGAACATATGGTACATTAATAGAAACAAGGCCGTTTAGGAAAAAAGAGAGCAAGAAGAATTAGAAAATCATATTTAGAATTGGGCTTAGAATAAAGGAATTATGGATTAAGAAATAGATAAAAAGAATGAAATTACAGCTCATGGATCTAAATTCGAAGATATGGGAGTTAAAACTCAGGTAAGAAACTAACAGATTATTTATATTTTTGTCTTCTTCAATATTTTTTCATAAAAATCTAGGCAAAATGTGTTAAAAAAGTGTTATCTGAAAAGAACTTTTAGTAAAAGTAAATGACTTCAGAAGAAGTCGAAGATTAAAGTTTATTTAATAATTATATAAATATTTTGAAGCTTTCAAAGGAATAAAAGTAAAGCATGGCTAATCCCTCTGCTAATGATGAGTCGATTTATGAAATTGCATCTAAAATAGACCAGTCAATTAGGACGCCTAGGTCATAAAGGTCATAGAGTAGAGCTGTTAGTGATTTTTAAGATTAAATAGCCTCTGAGTAGAATTTATTAGATTAATCTATGTCTTAAAAGTAACAAAAAAAAAGACAATTAGTAAAGAAAAATTCAGAAATTCCTTAAGAAAATAAACCATAGCTTGAGGAAAGACCAAAAACAATGTATGTAAATCTTAGGGAATAAGTAAAATAAAGCTAACCAGAAATAAATCCTGTATTAGGTATTGAATTTTAAATGAAAAAGAATAAGCTTGCTCAACTGAGATAAACTAAAGGTAAAATAATTGGATAATCATAAGCTAAAGTTGGAGAAGAAGCTGATGAGGAGGAAATAAATAGAAGAAAATAATAAAGTTTGTAAATTTATCATAGAGACTCCAAATAATTAAACTTCAGACCATTCTCGAATATGTATAAGAAAATAACAAGCAATACTTTAAAATCAGAGTAATTAAGTGAAATTGACAAGGTAAGAAAGGGTTTTGCAAATAAAGGAATAAGATGCTCTCTTAAAACTATTTCTTAATCTCTTTCTAGACCCTAGGGATTACCTATAACTGAGCTTTAACTCCCATCTCCAGGTTCTATGCTATTTGTAAATCCTTTTGATTAATTTAGTAAAAAGAAATCAAAAAAGAAAAAATGAACTAAAAATATTTATTGCATTTTATTTAAATTTTATACATAAATTATTTTTCAAATAAATAAATCTATGTTTATAAATAAATTTATACTATTTCATATTTATATTTGAGATTAATATTCTCAAACTCAGTGTTAAAAAATAATCAAATTCTGCATTTAATTTATTGAGATCAGCTAAATTTTTTTAAATTGATACTGTTTTTTATAAAAAATGTATTATAAAAATATTTTGATGATCAAACCATATTGTAATTTTTTATCAAAAAGTAATTATTATTTATTTATTTAACTTTTCATCTTTAAAAAGTTAGTTTTAAATTTAAAATTTATTATCTTTTAAATTAATATTGAGTGTGATTCTGAAAGTTTGTTTCAAGACAATAATAAATACAGATAAATCAGTTATTTTAATTATAAAGGTAATGATATTTTAAATAAGATTGAAATAATTAATTAATTTAAACCTATAGAAAACAAAATATGGAGCAGTTATTTTGAAAAAAATTAGTAGAATTAATAATTCATTAATATTACTTGTCTATTGTTGTATTTATTGTATTTGTGTGTGTTTATTGTTTGTCAAAAAGTAATAGATTTATTTATTTATTATATTTATTATTATTTATTTATTTAGTGGTTAAGAATATTTAGGTGTTTTGAATAAAGAAATAATTTGTAAATTTTGTTTTTTTTATTTTAATTAAAGTTTCAAATAAATTTGCAATTTAATTTATTTTTGTTAGTAATTTTTAGTTCATGCTTTTTATCATATATTTACTATTTTATAAAATCAAGAAGAGGCAATTTAATTGATTTTTAATAAGTTGTTTTCTTTCCACTCTGCTTGCACTCCCACAAACAATATTCCTTTGCCATCCATTTTATTATTTTTCCAATTTCCTTTATAAATCTCGAAGCAGTATGGGTTATTTGAATTTTTGTTTGATGAATAAATGCAATTTGTATATTCTCCAAATCCATTTGCATTATCATTTATCAGATAACCTTCATATATTCTTCCATCTTTCCACATAAATTTTCCTCTTCCTGATCTTTTTCCTTTTTCATAGTTTCCTTCATACACATCTCCATTCGCCCAAGAATATTTGCCTTTGCCATGCTAAAGCCCATATTCGAAGTTTCCTTCGTAGATATTTCCTGAAGAATAAATAATTCTCCCTGGCCCAAATGGCTTATTATTATCAAAATATCCTTAAAAGGTATTTTAGTCTCTTGTGACTAAGATTCCTCTTCCTTATTTTGTGTTTGATTTTTTGTGCATATAGCCAAAATAAATAGTTTCCAAAATAGGATCTTCTACAATTTTAAATATGTAGTCAGAAGATTAATCAATAATATTCTTAACTAAATCATTATTTTATATTAACTAGTTGAATTAATCTTATTTTAGTTATGCTAAAACTTCCAGAGCTCTAGGTACTTCGCTTTCAGATTAAGAAAATTCATAAATTTCATCAAATATTTTTTTAATTGCAAATTCATTTAATTTTGGTTTTTTTTCATTGATTTGCTGTGAATTATATGAAATGTTAAAGTTCCAAATTGCATCTTCAAGAGAGAGCTTTAATACATTTTCTATTTTTAAAAAATTATTTTGAGTAATATCGTTTATATTTTCCCAAGCACTAAAAACTTTATCATAGTTAGACATTTACTTTAGACTTTTAGCTGATTCATTTTTATCCCCTGTTTAATTAGAATCTTGCCTGTCTAAGCTTTTCTCAGAAATTGTATTATTTTAAACAAAAGCTGTATAGATTTGCACCTAACTAATAGCATAAACCAAAGATTCACAATTTTTTTCAAATATTTGAATAGCCGATTTAAATTTAGACTTCATATTTTCTAAATACAATTACAGATTTTCTTATTTTAGAGCAGATACGTTTTCTCTTTTCATTTTTTTTTCTTCTTTTTATTCTTAATGATAGAATTATTTCATTTATTCTAAAAAATCATCAGCTTGATTTGTAATAATATTTGATTCACTTAATTACTTTTTGTCTTCGACATCAGACTCTACATCACTAACATCATGTAGGATATCGTTTACAATTGATTTTTTTTTACTTTAATTGCTGTTTTATCCAGCTATATTACTACCAATATTATTTGCTTTACGAAATTGTTGTAGCGAAATCAAGCTAGGCTATTTCAGTTACTCTTGAAAAAATTGCTATTACTATTATTATAAAATCAATAATTTCTATTGATGTTATTAGTTTTGTTGTTCATATCCAAGAGTAAATGGTGAAGTATTATTTTAAGTTGTAAAGAAAGTATTTAATCCATTATTGCTATTTTGTGAGCTTTACATTTAGTTTTATTTAGAATTAGAGAAATTGTGGCTACCTTCCAATTAATTACCACTATTTTTCATCATTTCTTATTGTAATTGAATTTAATCTAAGCCTATAGTCGATTAAGGATTTCGATTCATTAAAAAAGTTTAATTGGGTTCTATTATCATATTTTAGTTCTGTTGCTAGTTTAACATATTTTTAAACTAAGTTGAGAACATTCCTTTAGCCTAGCTAATTTCATTCTCATTTTTATCAATGCTCATTCCATTAAAATTTAGTTATTAATTATTTGTATTGTTATTATTAGGTTTGTTGGTAAAATTACTTTGATTTATGCCTATTTATTTTCCTTACTGTTATCCATTCTGCAAATTTCCTCCTAAGCCGCTTAATCCATTTTCCATAAACTAATAACCGAAATTGCTAAATCCATTATTTTATTAATTTATATTTCCTATTAAATTTCCATACTGATTTCCATTTAAATTAAGTAATTGCTATTACTTGCTTCCACTACCTGGTTAACTAGAATTGTTATTTTAGTTTTATCCAATCCCTAAATTTTAAGAATTCAATATAGTTGTATTCATGCTGCCATACATTCCATTTGCCCCTGCTTGTACAGACTATCCATTAATACCGCTAGCTCCTTTTAAATTTAAAGTGATTTTATGTTACAGATTTTTCATCTAATTGATTCTTAAATAATAAAACAAAATTAATTGCTTTAAACTAAATATACCTAATTATTGTAGAATCCCATTATCTATTTAAGGATCAATGTTGATTTTAGAGTTTTTGAAAATCTAATTTTATTGTATATTCTATGGGAATAGCTTTTAGGATTAGTTCGTATCCATCATATATATTATCCCAAATATAAATATTATTGAATATTTTCAACTTTGATTTTTCTAATTTTATTATAAAGTTTGATAACCCTATTGCGATTTTGATTTCTTGTGCTTGCTTCTAAACAAATAAACAAACAAATCTATTAATACTTTTACTTTTGAATTATTATTATTTACACAAAAACCACTTCTATTATTAATTTCTTTTAATTTCAGAATTGCTTTTTTTCCACTAATAATTATTAAATATTCAATAACCTATATTTATTTAAATTATGATTATAAATTTTTCTGCATATATTTCTCATAAAAGCTTATATAATCTCATAATATATGCATAATATCTATTCTTTATGTTAATCGTTGATATCAATATGGTAAAAATCATTAAAAAGATTACTTTACTAAAATAAGTTACAAGTAAATCTATCTGTCGATTAATCTTCTAAATAATAAACTTAAAGCAAAATACTTTTTTTAATAGATATAATATAGTCAAAACCACTAAAAAGTATCTAAAAAAAATAAATATTAACTATTAAAATTATTATTATTTAGATAGATTATATTAAATTTAAACATTTTTAAATTAAATTGTTCTGTCCTTAAGCTAGACAGATTATTTTTTTTTTAATCTTACAAAAAAGGATTTTTTTATTTTGAAGTACTTATTTGTATGGTAGTAGCTCTATACGATTTAGGGAAATAAATAACACAAAACATTAGATTTTATAATCGAAATTAATTAAATTTTGAAATAAAAAACTAATTGAGAAAAGGCATAACTTTTTTAATGTTTGCTTTGAACGATTAAATATATTATGATTAAAAATGAATAGTAAATTCTGTTATAAATTTAAACTGATCAAAGCTTTAAATAATGTTTAATTAATTTAACTTCAAATTGAAAATATATCAATTATAGACACTCCAAATTTAAGAAATTCAAAGTAAATTTATAGTTAATTACTTGATTGCTAGGATATATATCTATATATTTTATGAAAATAAAATAAGATACTCTATCTAACTATCTTGTGTTAGCAAAATTAATTTAACTAAAAGAAAGAGCCAATTCAAGCTAAATCATCTAAACTTTGAAAAAAAATTAATTAACAAATAAAGAAAATTTTTTATTTTTGTGGATTTTGTTCCAAAAAGTAGAAGCAGGATAAAAGTGTTAAAAGATTAAGTTCAAATTTTAGTAAAACAACTTAAGCTAGTGGATTTAGATATAATAGTTAAAATATGGATTAAAATTATAACAATATACTTAAATAAAAGAAACAATACACTATTTTGGTTTTGTCTATAATATTTTTATTTGTGATCATCCTTGCTTTTGGAGATTTAAAAGGATTATTTGGAAAAAGAGCAATTATAGCTTTAATCATTCTTTTCACTTCCTCATTATATTTTATATGGAAGGATGAGTTGAAAGCAAAAGGTAAAAGATCCTTTAATATGAATAGAAATGATAAATTAAAATATTTTTATTTAAATAGGCTTTTAATTTGGATTTAGAAGATCCAAAGGAATTAACTCTCAGCCAAAATTCCCTTTTCGCCAACAAAATAGTAGTGGAATCAAATAAAATAGCAAATTATCAACACCTTAGCATACTTACCAGAAAGATCAAAGTTTAAATAGTGGATCTCAACAAAAAAATATTGTTGTTGAAAAGAATCAAGGATTAAATAACTCTTTCTTACAATCATAAAATAGATTATCAGGATAGCAAGAAAATTAAATCTACATGAGATATCCATCTGATAGCTTCTCTTAAAGAAATTTTGAGTCAAGGCATGATAGCTTATACAACTAAAATTAACATGGAAATAAAAAGGAAATATAATCTAGAAAAATTACTGAAGTTAGAAAGTGTAAATCATTCAATATTTATCAAATCAGCTTATCAATATAAGTAAAAAAAATTTTATTTTTAAAAATATTAGGGGGAAATAAAGGATAGAATGATTAAAATGGCTTATTAGGTGTTGCATCATAGAAAAAGCAGATTTCTCAAACATTTTAAATTAATGAAAGTGTAAATAACGAGGAAAATAAATATTAAAAGAGGAAATCAGAAAGACTGAACTAATCAGATAAAACAAGTATTTGTTTATTCATTTTGGATTGAACATATTTAAAATTTAAAAATATTAAATTATAAAAAGGATCAGATAGAGAAGCTCTCTTTGAATTGACTTTAAAGAAGCAAAATGAATTTTAAACCAATGAGCAATTTATGAATGCAATTTAAAAATCAAAAATATATTGCTTCCATATAATAAAAGAAAGAGTTTCAACTTAGCTTAAAAACATTCTAGAGATAAATAAGCTACTTTTTGAATAATTTAATTTAATTCTAATGGAGGCAGAACTAGCCTAAAATACAATTTAAGAGCTTGAAAATAGATTCGACCTAATCAACTCTGATAAAAGAAGGGTAACAATAGGTAAATTAATATAACTAAAAGCTACATTTAATTTCCTAATTATGCGATTATGAAATATATAGATGATTTATACAGCTTTAAAAATACCTTCTAAAGATAGAAGCATTCTATTTGGCATCTTCCATACGATCATCAAATAAATTTAGAGCTCATTAATCAGCTTATTGAAATGATTGAAAGTAGAGAAGAATTAGATACTGTTTTAGAAGTTAGAGGATATGATTTCTTTGAAATTAGAACTCATGTTTTAACAAGATTGTTTTACATGTATAATACACAAGATTGTGATGATGATTAAAAAAAGCAAATCCAAGACAAATACCCTGCTGATATAGAAATAGTAGCCCACTGCTTATTCTTGAATATAAATGAGATATGCTCATAATAAAAAGGTATTCTAATTATTTATTAGGTTCAGTTATTTTTAAAATGCAAAAAATATATTTAGACTTGTCACCTTGCAAGATAGATAAATTCGACATTTAGAGCGAAAACTAGATTATTCCCGTACATGGAGTATAAATTGAAAGATTTTTCTTCTTAGTATGTAACAAAATTAATTTTGAACCATACTACATTCTTCAAGTAGGAAGTGATGTATTTTACACTGCACAGGTTAATATTCATATTAAACAGAATTTCCATGAAATTTATTATTTATTAAATACTTAATAGGGCCCTCTAAGTTTCTTCTGTGCTTTAGTATTTTATTTTATGTATTTGAAAAACAACGTTTTTCACACTCTTTCTCAATCAGAGTGCAAAGAAATATTAGAATCTCCAGCTAAGTATATTCTAAACTACGAAAACGAATACCGCAAAGGACTTGACCGTTACTATATTTGAATAAGGATTTTATAGAAATATGCTTTAAAGAATTCTTTAGCATATCTAAAAAATATAAATGAATGAATAAATAAATAAATAAATCTCTTTTTAAATCTTTAATCTAATTTTTTTGTATATTTCGTCTTTAATTTTAAAAATTTGGTTTTATAAAAATTTTTATTTTTAATGGATATCTTTTTACGTAATATTTAAAAATCAGAGACAACAAACACATACATACATACAAACTCATTCATTCAATCATACAAATCGTTAGATTGATGCTAATTGAAAATTCAGTTTACAAAATCACAAATCTTAAAAAAAAAAAATTAATTTTGAAACAAACAAATACTAAAAAAACTAACTAATTAGTGAATATGAAAATGCCACAATAAAATTTATTCACATATAAATAAATAAGATATTTTGGTTTATTTGTTATTTATTTCTTTTTATCCATGCAAATATGAAAGCAAGTCAAATAAAATGCTTGCTTGTTTTGATAATGCTATTAATTTTTCAATTATTTTTATTTAAAAGTTCAAGTTTTAAAAAATCAAAGTAATTAAAATCAAACAAACAATTAAAGAGAGATTTATAATTAAAAAAGCAATGTATAGTTAACCGTATACAGGTAGCTAAGTATAAAATAGTTAATTATTTTAAAATAATAATCCATATCCATCTTCACAGTTTGGATAATATAAGTATTCTGCTCCTTATGCTGGAAATGGAATGTCATATGGACAGTAATCAAGAGTCAATATGCAATGTAATTTATCTTTTATTAATATCATCTATTTTTTAGAATTAAAAAAATACTTTTGATTTATTTGCTCATTCTCTCTTTGCAAATTAAATCAATATTTCTAAATATAAATTTTAATATTTACACATTTTTTTTGATAATAGAGGATGGATTAGGAAGTGATTATGCATATAAATTTGAGCCTTAAGTTAGATCTAATTTAATGATGGGAGCTGAGATTTCTGAAATTGAAATGATATTAGAAGGTGAAAGAAGAAAGTTTAAAGAAATTCGTGAAAAGCTTGAAGAAGACTTAAATAACGAAAGAAAGATTAGAGTAGAATTCGAAAATAAACTAATGAGATTAAAGGTGATTAATTTAGTTGAAGATAAATTTTGGGCAGTTATGATTAATTTATAATGGTCCAGTTAATTTATTTTAAATTTTATAAATATCAGACAAAACTTAAATATTTTTTAATATATTAGGATGAATCAATGAAAAGAGAAATGTTTGTTAGTGAATTAGAGTATAAGGTGAATACCATCGCATAAGAAAATGAATCTATAATTAACGAAAACCGTACACTTAAAGACGAATTGTAGCGTATGCAAGAGTTATACAATCATAAAATAAGAGAATAAGAAGAAAATATCTAGTACTTATAAAGAAATGAAGTTTCAATGGAAGAGAAATTTAAAATTGAAGTTGACCGTATTAGAAAGGAAGGTGAGAGCACTATCGAAAACCTTTGTCGTTAATGGGAATTTAGGTAAATAATTAAAACTTTTTTGATTAAAGCCATCATGCAAGAGTTATTTCAACATTTTTAATTCATTTTTTACTTGCTTGCATGATCTTTATTTAAATGAAAATATTATGAAAAATATTAATCAAAATTAATATTTTAAATTAATAAAGATATAAAAGCTTAGAAGAGAAATGCAAAAATTTACTTTAGCTTAAGAGTGACATGGAAAATGAAATTAGCAATTTGAACAAAGCTATTATGAAGATAAAAATAGATGCTGATGAAGAATTACGTCAAAGATGTGTTAGAATCCAAGAAGAAGAGTACAGAAAGTATTAAGCTAATCTAAGGTAAATTTGATATTATTTTTGAAATACAAAGTTAAAATATTGAATTTTTTTTATCTATTCTGTAATTAGAACTATTGATCAAAAATTGAGAACATCTGAAGAGTAAAAAGAATAATTTGCAAGAAAAGTACATTAATTAGCATAGGAATGCCAAGAAAAAGATAGAGTACTTAATGATAAATTCATGGAACACTAAAAGGAACTAAATGATAGAATGGTTGAAATTAATGATTTAAAGAATATAATTAGCAAATTAGAAATCGACAGAGATAAAATATTTAAAGAATTGCAATCTAAGGAATCTCACTTAAATATTATTCAAGCAGAATACCTAGAATTCTAAAACCAAGCCGACATTGTCAAAAAGAATTAGGATTCATAGATAGAGGGAATGATAGCAGATCACACTAGAGAGCGTAGAAGATTGGAGGATCTAAGAGACTAACAGGCTGTAAAAATATAATAATTAGAATCTGTTATCAGATAAATGGAAAGCGAAATAGACAGATGTAGATAAGAATATCAAAATTTAACTCAAATGCTTCAAAGTAATATAAATCGTACTATTTCTCAAACCGTCACAGAAAATCATGCCTTCAAAATTCCTAATGCTTAAGTAGGTCCCAAGTATGATTACAAATATAAATGAAATCTCATAACATATAGTACTAAATAAAATGCTTTCTGTACTCTTCTATTAAAAAGTAAATTAGAATAATAGATAAATTTATTAAAAGGTATAAAGATAAATAATTAGAGTACAGTTTGTTTATGTTTTTTCTTAATGTAAATTTTAAATAATCTACTAAAAAAATTTAATATGTTATCAATCAAATTCTTGTTACTTTCTTGAATGCTAATTATTTTAATCAAATATGCTAATTTATTAAAAAGTAAATTATAATTCATTATACATTGTTGGATTAATAGGTAGGTATAAATATAATTAATTAGATATTCAATTTATCCTTTTTTTTAATGTAATTTTTAAATAGTTTTCTAAAAATAGCTAAGCTTCATATTTCTTTCTTGAATGCAAATTATTTTAATCAAATATGCCAATTTATTAAAAAGTAAATTATAATTCATAATATATAGTTGGATTAACAGGTATGTATAAATATAATTAATTAGATATTCAATTTATCCTTTTTTTAATGTAATTTTTATATAGTTTTCTAAAAAATGCTAAGCTTATTAATTAAAATTCATATTTCTTTCTTGAATGCAAAAGATTTAAATCAACTATGCTAATTTATTAAAAAGAAAATTAAATTATAAATAATATTGATGAATAGGTGACTAGATAATTAATTAGGCGTATATTTATGTTTTTTCTTTCACGTTAATTTAAATAATCTTAATCAATCAAATTCTTATTTCTTTCTTTCTTTCTTTCTTTCTTTGTTGTTTGTAAATTATTTTGATCAAAACAATTTAATTTTTATTGAAAATTTATTTAGTCTTAATATAAAAAATAGGCTATTTTTAAATTTTTTAGCTTTTAAGTAAAAATCTAAAGATATCAGAATTCATTTTAATAATGTTACAAGACAGTAAAAAATAAGAGAAATTGCTAAAATTAAGCAGATGGCGGTGGAATGTAGATAGAAATTTTAAATTAAATAAGTTATACTGTAAATATATTTTAAAAAGTATTTATTTTACTCCATATAACATTTATTAAATAAATCCTACGAGTCTTGTACGACTCTTAGATATTTTTATTTTTTGTTTAAAATTAATGAATTTTTGTTGTTATATTTTCTAATCATATTTTTTTTGCTATAGGAGTCTTTAACTTAGTGAAAACATCGTTTGTTTGTTTGTTTGATAATTATATTTAGTTTTAAAAAAAAATTATTCGATTTACTGTATATCACACATTTTATTAAATTTTGATATTATTATTTTAAATCACTAAAATTTTAACATAAATCATAAAAATCAAAACTTCGCTATATGATAATTTTTGATAGAGATTTTTGATATTTAAATTAAAGATAATCATAAAATCAAAAAAGAAAACACCATAAAGTAAAAGAAACTGATATTGGATTGATTCACTAGGTTTTCTTATTTTTAGTTTAGGAATATTATGAGAGATATCAAAGAAATATCTTTTTTATTTCTATTATTAAATTTAGTAGACCATTTGAGTGCGCTAACTCTTTAGATCAACAATATCTTTAGCAAAAATTACATCTATTGCTAATAGAAAAGTTGCAGCTACATATAAAGTAGCTTACAAGATTAACCAACAACACTCCTCAACTATAATAATGATATTTTAAAATATAATGAATGTTAAGCAAATCAACCATCTTGCTACTTAGAATTTTATTTACCATTTAATTTAGTAAACAAGCAGGATTGTGACTCATTCTGTTACAATAATTAATCATTTTTAACCAATGAATTTTAGTAGAATAAGCAATGCAATGATCTATGCTTTTTAAGGTCTTATTAAGACACAATATAAACATAAGAGATGTAGATTTTGAATTAATTTGGAGACTGCTTAGACAAACAAAATGCATTTTAGAATTTTGACTTATCTAATGACCAGGTCATTTTAGATATAAATTAATACTAAAGTTGTATTGGATAAACTGAATAATGCTAGTAGTATTTATAAAACTAAAATTTAAGCTCTTTTGCTAGTTGCTTTAGCTACTGTTCTTCTAGAGATTTTATAACTTAAATATTTCAATCTCATCTTAATTCTACCTAAAGTTGCTTAAATTAGATTCTTGGTATTACAGATTCTTCCTCTTCCTAAACAATTAATTGGGACTAATTTGGACTGATTGTTGGAGTGTTATGTGGTGCGCTAATTTTATTAATTGCATTTTATAAATTCTACTTGAGAAAGAAACACATACAAAAAAAGAAAGAAATTGAAGAAAAAAATAATGAGGCGTAAAAAGTTACAAATAATAACTTGAAATATCAGAACGTAAAAATAAATAAATAAATACTCTTCCAACTTTTCTTAGTTTTTTAAGTTATTTCTTTGAAATAACAATAATGAGTTTTTTTGTTGATTAATGAATTAAAAAATTAAATTACCTTATAATTTTAGTTTTTACTAGCTTCAAATTAAATTTATACATATTTTTTAATTAGGAAGATATGGAAGCAGCTAACAATGAAAATTAAAAATCTCCTGAAAATTTAAACAGCTAAGAAGGCTAATTAAAATTAAATATGATAAATATTGACTGGACTCATTCTTAAAGTCCTAAAAAACTTTTTTCCTTAAACTAGAACATGCAAATTGATTGCTCACCTACTAAATTTAGCAACTCAAGAGAGGACACCTAAAATAATCTTATGAAATCTCAATTTATGAGAAGTAAGATCGATACCATTTTCGAAGAGATAGAGAAAGAAAGAGATGTTAAAAAATAAAAAAGGTAACAAAAATAAGAAGAAAGTGAATAAGAATTAAGCAAAATATAACAGAGACAAGCAAACTAATTTTCAATTAATTAAACTGATTATTGTTAAATGCTAGATTAATTAAGAAAGAATTTTTAAGAAGTAAATGAAAATATCAAAGAGTAGCCTATCTTAGTATAAAATAATCCAGCTCTTTAATCATAAAATATTAATAAATCCAATTAGAAAGGCAAAGACATTGTATGTTAAATTCCTAGTCAAGTATAGTAAAATGAAGATGAAAAAGAATTTGATAACAAAAACACTAGCTAAGAACTGGATAATAATTTTGCTAAAAATTTACAGTAATTTCTATAATCAGTTGGGCTCTAAGTAGTTCAAGAACAACTTTCTAATAAAAGCAGCTAGTAAATATCTGGAGGAAATAAGTCTTCAACTATGTAAGAAAAAAGAGTTTAAAATTTAAATTAAAAAATAGAAATATAATGAAATTAAATCTTTTACAAAAATTATATTAAAACAAACTAAATAACTAACCTAATTATCTTACTATATAAATATATAACTAACTCTTCTTAGTTTCATCGTTTCTTTGATGAAATAGAATATGAAAGAATGAATTTATACAATATATTCTTTTTATTATATAATCTTAACTCTAATTAATTAAAATGAAAGAATTTTAAAAGCTTTCTTACAAATTGAATTTAATTTATATATCAATATATATCTCTCTATATTAACATAATTCATAAACAATATTTCCTCTCTAAAAATTCAAATTTTTTTATTTATTTTAAGATTATTTAATTTTTGTATTAATAGGTTTTTAATAAACAAATAAATAAATTGGTCAATTTTGCATATTAATTTCTATTACTTTTTTTAGTCTATTTTTATTTATTTTTTGAAAGGCTGATCAATTTAAATTCATGATATATTATTTTTGAATGTTTTGCCTGGAAGGAGTGCTTATTTTAAAAAGCAATTACTGTAACATATCATAGTATTCTAAAAAAAGTGCAGAAGTAATAAGTTAATATTTATTTGCAAATGAGCACCAATGATTAAATTAATAAATTTAACTAAAATACTTGGAAGCCACAAATTTAGTTTTTCAATTACAATTTATATAATTACTATTTTTCTAGCCAATAAATATTTTCAAATAAACACAAGGGCAAAAGATCCATTTGAAAAAATATTCATTCAAAATTAATAGTATTATTATTAATATAAAAAGCAAATAAGAAATTTATTATTATGAGTAGGTACTACAATCAAAAACTAATTTTACCTAGTGGATCTTATCAATCCCAAGATGATTTCATCATAGCGAAGTTGGAAGAAATTTTTGATTCAAGCAGCTATAGTTGCTTTTACAAAAGCAGAATTTCGCAGATGGCTTTGTTAGCTTAAAATAACTAGAGATAAATGAGATTAGATAACAGAAATCATGATCTTCAAGAAATTTACTTGAGAGATAGTCCTAAATCAAAACTATAAATGTGCCTATCTTTTGAAAAATATAGGAATCTAACCATAAAATATTTCAAGGTGTTCGCGCCATCTAGATCTAACTTATATTCTTTCGATATATTTTTAGAATTAAAAGACTTAAGGGAAAATATACTTAACCAATTAGAATAGTTGAAGGAATGTTTATTCAAATTAGTAGAGTTTTAAAAAAATTGCAGTTTTATGCCATTAAGAAAAATATATTTATAGACTTCAACTCTAATAAGTCTTGAGAGTATTGAACAATTAAATAACACAACATTAAATTAAGTTACTAGTGAATATTCTTCATGTCGATAATAAATTTAAGATAAGTTATTTCCTTTATTTTAAGAAATAAATCCTTTGAATTTCAAGCATCAATTTTGTTTTTAACTATTTATAGATGAATAAAAAATGTCTGAAATTAATAAATTTAACAATATATCTACTTCTAAAATTGTATTCTTTATCATAAGTCTAGACTAACTTTTAAAATATAGTTACTAAAATGATTTAATAACTATTTACCCATAATAGTTTTTTGAGCTTAGTTTCTATTAACAAAATGAGGTCATTATTAAGGAATCTTTGAACAGCTTTCAAAAACAAATATCTTAAATATGCACTTATTAGAAATATTGCAGTTAATACTAGCAATATTGTCCTGTTAGAATTTACTACGATTTATTTTCAGAATGAGAAGATAATACCCTGATTTTATTTAAAAATATTATTTAAATTATAAAAATTGTAAATAAGAGAGTAAAATAAATATAAATTTAAAATTCATAATTAATTAGTTAATAAAAAATTGTAAATAGATAGTACATATATATATATTAAATGTCCTTACAAAATATATATTTCAAAACATATTAAAATCATATTATTTTTTAGTTTTTAATAATAAGAAGATCTAAAAATTATAGAACATCTCTTAAATTGAACAAAATTTATTGAATTAAACTTGTTAAAAATATATGATGACACAGTGTAAATTTGCTTCAAAAATAGAAACCAGTTGAGTTGATCTATTTTTTGTATCAATAAATGAAAAAAGAATATAAAATGACAATGGAATAGATAGTAAGTAGCAAAAAATTTTATTTTTTATTTTTGATAATAATAATAAGCTATTTAATTGAGAGACAAATTTATATTCAAAAATAAATATTAAACAAATAATTTATTAAGTAAGGGGTAGCATATCTACTATTTATTAAATTTACTTATTCTAATAAAAAGCCTGTATTTAACTTTTCTATTATCTAGATAAGTAAACAAAAAGCTAGGTGTTTAAAATATTCTTTACTGGTAAAATTTCATTGTAAAATATATCTAATTTATTTTATGATTTTAAATAAGCAAAAATTTATAAAAATAATAGATAAGCGAATCGAATTTTGTTGGTTTACTAAAAAATATGCAAAAACATTTTCTGATCAATTCTGAAAATTTATAAGCAAATAATTTTACAAAGTGAAAACAGGGGGGGAAAATTGAAAATTTAAGATGATTTCATTTAGTAATTATGTCTTACATAAAGTATATTGAGAACTTTATAAAATTTTCAAATACTTTAAAAATTAATTAAATTTTATGGTTTTCTCATTTTTTTTTGCAAATTTGATTGGATTTGAGTAAAGGGTTGATCATGAAAGGATTCATTTGGGGTTGCGCATAATTATGTTTGTGGTGAAATAAATTATTGCAAACCAATTTCTTATTGTATGTTAATGAACCAATATTCCAATTAATGATATTTAATTTAATCTTTTCCCTCTTGTTCTTTTTTAAGAGTATGATGATCACTTATCTTCAATCTGTATGATGATATAAATTAAATAGATTAATACATAAATAAAATTTATGATTGCGATCATTCATGTATATAATAATATTCTTAAGTCCTTCCTCTTGACAGTCAGGCATTATCTTTTATAAAATGGTATAAAATATTATAATAGACAATTTTTACTTAAAAACTTACACTGAAGCAATAAAAAAGTTATAAAGAAAATAAATAAATATTCTTCTAGCCAAAATTTATATAATTTTTGTTAAATTTGCTATTACTTTGTATTTAAAATGAAATAGCCAAAGTGTGTAAATCCTATATTATTCAAAGCTTATAACTACGTTTTGTTTTAAAAATCAAACAAATTAATTAATCAATAGAACACAAAGCTAGAATGAAATATTTGCTTGAATTCGAACATAAAAAAAAGGTTAGTTCGATAATTATAATATGGGGTTATTGTTCATATTTAAAACTAATTTGAAATTTTACATTCATTTTTAGGTTCATATAACAAATAAAAAGCCCTTAAATGTTAAGCAATTAATAATTTTTTTAAATTACAATCAGTAAAACAATCCTGATATATATATATTATCATTTTAATTTTGTGCTCTAGCTGTTGTAATGTAAACTAAATTGCTTTTATGAATTTCATTTAAAAAAGCTTATTTATGATAAATAAGATATTAAATTAATTATTATATACACTCAATGCGGCTATTTATAGTTTTGAATAACTATTGCCAAATATATTTTATCATCTTATTTATACCTCATTCACTAACTCTATTTATCATTTAAGCGTTTTTAATTTACTCTTACACTTCTCTTTGAAATAAGTCTAATAAGTTAGAAGTAAAGCGAAAATATTTGCTAAAAATTGATTATTAATAGTGCAACAACAAATGAAAGCCAGCCTTTTTACAAAATACTAAAAATATGCAATATCTTCTTTTTACATTACGAAAAAATATTAATATATTTGTTTTGATTATATATTATGTAAGATTGAGTTATTATCAAAGAATATACAAGCAGACAAAAGACTGAGAGAAAGTTTGATTGCATTCACATAAAATAATGAAATTATGCACAAAACTTTTTTTCCCACTTAATAACAAATATCAAATAAATTGAATTAGAGTGAATGAAATTAAGCAAATAAATGAATCAATTAGTTATTAATTAATTAACTAATTTATTAATTAATTAATGTTTAATAAATTAAAAATATCAAATATTAATAAAAAAGTAATTAAAAAATTTAATAAACTTTTACTAACAAAAGATAAATATAAAATATATTTAATACTGAACAATTATTATATACTCTTCATTATTATTTGAAATGGGATGCAATTCTTCTACCGCTATCGTTGATTTCGAGAATGTTAGCACTCAAGGTCAAGCTATTGAATATGTCAAGTAAAAGCTTGAGAAATGCGAGGAAATGCTTATTAATGTATAAAAGGTCAGAAAGACTCTCTACTAAACTGTTTAAATGGATTCGTGTTAACATTTTTTAGGCAATTTGTACGAAGATATATATGATGTCCACAAGGAGATATCAATGATGTATCCTGATGAGACACCTGAAAAGATATAAGTTACAAAAACAGTAAAGGAATACATAAAGTAGTTAAAGGAAATGAAATTAGATTTTTTCGATAGCCTTTAAGACTCTAAATCGATTGCTAATTCAGATAAAATGCAAAATAATTAAGACATATTGCTTGAATTGCACTGGAAGCAATAAACCCTTTTTAATTACTTCTTAAACAATAAAAAACATAACACAAGTCCTATGCAAAGATCTTTATCATCTACATCTACAGCTCTTTCAGCTTGAAAGCTTTCAAATCAACACTATAATTTTTATTTAATGTTGCTCCTGCTAGATAAAATATCTAACATATCTAATTATCTATTACTAATTATTAAATGATCTCTTTACAATAAAATCTGAAATAATTAGATTTCGATTCGCAATTTTCCTTCAAAATATTTTTAAAATTTACTAAAATATAATAACCGTTCCCCATTTATACAAACATCCCAAATCAAGTGATTAACTGATAAAAAACAATCTAAATTAATCATAATCCCTTCATCTAACCATCCATTACTTATTTGAAAATAGCTAGAGAGATACATTTGATGCTTTTAACTTAGTTAAAAAGCCTTCAATATTATTGCTAGCATTATTAAATAAATACTAAATTTTTCCATCTTTTTAAATGTTTAAAATTAATTTATGAAAACGTTTTTGTAATTATGTTTTTATTTATTGTATAAATTATTTATAACTTACCAAACACCATAAATAAATTCAATAACAATATTACTTAATTTTGACTTCAGATTATCAAAAGACTATTTACTTTTAAAAACTTCTTCTTTCTAAAACTAGAATTCTTTTTGTAAATTTTATCTAAAAAATAGTAACATTAAAATGATTTGAGAAAAAGATTTTATATTAGATTGAAAAATAATTTCTAAATATTTTGTTTTATAAGGAAGATTTGATATTATTTAATGGAAAAATTTTTTTGTATTATAATGCAGAAAAAGAGATAATTAAAAAGTTTTTAATTTGTTTGAATTCAAATAGCTTTTTTCCTTTAAATAAAAAGAATTAGAATTTATTAAAATTGTAAGTATAAACGATGATTAGTTACTTAGTTTGCAAGCAGCTATTGTATATATAGGTAAGATAATAATCGAATAGGTTGCAGTCAATGTATTATAGTAATTAATTAAAGTTTCATGTAAAATTATAACTATGTATTTAGGTTTTTGAAAATACTTTTTAATATAGAAAATATAAAAACTTGCTAATTGATGCAGAATAACTTCAGTAACTGAATTCGATTCTACCAAAAAAATAAGTAATTTTTATAATATTAATTATAAAAACTACAAAATAGTTGGACAAAATTTTGATTTTTGCTTTTTTGTAAATTAAATTTCATTTAAAATAATGAAAATAATTTTAGTGCATTCATTTATTTTTTATATGCAAAATGAAACAAAATTATAAATAAAAATACAAAGATTTTTTTTATACTTTGTTTATAATAATCTGAAAAATAAGAAGCCTTTTTGTTTATTTATAAAATAAATAGCTTGTTTATTTAATTCTCAAAAATTTGATGATGATTGTTCCAAAAAATCTGCTTGGCTTAGTTGCATTATTATAATTAATATCAATTTTTTATAAGTATCAAGTAAATATATAGCATTTAAAAAAATTTGATTGTTTTTATGTATGTAGAAATCACACTTTCAAAATTGTTTATTAGTTGTAAAAATAAATTACGCATTTCATTTTCAAATATTGACATTTTTAGTTAAACTTAAAAGTGGGATATGTACTGCAATGAAATTGAAGAGAGAAAAGAAATTTGCAGCAGACATAAAAGGATTTGTATGTTTAAGATAAAAAAGAACTTAAGTTTTGATTCCGATAATGTTTAAAAATTGATGAACTCAATTGAATCATAAGATGAAGAATATCAATACGTTTGTATTAAATGCTACATGATAATGAATAAAACATAAACAAGCAGTCAAAAAAACTTGAAGACTGATGTATTATAAAGAAGCGAGATTCATTTTCCTATTTTCTTAAAAGTTTAGAATATTTTACTGCTCAAAAATGATCTTTTAGCAGTTTAGTTCTAACAAAAAATTGAAATTATCGACCTAAATTTGTAAAAGAAAATAGTGAGCTATGATAATACACTAACCCACCCATGTGTATTTTAAAATATCCTCAAACTAGCAAGCTTACATAGAAACCAATTCTTGATATGCCTGATTAAATCAAATAAAAGTTTTATATATAATTGGAAAACAAATAAAATTGTAAGAGTGATTTAGAAGTAAATCGTTCACTTTAAACACTTGAAAGACCATACCTATATTATTGTTAATACAATACAATCAGGATTTGATGTCATAAATCTATACAATCTCTCAAATAATAAATTTCTAACACAATTTTCCAAAAAAGCAATTGGAATTAACACAATTGATTCCACCAAAAATGGTTAATACATTGCTTGTGGAGGTGATGAAATGGAAATTTTTGTATTTATGAATACTGGTTAATTAATATATAAAATTGGTACTGATAATTGGATAACCTAGTTATTTTTCCAGCCACAGTCACTAAATATACTCTTTTAAACTTATGACTAAGCTATTTATTATTACGATAAAGAGAAGTAGAAGACAAACAAGTATAAAAACCTTGAATTTCTAGATCTTTTTTAAATCGATAGCGTCCATAAGCAATTTTTCTGTAAATATCTCAACAAAAAGCACTAAAAAAAATCTTATGTAATTTACGATTTTGTAAATAATAAAGTAACTCCATTTAATCTTGACTAGTTCAACAAGCTACCAACCTAATTCACTGGTATTATTTCTCTTAAAGAATAAAAAATGGCCTTTTTAGGCCAGAGAAATATTGTTTTTGTTAGGGAAATGATTAAATGAATTTAAAAAATAACTTTTTGTTGTCTATCAATACTTCTATAATAAAATTATACTAATTAATAAAACTAACCAAAAATATATTAAAAGACTAAATTGACCTTGCCTAATATATAATAAAAATATTTTATAAGAAATAGTATTTCGTTTAACTTCAAATTATTATTATTTTTAAAATATTTTTATATTATTTATCACAAATTACTTCAACAAAATTTTTATTTAAAAAAAATAATAACTTTATATTAAATTACGTCAAAAATATTGAATTCAATATCTAATTAGTAAAATAATCTATCTGTTTATTAACTTAATTTTTAATAGAATTAACATTTTTTTAAAAAATTTAACAAATAAATTACCTTCTTAAAAAAGATGTGAAAAAAATTAAAAATAAAGTACTTATCAAAAAAATAATTTAAACTTCTTGGTATTAGATTATGAGAAAAAATACAATCGATAATGAAGCTCATTAATAAATATTAAATTAAGTTAAATTAAAAAAAATAGCAAAATATAAAAATGAAATATTTTTTTGTTGAATTTTGCAATCACCCTATAAAAAAATAATGGTTTTGATGAATTTTAATTTGCATATGAGTAAATAATACAATTTAATTTTATTTATTATTTTTGTTAACTTTTTTCTATTTCTTCAAAATAATTCAAACACAATTTTATTTTGAATTTTTAAAATATTAAAATAATTTATGTTTGTTTACTTATTTATTTCTAAAATAATTTCTTAAAAAATAAATATTCAATTTTAAAAGATAGTCAAGAAAAAACAATTAACAAATAAATTTTAATTTTGAACATTAATTTATTAATTTAAGTGATATCAGATATTTTTTTATAATCTTTTATCTATTTCTGATATTGTGTCAAATATATCTTTCGTTTTTTATTCATTGAAATGCCACTTTTGAATATTCTGTTGTACATAGCTTAGACAACTTCCTTAATTATATTCTTAGCTCATCGCAGTCCAATCGCAGACCATTTCTACTATATCAAGCCAGCTCATATCATTACTTTTCTGATGGCATTCAGGATGGTGAAGATTTGATTTTAGATGATGATCTACTGATAATTATACTAGATCTTATGCACCTTCAGGATAATCAAAGTTTATTCCTTGCTTTTTGCAGTAGTGCCACCAAGTGAGCCAAATATAACCTTATCTTTCAGGTTCAGCTAGTTTGCTTTGATCATGTATTTCTCCTCTTTTTATTAAACTTTAAATGTCCAAGTTTTAGTATCCTTCCATTAAAATCATGTTATTTTTAACTCTATTAATATGCTCAGCTGTTCTTATGTTAAAGTAATTAACCATTTCTTCAGTTATTTAAGCATCTAGCTAATTTTAATTACTCATTTTCACTTTATTTGCTCAGTAGTTTATGAATGAAATTTACTTTTTTGTATTCTACTTAAATTATTGTTAAATTTTTAATTAGTTAATGATTTCTTTTTTGTTTGTAGAAACTTTTTATATAATAGAAGCAAATTTGTTTAAAATTTTATCTATTTCTATAATCAAAAATAATTAAAAAATAACAATGACTGAAATACCAATTTATTAATTTAAAATAAACATACAAATCTATTATAAAGTGTGTTTTTTTTGTTATGCTATAATGATTTCATAAAAAATAAATTCAAATTAAATAATTCAAAAACTATTTTCAGAAAATGCACTAAAAAAAAATTAAATTTATTTATTTTAGATATCTGTTTAAAAACAAAAACTTTATCAGTTTAAATATTTATAAAATTAAATATGATTAGTATTAATAATTAATTAGCTTGAAGTTTTTTAATTTATCGATTACCCATATATTCATATTAAAAAAATAATAGAAATTCATTTTTATTTCATTTTATTTACAGCTTCTTTAATTTATGTATTCCAATTTTTTTTATTAAAAGCTTCTTTAAAGTTTAAATATTATTGCTTTTTTTACAGCATTAAAAATTAAATTAATTTAAATGTTTTAATTATTTTGTTTTACTTAAAAATTTTTTTCTTTTATCCTAAAAATTTAATATAATAAAATACAATATTGAATACTAACAAAACATTTTAATCTAACTTATTCATCTTATGATATTTTATTGTTATTTTTTCTCAAAAATAAATTTTTTTTAAATAAATGAATAAATTAAATATTCACTCCTTTTAAAATTAGGATTTTTATTTAAAATTAAGATAAAACAATATTTGGCTAAAATTATTATTTAAAATATATTATATTTATCATAAAATATAATAGAATTAAAATTATTAATTTTTGAATTTTCTTGGGTAAGAAATATCTAATTTTAATTAATCAGATATTTTATGGTATTATATTAGATTAAAATATATTTTACCTAATTAAAATAGTTAATAATTTTTTAGACTTTTAAAAATAAATAAAAGAATAAATAATTAATAATTTGAAGTTTTTATTTTTTCAATTTCGAAATAATAGGAAAATATTTTGTAGATTTAAAAATAAGAGGTTAATAGGAATATAGAAAAATAGGTTGAATAAATAAAAAAGTATAAATTGTAATCTCATATCTAAAAATTAATAAAAGTAGACAAATAGCTATTTAATAAACTATTTCTTCTAGAAAACACGGAATTACATTATTAATATTAATTACCTTAAATTTAATTTATTTCAATTTTGATTAATTGATAAATCCTTAAAAATTTACAAAACAATGTGTAAGTATTCTAGCTTTTAGTGAAAAAAATTGTAATTTAAGTTTAAAGAGTTTGATTACATAGTTAAATCATTCATCAAACCATAAATTTATTAAAAACAAAAGTAAAGATTAATAAACACCAGAATAGTTTTAAAATTTTTATCAGAATTAAAAAAATAATCTAAATAAAAATATTATAAATTTCAGAAATAATAAGATTCATTTTTCTACTAACTAGAAATAACAATTTACTTTCTAAAATTACAATTTAATATTTAAATTTTTATTTATTCCTTACAAATTAAGCAATGATTAAAATTCATTTGCCTTCATTATACAATTTTCTTAATTGATAAGCTTGAATCTCTTTATTTACTAGGAATAAACGTTTGTTACTAATTGTATTCTTTCATTAAAATGAGTTATATAATATTGATTTCTTTATATAAAATAATTACTTACTTATTAAGTATGGATTCTTTTTGAAAATTATTCAATATGAATCAAATAAAATTATTGGAATATGCATTTTTAATGTAATTTTTTCATTAAAAGTTTGCTCGTTTTAATATTTTATTAAATATTAAATTTTAAAATGTATTTTTAGTAGCATATTTTGTTAAAAAATATATATCTTAAATTTGTTTGAAGGTTTTTTGGCGTTAAAAGTTTCAAACAGATAATCGGTATAAATTAAGAAATTCAAAACTATTCGAAATCAATTATAATAAAATAATCAATACAAATAATATATAAGCAAAATAATTCTATTATATCTACTAAAAAAATGGACATCGAAAGTGTTGACACTGACTATTTATTGGAAAGCTCCTCTGAAAGTGAAAATATGTTTTCATCATCTTCTTTTTAAACTTTAGAGAAGTTTTACTTAAATGAAGCACAAAATGGTTCAACCTACTAATATAATCAAGCTTTGAACAATTCAAAACCTCATTTTTATCATGAAACATAGCTTTATACAAAATATATGAATTAAAACAAAAGAGAATTCTCACATTTACAAAACGAAGATGTTTTTTAACTTTCAGATTCAGAATCATTTTCAGATAAAATTAACATTTTAACTAATTTAACTGATTTAAATAAAAGCCAAATACCTTAAATAAATGCATAGATGCCAACTTCATCTCCAGAATAAAGATAAAGAAATTTTTAATCATTAAAAATTGTAAAATCTAAAATAACTATTGCTGTTGATATAAATAAAGACGAGAATCAAAATTTTTAAAAAAACAACTCTTCCAAGCTTTTCAGTCCTTTATCAGAATTATATAATATATTTGCTCAAAATGTTGTTATTAACAACGAATAAAATAGTCACTTTAACCACTTTTCTTATCTTAATTCTCACAAGATTCCAACTAAAGTACAGTTGTTGAACAGCTTAGGAACTCTTGAAGTATTTTTAAACTCTAAAGAAAATGTAGATGTAAATTAATCTTTAGTAATATAAAAATTAAGTCCATTTCATATTTAAGAATCTTCTTAATTCTCTTAAGCAATTTAAAAATACTCAAGTCATCTTAAACTTTTCCAAGAAAAATAAGATTTGTTAAAATATAACTAAATCACAAATAGTTTTTCAAAGAAGTTAGAGACTAAGTTTAATGAATTCGAAATTATATAATAATAAAAGCTTAAAGAAATTTCAAAAACTAATTGCTTTTATAGTTATAGTCTTTTTCAATTTAATGTAAAAAAATTTGAAATTGAATAAACTAAAATCGGATACTCTGAATCATTACTAGCTCTACTTGGATTAGACTATTAATAAGCAAAATAATACATTCTAAGAAAGGGTATTTTTGAATATACAAATTAATTTAATATATAAGAATAATACTTCAAATATATTTCTAAATTATTTGGTGAAGATGTGAAAAATTCTTTTAAAGTTGCCCTTTAAACTTTTGATGGCTTTGAACTTAATACAGTAAACATCTAGCATGCAATTGTTGACATAGATTCAGAAAATCCTTTCCTAGGTTATAATCAAGTACTGTTTGTTAATACATATTAAATTAGTGAAAACTTAATATAAAATTTAATATCCCTAAGATAAAAACACAAAGAACAAGTAAATTAAAGATTAATAGAATTAGAAGAAGACTTGTATTATTCTATGGAATCAAATATATTTTTACAAAAATATTACAAAAATTAAACAGAAAATTATTTAATGTATAGTAAAAGAGCTAAGTATAGAAACATAAATTGACCATTTTATTTTTATATTGTTTAAAGAAAATTTAAAAAATTTCAGATAAAGTTATTCGAATTAAATTTTGATCTTAACTTATTTTATATTTGGAAAAATATTGTTAAAATTAATGAAGATAAAATAAATTTTATTATTTTATATCAAAATATTTATTTTTAATCAAATATTTACATAAAACTTAAGAAATATTTTTATTTTTACCCATTTTTTATTTTAAATTTCTAAATTTAACTTTTAGACTTATATTTGAAAGTCTTAAAATAAACAATTTAAAAATGAATCTGCTTGGAGTATAAAATCAGATACGATTTATCAGAAATAGATTTTAAAGTGATTAACCACTAATACAAAAAGATAAGAAAAGAGTAAAATAATATTATTTAAAATTTAATTCCCTTATTTTAAAAGAGATGTTGATTTTAAAGATATTTTGAATTAAAAAGCTTAGATTATTAAATTTTGTGGTACTTGTATTTATTTAATCGCAAAAAATAAATTAACTAATATAGAGAAAAAGTGAGAGTTAAATGATTAAATTTTATTTGATTCAATATTTTTTGTATCCTTAAACTGAAATATACTTTTTTATTTACTTATTGAAGAATTTTATATCATATTGATTTATTATTTTTGATTAAATTCTAGAATTTAGAAATAATTTTATTAAGTTTTACCTAAATAAAGCTATCTTTAATGTATGTGATTAGAATAATATTTAAACTCATAATTTTTTTTCTTCTAAATATTGTAAATTGAATTTGTTCATTACATTTAACTTTATTTTAACTGTCCTAATTCTTCATTGTAATCTCAAATTTGTGCCGCATTTTTGTAATTATTAGAAAGTAAGGTTTATTTGCAGCCTGAAATTGTAAATTCTTCATAATCAAAAATTTAATAAAATAAAAAATAAAATTTCTTTCAAAATCAATTCAAGTCTTTTAAAATCTCCAACTATCTTTGAAAATTATAAATTCAAGATGTAGTAAATTTTATTTAATGAAAATAATAAAAATATATCCAATATTGCAAAATATTTTTCTTAAAGTATAACTGATCTATAAATATACATAGCTTTAATTAAGCTTCTGCATTTATAAATATTAATCAAATTAAAAATGATAAATTTAATTTCAATTTATGCAATAATACCCTCAATTCTAAAATTTGATTTGTTAATACTAACAAAAATATTCATTCAAGAAATGTTCTATTTTATTAAATGTAAAAAAGAATTTCTTAGAATAAATAAAATATTCTATATTCTGATATCAATAAAAGCGTTTATATAAATAAAATAAATGTAATTGTTCCCTAATATAAATTATAGATAAAATGTAAGTATTTTAACGAAATGATCTTTTAATCTACAAAAAATAAACAAAATTGATTTAATCCATTTAATTTTAAATGGAAACATAATTTTATTAACAAGATTTTGATAATATAAATAAATATTTAAATACCATATTATCAATTTTAATTTTACTTTGATTTTATATTTTATAGTAATTCAAAAAAAAAATTTTATTAATAAAAGTAATATCTATTAACGCATTTTAATTTTATAATTTTATGATATTTTATTTTAATTTTAATAATGCAATATGTTTTTTTAGAGTAATATTTTATATTTATCATTGCTTTTATCTGATATAATATTATATTAGACCTACTGCTGAAGTACCTAAGGCAACTAAAATGTTTTAGATTAGTACAGTTGTAATTTTAATACCAAAAAATAAGAACGGTTAAGTGATAGAATCCTATTTAACTTCTTTATAGCAATCATTAAAACATTCTTTTATTTCATTTAAATATTATAAAACCCTTTCATCTTATTTTTCATCTAAATCACTTGTCAACTAGAATTTCTGCTTAATGGCAGAAATAATTTTTTATCGCACCATATTTGAAGATTTAGAACCTATGTGAAAATAGAATTTGCGTAACCTTATAATATCATCAAAAGCAATTTGATAGTCAAAAATTATATTTTTATTAATTTCAAAGTTTGTATTTATAATAGCTCCTTAAATTAACAAGTAAAATAGTAAAAAGAAAATAACTAGAGACTCAAACCCGCAGGCAACTCCGATATTGTTTGGAAGCGAATAGACATCAAATAGCCAAAGTATAAGAGTAGCTAAACTAAATACAGCTACAAACACATATACACTGATAAATGCTTCTAGTCTAAGATAATATGCTTTTCCGTAATCCAAAAGCAATCTTCTTAATGTCGACAATGCTTTTAATTATTGGATAAAAATTGTATAAAAAAATCAATAAAATTCAATTTTTACCTTTGATAGAATATGGATCTGTAAAGTTTATTGTAGGTAAAAGTTTTTAAACTCCAACATTAAGTTTCTTAGGAGAAAGAAGAAGTATACATTATTTTTACAAATAGTTTTTCAGTTTTAAATCTTTAACAAAAAAAATTAAAAACACTAGAGAGCTAAAATATCCAAATGAAGTGTTATAAACTATCCCAACCATTTAAACAATTTCAATAGTGCTAAAATTAGTGTAATGTGACTCTTTGTCTATATATCTAAATATAAGCAATAGGACACCTCTAAAAATTCCAAGCACTATTGCAATTATAGTAAGAATACTATTTGGGTTGTCTTTTGTGAAGTTTTTTATTAGAAAATATACTATACCATACCCATAAGTATAGTTATCTTAAGGATATATACAAGGAGTAATGAACATGTTATCATATTTATGCCATTTTTAAAGTGCTAATATCCCATCTTCAAATTGCTTTACAGATTCCTAACTTGGATTTACTATAAAACTTTTAAAATATAAAATTAAAGGTATGTTTTTTTGCAATTAAAATACTTCATGTAAAACAAAGAAGAGTCAAATTCATTTCTCTAAAAAGCATTGTAAGATTCTCTATAAACTGTTATATCACTTTAGAATACCCATCTAGAAAAATAATAATCTTGTAGAGTTAATTCTCCTTATAATTCATAATTTCTATATAATTCTATTTTATCAGGGTGAAGGGTGGCATATCTTATTTTAAAAAAAAAAATTTAATTTAAAAAATAAAATTATATAATAATTTAATTTGTACTAAAAATATGATATCAAATGTTATATAAATAGTTTATTCATTAATATTGAATTATACAATTCAAGTACTTTTAATTAAATTCAAAAAATTTCTAAAATAAAATATGAAGTTTATTTTCTTTGATAAACCCTAAAAATGAAATTAAACTATTAGTAAAAATAATTTACTTGCAAGATATTATGTAAGCTCTGAGAAATAGTACAATCTCCATATAAACAATTTCTACAGTAAAAATTTGAGTACTATTAGAGGAAAAGTAAAGGATTAAGTTCAAAGAATTTGAAAAATAGAGCAAAGACTGCATATAAAAATAGCTATTATTGCCCCAAAAACTCAAATTTTTCATTAATTTTTCTTTTTTATAAAATATCAAGTAAGTAAAAGGACCAGTCAAAAAGTAAAAAAAAAAGTGATAGAGGAGAAATTCAAAGAAAGCTTTAAAATTCCATTCCACTTAATGATCTCTTATCTTATGAAACTGCTCAGGATTTATATATCTACTTTTTTTACAGATAGTTTACTTATTCTCTTCGAAAAAGTACTCATCATCTAAGATTGTTGAAGATTTTCTAAATTAATTTTGATTTTTTTAAGATTTTAATGACTCATCAATCTTTCTTGAAAATGCAGTTTATTCGTTTCTTTATTGGAAGTCATCTTCTTTATTTAAATTTATTATTTCCAAGCTGTTAATTGGTGAATAAGTTTATTATTAAATTTTATTCTCTATATTTTAATAATTTTATATTTCATTGAGTTTATTTAAAACTTAACAAGTTAGTCTTTCCTATTTCAATTGGCTTTAATCTTCTAACTAAAGATTACTAAAACTTTATATTATATGTTGGTTTACATGATTTAACACATTGTTTTCTTAATTTTCTATAGTTTCTGGATAGATACTTCCTTTACCTATTAATCCAAAAAAAAGTTAAAATTACTTTGTTTTTTCTATTAAAAAAGATTTATTTAATCAGATTCAATAAAATCTAACAACTTATTATTAGTAAACTTAAATTTTTTATATGATAAATTATTTTTGTACTTTAAGGTTTGTTTTTTGCTTAATTTTAAAACATTTTCTTTAAGGTTCTTCTATATTTCTAATTAAACAATTTTTTATCTAATTATGAATTTTTATTTTAAAAATTTTTTTATAAATTATTCACCCAAAATTTTTATAAAACTTCAGTCAAAATTTTTTACTATAATTAAAATAGAAGAAAAATTTATTCCAGAACAAACAATAAAATTAGTAATTACAACTATCGGATAGTGAAAATTCGAATTAATGACACAAACATATGTAAAAAATATCATATATTAAAGTAGTTTAATAATCTTCAATGTATAAAAATAAAATTTATTTTTTTTGCTTTACAAATGTTAATATAAAATCATTAATGAATTTATTTATGTTAAAAAATTAAAAATATTTTTTAAAATAAGTTATCGAAAAAATATAACATCATTTGTAAAAAATCCAAATTTGTATTTTATATAATTTATTATTTTGATTAAAAACAAATTTTATTTTAATTTACTGATGATATTTGATATTCTTTAATCAATTGTAAATCCAAAGATATTTATTATCTATTATTGTTTTATATTTTTTATAATTTTTCAAGCAAAACATAAAAAAATAATTAATATAATTTACTTATGCAATTTTTTGAAATAATTAATTTTACTTTATTTCAATTTTGTTATAATTTTAATTTTAAAAATTGTAAAATTAGTGAGTAAATTTTTTAGAGTTTTTAACCAAAATATTGATGGTATTTAATATAAAGTATTATTTATTTTAGGATATAAATTTATTTTCTTATAGTAAAACAAAATATAAAAAACAGTTTAAATAGCTTTAAATAGGAGATACAATTTTTAGTTTTAATTTTACTAAATTATATATGACTTGAAAGCAAAATAATTCTAAACTTATTTATTTTTTTTAAAGATTTTTAACTTATGTGTAGCTGATTTTCAATACTCTGCAAGATTCATTTTTTTTTTAATTTTATATCTTTTAAAATTATAAATAAGTAAAACATAAAAATAAATATGCATTTCTTGAAATAAAAATTTTATTAACTACAAATCTAATTATTAAAAAATAAATATCTAGTTTTAAAATTTTTTGATAGTTAAGCTGTTTATAAAAATCACTTATTCTAAGTTTAGGATGCTTCTGCTATTGTTTATAAAGATTAATCTCCATTTATATTACTGTTTTAGCTTTGAGTTATGCATATATCTTTAGCAGCTAACTATTATATTTTCTTTTTTTACTTACTTTTAGGACTGTTTAATTACTTTTTCTTATTTGGACTAAATTGCTCTAAGATGCATGAAACTTTTCTTTTGTAAATTTTTTCGATTGAGGATATTTTTGTGTCATTTTATTTTTTACTAGAACTTGATCTGATAATTTTAATTTTATATTTGTTTGGCCTTTGGTGTTAATCGTCATAGAAATTTATTTAGTTGTTATTTTGGTTTGCATCTTAATTTTTATACCTATCTAAATTATCTTAATATTATATGGATTGGTTCAAAACTATATAGCTGTTTTTATAGGGTTTATATTATGTAGAATAAAGCGTTTGGTCTAACATTTTTCTATTTTTTATTATCTATGAATAGTCAGTGTTCAAGCTTTTTTCCTCACTTTACATATTTTAGCTACTAGATCTAAAGCTATTTATTTAAACTCCATTTCTGTATGAATTCTATGTATAGAAACTGATGTTATCTTAAAGAGTATTATAATTTATTTTATTTGGATTTACAGGCCCAGATTAAAGCTATCTAGATGGAGAAACTTTTTATGAAGATGATCTTGGGCGTTATAAATGCTAATTAATAAATTTATAGTTTGAATTTACACTACTTGGATTGCTACCATTTATATCTATTGATTATCTAAATGAATTACTAAGTTATTGGAAATAAGTAGATCCGTTATTATTTTGTTAATTTACACTCTCTTTTAAAGGCATTAATTTTCTGTGTTTATTCTATCTTTCAAATTATTTGGCCTCTAATATTGGAAACAAAGTATTTTTTACCATATTTTTTTATTTTTTATCTGAATAAGGACTTGATTAAAGCATATTTAATGCTTAGATATGACTTTCTTTTTCTGTATCACTTAAATTTGTATTCAATTTTTTATTTATATGCTATTCTGAGGATCTTTTAGTTTATTTCTTTTCTTCATTAGCTATATTTTCATTGTTTTTACTAAAACTTATATTTTCTTATATTTTTTTGGCTTCCTCATTAGTATTTTACTCATTTTCTTTTGGTTAAGGAGATTATGAATATGCTCTTATTATTTTATCTTCCTGTTCATCTGGCTTGTATTTTTTTAGAGATACATCTTAAGATTTTATATGCTAATTATTGCTGTTATCTTATCCTTTTTATTCATCTTTTTAATCTGAACATTTTCTGATTTCTATTAAAAATGATAATCTACAATTTAAATTATATGACTTTAAGAAATACCTGAATTATTCTTTTTCTTATTTTTTTTCTTCTTGGGCTACTAATTTGTAGTATTCATGCCTTTTGGTAGCAGATTCTTTGATAAAATCTACTTAATTTAATCTTGTGAAACATAATTTATAAACATATTTTCCTATATTTTTATTTGTTAGTAGATATCTAACGTTCTAATTTATGATTGTTTGAAATTATTTATTATTTTATTGAATGGATATAGTAAGCGATTCTTAATTAATTTATCTTTTTTATTATAAACAAGAAAAAATAAACTTGTTAAAATTTATAATAGGTAGATTTATGCATTTTTAATAGTTTTTTTAACTTAATATCAGACAGAACACATAATCATTTTATATAAACTTTAATGTAAATTTTATTTATAAATAATTAATAAATACAATACATTTTTTGTTAAATTTAATAATAAATTAATTAATAAATATTTTTTAGAGTGAGTTAATTAGTTAGTATTTGCTTATAGTTTTTATTAATTTATTATTTATTAGAATTTTTTTAAATAATTTAGTTAATCATTTTTTGTTTCTACTATTTATGTAGTATTATGCAACACCAACAGCAGACGTACCTAATGCAATTAGTACATTTTATACTAAAACTGTTGTTATTTATATACCAAAGAATACAAATGGCTAAGTTATTGAGTCTTAGTTAACTTCTTTATAGCAGTCATTAAAAGATTCTTTAATTTCATTTAAATAATCTTAAATTTTTTCGTCTTACTCTTTGTCGGTGTATTCTTTTATTTTGAATTTTTTTTGAACTGAAGAAATAATTTTTTATCTGACCATGTTTGAGGATTACTAACTATTGTGAAAGTAGAATTTACGTAGTCTAATCACATCATCATATGCCATTTAATAATCAAAAATTATATTTTTATTCATGTCAAAATTAGTATTTATCACAGCTCCTTATATAAGTAAATAAAATAAAAAGAACAATATCATAAAAGCTTCAAAACCGCAAGCTACTCCTATATTAGTAGGTAAAACATATACATCAAAGAGCCATAACATTAGAGTTGCTAAACTAAATACTGCAACAAACACGTAGATAGATATAAAAGCTTCAAGTCTTAAATAATAAGCTTTGCCATAATCTAAAAATAGTCTCCTCAATGTTGACCAAGCTTTTAAGTATAAAAAACAATTAAAACATTAAAATAAATATTTAAATTTACTTTTTATTGAGTAAGGATCAGTAAAATTTATTGTTGGGAGCAATTTCTTAACTCCCAAACTGAGCTTTTTGGGAGAAATGAGCTATATACATTATTTTTGTAAGTAATTTTTTAATTTTAAATCTTTAGTAAAGAATATAAGAAAAACAAATGAACTAAAATATCCAAAAGAAGTATTGTAAACTATTCCAACCATCTAGATGATTTCAATAGTAGAAAAGTTGGTATAGCTAATTTCTTTGTCTAAATATCTATATATTAAAAGCAAAAACCCTCTAAAGAGTGCTAGAATTATAGCCATAGCCAAAAGTGGAGCATTTGGATTATCTTTAGTAAAGTTCTTAATTAAATAATGAACTACTCCATACCCATATACATAGTTTTCAGAAGGAAATATACAAGGAGTAATATACTCATGATCATGCTTGTGCCACTTTTTAAGAGATTGAATTCCATCATCAAACTAGTGAATACATTCCTAACTAGGGTTAACAATGAAGCTTTTTTATAGAATCAATTTTAAATCAAATATTTTTTAATTAAAAAGTTTCTTACTTCAAATAAAACATCGAGGAATCAAATTCTCCTCTCTAAAAAGCATTATAAGACTCTCTGTAAACAGTGATATCACTCTAAAAAACCCATCTAGCAAAATAATAATCTTAAAGCGTTAATTCTCCTTCTAGCTCATAATTTTTATATAACTATAGTTTGTCTGGATGGAGAGTTGCATATCTATTTTAAAAATTAAGATAAAATAAAATCCTTCAATAAAAAATGAAAAAGATTTGATAATTGAAAACTGCTTTAATGTTAAATAAGATTGATTGATTGATTACTTGCAAGAAATGATGTAAGCTCTTAAAAATAAAACAACTTCCATATAGACTATCTCAACAGTAAATATATTGGTATTATCAGAAGTAAAATAAAGTATCAGATTGAAGGCATTTAAAAAATAAAGTACAGATTGAATATAGAACTAAAATTTATTTCCCCAAAAACTCAAGTTTCTCATAAGTTTTTCTTTTCTGAAGAATAAAATTATTGTGAATGGTCCAGTTATGTAGTAAAAAAGAAAGTGATAAATAAGAAATTCAAAGAAAACTTTTAAATTCCAATCAACTTGATGGTCTCTAAGCTTATGAAATAGTTCAGGATTAAGATATCTACTTTTTTTTACAGAAGTTTATTCTCTTTCATCAAAAAAGTACTCATCGTCAAATAATGTAGAAGATTTTTAAAGCTATCTAGTACCATTTGTTGATTTGTATGTATCATCGATGTTTTTGGGGGTAATTATATGTTAATTTTGCTACATAGCCTTAACTTCATTTGAAATATCATATATTAGATCTTAAAAAGTAAGACTATTTTATTTTTACAACTAGCCTGATTGCTAAGCTTACTAGAATTATTAGTTATTACTTTATTTCACTACATTATTATTTTCAATAAATCTATCACTGATTGGCTAAGGATCCTATATATCTATATTAACAAATTTTCCTTAAGCATTGCTATCCTTAAGATTTATACTTTAAAGCTGGCTTCTGTATTAATTCGATTGCTTAGCCATTTCAAATTATTGTAGTTTTGCGCTATTAGCTGTTACATCTGATTTATTTTTGACTGCAGATTTTCCTAATTAGAACTAAATTTCTATTTAAAAAGTTTAAAATCATATTAAATCTAAAATAAATTACAATAATGTTTTAAATTATTGGTAATATTGTCTTCTTGTATTTCTAATGAAACAGAATCATAATTTTTAGAGTTTGATTGGCTCTCTAAATCAAGAGAAGCAATTTTGTTTTCTTTCTCTTTCATTATCTATTTTCCAATCTTTTTATGATTAAATAATTAATTAGAATAATATTTACTATAATTAACTGTTTAGAAGTATCAATACTATTAATTCGTAAATTTATTTACTAACTTACAGTAGACTATACTTTAATTCTTCTCGATAGTTCTCTCTTGCAATTATATCTAATCTACATCAATAAAAAACATATTTTAACAGCATTATTACATATAAACGTTATTAGATATTTAAAATCAAAAGAACCCACAAATTTAAAGATTTGTTAGCCATTCTTTCGAAAAATTTCTTTTATATTTTGATACATAAATAAGATTTTAATAATAAAAAAGAATAAAAAAATCATAATAAATAAGTTCTTTTATCACACTTGTGTAAGCTACATAAAAATTTTTTATAATCTAAATTTTAATTGAGATAATACCTTTTTCAATTTTACAATAATAAAATAAATTATACTACTCATAAAAATCTATCTATTCTTTCTTTCTCATAGCAAATTATTTAAAAAAGCTTACAATATACAATAAAATATAATATAAATGCAAAAATAAATATCTGAGTAAAAAACTAATTATTTTATCATTTTTAAATATTCAACTAACATATTCATTAAATTTTTAAAGATGAATTCTATCAAATAGGGTTGCTATTATTATTAGTTTTATTAACTCCATATTTTTACTAATATCCCTTAATAATCTATTGGAATAGTGTTCCTGCTATAGTACCTAGAGCTACCATAATACTCTAGAATTGGGCAAATGTAATTTATATAGTAAAAAGAGTGAATGGTTAGTTTATAATATCTTAATCAAGTTCGTTTTCACACTCTTCTATTGAAGATTGTATTTTTTCTAAATATTTGTCTACTTACTCAGATTTTTCATGTTGGTTGTATTTTTAAAATGTTTAATTAAGCTTTTCTACTGATTTTCTTCTTAGGAGATTATGAATGTCTTTTGGTTCTTGCAAGAAGTAAACATCTTTAAATAGTTTTAAATCTGCAAGAATCACCTTATAGTCAATAAGAGTATTTTTAAATTCACTGAAAGTTTAATTAATAATTGCACCTTGATAAAACATATAGAGAGAGGATGATAATATCACAAAGACCTCAAAAACGCAAACCAATACAACACTACCTTCAAAATTAGTAATATTATAAATCTACAATACCATTAGTACTAATCCAACTGCTCCAACAATAATGTATACTGTTAAAAAAGCCTACACTCTTATAAAGAAAGATTTTCCATAATCAAGAATTACCCTTCTCAAAATAGACCATCCTTTTTAATTAATTTAAATTGAAATAAGAATAATTAAAGCTTAATAATCAACCAAAAAAACTTATAAATTTAAATTAATATTTTTTATTTAAATTATGAGCTTTGAGATATTGATTTAAAATTTTTAAATGATTAATCATGAATTTTGTTTATGGAATTACCTTTAAGAGCATAGGGATTTGTAAAATCTATAGTTGGTAATTCCTTATTTTCTAAAGCATTAGACTTACGAAATTGTAAGGTGAATTTAATTTATTCAAGAAGGAAGTATTTCATTCCTAAGTCACGTATAAAATAAGCTAAGAAAACCAGTGATGAAAAGTATCCTAAGGTAGTAACAATAATTACTGCTACTATTTGTACTATTTCATCTGATGTGAATTAATATTTTTCATCTGCAAAATATCTATATGCTAAAGTAGAAAAACCTCTAATTAAAGATAAAACTAGGCAAATATAAACTTATATTATGCTTTTATTTTAGTTTTTATATTATTTTATAAGATAATATATTATACCATATCCAAAAAATAATTAGTTTTTAGTCTCTAGATTAATTTTATTTATAGTGGAAGGTGGGTTAAATTCGTCTTCGTACTTGTGAAAAGTTTTCAATTCATCTACATATTTAAGTATTAATTGAGTTTTTTCTTCACTGGGGCTAACAAAGAAGCTTTAAAAAAAATAATAAATAATCAATCTAAATTATTTCTTTTGAAAAAATACCTTAAATAAAACATTTAGACGTCATATTCTCCCCTCTGCAATGAATTATAAGTTTCTCTATATATAATAGAAGGTGATTATTTAACCCAATCAGAAAAATAATAATCTCTAGACGTTAGTTCTGAATTAAGTGTGAAATTTTTATAGAGCTCTATTTTTTCTAAAGGAAGTGAAGCATACCTGTTTTTTTTAAAAATAAATTTTAGATTATTTCATTTTAATTATTTATTTAAATTACTTGCAAGAAATAACAAATATTCTTAGAAAGATTGTAATTTGCATATATATTATCTCTACTTTATAAATATTATGGCAATTCCATACAAAGTATGAGATGAGAGTTGCCATATTTAATGCATATATCACAAATTGAGTAATAAACCACTTATTAGCTCCAAAAAAAGATAAATTTCTCATTAAATTAATCTTTTTAAATAGGATTAAGCTTATTAAAGGTCCAAATAAGTAGTAAAATAGAATATGATAAATTAAAAACTCAATAAAAATAGAATTATTCCATTATATTTAGTGGTCCTTTAACTTGTAAAAGAGATCAGGATTTAATAGTCTCTATCTTTTTTACGATTTCTTTTAGCTGTCTTCGCTGAAATATTCATCTTCAAATACATTTTCACCACTTATCCTAGAAAAAAGTGTTGAATTTCTTTAATTTTAATTACTTCTTTATTTTTTCATTTCAAAGTTATTTTCTTAATCATAAATATAAGCCTAATTTGAATTGTTTATCACATCTTTTCTAAGTATTATTTGCTAAAGATTTTCATTTTGAATTCCATTTACTTAGCTATTGTATTTTATTACTCTGTCACTTGTATATATCTATTTTAGTTCAATGTTTTAAATTTCAGATTAACTAGATGCTTAGCTTAATTGTTCAGAATTTTTATTAGAATCCACATTCGAATTTTTTTTTTAGCCTTGTAATATCTGTTATTCTTTTTCACTACAATTCAACTAAATAATATTTAAGCTTCCAGTTATGATCTAAGTTTATGGAGTCAGAGTCAGATTGTTAATATTATCTTTCTTATCTGGATGGATAGCACCTTTACCTAATTTTATATTAAATAGAAATTCATTTGTAGAACTTTTATTTGTATATCACATAAAGTTGAGTTAAAATTATAAAATAGAAAATAAAGTTATGTTATAGTTCAAATATAATTAAAAGAATATTACAAATATAATCTAAACTTTAGTTGGTATTTTAAACTTATTCAATATTCATTAATTAACTAAATACTTGCTTTTTTTTTTAGAGGTTCTTGCTAAAACATTTATTATAATATTTGAAAAAGACCAGTTTGTTTGAAAATCCAGTTTTAATTATTGTTATTTCTTTTTTGAAGCTAAGTGTAATAAAAAGCTGAAATAATTAAAAAAAATTAGAAACTATTAGTTTTTACAAATAGATTTCAAATGTTTTTTGTAAAATTACCTGATTTCTAAACAAAGTTTTTATAATATTATAAGATATTAATAATCCAATACGCTTACATCTCAAATATAATTAAAAAAATTTGATTCTAGTTTTAGTACAGTAATTATATTAATTACGGATTATAAATTACCCAAAATTAATTTTCAGTCCTATCTTCTTTAAAATAGTTAAAATATTATATTAAAAATATCATTAAATAGGTTTATTTCTTTAACTAACAAATAAAATAAATTTTTTGCTATTAACTTCTTTGATATTATTAAAGAAAAATGTAAAGTATGCTTTTGACCTCTAAATTAATTAATTTACTGTAAAGTTAATTTATGGCCTGAAGTTTGAGGTAATTAGATAAATAATAAATAAATTAAATTTTTTTTGAAAAAGAAGCTTTCAAGCATATATCCATATACAAAACAAATATTATTTTACACCAAAGCAACTCTACTGATAAATATTTGATTTTAAATATTATAATTCGCTTATTGAAAATGCTTTTACTTTTAAATTTTAATTTATATATACAAAATTAATTATTAAAAAAATTATGGGTGACACATTATTGATAATAAGTAATTTCAAAGAATTAATTAATCTATTTTATCAAAAAAGCTAACCACTTTAACATATCTTTCATTAAAAAAGCATTAAATAATTTAAGCTCTTTCTTCTTTGCCATTAATCTTACTTTGGTATAATATCTTACTTTTTATTATAAATGTACTTTTAATAATATTTAAGAATTGTTTTTTCTTTTAGATTTATAGCAGAAGATAATTCTAAAGGAGTTTGAATGCTCAATTCTTTTATTGTTGTTAATAAACAAAATACAAGTACCATACTACTTGATATTTTATTTCTTTCAAAAGATATCTTAAAAGGATTAGTTTTCTTTATATTTTATTCTAAAATACTAAATACTTAAAATTCTTCTGGCTCTAAAAAGTCCTTTAAATTTACATCTTTGTAGCTACTAAATTATTTAGAATTAAACTTTTTCATCTCATTTAAATTTTGATTTACTTATTAGTTAAAATAAAAAAAGATCTTTTTTTGTAAATATTCAAAGCAAATCTTATCCCATTCAACAGATTTTACAAAATCATTTTATGGTTTACTAGTTAATATGTTTTCATTTTTTTCAATACTGAATTTAATCTATTATATTTTTTATTACTCTTTCAGTATTTTATCAAGAGAAACATTTGTTGTTTCAGCTATTTACTAAAGATTAGCCTCTGTGCCCACACTTTAAATAATAAAAAATATTCAATTTAGATTTCAAAATGATTTTAAATCAAAAAAATTTTTAAAATTGTTTATTTATTAATACTAAATTAATAATTTTCTATTTTTTAATTTAAGCATAATATTTATAAATAATTTTTTAAAAGGTTTCAAAATATGAATTTAAGCAACAACCAAACAAAATTATTTTACTATTTCATAATTATGAAGCAAAAACTGCTGGCTGCTTTTGTTTTTACAGATTTACATGTGCACTTTTTATCAAGGTTAACAATTTCAATAAAGTTTTAGACGATTTCAAACTCTATTTTTTTATCTCCAATAAAATCACACCATTTTCTTATCAACTTTTTGCATGCGTTTATTTCATTTCTAATCTTATCCCATTTATCTACAATTTACTCTTTATAATCAACTGTATTTAGATTTAATTGTTCCTAACCAAATGCATATCTTCTGCTATTAATTTACTGTGCCATAGATTTAGTATTTTCTTCTTTGTCCTATACAGTTTCATCAGAATATGTAATCACAGTTAAGTTATCTATATATCCGCAACTATTATTAAAGCATTTAAATAATTAACTTTTCAAATCAAACTTCATAGTATAGCTGTGGCACTTTTAGCATACAGATGAAGGCTTACTAGCAAGATCCATTTTATTTTAAATATATTTAGTATTATTTTATTAACAATTAATTATTTATTAAATTCTCTCTATCAGAATTAATTTTTGATAGAATTTTAAATGATTTAGCTAAGCTAAATCCCAAAAAGATTCTCAATTTTTGATCAGATTTTAAAGCATAATTATAAAATTTAAACTAATGCAATTTTATTTCAATTTTGAAAATATTTGTTTATTTTCTTCAAAATATTTTGTTTAAATATTTTTTTTCTAATACTTTTTCACTAATCAGCTTATTCTTTAAAAAATTTAAATAAAAATATTAAAAAAGTATTAATAAAATAAACTTAAATTTATAATAATTGTTTGCTTAAAACAGTTAAAATGTAAAATGAAAATGAGTAATAAAGAATAAAAATAATTTTATTTTTTGAACAATAAATAACCTAAGTGTTTTAAAATTCTAAAATATATAGGTATTTATTTATCTAATTTATGTATTTTTATGCACTTTATATGATTTTATAAAGTTAAAAATAATTAATTTTAAATTAAAATTAATTAGACATTTAGTATTTCTTATGATTTACATTTTTTAGAGCTATTTTAAAAAAAATAAAAATAGAATAAAAATTATATTTTAGCTAAAAAAGGTAGCATAAATACTCATTAATTATTTTAATAAATACATTATTCCTTCTCCATTTTACTTAAGCTTATTATAGTATTAATTAAGAATTTTTTTAATTTTGAGAGTGAGTTGATTTAGAGTATTTTTGAATGAATTCACAGTTTTATAAAAGTGTAGGATTAATGAAATATTGATCGTTCATTTTCATTCACAAATGTAAAACATAAACAGTTTTATTACAATTATAATTTTTTTTATAATTTTTTATTATTTCTTCAGAAATAAATTTCATCAAACTCTTCTAATTCTTGCCATTCATCTTGACTATTTGTTTCTATCTTCGCTTAAGTCTTTTATTAATTCATTAGGATTAATGAAATATTTATTTATTTACACTGATATTTTTAATGATAATATATGTTGAACTATTTTTATTACTAAAATTATAAACTTTTTAAATTATGTATTTTACCAATTAAGAAATATGATTGAATTATAAAATATATTATTTTATTATTTTTAAACTTTCAATATTTAAGGATTAGCTAACTTTCAGCTATTTTTTATTATTTGTTTTTGATTTCAAATGATGGAATGCAAAAAATATTTTTCATATATTTATGATTATATTTTATTTATTTATTTTTGTCAGTAAGAGCATAACACAAAAACAGTTAAAAAAATAATTTGGGGTATTGCTATTCTGATCAAATTAAAAATACAAAGTAAATAAAAATTTCTTATATTATGAAGTCTTTTTTACTAGGACAAAATTTAAAAGCAAATACTGAATAAAGCGAAAAGAATCTATTTTAAAGCTATTAAGATTGTAATGAGTTAAGTGTAATAAATTAATAAGAAAAACTTATAAGGTCTCCATACAAGCAAAATCTTAAGAAATAATTGTATCTATTGGGTAAAAAAAGTGAAAGTCCAGACAAAATGCAAATAAACAACAAACTAGAATCATTATAAAGCTAATCGATAAAATTAGATAATTATCCAGAGAGATGCTATATAAATAGAATTGTTGAATATAAAATTCCTAATTAGTTGAGAGAATCCTAAGCAAACTAGTTGTTATCTTCAAAAAAAAAGTTATATGATAGAATAAATCATGATGAGGAAGAGTGTGATTCTCTGATAATAAGGTAAAAATCTTATTTAAGACTTACTCCTGATTACATTTTCAACAAAAAAATTCAAAACATTATTGATTAATAAGATGAGCAAGCTTATAAACTACCTTCAATACACTAAAATTCAAGAATTTAAAGTTAATTTAATTTTTTTTTAAATAAAAGATTTTAAATTTATTAAAAATATTAAATAAGATAATAAAGGTGAAAATTCAATAAAATTTCAGAGATATGATACATAAAATTCAAGTAACGAATACAGTGCTACTAAAAAGTTACCTCAAAAAAATTCTAACATAAATGAAAGAATTATTTAGTAAATAAATTTAAAATATGCTTAAAGGTATACAACTTTAAATCCCTCTCTTAAAGAAAATTCAAATAATAGATACTCAGATTATACTTCATTTAGTAAGTAAAATAAAAGGAGTTAATCAAAGCTAAATTAAAGCTATAGCTTTGTTTCTAATCATTAAATTGAAAATAATATCCGTTAAAAAGTATCAAAATATTCATTACATAATTAATCTTACGATTTTTAGAGCAGCAAGTAGAAGAATTCACCCACAATGAAAAATTACTTAAATGTGGGTTTAAATTCTTTGATAGATAATGATTCTACTATACTTGAGTTAATCAAATTAAGAAAATGAGTTCATATAAAATCTAAACTAGCTTAAAAAATAAATGTTTTAAATATAAAGGAGTTAAAAATCTTTAAGGTATTTTAAAGCTTACTAAATGATGTCAATAAAATCAGTAATATATGAGATATAATATTATTATTAAAATTAAATTATAAATTATTGTTAAAAACAAAATTCTTCTAAAGATAAATGAGGATATGATTTAAATTATTAAGAAGGTTTTTTAATTAAATTAAATTAATTATTTTGTATAAAATTATTATAAGTTGAGTGTTTATAGTATTATTTTGATTATTTTATATCTTTATTTTGATTGAAATCTTTCTTTTAAAGTCTTTTGATAAATCAAAATATTTTATGTGATAAATGTTTAATTTTTCAATATGAACTTATACACTTTTGTTTGCTAACAAAAATGGCAGCAACTGTTTGAATTATTATTGTGAAATCTATAAAACTTAAAATTTTACAAGAGCCATGTATTGGCTATTAATAATTTGTAAATAGAGCAAATAGGTGCTGAATGAATTTGATTAATCTACAGTTTTAATTTGTTATAATATTCAATAAACTATCAAAACAATTAGATATATTCAAAAAAATAATTCTTTTAAAGGAAGAAAAATTATTTAATAAATGAATAATTAAGTAAATTGAATTGAGTTATTTAATTCATAATAATTAAGATGATGACATGTTTATTTAATATTAGTAGAGAACTCATACGAGTGGCTCTTAAAGGAGTGAAGCTAGCGATAAAAAAATATAATTGCCAAAAATCAAAAAGACAATAGGTTTAAATATTTATTTATTATTGAATTAGAGCAATAAATTTAAACACTACTAAACTAATTTTAGGTGAAAAACAAATTATGTAAATTGATGGTTAACTGGAAGATAATCCATTTTATGTGCCAGAAGATTATGAAGTGATATTTATTTTATTCCATTTGCTAATATCATAATTTAATTTTAATTTTAATAGATTCTTAAAATGAAAGAAGAAGAAAAGTTAAATAGATTAAAGGTAATATTATAAATAAAATCAAGATGATTATATTTTTATAGTTGGGTTAAGGTAATTTTTTTGTTTTAAAAAACTTAAGGAAAGAGCATAAAATCAAAAACTTAAAATATGGGAAAAAGGAATTAAAAGCAAAGGAAAATACACAGTAAGTTCTATAAACGAATAATATAAGATAGATGAAGAAGCAGAGGATGAATATGCGAAATTGTAAAAAATTAAATATGTTTATTTTTACTTGAGTATTTTATTAAATAAGGAATATTGTTGATGCTGCTAAGAATGCTATGAAAAATAGAGTAAGACAAAAAGAACCCATGCACCAGTTTATTGATAAAAAGAGAGAAATGCTTTTATTTTAAATGTTAATAGACCACAAAAAGAACTAAATTAATGAGTTCGAAGAATTAACTCGTCTTCATAAAAAGGGTTTAGAAAAATCTGAATAAATGCTTGAAGAAGATATTGAGGCATTCAATAAATTTTTAGAAGAAAATAAAAATAATTCAAGATAAGCCATCAAGGCTGCTGAAGATGAAACTAAGAAGAAACAAGAGAAATAGTTTGAAATAAAGTAACTCAATGAATTGCGTTCAGATTTGCAAACAAAGATATCTCAAAAAGCTGAAAACTTAGATGAATTTTGGGGATATAAAAAGTTCTTAGATAAAATAACTCCAAAAGAATTTATTGAAGTGTTAGAAAGAAAGAGAAAGAATAAAAAGGACAACACTAAGAAAAAAACATAAGGTAACATATATTTATTTAGCATTAGAAAATATTTGTTTTATTTCTAATATATTTTATAAAAAAATTATAGATTCAACAAGCTATAAAAAATTAGTTGATACTTATAATATCACCATTCATTAGGATATCTTGGAAATATTAGATGATAGTGATGAAGAATTCGAACCTTATTTTAAAAAACCAGAATAGTTGGAATAAATATTTATTGACTTACAAGAAAAAAATTTATCTCTGATCCAAAACACTTAGGAAAGAGAATAATAAGCTGAAGAAATCAAACACATATTTTTATAAAAATAAAAAATGCTCAACGAAGAAAAGCAAAATATAATCAAAGCTAAAAATGACTTACTTAAAAACTTAGATGTAATTAAATATTATTTAAAAATATTAAAAAATAATATCTTAAAAATTTATTAAAAAGAATGTAAATGAACAAATCAAACATTTAAAGTAAGTAAAAAATGATAATCAAACACCTTCACAATTACTCTAAATAAACTAGGAAGTAAGAACTATCATAATTATAAATAAATAAATATTTTATTATATTTTATAGATATTGAAAATTTATAAAAATGATCCTATCTCATAAGAAAAAGGAGTAGATATTAGAAAGGATATAATGGGAATAGAAATTATTAAGGTAAAATTTATAGCTTAATTATAGTTTTATTAAAAAATTAATATGTTTAGGAAATGGAACTTAAGTTAGAAAGCTTGTTAGATTAATTAAAGTAAGAAAGAGCTAAAAACGAATAAAGGCTATAAAATGCAGAGAAATAATCAACATAGGAAAGAAGAGACGAAGTAATTAAAACATTTATTTTTAAGTATAATTCAAAAAACAAAATTATTTAGATTAAAAAAAGTAAACAAGAATAAGAAAATAAAAATATGCAGCTAAGATAACAAGTTTTAGCCTAACCTAAAAAAGAGAAAAGGTAAGATTGTTTACAAAACATCTATTTAATATAATAATTGGCTTTTATTAATTTAAATAAAAAAAGATATGGAAGACCTATTATGGAGAGGATGCTCCCTTAAAAAAAAATTATAGAAGAAAAACAAGAAGAAGAGGAATCAGAATAAGAAAGAGATTACAGAAAATACTTGCCAGATAACTACTGAAAATTTAAATTTAATAATAATAATTGTCAGAAAATGTTTGTTTTGACTTTAAAATACTAAATAGACTTTTAGTTAACTTAACAATAACTCAGCTAATTTTTTAATATTTACAATAGAATTAAAAAAATTATTGAATAAAATAAACAAATAAATAGCTTTTTTTAAGAATTAGCTCTTTTCTTTAACATTATTTTTATTATTTTAAAGAAAAAGTATTTTAAACTAAAAACAGTTTGTAAAAAGCATGGAAATTCTAATTTGAAGTTCATGTTAATTTTCAATATTTTAAATTAAAAATGTTTTTAATAATCTTTCTTTCTATGTTAAAATTATTAAAAAAACTTGGTTTAAAGTTTTGCTAAAATAATTAAACTAATTTAAATTGTGTACACAACTAAAAACTTATAGATTTCTTTTTTGATATAGATTAATAACTAAATTATAAATTCCTATTCAAATTAATAACTCAGTAGTTATAAATAATTCAATTCAATTCAATGAGTTTATAGATTATCTTTCATCCCAAGAAAGGAAAGTAATCAAAAATATTTATTATAAAAAAATTTCGTTTTTTTTTAAATAACTAAAATATAAAACTGAATTGATAAAAATGATTAGTAAGATAGTTTTAACAGAAAAGGGACTCAAACTTTCGAGCGAGCTTTTAACTGTTAACCCTGATGATCCTCCTCCTTTTTTAGAGGAAGGAAAACCAATTTAAAAATAAATAAGTACACCAAAAATAGCTAATCTTTTCGAAAAAAGTAATGGATTTCTAGATAGATTAACTCTTAAATCAGCATAATCGAATCGATAGATTAGCGGAAATAAACCATTCTTTTTACCTAATTATGATTATTAAGAAGTTTTTAACGCTCAACCTTCATCAAAATAGTCTAAGTATCCTGGAATATATCCACCTAAAACATCTGAAGGAAAGAATAGGATTAAATTAAATTAAAATGCAGAAAATTTAACAAGCTCAAACTCGCTAAAAGTAGGAATAAATTAGTTGAGAGATTAATAATTTATGCAGACTGGAATTATGACAGGATCTCATCCTCTAATACTTGATTATGAAACACTTACCAAATAGTAATAAGAATATACATAGAGTAGAAAATAGAGCTAGTAATAAATGTTTTTTTAAAGGTAATCGTAATAAGGATTAGATGATGGAACATTTCATCCTTTTGATAGCTAGTAAGGAACAAGCAAAAGAATGTTACCAGGTATTTTACAAAGTAAATCTAATCAGTTTCTAGGCTCGAATTAATAAGCTGGTATTTCTGAGGAAAGTCCTAGTAAAAAAGATGGATTTTAAAAATTTTAATTTAATAATAAAATAGACGACTTTATGAAAAGTAATATGGGTACTACAACTAATAATAAATTTTAAATTTAAACGCTTTAACATGGTAGATAAATGCCTGTAAATAGACAATAGCATGAGAAAAGCATCAAAGAAAGAATGGATTTAAAAAAATAAACATATCTACATCATAGGGAATTACAGGATAAAAAATTAAAAGAAATTGCTTAGAAGAGATCTGATTTATCTAAAGACCCTGTGCATATTGCTGCTAAATATTTATAAGAATTAAAAAAAGAAGATTAAACAGTTGAAAATTTACTTTTTGATGTTAATTATTTTAAATCTCGATATAGAAATAGACTGCACGAATACCACTAATAAAAGTACTAAAAAAAATGGAATAAATATTATTTTCCTTCTGAAAGCAAAAGAAGTCCTTCTCCAAAAGACTAAATCATTAACGACTAGCTTGAAGAAGATCTTTTTAACATAGATTAATCTTCTTATAAACCCTCTATTAAAAGTTATCAAAAGCAAAATAGCATTCATTCTCATAATGTTCAGTGAGTAAGATATTTTTATTAATAAGCTTCAGAGCTTATCTAACACATCAATAAAATAAATTCATATATTTTAAAATATTTATTAACGTAATTATTTATTTCTTAACTCAAAAAATATATTTTTATACATTATTTATTGCTTATTTCATTGCTTTGAATTGAAAAAATCTGATCGAGTTTATTTTATTTTGATTTTTAATCACACTTAAAAATATAATTTTAAAGATTTTTTAATAAAGAATAAAATTTAATAGAATTTTTAAACAGATTTTATAATTTAATAAATTAAATTCATTGCTAAATTATTATTTTTCTTTCATATTTTAGATAATATTTTGAATATATTTACTATTTATTAAATCTAGAATTTCTTAGTTTATTTCTCAAGTAAATTAATATTTTTTATTAGTGATTTCAAAGCAAGCATATCTGTTTAAATTAAAAATTTTAACTTTATAAATTAATTTGCATGATTAAATTATTTCAAGTTAATTCAAAAACAAAATTTTATGTATTAAATATATTTTAATAATGTGGAAATATTTTAAAAATAAACTAATATTTTCTTCATTTTAAAAATGCCAAAGTAATTTAAATATAAAATTAAAATCTTTGCCATATTTATTTGCTTTTGAAAATTGTGAATGTTTCCAAAATAAAATATCTCATATAATTGTAAATAATAAGAAAATATTTGATATTTGAAAGTTTAGTTTTGTTAAATGAGTCTAAGTATTTATAATTAATTTTGAAAACTAAAATTAACAATAAATAAGTTATGCATGCTTGAGAGTGAGAATGATCATACAATAATATCTATTTAGTTTCATTAGTAAAATATAAATTAATCCATAATCTTTGTGAAAAATTATTAAGAAAATAAATTTGGTAAAACAGAGAAGTATTAAACTGGAATTCAAAATAATTAATTATTTTTGATAAAGTCAATATTCAAGATATTGATAAACTGATAAAAAAAGATAGTATGTTGAGAGAAGTTGTGATAGCCAAAAATATAATGATATTTTTAGAATGTTTGAATAAAAATAAAAAATTAAGTTTTTATTTGAGAAAAAAATTATATAGATAATATTATATAAAACAAACATAAAATATAATTTTACCTTAACTTTATCTTTTTTAGTAACAATTTATAAATTATTAATGCCAAAAATGTAATATCGTCTAAATTGGTATGCAAATTATATAAATAGTTTTGACAACTAAAATTTTGTTTACCATATAAAGTATGATTAAGATATTTAGTTATATATTGAATAGTGAAATAATATCTACCAAGGTTTTGGAATATTTTACTTTAGAAGATGGTAATAATTCTTTTTATTTTAAATGCAGCTTTTATTTTGATAATTTAAAAATAAAGATATTAGATTAGAAACCACTCATTTTTAAATTATGTTATATACTGCTCCAGTAAAAGGATTTTGTATTTAAAAAATGATTGGCTTATAAGATTGAAATTTAATTGCAATTATTTTGAATGTATACCATGAATTTTAATTTCTTAGATTAGAAAGGAAAAGAATTTCTTAAAAATAATGTAAAGAGAAGTATTAAAATAAGTGATTATTTTAATACAGAAAATTAATTTTTTATAAAAATTATATACTACATACCCAACAGTATATTAATTGATTTTAGATAGCTTAAATAAAAAAAAATCAATAACATTAGGTCAGATGAAATTTTTGAGAGAGTAATATACTATGAGTAACTAAATAACTTAATTATTTACAAAGAAAATTGATAAAAGGAAAATTTGTAATTAATTTTATTTAAAAAATGAGTTGCTGTAAACAATTTAGTTGAATTTTTTATTTGTGATTAATGATTGACACAATTTTTATTACGAAAATAACTCAAAACTTGTAGTTAGTTACATCATTTAATTATTTCAAATGATAATAATAAGCAAATTTAAATTTCTTTATTTTTACCTGATTATCAGTATATAATTGATATGTTGACTCATAAATATTTTATCTTTAAAAAGAAAGCATAACTATTGAAGATTTTACATATTCCTTAATTTAATAATAGTGTGACAATAAACTAAGTTAATTTTTTTGTTAAAACAAATTATAAAAAATTCAGATTACACCTTTTAATTTTTAAAATTTGATTGACTAATTCTAAATTAGCTTTCTCAATTTCCTTTTATGGACTACTTTTAGAAAGCCAAATTAAAAGTTTTGATTATAAAAATATGTAATCTATGAGCTGTTTTATTACGTAGGAAATAAATAATAATAATTTAACATTTATGATATTACACTTAGGACAGGCTGGCTAATTTTATTCATTTTTAGCAAACACCTGATTTTTTTTCAAATTTATCTTCTTATTTATTTTCAAATCGTTTTTTTTGGATAATTTTAAAATGCTTGAATTAGGTTAGTTTATCCCAATATGGTGTAAAAGAAAGAAGTTAGTTTTAATTAATTTTTATTGGTTTTAACTATTTCAAATTGAAAAAACTCTTTTTTCTATAGAGAGAAAAATCAAAATAGAAAATATTAATTATGCTAACAATGATATCTTTTATCATAAAAAAGTTTTCCGATAAAGTATTAATTTGAAGGAGAGCGATTATTTCATAAATATTAGTTTACAGCTGTTAAAAAACTGATATTTTGATTATGATAAAAACATTGATCCAAAGTGCATTAAAGTATTTATTAAAATTTGATTTTTTAAATGTAAGTCTTGCCAGAAAGAATTTGATAATAATTAGTATATCTTTAGATATTCGAATGAAAACTTTTTTATTTGGATTTTACATTTCAATTTAATGAGGTTCTAACGCAAATTTTTTTTACATTTGCAAATTAAAAAAGGACAGAAAAATTTTACTTTTTAGAATTGTAAGAAAAAATTAAAAAAGAATAAGATTTGCTAGCATTTTAGTAGAATCGGTAATGAATAATAAAACATATAGCCTTTACATAAAGCAAATGAAATACATTAAAATAAATATTTATTTGTTAATATTGTTATATTAAGTTAGGTTGATTGTTATAGTTAGTTCTTTAATTTTTGTTAGTTAAATTTTAACTTTGTTTAGTGTTATTTAAATACATTTTTTATGTGTAAATCTATTATTTTTATTTAGTAATGTAAGAGTTGTTTGGTAATAATTATGTTCTTTTTTATATATTTTTAAAATTGTTTGTAAATTAATTTAAGTGGTATTGGTTAATATTTTTTTTGCATATGTTTTTTTTTATAAAACCTATATTCAGATTAGGTGAGAATCAAATATTTAATACATTTGAGATCAAAACTAATTAGTTGCAAATTTTTTCTTGTAATTTCATTTCAAACTCCCCATTTTTCATTTTTTGAAAAACTGCTTGGAGATTTATTATTATTTGAGCAGCTTGCTCTTTTAATTAGTAAAGTTTTTATATGTTCTAGGAAACTCCTTCACTCAGTTCCTCTGAAAGCTATACGGATACGTTATCATTTATATATTGCTAAGCCTCACTAATAGTCTTTAAATCATCGTCTATTGAGAGATTATTTTGATTAAATAGGTGAGGAATCTCAGCCATATCATACATGCCAAAACGAACTTCCTAGACTTGCTCTAAGAGTTAATCCAATTGTACGGACATTTTTAAAGCTTGATTTCTGTATTGACTCATTTAAATTTATTATTGATTTATTTAGGATTTCAGTGTTTTTTTTTATATAATTTAATTAGTGTTTATTTTTTTTGAATTAATGTTTATAAATTATACTGAGCATCCCTTTTTAGCATATTAATAAACAACTAAAATAATAAAATTATCAAAGAAATTCAAAAAAAAAGAAGAAGATTTGCATGATTTATTAAATTAATATCAAATGTAGTCTAATGCTAAAATGCATGCAAATTTAATACAGTAAAATACTCTTTCTTAATTAAGATTTAAAGGAATTACTTTATTTCTAGCAATAATCGATTGTACTAAACAACAGAATGTAAAATATAATTAATTTTGACAAAAACTAAATGTTAAATATCTTGAATGCTTGAATTAAATATTACTTTTAGAAATTAAATTCCTATCTAATTTAGCAAATACTTACATATGCACATGTTACAACCCTCTACAATATTAAAATTTTCTATAAATGTAAATTTTAAATGATTTCTGTTTTTTTTTCTTAATATAACTGTATCAATACCTTTTTTCGCTCATTAAGAAAGTAATAGCTACATGATACTTTGTAATTTATAGTAGAAATCAAACCATCTACCAATATTTACTTACCCCTTAAATCAAAAATTTGTAAATTGTAAGCTCAGTTAATATTTTTAATAAATTAAAAAGCACTTGACCTACTTTGAAATTTAATTAAATAAGCAATCCTTCCCAAAATTGAAAAAAATTTTAATATACTTAGTATATCAAAATTTATAAAATAAAGACTAAATTTACTGACATTAACGCAATCAGAAAATTGTAAATAACGTTTTAACGAACAAGAAAAGGAAATAAATATTAAAAAAAATTAATTGTAGAATATGTAGCTAGTATTTAATATTCTTACACAAAGTAAGCAAAATGATTTATGTAAAAAATTAATTTAATATAAAAACAAAAAACAAATGATTTTAAAACAACGCCTCTCTCTTTAATGTCTATAGTATTTGATATATTTAGTTATTAATACTGAATTTATAAAACTATTTCTATCTTAGAAACCTTGACTTTTAAATAATTAATTTTAATTATATTCAAAAATGTCTATCTAAATATTTAATATTTTTGAATCTAATCTTTTATATAATTTAGCATGTAAACAATTTAATCTTCATTATAAAAAACAATTAATAAGTGCTATTTATTTGTTAATTTCTCTCTTCAAAAGCCTATTAATATTTGATCTCTACTGATTTACCATATCTTATACAAGATAAAATTAAATAAATCATTTTAAAAAAATGTCAGATTACGAAAATTATTTAAAGTCTCAGAAAGAAAAAATAAAGGAAATAGGAATTGAGGCTTTTTAGAGAGTAGATAAGTCAGCAACATAGATTCAAAAAGTTATCTAATAATCGAAAAATCCAATTTAATAAAATGCAATTGGGCCAGCTAGACCTCCAGTTGGTGCGGAATACAGTGAGTCATCATCATCAGAGGATGAAGATGATGATGTCCTTAAAAACGACCCAATTTTTAAATAAGCTATGATGTAGAAATCTCTGAAGTAATAATAAGTAGGAGGAAATACCAATTAAAGATAATAGATTAGTAATGGCAAGAGTGATAAGGAAGAAGAAATAAAATCTAAAAGCTAGAATAGCGATAGTGATGATGATGATAGTGATAATGAAGAAATAAATTAAAGAGATATGATTTCAAAATCCCAACAAATGCATAAAGATATCACTAATTTGTAGGATTTATTTCCAATTTCACTAGAAGCTACTCTAAAAGGTCACTAAAAAAAAGTAACCACTTTAACTATAGATTAATCTGGATCAAGGCTCGCTTCAGGTGCTAATGATTACTTTTTAAGATTGTGGGATTTTAATGGAATGAATTAAGACATGAATTCATTTAGAGTTTTAGAACCCTTAGAGGGTCATCCAATTAAGGCATTAAGCTTTAATTCAAATTCATAGAACTTATTAGTAGTAGGAGGAGGTCCTTAGATTTGCTTAGTAAGTAGAGATGGTCGCAAAGGAAATGTTTCAATAAAAGGAGATATGTACATAACTGACATGGCTAAGACTAAGGTAAATTAATATCGAGGGAATACTCCCAGGAAATTATCATAATAGATTAATTTAAAGGAAGAGTTCAGTGAAAATCATTTATAAAAATACACTTTTAAAAAGAATGAATGATTAAATTCTAAGAAAATCTATATCAAAACTAGATATATTTACATTAATTTACTCAAGAAAAAATGTTGTATTTAAACAAGACTTACTTATTCAAAATAATTTACTAAGCAAAATAGATTTTTTTTTAATATTAAAAATTCTTTAGAACATAAATTAGATAGGCTTCTTTATTTACATAATGTAAACAATACTATATTATGAATTTGTTAGAACATTTTCTACAAATTCAATGTTTAAAATACTTTAGTTATACTAACTTAGAATACTTTATGAGATTTACACTAACTCTGAAAACCCAAAATAGATTAAAAAAATCTTTTTTTTTCCAAATTCATTCTATTAAAAATAAGACTATAAATAATCTTTAAGAAAACTCGAAAATATAATAATTTAATAGAACTAAATACTGTAAAAGTGAATTATAATTATTATTAATAAATTATAGGGACATGTATCTAGTGTAAACTCTGGTGTATTTCATCCATTAGAATTTAATATTTTTGCTACTGGATCTCTTGATGCAACCGTAAGAATATGGGATTCAGAAAAAAAACTGCATGGTATAGAACAGTAGATGACTCATGTAAATATCATAAAATGTACTGACTAAAAAGGAACAAAAACTGAGGTTGATAAGATTTAGTATAGCAAAGATGGAAAAATTATTATGATAGGTACTTAAGATGGGTCTCTGTAAGGTTACTCTACCTAGATTTGCCATAGACCAGCGTTTTGTATGAGAGGTAAATAAAATCTCATATTTCTTTCTAATATCTAAACTAATTTAAACTAATCTATTGATTATAATTTTTATAAAATTTAATAATCATACTATAAAATTCAATTGTAGAATATTTTCATTTTTAAGTTGCCCAAACTATTTTAGCTCTCTTCCTGATATTTTTATTTAATTCTTTTATTTTTAATAAAGGCGCTCATGCAGCAAAAAATGAATATGGTGGTATCCACTTTTTTAAAGACAACTTTAAACTTGTAACCAGAAATTGTGATGGAACTTTAAAGCTATGGGATTTAAGAAATTTCAAAAAACCTATCAACTATGTAGATAATTTACCAAGTTATAGTCCTGGACCAAGTGTCTGCTTATCACCTGATGAGAAATACATCCTAACAGGGAGCTCTACTTCAAATCACATTAAAGAGAGAGACTCATTTTTATATTTATATGATTCAACAACACTTGACGAAGTAGCTAAAATAAAAGTGGGAGAGGATTCTATCACTGATATGATATGGCATCCTTAATTAAATTAAATAATTTTTGGAGTTGGTGAAAACATACAAATTTACTTTGATTAATAAAAAAGTAAGAAAGGAGCTCTTAATTGCATCAGTAAAAAGTCTAGATAAGTTTCGATAGAAGATTTACATAATAATAAACCAGTAATAAGTCCTCATGCTCTACCCCTATTTAAAGAATCATATTCTTATAATCCTTAAAAATAATTAAAAAAAATACGCACAAACCCTATTGTTTCTCACAAACCAGAGTAACCCTAATTAGGTAAATATTTTCAAATCATTTTGCAATTTTCACCCTATATTAATTAAATGGTGTCAATATTTAAATTAATTAAGAATACATGAGCTACAATTTTATTAATGATATAATTGCAGTTATTTACAATTCAAGCGCTCTTCGTCTATTATTATTTTATATTTCAAATTTATTAAATCAAAATTCATTAACCTTTTTTAACTTAATTCAGGTCATAGTAAGGGTGGTTAAATTAATAATTAATCAACTATTACTTAGTTCCTTATGAATACTTTAAATAGCGCTCCAAGCAATAGAGAAGATGCATAATAGGCCTTGCTAAAGATGCAAGAATAAGCTGATAAAAATCCTATGTTTATAACAAATGCCTATAAAGAAACGTAACCAGAAGCTGTGCTTGATGTTGAAGATAGAGTCAAAGAACTCGAAGAATAAAAATTCTTGCAAAAGATTAAAGAAATATGCCCTTCTTGCGGTCTTAAAATTTGCACATGCAAAAATAGATACAAATTTGAATACAAGTGATAAATGTCAAAAATTTTAATCCTAAAAAATCAATCATTCATTTTAACAATTTTAATTAGAGAGTAAACTAAAAAATTAATGTTTGTTTGTTTATTTGTTAGCTTATCTGGAACAATTTAAGATCTAATTATCTATTAATCTTTTTTTTTTTTCATTAACTTAACAATCTTGTTAAATAAACATATTCTTTTTAATGCCAAAAATTATGAAGTTTTTTTGAAAATACATCCATTAATACTAGAAAATGAAGAATCTCACTTAGTTAATGAAAACTGCTATTATATTTTTTAAATCTGTCATAATAAATCAGATAGATCAGAATCCCATCCGCCTTACTGATCAATAAGCATATTTTATAAAATTAAAGGAGACCAGTGTAAATCTTGTGTTTTGATAAATTTTGTTTATTGTTAAATTTGAGAATTAATCAGTAAAAATAAGAGTAACAAACACAATTCTTGATTTAAAATTAATTTTCTTTATCAGAAAATGATTCTTATTTTCTAAAATAGCATTGATTCGATAAAAGTATTGAAATTTTTTTTACTTGATTGATACTTTAGCATAGTATTTTGAGCTCAATTTATTTACTCAAAGGTATATAAAAATTTGGAAAATATTGGCTAATTAAAAAAAATAATAAATCTTTTTTTGAAAATTTAATCCAGTAAATTAATTATTAAAAAATGTTTGATTATATTTGTGATTGTTCTTTCGCTTGTTTCATTTTAATTATACAAATTTTACCAAATTGTTAAGCTGAAAAATACATTTTTTGACATTTTAATTAAAATACTAATTTTTACATGTTTATAAAAAGATTACCCAATTTTATTATCTAATTTAAAAAGAAATATTACTTTTAATTCATGATAATTTTATCTTTTTATATAAATATTTTTTACTTGAAAATATTTAAGAGTTTTCAAGAAGTAAGTATATGATTTAATCAATCAATCAGTCATATATTTTTATGTAAATATTTATAATTAATTGCTTCTATTTTTAAATTAATTAGTTCTATATTTATATAAATATATATATATATATATATATATAATTTATACAAACATACATCAAATAGAAAATTATAATTACATTTATTTGTATAGTAAACATGAATAATTTATATTTTACCTTAAATTTTTTATAATTTATAAAAATACTTAGAACATGAATTTGAAATATGTAAACAAACCTTTCAATATCTCAAAGTAATTTGATAATTGAACCGTATGTTACAAAAACAAAAAGAAAGACTCCAGAAATTGCCATTGAAATGTGATATACTTTTGTATAGAATGATTTATTATTGCCTTAACAGTTTTACTAATTAAAAAAATATTCATAATATAGTACAGAAGGGATGACAAATTATATTGCTAAGCCAGAAATTCCACCTATAAAACTAAGAAAATAAGAAAACTATGGTATAAATAAAGCAATTAAGGTCATAATTATTAAAAGAACTATTCTGTATATATAGTGAGAGGATATTTATTTAAATTTAGTGTTCTAACTTGATTCTTATTCTAACTCCTCTAACTATTACTATGAAATATTTTTTTCCATACAGAGACATACGTATTTTAAAATAATTTCATAACAAGGAAAAAGGCACAAAGGTATACATAAAAGTTTTCCTAATGCATAGCCTACTTTGCAGAATAATGATACCCATCCATCATATGGTATGTTCATCAAAACAATTTAATTAAGCTTTGGTCCATAAGCTAATACTCCAACTACCCCAAAAACTATGTAAGTAATAGCACATATTAACATTGTATAAGATAGGATTTTGTTAAAATCATTTCTTTTTTTCATTGAATTTTTAATATGAAATACAAGTCCCACTCCTTCAAAAGCATAAGTAGCGACACCTATTAAATTACCAGATTCTCCAAAAGAATACCATTTATCATAATATATAGTTGAGGCTGGATTTTTAAGAATAAAAAAAGCATCATAAAACATCAAAATAGCACAAAAGAAAAAACTGAGTAAGCAGTATAACCCTAAATTAGAAAAATAATGAATATTATCAATAAATTAAAATGGAATGAGTATCAGAAGAGTAATAAGCACGCTTAAAAATTAATGAATTTCAAACCCACTATAACTTGCAACCTCATTTAAAAACTAACTGAAAAATATTATATAGCTTATGCAAGCACCAACTTAGTACAGAACCAGACAAAATTCTCCAAATAGCATACTTTTTTATCCAAGAATATCAAAAATTAATTCTTAGTAGTTAATATTTTCTGCCTTTTAAACTTATAATAAGTCATTATTAGATTTTATTTTGATTCTCTCTAATCTATGGTCAACTATTTCTAATAAACATGATATTTATTTGAATGAGAAGTAACCAAGACCAATTATTATAATTGTTCCAAGAACGTATCCACTTTAGTACATAGCAAATGGAATAGCAAGCACTCCTGTTCCTATCATACTACTCATGAAATTTAAAAATGCTTCCCAATTATTTGATTTTTTATGTGAATCAAACTGTTCTACCTATTAAATTTCAAGTTAAGATGAATATTGATTTAAAGTTATTTTTGTTTGATCAATTTTCATCTTCCAATCAGCTGAATCTTACTATTAGTTTTTCATAAATTTATGTTGACTTTATTCCATATTTTATATGATTCAATTTATTTTTATTTATTTGTTTGTTTATTTTCAGTTGATTGCGGATTTCTAAATTTAATTAAAATTATCCTAAAAAAACACTTAAAACTTGGAATTTTTTTGAATATTTTCCTTTATATTTTATAAAAAAAAATAGCAAAAACCAACAAAAAAAATATTTAATATCAAATTTTATCAATAGACAAATGAATGTTTAAAAAAACGATTTATCGAATTTTGAAATAAAATATGGAATTCTATATTTCTACTTAATGCAATACTTTTTTTAGTTATTTTTAAGTATTATTTATTAATGATTAAACACAAAATTCCCCTTATTTAAACTGAGAATTATATTTAATAAATTTATAAGAATAAAATGACAATTTTATTGTTTCCTCTTATAGTTTTAAAATATAAGTTGATCATACTTAGAATACTAACTAATAAACAAATTTATGTAACATGTTTTAAATAACTAATTTATTTATTATATCACTCAGCTTCATTTTTTTCAGATTCTTAACCTGACTTTTAAACATGCTTTTTGTAAGCACTGAGATCGCTAGCATTATAAGTTAATCCATTATCGAGAACAACACTAGTATTATTAATGTCATATCTCCATACTCCTCTTTTATTACCGTTTCTAATTCTAACAGGAGTATTGCTTTGTTGAATTCCTTTCCAATATAATATGCCATAAGCGTTACCGTGTCTTGTGCCCTTTAATGATTTAATTAAAAATTTTATACAATCAAAGGAAAGAGAGAGAAATAAATTTTTTATGATTTATAAAATAAATTTTTTCATATTTTGCTTCTATTTTAAAAAACTTTCTAAAATTATTAATAAATCTATTTATATGAATTAGCATTCAATTTTATATCCTTTATTAGGAATTCTAAGAATTTATTTATTTATTTTCATAGTAATAGAAATATATTTCATTTAAGCTTAAGTGATACTTCCTATCATTTAAAAAAAATAATTTACCTTTAAATCAATATCTTATAAAACATAGAAACTATTTGAGGGCCATGTTTTTCTCCAGAATTTGAAGCCAATACCTATTTAAAAAATTGTTTTAAATTAACCAATTAATTTAACTTTATTTTATTTAATCGTAATTAAGCTTCTTTTAAAAAGAGACATTTATTTTTATATAAAATGGATGATATATGATTTATTAATTTGATTATTTAATTTATACCTGTTCCAGGATATTAAGAGGCTAACTCATAAATATTTTTATAAGGAATTTTTTTATGCTTTATGATATCAGTTAATCCAAAAGTTTTAACTGTGTTACTAATTAAAGAGGCAGCTGCTTTTTCAATCTTTTATGCCATTTCTAAACCTAATAAATAATTAATTATTCTTCTCCTTATTTGTTTGATACTACTAAGTTTTTCGTTGATTAAAATTTATATCTTTAAAAGCACTTTAAATCAAATTATTTGGGGTAAATTAATTGTTAGTAAGATTTTTCTTTAAATTTCTAATATTTTCTAAAACATAACTAAATTTATAATAGATATACTTTTTAATTACTTTTTAAATTGATTTTTTTTGTTAAAGCCATTATTTTTTTAAATTAAAATATTTATTTTGTTTTTTAAAAGTAAATTATAATTTAAAAAATTACGTCTTATTAAAGTTGATTTTTCTTTATTATAATACTCAAATGAGATTTTATATAGACTCTTAAAAAGTTTACTTTTAAAAATTCAATTTATAAAGAGTTTTAAAGTTGCAGTAAATTTAAGTTTATTATTTTTAATAGGTTAAATTGCTTTTATAATATTATCGATTTTTAATATTTTTGTAGTTTAACAAGAATATTTATAAACTGTTTACATTTATTTTTATTTTTCAAAATTTAGAATAAACTAATTATTTTGAATAAAAATCCAAAAATAGGGTGAAAAATTTGGATGAACAGTAAAACATATTCAAAAAAATAAAAATAATAAATTCATATTAACAAAATGTTACAAAAAATATATTTTATATTTTAAGTGATTAAAAATAGTTTACTAAAAAACCTTTTTATTGTAAGTATTTAATTATAAATTTTTTATATTATAGAATTGGATAACTTTAATACAATTAAATCATACAATAAATAATTTACTAATTAAGTTTAATATTTTTTTATTTAAGGATTCTAAATTAATTATTCAATCTTATCTGAGTTAAGTTTATTAGCTAAGAGTTTTTTCGATGAAGTTGTCAAGGATGATATTCATGCTCTCAGGTTAGTCATAAGGAACCAAATGACCAGCATCTAAAATAGTGGCAAAATGTAAGTTTAAGTAGCTTTTATATGTAGCGACTGTTTGATTGTTATTTGTGATATTTACCATAGGTAATTTAGAAAATACTTATTAACCTTCCCAAGAGAAACCATTGATGAAAGTGGTTACACCAGGTGTGTTAATTAAGATATCGTTATCACCATTGTAAATAATTACTGGTAAGTTATTAGCAAGTATATATTAGAGAGCAGGGATACCATTAGGAGTAAAACAGTCTAAAGATAAAGAATTAGAAATTTTAAAACTAGTACTATCATATTTAAAACTTGTATCAAAGCCAAATTGTTTAATATAATTTTCGCAGTGATCTCCTACAAAATCATCAGGGTAAGGACCAATTTTATAATTATAGACGTTTTATAATTTGTTGATAGAGTTTTACATGAAAAAGCTGATAGCTTCGTCGTATGTGTTAGAAGCTTTTTAATAGTCATTAGCCTTGAAATAGGTATGCATCTTATTTAAAATAGATTAAAGACGTATTTTAGTTTTATCAGAAATAAGACCATTTTGTACTCCGTAATCTCCTAGTTAATAAAGTTAATGTTAGGGGTCAATTAAAGGATCACCGATAGAGACACCTTTAAGGGGGATTACTAATTAACCAGAAGCAGCAGCAATTTAATTTTATCTTATAATTTCAGCAGCAATATTAGGAATATATTTTCCTCCATAGCTTTCACCTGTAATGAATAAGGGAGATTAGTGAAGTATGGGATTGTTATAACAACCAGAACCTGTGTAGAAAGATAAAAGAGCTCTATAGAACTATTAACCAACAATAGTTTCGTTGTGAGGTAGATTAGAATCTTTTTCAGAACGAGAAAAACCAACAGCAATAGGTTAATCAATATATAAGACATTGTACTTATTAGTCCAAGCGTCTGGGTTAGTTCTGATAACTTAAGTACCATTCTCACTCAAGACTCTATAAGGACCATTTTCAAAATAAGCACCCTCCATACTGCTTGATCCAGGACCACCTAATATTTTATAAATTAAATTTAAGTAAGAAAAAGAAACACATATATATATGAAGTATTACCATTAAGCCATATAAGTGTAGGAGCTTATGCAATTTCTTCAATAGTAGTTGCATTTATCTTAGAGTAAAATACAAATCCTAAGCCAGTGATGGGATCATCGAATCCAGGATTCAAGTAACCTGTTAAGAAAGTATTGTTTGGAGCATATTAGTCAACTGCTTTATTGCAAGTAGCATTTCTAGAATAAACAGAACTTGCGAATAGTAAAAATACTATAGCAAAAGTAATTTATGATTTCATTTAATTGTAATAAAATAAGTTTGTTTTTTATTTCTTTTTTATTATTTTTCTTTTAGTTTATTTTTGGGGATATAAGCTTAAGTAATTAAAGATAGTTCTCTGTAAATTCATTATAAAACTCTCGGTATCAAACCAATCAAAATTTATCACAGAAAAAAATCTTTTACAAATTATTTATGAAATTTATAAAAGAATTTTTGGTGCAAGAGTGATTTTAAAATCTTTCACATTTCTTGATTTTCTTGTAAAAAAGAAATATTCACACACTAATTTCTGTTTGCACTTCAAATAAGAAAAAATAGAGAACTTCTAAAGAAATTTAATTTTCAAAGAATATTTCTAGACTTTTTTATAAATAATGAATAAAAGATAAGTTGCTTACCATATAAAAACTAACAAAAGTACCAATAAAATAAATCAAGATGTAATTAATAAAATACAAATCTTTATTTTTGGTAGAGAGTTTGATTCAAATATTTATTATTTTAATCAATAATATTATGATTAAATTATCCTAAATTTTTTATACTATTAAATTAATAATTTTATTTATTGTATAAATACATAATTTATTAAATAACATTTAGGAGTTAATATTATAATTTTAATTTTATAATTAAGAAATTATTTTTTTTAATAAATCTTTTAAAAATTAAAATTTTTTTTATTATCTAAAACTTTTATTCTCATAAAATTTTATTAAAAAGTTAAATATAAATAATTATCTCATACTTAAAATAATTAAATAAAAACTACTATTGAATTTTATATTACCATTTTTACCTAACACTGAATAAGACACTAAAAAATGGTATATTTTATATATATAAATAAATTTTGTGAATATTTGATTTTGATTTGTTCATTTTATCAATTATTTCTCTCAAAATATTCGAGATGCAATACTAAAACCACTCACAAACAGGCTTAATATAATATTTTATTAAAAAACAAGATTAAGTAATACTTAATTATAGATAGAAAAAATACAATTCAATTATTTATTTTAAAAGAAATTAAAAAAAATGATATGAAATTTTCTTTAGTTATTTTTTTTTTTAAATGTTTAAACAATATTTATTATTTTAATTTATTGCACAAAAAGTTTAAATTCAAATGTTTAATATTTTTTTTATAAAATTGATTTAATTTTTTGAATATCAATTAATTAATTTATTTGTTTGTTTTTAGTTTATTAACCATTTAATCATTATTTTATTTTTTTTCAAAAACTCTCCAATCAATCAGTTTTTTACTTTTTAATTTTCATTTTTAAATTTGAGATGGATTTGTTAATGATTCGTTTTTATTCCAAATCAAAATTTGTTTGTCAGCTCCTGCAGTTATTAAATAATCTTTAATAATATTAATAGCATAGACTGCATATCTATGCCCAAAGTATCTAACTTATTTTTCAAAGACAATTAAATCCCATTTAATAATGCATCCATCGTAACCTGTAGAATAAAGCTCTATTGGGGTAAAAATTAATATTTTATAAAATAAAAAAACATATTAAATTACCGTTTTCTAAAAGTTTCAGATTGATCACAGTTTACCTATGAGCGTAAAATTCTTTGATAACTTAAAATTAATTTTTTTCATATCTATAAATGTAAATTAAGCCTTCAGTTGTTCCAACTATCAGAGTTTTAGGATCTATTTAAGTCATGCAAGAGCAAATATATTATAGTTTTATTTAGATTCTACTTTACTTTAATTATATTTGCTACTCCTCGCTGAAGCTACATTCCTTCTCTATTAAGTATATATTAATCTCTTTATCTCTTGTTGCTACAAATAGTTAGTAATTCGAATAATAAATGCTTGAAATAGAGTTTTCTTCTTAAATTTGTAGATTGCAAGTAGAAGTAAAAATGTTATATAAGAACACTTTACCTGAGCTTGTTCCAAAAGCTATTAGGTTTAAATCAGAAATATTAATAGCACAATATATTTCCTTTTCACAAACTTAAATTCTCTTAAGACAAATACCTTTATTTAAACTCCATATGCAAACAACACCTCGAGGGTGAACTGAAAGAATTAATTTAGTATTTCCAATTCTAAGAGCATTTATAACAAAATCATTATTTATCCTTAAATTTTTTATAGTTTTTGAAATATTATTAATATTCCAGAGTTTAATGCTTCCATCGTGAGAGCAAGTCAAGAAGTAGCCCTGTTCCATTTTAACTACTGACCTAATCACATCCTTATGCTCATGAATAGAATAGATTGGTGCACATTACGAAGGAGTATTTGACATGAATAATAATTAATTAAATACAAATAATTAATTTTTTATGAATTCAGCAAATAAAAACCACTGATATATCTTTTTTTCTGAATATTATATCATCAGCAAGCAGTAGATTTTTTAATAATTAGGTTAATTATGACGGTATTTAGTAAATCACTAAATTTTTAAATAAATATTTTCTTTCGCTTAATAGCTTAATAGGAAGATGACTTAATTTTCTTAATTCTATCAAATAAAAAATTATTTTTAAGCTTTGGTATATTAAATATTTTATTAAGTAAAAATAGTTAAATTTAAGATAAAATATTAACTTTTATATTATTCAAAATGGCATCAATAGTAATAAATATAATAAGCTAAAAATCAATAAATTAATACAGTGTTTACAATATATTTCATTTAAGTAAAACCAAATCAGTTTAGGATTTATAAAATAAATAGAACTGTATACTTTTGAAGTTTGCTTTTATGAAAATTTAGTTACAGATAGATATTTTATGTTAAATTAAGAATTATTTACAAAAATAAATATTTGCAGTTATTTTTCCAATGGGAATATATTGTAATATTTAAATATATTTTATATTTTTGTAAACTCCTTATTATAGTTTGACAACAAATTACCCAATTATATACGGTAAATTTTTTTAATAAATATTGATTGCTTAATGTTGTTAAATGCCTATATTTAACAAATTAACACGTTCGTTATACTACTATTCTCTTAAATACATTTAAAATTAATTTTGAATGATTAAATGAATTTTAGAAATATTTTTTATAGGAATATACTAAATTATTATTTAATTATAAGTCAAAAGAATTAAGCTTAAAATTATTGAGAGATTTATAAAATAATAAATAAGTTATTTTAAAGTAAATTAAAATAAAATTAATATTCGTTTATAGTTAGTCATATAAATATTTTTTATATCACTCAAACTAATTTTTATATTTAATGGTTTTTTTAATTAAAAATTAATAAATACTTTAAATATAAGACTGAAAAAGTAATAATTAATTATTTAAATTTAGTTAATACATCAATTAAATATAAATTTTTTGAATTAATAATAATGTAATTAAATAATAATGAAAAGGTTAATTAACATAGAATAAATAACAAAATATTTTTTAGTCAAGAGTCAAGTCTTTTTGTTTTGATTATTAAAAAGATGAAGGTAAGTTTAAACCTGCATACTAATTTCATTAGGATATATTCTAAAATGATATTAAAGATACAGCATATGCTAAAGGTGACGATCCATTCAAAAAAGTATTTACGCGATTTATTTTTATGTTTATAAAAAATCATGGCTGAGGAGAAAAATAAAAATCCAAAAGAAATCAAGAAGTTAGCAAAATTCAGGATAAAATTTATTTTTTTTGATTTATTATTGCAAAATATAAAATTTATAAAAAGGCGCTTGATGTGTATTAGAGAAATCAAAGCCCAGTTAATTATCTCGAAAGTAATCCATAAAATGCATGATTATTCAGCTATGTATTAGGCTTAATTGGTTGTTTATTAGATTAAGTTAAAATTTTAAAAGTAGAAGGAAGAACTAAAAATAAATAGACCCAACAAAGTTACACAGTATAAAACTCTTTAAGAGCTACTGCAGCTTTTGAAATTGTATTTCCAACAAAAAATGGTTAAGTAAGGTTTTATGTCATATTATTGGCTAGTTTGTAGTTTAATATTTTATTCATTAAATGGAGGCGGATTATCAATGAGCAGAGGACTAAAACGAGGATTTGATGGAGAACTAGAATTAATTTCGCTCTAATTTTAATGCTTTAAAATAGGCTCACCTGAATTAGTATTAGATTTTGTTTCTAAATCTTAAATTCTCATTTAATTTTAACCTAAATTTTATTGGGAGAGCCTTTATACATTTGATTATATTAACTGCGAGGGAGTGTTTTAATTTGTGATAACCTTACCCTTTAAAGAGTTTTAGTTGAGAGACTCGCTAGCAGTTGCACTTTCCTCAATAATTGTAGGAATATTTTACCTGATTCTTCTGTTATTATAAATATAATCCATATTTTTATCGTCATATTAATGATTAAAAGTATGTTCGTTTTTAATGATAAGCTAATTTTGTGGTCTTTAGTATTCAATTGGATAATTTAATTCTTTTAGAAAATTAGAAGATTAAATTGTTTAGTATTATTTATGCTAGGGCTAGGTTGCTTTAGTAAAATTTTGATTTTGTATAATTTATCCTTAATTTTCATTTTACTTGTTTTCAGGAGAAGACGGAATTCCATTCAAGTATTCTATTTTACTTATTAATTTAATGTTATTTTGTTATTTTTATGGTTATTATGAAATAGAGATAGTGTTGTTATCTTAAGACTAAATATCTTAGATGTTAATTGTTTGAAATTAATCTATTGCTTTGTTGTTTGTCTAATATGCTTCAAGGACAACATTATTGTTTTATGGATATTCTTCTTATTATATTAGAGTTTTAGAGTTAAGAGGAACAATTTATGAAAGTTTATTTGTAAAAAATTTATTGCTTTTTTAAATTGCATTATTTTATTTATCTGAAAGCTCTGCATTAGAACGAGCGTTAGTATCTTCATTAGTTAAGTCATCTTCTAGAGCATCAGAGCTAAATATAAAATCTGGAATAATTCCTTAAACTATTTAACTCTTATCTAATTTTTTTTATTCAGGTTACCCGAGATTAAGATCACTTGCATAGCTATTAGAGAATAATGATATTATATAAAAAATAAGCGATGCTCCGAACAGAACGCACAAATAAATTAGAACATACATTTTATATGAAGTGTCAAATTTAAAAGGATTTTGTGGTTTAGGATTAATATCTGGTTCAGTTTAATTTAATTATTAGTTGTTAATTAATGTAAACTCAGTAAGGTGTTATGTTGAGCATTAAATTGATTGTAGTACATTATTTTAATAAAATTTTTTTAAAACCTGAACTCCAGTTGTTAACCAATCTTATTCCTTCTCATCCCAATAAGCACATGTAAGGTTAGTTGTGTTAGATATATACAAGCTAGGAATTGCATATGTCATATTGAATATTACTGGTGATGCAGTAAGAATAGATTTAACATCTACTTCATTTCCACTAGCTAAGTCTTTGACGGTTATAACAACTGGATTGGAAATTAAATTTTTTTTATATTTACATCCGTTAGTGCAGTTTTGCTGAGAAGAGGAAGCCAAATCCATAGGCTTCATTAAAATTTCGAGATATTAATTACTTTTAACCATATTTTTAGGAATAGAAAATTAGATGGAATTTTGAATACTTAAATTATAATTTTCATTCAGTTTTTTAAAGGCATTATTGTGAATAACAATGCCCTTGTAATTAGACCTATCAATTACTATGGTTGGATTAGAAGATGAATTTACTTAATTCATCATTTATAAATTCAAAGCTTAAACCTACTAAACAACTTACTCAAAATACTGCTTGCTCTAGAAATCTGATAGTTCTTCTACTCTAACAATATCAATTAAGTTATCTAAAATATACTAGATTCTTTAACTGTAGCTAGATACTTAAAATTTCATAAGAGTGTTAGTTTTAAAAATGTTCATTAAACTTTAAAATGAACTATTTTTAATTAGATCTCTTTGATCTGTCCAAAGTTGCAACAAAGTTATAATCTAGTTAATACTTTGAATAATAAAGTAAATATTTTATTAATCTTAGAAAATTTATTTTTAATTACTTAAGACCTTATTTGTTGTCTCCCTATTAATCTAGATTTTGAATGCTATCACTTATTATATTAATATACTGCTTTACAGTTTTCTTTGCTTATTTCCAACTATCATCTGTCCAGTTACATTACTCACCTGATTTATATATAAAGAAATGATCAGTATTAAATAAGTAAAATATATACAATTATTTTGAACAGGATTTCAATATTAATATTTGGTTTTAAAAATATAGTTTTAATAATTTCTTACCTTTATATCCTTAATTACAGATACACATAGAATACCAATTACTGTTATTTATTGGTTTACATTTTCCATGTCCACTGCAATTTATTTAGCTATCGCATTAAATAGGAAGATAATATTGCTAATCTAATTTAGACTACTTACTAAAGGTTAAGTTAGTTTAGATTTCTTGATTAGAAGGTAAATCTCCTCTATAAAAGTAAACCTGATCAGCTATGTTTTTAATTTATGTAAGATTCGGCTTATTTTATTCATCAGTTATTTTTTGATTAAAAATTTGATTCATAATTTATGGTTAAGGTTTTCTTGTTGTTGATGGTTGTACGTAACTATAGTTTAAAGGGATAATGACTGTCTAAACAAGTTAGTTGAGCTAAGGATTAACTGGAGTTACTACTAATTAGAGGTTAAACTAATTGTAATTTTAATTTTCTATATTGACATTGAATTGATAATTAAACTTCTAAAATCCAGATGATGTTATTTTATATTTTTCAGGATAAGTTTGTAGATTAATGTTATCTATGTTATAGATGTAATCAGGAATATTTAAATTTTAAGTGTTTTTAGCTAAAATGTTAATTGAGTATTCAAATAGATTGTATTTGCTAAATACTTTTAATGGTGCAAATGACCACTGATCAACACTAATATTATAACTGGTAGATGTTTTATCATTTGATTGAGTAACTTATACATTTCCTGTAGGTAATTATAAAGAATTAATACCAAAATTTGAATCAAGAGAAAATATTTGTGCCACTATATCGGTTATTGAAAAACTGAATTTACAATTCAGCTGATATTATGCGAATTTATTTAGTACTACTAAATTTCCTTTTGGATCTAATAAGGTAAAAGTGTGTAGCACATTATTGCCAATGCTAATATTAGGAAGAGAAGGAGTAATTTAAAAAGTGATTCCATTTAGAGGTTATAAGTTAATCGAACATGTTATAGATGCTAGTTATAGTTTATAAGCAGCGTTAAGAGATGCAGTAACAGTAAAAGAACTACTTCCATTTGGTACATTAAAGGATTAACTTTATTCGACTATTTTACTGTTAAAATCAACTTATATTTTTATTTCAGGTTTTTCAAAGCAGTAAACGCCATCCTAACTTTTGAGTTAATTACTATTGCAGTAAGGAATGCATTTATACTCCTATGGACCTGTGTAGAGCATTACAGAACTGCTTGGACAAGAAGTGCATCCGTTATTGTTGTTTACTAGTTGACACATTATACATGCATTGTTCTTAAAAACACCTCCTAAATCAGCAAAATATCCTTTTATCTAAGAGCATTTGCTATTACCAGGTTATATCTACATACATTATGCATTTGCATATTTAAATTTAGGACCTTTATTTTAATTTGGAGGATTATCGGAAGAATCAGGTAAAGTGTATGACAAAGGGTCCTAATAACTGAATGTTATATACATTTCAAAACCAGGTTAGCAAGAAAGGCAAGTTGGATTATCTTTTCCATTATAAAAGCATTAATTGCAACCTGTTGGGCAAAACTAACAATAATTGTTTGGCACATTATCTAAATTTAAACTAATTCCTTCATTTACAATCTTTTAAATATTTAGGTATTAACTTGGGCTACATGACTATAAGGTATTGCAATCAGATAAAATTTTTTATGCCATATTCTAAAGACAGTTCATTTAGCAATTAGGTTCTTTTGTCCAATCAAGAAATGGTAATTTTTAATCACATTATTTTTAACAAAGTACATTTTACTATTACTTTTTTAGAGGAGCAGGACAATTTTCATAGCACTTACCCATCCAATCTTACTATAAATCTGGAAGAGAGATCTAAGAGCCATTTCCATTTTAAGTTTCTATCTAAATTTTATTTGATGTTTGGCATTAACCACATATAGTAGTTTTTCCCTTAATTAGAAATTATGCACGTTTACAAGTTTTAGAAGGCAAGCATGTATTTCCTATTCTAAAAGTATTTTGAGGACAGTTTTTCATCCATAACCCATCAAAACTCACATAATTGTTGACAGGACTATTTGAAATATCTTCATTTTAACAACTGTTATTAATGAGAATGAATTCTTAAGAGCACTAACTGCATTAATTTGATGAATTACATTTTAAACATCCTCTCGCACTATTTAATAATAAACATAATTTTTCTTTAAACATTTTAATTTTACAATAAATAATTACCAAGGTAAGCATTTGTTGATTTATCCTATTTTTTGTTAAAATGTTCCTAAAGGACAATCCTTGACACAAGTTCCATCGTCTACCAAAAAATAATTTTAGGAACACTGTTAGCAAAACTACTAATCAAATATGCATTTTTAACAATTTTAAATTGAACAATTATTGACACAATTTGTTGTAATAACTTAATTTGTCACTACTGATGAATTATAAAAAAATAACTTTTTTACTCTACTATTATCATCATCTTTTGCAGAATCATAGCTTTAATATTAATTTTATGAGGAGCACCTTAGCTGGCACTTACCATTTACTATTTAATAGTTAATTGAGTCGAAACATTGCAAGCATTTATCTCCAAATTAGTTGCATTCCAAACAATTGCTTTCGCATGCTACGCATGTATTTGTTAATTTGTTAGTATATTAACCAGTTGGACAATATACGTAATTTGTTTCTTAAATTAAGGTACATATATAATTCAAAACATTAAGTTACAGAAAATATCCTGAAACACAGCTTGTACATTGCAAGTTATTAGAGGAGTCTAAGTTGCAAGAGTTGCAAAAATTTGGGCACGGTTAGCATAAACCACTGCTATCAATATAATTGTTTGCTTCACATATATAGCACTACCCATTTGCGTTGCATTATATACCTTTAAATTAAAAAAAAAATATTTTGAATTAAATAATGTATTTATAAAAATAAAAAATGAAATTAAAAATTGCTGTGAATAATTCAACCTAAAAATGAATATTTAGAAGTAGTCTCAAACCTAAAAAAAATAAAAAATTAATTTCTTTGTATATAAACATGAATTTATTAATCGTGAATTTTTTTATTTCTTTGATTTGAGATTAAAATTCACCTGAATTACTTCTCACGAATATCCAATAAATATAAGTTAATCAATTTAGACTTTTTTTTCTTTCTTCTAAACTTTGAATTCTCTATTGATGTTTAAATTAATATATTACAATTAGCAGGGCAGCGTGTACAAATCATATTATTAGCATATTAACCAAATTAGCACAACGTATCTACAGGTACACACGATTTACCGTCATCTGATTTTGTAAATCCCTTTATGCAGCTTCCTACTTATGTACTACTTGAACATGAAGCAGCAAATTGTATAGTACATTTAGAGCAAACATTATTGTTATTTATATAACCATTCATGCATTGTTGACAATTTCCTTGCTAGTCGCAGCTTTAGAATAAAAAAAATATTCAGATAAATAAAACTCATTACTCAATCACAAAAATATTTTTATTTAAGTATTGCTAATAAAAAAAATATGAATAAAAGCTTATTCATATATTTAAGTTATTTTTAAAAACCTTCAATAGGATTTTGCTAAGTAATAAACCTTAGTAAAATCTTTCATATTTATTTGTGTGTGTTGTAAATATATAAATAAAAGAATACCTTTTGCAATTAGGATCTTAACAACGAAGGCAAGTCTAAAGATATGGACTAATAGGAGAAGGTATTGCAAAATACCCTTAATTACATTCTGTGCAGTAGTTGTATGATCCAGAAATACAATATTTACAGGAAGCATGGCAATAACTACATACATTTTGAAACTAATTAGCTAAATATTATCCAGGTTGAGTGCATGTGCTTAATTAGCATTTATTACTTATCAATTGATAACCTACTTCACATTAAATGCAAATCAAACTAGTTTAATCATATGTGCAAGCCATGCAGTTAGGATCACCACAATTAAAGCTATAAATTACAGATGAAGACAAGACATCATTTAGATTTATAATTAAAGCGCATATTAAGTAAGATATATTAAAAATAAGTTTCTTCATTTTGATTGTAATGAATTGAATTTATTTTATTATTGAACAGAGATTATTCGAAGAGAAGCTTAGATATGTTATTGCTCAAGAAAAATAGTTCCCTCTTAATAAAAGTAGAATATTTCCTTATTTTATTTTAAATTGATTGTGATAGGACTTCTTATATCTTTAGAAAATATGCTTTTCTTTCTCTTTTCTTTTTATAAATTAAATTGCTGACAAACAAATGATAAAAGAAAAAATAATTAATTGATTAATCTAAAATTCATGTTAATTCTTCAGAGTTTTCGAATTAAATCAAATAAATAAATACATGCAAAAAAGTATCAAAAATTAATTAATTTTTCATAAATGAGGCTCATATTTATTAATATTCCAGCTAATAAAAATTCAGGATTGTATTTCACTAAAAAGTATTCATATTTGAATAATCTAAAACTATCAGTCAGCAACACAAATTAATCAAAATCCTATAAATTAATAAAATTATAAACTCAATTAAATTAAATTTTGAAGTTCATATTTTCTTACTTGTTTCATTGCTTTAATAATTGTCTTAGGTCAAAAAAATATTTTTTTCAATTTCTAACAAATATATTATTAATATTTCTATTTTAATTTTTTCTCATTGAAATAAATGAGCTTTCATTTCAATTTTGTACATTTTAAATATTTAAAGCTTAAATTATTGAATGGTTTTGTTTCATAAATAAAAAATATTTCATCAGATAAATTTTAAAATTTGCTTTTTTTAAATAAAATTAAAATTAATCCAAATAATTTTGAAAATTAATAAAATAAATTTAATAATTTTTGTTAAAATTAACTTTAATTATGTAATTTTGAATAATTAATTATCTATTCTTTGTTTTATTAAAATCGATCAAAAAATTACATGAAAAATTAATTTTCAAAAGTTTAAAATTTAAAAAGGTATTAAAATTTAAATAAAAGTTTAAGAAGATTTTTTTAGATTTAATCAACTTTTTTTATTGACCTTATTTTCATTAAAAATTTATGATTTGAAAAGATTACATCTATATATACAAACATATAAATTAGCATTAGATATTCATTATTTTTATTTATAATATGCTTAATTTTTTACAAATTCTTTATCTTTAAAGATATAAAAGTAAAAGATTAATGTATTGTTATTTAAATTCTTTTGAAATTATTAGAAATGTATTTAAATATTTTATTTTTAATTATTAGTCATTTAGTATAATAATTAATTTTGTCGCCTTTATCTCATTTCTAAGAAACACATAATTACATAATTTAATATTATTCTAAATTATAAGGTAAGTATCTGATAAGTATGATACTTTATTTGATATACTTAAATTACAAAATTTTATTAATCTGACAGATTAATTAACTTTGATAATAAATAAATATTTACATTAATACCAAAAATAAATATTTTTAATGATTAAATATCTTGTTGCTTATTAATTTTAAATTTATATTTCTATAGAGTTATTATTTAAATAAATTTTTATTAGCTAATGGTTTTATTTATGGTCCCTCATACTATCATAAATGGTATTGCTTATTTAATTTGTATAGATAAAATTTATTTAAAATTTTAGTAATAAATAAGAATTAATAAAATCTGCTCTATGAATAATAACCTTTAAAATGATAGAATAAGTTAATATTTTTATTTTTATTTTATCACACTACTATTTTAAATTAGATAGTTATTTATTCATATATTCAATATTTTTGCATTTACACAATCATTTCTATTATTAGATTTTACTTAAAAGTTATTTGTTTATTAGCATCTTTTTTGGTTATTTTTTAATATTTAAAATTTTATTTTTCAAAAAATATAAAAATTTTTTAATGTAAAAATATAAGTGAATACTACATTAAAAAAACTATAATGGTTAATTTTATTCTGATTGATAAAAATAAAAGCAAGCTACTTTAAAATTTAGAAGTTGAATTTAAATAATTTGAGAGCTTTTTATATTTATCAAAATAATTTAACAAGCAATTTGCTTTTCTTTTTCAAATTTAATTAGATTTGATTGCATAATTAACTTCATTAAATAGGATTTTTCTATCTTATCAATAATTATCTTACAAAGATTTAAGATTTACAGTTTTTGTGCTGTAAAAAAAACACTATGATTTAATTGATATTCAGAAATCAATATTTTTTTGTCTAGAAAAAATTTAATAATTTGATTAAATCTATTTGCTATAAAATATAAATTAAATTTAGACTTTTTTGTTTTTAAAATATATTTTTCAGAAAATTTATTTTGATTGATAGATATATTTAAATTATTTAATCCAAATAAAAAATGAATAATTGTTGGTTTATACGTCTAACTAACATGTTAAGCTAATGTAATTTTAAATAAATAAAAATAATATTAATTTTTTATTTTATTTTCATTGTAACCAAAACTCACAAGGTTTTTTCAAATTTTAAATTTGGAAATGTAAAAAATATTAAATGCAAAGTATTAGCTTCTGTTTTTCAAAAATAAATTTCTTACATTGATAAATTTACTAAAAATACTTTTTTTTTGATGAAATAATCAAAAAAATAATTTTTTATAAATATCAAGTATAAAAGCAATCTTAATTTTGTAAATTGTTAAAACATTAAACAATTAACAACATTAACATTGCCTTCCTTCTATTCTTTGATACAGATATTTAATCTCTTCAAAATTAATAAATTGCTTAATTATTATTTTTTTTGAAAAATTTCTGTCAATCAATTTGAAAATAAGCTACTTTTTTAAGAAATAAGAAAAAGAAATAGTATTTATTAAAACAAGTATTTAATGATTAGTTTATGTTTTTTAATCTCATTTTTCTTACTTTTAAAAAAATCCAAGTAAAATGAACAATAAACAAGAGTAATACACATGTATTTTTCTCTTATTATTATATAGACTTATTATAATCTGAAATTTAAAAGGTTTATTATTTGTAGATGAAACCATCTAATTTAAAAAAATCATATCAAATAATCATATTTAATAAATGTCATTCATAGTACAAATTTGAAGAGATATATAATTTTATATATGCTTTTATCATAAAAATAAATTCTATAGAAAGAATAATCTACTTTAGGATGGTAGTATCTAAACAACATTTGCTGTAAAAAAAAAAGATACAATGTAATATAATTAAATTTTTTTGAATAAATAAAAAATTTATCAAAATTTAGAATCTTATTTCAAAGAAATATAAGGAGTAAGCTCACCCTACTCGTATTTTTTATTTTTAATTACTGTTCATAAATTAAAATGGATTCTTGATGATAAAATACTTGTGGGTAATTTCTTATTATTATCTTAAAACTATCCTAACGCAAATAAATGAAATATATTGGAATGTAAGCCAAAATATTCACATATTTTTATTTAGGAAATAATTAAAAAAAAAATAGATTAAATTTGGAGCAAATTTTAATATGAAAAGATATATGGGAAATTTTAATAAAGATTTTTTAAATTAAAAACAAATATATATAATAATACAAATGATTACGAATTAAATAATTGTATCTTTTGTTTATTTTTAGTAGTTTATTTTATTATAGTAAGTAAGTAAGTACGGGTTTACTTAATAGTAAGAAAATGTTGTTAAATATTTTTTTTATTTTATATTTTAGTAAGTTCAGGCTACACATTTTGTAATTTGAGATGTTATTATTAGTTTAGATAAATTATGTACAGAAATGGTTAAGAATTTTTGTTCATTTTTTCGCTTACAATCAATCAATCAATCAATACTGCTTCAGTCTATTACCACTTCACTCAAAACTTTTTCGTAATGGGGTGATATCAGGGGTATTTAATTTTGTAGATCTTTAGCTTTCTGCTAAATTTTGTTCTTCTTGTTGCTCATCAAATTTAATAGATATTTTTGCAATTATTTTGCAAGGGTATTTTTATAGAAGTTCGATAGACTCTTTCATTTGCTAATCTTAATATTCATTTTCGTTTTGTAGAGGTAATAATCTGAATTTCTTATGATTCACATGAATTGGTACTTTTAGGCAAACAATGTCAGTAAAATCATAATCTTCAGGAACAACCTAGAGCTCAAACGTGTTTTTGAACACATTACTTTTGTATGAGTTTTAGGATGAGTAAGGGAGAGTCACCTTTTCAGGTTGATTTTTGTAGACATTTTTAGAATATAAGATATTTGTTTCGTTTAGGTATGTCTTATTATTTATATTAATCACTTACTTATTCACCAATCTTGTTTTGTATTGTATCTTGCTTGCTTAGCTTTCTTAGCTAATTTTACTATCATCATTAATTATAAATGAGAAAGCCTCACCTGGATAAATGTTTATGGTGTTAATATCCAAACAAAAAAAGTTTATGGTTTTTTTTTGGACAGCTTTAGAATTAGCTTCACATTCTTTGTATTTATTTTCACGGGTTCCTTTACAGCATAGAATGCTACCAAGTTTACGGAAGAAGCTTTTTTGTATCTTAGGAATATGTTATGTAATGGTTACTGGAAGACTTTTTTTATTGCTAATATTGCTAATTATTTGTATAGGAATAGATGCAGATGATAATAAAACTTATCCCTCATACTCAATTTAGTCAGAACTGCGAATGAAATTGGTTCCATTTTGAGATGATACTTCTTATATCTTATTAATCATTTTTGCTTAGCTTTATTGTTATTAATCAACAAATTGAACTATTTAGCAGGATATTTAGTATTCAACTTTAACACTGAGTTCATTGTCTAATCTGAAGCATTCACTAGAATCAAAAATATCGGAAATCTCGATATTTAATGGAATTTTATAAATATTAGGAGCCATTTAAGACTTTATTTGATAGACTTCACTACGGACGCTCATTATTATTTCTTCAAATATTATTTGACTACCTTTGTAAATATTTTCTTTGCTTTCAATTACCAAAACAACAGAGCATTAAGTATTAATTGTTTATTTTGCATCAAATAAAATTTCTCCTGTCAAAGTATCATTAATTTTTACTTAAGTATGGTTAAGAGTCAAAAAAAGCTAGCTGTTCTTTGAGTTTGGTAAATCAGATTATAAAGCAGGTGCAGCAGCTATAACAGCAGCAGCAGCACTAGAGTGTTGCAATTGAGTTTTAGACATTTTGCAAATATGAATTAACAATCAAAATTAGTATTCAGTTGTAGTAGTTAGTGTATTTTAGTAATTTAAAAAGAATTTTTTTTTTAATAAATATTAAGTTTTTAATTTTTTTTTAATTTAGTTATTATATTTGAATAAAAAATCTTAATATATAAAGGACAGTCAGAAGAAATAAATGATGTAAATAAATATCTTGCTTTTGTTAGTGAAGATAAGTACTAATTTTAAGATTTCACCAAATTAAATTTTGTTATGTTCCTTGCATTTAAACATATAACATTAATAGTCTAGAGAATTTAGTGGTTGAATTTAATTAAGTTAGTGTGGGGAAAACTTTGTTAATTTATGATAATAATGTGTGTAAATACAAGCAATCATAATGCATATTCCTCTATTTCTGATTATATTCAATAAGATTACTTCATTTTTTAAGCCATAAAAATTAGATGTATCTGTTTACAAATTTTACTTAATTTCCACTAATTTGAAATACATCACTTCTAATTATTATCATATTTCATACAATCATAATCTTTTTAAATTCAAAAACAATTTTTAACAATTATAATAAAATATATGTGGTATATTCAGTCAAGCACTACTTATTTAATTAAAAATTAGTTTTTAAAAAGTTACTCTCGTCTTATCCTCATCTATTCTAAATAAAAATAGTAACAAGATTTTTGTCAATGCTCCTTTCTTTTTATTTAAATACTTAAAATAATAAATGATTCATCTTAATTGCATAAGTGCATGATAAATCATTCAATTTATTTCAAATGCTATTTCTGATCAATTTCTAATCTTTTTGTATCTTTAATGGATTTATTTCTAATTATCATATGGAGAATAATAATTTAAGATCTTAGCCAGCCTGCCTATCCAATTAATTTATTTTGCATATTTAAGAATCAATTAAAAACAATTAGATTGTTTTCTTTTTCCAATATGGAGATATACTTTAATATATTCAGCATCAGCATCTAACGCTAAAATAAATTTATCTAGCTAAAAAAAATTTATAATTTTAATAAGATAAAAACAAACAAAAATTATTGTAAATCAACATTGAAAAATCTATCAAAAAATTTAAAATTTATTAATTTTCGAAAATTGACTTGATAGAATACGATTAAGATTATAAAGCATTACCTACTTTTATTATTATTAATTAATTGCAAGTAAAAAAGATCTTTCTTGTTCTGTTTTATCATATCACCTTCTTTTAAAAATATTATGCCAGTAACTTGGGCTTTTTAGCTGTGGTGTTTTATAAATGAGGTACTAAATATATTTAACTAAAAGTATGACCAAACTAATTAATACTATCAAGATGCAAATATTATTAAATAATATCTATATTTGAAATTGTTATAGCTTGAATAAAGTTTATAATCTTAATAAATAAAATATTAAAAACATGAAAAATAAAAAACTATTTACTCAATTTATCAATATTAAATGCCTGATAACTTTTTTAAACACCTTTTAATAACTAAATTATTATAATAAACATAATTCTAAGCTATTAAGCATAATTATTTAATCTATGTAATAAACCCTTAGGATATTACTTGTAATAATTAAATAGCAATAGTGCTATAAAATATTTGATATTCATTTATGAAGCTTTAAAAATACTTAATATACTTGAAAGCATTTCTTAAAGAACCTAGAACAATAGTTTAATTAGCAACTTAGTACATTTTAAATAAATATTTTGAATCTTAAAATAAATAATTCAAACTAAAAATAGAAATCTTAAAGTATTTTTAATGGTTAAGCAAAATAAATTAAAATACTATACTTTCTTTTTAAAAAATTTCAAAAAAGAAAATTTATTTGCGGAGTCAGTGATATTTTGAGTCTATTTATAAAACAAAACTTGAATTAGATAATTTATGCTAAATCAATCATCATAGCTTCTTTTTTTAAAATTAAGATAATTTATTATAAAAGTGTAATCACTAATAATTTTTTAATTGAAATTTTATTCCATTAAAAAATCAAGAAAAGTTAACAATATTTTACATCAGCAAATTGTTACCAAAATTCTGTAAATTTTTTCAATCATTAGTTTATTTTTTCTCATAAATACTTTTTGTTATTGCCAACCCTATTATCAGGGCCTCATGTTATAAATATTAATTAATTGATCAACTTTTTTATTTATTTGCAAACAAGACTTACTGTATATACTTTACTAGATTATGAAAAGAACTCTAAATGACATGTCATAGCCTCAAATTTTTATTACTTTGAAGTCTAAAATTCATTAGCTTTCTTTTTCACTAAATTTTAATTTAAAAAAAGTTGTAAGTTAAAAAAATGATCAATAAAATCAAAGGTAAATCAAAATAAACGTATTTAAAAATATTTGATTATTATTCTTAAATGAAAATGTAAATCATGGTAATTATAAAGATCTATGATCTATTTATTAGTGTGGATTACATATCATCAATTTAAATAAAATCACATATTTTATAATCTCATTCTATTTATTTAAAATAATGACAAACAAAAAAAAATTTTGATATAATAAATTTTTAAGTCAAAAGTCTTTAAAATATTATAAAAACTTAAGATATAACTAATAACTATTATAAAGATCTATTTAATATAATGCTCTTATATAAAATATTCAATAATTTGATAATTTTATTTCAAAAAATTAAATATTTAAAATATAATATCAACAAATTATCAAAAATATATTTTATATACTTCTAAACACTTTAATGAAAATATTAAAATAAGTATAATACAAAGAAACTCATAAAATAATAAATAAATTGATTAATTATTTAAAACCTTAAAAAAAAAAATCATTTTAAAATATACAAACAAAATATTAAATTATTGTATTTCAAATAAAATATAATAATTTATATATTTATGAAATCCCATTTTAAAGATGTTCTAAATATAAAAATAACGAAAATTATTAAAAAATTATAAAATTTTTTGCAATATAAAATCATAATCAAGTAAATATTATTTATTTATTAAATAGCCAATATTTAAACTATTTTTAGAAAATTAATTTTTATATTTATTAAATAAAAACTATTTAAGGAAATTAATTATTTCATTTATTATAATAATTAATATAAAATTATAATTAAAAAATTATTTTATTTAAAATTAAATAAAAATGAAGAAAAATTAAATTAAGAAAAATGTTTGTATTGATTGAATGAAATATTATTCGTTAAACATAAAAATAAGAAAAGAGAATAAATCATTTATTTAATTTTTATGAAATTACATGCTAGCAGCTTTAAAATGTTGAATTAGATTGATAATAAAATAAGAAATACATGAAATATACAATATGTTAAACATTAGTAAATCTGATTTATATGTCAATAATTTGCATACCAAAATACAATAATTTGAATATGGAATAGTATCAAAAAATTTGAGAATAAAATACGATGGATTTAAGATATTTGGCGCGGATATTATATTTTTTATGGTACAATAATTCAAATAGATTTGAATAAAATAAAAGATTATAAAGATCAAGAATTTTTGATAAATAAATTAATATACAAAATAAATAAATAATCAATAAATAATATAGGATTGAAAAATACAAAAGAATTTATTTATTCAAATTAGCATTATCAAATGGCAGGAAAAGAAGCTACTATTATCCTATTAGATATGGGTAGTTCTATGCAATAGTATTTAGGTGATAGAGGAACTAATGGTTAAAAAAGAATCGAAATAGCCGTTAATTGCATAAAACTCTTATTATAACAAAAAATGTTTAATACAAAGACTCATGAAGTTGGACTTATTTTATTTGGTCTTAAAGATGAAGGTGACGATAAAATTATGTATATCAGAGGTATAGGAAAGCCTGATATTGACTTTTTAAAGAATGTTCAAGATTTGAAAGATTATTAATCTGATGAATGCGAAGGAGGAGATATTTTTGAAGCTATTGAGCAAACAATAGATGTTATTCATGATTACGTTAAAGAAAAAAAATATGAAAAGAAAATTCAATTGATGACAGCAGGATTTGGAAAAACCAGCTACAAGGAAAAATAAATAATGGATTTAATTGAAAAGGCCAGAAAGGTATTTTATTTCATTCATGTTTTGCAAAAAAAAATATTTTTGCTATCACAATCGCATATTGAAGAGCATCTATCTATTTAACTATCATAATTTGAATTTTTTCCCCTTCATTAGAAGCTCTATCCAAACCTCCCCCTTTAGAATTAACTATAATTTTACTCTGATCTTTTTTTTTTTCAAAATTAATAAATTAGCATTTTAAAAGTTTTAAAGTATATTAAACACATTTTTTTTAATTTTTCTAGGAGGGCAAGATTTATTTTTAATTAAGTGTATTAATTGTTTCAAAATATCATTTTTTCATATCAAAAAATTTCAAAAAATAATTATTTATTTTTCATTTATTTAATAATAGAAATATTCAAAAATTTAATATATTTTTAAATATTTAAACAGGTTCAAACTAAAATTAATGTTATTGGTTTTGACTTCTTAAAGAAATATAATCCTGAAGAAAGCAATACTGATGTGTTGAAAAAAGACGATGCTGCATAAAATACCAGATAAAATTTAAATTAAAAGCTATTCTCAGTTGTTAAAGATGAATTAGGTGAACAAATTCAACTTTTCCCTTCAGATGTTGCTATTAAAATTTATGAGCAGTTTAGAACTCGTCAAGTTAATCTTAGATCAAAGTTTAATGGTGATTTGTAGCTTGCTCCTAATCTCAATATAGCAGTGCAAATGTTCACAAAAACTTCAGAGGAAAAACTCCCTGGCTTAAAAATGTATTCATTAGCTGTTGACTTTAATCCTCATTGTGAAAGCGGATAAATCGAGCGTGATGTAATAATGGCACTTTAAGAAGATCCAAACTTGAATCCTATTGATAAATCTAACATAACTAAGGCATATCATTATGGAAAATAACTCATTCCTGTTACTTAAGCTTTGGAGGCTTAAATGAATTATACTTCAAATCGTGAATTGAAGGTTTTAGGTTTTGTAGATTCCAAAAAAGTTCCAAGATAGTCCTTTATGGCTGGTGTAGATATTATTATTGCTAATAAAAATGATTCTGTTGCTAAAAAAGGTATTGCTGCTCTTTGTCATAGTATGATCTAAACCAATAAATATGCTATAGCCCGTTATGTATGGCGTAATAATGGTGCTCCCAAGCTTTGCGTTTTGACTCCATAAATTGGTAAAGACTATGAATGCCTTTACATGTGCTAAATTCCTACTTCTGAAAGTGTCCGCGATTTTTAGTTTAATTCTCTCAAAGAAAGCACAAAAGAATAACAAGATTTAATGGGATCTCTTATAGACAAAATGGATTTAATGAATCTTGAAGATGGCGAAGAAGCATTATAGATGAAATACACTTTTAATCCTACCCGTTAATACTTTTATTAAACTGTTTTCCATCGAGTATTTAATCCTCCCGATGCTGATACTAAAATTCCTCCACTTGATCCTAATATCAGAGACTATATAACTCCTGAAAAGAAGGTTTACCCCAAAGCTGCAGAAGAGTTAAAGAAAATAAAAGAGTCTTTCTAACTTTAAGAGCAAGAAATTAAAGACGAAATTTCAAAGAAAATTTTTTGGTAATAACTCTTTAATCCTAACTATCAAGTACCTGCTGCAAATATTAATGCTCCTCAAGTCTAAATTAAGATGGAAAACGGCTAGATGGAGTCAGAAGATGTAGAACAGTAAGCTTAAATTCTTGTAGATGTAAAAGAAGAATTAGAAAATATTCCTATCTCAAAGAAATTTGCTTTCGACGATTATAACAAAGACGATGTAGTACGCAAGGTTTCATCAGTATCGCCTGTTGATGATTTCTTCAAGATGATGACAAACAAGCGCGAAGATCTCGTTTCTGATGCTATATCACAAATATAAGGTATGATATCTCAGTTAATAGAAACAAGTATCCGTGGCTCTTATTATGAAAAAGCTCTTGAATGTATCAAAGCATTTAGAAAAGGTTGTACTTCAGAATACGAACAGTTAGAAGCACCCAAATTTAATAATTTCCTTAATACTTTCAAAGACAAGTTGTTAAAGTCAGATTAAAAAGGATTTTGGAAAATGCTCATATAATAAGGTATAACTCTAATTACAGATAAAGAAAGCACAAAATCTAATTTTACCACTAAAGAAGCTCTCTAGGTAAACAATATTTTAATTACTTTTAACCAGTTTTGGAATTCGCTCAATATTAATCACACATTTAATTATAAAGTTAAATTGTAAATTTGCTTATTTTTTAATTATTATTTAATATTAAAAGTTTTTGCACTAAGAAGAAGATGTCATTTAAAATATACCTGAAGTAAGAAAATAAATCGAAGATTATGATATCATGGACGAACTAGAATGAAATGACAATCAATTATTTATTATCTCAAATCTTTTTGAATTCTCTAAAAAAACATAGTTTTTTCTTGAATTAAAATTTTTAAAGAATTTGATAATTAATTAAATTTAGTAATTAAAAAGCTGATTACTAAATTTATAAAATCCCCCTCCTTCCAAAAATAATTGTTTAAGAATGTGTGGGAAAAAAAAAAATACATTTCTCAAATAAAATTATCATAATGAAGTTATTATATATAGTTTGTAGTACTACTGTAAATAATATTACATTGTTATATTAAATATATTAATTATACTTTATTTTTTTATTTGATAACTTAAACTTAACTAATTAATTTTGAATTTTCTTAATTTATCATCAAATAATCCAAGAGTACATTTCAACTGTAACCTAATTGTCAGATTTATTATGATGTTTTTTCTATTGTATTTTTAGTTTTTAATCTCATTTTACAAAATTATTTTTTTCAACAAGAAATTATCTGATTGAAGAACTGATAAAATTGAAATATTTTAACTTTAAGATATTTATTTTATGATAAATTTTTAGTGATAATAATGTAAAATTTAAAGAATAAAATAAGATCTGTAAGGAATTTTGCCTATTTGTTTCCGAAATATTTCTTTTTTTCTATTTATTTGTTCTAAGAATATAAATAGAAATTTTTGAACATAAAAGAATACAAAAATACTAATAGTTTTGTTATTAAATTGTAAGAAATAAAAATTCCATTAAAAAGTGCTAACGTATAAGTTAAAACGAATGCAACAAATTATTTAATTATAAAGTAGAGATAACAAATTATAATGTTTATTGTTTAAAAAATGAATTTTAAAATAATTTTGTATTATTTTTTGAATTTGATCGACAAATAAATATCATGGTCTAATTATTATGATTATTGATTTCTTTTTTATAAATATAATTCTGCACGATAAAAACAAAAACATCTAATTATGATAAATATGTGTGTGGATGGATAGACGTAGTGGAATTATTAGAAATTTAATTAATAGAAAGAAAATTAATCTATTTCAATAAATGTACTTAATCTGCATTTATTTAAAATGAGCTTATTTAGAAAATTTTTGATTTTAGATGCAAATTACTCAAAATAGTTCTAACAATTTCTTTCTTTTCTTTATTAAGCTTCTTAACAAAAACTCTAATTTTTAATAGGAATTTTTTATTTTTTTCTTGTAGATCAATTTTTGTTTTATTCTTGCTTATCTTTTTTAGAAGCTTTTTTTGAATATTATTATTATTATTATTATTATTATTATTATTATTTATAGGTTTGTTGTATGATATGTATGTATGATAAATGTTATAGATAAGTAAGCGAGTGAGTTATTGAGTTTGTTGATATAGGATAATTATACTTATTAATAAGAATACTTAATGAATGTATAATTCACATCCTTAATCATGGAGAAGAAGATGAGCAAGTAGATGAGGAATTTTTAGATAGCTCATCAAATTTATCTGGATAGAAACGCTATATAAATATTTCGGAATGCATATCATACTCAAAATTCTCTATTGCGTTATCTATTGTACAATGCACTCTTCTAGTTTCTTTGATGTATTAAATAATATTTGGATTGATAGAAAATCTCATAATCTCTACTATGTCTCCGTCGTAATATTTTCCTGGCAAAATTTCAACTTAGTTAAGCAAGTAGCAAGTATATTTACCTTTCACTGGTACATTAAAACCATCAAAAGTCACAAAAGTTGATTCAAAAGTATCACGCTTTTCAAAAAGTGCAAGACTGAAATCCAAGAAACCTCTCGCATCTAAGTAAGTAGGGAAACCCTTCTTCTTCATATAGAGATTTGTCAGATTTTAATCATTATCACCACCAAATAATTCAGAAAGATTAGGATTGTGGCCAACATAAAGCAATTTATGAGAAAGAGAATTTAAATCGAATTTCTTATAGTGGAAATAAAAATATTCTTCACGTGATGCAGTATGCAGCATTTACTCGAATAGCTTTTATGACTCAAGATGTGCTTAATATATCTAGGCTTAAATGTGATTATAATCTCTATAATACTCTGAAATTTCTTTGCGTAGCTGCTATCTTTATTTAATTACATTTATAAACTAATTTAAAGCATCGTGAGTTCTTTTTGCGAATGAACTTTATAATTTTATGAGCATTTCGCAAGGACTTTCAACATCTTCTTAATGAGGATGAGAACTATCCAACAAGCCTATGCAAGCATCTTTAGATTTTTAGACTTAAGTAATTGGGCGAAATTGCATCAAGGGACAACAATTTGCATCTACTAAATTTATAATTGAACCCTTTTCATAAAGGTATTAGTTGATAATAATATCATCAGGAAGCAAGAAGCTGACTCTGTTTGGCAGATCGTAGCCTCTAGGATTCAAGTTTACCACAAAGTTGTATTTGACGTGCTTTTAATCTTCATCAGAAGTGCTATCACATGTAGTAATTGTAGAATTGCTACCTGAGGTGTGTACAATCTTTTTTTATTTACGAGGAGCTTTGGTTTTGACTATAATTTTTCTTTCTATCTCCATTTTTTCGTAATAATGTCTTATTGTTAAACTTTGGTTAGTATATGTAGATATGATGATAATTTGTGGATAATATAATTGAATGATTAGATTTTTAATTTATCTTGTTTATTTTTTCTTAAAAAATTATAGATATTTTTTTACAAAAATTGATTATCTAAAAATTAATTAATGAATGAATTATAAATAGTTCATGTTATTATCTAATTGTTTGTTTGATTAACCTTTTCTTTAATCAATCGCCTTAAAATTTATTATTGTGACAATAATAAATACTACCTACAATTTTTTCAAACTCAAAGAACGACTAGCAACAAAAATTCTTTAATCTATTAATTCGAAATCAATATAAGAAATAAACCTTTCGACTAAGCATCAAAAAATTAGTTAAAACTCATTACTAATTTTACTGATAAACAAAGTCTGTGTTAATTTCACGTAATTTTTATTAAAAATTTATTCTTTTAGTAAATTTAATTTTACTATTCATGATAAAAAGCAAACACATACTCACACACTACAAATAAATTTAAAGAAACAAGCAAAAACAAACGAGCCAATGAAGTAACAAATAAATCAATCAATAATATAATAAAAGCTAAAATTTACTGAATTCATAACTAATTCATTATTAATCAATTTTATACAGATTTCACTTTCTATATACAATATCATAATGACCAGGGCGATATAGGAGAGTCACAAATACTTTGCTTTCATCTGTTCCTTCAGGAAGGATGATGATATCTGGGTTTACTTTGTTAATATTAGAGTCTAAGTATATAATCTTAATAGGTACATTCAGATAACTTATCAATGCCATTATTGGTATCTATTAGTTTTTAAAAATTACCAATTAAATTATTTTTATTCTTTTATAAAATATCAATTATTCAAGTCAAAAAATATTTTTTATTTTTCTACATAAACTATTTTTTCACATATAATTTAAATTAAACCTTAAAATCAAAATAAATTCCATTTTCACCTATTTCGTTCTTTTAAAGTTCTTTTTAAGAAAGACCTGTTTTAAAAATAAAAAACAAATAAATTTTACCTGATCAGCTTCTTTGTCAATTGGATCAACTTCACAAGCACAGAACTTTTCAATTGTCATACCATTATCAATGTAGTTCTCAAAAAGAGCAGCATTCATTTTTAAATATCCAGAGGTCATAAATCTAAGATACATAACAAGTGAATCAGAAATGTATTTCTCAATGAAGATTGACATTCTATTTTTAAAATTAATCAAAAATTAACTATAAAGCATAGCAAATCATGTATCTTAGAGAAATTAAAATGTTCAATTAAATTTTGATTTCAATTTTTTTTTTGTTGCTTAAAAATATATTATATATGTTAGTTGTCTATTTATTTTTTAAGCAAAACCATCTTTTATTTAAGTTAGATAATTTATTTTTTTTTAAAAAAGAATATAATTTATACAGTTCATTATGACTAAATTCAGGTTTTGTTAGTAATTCTAATTTTTCTATCATAGGATCATAAAAATCGTCTAAAACCATTTCTTCATATCCGACCTTTTTTAAGTCTTCTTTAGACTACTTAATAATTTCTATTATTTTGTTTTATAAGTCAGTATCTTTAAAGCTAACAATGTGCTCAAAAATCTAAAATAGGTAGGAACGGTAAAAGCAGCTTCCATCTCTTCTTACTCTCCTAACTTGAGGGTATGTATCTTTTAATATCTAAAAGAAATTTTAATAAATTGTTTTAATTTATTTGAATTTATATTTTGTAATTCAATTTTTAAAATGTGCTCATTTAGATTATAGCTCTAGCTTATTTGAGAGCTTCAGATGCTATATAAAGAAGCATTAAAAGAATAAGGCTTTTAGAATAAATTCAAAAAGCAAAATTTTACGAATATTTTTTATAAGAAAGCCATGTTATTCTCAAATTCTTTTTCAAGAACATCTAAAGACTAAAGATCGCCAATCAAAGGTGAGTCTCCTTCAGCTTCTTTTTTAATAAATTCTAATTACTGTTTATACAGCTCTTAATCAATAACAATATCTTCATGATGTTAATTAGCTGAAGAATTATCACCGCTATTATGCTATTAACTTTATTAGTTTTACTATGAATCCATAGGCTTAAAATTTAAGTTTATTTTGCTTAAAGAATTTTATAAAGATTTATGATTTTATGAACCTATTCTGATCTAATGAATAATATTAATAAATAATTTCTAAGTTGCTCTTTACTTAAATAATTCAATTCTATAGAACTTTATTTGTATTTAATAAATGATATGCGTTTCTAAATAACTCAATATTCTTATTTATTATCATATTGACCAATTATTTATTTATTTTAATATTTAATATATTTTAAAAATTATAAAGAGTTTTAAATAGCATTATTAATTTCCCCTAATTTTATAAGATTAAAATGGGTTATTCTATTTTATTTTTTTTATTAGTATTTATTAATTATAATAAATAATTAAAAATATTAAAGATAGATATTAATTTGTTAAAAACATATCAAAATTTTTTGATACATTTATTAATTAAAATTTACGCGTGTCATAATATTACATTTTTTTTAAGTAAGTATTAGATTGTTTACAAAAAATAGATAAATGGAAGCACTGATAAAAAATATATAAAGCGCTTAGGTTAGTTATTAAATACTAGGAGATGATTCATAGATTTTGTAGATTATTCTTGGCTAAAATTGTTAAATAATCTGCCAAACTGATTCTATTCTAACTATGAGCTCTGAAATAAAGATGGATAAATATAGATAAATTAAAAACAAAAACAATGGAATTTTTTCCAGATTTTGGTAAATTATTACAATTAAAAAACAAATATAGATATATAAAATAATTTCTGATCACATTATTAAAATTAAAGAAAGAAATGCAATTATTATTAAGAAATTTTGAAAACTTTAAATATCTAGGAATTATCTAACAGAATTGTGCGAATTGAGCTAAAATGCATATTATAAACTTAGTAACCCAACAAATTAAATTCTACATTTAGAGCTATAAAAAAGGTTAGGTAAATAAAACAAATATTTTATTTAGGTTTGCAATTTTTTATTAGCAACATTATAAAATTATTAGGGAAAGTTCTGGTTTTAAATGGTTAGTTATTTAGCAACTTGATTGTAAAAAAGAGATCGCTTTTGGCAATATCTAGTTTTGATGATATTGATTTAAAATGTCTTGAGTTTGAGTATTATAATTTAATTATTTTAAACTTATAAATTCCCTCATTATTTTTTAAATTAAAAAAATTTTTCAGAATTATGAAGAAAATATTTAATAGGGGTTAGTAGCGTTCAATTAACAATATTATTTTTTTTTAATTTGAAAATAAAGAGGAATCATTTTAAAATATTTTTGAATAATATTTAATTATTAATTAATTAACTCTAAAAGTATAAAAACAATAAAAAATAATGGAAATTATATATCAAAGCAGCAATGGCTATAAATTAAAAATCCTGATCTATACTTTTTTGTTTAATCAAACAGTAAAATTCTAAATATTAATAAAGGTTTGCTCTTATATTTATTTATATTCTAAAAGGAGCAATTTTAGAAAAGGAGTTAGGTGAAGATGAAAAAATAATTATCAAATAAATTTGTCTTATTGCTTTTTCGTATACATGTAAATTTAGCTACGTATAGAAGGATAAATCTGGATACTTTGGAAATCTACCATCTGATCAAATAATTCAAATATCAGGTCCAGGCATAGTATTTGTTTCAAATGATTAAATATCTCATAGATTTCCTCATTATAATCATAATACAATTTACCCAAATTTGAACGATATTGATTGAATGATGTAAAACATAAAGAGCCTAAAATTAATATTTATAAAAAAACTTCTCAATTTAAAAAAATGGATGCATGTATAAAGACTTAAATAATATGATTAATAATTATATAGTATTTATCCATATAAATAAATCTAGCTTTGTTTATGAAATTTTAGTTAGATTTATTTCTATTGTTTCAGAGTAGCTTTTTTACAATTAAAGAATAAATATAAAATATATTCTCTAAAAAAAATAAATTTCTTTAAAATAACATTCAATTACGATATTAAAATTGTTAACTTAAAAAATTAAAGATATCATTCTTACTGATATTATTAATTTTATCATTAAATAACTAAGAAATAAATTAATTATTTAGATTAATTTATGGTTTAGTAAATAAATAAAAAGTTTAAACTTCAAATTTTTAATCAAAAACTTTTTATTAGAACGAAAATATAAAAAATAAAAAATTCAATTTGAAAAAATGAAGAAATTAGAGATACGTAATTATCTAGGATATGTAATTAATTATTTATTTGTAAATCTATCCAAGAGGTATATATTACCTAAAAAGATTTATGTATATTTTAGATAAAAATTAAATTAAATTAGGTAATAAATATTAAAAAGGATTAAATTTTAGAATCTAAATAAAAAGGAACTAAAAAATTATATTGTGAGAATAAAAATTTATCACCTAATTTTATGTGTGAAAAGAAAGAAAATATATTTTTAGATTTTATTATGGCTAAATATCAAAACTTTCTAATATCTGTAAAGTAAAAATGCAAAATAAATTAAGTATCTTTTATAATAATTTATTTTATTTTATATGAGAAAATAAATAAGAGAAATATAAAAATATCTATTTATTTATTTACTCATTTATTCATTTATAATGCCTCTTCTAAAATCTGTTTAACAATTTGATTTAGAAAAATTAAGAATCTTTTTATGGATTTTTATCAATCCAAATTATTTAGAATTTAATAATTTTTTAGTTGGTTGAGAGGAATTTTGATTATATAAATTTTAGATTAATTAAAAAGACTTAATAACTTTAAAATTTCATTAAAATGAGAATTTAGCTAAATTATTAAGTTTTCTTACTTTTCCATACTAGCTTTAGCAAGATGAAATAAATCATTTGCACCGCAATTCTAGCATTTACTTGCTTCTAATTAATTGAAGCCTAATGTCCATAGGCAAATCCTGCCCCTAACGATGATTCTTGCTGTTTAAATAATAATCCTTAAAAGTTGGATTCAATTTACATTTCAAAACTTGCTGACGGAAGTTGTAGTTAGAGTGATTCAGGTCCAAATATAATCAGATGCTATACTTAAACTTACTGCTTATTGAGTTCAACAAATAATAAGTGTATAAACTTGATGACTAGTACTTAATATACGGGTTTTAATACAGATGATAGTACATGCATTGATAACAGCATAAAAAAAGATTAAAGTAAAATCTAATGTAGCTATAAAAACAATCCAAATTCGCCAACATGCTTACTAGTAGATGCTAGTTAAGGATCATGTTATTTTCTAGATATTAAAAGTTCTGCTAACTAATACAGGCTGAATAATGGATTTTGTGGAGGAAATACTTCTTCACCCGATATAGGTAAATATCAAAAACTTTATTATCTATAAATTATTTATTAAATAAAGCTTTGTGTTCTCCTGGGTATGTATGCTTAGATAGTACGGATAGTATGAATAAAAAATGCTTAGAATTTTAGAAAGTGAGATGGTCCTCATCACCATATATCAATAGCATTATGGGAACTTCTAGTGTAGGTATATAACTTCTTTTTTAATATCAACTTATTTATATGTCATTTATATATTTTAAAAGATGGCACATGTATAATTTCAGCTTCGGCACAAAATCCTTCATAAACAACACTAGCAATTGTATGCGCATATGATTTTTGTTTGACTCCTTAGGGGTAGTGCGTTTAATTGAATACAATTAGATATATAGGAAGGGAATAAAATACAAGTAATTGCATAGAAATTGGGACTAATGGTAAGACTGCAGATTCTTGTTCAAAGGGGTACTTAGACATTTATTTCATTTATATAATATTTTTAAAAGAACTATTTTATTTAAATTAATTTTTCTTATACTTGTAATTTATTTATTTTGAATTATACCAAATAATTTATCTTATTTACAGCTATTGCCTATTTTAATCAAATTGTTATCAAATTACAATTACAAACCAGCTAAATTTAAAATTGGATCCTACCTCCTCAAATCCAAATGAAGATGTCTTAGTAATTGGTAAAATTATCTTTTAATTATAAAAATGAAGTTTAAAATAATTCAAAAAAAAAAATAGGCTCTGGATTATAAGGCGATGATTTTAATAGATGTATATTTTAGAAAATTGACCTTAATAAACTATCAAACCCATAGAATAATATCTAAACTCCTGGTTACTTCGGTGCCATATATCCAGATATTTATGCTGTAATCTTTTTTTAAATAATTTTCACTATTAATTGCATATAATATTTTAGGAGCAATGCGATTACAATAATTATTGTTTGTAGTGTGATTTGTTTCCTGTCAAATGCAAATGTAAACTTATTGGAGATAACATGTGTAAGGATGCAAATAACTAATGTACAAGTAATGATAATAGCTCTTGTGTTTCTTGTAGATATGATTAATGCATATAAAATACTGGTAAATGTTAAACATTAAATAGTTCTCCCACTCCATATTGTTAAGCAAACTAAAGTATGATTGATTAAGAAAGTATTTTAAATATAAAATTAATTACTTTTAAACAAATAGGTAAGTGTAATTCTGTATAGGATCCTACTTGCATTTCCTGCCCGGCTGGATACTGCTTTGATAGTACATAAACATCAGCAAGTAAAATTAATTGACATTTAATATTTTACAAAAATATTGAATATATGAAAAACTTTGAGCAATCTATGTTTAAATCTTAAAATCAAATAAAACTTTTAATAGCAAAATTCAATCTTCTTTTAATTTATTTTTAGTGATACATGATCTATCAAGTTTCCCTAATAAAAAGTTTTTATATATCTAATCGCTCTAAAAAATAATAATTTTAATCAAATAAAAAATATTTACCAAATAACCTATAAAAGGGTTTTCATAATCAAAATTTTTATTTTCAAGAAAAAAAATTTTTATTTTTATTTTGATAAAATAATTATTTAAACTTAAAAAATAAAATTTGGTTGAAGTCTCATATATAAAATATTAATTAATAGCTTGTTTTTTAATCTATAAATAAATAAAATTTTTATTTATTTTTAAAAAAAAATTAGAATGTATAGAAATGAGTAGTGTACAAATTCAAAATAACTAATGTCTTATTAATAGATACGGATTTGTTGCTTGCCAATATTTAGATATGAATGCAAGAAAATAACAATAACCTGAATAGAATTTGTTTTGTGCTGACAATAATAATGCTTGTTAGTTAATCTATACTGATAGTGATCCGAAAAAACCAAATAGTTCGTGTTTAAGATGTCCTGATTCCTATAAAAATCCTGGTAATAAAATTTGCTATAAAGATAATACAAGTAGCACTTCAACAGGAGGGTCAACAGGTAATATTTTTGGGCTTAATTTAAAAGAAGAAATAAAATACTATGACATTAATTCAAATTACCTTTACACCAGCAATAAAAAGTAAATTAAAAATTTTGTATTTAACTTAGTAAAATATTTAAACTTTTTTTTTGTTAGTAATAATTGCTTTTATGAAGATGCTCATGGAACTTGTTTATAGTGCATATAGAATTATTTTTTGAGATAAATTAATGGACAAATAAAATGCATTTAATGCCCTACTACTACTACTATTGGCACTGACATGATTTAACAAGACGTTATCAACTATTACGATAAAATTTATTTAAGCGATTATTAGTCTCTATTTTAATATTAAAAACCTACCACCACTTCTTCTTCAGTTTAGTGTTATGATTGCATTATGAATATATAAGAATGGTAAATTCACTTTTTAAAAAAATAACCTTCAAATTTTTTTGATAATATAGGGCACCTTCTTAACATTCTTAATATTTGAATTGCTAACAATTCATTTTTTCTTATCAACAATTGGCTCAAACAACTATTGCTATGAGCTATCTTAAAAGTTTTAATATAGATTCTACACAATAACTACAGGTTTTTTAACCAGATAGTTCACAATAAATAAAAATAAAAAATTGTAAAACTATAAAAGTAAAAAGTGATGGAACTCCTATTTGCTAGGTATGTGATAATACATTTACTTTTGATTATAAAAATGAATAATGTTTTCAATGCAATCCAAATTGCTTGAACTGTTATTATGGTGGATTATATGAGGGATAAATGGTAAATTGGTCATCTCCTCCAGATAATTTAAAAAATATTGATTTTAAGAGCTTGAGTGGTAACTAGTATTAACTATTATGTAGTGCTTGCTTAAAATCTGTGGGATATACACTTATGAAAGACTTTACTGATTGCGAATAATGCGCTACTAAATGTGACTATTGTTACTGGGGTAAAATTATTTTAATTATATTTTTGAGTTTATCAAACAAAATTAAATTAGTTTGTGTATTAATTTTAAAATTTAAATATCCATTAAAATAATATTATATACTGAAATCATGCTACATTCTTACAAGTAAAACTTTTTAAAATAATTGCAATTAAAATTATCTAAAAAGTTTGATTTCAGTATCTTTTTATAATTATCTAAGCTGAAAAAAGCTACTTTTTACAGTACCTTTAGATCAAATACTAACTAAATATATTATAAATCTTTAAAAATAAATAAAAGACTAAGTGAATTTTGCTTTTAAAATAAAATTATAAACAAATAGGAAATACTTCTTTCAACTTAACTAGTAAGAATACCATTTATTCTGCCGACTATCTCAAAGATTTAGATCTTAAAAAAAAATGTGTATAGTGCTCACCTGGATTTGTATTTGATAAAACCTTCTCTCAAAGTTGATTGTATTTTTAAATGTGTTAAAGTAATTAAATTTTAAATAAAAATAGGTTAAAGTTCAATTGAAGGTTAAGCTTGCGTTGCTTAACTTTATAATTGTCAACAGTCTGCATTTTTAAATAAAACAGGTTTTCCTTTAACGATTAATCCATGGTTTAATGAAACCTAAGTAGATTAATCAAAAGGCTTGTAATGTCTTCTATGTTAATATAAGTCAGGGTCTTAAATTTAATTATAAAATAATTAATGCTAACCATTATCTTCTAGTTCTACACCTTTATCTTGCTAAGTCCTCAATAGTAACAACTAATGTTAATTGTGCAATACCTAGAGTTATTTAAAGTTATCAAATAATCAATGTACTGATGGTTAATGCAGTACCTTAGTAAATACTCTTTACATGAAAATATTCTTATATAAATTTTAACATTAAATTAGGTTTATGATTGTTAGAGGTGCTATTAGTATTAGGATAGTAGTACGAGTGCGTCAGGTTCAAGTAATCCTGTTGATATATATTAATGTTTAGAATGTTCAACTCCTGGTAAGGTTCCCTCTATAAATGGTTGCGTAGATTGTCCTATTGGATGTAGTAGCTGCTATGAAGGTAAAATTATCACTTTTATTTGATATTAAAAGAGAGAAAATTAAAATTTAAGGGGAAAAAAATTTAAATTCTTATATTTTATAATATTTAAAAAATAAGGTAATTCTTAGTTAAATTTTACTGCATAATTGCTCTATATTAGACCCTAATTGACTCTTTAGTAGAGATTATTTTACTAATCACAATTTGATACTAAATTTATATGCACTTCATGTCAAAATGGTTATGTATTGGATGTGGTTGAACAAACTTGTGTTTACAAAGATTGTGGGCCAAATTGTGCTAAATGTGATTATACAGGCCCTATACCACAGTGCTAAGTTTGCAATATCACAAATTTGATTTAGCCTATCTAAAATTTAATAGGAAATATAGGCTAATTCTATTTTCAATCATCTAATTTTGATTATAGTCTTTTTGCCTCATTTACAAGCGATAAAACTGATTGCTAATTATGCCCTATATGGTAATTAATTAATTATCTACTTTAAAAAACTAAATTTTTAATATTATTATTTTTTTTGTTTACAATAAAAAGGTGTACAAGTTGTGATCCAATTACTATAGGTAGCGATCCTTTTAATTTATATAACTCTTAATGTCATGGTTGCAAATCTGATGATAAAGTTCTTTAATCAGTCAAATTAGTTGATCCCACCAAAGAGAGTGTTACAATGACTTTTGATAGAAGTAGAGGAAGATGCTATTTTTGCAAAAATATTTAAACTACTAATAATCCTAGTAATGGATGCCATTATTATTAAGATATAAAAATTGATTTATTTTGTGGTTCAATATCAGAACCTATATAACAAGGTACATCATATAATTTAGCTAGGGGAAATGAAATCAATTGGGATAGTGTTATCCTTGGTATGAGTGATTTAAATTCTGCTTATGTTTAATACAATGAGCTTTCAGTAAGAGAAATAATTGTAACATTTAATATTCTTGCAAAAGATCCAGCTTCACTTAATATTTGCACATTAAACTCTAAAATAACAATATCATCATAAATAGCAAATGAAATCAAGTCATTATAAGTATATAAGCTTATTATTTAAGGAGACCTTACAAATAATCCACCTCCAAATTAAATATTACTTAAATTGAATGGTTTACTTATTTTTGAAGGATTCTAATAGATTTAAATGTAAAATTTCAATGTATAAGCTACAAATGAAGACTCTGTAAAGTAGTATGGGTTATCATTTTCATCTACTAATATATCTATGGCTTTATTTTAAAATATGTCATTTACAAGAAGTAAATAAATATTTTACATAAACAAATATTTTAAAAATTTTTAAAGCTAAACTAGGTACAATAAGCAGTGCCTTAAATATCATATTTAATAATTTATATTAAAAATTGAATTTTACCAATGTCGATTTTGATTACATTTACATGGTAAAACAGAATTTGATTTAAACTACATACGACATTTAATAAACCATAAATGGAGCAATTAACATTCAGTTAAATAAGGTGACATTCAATAATGTAAAAAAATTTATTATTATCAACTCAACATTTTAATAGGGTATTTTTATTTATTGAATAAATAAATAAATAATAAATAGAATTATTTAATATATATTCATTTTAATTTATTAAAAAAAAATAAAATTTATTTCCTACCTTACTATTTTGTTAATTAGTTAATTTTTAACTATAAAAACTTAAAAAATAGGCTTATTTAGATTCATGTAACTTCCTTTCAATTTAAGTTGCTTAGACTAACATAAATATGATTGATGTAAATTTAATAAGTTCTGAACTACATAATGGCGCTTAATTACTTTAATATAATATGGCATCTTCCACTTCTACTGTAGGTATTATTATGTAAAATTTTATTATGCAAAATGTTACCATAACGAGTAGTTCTTATATTTTCTAAATGAGTTAACTTTCTTCTTGGTATGCTAATAAAATAAAAATTACGGGTTCAACATTTTAGGACACTAGTTATAATGCAGCTGTTTTTGTAGCAAATGGTGCAAATATCAATAACTTATAAATTAGCAATACTGTTTTTACAAACTATTGTTTCTTAATGACTCCATCAGTTATTTCAAGTAACAACCTTTACAATTCTGCAAACTTATTTATGATATACAATGTGATCTTTAACTAAAATAAAATCAATGTTCCTGGAACAATATTAATTAATCTACAAGGCTATTCAGTTAGTTAATATAACATTGAATTAAAATCCTTCAATATAGCAAGTAACACATTCAGCTTAGAACCAGATGGTTAGAATTTGATTTCAATAAATACTTTTAATACTGTAGAATTAAATCATATTTTTGTTCAAGACTATTAAAATACTGATTCTTTAATTGTTAACTCTGTTCAGCAAACAACATTTAATGACATTAACTGTTTTGGTACAACATATGATAAATATGTAAATTCATGCATATAATTAACAGATTTCCACAGTACAGCAATTTTTAAAAGTATTACTTTGTCTAATTTTAAGTCTTAATCCTCATAGATTAGCATTTAAATGCAGATTGATGTTTCTTCTGCTTAAAATACAGGTGTTTAGTTTAATAATATTACTATGTCAAAAGTCTTTTTATACTAAGATTTAGCTTTTGAAAATTTAGCTGGCTTGTATTACTACAGCACATCTTCAGTCTCAATTTATATGAGTTAAATAAATATTACCAACAATACTTTAGATGCTCAAGGAAAGGTAATTAATTTATTTATTAAATATATTTAAAATTTATAAGGATTTTATTAAAATTAATTTACTTTTTAAAGAAAATATACGGCGAGTCTTCTAGTGGAATTTTCATAGATTCATTCCTTTCATCTGTCACATTAGCTAACAGTACCTTCTCTTAAAATACAGCTTTGCAAAGCAAGAATAGTTTGTCTATTTTGTCAATGAATGTCTCTGTATACAATGTTATTTTCTCAGACGGAAATAAGTATATATCTGACAATGATATCCTCAATGAAATTTAGGGAGGATTATTTTATGTAAAATCAAGCTATTTGATAGTTAAGGAGTGTACTTTTTAAAATAGCAAAGCTCAATCTGGTGCTCTTTACTGGTAAGCCCTAGGTAACGCTACAGCAGGTATATTAGATAGCATATTCTAAAATAATACTGCAAGTTTCAGCAGTCTCAAGAGCTAGGGAGGTGCTTTTTACATTGAAACACAGTTTACAGATTAAATAACTTTAGATATAAAAAATAATTAATTCATTAATAATTATGCTATTTATGATGGTGCAGCTATTTTTATATAGAACTTTAAAAAGAAGGCCTATATAAAAATGGTATTTAACACATTTATTGATAATTTCTCTTCAAATGGTGCCTGTTTAGATGCATTGCTACATGAAAATAGTATGAGTGAAATAGATATTTCTATGAATCATTTTTCATTTTAACCTTAAAACAGTATTACAATTTCATATATAAACAGCCAACTTGAAGCTAGTGACAGACTTTAGAATGGATTTATTGCGCTTCAAGGTTTTAACAGAACTCGTTTAGAGTAAAATGAATTTTACATAGATGTTTTCCCAAGAGATTATGATTTTGTTCTTAGCTCTTAGGATATTTAGTAAGTAGTTTTCTAATCGTGGATTCTTTTGATGAAATCATAGTATCTATTAGATTTAGCAAGTAAATTCACTTCCTCCACTATAGGTTAGCCTCTCATAGTAACTTAACAGCTTACGTAGATTTAGCTGATAAATACAGTTATCCAAAATTTAAATTCTTTTTATGATAAATTTGCTTTAATTTCTTAAGGGAAATAATTGATGACTTCATCAAGCCTTATTCGTATATCAGCCCTTGGTGCGGAATTCATCGGATTACAATCTTAAAATTTAGTTTGCACTCAATGCAATCTAGGTAACATTTATGTTGAAAGTTCTATCCTCAACATAAGATCCTCACTATTCTAGCAAAGCTAAGCAAATTAAGGTGCAGGCTTGTATTTAGCAAAAATACTTGGAAGTACAAATTATTAAAGCATTTCTTAAAATATTAAATCATCAAATTTCTATGATGTTTCAAGACTACTTAAAACTGGTAACGATAAAAATTCTAAAAGACAGCTAGATTCACCACCAATAGATCCAAATACAGGTTAAAGAAAAATAGAATAGTGCTAATTCCTATATAACAAAGCGACCAATGGAGGTGCAATTTTTATAGATACAGCATAAATAGATATTATCAATACTGAATTCCTTCAAAATTCAGCATCTAAATTTGGAGGAGCTATTTACTATAACTTGTAGCCAAACTAACCTGTTAATCAAAACTAATTCTTGGTTTATTCATCTTAATTTGTTCGAAATTCAGCTAATGTTGGTGGAGCTATCTACTCTAATGGAAATATTATAAAGACAGATGATAAAACCCCTGAAAATTAAAATACTTATATCTAGAACATTGGTAAACAATTCGGTTCAGACAAAATTTAAAATCCTACAGGATTTTAGATTCTGAGCAATAACACTATTCACAAAGGAAACTTTACTTTGAAGCTTCATAATAGTGGTCCAATTTAAGTAAAAAAATAATTTTATTATTATTAAATTTAAAAAATTAAATTATATATTAATAGGATGAGATTCTTGTGTAATTTATAAATGAAGCAGGTGAAGTATACAGCTAAGTAGATCCTACTAGCTAAATATAGTTAAATTTATAGCTGATTTAGTCTTAGCAATAGCAAAGTATGGGTATAGTTAATCCAAACTCGCTTTAATTTACAAATAATTTCTTTAACTTGACTTCAGCTGTTTCGGTCATAGGTAAGTTTGAATAGAACTTGCAAATATAATTGAGTTCTCCTTACATTCTGATTCCATCTTATGACAAAACAACTGGAAATGTCACTGAATATTCTTCGTCTTACATATTTTATTTGAATGTGAATATTCGTTCTTGCTTGGCTGGAGAAGAATAATAAGTTATTGAAGAGAAATTTGACACTTGTGTGCCTTGTATAAGTCCAACTTATAACCTACAACCAAATGATTAATGTAAAAAATGTCCTTTAGCAGATGCAGTATGCGAAGGAAAAACAATATTGTTGCCACCAGGATATTGGAGATTTAATTCATCTTCAGATGAAATTTTGGAATGTATAAATCTGGTAGAAAACTGTGTAGGCGATATAAATAGGACAGATCCTTCTGGAATTGTAAGATCTTACTAAAATCAGTATTGCTTCGAAGGTATTTTAATTATATTAAATAAAGAATTATTTATTTCTGAATGCTAAATTATTAATATTTAAAAACTTAAGGGCATGTCGGATTAAGATGTGAGGACTGTGATATATTAGGAAAAGAATGGAATAAGAGTTATTCTAAGGCTGGTAAATTTAAATGTTCCGAGTAAATAAATTAACATAAATTAATATAACTTCAATTAATTATTTTTTTTCTGTAATAAAGTTGTACTCAAGTAAGCGGAAACATCTTAAAATTGATAGCTATACAATTTGGGACAATCATTTTAACTGGCTTTTTTGTGAAATCAACAATAGATTTGATTTAAAAGAAGATTTTGCAAAAGATTATTCCTACAAGCAGAAAACAATAGTAGTAGGGAGAATCAGGTATTTACATCAAGATTTTCATGAATTATATCTAAATTATCTAGACCTTATTTACTTTCAACTTGAAAATTCCTGACGCTTTCTCTTCTATTTTTCAATATTCTGCTAGTCCTGTAGAAAACTCAATGATGGCTCAGGACTGCTTCTTAGTTTAAATTATTGGTACATTCATGAATAAAGAAAATATGCTTTATTTCCGTATCATAATAGGATAGATGTAAGTCATTTTAACATTCTTCCTTTTTTATATTTGTTTCTTAGCTCTTGCGCAAATTATGAGATGGAAAACAAGTAGCGCTGTCATTTTCTGTGCTCTTAATTATATTTTTATTTCGAATCAACCTGGTATATTCAATATGATAGTAGGATCTGTAATTTACATTTATTTTAAATGAAATAAATAAATAATTTAATTTACCCCAAATATAAATAGTTTTCTTGCACTAGCACTTAAACTGCTTCGTTTGTCAAAGATTATGTATAGTATCAATGTGATTCTACCCACAGTTTATGGAAATATTCTCTTATGCTTCCTCTAATTTTACTATGGGCTCTCTTTATTCCTGCTGGTTAATACTATGTTCTTCGTAGAGCATCTAAAACACCTAAAGACGGTTTATTCTAAAGAAGATATAATAACAACGAAAATCAACCTCTAATTAAACCTGATAAACCTATTGTAGATAGATCTTCAGTCATTTAAAAAGAGACTATGCTTGATAGCTCTAAAATTAGATATGCATTAGGATTTATTTATCTAGAGTATCGTAAAGATACATATTACTGGGAAATGATTAAGATATTTGAAAAAATGTTAATTATTTTTGTTCTAAACATGTACGATTCAGAGATTAAGTTAAAGGGTATTCTTTGTTTCATAATTATCTTTGGCTATGGATTAATCTCCTTAAAATGTAATACAATTTTGAATATAATCAAATTTTAATTTTTGTATTATTAATTTACAGACAGACCATATTAAAGAGAATAGCTTAATTCAGTTGATTTTTGGAGTTCAAATATCTGTGCTCTCTCACTTGTCTTAGGTGTTATGCTTAGCTCTGCTGACTCAAATTAAATCATCTAATATTTAGGTTATGGATTTATTATATTAATCAACTTGATTTTCGTATTGTGGATAGTGAAAATTATTCTTTCTGCTTACTTAGAAGAATTTGATGAAATAGTTAACAAAGCTAAAATATTCTTATGTAAGATGTATCCTAGTTTAAAACCTATTTTAAAGCCTAAGGAATTCGATCCTAAAAAAATTAAACTGATCTGGGATAGCTTAAAGCATGCTATTAATGAGTATTCAAGAGCTAAAAAGATTTAAGTTTAATAACTCAACCTAAAGACTTCTCCTAACTGTAATATAAATAATAATTATATTATTATTAACAATATACCTCTATAAGTTTTTTAAGCTAAGCCTAAAATACTTTGTTAAATTAAAATAATTTTTTAAATTGTAATTTTTTTAAACTAATTTTTTACATTTTTATTTAATTTTTGATCAATAATCCATCAACTCTTGTTCACTAAATAAGTAAGTTAAGTAACGACAGCCACCTTAACTTTTCTCTTTACTTTAAAATTTTTTAAGTTATTGATAAAAGTGAAAAAAATTTTTATGTTTTTAATAATTTATTAAGTATTTTAAAAGTATATCTTTTATTTTTGATCATGCTTTTTCAATGGATAGATATCTATCATAAATTAAAAAAAAAAAGAAATATTTAAATTATTTTTTATTTTATTTCCTTTTGCCTTGAACAGTTTAATTTGAAATATTATCCTTTATTAATAGTTTTTTTTTTAATAACTTTTTTTAAATTAATATAATTTTTTTAGTTTAAGATGAATTAGAAACTCCTAATTAGTTGATGATGAATGTTGTTATTAACAGAGTTCCAGATGATTTTAGAAGAATTGTTAGTGCTTAACCAATTTACCCTGCCTAGTAAGTATTCAGAACTGAAAACCATAATCCTCTTGAAGAAGAAGAAGAAATAAAAGATCAATATGAGGGTCTCCCCCAAAATAACAGTCCTGATTAATCAAATTTAGGTAGAAAATAGAAATTTATTTATACTTTTATTCTCAATTAAATAATTTTATTATTTAATCTCTTAAATAATATACTTATTTTTTTTTACATTAATATCTTTTATCTTCGAATAAAATTTTATTTAGAGAAATTTTGTAAGCAAATTTTCTTTTTAAGAAGATTTTATTTAGATTTTATTAAAAACGAATTTATTTATTTTATATCTCAATATATATACAAAAAAATATATGTATCTTTAATTTGAAATAAATTAGATGGAATGAATGAAAGAAGAAACAAATAAAAAACGATAACAAGATTATCAGAATTATATGTTAATAGCTCAAAAATGATACACACAGCACAAAATTATGAAGATATGTATTACTAAGAACTAAAAGCGTACACATTTAATTTTTAGTTAGAGTTAGAATTTTTTAAATAAACAAATTTTAACTTATTATAGGGCTTTTAAAGATGTTGAATTTAAGAATTGGCTTAGAATCAAGGATAGAGAAATCAGAATTGATTATGATCAATAGAGTGACTTTTAAAATATTGAAGCTCTTAAAAATAATATAAAGAAAAAGAAGAAAAAGTTGACTGAATAATTGAAAAATTATATCCATTAATATTCTAACAAAGAAGATATTGTTGATTATTTCAAAAGCTTACAAAAAGTAAAATTCTTTCTTTTTTTTTACTAAATTTTTATTGAAAAAATAAATAAAGGACATTGATGATAAAAGCAAATTTATTGTTAATCCTTCAATGCTAAAGGATGTCGATGCCTATTTTACATATTATGGAAAAATGATCGAATTACAAGTGAAAATGATAAATTTAGAAGATATTACAAAAAATCTATATATACTTGAACACTAAAACAATAGAAGTGATATTTTCGAATTCTTCAAAGTAAAACAATAAATTTAAAATAAATAGAAAATAAAATAAAATTAATAAATTTTATCAATAGGAACTCATTAAGGAAAAGGTAAAGTTCGAAAAGGCAGAGCAAGATAGAAACGATTTTGAATTGTATATGGAATTATATGAAAGATATTTAGAACTTAAATCTAAAGCTGAAAATATTCTAAGTAGGAAAGGAAATGATAAATTTACTAACGTAAAACAAAAAAAATTTATTTTTTTATTTATTTAAGTACTTTAATTTAAATATGAATATAAAAAAAGGAATTAACAAAGACTAAAAATACCTTTTTATCAAAGTATTCAAATACATACAATAGAGAGTCAGCTAAAAAAGAAAAGGAATCTTACAGAAAATAATTGGAAAAGTAAAAGCAAGAGATGTAATCATACTTAGAAAGTAGTCCTCTTCATAGTAGACCACCAAGCGATGGTAGCGGATTTGGCAGCAATGGAAGCTTATAGTCTCCATTATCAGGCGAAATCAATGTAGAATTGCAAAAATTCTGATATTGCATTTATTCATTTATTTTGGCAATAATTTAATACTTTGTGCTTTATGTGATAACTAACTAAAACATTTATTAAAAAACATTAGTTTTTCTTTATTATAAATTAATTATTTTTATTTTATGTTTTTATGGAATTAGAATTTAATTTTTTAGAGATTTATATTTTAATTAAATATTCATTCAATAATTATAATTGGATTTTTAAAAGCATTATTTTAGATTTATTTTCGAGAAAATTATTAAAAAAAAATAAAAGATTTATTTTCACATAAGTTATCAAAATTCAAATTTAATTTTTTTATAAATCAAATCTGAAAAGATTTACGATTAAAAAAGCAACACAACAACTATATTATTTATATCAAATATTAATAATAATAACAAGAGCCTTAATTTATAGATAGTTCCTTGGCAGATATTAATTATTAATTAATAAAGAATACAAATCAAATTAGATACGCAAAACTTAATTTAAAAAAAGAAAACACTGCTGTAATTCTACTTTCAAATATAAAAATTTCAAATCACTGAAATAATAGATTTTATTAAAATATATATTAAATGATATTATCCAAAGATTAAATTGTATTCTGCAGGATAAAAGCTAAGTGCTATTGGCCAGCCTAGGTAAATTATTTTTAGATAATTATTTCTTTTGAAGAGAGATGGATATGTTCTAAAAAATAAAATAAAATCTTAATCAAATGATTATTTTATTTATTAGAATTAAGAAGATATTTAATTTCATAGCTTTAGATATGCTATGTTTAGATCTTCTTGATGGCTAGTAGTTTTCATAATTTCTAAATTTTATTTTAATAGATCAAGTAAACAAAAAGAGGAGGTGGATTTGATGTTTAATTTATTAACAAAGATGACTAAGAAATGTAATTAAATCAATATTAAATATTTCTAATTCTAATGAATTTCAATAGCATTTTAATAAAAAGAATTGTCTTGATATGTATTAAGCATTCTTATTATTAATTAGTTCTTATTATATTTTAATCTTATACTCTACTACAAAAATGTCTTTAATTACATCTTTAACATAATTTTAAATATTTATTATTATAGATAGAATAAAAATGAGAGTGATATCATACTTTTTGATGAAGGACTTGACAAATTTAAAGGATCCAAACAGCAGGGGTTTGAAGATGCTTTAGAAAAAGCAAGATAAATTATAGAGGAGCAATCTAATTAAAAAAAAGCTTAAAAAAAATTGTAGAACTCAACCACATAAAATATACAGGCTAAATAGGGATTAAGTTCCACATCCAACAATAACAATGTAGAATATACTTTTCTAAAAAATCATTTTAAATTAATAGCTTAGGAATTTTGAATGAAAATTTATTGGAAATAATAGAATTTATTTCATTTTTTCTATCAAAAATTATCTAATAAAAAATAATTTAGGATAGCGGGTGTGTCTGGATATTTTAAATTTTAAATTTATTAAATTTAAAAAACAAAAATTAAGTTTTTGATCAATAAATTTAACGAATAAAAGCTATTAATTTCGTTTATTAGAAAGATATCAATAATCACACTTTGTTATTTTTATTAAAAAATAGAAAGGGATAAGTTCTAATCTAACTAAAAGAAGACATAATTAGATATCATCCAATAATTCAATAGAATCTTTGCAATCTCTAGAAGAATCATCTTAGGGCTAAGAAGCATAACCTTCAAAAAAGCTCCAGGTATCAAATACAGATAAAGGCAAGGTTTTAACTAAAAAAAGTACATAACCTGCTCAATCAATTTAGAATGAAAACGGTAAAGAAAAAAGCACAAATTAAAAAAATTTGTATATGAGCACAAAGGAGAGAAATAATAAGGCTACTGTCTCATAGGTTTAGTCAAGTAAAGTTTCTTCAAAAAAATCAGTAAAAATTGATGAAAAGCAAGAAAAAAAGCAATAGCAAATTGAGTAAATTAATAAATAAGAGGGAAAAAGAACCCCAACAAGGTCTTAATCAAAAAATATGAATAAAAATGACTCCAGTTAAGTAAATTAATCACTGTTACAAGAAACTTCTAAACCTTCCACTCCTCTAAAAGGAAATAAAAATTTATAGGAATCGTCTAAAGAAAATTTAAAAAATTAACAAAAAGTAACCCCAAAAAAAGTGAATTTGGTTGCATCATAAATTAATGACAACAAAAAGATTACGAGAAAGCAAGAGAAGTAATCACTAAAATCAGATGAAAATGAAAAGAGAAGCTTAAAGACTTCTAAAGGAAATAAAAATTCTAACAATGGTAATGATGAATAAGAAAAAGATTCTAAATAGAAAAAAAGGGAAATTTCTGAGTCTTCCTAAGTAAATTTGGAGGGAAAAAAAAAAATTTAGAAAAAATCAAATTAGAAAATTGCTCCAACTTCCAGTTCGACCTCTTCTTCTTTGAAGACTAGAGTTTAATAGAAAAAAAATGATAAAAAAGACAGCGAAAATACTAAGCACAACAAATCAGGATTAAATAATCTAGAAAATACTGTTAAGTAAGAAGAAGCTTCTCCCAGCAAAAAAGGCACTAGCAAGAGCAAAGGATAGAGGAAAAGTGCCTCAAAAAAGAAAGAAAAAAATGGTAACAATGAGCATTTAGATGATGCTAAATCTTCACTAAATATGTTTTTCCACAATGAAAAAAATAAAGGTTTCTATGGAGAAGAATTTACTAATTATGATCACACTGAAAACTTTGTTAACAATAATAATAATACAAACATAAGCCAACATTTTTAAGAAAGTCCTGAATTCGGATAGAAAAATTTTGGGGAATCTAATAACAATATTTTGAATTTAAATGAGGAGTTATCAAAAGGAATTTTTTAGAATATATCAAATAATACATTATTAACTAATTTATTAGCTCCCAGTTCCAGTTAATCAATTTATTCTAATGCATTTTAAGGAATGAGCACTAATAATTTATTCTTAGCTAATGAAAATAATAGTGATAACAATACTTAAATATTCTCATTAAACAACAGCCCATTTGGTAACAAAGATAAAAAGTATTTTGATGATCAAGATGAATTAAATCTAGCTATTCATCCTGATGAAAATAAATCTATTCTTTCTTTGAATTAACAGTAATAAATTCTATTGAATGCTCTTAAATCTGGAGGTGTTACCTAGTAATAATTTGACTTTTATTCGTAAAAATTGTAAAACAATAATTAAAACGCAATTTAATTATTTGATGGTAACAATTAAGGAAAGCAACTAAATACAAACCAGAATAACATTAAATTTAATAATATTTTTGCTTCAAATTAAACAGCAGTTTCCGAAAATTAGAATGGTATAGACGTTTTGGGTAACATTACAAATCAAATAAAAAATTTATAAAATTAGTAAACTAATAATAAAAATTCTATTTTCGGCTCTCAGCAATCAGTAGGTAACTCATTGATAAATTAAACTAAGAATGAATTAAATGGTTTGCCTACTAGCCTATAGAATAATATGGGAATGAGTAGCAGTATTGCAAACTAAAGTAGCATACTTTCCTTTGGAGTTCCTTCTTGTTAAGATTAAATGTTGCCTTAAGGGTCAATAAACTCTCAAATATACACTTTAAAATCATAAGGAGATTTCCTATCTCAAAGTGATGTTCTTTCATTCTCTTAGGGGAATCAGCTTTAAAATAGCTCAAGTTTATTTGCTAGTGGAATATAAACTTCAGTATAAGCTCCTCCTTCTTTTGGAAATTAGAATAGCTAGTAATAAAATAACCATTCTGTTATTATTCCATCTCCTTTATTTGTTACTAAATAAAACTCAGGACAAAGTAATCTACAAATATCGAACAATAGTTCTTTTAAGCTATCACCATAATCTAACAAGTAATAGAAGTGTGAAGTTTATAACTAAATGAAGAACAAAATACTTCCTATGCTTGAAATGAAAATCAAAAATAAGGTATACTATGAAAATGAAAAAGATATGTGGCTTTGTGAAATAGTTGATTGTGTTCATAAGTTAAAAGCTATACCAATCGAACAGATTTATTAGGGTGAGTATTCTATGATTCTTGAACAGATATACGATGCACTTCTTACTATCTAAGAAACAACTAAAAGAAACTTTTAGTATGTCCTAGGAATGATACAACGTACCATGACAACTCTTGATAAAAAGATTATCAAATATCTGCATGACTATTCTCGTGTTCGTGGTGAAAAATATAATATTACAAGAGAGGAAGAAATTCAAAAGAAATTCTCTCAAGGAGCTGAACAAGCTATTAAAATAGAAGACAACAACGAATCTTTCGAAATAAGCTCATAATCATCTGCTCAGTATTAATCCAGATATAATAAATCATAAAATGGCTACCAAAATTAATAAATAAAAATAGATCCTTCCTTAAAGCAAACTGCAATGAGTCCTCCCTCAAAGTAAAACTATGCTGATAAAGAGAATGAATCAACAGCTAAAAAAGACCATAATAAAAATAAAAATGAGTTTTTTTATAATAATAACCATAACAATTCTACTAATACGACTATTAATAGCTTAACAAGTACAAGTATGAACCAAAGTATGAATAATGATATTTTCAATTTAAGTATAAGCGAGACATTAAGAGAAATAAATAATCAAAACGAATTTTAAACAAGAAACAATTAAATATTAGAATCAGAAATTCAATCAGAGTAATCTTTGCAAAAGGCAGTCAAAGAAGAAGTGATAGCTTGAAGCCATAATGATTGAATGATTACTGCCACAAAAAAATAAATTGGCATTAAGAGAATATTCAATATTCGGTCGGGTTGCTTTCAAAATAGTTTTAATCATTATATAAAAAAATATATTAATAAAAAATTTTATTTTTAATTAAGGTTTTTCATTTTGTTTCAAATCTTTTTTTCTAATTTTATATTTGTAGTTCATTTCCTAACTAACGTTTATTATAAATTTTTAACCTCTTCATTCATAAGCACTTTCATTTTTTAAACTCTTTCATAAGTAGTAGTAGTAATAAAATTCATAAGTAAATGTATTTATTTTTTATTTGGTAATTTAAATTTTAGATTTAATTCTTTAATTAATTAATTTATATTATGATTTTCTTTTTAAAATCTTTTAAAATTATATATTTTAAGTTATTGATTTTATCTATAATTATTTACAAGTATACCATAAGCATTTAAAAGTATTCAGACTTGTACCCTATAGGGTTATTTTGATTAAGAGAGAGTATCTCTCCTTAATTTAAAATTTATATTCAGTTTAAATCTAAATATTTTTAAATATTTATGGTATATATTTTTTATTTCATCCTAATTAGGTCAGAAATATTTCTTTATTTTTGTTATATTTAGGTTTTAATTTAATAATTAAATAAATTTATTAAATTAAATGATTTTCAAATAAATACCTCTAATAATTTCTTTTTAAATGAATATTTTATATTTATTTTATTATCTCCAAAATATTTTTAAGTATTTTAATAAGGATAATTTCTTAATCTACCTTCAAAATTGTTAAATTTAACAAATATCTTCGAGATCATTTAGTTTTATTTAGGGTAGTAATTTATTAATTAAGAATTAATATTAATTACCAATTTAAATAAAAATTTTTGTACAATAATTACGCAGTAATAAAAAGATAAAAGCAGATTTAAGTTTATTAGCAAATATAAATAAAAATGCAGGGTTCCTTAGCATAAAAAAAACTTCTTATTACTTCTAAGAACTACAATTAGGCTATTTAAATCAAAGATGCTTCAGTCATCATCAATTCAGAAGCATAAATGAGTTAAATTACTGAAAACGAAGAACAATTATTTATTTTATACTAAGTAGAAGATGACATGGATATGACAAAAATTTATTATTATATTTTAAACATAAGAAGCGAATTGTTATTAACAGTCAAAGACAATAAAGTTGTCTAAACATCTTATTCGAATTCAAATGAATAAAAATTTTAATTCATAGAGCTGCCTAATGGTTGCTACATAATTTAACAAAAGGGATCTGACAAAGTTCTTGAAGTTATTCAATCCTAATAGTCTGATGGTATGAGTTTAACAGCAAATCATTTCTCGTATGGATATGGTAATTAATTGTTTACACTTAAGGAGAGCTTTAGAATGTTTGATATGAATCAAGATAGATTCTTAGTCAATGACATTTGCTAATAGGCAAAATACTAGTTGGTACCAAACATTCCAATTAACATTAAATGTGCCCACAGCAATCTTTATTTTGATGTCTTTGAGCACTCTAAAATAAAAAATGGACCTATAGTTTAATGGAGCTAAAACAATAAAAACAACTAAAAATTCGTTTTAGAAAAAATAGAAATAGAACAAACAATAGAAAAATTAATTTAATCAAATACTTAAGGTAAATAACTTAACCATAACTCCTTCAAATAAAGTAATACTTTGCTTTAGACAAAAAATTCTCTAGTTGTTAATGAGCCTAATTACCTTGAAGGTGTTTACTATGTAAGATGTGTAGAAAGCAATTTATATCTAACAATTTAAGATGAGCGTTTAAGCGATGGTGGTAAACTAGTTCAAGATGAGTTAAAACCATTTAGTAAAAATCACCATTAAAGATTTTTATTTCAAATTCTAATAAATGGTAATTTCCATATTAAGCCATATCATTCTAAAAAGTATTTAGACATTGAAGGAGAATCTTATAATTGTGGAGCTAGTGTGATTTAATTCCATAAAAACTGCTAATTTAACTAGCAATTTAGTGTTATTTACTTATGATTTATAGAATTATATTTAAAACATAGAATTCAATTTAAAAAATAATTTAAATGTGCCAAAAAAGTTGACTTTATTTAAAGTTTTATATGTTTTAAATGAATTAATTTTTATTTTAAATAAATAAAATAATTAAATAGAAAGTTATTTGTTATTTGTTAAGCAGCTTTGAGTTTTAAGAAAGTAGAATTATAGTAATAATTAACAAACTAAATTAATTCTTTTTAATTTATTAATTAATTGTTAGTAATTCAAAAATTAATCTTTTCATCCTAAAATTAAAGAGAAGACTATTTCCTGATAATAAATTATTTATTTATTACTTAAATTTTAGTGAAAAAAGCTAGCAAGCAAGCATTGGCTGATTTAGCAATTAAATTTCAAATTAATAAATAAAGTTTTTGGATAAATAAATGAATAAAGGAAAAATAGAAACAGGTTTGGGACGTAAAAAAGATTCAGATGACTTGATAGGTGATGATGAATAGTAATTCAAATTATTATTAAATGAAATTTTAACATATAACTTTTAAAACAAACAAACAAACTAATATGAAGAGTGAGTTCATAAATTTAATTACCCAAATCATCAATAACTCCACATTTTAAGTAGATTATTTAATAATTGATTTAATATTTTTAATTTAAATCACTATATTTTGATGTATAAATAGGGACACTTGAATCCTAGTTAGTTCGGATAAAAAATCAAACTACTCAAGCCCTATTAAAGAGCATTAAGATATTTAAAGTTAATATAGCTCACCATCAATAAATTAATCTAGTTAATCAGAAAAAAAGGTAAATTTAGTAATTGAAAGTTTAACAATTTAGTATTGTAGATGATAAAAATAATTGTAAAATGATAGAAATTAATAAAATGTATTAAATTTGATTGATGATGATAGAAATTGTTATTTTAAAATATTTAGAATAAATCGCTATCGATAAAAAGTGATGGTAAAATTGAAAGATAATAAGTTTCTTTCATAGATAAAGTGAAAAATTCTATAAATAACTGGAACTTTAATATATTTAATAACTCGAATAGAACTAAATGTAAATGTGATTCAAACTTACAAGATAATACCTCTACATGCAGTAGAGCATTAAAATGGCTATTTACGTTATACAAAGATGATGAGCTTGTAAAATTAAAGTAAGATTATGAAAAACTCAAAGAAAATGCCAAAGACTTTGCGGAAGAGAAGTAAAAAATATAAATAGAAAAAGATATTACTCGCACATTTGGTAATGCTGATTATTTAGATAAGGATGTACTCCGAAGGGTTTTAACTGTATGGAGTGTCTTTGACCCAAGTGTTGGGTATGTATAAGGAATGAATTTTGTAGTTGCAACACTTCTCTATCATGCAGAGGAATATGTTGCCTTTTACCTTTTAGAGATGCTTACTGGAAGATTTGAAATAAGAGATATATACTAAAATGGTAATTTGAAGCAATTATAAAAAGGTTTTATTTCTTATAAATTTGTTATTTATTCAAAAAGGTTTACCAGGACTTGTAAAGCATTGCAAAATGATTGACAAACTAATGGAAGCATTTTTACCTGACTTATATCAATGGTTTGTAATTAAGCTAATTAATATTTTTATGAAAAGCAGTAATATTTAACTTATAAATAGTTAGAATAAGACATTCAAACATAATTTTTTTGCTCTTAATGGATATTTTCGATATTTGGAGTTATGATTCCTTTAAAGTACTCAGTAATATGTTCTAATTTTATTTATATACATACTTATTTTATTTTACCAATAATTTAAAGGGAATATTTTATGATAACTTATTCTAATAAAAATGGGTTTACTTCTATAAAATAGTCTTGTAGATTTTAGAGTATTACAAAGATGAACTCCTAGAAATGGAAAATGTGGAAATATTATAATTTTTTAGCACTAAAAATTTAAAATTCTTTGATGAAGATGAAATAGATTAATAAAACATAAAATGGGAAGATCTTCTAAATGATGCTGCATTAATAATAATAGATATAGATTAAATAAATAACATATTAGATAAATTCGATTCTGAATCTAAAGAATTTTAGCTAAATGAAGAAGTTGCTGATAACTAAATAACTGAGTTTTAAGGGTGATATCTCAATTCGTTTTATTGAACGAAAAATTCAAAATGACTGCTTAAGTAAAAATAAATAAATAAATAAAATAGAAGAAATTTAAATAAAATAATAATAATTCTTAATTAAAATCTGCTAAAAAATATTCTTTTTTTATACAAAACAAACCTAATTTATATTGAAAATAATAAACAATATAGATTAAGGAATAAGTAAAATAATTATAACTTAAAGAAGTTATGATGAAAATTTGCTTTGCAATAATACAAACAAAGAAGCTAAATGTAAAAGCATTTACTTAAAGGGTATTTATTTAAAATGTGAAGTAAATAAAAAAATAAATAAAATAATAAATAGTAAATTTTTAAAATAAAGAATTTTCATAAATGTAAAATCTTTGTTAACGACTCTAAATAATTGTATTATATTTATAAAATAGACAATTATCAAATATGAATTTTAAACATTTCTTTTTATAAAAATTAACAAAATTTATAGTAATTTAAATCATTTCAATAAAACCCCTATCAAATCATTGGTTAAAATTTATTATGTTATAAAATTCAATTGGAGTAATTTCATTTCTGCTATCTTTCTTCATTATATCGAAGCTTTCCTATATTTATTTCTCAACATCACTTCTTTAACTTGGTTCCATATTTTTATATTCTGGTGATTCTCTGTATAATTTCATAAAATCTTCACAAGAAAATGAGCCTTTCTTTTCAGTATCAAATATCTTAAAATACTATTTTAAAAAGTTATAAATTATGCTAAAAGCATTAATAATTAATAAAAAAATTCATTCTAATTTTATAATTTTTTTACTGAAGCCATCTTTTCAGTTTATAAGTTTTAGAAGCTTATTTCTGGTTTCAACAGTATGTCTATGAATGTTTTTTCATTAATTGGTGTATTAGAGTTTAATTTATCTTTCACGTAATCAAAAAATTCAGGTTCATTTTTTTAAAGATCCAAATAAAGCATTAATGCCATCAATGTAGATTTTTCAATTTCATCATTATTACCGCTTCCTTATGGTTTTTCAGCTAACATTAATATTATTTATTTATTAATTATAATTTTCGAAATAACTAAAGTAGAATGAATATTTTAAACAAAATAAAGTGGAAATTAAAAACATTTTTTTTACATTTCAAGAGTTAAAAGAGCTTTTTAAGGTCATCTCTCAAAGATTCCTCTTCTTTATCTACTTTATTCATATTTGAAGTTTTCCTTAACTAAAATATAATTTTGCTTTAAATAAACACTAAAACAAATTATTTAATAATTCAAAAATTTATTTTTGATTTTTATAATTAAAAAATCTCTTCAACTATCATTGATATCAAGCAAACTAATCCAACCAAAACTAATAAAAGATTTCTTCCTATTTGCTTTTGCAAAAAGCTTGAAAAAAAAATTAAAGGCCATAAAAACTTTGTTAGAATCTACTTTTTATTCAATGATTATGAAATTTAGCTATTTTTCTATAAAATGATAAATCATGATTAAAAATAAAGTTGTTTAAATATGCATTTTTTATTCTATAAAACAAATAGAAATGTTTAGTGTTTATTGTTAATAATAAAAAATAGATTTATTTGAATATATAAAGAACCAATTTGATTGTTTAAATATAAGTACAAATATATCCTAAATGGTTAATTTGAAGTGCTTAAATATTTTGTAAAACAAATTTTAGCATATCTCAAAACGAACTATTTATTTAGATTTATAGTAACATTAAATTTTATTCACTAAATATTATTCACAAGTAAAATTGTCAATCTCAAAAAATTAATTATTAATTATTTTTAAAAATCAAAATTTTGACTTAACTTGAATATCATGAACAAGTAGGAGAAAAAAAAAACATTAGTTATGATCCAGAAAAATATCAGTAGTGGATCTTTTAGTTAAATAAATGAATTGAAGGTATCAGGAAATCACTTAGAAACCTACTCATAGCAGCAGTTCAATTTTATTCCAGAGCATAAAACACTCCCAAGAATTTAAAAAGATTTTTTTGATGATGAAGAAAGAAATGGTGTGTCAAAAAAGAAAGCCTTTTTAGATGCAAACAATTAACTAAAATACACACTAGAACTAGAAAAAAGGTATAATCCACATTTAATCCCTCCTGATTGGAAAACAGCAGAGAGACATGGAGTAAATCGAATTTAAACGTTTAAATTTTATATGATAAGCTAAAAAATGTATTAACCATCATAAAATAATTAATAATACAGAAAGCTAAAAGAGTTGGCAAAAATAAAATGCCATCAAGTACTTAGTAGGAAGAAATCTTTGAAGTATGTCCTTGTTGCGATTACCAAATCGTAAATAGTTAGCTTAAAAGATTATTAGTTTATTAAGCATATATTTTACTATAAAGGACAAAAATATTATTAGTCTTAGAGAATAAGTAGATACTCTTTCCTTTTTAGGTTCAGGCTACCCTCTTTTTTTCCATTATATGAAGTATTGTATAATAATTTTAGGATTGATAATACTGACGTCAGGAGAATATAACATACTCTCAAATTACTACGGTCACACTTGCTTGTCTAATAAAGATATAAAAAAACTTGAAGCAAAAGGAGTACATGTATCTAGTAAAGAATGTGTAGTAGATATTATATCTATCTTTACAATAGCAAATAAGAAACAGAAAGTAGACTATGCTGATATTTAGGATATACTGAATTTTACAACAATTTTGGTTTTGATGATATTGCTATTTTTCTTTAGAAAAGAACAAAAAGAGATAGATTCTTAATGTGATATGGCTGAACTTACTCCTGCCGATTATACTATTTTAGTAAATAATAATTTAATTAATTTACTTTCATTCAGTAAAAAAAAAAATTTAGTTTCCTTAATAAATAATTAAAAATTTATTGATTAATTAATTCATGCTTTTTTTTGGTAAAGGTAAGAAATTTACCTGTAGATACTACGAAAAAAGATATTAGAGACTTTTTTGAAAAAGGAAAAGATTTATTTGGCTAAAACCTAATAGTGACAGAAGTTAATTTTGCATTTGATTTATAAGAAAGAGTTGCTAAACAGTAAAACTTGAAATAATTAATTGAAGAAAAAAAGAAATGCCTTTCTAAAATGAAATACGATGATGATTTTAAGTAAACCAAAATTTATTTTCTTAATTTGAAAGTAACCATAAAGTATTAAATATTCTTTTAAATCAATCAAATAAATAGAGTTGAAGCTGAAAAATGGGATAAAGCTCTCGAAAAGGAATAAATAAATTTTGAGCTGATAAACTTAAAAATAGAGAATGACCCAACAAAATTTACTGGTTATGCTTTTGTTTCTTTTCAAACAGAAGATTAGAAGTAATGTGTTTTACAGTAGGCCTCAATACCTTTTTGGCTAGAAATTGTGAACGCCATTTTCTTTTAAACTAATGAATTCAAGAGTCTTAAATTTAAAGATGGTTTTATTGAGTAAATTACTGTTTTTATGATTTTTACTATAAGTACATTGCAGTATTTTTAAAATTTATTCTATTATATAGAGTTAGAGAAGCTCCTGAGCCTCTAGATATTATATGGGAGAATTTAAGTCTTAACGAAAGAGTCAAAACTCTTAGAAGACTTCTTAGTTTTTTTATAACTGTGATTTTATTTGTTGTTTGCACTGTTCTAGTCTATGTGCTTATAAAGTTTTAAGCAGATAGTTTAAAGTAATTTCATTAATTGCACAAGGATGTAACAGACGAAAAGAGCAAAGATTTTAATTTAAAATTACTCTTTTAAGAATAACTTCCGAGCGCAATAGTATCTTTTTGTATGGTTTGCATAAACTCAGTAATTATTGAAATTCTCTTCAGATAAATTGTTAAAATCGAATGCTATAACACATATACCCTTTATAATATTAACCTAGCACAAAAGCTATCATTAGCTTTATTCATCAACACTGCATTGATAACTTGCATAATGAGTGTATATTACACAAGTAAGCTAAAAACTATTAAAAAGTCATTAATTTTTAATTATTTTTAAATTTAATAATTTAGGAAATGTTTTTGGTAAAGGTGGTCTCATATACACAATATTTTACTTCTTTGTAGTAAATGCTGGCTCCTCTTTTATGTCTCTTCTTTTTGACCCAATGTTTTATTTGAAGAAAATATTAGTTTGGTGGTTTAAAAGGTAAGGGGCTTAATGCACTTTAACTTAAGAAGAGGCAAATAAGTAAATAATTAATTATTAAACTAATTAATCACATTTAACCATTTTTCAAATTAAGACTTTGTGAATTTCCCTTGCATGAAATTGAAATTGGTTATGTTGATGTAATGAAAACAATGTATATCACCATTTTCTACTCCTCCGTGGTTCCAGTGGGATTAATAATTTCCATGATAGGTTTTTGCTTTTACTATTGGGCTTAAAAGGTATTTAAGCATTCATTCATTTATTTTTAATATTTTTTTACTTAAGCTTTACTTGCCTAAAATTTTAATATATAGATATTGAAATTATTTATTTATTTAATATTTATTTTTTAAATTAATAATTGATTTAAAATTTATTTTTTATATTAAATATTTACTTTTAATTCTCATATAAAAAATAGTGGGTTATTTTAAAGGAAAGAACAGTAGATAAATAAATTAGTATGAAACTTTCAATTGAGATGACAGAATATTTGGAATTTATAATTCTTATTTATGCCTCATCTAACTTGCTGTTCAAATATTAAACTGTTGGTTAGATATCTTATTTATAAATTATAGGATTGATATTGGGTTTTTGTTATTCTATTCTTCCTATTTAACTTATTGTTGAAAAGGTATTCTTTTTTGGGAATGAAAATGAATAAGTAAATTACGATGTTGCTTATCCATTTTTTGTTACCACTTACTCTATGTCTAATCCAATTACTACTGAAAAGGCAAAGAAAAAACATTATTAGAAAGTTAAATAGTAATATTAAGAAAGAGTGGATGTATGAATTTTATAAAGATTTTAGTTAATATAAATTATATGTATGTAATATATAAAAATTGTTCTATATTTTCTTATTCTAATTGAACAAACCAAAAAATTATTTTATTTTTTTAACTGAAAGTTAAATTTCTTTTTATTTCGAGGAATAATTTTATTTTATTCATTTTGACACACACTATGTTTTATAAATTTTTATTTGCAACTAAATTAGTTAGTTATATTGTTAAATATTGTAAATGAAATAATTAAAAAAAAAAATATTAAGAGTTCTAAAATTTATTTTTGAAGAGTGGCTTTTATTGATTACAAATGAGAGTTATGAGCCATTAGTTATTTTCAATTAGATTTTTTAATAAAAAAATCTATATTTTCTATTTATTTATTACATAAACATTTTTGTGTTAAACTAATAAATAAATTAGCTGAAAAAATAAATTCGCGATATTATAAATTGATAATTTATATTTTATATTTATTGATTATTGTTTGTAGTATCTTAATCAAAGAAAAAGTTTTGCTAGCTAAATCACAAAGCACACTCACACGAATATATAAATAAATAAAAAGTACATTAAGAAAAAAGTAATAAAAATAAAGCTATGAATCTCTAAGCATAGTAAAAAACAAGAAAATAGTCGAAAGGCTAAATTTTAGAGATATTTGAGTAAATAAAGCCTACTCATTATATTTAAGACACTGCAAATGGTGTTTCAACCAAATCATTTACAAAGTAAATAAGATACCAAAGTCAGAATCCTAAAATGAGCAATTAAAAAGAAGTAAAATTAATTATTCATATGCTTTATATAAAATAAATTTATTTTTTTAAAAAAGCTTACTGACTTTCAAAGGACAGAGCTAGAAAAGCAAGTAATTTTCCAACTTTTTAAAGGCATTTTATTTCCTTTTAAATTTTATGTTTATGCCTAATAATTCAAATAAGCTCGAAAGCATTTAATAAACATGTAAAAAAATGTAATTAAGTTAACTTGTTTTTATATATTATTAGAAAAGGAATCAAGAGTATCTCTTTCATATTGGAAATCATGCAAGAACTGTCAGTGATATTTTGAAGTTTAGATATGATTAATATAAACAAACTTTAGGGTAACAAGAGTAGTAGTCAGAAGAGTAATAAAGAATGTAGTATTAAAATCAATAATCTATATGGTAAAACTCTACAACTATGATATAATAATACTAATAATACCACTAAGCATAAGAATCAAATATCAAGAGATCTAATACACTCAGCAATTTATAGAGTTAAAAATCAGGAGTTAAAATTTGTAATTCTGCTAGCAAATAAAGCGAAAAAAATTAAAATACATAAAAGCTTTTATATAAGCCAGCTCAAATACAGTCTTAAAAAGCTATCTCTTCTATTTTAGGAAGCGCTGAATCAAATATTTCACCAATAAAAAAATCTTATAATGAAGATTTGGCAACTGCAGGAGACACAAGAGATAACTTTGCATCTTTAAGTGGAGGATCTTTAAAATCAAACCCTAATAATTTTTCTTTCTAAGATAGAAAATATGTTAGTGAAAAAGACTATTTATCCATTTAAAGGAACCTTTTTGATTCTATAGACACACAAAAGAATAGTTCTATTTAAAATTAACAATGTTCTTCAATTGTTCAATCAAAAAAAGAATCAGACGAAATAGATTTCAATAAATAATCTAAATTAGAAAAGTAAAATAATCAAACTTTTAACAAAGAAGATAGATTATTATAATCTCCAGCATCTTTACATTTAAATTAGAAATCATAATCATAAGATTACTTGGCATAAAAAAATCCTACATAATAACAATAAATGAGCCCACATCTTATTTAACCTAGCCATTTGCTCTTCGTCGACAGTCAATAAAATTAAAATTAGATAAATTATCCAAACCAATTTATATCAAGCATTTCATAAACCTCTGGTTAATAAAATTAAACATAGGAATAATTCAAAATTGATTAATTCAAAAACAATCAAATAAATAATAATTAAAAGTTTTTGAACTAAATAAATTATTCTTAATATAATTCAATTCCTTCGCTAGATATAAGCTAAGCTTAAAATAAGGAAGGTATCATAAATACAGATATTAAGCCTATTCAAAAATATTAAGAAAATCTGTAGTCAACCTCAACAATAGAAACTAATTAATTAGCTTAAGCAAATAAAATTACTGAATCAAAATTTACAAATTTTGCTAAAAGTAATGATTAGTCATAAATGCAATCAGCCTCTGATATATATTCATTTAATTAGCCATATAGTACTAGCTAGATAAGTTCCCAAATTCTCTCTACTGAAAGGTAATTCAAAATAAAGCTGACTAAAATTACAAAGGATTCTTAGATTTCGGAAGAATATCAGATAAATAAATCTCCTTCATCTTTTACTTAATTAGAAAATAAGTAAGACCTTTTAATCAAATTCGCTGAAGCAAGAAAATAAGAGCATTTAAATAATTTATATGATGATGCTTAATCAGATTTTTCTAAAACTCCTTAGACAAACAAATCTGAGGTAATTAAAAGGTTTAAAGCTTCTCAAATTTTTGATTAAAATTAATCATAAGCAAATAGTAAGCCAAGTTAGAATAAGTCTTCATAAATATATTACAATAATAATAGCTAGTATGATTTTGCAAATAGTGTCAAAGAAATAAATAATGAACACAAGTACACAAATTTAATGTCATCCGCTTAACAATAAAACTTATCACACTAAATACCCACCTTAAGTGGAATGGGAAGAATTAACAATTTTATTAGAAAATCTTAAGAAGGAAACAAATAAAGCAACTATTTTACTCAAATTTCAGATTCATAAATTTAGAATGCCGGAAATGTTACAAAGTAATCAGCATCTTTTAATCCAAACTATCACTTACTAGAAAGCTATACTAATAGTTTAGTTAAACAAAATAATAATGAAACTTTAAACCCTCTTAATACTTAAAATTAAATAAAGAATCTGATCGATTATAATAGCCCCAAATAGAATATTTAAAATATCTAAGCATCTGGACTTTATAATCAGAGTTCATTCTAATAAGAAACAAAATCTAGTCTTAGTATGATAAAAAATATTTTTGAGAGCACCCTAAACAACTAAGAAAATCCATCAAATTAGAATTTAATTTCTTCATCTCCCAAGAATTTAGAATTAAATATTATTCTGAGTAAGTATTAATCCAACAAAGAAAAATAAAATTTAAGATAAAGTTCATAATTCTAGTAATAAACACCTTCTATATAGTTGGAAACAAAGAACTCTTTCGCCAAAAGCATTGACTAACACTTTTCATAACAGAATACACGTTTATCAAATACATTAGCTGAATTAAACTAAAGTAGTTAGGTGAAAAATAGCCTCACAGTTCTTGAAAACTAAAAAATTTAGCAAATTATGGATGATATTTAAGCCAAAATATCTTTAAAAAAATCATAATCTTTAGAATAATCTGGTATCGCTATGTAATCATCTTCAAATAAATTTTCATAATACTTCGAAAAGAAAACTTCAAACTCATAAGTTATTGATAACGGCATGAATGAGTAAAATGGTTTAATAGTTAGTTTTGCAAATAATTCTCTAGTAGGTTAATCTACAATTGAATCCTCAAAAAATATTGCAAATTAAATGAATTACTATATAAATTCAGCAAGTTAAATTGTGATTGATGAAGCATACAATAAATAAAAAATAGAAAAAAATCCTGTATCTGCTTAGTTTATTTTGTAAGATAATCAAACTGCGACATCGTAAACTGACTCAAAAAAAGATATAGAAAATCCAACTTCATAAAACAATTATAATTTAACTTTAGAAGGTGAATAAAATTAAAGCGATAACCCTCCATCTGAAAGAAAAAAAATGCATGCAGACTTCTCTTCAGATAAATCCTAAAAAGGTGAGCAAGATAAAACTTTCGACTCAGAAAATAGAGATGAAATGAGTATAAAATAAACAACTTAGTTCGAAAAGAAGGCAGAAACTTTATCAAATACTTACGATATGTCTTAGTTGTTATGCTAAACTCCTTTATAATAGCATGGATAGCATATTAGATTAATGAGTGGAGGCAACATGGAACATCTTACATTAAATAACTCAATATAATCTACTTTCCCATTTGAATAAATTCAAAGTAATCAAACAACAAGTTATAATAATTACAGTAATTTTACAACTTCAAACAACTTACAAAGTGCTAACAATCACTAATCTAAAAATTAAGAAGTTGGTTTAAATTTATAAAATTCTTTTGATAATGGTGAGCAGAATATTTAAATTTAAGTAAAAAGCTCTTAAATTACCAGACAATCTCAAGAAAAAAGAGAATAATAAAATCCAGAATTAGAATTAGAGAAGAAGAGTTCTAAAGAGATTGGAAGATCATAAGATTCAAATTTGAACACACCTCAAAAGTGTTCAGAAAATCTATAATAATTATTGAATGATAATTAATAATCTAAATATAATACTCCTTAAACTATTGTATCAGCTTAACCTAATGAGTTAGAAAACCAAAATATTTATGAAGACCAAGAGGTCTAATATGTTTAAACTGCTACTCATAATCAAGAAAGAGAATTGTAAGAATATGATAAGTAGAACTTCACTAATCCAGAGTTATTAAATTAAAGCAAATAATTATAAGAATCATAAAATAGAGATCTATAAGTTTAAGCTGCTCATCATAACAAAGAAAAAGAGTTGTAAGAATATAATAATTAAAACATTGCTAATATAGAGTAGCTTAATAAAAGCAAATAATTATAAGAATCATAAAAAGGTGATTAAAATTAATAAGAAAATAGCATGCTTTAGGGATAAATAGGCGAAAATGAAAATGAGAAATAAAAAAATATTTAAAAGAACATTAATCATGTTAGATTTAATAACCTTGTAAAGTAGATGTAAGAAAATTCACCATGCCATAACTTAGGATATTATCATTATGAAACAATAAATATTGATGGAAAAATCTTAAAAGATGTTTATTAGCAAACAGATAACATAGAAAAGAAAGAGATATCTGTGTAAACAATCGAATAGTCTAAAAGAAATTCTATTTTTGATGAATGCACAAAACTATTTTCTCCTAAAATGAAATTTATTGAACCCGAGTTTAAAGATAATGAATGCATGATGCTTAATATGTCAAATAATTCTTCTTAATATGATCATAAAGATTCAATAAAAGAATAGCATGAAGGTGGTTTTAATTATGATTAAAACTAGTAAAAAAATTTAAGAAAATCAGATTTCTTCAAATAGTAACCTAATTAGTAATAGCAACAATAAACTTCTTCAAACGGAAATCACGAAACAGGTATAATTAATTCTTCATTGTATAACTCACAAAAGTTGGCTAGCGATAATGAAGAAGTCATTAAAAGGTAATATTAAATTTATGATAAGATATTTGATGCTGGAGAACTCCCTGTTGTAGACTGCACAGAGTAAGATAACATTTTTAAAGAGTGGTATTAGTCTGATCAAAGTAATTTTAAAAACAGAAGATACTCTAACTAAATTAGTGACTCTGAGAAAAAAAATATACAACAATAAATAGATAACATAGTTAATAAGAGAGCTTATAAAAATTAATAAGCCTTGATGAACCAACAAAAAAATTCTCAGAGCAATTAACCTTAAATTGGTAAAAATAAGAGCAAATAGTAAACAAAAGTCCCCAATAAATAAAATCAAAAGTCTATAAAATTCAACAATAAAATAGAGACAAGAAACATACCAAAAAATTCTAAACAGAAAAACTCAGCTATTCCAGGAAATAACACAGAAAGAGTTTTTGAGAGATTATACCCAAAGCAAGTAAAATAGTAACAAGAATAAATTTTTGGTAAATTTTTTAATTAATTTCTTTGAGGTTTTGTATTTAAAAAAACATTTTTCTTCAACTATCATGTAAAAAAACTCATAATTTAACAAAATTTTTAAAATTAATATGTTGACTTGCTTTTTAAAAATATTTATCGATTATTAAATTTAAAAATAGAAATAAAGAAAGATACCTCAAAGAGTAAAAGTAAAGGAAGAGCAACTTCATAATTTAAAACTCAAGAAGAAATGGATTTCATAAAAATTAATAAGTAAAAAGTACCATATATGATGAGAAAAAAAGTGGAGGACAAGTTCTAACTATTTAAAAAGGCAGTAGAAGTTAATTTAGAAAACATGATTTAAGATTAGAAATCTCATTAGATAAAGAGTATAGTTTTAGATGATGAAATCAAAGACTAAGACAATCTATAAGAGATATATTAAAGAAGTCTTTCCAACAGAACTTAAAAAAATTTAGTTTCTTACGACTCTTAAACTATGACCAATCTAGCAAGGTATAATCCTTCATATAATCCATGAAGTTTAAATTATCTTAGTAAAATAATTATATTATTTATATAAATTTGTACCAAAGTAATCAAATAAATTGTCTATTTATTTTATAAATCGATGATTATTTATTTATGTATTTTTTGTTTGTTTAATCTAATTATTTTATGTATAAAAATTGCTTTAAACACCTATCATTAATTTTTATTAAATTTCATCAATCTTTTTTAATTTTAAATTATATTAAATGACCTCAAAAAAATTTAGCAAATAATTTAAATAGAAAATGTTGTTGTTGAATAATTTAAAATTTCTAAATTTAGCCTATGAAATATATTAAACTTAAAAATCTATTTAATGATTAAATAAATTATTTTTAAAATACTAAACTTTCCTTAGAAAATCATTATCTATTTTTATCTCTGCTTCATCAAAATATACAGAATATAATCTAAATAAAATTATGCTTTTTAATAGTAGAATTTAATAAAGCTTCATATTATTATTTAATGATTTTATGAATTTTATTAAATATTTTAATTAGTAGAATAAATTTACTTTAAATTATTTTTTTAACAATTACTGATAAGTTACTATACCTTTATAATTTGTTTATGTATTCAATATTTAATTAGAATAATTAAACAACTTTGTTTTAATAAGTAAAATTTAATAATTTCATCAAACAATATGAATTGCATACATAAAATTATACTTTTAAATATATGAACTTTTCTTTGATTATGCTTAAAATAATTTATATCTTAGGAAATTTATGAAATATAAAGAAAATTTTATTTGAATAAATTAAAACATTATAAAAGTTACATTTAATTAATTTAGATTAAATCTAGAAAGAAATTTTAATAAATATAAATTAAAGTTATTTAAAATACTATTTAATTGTATATTTTTGTTAAATAATATTTAATTTTATGAATCATTGAATGAATAATTATTATATTTACTGAAATTTTGATTAGGGCTATTAAAAATTAAATTGGGTGTTTATAAGTTTTTAAAAAATTTAAATTTAATTGACGAGAAAAAAAAAGATATTAAAAATAATAAATTACTTTAGAATGGACATCCAAAAAGATACATCAAGAGTTTATAAGAATAACTTAAGCAGTTATAAATGTAACTTATTTTAGGTGTGAGAAGGTCAAAGGAAATAAAGCATTTTATTATTATACCAATAGAAAATCCAGAGTCAGGAGCCAAATTTTTAATTAAAAGAAACCTAAAGGAATTAGTTTAGAAGGTATATTAAACAGAATTAGAAATAGCTTCTTTTAGATTAAGCATTATCTGCCAGAACTTTATATTAAAATAGTTTAAATATATTATTAGGTTTTAAAAGATGCAAATGAGTTCACTCATACTAACTACATCAAATTAAAAGCTTTGTGCTCCCTTCAAAATATTATAGTTTTAGCAGAACATCATATTTAGGAGTATCTTAAAGATATCATGAAAGTTTTAGTTAAATTTTTGGATTATGATGATCCTGAAATTCCAAATACAGTAATTAAAGATTGAAATGCATACATATAATAAGGATAATTTTGTTTTTAAAGTGCAAAAGGATTAGCGAATTGCTTGGCATTTATGTTTCTTCAGAAGTTTATATTCCTCTAGCAATTAGTCTAATCCATGATGAAGAACATAAAACAGCCCCTAAAAGTTTAACTAAGCTTTTAACAATATTTAGCATAATGATAAGAGGTGAAACTCCAAAGACCATCGAAGGTTATTTGGATACCATTATGAAAACAGTTACAAGCGTTGAAAAGACTTTTGAGTAATTTATTTATTTATTATATGCTGAGTTTGTTTTTTAAGTAATAAAATATTTATGTAAATTAGAGAAAGTGAAGAAGTTCTCTCTGGTTTATATTATATTGCAAAAGAATTAATAAATATATCAGGAGAAAATATTAGTATTTATTGCCGTCCTATTTTTTCTTTATTACTTACTGTTTAAGCAACAAATACAGCAGGAAAAGATAATTAAGTAAATATAAATTATGAGAGTTTATTTAATATTAATATATATTTATTTATTATAGAATGAAATATAAAAGACCATGCTAACTTTAGCAACTTACTGTGGTTACTCAAGTATAGCAGAGCTTCATGCTAACGAAGTATCCATGCTCTTAAATGAATTCACTACAAATAAAGTATTTTCACAAAATTAGCTTGATTTAGTTTTTTTAAAAATATTTCAATATAAATAAAAAGTCTTATAAAACTTGGCAAAAATATTCAAAAGATAGACTTAAATTTGAAATTATTGTTAGAAATTGTGGAGAAGGTCTTTCTAAATTCATAGATATCATTCTTGAAATCCTTTAGAGTTGTGTAGAATTAAATTAAGATATCGAAGTAAGGATGGATGCATTGGTTTTGGTAGAATTTATAATTTGCTTACAATTTAAGGATGTTTAAGAAAAATTGAAAGAAAATGCCTAACTTATTTTGACTGTAAACTAGATTTTTTTTTTTTTAGATCACTTTTAAATGTTATTTAATTTAATTTATAGAAAATTTTGATCCCATCAATTGTTTGGAAGATTGGAAAACCATAAATTAAAATCAGAAAGGCTGGTATCATTAATATTTATAAATTAATTGAGAATGGATTGGTCACTGGTGATGTTTTAATGAAGTGCTTTAAAGAGTTAATGCCTCCTATTAAATCATGTTTATCAGATGATTGGGCTCCTGATCTTCGTTTGGCTGCTTGCAAATTGGCAGAAAAACTCTTTTTAGAAGTAAGAGATCACCTAGAACACATTCACATATCTGAAAACTATTAACTTCTTTTAGAAAGACTAGATGACTCATAAGATGTTATCAGAGTTGAAATATTCAAAACTTTCACTGTTATTTTCGGAGCTCCTGCTGTAAATAAAATTTTATATAATGAATGATTGATTGCTATATTTGATTAAATTAAAATTTAATTATTATTAAAGCTTAAAGAAAGTCCATCAATATTTGAATACATGGTCAAAGCTATTTTCATACATTTAGACGATTAGAATGAAGATGTACAAATGGGAGCATACAACACATTAAAATTCGCTGCAAGAATTAATCCTGCTAAAATCAAAGAAGAAGTAAAATTCCATTTATTAAAAAAATAATATAAAAAATATCTTTTAAAAACAATAAATAGGCAGAACTTGCATTAAAAAAAATGAAATATCCTAGAAAATGTTAAGAGATAATACAATACGCATAAGAATTAATATGATTTTGCTAAGTAAGATATTTGTTTAGTTAGTTAGACGCAAATTAAAAATTAGAGAAATATCGGATTCAAGCTTATATTTTAACTTTAATAAGTTATATTTAAATTAAATTTTAATAAAATGTAACTGGCAATAAATTAAATATTTGTTTATAGCAAAATTTTTATAAATTTAAATTTGATAACGGCAAATCATTTTTTATATAAATTTTGTTTCTGTTTCATTTATTTTAACTAACGAAGAATAAAAATTATAGTTAGTTTATCATACAAAAATTATTCTAAATCCATTACTTTTATCTTTCAAATAAAATATTTTATCAAGTTCAGCAAGTAAAATATACTTGACCTAGGTTCATAATGAAAATTAGTATTTTTTTAACTTTAAAATTAACAAGTGTTATTTTTAAAATTTTGCTAGAGTGAGAAAATACTAATAAAACAATATTTATTTATTTATCTTTTATATTTATTGGATATCCTTGAATCAAAAACAAATGAATAAATAAATAAATTATGTCTTTTTTAAACTTTTTGAAAAATCAAACTTTAATAGAATAGTGTGTAAAAATAGAAAAGAATAGCTTAATTTTCTGATAATTATTAATTTTACTTACTTTTATATTAATTATCTAAAATAAATTATTATTCACAAATTTTAACTAATTTCATTAAGCGAAAAATATTCATTCATCTAGCATACAAACAAACATAAATAAATAAATGGATTTATAGCAATAATAATAGCAATAGTCTTTATAGCCATAACAGCAATTGGCTGCTTAAAACTAATTAAAGCCAAAACAGGGTCATTTTTATTAAAAAGGCAAACCTTTTGTCAAAAAAGGAAGATAATTATCTGATATTTCAGGTAGGTTTTTATACAAAATTTTGTTCTTAGATTAGCAAGATAATCCTAAATGTTTAAATTTTAATTTTAGGGACATATTTAGTTGTTTATGATCACTATTAGATCGTTAAAAGAATAGGAGATGGAGCCTATGGTGTAGTATTTAAAGCAATTGATAAGTCTAAGAATAATGAAATCGTAGCTATTAAGAAAGTAAGTTATTAGTTATTTTGCGTCTAATTTTTGTTAATAGCTGCTGACTAAATGAATTATTCTAAATTTTAAAGGTTTCTGATGCATTTTTAGACCCAAGAGATGCCAAAAGAATTTTAAGAGAAATAAAGTTATTAAGTAATAAGATTTATCTTTCAGATGTTCAAAAATTGATTTATTACAAAGCATTATTTGTGCTTCTAGATTTAAATTTTTTTTTTTTTTGTAATTTAGAATTTTGTAATCATCCTAACATCATCAAGCTAAAGGATATCATTAAGCCAGAAATGCCAACAGGTTACAAGGATATTTATCTAGTTTTAGAATATATGGAAATTGATTTAGATAAAACTATAAACTCAGAGCAAGTAATTTAAATTATAAAATATTTAAATTGATTGATTGATTGAGTCAGTAGTCAGATTTTATGTTTGTTTTTAAAGAAATTTATACATCATTTAAAAAAGAATTAAAAGTAGAATAGATTTTTATTTTATTTTAAAATAGGCCTTATCGCCAAAAATAATAAAGAACTTGATGTGGCAATTATTGAATGGTATATTTTACATGCATTCAGCTGATATTATTCACAGAGACATCAAGCCTAGCAATATTCTTTTAAATAAAAACTGTACATTAAAACTAGCGGATATGAATCTTGCACGTAAATTTGATGTGGAGCAAAGCAGTATAACTGAGTAACAAATTTCTTTAAATTTATACTTCACGACGTCATTTTGAAATTAAAAATTAATTTTTTTAATTTTATTTTATATAATATGTGTTTTTTATTAGGTATGTTGTAACAAGACCGTACAGAGCACCTGAAATTTTGCTTTCTACAGAAAATTATTCAAAACCTATAGATATTTGGTCAGCAGGGTGCATATTTGCCGAAATGATGGGAAGAAAAACAATTTTCAAAGGTATTTATTTATTTAATGAATATATCTTTCTTTCATTCAATAAGATATAATTAAATTTTTATCAAATTTTTAGGAAACTCATATGTGAATTAGTTAGATAGAATTATTGCTATTATGGGCAAACCAGATTTTGATAAATTGTCGTATAAAGTTGATGAAAATTTAAAAGAATATATTAAGTAATTATAGGAAAAGCAACCAGAAAATTTTTATGAAATTTATAAATCTCATGACCCACTTGCCATAGATTTATTATATAAAATGCTAGCTTTTGATCCGAAAGAGAGATGGACTGTCGAATAGTGCTTGTATCATGAATACTTTAAAGATTTTGATAAATCTTAAATAAAAGCTTGTAATCATAAATTTGATTGGACATTTGATGAAATTTAAGAAAGAAACGATTTAATTTAAAGAGCTATTTACAATGAAAGTTGTTAATTCCATTAAGATGAACCTGATGCTACAATAGAAGAAGTAGAGCAACATTATAAATAGCAATAGCAAATTATTTAGCAAAAAATAGCATAATAGCATGCCGCAAATGCAAATTCTTAGTAGTTTTTAAAAACAAACTAATAATTTTAAATGAATTTAGAAAAACTAGCAGCTTCCTAGCCACTAATTAATCCTATTAATTTTAATCCTAATATGTAAGTTCCCTTTTTTCCTATGGGAAGATAGCCACAAGTACCACCTGAAGCTATTTTATTGTAAATGCAAAACATGTAAAAAAATCCGATGTTATAAAAATAATTTTAAATGATGTAAGGATAGTAATAAACGCAAATGCCTCTTTAAAAAGATTTTAGAAATCCTTTTAACTCACATCCCCTAGCAAATTTATCTTAAGATAAAATGAAAGCAGATAGTTTACCAATTAATCCCATACAAGCTTCTGCAGTCCAATAAAATCCTCTTTTTGTTCCAGGTTTACATAATTTTCCACCTGGATTTCATCCAATTAAAATTGGTATGCAAGAATAATTTAAAAAACCTAATATCAATAATAATACAAATGGAAATACTAATTAACAAAAACCAAATTAAAATGACTAATCTCCTCCAAAAACTGATTCTGAAAGCAAAGCATCAGATACTAATAAAAATAACCATAATGGATAAAATAATGGAGATGAGAATGGTAAATAAGAAAAAAATGATAAAAAATTTAATAAAGATAATGATTAGGATTAAGAAAAATAGAATAATAATAATGGCGAAAAAGATAGAAAAAATAGTAATAATGGTTTAAATTAAATGAGCAATTAGACTACAGAAGAAAAAGAGAATCCTGAATCTAAAAGTAAAATGCAAAATAAAGAAAGTGAGATGAACAGATCTTAAGATTTTTTAAAAGGCAGTATTCTCAGTAATTCAGAAGAGATTGAAGAGTTGCCTAACATCCCTGAAATGAGGTATAAAACATTAACATTTGGACCTGAATAATTTAACAATAATCAAAAATCAGCAGAGTGAAGCTTTTAAAGCAAAAAATTAACAAAAATATAATTTAATTGGATTAGAAAGCAAAAAGAACTCTAATGTTAATTGACTGATTGGTTTTGATATGAAACATTACTTTCTTTAGTTCTATTAGTTAGTTAAAGTCTATCTTTCTATTACCATTTTATAATAATGTAATGAGCAATAGATTGATTTAAGAAAACTAAATTAAATATTTAAATATTTATCTATTTATTTCCTTACTTACTATTTTCAATTTAAAAAGAGTATTTAATAATTTAATTTTAAGTACTTAAAACAATTAAATAAATTCCTTCATTATAAATTTATTATATATTTATACTTTAGTCATATTTAATATTAAAAATAAATATTTATCTATTTAGCTCATTATAATTATAAATTTATTTTCTTCCATTCATTGAGTTATTTATTCCCAACACACTTTTATTAATATATAAAAGAAAGATATTTTTAAATTAATATAATTATATTTTATTTTGTTAATATCTTCAAGTTATTATCTTATATTTTTTAGTTTAACATTTGATATTAATAAATAAAAAATAAATGGGTTTAAGGAATATGAGCTTTAAAATAATATAATTTAATAATAATAGAATTATTTCTTTATTAGTTAATTTATCTTTGAATTCACTCTCTAATTTTTTTCCTTTTAATATATTAAAAAGTTCTTAATTCTTTCAAATAAAGTAAAAAAACTCATTATTGAATCAATAGGTAAATATAAAGATGTAAAATAAATTGCTTTAAATCATTATTTAGCATGATTTATATCTATACCAAATTGATATCAACTTCAATTTTGTCTTTTAAGTTAAGTTAAAATTTATAAATAATTAAAAAAATTAAGTTAAACTTCTATATTACTTGATTATAAAAATAATAAATATATGATTTATAGAAAGATTATTAGCAGGTTGGGTTTATTAATGATTTAAATTCAATATTAATAAAAACTTTTAACGAATAGCAAAACAAAAATTAATCTTTTATTTTAATTTTAATATTTTAAATTATTTAAATGAGATAAACTTTTAACTATAAATACATCTGTCTGTTTATTGATTTATTATTAATTTTTTATAATTTAAGTTTAAAACATCTAATATAAAATTTAGTTGACCATTTAAATTAAAATTATTTTAGTATTTTTGTAAATTATGAAACTCATATTTAATTGTTAGATTCTTTATTTATATTTTGCTGAGATTGTTGTTAATTTATTTGTTGTTATTATTAAGTCAAAAATGCTGGTTAGAAAAAGCTAGCTTACTTTTCAGTTCTTTTTGAGTTAATTTCTTGCTTTTAATTAGTTTTATCCAACTATTACAAATATTCCTCATTGCTTATCCTTAACTAATGAGTTAAAATATTATATGAACCAAGGTTTCTGTAAAGATTTTATCTCTTTAGGCTTAAATTTTTTTTGTAGCTGTTGTTTTTCATTTAAATTTCCTCTTATTTTTAGGTGTATTTAAGTTTCAGTGATGGATTGTGCTGTTGAACTATACCTTAAGCTATTCTACCAAACACAAGACTCCCTTTTTATATATATAATATTACAAAATCTCAAAATTAATTTTGAAAGAATTATTTACCTTGCTAAAAAGAGGGTTCTGATTTTAATTTGTTTTAAATGTTTTGAGGTATATTTATATTCTTATCTTGAGATCTTATTCTGTGATAATATTCTTTGTCATTATATTTGGATATTGTTAATAGATCGTCAGCAGTCCTACCAAGAGAAATAGTATTTGAAACTTAATAGCAAAATGGGGAGTTGTTTTAATTTAATATCATGCATTTTGCAAGCTAGGCTAACTCAGATTTCTTTTGAAAGTTAGGAGGGTGGTTTCTTCCATACTCTTAGATTGCTATTTACTAATCAATAAGTAACTTTTATTGGTGCTCTTACTACTTAAAGAATAGATCAAACTCACTCTAATCTAAAGCATAACTATTGTAAGGAATTATTTCGTTTTTCGAAGTGTTAGTTTCAACATTTTTACTTGAAGACTTGGTTGATCTTCTTTCCTACTTTTAATTCTCTTTTGCAATTATAGAGTCATCTAGAATTCTATTTGTGTCTATTTATTATTCAAATAAACAAATATGCATTTAAATAAAATATGTGAATTTATTACTCTTTAAACTGAGCTTTTAGTAAATAGGCACCTATTATGAAACCAAGTCCTACTATTGAGGATTCAAATCTGGAACAAGATGGAAAGGGTTTATGCTTGCTCTTGGTAAATTTTAAATTGTATCAAAATACTCCTGTTTAGACATCTAAAATTTATAATTGTTTCTCCCTTCTTAAGCTTAGTTTTTAGGTATAAATACTTGTTTATTTTGCATTTTGCCTTGATATGTCATATTATCATACTCTCCTTCTTTAAGCTTAAATACTTAAAAAATAAGAATTATATCATTCAAAATGCTACATTTTCAAATATTTGTCATTTTATTTGTTATAAAATATACTATTTATGTTTGGATCTTTGATAGATTGATGCAAATTTGAGAGTTCTTGCTTCTTTTTTTCAGATAATTTTAGCATTACTTGAGAATCTTTTAACAATACTGAGTGATTTGATTAAGATATTGTTGGATTAGGCGGATATTTAAATGATTTATCCCTGTTTTAAGATTATATCGATATTAAACTATCATGAGTAACGCTGTTGTTGAATAGAATTGAGGATTGGGATTAAACTAAGGTTTTTTAAGTTAAGGATCTATTCATATTTAATTTATAATTCGCAATTCAGTTTTGTTATTTATGTGCAGACTAATATTTTAGTTCACTTAATTTATTAATTAATTAATCAATAATTCTTATATTTAATAGTTAGAATTTAGGAAAAGGATACCAAAAACATTTGCATAAATTATGTAAAAAAAGCATTACTATTCAATTATTAATATTAACAAATATAGGTTCAAAAAATTAGTTAATATTGACAGCTTTCTAGAGTTTTATTTTTGAGGAAATATGAATAAAAATCAGTAAAAATATTTACAACAATCAACCATCATAATAATTAATTAAAGACATATCACAGAGAATAAATCAAGTCTTAAAATATCTTATTTATTTTAAAATATTTGATAAATGAAAAATTATTTTGTTTTAAATAACTTTGATTTATTTTATATTTTCATTTTAAAAGTATTTCATGATGGAAGTTAGCAAAAAATGACAATCATTTACAGATAAAAATTTATTTAAATATTTATTAATCTAACTCAAAAAAAAAATAAAATCACTATATAAGAAATTAATAACTGAAAATATTTTATTTGAAATATTACAAAAATCAGAAAAATTTCTTATTGAAATTAAAGAAAAGCAAGAACATATATATTTATTTATGGATTGAAACATAATAATTTATCTTGACTGAAAGTTATTGCTTTACATTTATGTTATTTTATTAAAAAGAGATATATCCTTACAAGTAATAAATTAACAATTTATGCAAATAAATTTTGCGTGCCAAGAATAATTATCAAGTATAGATAATGCATAAAAGTAGCAAATAAAATGAAGTAAATCTATTAAAATTTAATTTCTACAATAAGCTTTACAATAGTCATTGGGAGTATATCATTTCCAACTTTTTTTGTCAACAATGGGATATTTTAATCTTTAATACTCCTTGTAATTTCAGCTGTAATAACTGATAATGCATCTTAAATTTACATTAGTAAACTCAGCTAAAATTTTAAGACTATTGAAGATGTAGTTAAACATTTTTTAGGATCTAAATGGAAAACATGCTTTTAAATAGTTAAAATTGTATATTTACTTTAGTTATCATTAATATACATATTGTACATAAATGAATTCTTTCGGAGTATAATAAATTAGTTTCTTGATCAACAACATTAACTAGATATGAAATTAATAGCACTTATAATATCTCCTTTTTTATTTACTTTGTACTTAATCAAAAAAGTAGAAATCTACATGAAGGCATCTTTCATTAATTTATTGATATTACTACTAATATTTGTTCTTTACATTTATCTATCTATTTCTTCAATTAACGAAAGCTAAATTACTGATCTTATGTTTTAGTTTGATTTGAGTTAAATCCCTAGCCTATTGTCTTAAAATAACCTTTCTTTTCAGTTTTAGATCTATTTACCTGACCTACTAGTATTTTCTAATACTTCAATAAAAAATAAAGAAATTTCAAGGATTACAATCATAATTTCTTTTTTTTACTTCTTTTTTTGTGGTCTTTTCGGTTCTTTAGCATTAACCAGTTAAGGAATAAAAAAAGGAATAAGTGGTTTATTTATTAATTTGTATGATAATTAACCAATCACTCTAGTTATGAAGTTTTTAATGATATATCATGTATTAATAAATATGGGTTACAAATTTATAGTATTGAAAAGAACGTTATACTAACTCATTTTTTTAAAAAATAATATGGAATCTAACAAAAAGAAAAGGCTTTAATTATGCTTATAGTTATTTCTAAGCTTGCTATTGATATTATTAAGTATTTCTACTACCAGCTAATAAAACTCATTTATTATGATAACTGGCTCAATAACTGCATTTTTTATATTATATTTGGTACCTTATAACTTAAAATATCGCTCTTCTTATTTAAAATTAAAATATTTTGAGCCTAAAAATTCAAAATCAAAATAATTAGAAATGATCATGTAATATAACTAACAATAAGTCTTAATGAAAGAAAATTCGAATTGCTAAAAATTTTTAGTTTGCTTATCAATTAACAATTCTATTTCAAATATAAAAAATATGGAATGTATAAATTATAGTCAAACTAACCTTGGTTACTATTTAAAAAAGAGATAAACCATAAAGAAAAATGTATCTCTTATAGAAAAATATAAAGATGAAACTATGATTTATATAGGCTACATTATGTTGTCTTATGGTCTCTATTTTATAGTAATTAAAAATGCATTTTGAATCTTCCTCTTAAAAATATTTGATGAATCAAGAAAGAATTCAAGAGTAATTAAGTAAGAAAAAATATAACTCGTTATCAAAATAAAATTTTTTTAACAAATTAAAAAATAAATTACAAATAATTCCTTTAAAAAAATTTCATTTATATTTGTAATTTAATTCAACAATATAAAAAATACACAAAATTAATATTCTAATGAAGCTTCGCTTTGCTCTTTTTGAAAAGAGAGGTAGATTTAGAGAGATGTATATCCTTGATAAAATTTTGTAGATGAAACTATGATTTAAGTAAACAGATTTTGTTGTTGTATGATGCCTACTTTGTAGTTAAAATTATTTTGATAATAAAATTAGAATTCAATCATAATTTTAAAAATTAATTTTGTAAAATAAAATAATGGCTATTTTTAAAAAAATTTATTTCAAATAATTCCTGAGCAAATATGTCATTTAATTGAGTTTATATTAAAAATAATGTTTTTATAGATTCTTTCTGTTTGTGCTTAACTTTACTACTTACTCATCAAATACAATCTTCTAGTATTTATTTACATATTAACTTTGTTACAATTTTACTTTTAATATCATAAAATATGCTTACTGAAATATAGATTAGTTTATGAAAGAGATATATAAAACTTGAATATTATACAAGTAAGCAGTAAAAATTTCAAAATTTAGTTTAATATAATTAAAAAAAAAAGTAAGCAAAAAAATATCGCAACTCATTCTTAATAATTTATAAGAAATGAAATGGTTACCAGAAAATTGTTTAGAAAGTATCAGCTTAACAATAGTACTTGATCCTATAATATTTCCTTCATACTTCTACATGAATGGTATTATAGTTTCTTGTATAATATACATTATTTCTGGATTTATAGTTCTACACTCCTCCAAAATATATACTACAATAATGGAAATGAAAGCAAAAAAAATTGATTAAATAATCTAATTTTTTCTAGGGTAAAGATGGAGGTTAACATATTTAATTGCCTCTTTAGTTTATATTATGCAGCTAATGTAAATGTACACACTTTATATAAATAAATTCACAAAAGACATTATGGTTTCTTTTTTTCCACTAGACTCCTTGTCTTAATATATAGAAGTATTGGTTATACCTATAACATCTCCTATGATAATTAGTTCTCTAATATGCAATTCAACCTCTCCTTTAAAACTTGGATTGAAATTAAATGTAGTTTTCTTAGTCTCAATAGTCTTGATTTACATATACATATTTATATCTTCTTTTGAGCAAATAAAAAGCAACTTTGATTCATCAATATTAACTACTTTTAATTTAGAAAATCTACCTTACTTTATTTCCTAAAATAATTACTCATTTCACTTCTAATTGTATTTATAAGAGCTGGTAGTATTTAATTAGAATAATAAAATTGTAAATAAAAAAATTTAATAAATTGTAATATATTTTGCTTTGTCTGTAGGATTATTCTTTGGAGTGATTGGTAGCTTGATTGTAAATGATTAGGAAAAGCAAGGAATGGTAAACAAAGAAAACTCAAATTAATTGTATCAGTTACTTATATTTTAGTATTTAACTTAGTTTCCAGTCATAGTTATAGTGATGAAGATATTTATTATATTTAATATGCTTTTTAATATCGGCTTTAAATTCGTGATATTTAGATAAAATCTTACCAAATTTTTAGTAGAAAAGAAAATTAAAAACTTTAATGAAAATTACTTCAATAAAATGATAAAAGTATAAATAATTATATTTATACTAGTCCTAAATTTATCTACAGAAAACTAACAAACTTCATTATTCATAATATCTGGTTCTGTCACCTGCTTCTTTATACTTTATCACATCCCATATCTTTTAGAAAAAGCAAGAAGAAATTACATAATAAGTAAAAAATTTAATAGCTTTTGTCTAAGCAAAACTTAATCAAAAAATATTTCATAAAAATAAATTTACTTAAATTTTAGAAGTCTGTAAGTTAATGAACTTAATTCAATAGTTGCTTTAAATGAGAGTTTCTGTGGTAGAGATGATTAGTTTGAAATATATACTAAGCAAAACATAAATTTGAATTCTCATAATATTACAGATATTATTGTTGATTTACAAGTAAAGTCCTCATTAGTTTAGTTTGCAGAAACAATTAAATATCAAATTGGTCTCATTATTTTTATACACGGTTTTTATTTTTTGATATTAGGAGCTTTATATATAAATTGATTAGAATAAAATGTATTTTTCATAAACTTACTTTAAATGAAAGAATATAAAATAAAAAAATTAGATTCATATTAGACTACTTAAATTAATATTTAAATAAAATACATACATTTTCTACTTGTTAATCCAACATATAAAGTAGTTTTATCTTGTTTAAATATACTTTAAAATAATTATGATTTAAAATAGGTTTTTTAAATTTATTTTTTTTTACATTTCATTAAATTTTTTGAATTTTGAGTTTTTATTTTGATATTGATTGGGATTTCTATGCAAAATAAATAATAATATTTATCTTGAAATTATGATTCAAAAGAAATGTATTCAGTAAATCCTTTATAAATTATTTTATTCTCTTCAAATTCTTAAAGAAATTATTGCTGAAATACTCCCTAGAATTTAATTATTGATAATAAATAATAAACAATTTTAATAAATGTAATCATTTTTAATGAATGAAATTCTTTTATTAATTTAAAAAATATATCTACTATCTAAATAACTTATGCTTATTTTTAAAAATATTTTCATTTATTTAGTTGACACTTTAATGCAAAGAATCTTCTTTTATTATACTTTTTTTACAGCAAAAGTTTAGATATCAAAAATTAAAACAGGCTAAATAAAAAGTAGCAACTATTAGAAATATGTCAAACCCTTAAAAGTAAGAGCTAAACACAAATCCTATCGATTAGAGTTTATAATAAGTTTTTTCATAAAATGACGATGATGATATTAAAAAAGCTATAGAAAAGCAAAAATAACCTAGATGTTTTACTAAATCAATGAAGGATTAATGTTGGAATAATGTAGATAGATAATATTTATTGTTTATGCTCTACTTTATAAATTAACTTCTTTTAAAATAATTCTTTTAGGCTACTATATTTATTGGAAGACACCCTGATAGATGGAGATTAGATGCAGTTGGCAATCCCGTTTTAAGAGTAATAATTAGTATTAAGAATAGGAATATATTGATTAAATTTCTTTTTTTGTCAATTAAAATTCTAAAAGGGATTAACTTCTTGTTTAGGACCTCTTTGCCATGAATATGACCATATTGTACCTTTTTCTAAAGGAGGAAAAACTGAGATTAGTAATTGTCAAATTTTGTAGACTATGGTAAACAGATATAAATCAAATAAGACTAACTAGAGTCACAAAGAACTTATTGCAGTTTCTTCTACTAATAAGTTTACAAGTAATTTTTTTAATATGATCAAAATTTGGATTTTTCTTAATTTAATCTAATAAAGACTAAGAATTTGATAGTATTGAGAGGGCAATTTACGGAGATATATTAAAAGTTGATGCTGAATAGCAAGTTAAAGAAGCGTCTAAATAATCCCTTAGAATATTATATGCATAAAAGGAGATCGATCAAGTGCTATAATAGGAGTAAAGAATGACATATTTTGAGTAAAATTTAAAAAGAAATGAAGAAAATAGCAGAAGCACAGCATGACATTTACAAATAGTTAATAAAATATATACGATTAATTGATTGATTGATTTATTGATGGTGCATATTATGTATTCATCATACAAATTAAAATAAGATTATAAATAAAATTTCAAAATAATAAATATTTTTATAGTTATTTATTTTTACATTTAATAATTTAGTCAAATTTATTTTATATAATTTATTTATTTAGTTTGTTTTTTATTGGTTGGTTGATATTTTTTAGCTAAACTATTAGTTTTTTTTCTAATCTATTTATTTATTTTATTTGGTTGGAAAATTTTTAATCTTTTTATCAAAATTAATTATTTATTTATTTGCTTGTTTAATAGAAATTGATAAAGTTAGTGAGTTAGTTACTCAAGTTTACTTATTTTTTTTAATAAAGTATTTTAATATTATTTATTAACAGTTCAAGATTTCCAAGAATATTAATAACGGTTCAGTAATTTAGTAAATTCAGTAAGTAAGTATAGGCAAGCAAATAATCTCAACAAGATTTTTTATTTTATGATTGAATTATTTTTCGATATTTTTGTTTATATCAAACTCAATCTTTTTTTATTATCGAAAAAAATACTTTTTTTACTTTATCCCTGTTTTTAATAAAAATTTTTATAAAGTTTTGATTATTTAAAAATAATTTACCATAAAGAAGTTGAAGAAGTGCCATTTGCTGATGGTGCTAATTATTTAATTTTATTTTAAATCAAAGGCTCTTTTTAGCTGGTGCAAGTAGTAGATTTATTTTGAATTTATAGCTGAAAACTATCACTTTGGCTGTTGTGAAGTTTAAGCTGCTTATTAAGTATGTATTCAGTTTAGTGTATTTAATTATTAGGAGTGATATTATCTTCAATAATGTCGTAACTTTTAATTTTATTTCGGCTTTCAAATATTTTTGAATTATCAAATTGTGGTGAATTTCCTGTAACTTGAGAGTATGTTCTTTTTTTGCTCTTTCTTCTTGTTTCATAAATAAATGAAGAATAATTTGATTATTTTTATGTTTTGAGCATGTCTCCTAATGAGTTAGGAATCATATTATTAATAAAATCGATTGCTTTGTAAACAAAGGAACCTCCTAACTTTCTTTCTGAGCCATCATCTGAAGTATTTTAATTAAATGCATCACAATCACTCTAAATCTTTGATAAATTTTCGCTTTTTAAATGGTCATATTAGCTTGGTATTTATGCAGCACAGGAATCTCCTAAATTCCAATCTGAAAACTGTAAGTTATTTTCTTAATTTTCTTCAGAATTAGTTGTATTATTAATATTGCTGTTTAAAACTTAAGAATATAATCCTGACGAATCATTTTTGCTTTCCTTTGAAGAGTTATCAGAAAATGACATATTTTAGTTCTCCTAAAGATCTTTCTTAAACTACTTTTCTAAGGAAATAATTTATTGGTAGTATTTATTGTTGTAGTAGTTATATTTATGTTCTTCAGACTCAATGTGCTTTTTATAATTATTTAATTTAAAAATATATAATTTGTATTCAAAAATTATAATCTTTACTTCAAAATATCCCTCTTCTGAAAAATCTCTCTGGCAGATATGACATCTTGTTCTTTTTTTTAAAGGTTAAGGTGCCTTCTATGGTGTTTGTTAATATTTAAAATAATTTAAATATAAATATACTTTTATAATTAAAATTTATTATTACTAAAGGTTTCTACTTATCCTTAGATTTATTTTTTTTCTTTATAAACTCTGTTAGCATCTAACTACTTCTTGTCAGGTTTATTTACTAATAATTAATTCAAAATGTTATAATTCAAGCATAATTATTCATATAATTGTACTTAATCAAAGTCAGATTAAAAACACGGAAGATATGGTTGACCATGTGGTGTAAATTTAGGTAATGTGCAATAGTTTCTCATTAAATTTCTATATTTTTATTTTATATCATTTTGTTATATATCATTATTATGTTATCATAAATATTTGATTTTGCAAATTATAACTAAAATTATTTTACTCATCAGATTAAGAATCAAAGCAGAATGTGTGCTCTTATCCAGAGCTCATTTATCGATTAAAAAATCCCGTTGATAAGTGCTTTATTTTTATTTTATGAGAGCAAGGTTCTTTTGAACAGCATTATTAGCATTGTGAGTTTTCACTTCCTGTTTAGGAATCAATACTCACTATAGATATTTTCATTTTATTTATTTAAACAATTCTATAATAGAAGAAGTAGTATTTAACAATGTATATCTAGAGTAACTTTATGCTAAGTAGATAAGTTTATGATAAAGCGGTAATTAGTTAGTACCTTATTCTAATTAGTTTTGTTACTTTGAACAAATAAATAAATAATATCAATTATTATTTTTTCTAATTAATAATAATATACCGCTAATTTTGCAGTAAAATCAAATAAGATTAAAAAATATAGCGATTTAATTCCTATCCAAAATACCAGTTTATTCTGAGAGGATTCAAAAAATTAGTATTGGTAGAAAAATTTATCAATTTTTAATACTAATGCCTAAATTTATCAAGCAAAATGACAAATGAATTAAAGAATGAATGAATGAATTAATTTATTAAAAACAAATCTTTGAATGTATTATTTATTAATTATGTTTGTTTACTTTTTAATAATCAAATCAGTAAAATTGCTAAACTTAATAAGATAAAATGAGAGTAAAAGCTAATTTATTGTTTCTAATTTTTAACCTTTGAAAAGGATGAAAAATCTAATCTAAATTTCTAATTAAGCCTAAAAATATTTTAAAATAATGCAAAGTAAATAGTTTTTGAAGAGCGGCTTTCCCTTATTTTGATGTATGCCATACAGAATGTTCTTCATAAAAATAAATATATTAAATTAAATTTTAAATTTATTATTTTTAAGTAAATTAAAAAAATCTAAAATTTTTATAAAGCGATTAAACTAAATTTAATATTCCCTAACAATAAAAGAACAGTTTTTGAACATATAAATTTATTAATGAATACTAAATTGATTATTAACTTAGATTCTAAATTATTTATTTTGTAAAAAAATGAGCTAAAAATATTAAATTCTAAATAAATTAAATTTAGAGATACTTCTAGCTATTTCGAATATTAAAATTAATTCACACATAAAGCTAGTAATGTAATTTAGTTAAAGATAAAACAATTAACTAATTTATTAACTAACTCATAGGTCTAAATTATATTATTTGTTATAAAAATTTAAACTTTTTAGTAAGAATTAATCAATCATGTTTGTTTTCTTCTTACTTGTTTGTTTTTAAATCAATCTAAATTTATTTCAAAAATTGACATCCCCTTCAGAAATAAATGACGCGTTTGCATCAATTACAATTTGAGATTTTTTACCGATATTACTTTTAAAGAACTTCTAATTATTAACTCCACTTATCATAGACATATCTACAGAAAAAAGTCTATTTGGGTCATTATTTCTTCTTCTCTCTTCTTCCATCTTTTTTTCTTCTTACTCTTTTAGCTTTTTAGTGTTTGGATCTTCCTAAAATATGTAGTCTAGTGGGTCACTTAAGCTTCTCTTTGCCCTTGTTAAGTTATGAGCTCCGACTTTATAGGTTTAACCTCCTTGAAGTTTATCTTTAACATATTTAGTTATTCCTATTTGTTTTTGATTCTATTTGATGTTGCTGTTTTCGTAAAAATCTTTTATTTAAAAATATAGCTTTAAAATTATTTTGATTTAAATATTCTTTATTTACCTTTAGCTAAGTTAAGAAGATAATTTTTGCACTACTTAAGATTCATCTAATCATTGTTATCATCATCAAGGTCGTTTTTAGACTCATTATCATACAAGTCTTGCAAAATATTGTTGTTATTGTTATTAATATTATTGCACGATACCAAATTATTACTGTTACTAATATTATTATTGTTATAAGTAAATGGACGAGCTGTTGATGGATAAGCATAACCCAAATCATAATCAGGTTACTGCATATTATTTGAAATATTATTGTTATTATTTGAGTTTTAATCTTAGGCACTTGGATTTTTTTAAGTTTGCATAAAGAGTAATACTCTCTGCTGTTATTACTAGGCGTATGAGGGGGAAACCAGAGGCTATAAATAATTATTTGATTGAGATAAAACATCTCTTCTATCTGATTTTTCTCCTGGTCTTGCAGTTATTTCTTCATGTTCAAGTGCTTCTGTAATTATATTTCTTGGAGAGCTTACAATTGGAAGGCAATTCATAGGCATACTTGGAGAGTGGCCATGTCTATTGATTTATCTATTAAAATTTTATGTATAAAAATAGTCAAATCATTTGTTTTATTGTTTTTCTTACTATTGAGGAGGCTGAGTAAGGGGTTTATCTAAAGATGCAGAAGAGTTATTTTTTCTCCTATTTCTAATAAGGTCCATGTATTTTTAATAATACTGCTTATAATAATCTATTTCCTACTTCAATTTATCCACTTTATCCAAATAAGGTTTTTGACTTTCAATCAGAGTCTAATTTGTCTCGCATGCTTAAGCATTAAATTATTGCAATTGATCAATCTTTTTAATAATATGAAGATAAATATATAATTTAGTAAAAAAATTAATAAATAAAATTTAGATTTAAAAATTGCTTGCTTACTTGCTTTAGAAGAATTTAGTTATTTTACAATTCGCGATGAAATAGTATTTTAAAATTTCTGACTGTCATTTAGAGTTTTTGTATGTCATCGATAAGTTGAGCTTTAGATTTGATGTTGGGATTTTAGTAGAAGTTTTTATTGTACATGTTTTGATTATGCTATTCATTCCATTCTTCTTTTTCTTCATAAAACTCTTTGATGAATTCCTTATTAATAAGCAAATCTTCGTCTCCATGTTCAAGCTTATCGTTATGTATAAACTCTAAATTTATAAATAATTTAATATTTTGAGTGATAGAAAAGAGAATAGATAAATAATTTGATCTAAAATCTTGTAGCTTATTTTATAATTTCAAAAAATATTTGTAAAATGCATTGATTTAATTTTTTTATTTGTTTTGAATATATATACCTTTCATTTTGTGAAAATTAATTTGGTTCTTAAGAGCAACTTTGATTTTTATCACATCTCTTTTAATAACCTATTGTTAATAAAAAATTTTAATGCGTTAGAGAAAAATTTTTATGCACGAATTTATCAAAAATAAAAAAAAAAAAAACACTCAAAGTAAAAGATTGCGTAAAGTTTTTTTAATTTATTGGGATCTTGATTGTATAATTTAAAGTCAATTTGTTTGTACTATTGCTTCTAGTAAAAATATTGAATTGTAATTTAAAATTTTATTTTACTCTATTAAATTGTTTTAGCTTTTCATTCCTTTCTTTTAGTTTTTAGTTATCAAAACTCAGCTTTTTGATCAGAAGCTTATGATTTTCAATTTCATTATGCAATTTTATTGATTACTCATTAGGTGTTATTATCTATTTATAAAATTAAGAATTGGTTAGTGTATGTTGATTGTGTTTCTTCTTATTATATGCAAATACTTCTTACTTCTCTTATCTTTATTGCTACGTCTCTTTCTTATTGAGGCTTCATCTTTTCTAACTCTTGTATAGCATACTCCTTATCATGAATTATTCTCCTTAACTCTAAAATCTTTTCTTCTAATTCCTAAATAACATCTTTTTAAAACGATACGGCCTCTTCATTGACTTATTCTTAGATTAATACCTATTTATGTTTTTAAATGAATGCTAATTAATATAGTCATCAAGCAAAATACAGAAATCGAGGATATTTTTTTATTTAAAATGAATCAGTTCAAATAAGTCTGATTTTAAATTTTAAAATAATTTTTGAGTTATGTATTGCTTTATTACTTTTGACTAAGCTTAATTCCTTTCTCTTGTAACACGCTGCAGAGACTAAAATAATTATTTATTTTCTTAATATAGTTTGTCAAATAGCTTATTGGTGTTTTCTTAATCTACAGTATTACTTTATCCAAGTGTTGTGGAATTAGAGTTATTTATTGAGTATTATTTACGCTATTGCTCATAAGCCAATTTCAAAGCTTCTTTGTTTAACTTGAGAGCCTATTCTAAATCTTTAATATCTTCTTATAGTTAAGCATTTTCAGCCTGAAGAAATTAAATCTTTGAATTTTGCCTATTAGTAACAAACTCATTTACTTCAGTTCCTAAAATATTTTGCATCATCATTTTATAATTTAACTTTTAATTTAAGTATTTTCAATATTTGTAGAGTTGTTCAACAAATGGACCTTTCTAAGCCTATATATTATGTATTTATTTTGTTCAATATGACTATGTAATTTATTTATCTGAGAGAATTGATTATTTTTCAGTATCTTTATTATAATTGAAAATATATTACTTTTATTTATTTTTTTTTTGATCATCTAATTAATATAAGACTACTTTTTTAATTTAATAAGACCATCCTGAAAGCATTCATTTAATATTTTTTAATTTCTCTAACCTTTAATAAAAAAATATTATTTTTAATTCAAACTTAATCAAAATTTATAGTTATTTTTTATTTCCTCAAAAAACTGATTCTCCTTTTATCATATTCAAAACCCTATTTTATTTTATATATTTCCTTCATTCATGAAAAAGAAATGACCAAAAGTTATAATTTAATTTTTTCAAAGCCATTTGGTAGATTATATTTTTTAGATTAAAAAATTTACCTTTTATGATAATATTAAAAGAATAATTACCACTTATTATTAGAAAAACATACAATCTAATAATGTAAACATTTATTAAATAATTTAGTATGAAATGATACAAATAATTTAATCGTTTGTGGTTCATATACTTCTTATATTTCACAAATTTAATATTTTTTTATATTAAAATTGAATAATTATGTTTAAGATTAAAATTTAATCAAATAAATTTGGTATATAATTTATAATTTATTTTTGAGTTTTATGAATTAAAAAAAATACTTATTTAATTGTTTTTTATATCAAAATATATTTTTACAAATCTGAAATACAATCAAAAATGTCTAACTTCATAACAAATAAATTATTTCTATTTAACTTTATTTTCATTAGATATTATTTTGAAATATCATATTAGAATGATAAATTTATATCTAAGTAAAGTATATTTTATTAAAAAGGAAAAAATTATTATTTTCTTATGATATTTTCTTTAATAATTTATAAAATAATTTTAAAAAAAGAATTGTTATTATATTTTTTTATTGATTTTGAATGAGTATATTTATCTTGTCAAATCTAAATTTAAAGTAATTAAAAATTTTAATTTGATAAAGCAATAAATGAATAATAATGTTATTATATTAATTCACTTCTAGATAAAAATTCCTATTAAATTAAATGTTATTATTTTATTAAAAAATCTTGGATTTGGTATTAAAAAAATTTGAATAAATCAATCAAGGTTTAACATATTTGATTTTAAAATTATTGTTATTAATTTTAGATAAAAATAGTTAATTATCAAACACCAGAAATCACTTTAATATTATAACTTTTAGTTTGATAAATTAATTATAATTTTTAGAATTGAATAAAGCTCTAAAAATAATTTCATTTTAATTCAATGCTTTCTTATAAAAAATTGTTATAATTAGTGAATTTAATTGCAAATTTACTTATTTTATAAATAAAAAATAATTTTTTTTAAATGAAATAAATATTTTGAAGAAAAAAAATAGAATTTAAACTAAAAACAAAATTATTTTTAATATTATTTTATTTACTTAACAATTAAAAAACTAAACATTTTTAAATGGAGAAAAAAAATATCTTTTATAAGGCTTTTTACTGTAAAATAAATTATCATATCTAAATATATACTTACATTAATTAATTACGAAAAGAATAAAAACAGTAAAAATAAGTTTTTTGTAATTAATTGTATAATTTTTAACTTATTTTTAAATTAACCAACCAATTAATAGATATTATTTACTTACTTAATTATTTATATAAAATAGCACTTTTACTTGATTACTTCAAATAAAAGATTAGATAAAAATTTAAACTATTAATAAATAAATGATTATTTTTAAAAGACTAGATTTATTTTACTCACCTTTTTAGTTTCATTTTAACTAATAAACTAAAGGATAGCGCACTGTTTTAGGAGCATTCTTATCCTTATCTGTAATGTCGATTTCTTTATCATACTTTGTTTACATGATTTTACAATACACTAATAATTAAATTGATGCTAACATTTCATCTCAGAGTTTTTATGCAGAGGAAGGAACTTTTGTTGATCTTAAATAAGATTTGATTGGCTTTTAATATTAATACTCTTTTAATAAATATCTAGATTAATTAGAATTATCCACTAACAAGACATATCTAGTGATAACTCCTTACTTTTATTACAATAACTAATCATCATACCAATTTATAAAGTTAAGTTATAAAGAATGTTAGGACCCTCAGCTTGAAGGTTATAAATGTTTAGATTTCTCTAAAATTTAGAATTACACATTGAATATAAATGCTAAAAAAAGTATTGGATCATATATTTTAATTTACATTCATAAGTGTTATGATGTGGATTATATAAAACCATTTATTCCTGATAATTGTGCTAGTTAGGCAGAAGTAGAAAAATTAATTAGTAACCCAAATGGAATTTTTAATTTCAAACTTTATACGTCTTAATTTAACACAACATCAAAGAAGTTATAAGTTAACTATAAAAATAGCTATTCTTATATATAAACCGATTAACATCAATTGATCAATTATAAGGTTTAATAATTAACTACTACTGTGAAAGATGGTATTATTTTTCAAAACAAGTAAGACTTTTTCTCTCCAATTCAATACAACGTTAATTAATAAAGTTTTAATTGGTAAACATTTTTTAAAATATCAAATGAAACTTCGATGATGAAAATTACCTTTTAAATGGATGAATTTGTTCAATATGTTAAAATACAGTATCAGACATTTCCTGAAATACTAGCATAAGTCAATAGTATATTTTCACTATTAATGCTAGCTGGTATTATTGCTAGAAAATTTGCTTCTGGTATTATTTTTAACGAATTTTATAATTTGTTGATTTAAAACATGTATTTTTCTTCCAAAATAAAAATGAATCAGCTTCTAAAGCAAAGTAACTCAAGATAATATTAAAGCAAATACTTCTAAAAAAAATTAAAATAAACCAAGTTTAAATAAAGTCCTTTTAATAGTTAAGCAAACTATTAATAAGATGAAGTTAAGTTAGATATTAGTTAACTTAATTTAACAAATAACTAGATTGAACAAAATTAATCTAAAAAGGTAAGTTAAATTAAGGATTTATCATAAATTAATTTTTAAAAGAATAAAAATTAAGAAATTTAGTATTAGGATTGTTAAGTTACTCTTAATAATTCTTCACAGATTTAAATTCCAAAAATTTATCAAAAAAAAACTTCTAAAAATGAAGAAGAAGTGAATAATTCTTTGTAAGAAAGTTATCTTTAAAGTTAAGCTGTAAACAAAAGAGATTAGTAGTCAATATCAATAAATAACCAAAATCAAAGTAACTAAAATAATCTTATTCCAGATTAGGTTTAGGGTTAGAATACTGATTTAAAGTTTAAAAAGTAACTCAATTTAAATTATTTAATTTTACATAACAATTATTAATAATTTTTTCAAGGTTATAGAAGAAAGGTTTAGAAGATAGATCTATTTAATTTGATAGAAAAATTAAAAATTTTATAGAAAAAGAAGTACATAAAAGTCTTGACATTTTATAGTTGTACAAAGATTTAATCTTTTTGAAAAAAGCTGTAATGATTCTTTTAAGAAAAGATTAACTTGCAGCAATAGAATTTATTGGAGTATGTCCGTAGACAATTAATAAACAAGTTGATATCAATTAAGATAATTATGATGAAAAAAGTATTTTTATTTAACTTAAAAAAATTTGCATTTTAATTTTTATCAATAAATTAATAAAGCAAATATGAATTATTTTGAGAAACAGTTTGCAATATCAATATCAAATCAGCTAACTATAGAGTATGCATAAAAATTTTTGGATAGAGTAAATCTCAATCATTCAAGAAAATTTAATGAAATAGATAAAAGAATTTTATCTTGCTTAAATTGAATCCTTTTCTGTCTTTCTTTCATCTCGATTAATTTTTTAATAGAAAATAAAAATAAATTAATATTTTTCCTTATTTGTTTCATTTTTTTTATCAAATAAAAAATAAAATAAATATTTTTTAATTTTTAAGAACCATTTTCATATTTATTTGTTTGTTTTTTTTAATCAAAATAGCCACCCTTAATACTATTTCTGTTTTTATTTATAAATTAGTAAATCAATTAATTTATCTGACTTTTCTAAACAAATTAATAAATTATTCTTTAATACATTTTATACACTTGTTAAAAAAGTATAAAATACATTTAATGCTAAGTTAAAAAAACATATTGGCTTATCAATTTTTTTTTAACTATTTATAAATCAAAAAAGATCTAGAATCATTAAAATGATAGCAATAGAAAGATAGAAAATTTCGATTAATATTTCTTTATATAAATATCTGAGATTAAATTAATTAATTTAATTAAAAAATTTAAATCTAAACTAAAAAACATAAAGATATATTTATTTATTTTCAATCAATATTTTAGAAAGAATAGTAAATTAGATAAAAAAGAAATGGCTGAATAACTTAAGAAGTGTAAGAGAGGAGGATGCAATAAATAATTTAAAGAGAGTGAAAATACAGGAAATTCTTGTAAATTCCACCCTGGCAAACCACTTTTCCATGATACTAAAAAGGGATGGACTTGTTGCAATAAAATTGTTTATGATTGGGATGAGTTTGCAAAAATAGAACCTTGTGCTGAGGGCATGCACAGCGATTTAGATCCTATGTAATCTGCTTAAGGTTAGGATGGGTTCTTTAAATCAGAAACTGTTAATAATGCATAAAAAGCAATTGATAAATCTGAAAATAAGCCTGTAATCAAAAAAATTTCAGATTACAATTAGTAAGATGACAAAAAAGAAGCCAAGCAATAATAAGCTGAAAATGGAACAGAAAAGAAAGTATTTGTTACACCATCTGGCAACTTAAAGTGCACTAACAAAGGATGTTAAAAAGAATATAAAGAAGAAGATAACAAAGATGATTCTTGCAAATATCATGCTGGTGCACCTGTTTTTCACGATTTAAAAAAGTTCTGGAGCTGTTGTCATGTATTATTTACAATTTTTACTTATATTTTTCATTCAAAGCAACATTTAAATGAACTAAAAATTAATAAAATAGAGAAAAATTAAAATTTAAAATAATTTCAAGTAAAATCAGTTTAAACAAAATTATAAACTGGCAAAAAGAAAGATATTATTATAAGCATATTTTAATTTTTATTATTATTAATAGACTGTTACATACGATTGGGACGACTTCATGAAGTTACCTACTTGCACAGTTGGTAGACATTAACCCAAATTTGTTTGAATTATAAACTGTAATTTATTATAAAGAATATGTAAAAACATAAGCCATAAATAAATATATTTCATTTGTATAAAACTTAGTTCTTAAATTATTTCAAATCAATAATAAAATGATAACTCAAAATCAGATAAAGAATTTATAAAATAAAAATAAATCGTTTAAACTAGAATTTGAATATTAAAAGCAAATTATAAAAGCGATATTTAGAAATATTTTTGTGTTAAGCAGATTTTTAGTAAATCTAATAAATAACAAATGAAGGAGGACTCTATTAATATATTAAGTTGCCAAAAGTAAAAAATTAAAAAAATACTGCTTTTAGCATACAAGCTAATTATTTTGAATTTTAGAAAGAATAAAATTTCAGTGTTTAGATAGATATAAAAAAGTAAAAAAATATATTTTAAATATTGATCAAAACTGATGAATTTTTAGTTGAAAATATCTTTCCTTATTCTTTTATTAAAATATACTTCTTTTTTATTTATTTATTTATTCTAGAAACTAATTAATTCAGTTTAATTTTATAATTCTAAAACTTATTAAAATATTTATAAAATATAATAAAGTACCAAATAAATGTTTTAAGACTCTAAACATAATTGAAATATTAGAAAGTAATTCAAGTATAATAGAGAAAGCACTTTATATATTTAAAAAAGAAAAATGTATTTTAAAAAAATGAAAATACAATAAACTAAATATTTATTTTATAAATTTATCATTTAACAGATAATAAATATAAACTAAATTAAATCCTTATTTTTAATATGAAATTAATAAAATTTATTATAATTAATTGGTTATTTTTAAAAGATTCTTTTTAATTTTTTTGTTTATTCTTATGGAAAGCTAATATAAAGATTATCACATTAAGTTTACAACTATATCATTTGAAATAAAAAATTATGTTTATTTTAATTTAGATTTTTAATAAATTGATCAAATAATTTAATTTTTTATGGTCAAAACTTTTGAGCTTTTATTTTGAAATATTCTTTCAATTTATAATACAATTTAAATAATTTCTAATAAAATATTTATCTTATTTAGCCTTTTTCTAAACTTTTAAATTAATTCACTCACCAAGTTTAATGAAATACACCATTATCTAAAAAAAATTTTTTTTTTTTTGCTTATTAATTTATTTGCATAATTAAATTATTGATTAGTTAGTTTCAAGATCAAATATTTTAAGGAAAGTATATAAATTTATTTTATGAGAATAAAAAAATAGATGATCAAATTTTAATAAGAATTTTTATTGAATAGAATTTAATTTAAAATAGATATTTGGTAAAATTTAAGAGAGAGTTTTACATAATTTAATATTTATCATACAAATTTATAAATACTAAAAATCAACCATCTTTTATTCTAATTTATAGAAGAAGCCTAAATACAATAAATTTGATATAAATTTAGAAAAGTTTTATTATAGAGTTGTTGTTGTTGTTGTTGTTGTAGTTGTATGTATGTATTTGTTTGGTTATGTATTTAATTATTTGATAAGCAATAGATAGATAGATAAAGAGCAGTAAATAATAATTTGCTTGTTTTTAGTATTGATATTTCTTTGACTTATTAATAATATTTAATTCAATTATAAAATAGTATCAAAGAAAGAAATATTAATTCCTATTAAAATTGATAGCAAAAATTAAGGAAAAAGAAACAAACAAATAATCAAACCTTCTTTTAAACTCAAAGCTTGTAATTAAATTATGAAATAGCATTAAGGAATTTTTATTGGATAAGACTTATCTCAAGCTTACGATAACTTAACTAAAGACACGATAAGCATGGATGACATACTTCAATGTGAGTATGAAAGTATGCTGGATAATCGAGATGAGTTTTTAACTTAGCATGAAAATTTAACTCCTTAAAAGAGTATCACAGAAATCATGTAGAAGAAAAATAAAGTGGAAAAGAAAATTGTAGTAAAGAGATACTTGTCATGCAAATGGAAGATCTAAGAGGTAAATTTTATTAGTAAAAGGAGAAGAGATTTGTTTAATAAAATATGTATATTAAAGGATTTTGAAGTGGAAGAGATAGGGAACAATAGATTTCAGATGAAAAAAGTAATTTGCTTTTAAGTTTTCTTATCCTTTTTTAGCTTTTTTTTGTATTTTTCTTCTTCCTTTCTTGTATGCTCTCTCTCTCTCTTTATTTGTGGGTTAGAGTTATTGAATATATTAATAAGACTGCTCATCTATTTTTAATATATAAATGGAAAGATATTTATAAATTTTATAATAATCAATATAGAAAATATCGAAAAAATAATATATCCTCCCATGTAGACCTCCCATAAAAAACTCAGATTTCATTTTTCAAGGTGAATATATGAGGCATATTCAAGTATTTGATATGAAAAAAAGTAAAAAGTCTAAGTCTCGCTAACAGCAAATATGAGTTTGTTTTTGCTTTGATTTTAATAAATACAAAATAACAAATATTAAACAAAATAGAGCTGTATATTATGCCTAACCAATTAAATGCCATTTATTAAGCAAAATTATAGTGTTTAAATACAATCATATAGTTACAAAAATGTTTGAGGTTAGCTAGATTTTGTCTAGAGTACTTAATCTCACTTTCCAGATAAGTCTACTTTAATAATAATTTCATTATATTACAAACAAACAAATAATTATAATTTAAATTTTAATCTGAATAAACTCGATAAAATGGAAGCAAAAACTTCCACTTCTAATCCTTGATTTTAATTATACTATATTATAAATATGAATTGAAAAATCTAATGTATGCTTTAACTTATATAGATATATAAATATTATTTCTTGTAATTCTTATAAACGATTGTTTTATATATCTAAATTATTATTACTTAATATTAATCATAATGTTTGATTTCTGATGCAAACCTTAACAAAAATCCAACAAATATTTTATTTAAAAACAAATGTATTTGTTCACTTCATATATATGAAAAAATAATAGAATTTCAATACTAAATTAAATACCAAGATAAAATTCTTAAATTAATTTTTTTTTTATCAGTTATAAAAATAGTGTTTCATGTAAATAAAATTAAAATATTTTTAAAATATAAATTTAATCCAATATTACTAACTAAATAGATAAAAATAGTTAATTATAAATATATTAATAAGCACTTTAAGTAAAAGAATATTTTTCTTTTATTTTATTTAAATTAATTTAAAAATAAATTCAAAAATTATATAATGGCTTTAAATTTTGATAATAAATAAGAAAGAATATTTAAAATTATAATTTTAATAAAATGAGAACAAACAAATTAAATATTGTAATTTCTAATTTGGGGTTGGGGTTGGGGTTGGGGTTGGGGTTGGGGTTGGGGTTGGGGTTGGGGTTGGGGTTGGGGTTGGGGTTGGGGTTGGGGTTGGGGTTGGGGTTGGGGTTGGGGTTGGGGTTGGGGTTGGGGTTGGGGTTGGGGTTGGGGTTGGGGTTGGGGTTGGGGTTGGGGTTGGGGTTGGGGTTGGGGTTGGGGTTGGGGTTGGGGTTGGGGTTGGGGTTGGGGTTGGGGTTGGGGTTGGGGTTGGGGTTGGGGTTGGGGTTGGGGTTGGGGTTGGGGTTGGGGTTGGGGTTGGGGTTGGGGTTGGGGTTGGGGTTGGGGTTGGGGT